CGTCCGTGTTTTTCCTCGCTTTCGTATCCCGATGTGAATTTCTGGATTTGGTGGGTGACGTCCGGTGTATGTAAGTGGGCTGTATCTCATACGCCTGTAGGGTGTTTGGTCGTCAGTACCGTCAAGTTGTGAAAGGGTGGGAGGCATCACTTCGTGGTCCCGACAGAGCAGCAGATAGGCGGTGAGTGAGGCTCTCTTCAAAGTAGACTAGAAGGATGACACCTCTGGCAGGATGAATTGGTCCGGTGCCGCACTCTCCACATTCTACTCTGCTGTACGACATGCCTTGGTCGTGGCGATCATCATCCGCGCCTTGGTCACTGCTGCTGGTATTGCGGGCTTTGCTTGGTTTCTTCTTGGGAGATGGGGCGCTGGGAGTTCACGGGAGCTTTAGGCTATTTGGACGGGACAGACGAGAGACGTGATGAGCATCATACGTCTATGGAGGTGTTTGTTGGCGTAAATCTACGGATCACTGGACTGCGGATGCATGCCAATACACCATCACGTTTCAAGTCATCTAGGCACCCGGAACTTCATAGGCGCGCGTGTCTCCGGCTTCGCGGCATTAAGTACAATTGAAATCTTTCAGCACCTCCTCAGCGTCCCATACCTTCCTCTGTGCTTCTTGCATCCCTGATCAATTCGCAGTAGGACCGATCATCGATCATGCCGAAAGCACTCACGAGCAAGACTACCGCTCCTGCTGCTGTGGCGGCCTCCGATCCCCTAGACTGGGACCCCAACAAAACTCACCCCAAGTACGATGATGAGGATGCGAACTGCGCTTTGATCAGCTCAGACGGACTCATGTTCTTGGTAGACAAGGAGTACCTGTACTCCTCAAGGTGATATCTGATAATTGACTGGCAACGTCAGGTCTGATGGCTGACTTTCGGCACGATTATAGTGCTGTCTTCCGATCGATGCTCAAAGACGGTCTAGCCGAGGAGAAGCAAATTATGGGACGCAACAGGTCAATCATCCGTCTGGTTGATGAAGATTTCGAAGATTATCGGACACTCTCCTATTACCTCGACATAGTTCATGGAACCCTCAAAGAACGCCTGGGTTTCGCTCCGTTTCCAGGCTGCTCCAACTTGCGGACAAGTACGACTTCAACGCCTTGGTCCGATCATCCATTCATCGGTCACTCCGGAATCTCGCGAAAAGAAACCCTCAGAAGGCGTTCGCATTGGCCTGTAAATGGGATATCAGACCCGTCGTCTTCGAGCTCTTCAGAATCTATGGTGAGCGGAGACAGACAGGCAAAGGTTCGACGGCCGTCTACAACTTGTCTTGTCTGGAGCACTCGTCTATTGATCCCCAAGCGGCGAAGATGATTCCCCAGAACTATCATTGGGCAGTGGCCCGGGCATACTCAGGGCCTGTTGAAAATCACGCTGTATGGGTCAGGATACTTGAATCGGCCTTAGAAGAATGGGACAATTCCACTAAGACAGTGCAAGTGGAGGCGACGCCCGCATAGTGAGTCGAAGGCGCTCTCGCTTGAAATGTCGCTGAATGCGATCCCACCCTAGACAAGTTGGCGGTTGGCGTGACTGTGCTCAGCTGGGCATTGATCCCTCGCGAAGTGCTGCAACAACTCTTGGAGAGCTTCAGACAAGTAGACAGACCGAGAATCCATAGGTAGCTAGAGCGAGAGTGAAAAATGCTCTGGTCGTGCTTTAGCCTGACATATAAGTCTAAATCCCATTGAGGCGGCTGCAGGGGCAAGAGTCTTGTGGCAGACAGCAGACAAGAAGTCCCTTTGTGCGAACAAGTCAATCACCGCGTTGGAATCCTCAAGTCACGGGTGGGCATGTCCTTGACATCGTGTGACAAAGCATGACACAATTGAGCGCACAAGAATTGCTGCTTGCATACATTGCCCGTCCTTGGCACAATATTCACTCGCCATGCAGAGCTTGCCGAGCCGGAACCCGTAGGTCGTTGATCATGCATAATACAATCTATATCCAGCATTGACATTACACTACATCCTTCACCGCGCATGCCCCTAGGCCGACGAAGGTACCTCATGGTTCGCAAGACCAATCCCAAGCGTCCGCACCTCCTTTACATTCACCATAGCCCAAGCCCCACCAGTCATACACCACACGAGCCACAGCCTCTCGAGCGGACAATGTTTGGGTCTCCATCCTGCATCCTCAATTAGCTTCGTCACAGACGGTATTGATCGTGATAGCTCACGTAGAGATCCACGGCTCCAGCGACGCCAGGTACTGGACACCTTTGACGGGCTCAACTGGCGGCCACTCGGTCCTTGGTCTCAGTTCTGGGTAACTATTCCATTCTTTTCGGACAAGCCACGAAGGCTCTTCATCGATCATTGAGCGGATAAAGTGATCCTAAAGGGGGTCTCAGTCAAGGCTCAATCATCAGAAACAAGTGAGCTGACTTTGAGGTACGTTTGGGAAAAGACTTTAACGATATACTCCCCTGAACCAGGTTTGGTCTCTCCATGCCATGTGATGGACTGGAATCTAGGAGGTGGAATGGAAGAATCTTGCTGAGCCGCTACTGAGCTGGTGAGTATGGTATTGGGGACCGCAACGCCCTCCGGTAGGCCAAAGAAAGATGGAACCGGTCGGTCTCGAGTGGTCGTGAAGTATGTCACGAACAGATGGACATATCGCTGATATCTGGGGAAGCTAAGTCAGTCGCACATCTGAAAGAGGACAGATGAGGGCACTCACTCGACTTTTTCCACTGCATGAGTCTGCAGTCCGTGCAGACCGTAATCTTTCGATGAGTGATACCATGGCATGGCGTAGAAGACTTGATCGAAACTGCCTTCATGATGTTCTTCGCCAGTTGCCAGAATGCGAGATCTTACTTCGAATGCAGGCGTCTCACCAAGTTGATGCTGAGGAAGGATATCAAAGACCTGTAAGATGGTAGTAAGCGCAGAGAATAGGGACAATTGCGGACTTACCTCTTCGCCCAGTCTCGTACGAGCACCACTCTCTTTGACCATCTCTTCAAAAATTCTATAGTTTCCACCCTCGACAGCTTTTGCACCTCCAGTCGCCATTGACACGGCTGCTCCGAGCGCATGAATGTCGACCATGTTGGAAGCGTACTGGCAAAGTGTCAGTATCCAATGGTGTCTTCCATACTATACTGACGTTGACTCTTGTGCTTCCCTCCATGATCTCGTCGACCCATTTCTGACCAAGTCCCAGGACTCCAGTAGCCCACTCTGCACCCTTTCTCACAGTGTACTCTGAGCCCAATCCCACACGTTCCACGAAAGTTTCTACGTCTCTTGCGGGCCCCATCTGAGCGAGCCAAGTTGGGTGATAGAGGTTTGCGAATTTTGAGAGAAGGTTCCCGACGGCTTTACGTGTCCGGTATGGGGAGAGGGGTCCATATCGGCGAAGGGCAGAGACAGTATCGTAGACGTCAGAGTACCATTTCTTCGAAATGGACGATGTGTATAGAAATTGAGTCCCGTCCTGTGAGGGTGTTCAGCGGCGTACGGACAAGCGAGACGCAGCACCAACCCATATTCCAAGGCCAGTCTCTCCGAAATCTGGGTCAATAGTTTTCAGGTTGAATCGCTGCACATCATCAGCTTCGGGGAGAGCATTCGCGTGATAGTCAGCTCACCTTTGTCGCCTTGACAAGATGCCGGTTTGAATCTACAAATATGCTAGCTCCAAGCTCGACGGGTCTCAATGAGGTGTCATTGTGCGGGTAGACAACAGACGTCCCTATCGACGAAAAGCCGATCAGCCAATGGTCTCCGACCTTCAGGCAGACAGGACCACTCACTGCCTCCGATGCTTGGCTCCTTGTCGTATATTACGATCTCTCCCAGAACCTCTCCTTCTTGCTTTCCTAATCGCTTCTCAATCACTCTTCCCGCTCTTCGGATAAACCAGGCCGCCGAACTTCCACTTGCTCCAGCACCAATGATAGCTATTCTCTTCCCACGTGTCTGATTTGCGGCTGCATGGTGAATAGAGGGATCATACACCCAATCTTCGTCGTCGTCAAATATCGGAAAGGACCCTGCTCCGGAATACGGGGCTTGAGAATTGAAAGTCGCAGGGGAGTAAGAGGCTGCCGGTGAAGAAGGATGGAATAAGAGTAGAGCAGAGACCAATATGAATGCTGTAAGGAGGACTACTCGAGGCCTGCTCGAACAGAAAGCCGGGAGCAGCATGGCTCGAGAGACGCTGACTCTGTTATCCGCTTATTGCAGCTGGACCAGAGAGTGGAGCTCAGGCACAATAGCCGTGGTCGATCGAGGAATGTCCCGCTACCGAATTTCCGCGCCAGGCCTGCAGTTACTCAGACACCTCGGTGCTGACAATGATTGCTGTATGCGCTTCTCTGTTCGACGCTCGCTACGAGCTTCTGGGAGTTGAGGCGGATGGACGAGATAGTCTTGAGAGAATCCGAGGAATGACCTGCTGCAATTGCAATAATGAGCTTCCCGCTTCTTCCGGATCGAAAATGGAAAAAAAATTAAAATCGCCAAATGTGGCGTCTCACCGGCGAGTGGCGAGTGGCGAGACTCCCTTGCCCTTTGCAGATCACCAGATCATTCATGGTTCATTATACACAGACGCAATACTACATGTACACAACAACACCTACAAGATGTCAAGCTTCCGATGATAGATTGTCCATTTTGAGATAGTCCCGCTGTGGGATACAAGAAGGGAAAGGGATCCTCTCCGCAGTCAATCCCGTCGCACCTGTCAAAGGAGTTATGCGACCATCCTTACATGAAGAATGTCTCGGCAGCGTCCTGCTCTTCTTTCTTCATATGCCTTATGCCCTCTGCCAGGGTGCTAGCAGTGTGTAGAGTGGGTTGACAGCTCTGTCGATTCGATGCAATTCGCTTTTGGTGAGCGATGTAGGAGTCGTAAGATGTGGGTGGTTCGGCTTTCGATGTTCGGCGCGAGGCCTTGATGGGGATCTGTTTCTGGGACCAGACGTCAGTCGAGAGACTCGCCAAAACGGGGATCGTACTCACTGGAGCCGCACCTAGACCCATGATGGAACGTCTCCACTTACTGTTCTTGCCCTGATTGACATCCTGCTCTGGCGAGTCCACGACAGGGTCATATGAGATCGGGGAGACAGGAGTGATAGGCACTCCACCACTGCTCTCGACAGTCGACGAGGTGGTAGTCATAGTGGAAACTGCGCTCGGCAGTTCACGAGCTTGGTCTCTCGGACTCGATCCGCGTCGAGGGATGACAATCGGCGCCAAACGAGGACCAGATCGACTCGGCAAAGGTTGACATTCGTCTTCCGCTTCAGAGTCGACTTCTTCCAACTCCTCTTTCTGCTCTTGACTTTCTTTCTCGATTCGCGGTGGAGGTGGCACAGCGATCGCAGAAGCAAGGGTGAAGCTTTGACTTTGCTTTTTCGCGCTGGGCGGCAATGCAACGTCGATGTTCACGCTTGGCGAAGTCGTAAAAACGTTATCATGGATAGCCTCGCCATCACTGTCATCGTTCGAAATCGGTGTGGCAACCGCTGGCTGCTGGCTAAGAATATCGCCGAAAGAAGGTCGTTGAGGCGAGACGGGTAATGGGATCCTCTCTGCAGCTTGAGTGGAGATCAACAAGGAAGCACGATACGCTTGAAGACCTTTCGCACTCATTTCCGAAGCGGATCGCATATGCGCTAGCATGGGAACCGAAGCTGAACTGGGAGGAACGCGGTTTCCTGTACCTGGACGACTGGGAGACTTTGTCTTTCCTGAGCCCTGAGACAGTTGGCGAGAATGGCGCTTGTTTTGCGTTCGAAGGGATGCAGATGAGGCGACTGCGCGGATGGTTTGAGGAGCGGTGCTGGGACGGCCGTGCGGTGATATGGGCGGCGAGCTCACTCGACGAGCAGCAGTTGTCGACAAAGGCAGAGGATCGTGATTTTTAGGTGGTGATGGAGGAGATTCCACGAATGCTGTAGCGGTGGCTGACTGAACAGTTCTAGATTCAGGTGGAGGGAGGGTACTGGGAGCAGGTTGAGAAACGGACGTCTTCAAAGCTGGCCGCTGCGGCACACTGGAAGATTTGGAGGATTTCCCGGTGAGCTTCCGGAAGAATGATCCAAAAGCTCCTGAGGACTTGGGCTGCGGAGTGCGGGCCTGTGGGAGCGAGGTTGGCATTGGCGGCACAGGTGGGACATAAGAAGATTGTTTCGGCCTGCCGGGAAACATAAGTATTTGCGTGGCACATCCTGACTCACGGCTGAGCAGATGCCACAAGTGACAGACTCCTGTTCCTCTTTGATGACTTTTCACTTTCTTTACTCGCTTTGCTCTCCTTGCTCTCTTTCGACTTGGATCTCAAAGCGGAATAACTCTTGGAAAAGTAGAGTCTTCCTCCCTTTCGTCCACGTTCGTTATCAGTTGGTTTCGCTGAGACGGGGAACAATCCACCGGATTCAGTATCTGGAGATGTGCAGAGCAGATCCGAGACGGAAGACCGAAGCTCAGTGGTGGGGTCGTGGTGAAGAGAGATCGGTGTCAAAAGTGCCTCGGAATGTGCGCTTCGCGGTAGACCTCGATGTGATGGAAGTCGATCGTGTTCGTCGGACGACGTAGAATTGGTCAATGATGGATGGGATCCTGTCCGTTCCAACATGAGAGGTGCGGGAGGCATCATGACTGTTGCCATCGTAGCTGGCAGCGCTGGACCAGGACAATGGTGAGGTACAAGGTGGAGAAAGTGGGGTGAAGGGTACGTGCGGCTGATGAGATTGGTATTATATGCGGCCAAAGCGTTGGAGCCTATTTCGACGATCTCCCTAGGATAGCTTCACGAAGAGGATGAGGAATGTCGATGATCTGCAAGTAAGAAGCAGGAGAAGATTAGTACATCGTATTGAATGGGGTTCCAATTAATTCTCGAGGGTAGGATAGACAAGATGACAAGGGAGTGGGCAATCCGGAATCAAGACAGTGAGGGGAAACAGGATCATCGAACAAGACAAGTGGTCCAAAGGAAGAAGATGGCACGGAGATGGATTGAGAAGGATTGAGCATGAACGGCATGACATCGGGGAAATTTTCGTCTTCCTTCAACGATCTCCTCCTTGACAGGATCCCCATCCTGCTGTTCGCTCGCCTTAGGCTCTGATCCCTTTGACCACCCCTTGAGGACAAAGAGGGAAAGGGGACCGGCGGGGACGTTTGAAAGGCAGCCACGACGCCATATGAGCTAAGAGGGGAGGTTCTTCATTCGAGTCTACGGCAATTGACCCGGGATGCCAGATTAACTCTGTCTTGAGCAAGAGGCACCGCATGGGCTTGAATGTTCCTGCGGGAACTTCATCACGCAGAGGAATGCGAGCGAATCGAGAGCAGCCACATTGGCCACCTTTTATTTTTTTCGATACCAGCTGATTGAGGAAATAAAAAGAAAAGCAAAAAAGAGAATGGCAAGAGGTGGAGGGCGGGTGGGCGAGGCGTGTGACCTGGTTGAGAGTGCGGGGCAAGGAACCGAGAGCCACTTTGGCAGGGACACAGTGCCATAGATCCCGAGCAATACCTCGACGGCAAGCCAACTCACCAAATAATGACGAGCAGATTCCCGTGTATCATTGAGCTCGAACGACCCCGACGTGAAGAGCGAAGATAGACGAACAGCTGTGAGATCTGTGGAGAAGAGCCAGACGTAAACAAAGTTTCCTTGAAACTGTCTGAAAGGGGTCCAGGCTGCTGGATGTTGTCTCACCTGTTTTGTTTCCTCTGAACCTATAATCAGAACCCTGTCCTGCGTCTGCGGCTGCTGGAACCTGCTCCACGCTCCACAAAATGGCCTGTCTCGTATGTCTCTCAGCCGTCCAAGGTATCTGGATCGCAGAACAAAAAGATAGTCCGAAGAGACTGTTGGATCAAGTTTCGCCTTAGAGTCAATAAATTGCGTGCGGATCTTTTGAACTGGGCCTTTTAGTACGGATTGCATTTTCTACCCTCCCAGCGGAAAGCGTCGTCCGAGCTCGTCCTGGAGTAGACGCCGGGACCCGTCGCCAATTTCTGTTGTCCTTGCCGGAGCCAGCCCATCAGTTGGAAGCCCTCAACCCCACGAATAGGTCCCGGTAAGAAGCACACAATAAGTATGTGGCGTCCCTCGTACATAAAAGAAAGGCACAGTATACGATGTAAAGTCTTGCGGCGACGAAGAGTCCTCTGAGACGCGCTATGTCCCATCTGATAGTGTCGCAAAGACCCGCCATGGCGTCTCCAGATGTACGTGCTGGATGATGAAAGAGGAGAAGAGCTGGACCTTGGCAAGAATCGGGCGTGAGGCGTCAGTCCAGGAATAACACTTTTGAAGAGAGAAAACCAGAAAAAAGAAAAACAAATAGATGTACGGAAAATTGTGGCGACGAATGAATGAAACTTGACATGACCTATCTATTGGAAGAATCAGTCAACAGATGTTGTCCTGGCCCATACAGAGGGAGCAGTGGGTTGGCAGGGGTCCATCAGCAAGTCAGCAAGGCACAAAGACCCCACGGACCTTGACATTCGTGTCTCAGACCCTGAGTATGGGGTGTGCCTGTCAAATCCAATGTAGCATCGATCAATCGATCAATATGTCCACGTCAATCTCATGACGCTCAGCTTGATAACTAGACCATCGAGGGGGCGCAACGTTTCATTCGAAGCCACAGTGGGCGTCTCAGAAGGCTGGTCAGTGTCTAGCGGTAATCCTGTACTCTGCTGGCGTCATCAGCCTGTAGTGAAATGGTCGGGGCATTCAAAGGTCAGCCAGTCGAACAATGACTAGGGGTCTCAGTTGTACTTAAAGCTGACGATTATAAATAGGATGAGATCAATGATTGGGATTGCTGTCATAACGTCAGCCAGGCTTAAAGTGGGTGTAAGCGCATGAGATTGACTGTCATGCGTGCTGCATCGAAAGCTATCCCGGTCAGCGCTCTTACTCCCGAGACCCGTGCCAGCCTGTAATCCAATCACTCGTCCTTCTCCCTGACCTGTTTGCCTGCTCCTTGTCGCTGAACCCCCATACCGTACTCATAGACCATCCTTCCTCCGAGCATGGCGGCTGAAATCATATCATATTGATTAGCACAGACGCAGACCGGCTGGTACTGACTTACAGTATAGAAGCGCAGGGAACGCAACGGCGTTCAGAGCCAGAACGATAGCAGGGATAGGATCGTAAGGATGAGCCCAGCCATGGTACCTGCATCAACGGCAAAGGTCAGCGATCACACAGTCAGCTGTACGGATCCCATCCTCACCAGTTGTAAGCGGCGAGAAAGATGACCACATCGTTCAAGCTGGCATGCTTGACTGTCATCTTGAGTTTCCTCCCACCGTCATCTTTCATGTTCCAGCTGTTGTCAAAGACAGCTTCCCACGATCCTTTCTCCTTGTATTCCTTCTTGGCGAGCTTGTAAGCTTCCCCCGCTCCAGTCACAATGGCAGGGACGGATGACAAGACCGCAGCGCCAGCAGAATAATGCACCAGAGAAGGAATGGCAGATGGTGGCGGTAGGAAGAACGAAGGGTAGAGATTGGCTGGCAAGAGAGTGATGGTCGTGAGGCCGAAGCATGCCGTGAGGAACTGACAAGACTTCAGCAGATTTCTCTCATTCGGTGACCTATCACAAATGCTCACCGCGATTGGCCAATGAACGGTTGCAGGATGCAAAGGATGTCCGACAGCCTTGTCGGGGTCTCCAGGGACCTGACCTGCGAGAAGATCAGCAGAGTCGCTGGCGATTTCTTCTGCCTTTTCAGCAGCTCGGGTAGTGGCTGTCATGGTGTATGCGTAAGGTAGAGATGTTAGGATGAGGGTGAGGATACAGTGAGATGTTGAGATCAGTGTGATCAGTGTGATCAGCGAATCATCCACTGTCCCATTGTCATCCAACCATGTCATCCAACTACAAATCTCCTCAGGCACACGCACTTGAACTGCGCGTCATTGCTCAGTGTCCTTTGATAGACATCGCTCAGCGACGTGGGGAGCTTTGGGTATCATCACTGTAGCCCGCATCTGACATTCATGAATGACCTCGAGCTACCCATCGCTGCCTCTTCCCTAACGTCCAGACTGGAGCGGCATTTGAGTACCCTCTGACGCCTCTGATCGCCGCCACGCTCGTCGCTCAAGGAGTGAAAACTTTATTTGAGCCCTCCTTCTTGCCGGTCGTCGCCAAAAATTCCAACTACTTTGGTATTCATCTCAATAGGTATCTCATCATTTGGAGACCATGTACAGACAAGGCTTTTGCGAAGTTGTGAGTGTCGAGCTGTGTCTTTCGGAAGTCTCCGGTACAAAGTCTTCATCGGACGTCTCTGCTTCGATGATCTAGCCTTGCTCGCTGCGTCTGCTGCTCCTCATCCCTAGGAAGACAATTCATTTTCATTCAACCAAAGCTCGGAGTGTACCAACACTCCAGATACCTCATTCTTGTCCATTGTCCAATGGCTTCGTCTTGAAGTCGGCGGTGGATGGGACTGGTATCGTTGAGCCGAGATGGTTTATTAGTTCATAGTTACACTGAGGGATTTGAGGTCGAGCGGGCGCCAAATGGGAATGGGCGTTGAGAGATGACATTTCGGCAGACCCACAAGCTGACAGCTATTCAGGTAGCTTGAATTGGTAGCCGATGCACATTTGGCGGACACTCGTATGGTCATGGCTTGCATAGTGCAATGTATGCATGTTGTACGGTTGCTCGATTTGACAGTTGAGAGAGGGGAATATTTGTCTTGCGGCCAGCTCGTCGGGAATATCCACCCTCCGCCCGCACGAGATGAAGGAGCGAAACGTAGCGCTACATGAGAGGGAAGCATTGTCTATGATCGAGCTATCACTAAGTCGCTCTGAATTCGCCTGTCATTTGATCTTCTCTTCCCTCATTATCTGAGATGATCCTCACTCCACTCATTCACTTCCCGTTGGGCGATGTCCAGCTCCAGTCGCAGAACTCATCTATGTTGGACCTCGTTCCATGGCCTCGCTCCGCTCCCCTATCGTCGGCCCCACAATCTACTTGTTCTTTGCGCTGTTCAGCTTTCTGAGCTCGGTCTCGACTTTGCTCTCCAGTTTCGCTTGCAGTTCGGGTCGGTCTACGAGTGGTTTTTAGCAAACGAGTGCATGATCCGAGCTTCAAACTTACAATTGAAGAAGATGAATAGCAGTTCTAGCCAGACGAAGAAAGGTGCAGCGATGAAGGCTTCACAGTGCTTTAGCAGTGTTTTCCCTCGGGAAAGTCGCACAATTCTCTCACTCACCTTGGAAGAGATTGTCCATCAACCTCGGCTTGCGCTTCTCAAACACTCCATGTCCGACGAACTGTATCAAGAACCCAACGACGAACACGAAAACGCCGAATGGTACGGCACTGCCGTTGAACGACGATTGGAATGGGATCCAGGACGGAGTGAAAGCGTAGCAGTATGTTGCTGTGAGGTATTCCAGCGCGACAAGGCCCATCATGGCAGCCTGAGGCAAAAGATAGGGTCAACAGCGCTCTTAAAATCGATATTGAGCGTCCGCATCTACTCACGGCTGCTGTCGGTTCCAGGATGAAGTAGAAAACCTGGTAGAATGTCGCGAGGAAAAGGCTAAATGATGGCTGGAAAGCGAATCCTTTCGCTAGAACGGTCACGGAGTATCCAGGGACCTTCAACGGTGCCAGCATTAACAGAGTTGCCCTGGAGTATGGTCAGTCTCCTTGGCTGCCTGATCGCCTGAACCTTCCTGCGTCTGCATCCTGAGGGATACGTCGACGGCGACTCACCAGCAAATGGCGGGAACACAGACGTGGTGAATGAGTCTGTTACCAGTTGTATGATGGTAGGATCCATACTGGACCATCTGACAGAATTGACATTATCAGCTTCCTGTGCTCCGAGGTCCCATCGCATGCTCGTGACTAACCTGGTATTCGATATCGAACATGCTACCTTCCGTGTCCCGACCATGAGGATGATCCAGGTCAATATCCTCAGCGGGGCCTTGAGAGCGAAGTTTATGAGGTGTGGGCATGGTTTATAAGCCTCAGCGAGGAGCGTTCAACAATGTTGCAATGCCAGTCAAGCGCCTCGAACTGTCAATCACAGGAAGTCGACGAGATCCCTTATCAACATGGCCGCCAGCGACGGCCCCCGTTGTCCTTTGTCCGAGATTGCCGCCAATACCCGACCACGTGGAGTTAGCTTTTTATGATACCACATAGTAGCGAAGTGGCAGCGATGCACGAACTCTCGGTGGGATCTGCCACTTTCCTTGAACTGAGCGTGCATGGCGCAGCTTGTGGTATGGTACGAAGCTCCCGCATAGCTGCATAGATATGATCCACCAGTCTCAGTTTGGTTGCAACAAAGAGGGCCAAGACTGGTTGACAGTTCTGAAGTCGCTTGCGGCTGCCCTAAAGCCAGCTGTCGAATAGAGTGACAGCCTTATGTACAGTGACTTGAAGTTGAATGGCCAAGGATACACGGTTTGATCACGCAAGGAGGCTAGAACCTCATGTGACAGGAACTTGGGAAGATTAACTCTAACACCACACAGTACACAGAAGAGGATACACAAACGCTCGCATCGGAAACACGAGGCAGCGTGAAAAGGTCCTCGCTTGATGATAAACTCTCCGAATGCGAGCTCAGACCACTGCGATGTGGTGGACTTATCCAGACAGGGAATTCCAGTGAATCGTTGCTCCGCAAATCATAGACGAAGGCTGCGGGAGTCTAGACTGACTCTATGAGGGGTACAGCGGATTCCATGGTGGCCGGTCTGATCCGTCCTAACTTTTCCAGAAACCATGCACAAGGAGGAAATGCTGGAATCGCTTCTCAGAACAGATAGGTTCCCAAGATCGTGTTGTTCTGAGGGTCCAGTCCGCTCCACCACTGGAAGCCCTACTGCTTGATGGAAACCCCCTCAGGACGGATGGAGTTCTTCATTTCGTCAGGCCCATCCTGACTTTTGTTCAATCTAATAGTGATGTCCCGGCAAGACGTTCGGATCTCCTGACAGATACGCTTCTCATCCCTGAACCAGCGCCGATCCTTCTATATCGGCTTATTAGCTTGCTTCGAATATTGAGTGCAACAGTTGAGGGCATGACAGGCGAGAGGGGCTTCTGACGGGCCATCGGAATGTGAGTACGAGGATCAGCGAGATCTGGGTGTGTCTTCTATATTGTGCTGCTGAGGTGTCAGAAGGTGTGATCGACGCTGGGAATCTGCCTGGACAATCTGCTCGCATCGGAGTCTTCTGACTCTTCGTGTACGGGAATGGGCATCAGCCCCGTCAACTGCAGTTGAGCCTTGCCGCTCAACGCAAAGGGGCTCCTTTTGCCTCGTGTTTCGAAATCTCAATGTTCAATCCTTCTCCACTCCCCTTTGGCTTGTTGACAGTATGACCCTCGGGTACCACGTTTACCTTGCTTAGGATCGTGTATATCACAACGAAGCTCAAGTCTCTTTCTGTATCTCTCACCATCTGTCCCCATAATCCTTCTGTGCAGGTCCACACCCCCACCCTCATTTGACACCTACATCTCACTGCCACATACTCATTTCCAACTCCGACTCACTCTTGACGACACACTGTCATTTGGACTTTCCTTTCAAGTCGACCTCCTACCTCTCACCAAGGAGACTCTGAATGGGGCGAGATGTCCAGCATCGACTTGGGAGATAGTACTGTCGGCATTGCCCCTCTTCTCCCCACAGATCTCCCTCCATCTCGGTTCGCCATCTTGTCCCACTACATCACTTCCCCAGTCATAACCTAATCCACATACCCACAAACACACTCCTTGGAACACACATCCTCACATCACCGATATACCTAGAGATCACGGATACGTCCGCATACGAAGGATCAGAGCTGATCTGCAGTACATCAGGGGTGCACGAGGTACGTCCATGCATGATGAGCACAATGATGAGGCAGCCTCGCCATCAAAATGACCATAAAGGCTGACTCTTCACAGCCATTGGACCTCGACGTCTCAGACGAGTGAGTTACAATGCAACCGCGTGTCAACTGACATTCGTAAGCACGGCTAATTGAAGGGCATGCCTCACTCACCAGTCGCTGCCTCCAGGCAGACGGACGATACTACCTCAGCCAGAAACGCCAAGATACCTCCCCACTTGGGCTACCCGCAGGTGAGCACCGATGCTGCGAGGCTCCTGACTCAGGGTCCGCTTCGCGGCTTTCACAGAGGCTGACGAGCCCATCAGGCAAAACGCCAGCCTGCTCATTCCGGCAAAGGCAAGAAATCCGTCGCTCCTGGCGTTTGCAGACACTGCGGTGCAGTGAGTGATCGACGTAATCGAAAACGGTAGAAAGAGCGCAGTAGACTGACAAGCGTTCTGCAGACGCAAGACGAGACAGCGCAGTGGCGCAAAGATCCTCGAGATGAGGCCAAGCATTTTCGGAGGAGGAACGAAGACTGTGCAACCGATGCGGATTGTACGTGAGTCGTGAAGTCGCCAGTGTATGACGAGTAGTCGTTGATGAGTCCCAAGGCTGCGAAAGATGCTGGGACCCTGCCCGACCTCGACGCCATCCGTGCACGCGAGACCAAGAGGCAGCAACGGGAGCAGCAGAAGCAGGGGAGCCGGATCACGATCCGGACGGCTTCCCTTTCGAAGCACTATTTCCGTTCTGGGCAGAAGTCCAAGCCGTCGGCGAAAATCAGGCTCAAATGCAAGAGCGTTGACGATGGGGGGAAGGCCCTAAAGAAGAACGATGCCGTGAGATCGCCGGCATGGGACGAAGATGAGATGGAGGTGGCGAGTATCATCGTCGACCTGAGCAGAGTATGTGGCTGAGTTGGCAGCGCACCTTCTTCCGCCGACACTGATTCCCCTAGCCGAAACCAAGCAAGCCTAAATGGAACCTGCTCGATACGAGGCCATCGTTCCTCTATAATCGACCGCCGCCGAAGCCCATGTCGATCATCGAAGTGCCGTCGCACTTCTTCTCCAGGCCGCGAGCAAGGTCCAATAGCAGCGTGTCCAATCCACCGTCGCAGGCTTTCAATTGTAAAGCCAAGAAACCCTCAAGATTGTCGAGCGGATCGTCGACCAGTAGTACGACTCCTAGCCGTCGACGACCGCAGCACAAATTGGATCCGATCAAGACGTCACGATCCACGCAAGACAAGGTGGATGTCGACGCGCGGTTGACGACGGCCTCGACGGTGCTTCAGACGCCCCAACTGTCATTCGAGCCGCTTGCCGTTGTTCAGATCGCTGGACAGGGCAATCTGATGGTAGACTACCCCTTGGTCACTGATCAGGACGCTGTAAACCCTACCAGTGAGGCTGTCTTCTTCACGAGTCCGAAGGATATGGATGATGAGATGGGTGAGCCGAGACCGCTGCATCATACCGCCTGCTTAATATGTCGACCTTTTGATTAGCGTGATTACGCCTACGAGAAAGCCGACCCACCGATGGCACGATCGCATCGTCCCTTACCCATGGATGTGAAAGTGTCGTTGAGTCGTTCTTGTGGCTTGCAAGTCACTGCGTATATCCATCGATACCACGATAGCAAAGATAGAGCGGTTCTTGAACCCGAGGAGTTGGAGTGACTGTACAGCAAGAGAAGAGAGGTGGATCCAGCTTCGCACATGTCGTTCAAAAGCCTGTACATATTGTCTTCACCTGTGACTTTCCTCTGTCTTCCCACGTGATCATACATCCTGTTCATCCTGTCATGTCACGCTTTCGACCACGGAGTCGAACTATCACGTGCGGATCAGTGGTCGACCCAAGCGATGAAGTCTGCATGCACATACCTTCTTTCAACTTTGTCTGAATTGGCCTCCACTTTTTCTCGCCGAGTCCCTCTGCGTACGCCGCTAGGACCTGCACAAATATTCCATTAGAAAATGCTCATATGACCCATGAAGGGGAACTGACTCCGGCGTATAACCCCTCGGATTGTGGGTGGGTGCTCGCGAAAGCTCGTTCAAGAACGTACAGGTCTACAGCGTAGTGTTCGGGCAATGTTGCAGTGGACGACAGTCCAAAGTCGATTAAGACCTAAGAGGCAAGGTCAGCAACCGGATGGGGAGGTGCTTGAGATTCCGTCAGAGGTCGAGAGAGGAGAAGAAGGTCGGGAAGACGAGGATCCCGACTCACGATTTCATAAGGCTCACTTCCGTTGGGTGTGAATCGGACCATCATATTCGATGTGGTCAGATCACCATGAATGATGGCAGTTCCGTGGAGCTTGGCAATGGCTCTCCCGATTGAGGTCATGAGGTGTTCTGTGTGCACGTCAGCATGCTAGCTAAAGTGACTGCACGTTACCTTTGGTGACTCCCTTAGAACGGAGAGCCGTCCAGCCCTCGCTCTCTGTCTCATCCGCATTGATAGAGTCGACCTGATCCTTGCTCCGTTCCATCTCCATCTCTCCAATCTCTTCCTCGTCTTCTTCCTCCACCGTCATCTCACCCTCTGCTCCGCCGCCTAGAACTTCACGCACACTCCACCCATCTATCCTTTCCATCCCAATCACCCCATTCCTATCATCCACCCACATCACATGAGGGACGACAACTCCAGCACGGGTACATCTGGCCAGCGCACGAGCCTCGAACGCGAGGCGAGATCTCGTCAACGACAAGTCCAGAGCGGGGTGTCGGTATTGTTTCTTGAAGCGATATTTAAGGATCACGGAACATTTCGGTGCGGTAGTCTGCTGTATTTGAGCGGTCGAAGATGGCTTAGAGGGGCCTGATGGCGGCCAATAGATCGTAGGCTGAGGTAAGAGGGAGTCGAGACTGTATACTTTCTATGAGAGAAGCCCATCCAGTCAGCCAAGGCGTTCTTCGGTGATGGCTCTTCCCGAGCAAGTCGCTTACCGCTTCAGCTCCTTGTTTGATGAGCATCGCTTGATCCAGGAGATGGTGGGATGCTGAGATGGTCATGATGCTCTCAGTATAACTGCCGACTGCCTTCCAGCTGCTCCGAGTCTGAAAGATGTTCTAAGTTTGACGAAGAGAGATCGAAGGCCAACAATCATAAGCTTCGGCGGTGAAATTTCGATCAACCCCCGCCCGACGAACCGAAATTCCTGACACTTATTGTTCTCTCTAGATCACCACCATTCGGTTCTTACAAGTCCAGCAGAGCAGATCTATCTCAGTCATGTCTTGGTGACGTACAGGGAAAGTTATCGTATAGAGTCGTGCCCATGCGCCTTCACAATCGCCTCAGAGGCTGCACAGCGCTATTCAGCACAGTTCGACATGGCTGGCAGAGACGGTACCCAGGCGTACCGAAATCGCCCCTCAGGTACTACAGTGACGCCGCAAACGCAGTGCTTTCCTCTCTGGCCGGTCAGGATCCTCTGGGGAGAATACGCTTCTTGCCAATTCTGGCTGAGCCAGAGGACCGACTGGCTGAGCTTGTACGTTTCTCCGGGTGTCAAGAAGAGACCCAATTTCTGACAACCCTAAGTAGCCCGAAGGGACCAAGTTTACCTTCCACCTCGTCCCGTTTTGGGTGACATTCTTCGCATTTCGTTCAGAAGCCTCCGTCCGAAAGAAGACTGTGCAGTGTGACTATCTTGACGTCACTGCTACAGGTATCAGTGTTGCGGCAGTCCCAGAAGGGCACTGGTGCCAGTATGTCGGACGGAAGATCAGTTATGAAGATGATTGCTGACAATACGCCTGTATCCTCCAGTGGCTTGTTCCTCTGTGACAACCTGGAGTTGTTGACGGAGCTCGATGCAATGTTCAGTACTCTCAAAGACAAGAACGCAACGCCCGATCCTCAAGGGCGATATGATCACCTCCAGGACTACTTCGTGCACGACTCCTTTCCGGAGTTCGCCAACGCACCTCCCACTCTCAGTGATGCGTCTGTCGCGAAGATAGCTCGTTTGACGTCCTGCGTTTTTGAGGACGGCGTCAAGCTTTGTACGTTGCCAATAGAGAATGGTCTTCAGCTCCAGGTAGGCACTCTGAAGGGAGTGTAGGGCCGATCACTGACGCGAATAACGACTTCAAGTGTCATGTACCCATTTACAGACCAGTCTACAGGATGACTTTGCCTGATGGATCAACGACTTTTGGGGACGCTTATTTCGATCGGCGCAGTAGAAGCATCCCACTGGGTTATCATCAAGGGCGCGCTCATTACGCGCGAGACACATGGGCGGATGTGAGTGCAGTAGGCAGATCCGGACACATTGGAGCTGATTCATCCCTCACGAACAGGGCGATTCATTTGCTCTCACGCTAATCGCCGTTTCGCGCTGCGGTAAATACAACCTATTAGATCCCACTTCGAAGAGCGAAATTTTCAATGACATTATTTACAAAGACACACCAAGAGCAGGGCCTGTCTGGTCTAATCCTCACATCATGCCATTAAATCCGTCCTCAGTGACCTCCTCACTTCGAACACGATTTGCGTCTTTCGCGAAGAAACTCTCTAGGTCATCCAATTCCACCCCGGTGGGAGTCTTGGAGGTCATGTGAGTGAAATCTGCAATTTTGTCAACCGCGTACCGAGAAAAGCTGACTGCGCCAAACAGACGAAAGGCTATGGACAGCATCAGAAACGAATCACAAGTGGTTGACAAGAAAGGTTCGATAGTCTGGGCTGGGGCATCACACGTACCATCCGAGTACATACCCGGAACCCACGAGTACAAACGGTCTATTATGATGACGACGAGGAACGAGTCTGGACAAGAAGTTCCCCATCCTTACGATGCATCGACAGCAAAATATCGAAATAATTCTAGCGGATCGTTGACCGGGGGAGGACTTAAGTCTAAGTCCTCATCGCACCGGTCTGCTAGAAATCCGCCTCCGCCTCCTCCGCCTCCTCGCTCTGCCAGCCAGAAAGCCCAAAATAGTGGTGGTCCATTGCCAAGAATCAATATCAACGCCTACACTTACCCCCAATTCAAATCCACACAAGCAAAAGTCAAACCACCTCCGCCATCGCCCAAGCCCAAATCAACGCCGAAGTCATCGCCAAAATCTCTCCAGGTTGAAGATTATGCCAGAGATCCCAGTCCCACCGAGCTAGTGCCTGATTTTCAGGGTCATTACTTGCGACTTGGCATCAGGCACCCGAGAGGCAGGTATCTGGTCGCTGATTTGGCCGCTCAAGTCGATCTAGAGATCAAGTCTCTCAGGCTTGACCTCGCCCTCAAACATCACACGGATCTCGGTGGAAAGGGAGACAAACTGGCGGTTATCAATGCGGCATACGAGAACATCAGGGACTGTGAGTTTGGATTACATTGGGGAGGCGTATCTGACTAGAGCTCGATTAGTGACGGCGAGACAAAGATACCACGCGACGCAATTTACAGACACACGGTAGCTTGGGTGGTTACAGACGGTCCTGACGGACGAGGAAATGATGGACACACAGTCTTGAGTGCAAATGTGCGCATCCTGCGTGACTCAGACAACGATGTCATGACCGCTACGGCGCCGTCGCCCAGACAGTCTCGAGAAATCGTACAAAAGCACTCGCTACTTCACTCTCAGACCAGCTGCCCGCAGCTCTGGAGTTGGATTTTTCCGCTCGACTTTGAACGCCTGTAATTATTTATCAGGTCATGGCTCTCAGTGGGCATCTTGCCAACGGTCTCACTCGCCTTCGAACTGCCTCTTCAGCCGCTGCATCTCTGGCAGCGTCACGCGCCTCATAGGAAGATGGAGGGTTAAGCTGCCGGCTGATGCAGCAGGCGGACAGGGGACAATGTATGTTGAAGTGGCGGGACCGGCATTGAGGTGAGCGAGGAGGGAGGTGGTGATAGTGTGGGTTGTATTTGTAAGGATCAGTAAGGTATTCGGCGGAGGTTTGGGTCGCTGAAGTGGGGCGCTGTCAGCCCCGAAATGTATCGTTATGTGGGTCGTACCTGTATGACCGCTGCATTCGGTCCTTTCTTCTCGCCTTTCGTTACAATGTTCCAGATCTCTTCTAACGGCGGTTCCTCGTCTGGCGAGATTGTGACAAGCGGTGAATCCCACCTCACCATCGAGGATGGCTCTTCGAATCGCATGATGAGGTTCTCAAAGCTACGTACGAGTCATGAGCGTGAAGAAGTAATGAGCGACTGTAGGCAACCGACGGCTCACGTAGTAGACTTGTAAGAACACTCTCCTCGTTCTTCGTGCCATTCTGTACACCGTTCTGGCGGAGTAGCAACATATACCTGGAGGATAATCAGCCTGAGAAACCACATGCGGAGCCTGTTGGCATACAGTGCATACTCTGCAGCTGGCTTCTCTAGCTGCACAGTACATTTGATACCTGAACCCTTTGATGTAGTTCAGACTATCGCAAATTGTGATGGTCTCTTGACCGAGAGATCGAGTGACATTAGAAAACAGATTGGCTCGACCGGACTTCTCAACTTTGCTGTCTACTCAAGGGTTCAGCTAGTCTGACTCTCTGGGCAGTCTAAGATTGACTGACCGTCGTATACCGATCGCGGGACGTGCGAGCTATCATCATCCACAACGACCACTTCAAATTTCGGACCGTCATATTCAGAGCTCTGTAACCTTGCCCGAAAATCGTCGGCGAGCATCCTAGCTATCCTGGACTTGCCCGAGCAAGGATACCCTGCTATGGTCACTAGCGCCATGACTGATTGTCCCTTAGAGAGCTCAATTGAGTCGGGGTAGGAAGGTATCTACTGTCAACATGGCAATTGGATTATTATTTCTGTAGAACTCGGACCGGTTCAACGGAACCGGCAGATCTGATATTGGACATCATACGACAAAGCATACAGGACAACGAGAGGGCGAACCTGGCAGCTGGGCAGCTCAGTGTCCATTATCGACCTGTAGGGGGTCGACTCGTAGCGCATACATACTAAATCCTGATCAGTATCACCTCGCACACCGCAATATCACTCATTCGTCGATTCCATCATGGAGGATCATTCAGGCCATAAGGGGCATCACATGCCAATGAGCGATGGCCCAATGTGCTCGGTGGGTTTGTCAGTCAGCGCGATGTGACGATATATGTGTCCTTCTTCGGGCCTTTTGACACTCTTGTCCGCCGGCTGATACACCGCAGATGAACATGCTTTGGAACAGCGATATCGAGAATGTTTGTGTTGTCTTTTCTTCATGGCATATCAAGAGCTCGTTTACGATGTTCCTATCATGGTCAGCCTGTCCTCTTGATCTCATCAGCTCTGGTCTCGTGAAGCTGATTACATCTGTACTGTAGCATGGCCATCATCGTCATCTCCGTGGGCTACGCCTCGTTGAACAAATACATCCACTCGTATGACAAGATCTTGGCATACCGTCTCCGACACCAGCAATCTGCTCAAGGGGGTCAGGGATCCGATGCAAGGCCTACAAATCTGATCCCCCCTAATCCCAGCTCTTATGGTGTCATTGATTCGACAGTGTCCAAAATGAACGGACCGTGAGTGCCGCTGATGCGAGTGACATACTCAGCTCATCCGTCTCCAAGGATGAAATTGCCAATGGGCAGTCGGCTGATACGCGCTGGTCTATACGCTATAAGCGTAGCTTTGTCATTCTGGGCAAGTCCAGCGCTCGATTACACCAAGGACACTCGGCTGACCCGCTCACTCAGCTCATGCTCGTTGCCATGACCTACAACACGTATCTTTTCGGATCCATCGTCATCGGCGCTTTTGCTGGACACATGCTGTATGAGTCTGAACTCGGCGCGAGGTGAGCTATGAGACGGATGGCTCCTTCACAACCCAGCTGACACCGGCAGCGCACTGCTCGGCTCAGGTTCAAGCAAGGGACTGGCATGTCACTAGCTTTCTGGATACGGCAGCGTATGGAGCCTCGAATTTGTACATAGACCGAATCATCTCCGTGCAGGATCGGAACATAGCAATCCATTGTTCAAAGTTGCTGAGCCAGCGTGATTCATTCAAGCCTTCTTGACCTTCTTCTTCTTGCCTTCGGCTGGATCTGGCGTCGAGCTTGATCTTTTGGCCACACTTGTGTCGGTATTGACCTTTTTGACGGTCATAGTCGGTCGAATCGGACCTCTTGCAGAGCCTTGTTGACAAAATTCACCATTCTCCACTTCCCTGGCAACTTCATCGTCCGGCGAGATACCTTGCTCATCCTCAAATATCATTTTGTCTCGCACTTGCCCAGCATCTTGGAGCAGCCCAAGGAGTCTAAGAGGGGCTTAGACGAATACACATCCCCGAATTCTGCTTACTCCTTGTACACCTTTCTTCTATTGATCCATTCTTTCCGCCACTTAAGGAAGAGCGCGTCAACTTTCTTGATCTCTTCTGCAGACATCGGTTCAACTTTCGGTCCTTCTCCGGTGCCTCTTAGGGGCAGTAAAACTCTGAGGGATGAAGCATTCTTGTCGTGTCAGTATGAACTTGCTTTTCGGATTTCCCACGTCTGCCTCTACGAGGGCTATCTCCCCCTCGAGATCTTTCGTCTTTGGCTGCGATTCCTGGGCCGACAGATCTACCATCGAGTCTGTGAGGGCATAACTTCCTTTGTAGAATCAGCTCACCACTCTGTACCGATCTAAGGGTCTTGCGAGTTGATTCAAGGTCTGCACTTGTCTGCTTGATTTCAATGTCCAGGGCAGCGAGATCTTCCTTCGATAGAGCAGTAAGATGAGACTTTGGCTGATATCAGTACTCGCAGACATCGCCTCATTATCTTTCTTGCCTGATCGTAGACAAATATAGTCTGTTTGCCATAGGTTTTCATCGTCAGCGAGCCTTTCTCTTGAGATCTGTCAGCTTCGAATCGATAGCCTGCAAGTTGACGTAGCTGACCTGCAAGTGTCGTGAGGATTTTTTGGGCAGCTGGCTTGGGGACTTTGCCCTTGAGGTTGGCGGAAACATCGGCTGAGATCCATCAACCAGGAGTCCAGCCTAAGCATGTGAGATTACTCACCGCTTGCGTACGGTCGGTTAGTCTGAGATTCACGCATTCATCAGTACTTGTAGAGGGGCTTTCCACTGAGATCCCACTGATTTCAGATATTGAAGGACAAGCTGTGGGGCATGAGCTAGTGGAACAGGACAGGATCTCCAAGCTTACCTCCTCAGCTGGATGCACCGCATTCAGCGCGGATACGATCAAGAGCTTTGTATTCACCTTCGTCGCCCTTGACTGCCTTTTCCTTAGCTGCAGCTTTTGGGGGCATGCTGAACGGAAAGGGTAATGTGAGTAGGTTCGTGAGTCAAATAAGCCAGGAGCGGGATGACAGATAGTTCCAAAGTCAGAAACAGGCGGGATTCAGAATGGACCTGGACGGTGTCACCAATCAAAGCATCTATAGACGAGGATGAGGTAGCGTCGCAGAAAGCAAAAAGCAATCGCGACCATATCCCCCGAGGTCCAAGCGTCATCCAGTTCAAACGGGGCACCCGAATAAATTATGGTTCCGTTCCACGGGGTCTCAAATCTTTGGAACGCTTGCCATCACAACTATTCACTTGAATTGATCGAGAGGGCGTTTAGAGCATAGTCTGCAAGAAGGTCGGCGAGGTAGTAAGGAGGGCTGAGAAAGAAGGAGACAATTGTCAGAAGAAACGGATTCATTCTTGACTGCCCAACATGCCACCCAAAGTCAAAGATGACAAGGTGAGTCTGGAGCTCCAATCGACAGGGTCGCCCGACCGAAATACCTGTTTCAATTCTCTGCTGATTGGATATCTCAGACTTTTGGCATGAAGAATAAGAAGGGGGCAAAGGTGCAAAAATACATCGCAACCGTAGAGAAACAAGCGAGCGCATCGGGAAAGAATAAGCAGGATGTGAGTGGCGCAGCGTTCTTGAGATAATAAGCTGATTGATTATGGGATAGATCGCCAAAGAGAAGGAGAAGCAGGCGAGGGTAGAGGCTAAGAAGGCAGAGGAAGCGAAGAAGAAGCTTGATGCGGAGTTATTCCGAACCGCTATTCAGGTGCAGAAAGTCCCATTCGGAACGGGTGAGTGAGAAAGGAGTTGTGGTCAGGTTTAGGTGAAGACTGACTTTCTTCAGATCCGAAAACTGTCAGTCTCGCGAAGACCAGCATGGCATTGTCGCTGATTCTTCTGTTTTGACAGGTCTTGTGTGCCTATTTCAAAGCTGGGTACTGCGAGAAGGGTGAGTTGGCTGCTCATGGATACAGACCTTAAGCTCATGATTCGCAGGCAATAAGTGCAAATTCTCTCATGATCGCAATGTGGAGCGAAAGGTCGAGAAGGTGAACATCTACGAAGATGCGAGAGATAAAGATGCGGACAAGAAAGAAGGTCAGTCTACGATAGTATTGTGACGCGGTGAGCAAAGCTGAGACAAGCTCAGATCTGATGGAGAATTGGGACGAGGATAAATTAAGAAAGGTCGTCAACCAGAATTCCATGAAACAGAAGATGACGACAGATGTGAGCTCAAGGCGTGTCCGCTGGACCAGCCAGCTCACAGTCTCAGATCGTTTGCAAGTACTTTGTCCAGGCAATCGAGGACAAGAAATATGGGTGGTTGTGAGTGGTTTCGGCTTGACATCGAACAGCGTTGACTAATTTCATCTCCTTAGTTGGGAATGCGTGAGTCCCAATCATTTATATTGGAGGCTAAAACCTCTCAGCCGAATGGGGGAGATAAATGCCATTACAGGCACGCTCTGCCACCAGGATTTGTTCTGAAATCAGAGAGGAAGGCTAAGGAAGAGCTAGACAAGAAGAATGAGATTTCTTTGGAAGACTTCTTAGAAGTGGAGGTGAGAGCACATGGCAATCGGCTCTGCAATCTTTCGCTGATCACCTGTGTCAGCGACATAAGCTCAAACCACCACTCACACCGGTCACAGCGGAGTCGTTCGCTCTATGGAAGAAGAACAGATTAGAAAAGAAGCAAGCTGAACAGGAGGCTATGGAGAAGGCAAAGGCCGTCCAAAGAGCTGCTGGAAAGCTGACAGGAATGACGGGTCGAGACATGTTCACGTTTGGAGGCGAGATATACGAAGACGAGGACGAGGGCGATGAGGATTGGGATATCTCGAGAATGTTGGCGAGATATGTGAGTGACCTGAAGTCTCCCATCAGTTTCGTTGCTCATGCTGGGAATCAGAGAGAGGAAGACGAGCGGCCAGAGGATGAGAACCAGCCGAATGAGGGGATTCGCGGGGACGATGAGGACGAGGCGGAGGAGGCGGCTAATGGAGTTGACAAATTATCAGTCAAGGGGGATTGAGAGCTCGGCAGTCAATCCATCGTCTTCTTGCTCCCTTGTTGCATTGAGCATAGTCTCACCATATCATACTGTATCATGCATCTCACATCGAGTCCTTCATACAGGCGATCCCGAGACAGGGGTGAATTTGCGGTGATTTTGCCACTTTTCGGAAGTCTGGCGCTTCGTCGACCAGCCAACGTCATTTGACCTTCACCTCGAGACGTCTAATCATCCAGCAGCCTCCTCCTCCTCCTTCTAGCCTCGCAACATTTTCCGCCATGTCAGAGATACAGAGCATATCAATCGTCTCCACACAAACTGTGGCTCAGCCGAAACCGCATACTACGTATACTGTGCAGGGTAAGTGCTGCCCTCCGAGGTTGATCCGAGATCCGTGACGACGCGGTGCACGGCGCGAATGCTTGGACAGGGGCTCAAAGCTGATACGAATTCCCAGTCACTACTCCTATGCGATCATGGACTGTCTCGAGACGATACAATGATTTTGTCGCGTTGAACGATGAGCTTCTGTCCTCTACAGGGAAGGCGCCTCCAGCCGCACTGCCTCCGAAGCATCCATGGTCCATCACTCGGAGCGCATACGATCAGAAGGTGGGCCATATGTCGATTATCAAAGCGTTATACTCATCTCATGCTCCCCTGTCCAGGTCATACGCGAACGAAAGGTCCTACTAGAGGCATACCTTCGGGCCATTCTGAACCACCGAGATCCCCGGTGGAGATCATCATACACCTATCTCGACTTTTTGGCCGCTCCAGCTGCCTCTTCGTCCTCTGTTCCTACCTCTTGGACCCCTTCCAACTGGTTGTCAGAGCATACGAACATCCAAGCCCAACTTCGTACGGCTCGATCAGCCCTCCTGAAACGCGATGCTCTGGCTGGGATGGGAGACGCACCTGGATCTCGTGGTGCCAGTGTGGAAGCGAAGAAGATGCTGAGGGATGTCGGAGAGAGGATCGATGCTCTCAGTCAAGCTCTGGGTGATATCTCGAAATCTATAGGTGAAGGCGAAAGAAAGAGGAGAGAAGAGATGATTGAAGGGTTGAAAAATGAACGAGGGGACTTGCAGAGGATGGCAGATGCTGGAGTGAGGACCATACGAGATATGGCGCCAAAAGCAGGCGAGACATCAGGTTTCGGCGCTGGAAGTCGGAACATGCCTGGATCCATCCCAAATGGCTCAGGCGCTGTCGGTCCCGCGCCTGGGAGAGTGTTTGGTCGACAACCTCCGCCAGAAGAGACCTCTGAGACCAGACCGCTGGATGATCGAGGTCTGCTTCAACTCCAACAGACCAAGATGGACGACCAAGATAGTCAGTTGGAAGAGCTAAGCAAGATTTTGCGACGACAGAGGAACATGGGAGAAGATATAGACCGAGAGATCAGGGATCAGAACGAGATCCTGGATGAGATCCAGACGGATGTGGACAAGGTCGGAGGCAAGATGGCGAGGGCTAAGCGACAGCTCAACAAGCTCAGCTGAGCCCCATGGCCTAGTCTCATGTTGTAATCTCTGCCCTTCACAACTTTAACGACCTATCTTTCATGCCATGATCACACGTTATGAATCCTTCGCTATTCCATATCTAGTCGCCTCCGTCCAACCCCAAGGTCTTGACGGCTTCCAGCGCGGCGACATTCTTCGCCATCTTCTTGTCCGCCCTGGTGCCAGAGCCGACATCTTCACCGTTGACCACGCAGCGGTACTCGTACAACATGCCGACCGTCGTCTCGTACACGGTCTCATGAAACTCAATCTTCCAACCCTGCAAAGAAGCATGGTGCTTGATGAACTTCAGCATCCCACGACTGGATTTATCGATTCGAGTACGTTCTTCTTCCTCCATGAAGCGCACCTCCCCGTCGGGTTCCACGCCCACTGCCCGGCTATGCTGCTCATGCTCCGATTTCATGTGCTCGAAGAAGAAATCGCACAGCGGATCGTACATCTCCCTCAGCCAGCCGTCGAGGACTGGCAGAGCTCGAGTGAATCTCTCTTCGGGAGGAAAAGAAAAGTACACTGCGGCGATGAATGCTTCCATGAGTGCGGCTCGGACGTCGGTCTGATTTCGCAAGACGGGCAGATTCCAAGCTTCGGCGTCCAGTCGCTGTGGGAGACCGTAAAGTCCAGAGAGGTGTGAGAGAGTTGCATTGGATACTAAGTGAGACTTGAGTTTCTGGTTTCGAATCAGCAACATGCCCATGCCGACCGACCTTGGGAGGGATTCACCGATGCAGTCCCGCAGGTTAGCAAAGGCTTCGTTTCATGAAGCCAAGTGGTGACTAACATGCCAAGTATGCTATCGCCGACGTGTTCGAGCTTTTCATAGTGAGTCGCTGGGTTATCCTCTGGTTCTTGAAACTTTCCCTTGACTTTGTCGAACTTGGAGTGGTGTACGAAAACTTGCTTACGAAGGCTTTCGTCCGTGATGAGAGGCAACGGTGGGAGCGGGTACACAGGAAGTCGCTCGACGGGGATGAGACAGTCTTTTGTTCCGGGCCGGAATTTCAATCGCTTTGAGGGAAGCGGAGTAGGTAGAGTGGCTATGAGCTTTGAGGAGGGTAGGGAAAAGGGAATTGTGTCTTCGACGGGAGAAATTGACTGCTCTTCGCTCAGAGGTTCTGCTTTCCTTTTACCCAGCTTCGCAGGGGATGGATCTCCGTTGTAAGCCGAGCGCGTATGATCGAAGGACTGATATTCAGAGCTCGAAGCAAAGAACGAGCTCGACTGCCTTTGAGGACCTTTGACATTGAGCCCCTTGGCCGTAGTGATAGGACCTGAGGCTACCAAGGTCTCAGGCATAGCTGGATTATGCTTGAAGGATGGTCCAGCTTGGATATTTGTCCCTCCCACGTCGTGACTCTTCGCCATAGCACAGATGTGTAGATCTTGAAGGAGATATATGACTCAGAGATAGAGCACCTGGACTGCGATACACGTCGCACGACTCAGTCAGTATTCGATGAGAGAAAGCAGAACACCGATACCAGGTGGTGGTCACCCAAAGTGGAGGCCTTGAGGTAAGAACGGAAGCAAATTTCTCCAGGAATCTTGGGATGGTTTCGACCATCTAGCTACACATTCTCGGCCTTCTTAGATTCTTCAGTCAGACAACCTGAACTCAACATGGCGTCCGACTCCCACAAGGGCCGACACCGGCCCATCAAGGAGGCTCTGGAGCCGATATCAAATCCATACATGTCTACACTGAACGACACGCTGCACATTGCCAAGGAGGTGGTCATGGGTTCTCTTCAGTCCGATTACAGACGTTCAGAGAGTGTCAGGATATTATCTGATTGTAGGGCGTTACCGAAGCTGGATAGCTGACTATCTTAGTGGCTCCAAGTCTCATGCAACCACGGATCATGGCTGCCGCTCAGAACTCGTCATCTGCTCGCGGTGTCGTCACTGCTCCTCCCCCTCGACCCAACGCGCTGCTCCGCCTGCCAACTTCGTTTCCGGCTGGGCTGACCGGTATACCCCCGCGTGCGACGTCCAACTCCCTGGCCATCCTTGAAGCGGTGGATCAGCTCACTCAAATGTCGCTGGACAGGTCTATCGGGCAAGAAGAGCATCCGTCTCTCATCCGTGGTTTCAGAGCTACTGTCCCGTCCTCCGAATTGCCCAAACAGAGACGGCGTCTGATACGAGGTGGGATGGTGGATGCCGATCTGGGGCTTGGATCCGAGAAGATGGGATTGAAGAGACTTGGCGATCGAGCTCGAGGATTATTAACAGACGGTGCGGACGATACTCCTGAGCCTTCTCGAAGACGTCGTCGGAGGCATAGAAGAGGCGGGTCTTTTGGTCGGCAGTCGCTCAAGTGGGAGGACTTGGTCAAACAAGCGGACGAGATTGCTCTAGATAAGGAGAATCTTCACGTCCGAACTGTGAGCAAGATACAGAAGCAGAGGCTGACCGCGATCTCAGTCCCTGATACACTCCGAGATCAACGAAGTGTCGGCCAAAATAGATACACTTGAGGAGATAAGGAGGCGACTCGAGGCATCCCTCCTTCGTCTTCAGGAAGAACGTCTTGAGCTCGATGACGAGCTAGAGGGTGTTCAAGAGCTTTTGTCGGACCCTAATGTCATGCGAGACGCGAAAACGATCTCCGCCATTGAGCATCAGGAAAACGGTACGCCAGTCAGGAGTTCGAGACGTCGTAAAGGCCCGGCATTCTTGCCTTCGGAGCACGATGAGCTGCCTCCGAACGTGGCGTTCATGACTATGCGAGCACACGAAGGTAGTGTGACCGCATTGGATTTCAATGAGCCCTATGGATTACTGGTGACCGGAGGAGACGACGGGAAGGCAAAAGTGTGGGATTTATGCGATGGTACGCAGATCGGAGAGCTCCGAGGTCATTTTGGAGCAGTCAAGGCATTACAAGTCGAGGATACACTCTGTCTGACTGGTGGGACGGATGGAAATATCAAGCTTTGGGATCTGCGAATTGTCGAGGAATACGAGGAGCGACGTCAAAAGTTTGCAAACGACGTCCCTGCGAGCCCTCTGAAGCCTATTAAAGAGATTGATGCGGAGGACGAGGGAGAGTTCTGGGACGAGGGACCGAGTCAATTCTCAATCACCTCGAATTTGACAACCTTGTCCCAGGTAGAAGACGAGGGACCATGTGTTAGGACGCTTGAGGGGCACAGTAAAGCTGTGACCGCGCTATACTACGAGGACAGGGTCTTGGTGAGATTTGTCGCCGATTGCAGCCCTAATGTTTTCTAGGTGACCGGCTCGCAAGACAAGACGATCCGGGTCTGGAGCGTCGAGACTGGCCGGTGCGAGATGACCATGGACCTGCTATCAGTCATGAGCAATCCGCCTGATCTTCAGCAAGTACAGACAAAACCCGGACTGTACCGCTCTTCCACCTCTTTCGGCGCCAATCACTATGATGATCTCTTGCCGTCCCCGTCTCTGATTGGACTCTCTGGCGCGAGCTTGCTGAGCGCAGCAACTAGTCAGACGTTCTCGGTGCCTACGCCAGTGTATAGTGATGGCTCTTGGAGGCAATATGAAGAATTCGTTTCGGGTCTGCAATCTTGGGGTTACGCGCTTGTCAGCGGATCGGGAGATGGAGCTGTGCGGATGTGGGATCGTGAGTGAGTAGAAGTATACATCTGACAGCCGCAGTGCGGAGTGGACAAGCCCATCGGACACTTTTGGCGCACAGCGCTCCTGTCACATGCCTGCAATTCGACGAAAATCATATCATCAGTGGCAGTTTAGACCGAACCATGAGGGTGAGTCTGACGATCAAGCTTGCCTGACATCCCAGATCTGGGACATCCGGACCGGTACCGTCATTGAGACGCATCGATACGAGTTCCCAGTTACGTCTCTAGGCTTTGACTCCCGTCGTGTACTGGCATGCACTGGAGAGCCGGGCATAGAAGTGAGCCGAACCAAACAGGGTCTTGTTCAATCTGACAAATCTGCCCAGCTGTATAATCGTACTTCTCACAAGCATCAACGACTGACGACCAATGGCCACACAAGTCCGGCCGAACGACTGAGATTCAGCGACCGTTACCTTGTATCTGGTGATCGTGGCGGAAGTATCAAAGCATGGGCATTATAGAGGAGGAACCCCAGTGTATGCATCAATACCGCATGGGCCCCAATGCCAAGCTCGCAATTGAGGAGCACTCGTCACCGTAGCGGATGTCCTCTACCATCCGCTCGTGTGGAACCGTGCATCGTAGTTCCAGGGCGATTCTTGTTCCGGTGAGAGTTCGATACGTCGTTCCGCCGGAGATGAGTATGAGAAAGGAGGCAAGCCAAAAGTGCTCAAAGGGACTGCAATAGTGTATAGTCTTGATCCAGAAATGCACGGCTCCGTGAGCACTTTGATCCAGGTCTTGCACTTGAGCCGGCACGCAGTGTCACACGAGTGTGCAAGGTACCCATTACGGCAAACCCGTAGGAAGAGGCTCCTCACCTTTCGGACCTACTCCCAATAAGGATGAGTGTCCAGCCTCCGTCTGACCAGGAGACAAATGTGCCTGACAGGAACCCTTCGTATGTCATCGCAAAGTCTACCTTTTTTGTGCGTGTCCCTTCGTCGGATGCTGAAGGACTCACCTTGTGTGTGCGGGGACACTCGTACACTGCAGAAAGGGACGACCTTTTTGATAGCGGACAATCTTTGTGGCAGAATGGATACATACCTTTCAAAGGTCAATTGACGGATTTGAAAGTCAAGGATCAACGGTAAGATGGCAACGAGCAAAGGTATAAGAAGGAACGAAGGACTTTCTTGCTCCGATGCCTGAAGGTACTCGACACCTGTGCTCTCACATCCGTTTCACGCCACACTGCTCACCTCAGTCTTGCCCTCACCATGTGCCACTCTTCACCGACTATATCTATCTTCGCAGCGGGTCTATCAGCCTCTGCAGTGGTTGTTTACCTCACACATATCTGGTCATTCGACCGAGGTAGGTGTCTACTCTTCACTCGCCGAGATGCCTTTCGATGGGTCATGTGTTGGCTTCTTGGGTTACTCAATCTTGGAACGCTATGTCAAGTATACAGAGGGCTTCATCCCCATCCCGGGGATGGGCATTGAGCCGAAGCCGTACCTCTTGGTGAGTCACCTGGTCAGATACGATATGAGGCTGATAGAGGATAACAGTGGGGGTCCCGCTTGACTAGGATCTATAGGGTCTCCATCTGGATGACCGTCTTTGCCTTTTCCGCCATGAGTGCTGTACACCTGGAGGAGATTCTCTACTGGGTGAGCATCCATAGATTCCGCCCCAATCTTATGAACAGGTGTACATGATCCGAGCTTGCCGCAAGAATGGCTCTGCCCATTGGTTTCAGACCATCTGGTTCAAAATTTGGGTTGCTGGATCGGTGATCTGTACGGGTATCTTCTTTGGCTGTACAGGGATCAATCCAGACTTTGCAAAAGCAGGCTAAACGTCCTTTGTCTTCGACTTGGTACTAGACTTGGTACTGACAGCTAGCAGATCGAAACCAATCTATACCTGTCTGCGTCGCTTGTGTCGCTTGTACTGGTTGTCGGCTCCGGTTGGACATCATACCTCTTCCCGCAATTCATTGCTGAGGCTGTGAGCGGCAGTTTTGTGTCTTGGCCGACGTGGCAGCGACGACTGGGCGCCAATCAGGACGTTCTTGGTCGTTTGTTGTATGTCAACGGTGAGCCGATCCCGAACAGCTCGCAGACTCACAATCAGTGCTCAACAATCTCCGAACAACCTTCCGCGTGGCTTATGTTGTCATTCTCCTTACGCTATCGGTCGACGGCTTGACAGAGGCGCAAAAGGTAGGCCGTGGCGCGCGAGGAGTGAGTGACTGATCGACCGGCAGATCAACAACAATCGCTTCGCCCTTGATGTACTAATGATCGCTGGATAGTGGGTAATCAGCCGCCTGGCTCAGTACGCTGACGTCTTATCAGCTTCAGCATCTTCGCAGCCGAGACCATCTCGCTCTGGGTGAGTTGCTTGCTCCCTTCGAGTCCACTGATTGTGTTAGGTCCTCCTACCCCGCAAGAGTGCCCAGGCGTCGAAGCAGGCCCAGTCGCAAGCCTCCGTTCGTCTGGCGGGACCTCGACCCGGCAATGTCATAGACAGGACCGGGGTCGACGACGCCCAAACGGCAAGTGCATGGGACGCTCTGGGAGATCGACTCAACTTGGAGCGAGACCAAGTGTCAGAGTTCAATCCCGAGAGCGCCATGTCTATCAAGGATCTCGACCATCTCTCCGCACCGCCTCTACCCAAGGGACCTGGTGTTCGGAATGGAAGAGGTATAACCTCTCCACTCGGCGTCCGCTTCTCCAAAGAGAGTAAGCAGACTAAGCGGCAGGATCAAGAGGCACCGTTCCCCACTCGGGGTCAGAATGGTATCGAGGCGATGGAGATGGATCGCCTGAATCTCCCTCAGGCATTGAGAGATTTTGGCGGTCCAATCAATATCAAGACCAGTACAGGTGAGTCTGTCAGAGGTGATCTGTTAGGCTGACAAGATTCAGATGCAAGAGATTTGCAGGTCGTGATCACGAATGAGGTCGTCCGGGAATCTTAGATCCTCTTGATCGTCGCTGTGCGATGTATATGTGATCGGCGAGCCGTCAGTCATTCCTCGGCAGTAGGATTCTGTGCTCGGCCTAGTCGTGTAGGGTTCGAGTCGTATACGCCGTACGGTAAAATGTAACGGTTGCATGCAATAATGTACCGAAACGTCCCTATTCAAGCAAGAAAAAAAGATCATTGTCCGTGCCTGCACGAGCGAGGGGGTTCATATCTACGTGGTCGAGGTCGTGCCAGGAGGTTCGAAACCTCATGACGAGATCGCAAAGTAGTTGTAGTTGTAGAGCTCAGGCGTCAGAGTCCAGTCGAAACCTGTCGACTCGACACTGGCGACGACCTGTCCACCCCTCGAGATTGATCCACCCATCGCTCCGGGCGCCGAGGGAATCTTCAGCTTGTTCAACCCTGCGGGAACCTGGAAGGTTTGCGAGGTGGAACCGGCAGTCAGTGTGACTGAACCCGGAGCCGTCATGAGGGCAATAGCGTAGAGATTGTCGTCCGTGTTCTCCGTACCGGCTGGTTTGCCTGCTGGATCGTTGGGGCAGTTGGCGTCGGCCGCGTGTGGTCGTTGCCAGAGCAAGACTTGGTCTTTAGTGATGTCTGGGTAGGAACCAGTCTTGAAAGCGGTAGAATAGTATTGAGTCAGAGTGGACAAGACGGTGTGGTCGAATCCATTGACCCATTGACCCGAGTTGGCAGGAAGAGCACCATCGATGGGTCCAATGTAAGAAGACTCGCCATAGTCGTTCCAGGTAAGAATTTCAGTCATTTTGACTTGAGATCTCATGCTGATGACTTGTTCCCATCGAGTGGCGTAAAGCCAATCATCGCTTCGGTAGAGCCAGTTCTTGTTCCACGAGTTGGCTCCAAAGTGGGTGAAGAAGAAGGGAGAGATAGCAGGCATGTATGCCTTGGACCCGAGGGCGCTCATGTATTGGACATCGCTGGCCGTGGTCAAGTCCTGACCGCCCATTGGCCATCCAGAGTTCCAGTTCAATTCACCATCGAGCCAAGATGTAGAGGCAAAGGTGCTGGGGTCGGAGAAAATGGAGGGGACGAAGAAGATGTCAACACCGTCCTGAGTGAGAGCATCGACGAATTGAGTTTGCCATGCGTTGGAGGAGCCAGATCCAAAGGTACAGTCTGATCCGGCAAAGGTGGAGACGAGTACCTGGCCCTCGAACTTGGCCTGAGCGGAAGACGAAGCGTATGTCTTGACGAGGTTGACGAGGTCCTGAGCATCAGATGCGGAGCTACAGCTCAACGACGTCATGTCAAGGGAGAGGAAGAGTTTGAAGTTTCCGGCGGCTTCAGCGGCGGCATAGGCATTGGTGACTTGAGGAGGCTGCCACGAATCACTTCCCATGTTTAGCGCAAAACCGTCGATGCCTTGGGCAGCAGCGGCGGCGACATCGGCGGCCCATTTGGACTGATCGTAGGGATAGGTGTTTCCAACCATAAAGTGGGCGAAAACTTGGTGATCGTCTGGGGTAGATGAAGGCTGCGTCGAGGTGCTGGAGGGGGAGGAAGTGGTGCTAGAGGCGGTCGGAGAAGCTGAAGCTCCACCTGATCCAGCAGCACTTGTTGGCTTGACAATGAAGACGCCGCTTGTCGTGCCGGTTGTGCCAGCCGAGCTAGTTGGCGCTGCGCACCCTGAACTTCCCTTGACAAGCTCGAAGAGATCGAGACCCCATTCTCCCCCACACATTTCAGTCGCGTCTCCAGTGCAAGGCATGCTGCAGAGAGTGTCATTGTAGGTGATGGCGGTAGGGACCGAATTGCCACAGAAACATTGTGCTCCGTATTCAACTCCGGCGAATGAGAATCCTTGATCCTCACACCAGGTGAGACAGTCATCCACAGTCAGAGCCTGCTCCGTAAGCTTTGAGGCTCCAGTGAGAATACGAGTCGCCGAGTCGACAGCACATCCGAGAACATACCATTCGGACGAATCCTCCTGGTCTTCATGAGTTGGCAGAGTGCTCGTTGGACTCGGCGACGACGTGGTGGACCCTGTCATGGACACAGAGGAGGTCGACATGACGCCAGTGCCTGTTGAGATGACGCCAGTGCCTGTTGAGATGACGCCAGTGCCCGTTGAGATGACGCCAGTGCCCGTTGAGATGACGCCAGTGCCTATTGACGTAGACGTGAGGGAGATTGAGACCGAAGCGGTAGGCATGAGACTTGTGGACGACACGGTATTGCCGGTGATATTCGGAAGCCCAGAGGTCTCATGGATCCCAGGCCCAACACCATAACCAGGCAGACATCCAGGAATGGCACTGGCATTGAAAGAGTACATCGAGAGAAGCCAATTGGCACCACAGGTGGCACTCGATTCACCAAAACAAAGCTCGGTACAATAGCCATCACCAGTGACCTGACCACCGCTGCCCAGGAACTCGTTGCCACAGAAGCACTGGTAGCGTCAGCAATGTCACGAGTCGATATGGCCCACCTCATCACCAGCTTCTGTACCCCCAAATTTGTATCCCATTTTCGCGCATTGGTTCAGACACATGTCGGTACTCATTGACATGGAAGAAAATGCAAAGCCTTGCAGCAGACGTTGTCCCTTCGACTCGGTGAGGCATCCGTAGTACTCCCAACCAACGGGCAGAGACGAATCACGTTTGGAAGGAAGAGGAGGTGGTTTGGTCTGGAAATGGTCAGCTGAGAGATTTTGCGGGACGCACCAATCCCCATTCTGTGCCATAGTAGAATCTTCCAATGAGGTTCTGCACCGAGCGTTTGGACGCCGAGAGGAGGTTGGCAATATTGGGAGGAGCGTGATGACCAGGAGGGAGGAAAGGTTTAGCCTCGGACACACCAGCAGTAGCTGCAAGCAGCCACACTAGTGAGGCCGAAGGGGAGATATGGACCATGGTCCACTGAATTGATTTTGATAGATTTGGGGGAGGTTAGAGGTGGCTTGAATCGGTCCTAGCTAGCTAGAAGACCGTAGAGAGAGCTGCAACGAGGGAAAAGAGAGTGAGGCCGTCGAGGCTGTGAGAGCACCTGGCTCAAAAGAGAGTGAAGAAATTGAACGAAGGGGACAAGTCGATCCACGACTGAATGAAGGATGATGGTTGGACGAATGATAGAAAGAGATGAGCACGATCCACTTTACTCTACACCGTCCGTCGAGCAACATCGCGGTCCTGTACAATCGAGTCTTGACGGCATGGCGCACCGTCTGCCGTGTGCCTTGCTCTCTCTCTCTCTCTCTCTCTCTCTCTCTCTCTCTCTCTCTGTGTCTATCTGCCTCAAAACTATATGACGCGCCGAGCCCTACTGAAGCGTCTTGCTCTGCTCATGCTCATGATTCAGGTGTGTGGTACTCAGGAAACCGAGCATGAGGGTTATGACACCCTCATGAACCTTGTACGAGGCGTCTCTGGATTCATGCAGGTGGACTCTCCAGAATAGATGAAGGGAAAAAAAATTCATACACGCCCTCGCATCGCTTTCCGGGCAGTTCGCGTTTCTATTTTTCGCCACCTTCGTCCACGAGATTAAAAAAAAAAGGCAGTCTCGTCAATTGGGTCATGTTTACAATGGCGTTTCCACTCATATGGACGCGGTCAAGGGTGTACAACAATCACAGATCTCATATATGCATGAGCGAGGGACCCAGGCACAGCTGCGGTCCAATTCTGGAACCGGTTAGATGGCTGGATGGCTGGCTGGCTGGCTGGGTCCACTGAGCAGAACATGAAAGAAAGAGAGAGAGCGGTCGACGCGTCGAGTTGTCCGGGGAAAACAACGCGGATTATGTAAACGTGTCTTGGCCTTTTAATGTGCCTGGACGATCACAAAAGGTGAGTGAGTCACCAGAGGAGGAGACTTGAAAGTGCAGCGTGACATCGGTGGTGTTGTAGATAGAGCATTTCGCAAGAGGCTGAAACGGGCACAAGTGTTTGTTCGCAGGTATGCCACCGTGAATCAGGCAAAATTGCACGTCTATCGCTAGAGGCTGGTCAATCCGGCCAGGGTGACAGGCGAGGTCACTATGAGGAATGCTTCTGTGCTACTGAGACGCGAGACCGTCTTTCGCAGATACAGCCGCACGATCACCAATATTCTGTAAACGTGGCTGAGACCTTGCAAGCTGTTCCTTTGACTCGACTCCTCCGGGTCTGATACGCGGAGAACCATGATCCTTTCTACTGACCAGAGCGCAACTGGCCGTGACAACACGTCTGTCGGCCTCCAAAATGACTTGTGAAGCCTGTCAATCGTGTCAACCTTGATCCTGCGAATCGTCTTCCGCCTCTTGCTGTCAGTATACGTCGTCTCGCTCTGCTTGGCTCAAATGACAGCTCTGACCACGACTACTAATCCAGCCTTGGTTTCAACGACTGTCAATCTTCCCAGTGCGAGTGACATCTCACCATCAGGAAACGCGAGCTGCTCTTTCTCTGGCGATGTAGGGTGAGTCCATTCTCATGACTGGTTCACTGAGAGCGCAGCGACTATCTGTCATGTGCACGAGGTCAAGACTCCACTACGACCCTTGTAGCTGCCGCGTTGGGCGTCACAGTCGGTATTTGCCTACTCGTAGGTCTTTGCGTGTACATGTGTCACAAGTCACGCCGGAAGCAAGCCCTGGCCAGAGATCCGCCAAGCGTGGGGGATCGTACAAGGAATCCAGACAAGCAAGGGGGGTACGGCGATTCTGACGAAGACCTGCTGGAGAAAAGTATCAAGTTTGTCAAACCCTCTCGAGGACCGCTACCTCCAGGTCTCGCTCTCGTTCAACGTCATCCGGATTCGCCTGTCGATATACAGCACGGACGGACCTTGTACTTGTCGAATCCCTCTCCTGCACCTCGACACCTTGCTGGTAGCCGACCCGCATCGAGACCCAGAACAGCGTACCAACGAGAACAGCGTGTGTCTCGTGCTCTCGATCCTCGACGCCCATCCCAGCTCCCTCCTTATGAGCCCCCTACAAGGGGACCTCCACCAACTGTTCCCGAAAAGTCGAGGCCCAAGCCGACAGAGCATAGTCGAGCAACCTTTGGTGCTCAGCCAGCGCCAGATGTTGCAGTCAGCAAGATGGCGCCGGTGGGCCCGATGGGAGAGATAGCTTATCTAGGCCGATCGCCAAGTCAGTTCTCTGCGAAACCGCTCAACATCCGTAAATCATCCGCTCCAAACGTCTACGGCCGGCCTAGACCACCTCCTGACGATCCTCCTCCAGCTTTGCCTCACAGTACATCACTGCCCACCGTACCGGTGGTAGCTGTTGACAAAGCTCTTCCTCAATCCGCCACCATCCCGCCTTCCCCTGAATCCCTTCCCCAGACTCATCAGATCGCAACCGTATCTATGACTCAACATTCAGTGGACGCATTCTTAACAGTCGAGACAGAAGATCCTACGTTGGCCCCGCGTCGTAGTGTCGCGGCGGAATATAGCATTCCGAGCTATTACGAGCCGGCCAGACAGACGATCCACGATACCGTCAACTCTAGAGCGCCGAGCACTTATGTCCCTCGAAGCCGGAGTGGAAGTGTAGACGTTTTGCCAAAGATGCCGGTCCGAGAGCCGCTCGTTATGCCGCTGAGGACGGATAACCGACACCTCCCAGAGCGATCTCAGACGACTCAGGATTCGATGCCTCGACGAATCTCGAGACGGTCAATAAATGCTCCTAGTCAGCTCGGATACAGCAGCGCGCCGACTGAACCTGTTCCCCTCGTGCCTGCAGGCCAGAGCGACATCAAGCTCGACCCTTCTGAAGCACACGAGGGGTCCGCTGAAGCGTCAAGCGCTAGCATTCCTCCCTCACGAGTGGACAAGCACGGTCATCTGGCACAGCGACCCGTCGTACCGAGAGCCGAAACTTCCACCGGTGATCTTTTCGTAGATGCTTTGGAGAACCTGGATCCAGACTCAGACAGTGAGTCGATGTCGAAACCCCGGCACGGGCGTTCGGTCCATACTGTACCTCAACGTAGTCCATCAGTCGATAGAGGAGGATTGATATAAGGTGTATTCCAAGTGTATGCAGAATGTTACATGCTCTACACGACACCAGCAGACTTCATCCTGGAGATGAGCTCGTCCACGCTTTCCACCTGCAATCGTCAGCGAGTGGATCGAGGCGTGACTCACCTTCTGCCCTCCTTGTCGTACTGGTGGTTCTGACACGGAAATAGTCTCCATTCTTGGTTTCTGGTATGTCAGACAAAATGCCTGTGAGACAACTTACAAAGTCCAGACCCAGATCCTCAGGCTTGAAGGACTCGATCTTCTTCTTCTTCGCCTTCATGATATTTGGGAGTGTCGCAAAGCGCGGTTCTGAGGTTCAGCATGTTCCACTGAAGACAAACTCACCGTTCAATCTCAGATCCGTGGTGACAATAACTGGCAACTTTGTCTCCAATTTTTCCAAACCTCCGTCAATCTCCCTCGTGACCTTTACAGCGCCACTGGACTCAACTTCCAGCTTACTGGCAAAGCTAGCCTGACTCCATCCCAACATACCAGCCAACATTCCTCCCGTACTTCCTGAATCATCATCGATCGCCTGCTTGCCCATGATGATGAGGTCGTACTTGTTCTTCTCGACCACGGCCTTCAAGGCATGCGCGACGGAAACGGGCTCGACAGTAACGTTTTCAGGGGTGGTGATGTGAATACCGGTGTCGGCTCCCATCGCCAAGGCTGTACGGATGGTGTCTACCGATTTGGCAGGGCCAATGGAGACTGCAGTGATGGATTCCACCAGCTCTTTGGACCTCTCCCTGAGCTTGATGGCTTCTTCGACGGCTGGTTTGGGCGTACGAGAAGGCGATCAAGGCACAACGAATCAAGAGCGATTGGGTAGGGAACGAGCAAATCAGTAATGAATCACCGAGTTTCAAAGGCATTCCATCTCACCGATCTCGTCGAAGGGATTCTATTTTTTTCTTCAGCGAGGCAATGATTTGGGACTTGACTCACCATCGAATGCTTCACCGAAGTGTCTACACCCTTCTGGTCAGAAGCTACTCGGATTTTACTGTGATGCAGCGTGAGCAATCGCCGGTAGGGAGCGGCATGACCCACACTGCATAGTCGATGGACCGTTTGACAGGGACCAGGATATGGATCAGAGATGGCAATGTTGGTCTCATGATGGTGACGGTAAGACTGCTTTGACGTCTCGCTCGAGTTTCAGCCAAAGAATCGTCGTAGATGCAGGAGGTCAAGCAATAGCAGCAGAGGCAGCAATAGCAGCAGCAGCCGTTCTCTATCGGCTCGGAACCAGCATCCGAGAAATCGGGTCACGCTTAACAAAATCAGTTGATAACTACTGACCCATATCATTTTTGCCACGTCATCCATGATGATACGTGTCTCTCTCTCTTGCTGCATCGTCATTGAGGTGATCGATAGGGTGGAATTCTGCATACTATCTCGGTCGAAATCTTTCAAAACGGACGACCTGGATCTATATTCTCAGTTGGGGACAGCAAAATGACTCGGACATCCCATCGAGCTCATCCGACGACTTCATTCCCGGTCTACTGTCTTGATTGGGCAGACGATCAGACCCTGTTGATGGGCGGTGGAGGAGGAGCGAGCCGGAGTGGCATTGAGAACAAGCTGGTGCGTCAAGCGGGGTGTTTCCCTGCTAATTAGGACACAGAAAGCATGCAAAGTGTCCAAGGACGGGCGCAATGTCAAATACACAACAGAGCTGAGACTGAGCAGCGAGGAAGACGCCCCAATGACCATGGCAGTGGATAGAAAGGTAGGCGGATGGATTTCGTGGCTTGCTCGAGCTAATAGGACAGTCTGGTCAACTGGTGACTGGGATCAATTCTGCCGAGGCTTCTGTCAAAGCTGGGAGTAATGAACACTGTCGGGTCTATTCGTACCAGGACGAGTGAGCCGCGTCGTCAGGCAGGAAGGCTGATGCCTAGATTTGCTCTGGTCCGAGGTCGAAAGACAATAGAAGCGGAATGGTCGGACGATTATCCTTATCAAGTGGGTCTGCTCGCATCTTGCGCGACTAATCATCAGAAAATAACCTGTCTGTCGCCGTCATTCGAGTTTGTAGCTGTCGGCACGACGACAAATAGTGGCACGGAGGGTCAGGTGGCAATACTGCGGTTCCCAGAGCTCGAGCCAGTCCATGTCTTGAGACCGGACGGAGAGCTCGTGGATGTGGACTGGGGCGGTGCGGATGGTGACTGGGTAAGGTGGTATTCATCGACACCAGCTGATAGACAGTTGGCCATCACTACAACCTCAGCTTTACTCCTGTATCGAGTGAAGGAGGGCGAAAAGTCTGACCGAAAGTTCGAGCTCAAACAGACCATTTCTCCGCCGAGTTTAGACGCAAACCCAGTCATATATCGCTCCGCAAGGTGAGGTATTACATCCATTCCATCCTGACGCCTCAAGATTTTCTCAGGACTCCATTCTCCATGCCATTCTCAACGTATCCAAAGTGAAGAATCGGGGAGCTCCGAAAAAGTCTTTTGTTGTGAACTATGGCCTCGCACCACTGCCCGAGGATGGCAAGGGCAAGGAGAAAGCTACAGACTTGGATCAATGGGACATCATCACCCGCAGGGAAGTGGCGTCCAAGCAGATTACCGTCTTCGACGTTAGGTGAGCAAACACTTGGGTGCAAGCGATTGACGGTATCAGCGGGAATGGCAAATTACTGGCGTATGGTTGTGCCGATCTCTCAGTTGGCATTCTCGATGCCAAGACGCTCTCGGTGAGGCTGCAAAATGTCTCTTGTGTCTGACGCGTTTGCCTAGCCCCTTCTCAAGATCCTTCATGCACATTCCTTTCCTCCCACAGCGTTGCGGTTCAACCCATCCGCCACTCTGCTCGTCTCGGCCAGTGCTGACCATACTATCCGCGCTATTGTCGTTCCGGCTTCATTTGACGGACGTGAGTGCCTCAAGCTATGCCAGGGCTGATCCATCAAGTCTCCATGACAGTCATATTGCTTGTTGCCCTGCTGACCTTGATACTGGCGCTGCTGTTAAGGAGATGAGTCAATATCAGAAATTGCTTCCGTCCCCGTTGTTCCATGCATTTTGATGTCCTCGTCACCCTCAATCAACTCTTGACTCTCGAGAGGTACACTTATGGCGACATCTTGTCTTTGCGCCCGAGTCCGTTCAGCTGACCCATTCGGCTCGACTGCTATGGACGATCACCGTATGAAATTGGCATATGAGCGATAAAGGCAAAGAGCGCGCTTCACCTGAGCTCGCGAAGGAGGTCGCCTCGCAGATTCATTCATTACATGAAGATGAGAGCGACGAAGAGTATTTGGCACAAAATTGTGAGAGGAAGCCATCAGCAACTCTACTGACACTACAGACGAGACACAAAGACAACGTCGTATCCTGGAGAATCAGCTTCTGCTCACCACTCTGGGTTTCTCGTCATCTACCACGCGCATAACGACCTCTACAGCATCCCCGACTCGACTGGTTCAGCGGAAGAAACGCCCAGGGGTCGTCTACGATCGGTCTGGGCACGTAATATCTCGACCTTTGGGAGATGAAAAGCACACGATGGCGTGTGTGGAGATACCGCCCGATAGGCAATTGACGAGACGAATTCAAGCTGGAGAATATCAGGATTGCTCACATTGGGCGGAGGGGGAGGATAGACGGTGGCGATTCGGCTTAGGTCGAGGTGGGAAAGTGAGGCACGAGGAGCCGCGAGAGGTCGGTGGTGTTGGGGAAAGCTTCAGGTGGAGAGTATGGCGGGGACTCGACAAAGAGTTAAGAAAGGAAATGAGAAAGAGGGGTTTGCTCAATGAGATTGATCAACGGCCCGTCCAATCAGAGGACGGTCAAGTCTCTGCGTACTCGGTGAGACAAGGACATTCCAAGATCAGTCATATAGGCGGAGTCGCTGACCCTGCTCCAGGACCTTCCAGGCGCAGCCTGCCATCAATGTCGACGCAAATCTGAAAAGCTAAAAATGCAATGTCGGAACGTTGATCCATTGTGTCGAGCGCTTTTTTGCGAGACTTGCTGCCAGAGGTGAGTGCGAATGGATTTTTTCTCAGATCGAGCCTTTGTGTCATGGACCATCCTTTGACGCCTGATCCACGTAGGTATAGCTATTTCTCCTTTGACCCAGAGTCTCGCTCCTTCATCTGTCCCCTCTGCCGAGACTGTTGCAATTGCTCCAATTGTATTCGTAAACGACACCTCGGACACCTCTTACCGTCAGCAGGAAAAGGCGGTCGTTCCAAATCGCTTCGTCATACTGTTCGAGAGCAAGGTCACGAAGGTATGACGGTACAGGCCTGGATTGACAAGGCCACGGAAGAGAGGGTTGGAATCCCATTCGACCGAGTCAGGCTCGTTGATCGCGACATGGACGTCATTTCACCATACATCGAGCCTGAGCTTAAGCTTCAACCAGAAACAACGCCAAAGAAGCGCAAACAGAGCAAGCAAAGACAGACGAAGAAACATAAGAAAAAGAAGGAATCGGAGCGAGAGGACGAGGACGGTGTGACGATTGCAGAGAATGGAGGAGAGGGCGAGAATCGTCCTGTTGTGCTTCGATTCAAGGTTCCAGGTGACCCTGCAGCCAGAGAGCGAGTCAAAGAGGTCGACTCGGATGGCGATACCATTGATCATTGGTCCGGCGACGAGAGCGAGACTTCCCTCACTCCTCTGTCGGATACTTTATCCCCCGTCCCTCCTCGACTTGCGTTCCCGCCACGACCTGTATTTTGGGACAACATCGAACCTCCCCAAATCCCCGTGTCCATTCACAATTCGCCCAGCCCTCCATCAGACTCAAGCGAGACTGTCAAACGACGTCGACGTCCACCTCCACCCATGGCCAACATCGTCCGAGCGCCTAGACATGCTCAAAAGGAACAGCCTCTCCCTCAGTGGCATATCCCTCCTCAACAAGCGATGCTGTACGACACAATCAAACCAGGTCAATTGATACCACAAACACTCGATTTTATGGGTTCACCTGATGACTTGGATGTGCTAGAGAATGCGACGAGATTGGCGGATGAGACGGTGATGCTGAATGGGAATAGATTGGCTAGTCAAAGTGTCTAGACATGTCCCAGAGTCCCCGTTGCATGTATACAGTCACTCGCGTTCGTACATAGTTGCCGAACTCACCGTCGCCACTCGGAAATGCCAACTGCCTCGTCATTTCGGTTGAATGTTGACAATATACCGATCCACTGTGTCTATGCCTTGCTTGCTCAACACAATGCCATGAGCTAGGAGACAGCAGGATGGGTAATATCTCATCCATGGCCAGAGCGTGAGCTACTTTGATGATGGATGTCTTGGCTGATTCAAACCCAGCTCGACAGCTCTGGACTCTTATGTTGCGGAACTGGGAAATGATATTTCATACGAGAAGAGGCGAGCTCGCATTGCTAGGTGCCGACTGACTATGGTACAGTCTGTCATCGTCCAGATTTCTCAAGTCTATCCTGGCTCGACATGCGTACGGTCCGCTCGTGCTCAAAATCTTCATAAAGCCAGACGCGACCATGTCATTGAGGGTCATTCAGCGTCGACTGAAAGGTGCGTATAACAGATTATATAGCTGATATCTTTGCAGCTGAACGAGATGCTCTTGCCGACCTCGGAAGTGTCAATACGTATCAGGCATTTGTGGAGACGGAGAAAGCTGGATATCTGATACGTCAGTGGGTCGGAGCGAAATTGTATGACCGCGTCAGGTGAGCCATCCTCACCATACATTGGCTGAAAAACAGCACGCAGCCGTACCTCTCTCTGATCGAAAAGAAGTGGATCGCCTATCAACTGTTGACTGCACTGCGAGACTCCCGGGCGAAGAAGGTATAGCCGATATCAGAAGCAATGGCTGACTTAGCAGGTCGCCCATGGCGATATCAAGTCTGAAAACATCCTCATTCTGTCCGACTTGACGCTTTTGTTGACCGACTTTTCATCATCCTTTAAACCGACCTTCTTGCCGCTGGATGACCCTTCCGACTTCTCATTCTTCTTTGATACGTCTTCTCGTCGGACATGCTACGTTGCGCCGGAGAGGTTTTACGCTTCAGATTCCAAGAGGGCGCAAGAGAAGAGAGCTGCAGCTACGGCCGTGACGGATGAATCGTGGGGGAAAAGAGATGGCAAAGTCACAGAAGAGATGGATGTCTTCAGTGCTGGCTGTGTCATTGCCGAAATGTGGACGGATGGAAGGACAGTGTTCAATTTGAGCGAGCTGTTTGCCTACCGAGATGGATCCCTCGGGCTCGATGGGATCTTGGACAACATTGAGGATGCCAGCGTCAAAGTGAGTAATGACGCTTGGAGCCCCCTTTACTAATGAGACAGACTATGATCAGTCAGATGTTGTCACTGGACCCGGCTGCCCGACCTTCGTTTGATCACATCCTCGCAACATATCGAGAGACCATCTTTCCCGAGTACTTTTACACCTTTCTCAAGGATTACGTCTCATCCTTATCCGAGCACACCGAGCAATCGGATCTTCCATTTTTACAGAGGGTCTCCCCTCTCCCGGGGACAAAGATTGACAGACTACTGGAGGAATGGGATTCCATATCAGTCTACTTGAACGGAGAACCCGATGGTCCAGCTCTACTACTACTCAACTCGGTCACCTCGTCGATTCGAAACTGTCTCTGGCCTTCATCTCGCCTCCATGGTCTACAACTATTTCTCAACCTCCTACCATTCATCTCAGATGAAGACAAGGTGGATCGTATCGTACCGTTTGTCGCAGACCTACTCACGGACGACGTGGCTATCGTCAGAGCGGAGGCTTGTCGTACCATGGGCATCATCGTGAGTGTGCCTTGAGCTGGAGGAGGCTAATAGGCCAGGTCGAATCTGTCACATCTATAACGCCTCACAACGCTACGTTTATTCCAGAATATCTGTTGCCCCAGATGCGGCACCTCGCGACAGATCCAGATGTCTTTGTTCGGGCTACATGTGCAAGAGGGCTTGTTAGGATTGCCGACGCGGCTGTTCGTATGCTCGAGATGAGCCAAGCTGCCAAGTCGACACGGCAGGAGGAAGTCGGCGTGGTGGAGGTGAGTCGCATGTCCCCTGACGAGACACTGATGTCAGCCCGACTACGACTCAATGTTACACGAGATCCAGTCGGTAGTTGAGGAACAAGCGACGACACTCCTAGTTGATCCGACTTCCGCTGTCAAGCGCTCCATGTTGTCAGACATTGCCGGCCTGTGCCTTTTCTTTGGCCGTCAAAAATCGTCAGAGACTGTCCTGAGCCACATCATGACCTATCTGAACGATCGGGATTGGCTCTTGCGGCTGGCCTTCTTCGACGGCATCGTGGGTGTGGGCGCATTCATTGGTATCCGGGCTATCGAGGAATACGTACTCCCGTTGATGCTCCAGGCGCTGGCTGGTGAGTCGCCCTCAAAGCAATCTAGCTGACACGCCAGATCCGGAAGAGGCGGTTGTCGCTCGAGTCATCACCGCTCTCACAAGTCTCTCGTCCTTGCGTCTCCTACCGAGGATGCGGATATGGGACGTCTTCTTCAGCACCTATGGCTTCCTGTGTCATCCAAACATCTGGATTAGACAAGGGACCGCTGGTTTCATTGCCTCCGCCTCCAAAAACCTGCCTTCTTCTGATGTCTGGTGCATTCTCTACCCTGCCCTGAGGACGCTGCTAGAATCAGATATACTGGAGGTCGATGAGGCGTCCATCTTGTCCTCTGTGCTCGAGCCTGTGGGTCTGCACGCGATTCGCCTGACTGACGATCAGCTTTCACGCGCAACACTAGTCGCTGCAAAGGCGGCTGCATTGGCAGACTCACCTCGAGGGTTTTGGACGATTAAAAACGAACCCAATATTAAGGCTGCTGTTGTCAGACTCGCCAGTGCTACGCTGCCTGAAGGGTATGCTAATGGACTAGGACATGTGCTGATATCAGGTTGATCAAGGGTATCTCAGCCAAGGATGAAACCAAAGTGGTTGCGATGAAAGAATTCATCATCAAACAAGCACATGCTACTCGAGCGTGGGTCCGGTCCCTAGAATTCGGCTGATTGACTAGTCGCGAGATGACCGGAGAGATTGCGGAAAATGTCCTGTCCTCGGGCAAATCCGTGTCCCTCACAGATCTCGGTGTCACTCCTCAGACCATTTTCATCAGTCCTCGGACGGTGCGTGTCGACGCCAAGAGCGATCTAAAACGGTTACGGCCCTTTCTCGCCGAATCTTCCAGCCGTCGGACGTCATTCACGAATCGCAGCGCCAAAGAAAATCCCATCGATGAGATACGGAAGCGTTTGGCTTTCATGGAGACGGCTGTGCCTGCCGAGGCGATTGTCGAGAGCACAGAGAGTCCTTCGGAGTCGGGGCTGTCTTCAACGATTGATGTGAAACCCGGCAGCAGGAAGCGGCTCGACTCAAAAGCTCTGCCTGCCATCGGAGCGTCCCATACTACTGTTACGGGCCTGACATCGATCCATGATGACGCGATGTCAGGCAGAGCTACTCCAATGGCGGACAATCCCACATACGCAAGCTCGTATGAAGGCCCCGATCCGGGATTGCGCGCGTTCCTCGAGCAGGTGGATCTGGAAAACTACAGAGAGCCTCTACTGGATTTCGGGCCAAAAGTGTCGGCGAATCAACGCAAGCGTGCGCCTCGGCCCAAATCAACATCTGCTACCCCAGGCGTGACCATGATTGGACATCTCACACAGCACACTGGTCCCATCACTGCCATCGTCACGCCGCCAGATCACCTGTTTTTCGCCACTGCATCTGAGGATGGTCAAATCCTGATATGGGATTCTGCTCGATTGGAACGCATGGTCGCGACACGGGCAAGGCTGGCGTACAGTCTGGGGTCGCCAGTCACATGCATGTGCCGCATCGATGCGACGCATTGTCTAGCTGCCGCATCTCAGGACGGGCAGCTGCAGATCCTTCGGGTGCACGTGGCTAACCCTAGCAGAGGATCTGGGACTGCAAAGTACGCCAAAGTGGAGAGTGTAAAGAGCTGGAGGGCCCCAGTCGGGCATGTCATTTTCGTGCATCATAGAGGTGAGTCGTGGCGTGTCTCTATGCTGATCCCGTAGATTCTGCGCTCTTGGTGGTCACTTCGACCTCCTTGATCGGCTTCCTGGATATCCGGGCCATGGACTTGATCCGGAAATTCCAACACCCACTGGAGTTTGGCGCAATTACGACGGTCTGCCCTTCCACGCACTGGATTATCGTCGGGACTGACCTCGGCATCCTTTCACTCTGGGATCTTCGTTTCGGTCTCCTGCTGAAATCTTGGCGTGCGAGTGGACCGATCACAGCATGCCATATACACCCCGCCCGAGGTCGCGGGCGTTGGGTCATGGTCTCCACGACCAGAGCTAGTCCTATTGTGGAAGTGTACGATATCGAGTCCGCTAAGCTTGTCGAAATGTTCGAGTTGAGCCGTCCTTCGAGCAAGATGCCATCGACGGATGTCCCGTCTCGATCGGAATTGGTCGCTGAAATGGCCAAGCAGGAAGCTAAGGCGGCAACTGAGGGAGATGAGGCCTTGCCGGCAGTCCTCTCATTACTGCCTGGACATGGTGCGGCGACGTCAGCCGCTGGCGACGATAGCGACTCTACGACTGGTTGGGTCGTTACGGCAGATGAAGACCGAGCGATTCGATTATGGGATGTGGTCAAAGCCTCAGACAGCTTTGTCATCTGTGGGTCACCAAAAGAGCTCGATGTGGTTTTCAAGCAGACCTCAACTCAGCCTTTGGAGCTGTACACCGTTCCATCAAATCAACGTCAGGGATCTGAGCGACAGAGCAACTCGGCTAGAGGTCAACAACCGTTGAGGCCGCATTACGACGCCATTTGCGCGCTAGCAAGCGTTGAGACTCCGTTCTCGAGCTGTATCATCAGCGGAGATCGAAGTGGAGTGATCAAAGTGTGGAGAATGGAAGGCAAGCGATGATTGATATACCCTGCATGAGTTGTATAATCACCACCATTGACATCCATCATCATAAATCAGCATGGTTCATCCAACATGTATTTTCTTTTGATATAAAAACTATTCCCGATGAAATCTACTCCGAGGCCCGAACCAGCGGGAAATGTTGGCATTCTTTGACATTGCCTGCAACGGCTATCTGTACCAATCAGGCCAGCTGACAACATGTCCCGCATACCTGCCACAGCGGTCACTTCGTCGACTACGCCTCTGCTATCCTCCGATTCACCCAGACCGCCTTCTTCTCGACGTGTAGCTCCACCCAGTCAACCTCGTACGTCACCTTCGTCGGCTCTGCGCCCACCCATCGAGCCGAATGAGTCTTACGTTTCATACGCTTCTATCCCTCGATCTAACACTCCACCGCCACGGTTCATATCTAGGTCTAGATCGAGACTGGCAGCAGTCCGGCGCCGGCAAAGGACTCCGATAGCTGCTTTCTTCCCTGCCTTCGTAACGATTGTGTTACTCGGTTTTGCTTCGTTTGCAGCTTGGGACGTGAGCTCTGCTGGAAACTGCTGGATCGAGCCTCTTTGCAGGATCTTAGGGAGTGGAGATAGGCTCGAGAATGTGTGGTGGAGGAACAGTGGGGCTTATGCGCCTTGGAAGAGTCTAGGTCCGGGTGGCGGTAAGCGAGGTCTGCCGAGAGGTTGCAAAGTCAACCAAGTCACTGTAGTAGGTGTGCCAAACCCTCGAACAGGGTCAATGTGCTGAACTCCGCTCTTCAGCTCCAGCGACATGCCGCGAGGTATCCGACGACTGAAGCTTCCAAATGTCTGCTCCGAGCGCTGGGCAAATTAGCCAATCGAAAGACCAGGACACCGAGAAGACATCACTCTGAGCTTGCCTTTCTCAGCGATACAGATCTCAGATTGGAGGATTGGAAGTTTGATCAGCTCTTGGATCAAGGTCGGCGACAGTGAGTCGACGGCGCCTACCTTGATAGGCGGTCTCTGAGGATATCTTTCAGAGCTTGGAGTGCCGGACGAGAGATTGCAGCACTGTACGCTCAGTTTCTCGACACAAACCTCGATCCTTTCACCCGGGCTTCCGGGTCAGGGAGGGTTGTGGAGACTGCTGGGTACTGGCTTGAAGGCTTTCGAGGCGATGCATTCAAGCTCAAACCTGTCGATCAACTGCCCCAGGTCAATCTCACATTGCCCGAAGAACCTGTGAGTAATGTCGCTGGATGCTCGCTCACGTCAGACATTCAACAATACATTGTCCGTCAAGACATGTCCAGCGTTCGCCAATCAGTATGCTATTTGGTGCTACCTCGCTCATGCTCCTTAGGTCCGCCCCGTCGTTACCCGATCTGCTTAATCTTCTACAACCGGCTCAAAGCAGGTTGAACGATCTGCTCCGGCCACAACCACCACTCGAGCTGTCGGAAGTAAAGTGTCTGGCCGACATGTGTCCTTATGACAGTCAAAGAAGCGAGACTTGGGCAGCTTGGAGTCGGTGGTGCAGAGTCTTCACGCGGGAAGAATGGGAAGCCATTGGGTATCTGAAAGACGTCGACAGGTACTATGGGGTCGGGCCCGGAAATGTGAGTTGGACGTCTTGGAATCTTGCTCATTCCCTCAGGATCTTGGGCCAACACTCGGAGTGAGCCATCAACTGGATGACCCCGCTGACCTTCAGGCCGGCTGGACCAATGAGCTCATCGCTCGATTGACTGATTCTGCTCCGGTCGACTCGACGACCACCAATAGTACACTGGACGCGGACGAGGCGTCCTTCCCGCGAGGAGGGAACAGGCTCTTTGTGGTGAGTTAGGGAAGGAGTAACTCTGCTTATCACTCAGGACTTTACGCACGACAACGAAATGATAGAAATCATGGCTGCCATGGGTCTGGCCAGGGTGAGCTAGAGCTGTTTCTCGACCACGCTGACCCTCAGCAACATGGGAATCTGCTCACTGACAAGCTTCCCGATAAGAGATCCTACATGATCTCTGAGCTTATCCCCTTTGGCTCGCGAATTGTCTTCGAACGGATAGGATGTCAATTAGGCAATTGGGAGCCTGATCCAGAGGGAGGTCAACCAGAGGACGAGAGGAAGAATTATCTCAGGGTGTTCATCAAGTCAATCCTTTTCTTCTATCGTGTCTGCAAGATGACTGACATCTTGTCCCTCCACAGTGACGCCTTGGACCCTCTTGACTCTCTCATGTGCTCTCAATCTGGATTTTTCGAACACGGCATGTGCGAAGTGGATATTTGGGTCGATTCTCAGTCGTTTGCCCAGAAAACGGTGGACTGGAATGTCTGCTATGCGAAATAGATGTGGTCCTGCGTTGTATGTGCTATGCAAAGTTGTATACTCGAGTATAAGCTACAATGTGGTACTTCTCGCGTGCTTCAGATGACAGAAATGACGGGTGGCTGATAGAATCAGGCGTCTGCACTTGGACGCGAGTCCTGCCCTCGAGATGAAGATGATGGATGAGATGCAGCAGTGGCCGGTCCAGGCGACCAACGCGTTGATTCTTCTCCTGTCGCAACTCGCTCATTGTTGCTTGCTTCTCGCGTCGTGACTACGGAATTCGCATGCGGGGCATGGACGAAGCCGTCGTACGCCTGCTGGGTCCGGCCAGAGGGCGCTGCCTCCTCAACGGTGGACGATCCACTGAGGTACTGTTGAGCTCGCGTGTACTGCGCTTGCAACCTTGCAAGTGTAGCCGAGGCGGTCTGAAGAAACGCACGCGGCATACCAGCAATCCTAGCAGCTTTCTGGTTCAGTCATTAGCTTGACTCAGAGCGTGGGGCGACGAGAACCTCACAATGGCGTGCGAATTGAAATTAATCCCTTGCTCCAATTTGTAGGAATAGGAGAAAGCCCCAGCCTGCATAAAGTGTCAGCACGAACGTAGAGAGGAAGCTCGACCTACAACTTCGTTGACGTCTGTACACCAAAATTCTACGCCGTCTCGTTTCGGCAACCCCTCGCCTCTCAAGACGCCCGATTCGTCCACGGGGAGTGGCGTTTCGCTACCCGCTAGCATTTGACCAAGCTCATGGTAGTGAGTTGCAAACAACGTCCGGCATTTGATCTTAGAGAGAATGTATTCTAGGGTCGCGTACGCTATCGACATGCCTGCCTGAAGCGTCGTTCCTCGTCCGATCCTGGAAGCAGAATGTTGAGTAAAGAGGAAATGGATTTCAGCCGACGACTCACTCGTCCATTATGACCAGTGATCTGGGCGTGGCGTATTTCAGAATGGACGCAGTCCTTCACATGCGTCAGTCTCTGTTCGTTACGTAGGCGAAACGAGACTCACTCTACCATCTCCAACATGAATGTGCTTCTGTCCCTAAATAAATCATCCCTCGCACCTACTCGACTGAAGACCTTGTCGACAATTCCAATGCTGGCTGCCTCGGCAGGTACAAAACTCCCAGCTTGAGCCAAGATGGCGATGACTGCCGTTTGACGCAACAATGTCGATTTCCCTCCTTGATTAGGCCCAGTGATGATTTGAAGGTGTGTTCCAGGAGACATGACGGTCGAGTTGGGCGTGAAGGGTCGAATGTGTGCATTCAGAGCAGCTTCAACTGTAGGGTGTCGACCATTGATGATCCTCATCTCCGTCCTGCAAGGCAGAGCGCTCAGCGAGAAGCTGGGATACGACGACCGTGAACTCACCCATTTGTCATGAACGGCCTGACGAACAATGACTCTGCGGCGGTCGTAGCAAACCCTAAACACATATCGAGTTCCTCAATGAGGGCCATGTTGTCCTTGAAGACTTCATCTCGGGATGCGATCTGGCATAGGCGAGATCAATGCGAGCCATTCCAGAAAACCCTCATTCGGGTCCCTTACCATCGTCCTCATCCGGTTCAATTCTTCCCTTTGCAGGCGATCGATCTTTCGAAAGACATTGTCCCGTTCTGCACCTAGCACTGTCCAAGGCTGTCGAACCGGTCAGTTTGCAAGATCAACCTTACTCGTCCCCACCTAACCTTGTACAAGATGTGTTTCTTACTCTCTCCAGCTTTTCTGAAACGTTCATCTTCCAGCATTGACTTCCTGAGCCGGTCCGGATTCGTAGCGGAGACAAAATTGACCCAATAGCCATGTCGAGAATACCAGGTTAGGACTACCCCATCGCCTGGGAGGTCAATAGAGCCTGTCGGACAAGATCTTACTGTATTTGCGCTTGAGTTCATCTTCCATTTTGACACGCCTCTGCTCGATGTCTGCTAGCTGGTCATGCGCCCTTTGAAGCTCCTCAGAAGCGCTAAGACTGACTCAAAAAAGCTGACCTCTACAGACAATGATACTCACTCAGGTTTGAGCCAGAAAACAACATCCTCCCCCATCTGTTTTCTCTCCCCAGTCGTCTCCCTACCTTCCGCCTCCTTGATCCACCGCGACATGAATGTCTCATCTGGCTCACTGTCGCCGTTTCTCCCGTTGGCATTTACCGTTAGACCATTCTCAGAATCGTGTGAATCTTTCGACTCATCTGAGCTGAGACCACGATCTAAGCTCAACAGCCAAGATTCGTCCATGGATCCTTCGATCTCTCGCGCAATATCGCTCAAATCTGTCCAAGCTTGGACTACTCGAGTCATCCGCTTGAGACTTTCCAGTTGAAACTGCTTAGGCGAAGGTTGTGAAGAAGCGAGACGTGAATGTTCCAGCTCGACCTCAGCTTTCAGTCTCCCGATGATCCTCTCAGATACTCTGATCCACACTGCTACCTTCCACGTCTCATAGGGTCCTCCGCGGCCCCGCCTGATACGCTGAAGGGTACGAGCGACGTCCTTCGCGCCTCTGAGAATTTCCCTTAGCTCTTCTCTCAGATCTCCTCTGTCCACAAACGCTTGAACGAGCTCTTGTCGTTCAGTGATATCACTGAGAATGGTCGAGGGGGCCATCAAAGTTCGAACGAGCAGTCGATGGCCGGCGTCTGTAACGGTCTGATCGAGGACAGAGAGTAATGTGCCGACTCGAGACACGGGCGATCCACGCTGGACTTCCGTATCGCCGAGTTGTAGAGAATGCCGAATTTCCAGTGCTTGAAGTGTTGCTGCATCAATATGCATGTAGGCGGATTCGCTTTGTCGTTTTGGCTGTCGGAGATACGTTGGCGTATCTCTGAATGCGTACTCCAGCTGACGTCGCAAGATTGAGATTGCCTGAGACTCCAGAGGTATGGCCGCTCTCGCCTCAGCATCCATCTCCAGCGTACTCCGCATCAAGCCTTGCGAGTCCTCGACAGGCGACGATCGACTGGGATCAGCGAATGAGACATGGTGGCCTAGGACTCGTAAAAGGGCCAAGAGCTCGACGGCCGTTCCGCGATCGGACCCTGTCGGATCACCCGTACCAAGTTCCCAGAGCTCTCTAAGCGCAGAGTCCAGGACCACTTCCTTCGGAGCGATTCGTGTGAGCTCATCTTCGAGATGCGCTATTGAGCTTTCCTTGGAGAAGAAATCTCCGGTGGTCACGTCGGTATACGCCAGCGAGACAGCCAGGTCGGTGAAAGTGTCTTCAGGGTCTTGTTCCAGCTCATCGCTTGACTTTGAGACTCTGTTACCAATGGCAATCGCCAACAGGAATCGACTCTCGTTCCCGGCCAGACCTATCTCCTCCAGAAGGGTTCCAGGCGTGACGACACGTCCGACTCGACGCTCTTTGAGCTCCTCATCGCTTCTTGACTCCGTCTCGTCTACCACCACCACTGTCCTCCCAAGTTGAAGCACTAGAAGCTTGAGATACTTGTCCAGCTGAGCCGTGGGGAAGCCAGCAAAGGGCAGAACGATGCTCTTCTTCCCGTCCTTAGTGGCTGAAGCATATCGCTTTTGAGCAAGTTTGAGACCTGTCAGCTCGCTCAACTCCAAGGCTGGCTCAAAGTAAGACTGTGATGGAAGTCAGTATAGCCAGCTTGGATCGACTGACCTCATAGAACCCCCCAACTTTCGTCAAGATTATGCAGCCTGGAAATCGGAGCCAATTTCGGAAGATCACTCGCGAGAGGGCGGTACTAGGGATCGTGCCAGCTCGGACAGCTTCATCATAGCGATCTGACTCTTCTGCTGTCATACCGGGATAAGGAGCCTCCCGAGGGGCATCTTGTTCCTGAGAGGCCTTTTTGGATCTACGAGCTTTGCGTTCTTTCAGAGGGACGGATGGATCAAATCCCAACACTGTCGAACTCATAGGCGCGGTGGGCAGCTCATCCATCGTTAGCTCCGTGACTATGCCATCTTTAGGCTTTCGTTTGGCTTGTAAGAACGAAGAAGAGGAGAGTGGCCTCGATGCTACCGCAGGGTCACCCATACTGACTGTCAGGCCGGAGCAATGTCGGAATCGCCATGTAGGCTTGAGGACCTCCGCTGGTCGGCGAACACGGAATATGGGCCTCATCGCTCAAGAATCCGTGCTTCTTGAGGACCTATGTACAGAGTTGACCATTAAGATTGACTTCGTGACTCTCTTTCGCCATGGCCATCCTCTTGCGAGTAGGCGCTGACAGGAGAATCCACAAAGGTCAATCAAAAATGATGGAGACCCGGACGAGCATTTCGAGCATTTCGGACCGACTTTTTCCCAATTGTTACGTTATCGACGACATCGTTTGGCAGGCGTGCTGTTTTCGAGGTGCAACTCGCTCTCAATCGTCCATCATCGACCATTTTGAACGTAGAACAGCGTTCAGGACTCGGCATGGACATTGACGAGCCCTCAAACGGAGCTGGACCCTCAAAGTCCCGACAGGGCTCACGGACTATTTACATACCTGAAACGACCAATTATCAGGCAACGGTCCAACAGCCGTTCGATTATCATTCGCTGGACGGGACAGATCCGGCCATCTGCATAGATAATGGTGAGAGCCATTCCGTTTACTCGTATCCATCAGTGGAGCTTCTGCTGCGAGAGAGCTTCTTGACGGTGGCGGGACAAGGCTAAAGCATGTCATAGGATCCCATTCGTGGCGAGCTGGATTCTCCAGCATGTCGACACCGTACATAGACCGGCTGAACGTGGTGTCGAGGTACAAGGAGCGCAAGCAGAATCGAAACATTCTCTTATTCGGACAAGATACGGATGCAGATGCTAGCTCGCGAGCCAATATCAGGAGCATGTTTGACGGGGATCTCTTGATTCATGGGGATATTTTGGTGAGTGGGGAAATTCCCGACAAGTCAATGAGTCTTTGATTGATCCCTTGAGACAGGAGAATGCTCTTGACTATACATTTCTGACTCTCGGGATTGACTCGACAAGGATAGAGCAACCTATCGTCATGACTGAACGACTGGCCAATCCACTATTCACTCGAGCAAGTGAGCCAGATGAATACTTAACTGAACTCTCCTGTTGACGGGGATCTGCAGTGACTTCGGAAATGCTGTTTGAGCTATATAATTGTCCATCAGTGACCTTTGGTATCGACTCCCTCTTTGCTTTTTCACAAAGCGCGCATCCGGACGGTCTGGCTATCAGCCTGGGACACAACGCAACGACCATCATCCCGGTCTGCAATGGCAAAGGACTCCTCAGTAGGGCAAAGAGGTCAGTAGATAGTCGTGATAGGGTGCAGACCTGATCGTACCCTTCCAGAATACCTTGGGGAGGGGCGCAAGCTGCTGAAACTCTACTTCGACTGGCGCAGCTCAAGTACCCTGGATTCCCGGTCAAAGTTACATCTTCTCAGGCGACCGTGAGTTGTCCACATAGGAGGCTAGGCTGATCTCTATCAGTTCATGTACCATGAGACTTGTTACTTCGCCAGTAACTACGAAGAGGAGCTTCGCTTGCTGGAGAGCCCAGAGAATATGGCGAAGATGTCTACCGTTGTCCAGTTTCCGTACGCGCAGCCCGTGAGGTGCTCCCGTCGTCCGCGAGTATAGGTGCTGATGTTACCAGGACGTGGTGGAAAAGACCGACGCAGAGATTGCTGCTGCTCTCGACCGGCGGCGAGAGCAGGGAAAACGATTACAGGAAATGCAAGCGAAGCAGAGGGCCGAAAAGGTGAGCTCTTGCGCTTTTTTCTTCTCGTGTGTCGAGGTCTGATGTCTGCCTCAGCTTGCTGCGAAAATGGTAGAATTGGAAGACTACAAACAATTACTTGCTGAGCGACCCACTCTCAAACGCGCCGACTTCGTCAATCGCCTGCAAGAGCTCACTCCGTTTGAGAGCGAGGCTGAGATGGAATCCTGGATCAAAAAGACTGAAAGTGATATCCGTCGGAAGCAGAAGAAGGAAGCTGGCGAGGATATCGAGCCTGAGGAAGAGCCAGTCTTCCCCTTGGTCGACAGACCGGATGAAGAGTTGACGGAAGAGGAAGTCAAGGAGAAGAGGCGGCAAAAGTTGATGAAGGCGGGCTGGGAAACTAGGGTCAAGGCAAGGGAGGAAAAGAAGAAGGAGCAGGCGAAGAAGGTGGGCTGTTCTGTGACTTGAGATGAGGATGAGGCCTGACTGTTGTTAAGGACGAGGAGAAGCGTCAAGAGGAATCAGAGAGAGCCACTGACCTTACTGGATGGGCCAACAAGCTCCGTGCAGAGCAAGACGTGAGTGAGAGGACTGTCCGTTGCTTATTCGCAGGCCGTGATCAACCGTATTGCGGATCGCAAGAAGCGCCGCGCTCAGCTTGGCAATCGAAAATCCGTTGCTAGTCAGAGTCGTATGAAGAGTCTAGCCAACCTCGCAGCGGACGACACGAACAAGAAGAGAAAGAAGAACGGCGATGGTGAGGTTTAGATATGCCTCGGGGGCTTCGGAAAGCTTATGACTTCAGATGATGACGGTTTCGGAATGGATGATTCAGATTGGATGGTGTATCGCGAGATTGTAGGTGCGCTGCACGAAGACTGCTCACGGTGTAGAGCGGTGAAGACGAGTCGGAGGCAGAGGAGGAGGATCAGTCCCAACTCCAGTCCATCGAGACTCGCTTGCTTCAGTTTGACCCGACATTCACGGAAGAAGACACGATGCAAGGTCAGGCTCACGCCAAGAATGCCTTGGTCAACGCTTTTGTGCGCGGAGGTTCAAACGGCCGATACGAGCCCGAAGACTTGAAGCAGAGTCATCAATTGCATCTCAATGTCGAGAGGATCCGTGTACCGGAGACATGGTTTCAACCTAGCATGTTTGGAGTGGATTGTGCTGGCGTGGGAGAGAACAGCGGATGGTTGCTGAATGGCTTTGAAGAGGAGCAAAGGAAACGGATGATGCAGGTGCGATCGTCTCGTGGGTTGGTAAGAAAGGTAGCTGACACTGTCTGGCTCGTAGGGAATATTCCTCACTGGTGGATCTTCGGTCATCTCTGGCTTACATACACGGCTTCGCAACACCTTGACCCCTTTACTCCCATTCCGTGCTCCACTCAAGATACTCTCCTCGCCAGACAAAGATCCTCGATTGGACGCGTGGAAAGGTATTGCGCTGTGGAGCCGAACGGAGCAAGCGAAGAGTGCTAGAATTACTAGAGCAGAGTACGAAGAGTTTGGTGGAGAATGGGTGAAAGAGCATCCCTGGGGCAACGCTCCGTTGTAGCTAGCGAGCGAGCGAGCGAGCTCGAAGCAAAACGACACTTATATCATGTCATCTGTCTCCCGTCGACCGTGGTCCGTCACACCGGCCGAGAGATACACAAATTTGGTAACAATGCTACCTTTAACTAATGAGGCTAGCAGTTTGTCCGGCGGAGGTTCTCGAGTTCACCGTCATGCTCGCCAAGAGCAGAGGACTGATTGTCCTTCCGTTTGTGGAGTACATGTCGATACCTGCAGAACCTTGTTAAAGTCCCGAGAAGTACGGATGAATAATGTTAGCGAGGGTCGGGTTCCCGTTTGTCGTCATGAATGGGCCACCTATCCGTCATCTGCGGTCAAGTGACTTCGCCGCAGAGATGAAGCCTGATGAGATCAGATGCAATGCCTTCAGAGGACCGACCACTGGACAATTTGGCAGCTCTTGAACAGCCCTCATTCCCCACCAGAGGCAATGTCATGTCGGTGGCATGTCGACCATTGGGTGAGATACCTTTGAAAGGATGCAACATACACATGAATGCGCTAGAAGTGTGATCCCTTTGGGAGTGAAGTAGGTGAATCCCTTTGGCTATCAGCCTTGCACCTGAACCCAGTGAACCACTCTCGCCGTCTCCTGTGTGCATTCTCACTCACTCCACAGGTTCAACAATATCCAAGGTCTTGAGGGCACTGAGTGTCGACTCGGTCTTGGTTGCTTCTATTCGTCCGCTGTGGATCATTTGATTCTGTGCACACCACCTACCACCACCACCACCACCACCGTTCCTTGAGGTTGAGTTCCACCCAAAATTTCATTGTATCCACCTGGCTCCCGTCTGACTCTGCACGTATCGACCTCGGACTTGCTTATCGACTTGGAGGTATCGAAATCCGGACAGATCTTGGACGGGAGACAGAAGTATTGTGGAGGACCATTCTGCAGATCTCCATCGTCAGTGGTGTAGGTCAGCTATCGATAGACGCTCTGATCCTGACAATCGTAGCCTGTGTAGGTGTCCCCAGCCTAGCTTGCAACTGGTCTTGCAATTCGGGGCTGAACTCTGGCGCATGACCTGAAGACTTTATCAGAGGCCTCCCAGCATTGTCCAGTCTCTTGCAGAGACAGATACGCGGCTCGATCCTGTGAGTGGACACTGGCTTCCTCTGGTCGGCTCAAGGGTGCCAATGCAGTCAGTCTGCCTCAAATCTTCGATAGCGAGAAGCACTTCATCTAGACACTGCAAGAGACTGCTCTCGAATCCGTCCACGACCATTCACAGCTCCCAAACGATTGCCCCCAAAATCACCGACTGACTTCGCGCCCATTATTAGGCCCGCAGCAGGGCGCGGGCGACGGCCCTGATCACGTTACCGAGAAGCTTCGACGGCGGCGACGAACGTGCCTGGCTCGAAAACAGGCGGGTCCTCTTTCACTGGAATCTCACATTTGGTTTCGTTGGTGAGTCCCAGGACACAATGAGTTCCCCACCGTCATCACATCCATTTCATGACGCATTCATTGGACTGTATCATTGTCGTACATCCTAGAACGGCGTACCGGTCAATCCCATCTCAGGGTGGATCAATTGACCCCCATTTTAAGCGCCAAGGGTATTCTTGTTAGAAGACTTGATTAGGCTGATGAATCTTCTCAGGCTTGCGTGCGTCGGTCACGGGCTCACGAGCTCTACAGCTGCGCTTCACGTGAAGGTCACCGACAGCCCGGGTCTTGGCGTCCGATTTTACCCAGGTGTGGCGGAGAATCATCTGTCAAGCTTATCGAGACGGGAAGGCGGTTGTGGTATCTCTAGGGCTGAGAAGTGGAACAGCCACCAGGACCCTTCTGACCGGGTAAGCCGATGTGATTTTCTCGCTGCCCACCCCTGCCCTTGCCCCTGCCCCGTCCTGTCCACCACAGCCTCATGTCGAACCGACGGGGGATCCAGTGAGAAGCTCAGAGTGCCACAATTCCCCCAAAGGTCTCTTTCTTCCCACCCAGTTTTTCTGACACGCCCCTCCAATGGAAACGCTCGTGATTGGAATCTTACCAATCATAACGAGTTTCTATCCACTACGTATGCCTCTTGAGATCGCTCCGGCGTTTGCTTCTGCTTTAATTTTCAATATCTCTGCTGACAATAATCCGCCTGGACAGCTGTCTTATCGTCGCTCAATCTCCACTCCAGGTGTAAGAGAGCAGCAGCAACGTTGTGTCGACCCTGTCGCTGCTGCTTGTCTGCTTGCTACAACTGGTCTGCCCACCGCGCCCACTCCCCCTCTCTCCCTCTCGCTTCTCATGGCACCGGCTAAATTCTAAATAAAAATTTAATTTTACGCCCCTCCTTCTTTCTCTCTTGTCTCGGCTGCCGCGCGGATTGTGGAGGTGTGAGAGGGACCGACGGGTGAGTAGCTGGAGATCCGCCTTGGGGAGGGAAACAGGGAAGAGGCGGCTGCCCTGCTTCTCTCTGCCTTGGCCCCTTTTTCCAAACCAGCTGCTTCCTCCACACAAAGGCAGCATGGACCCAGGGTTTGCCCGAGGCGATGGAGGAACCATGATCGTCCATGCAGTCCATGGTATCGGAGCCCATGGTCTCATCGACACTCCACAGCCAGGTCTAGGGCATAATCCTCATGGTCAGGCAGCCCCTTTGGCGGCGGCAGTAGTGAGGGAGACTGTTGTGAAAACAAGGAAACGAGCCGACGCCGACGCCGCCGACGCCCGACCGGCCGCCAAAGAAGAGAGCGCGTGGCTATGCCACCAGATCCGATCAGATCGACCGCCATTCGTTGGGAATCAGACCCCTGACCCTCGGCGCTTGAAATTAAGCTCGGGACATCGTGATTTTGACCCTATTTCATCGTTTCTCGGACAATGCACCACCACCACCTCAGAAACCGGCAACAACCCTCATACAATTAAAAACTTGATTGTCGACCACGCATCCCGTCCAACATCATCATCATCATCATCACTGCTGCATGGTTCGAGGGATCATCGTTACCCTCAAGGGCCGCCTCCGCCGCCCCACCTGACCCACACGTTGCACCCTCTCGGAGATTCCGAAGAACCCATCTTGGCAAGCTGCCGAGAGTCAACGAAAAAGATTCAATTATCTCAGTCCCCATTACGCACCCCCCCATTATTGCCTCCAGTAGACAATTCAAGGCCGCTTCTTGGCCTTCGGCCCCCGACGGTCTATTCTCATAGCATCAGTCATCAGAGTCTCATCAATGCAGCATCTCCAAGAAGACTTGTTGGAGCAGCAACAACAAAAATTTCGACTCGGCCCCCGGCAGTCTTTGACAAGTCTTCAGCTAGACTTGCGCTCTCTTACTTAGCAGACGAGGTAGATTTTGACTCCCTGCCATTGCCATCAGGATTAGTGGTGGAACAATCGATATCGCTGCCAATCCCGAGTCACACAGCCTTAGATCTCGATCGGCCCATTTCATTTCGGGCATCCTCCCCGACTTCTGTCATTCATCCACCTCCTTGGTCTCCGACATACAACGACTCGAACATGTCTCGACGCGTGGATACTCTTGGTGGTCCATCGGAGCCACCGCAATGGGCGACAGATTTCTCCGGCTCAGAGATGCGAGGACCGGGCGAGTCTTCGACTTTGTCACATGTACCCCGAGCTGCGTCTGATATCACACCGAGTGTACCTATGGCCTCGCATCTATCTGGCGACTCTATACCATCCGCATACTCCGAGTCCTTCACCATCAGGCGCCATCCGCCAGATCGGGTCGTTTCTGGACAATTCTATGCTCTCGAAACGGACCCCGAGCCGGAATCCGGAGAGTTGCTCCGAGAGAGTCCGCTGCACAGTCCCGTAGAAAGCCTGGAGCGAGATTCAGATGGGGAGAATGACAACGGTCAACGGAAGAAGAAGAGGACACGGGTCTTGATGACCCATCAACAGCAGGCCACCCTATCGAAATTGTGGAGAGCGGTGAGTCACCTTGGCTGCCGGTCCGCATCATCTGATCCTTTTTGCAGACAAAATTTCCCGGGACTGGCGAACGAGAAGCGGTGGCAAAACAGGTCGGACTGACTGGTCGTCAAGTTCAGGTCTGGTTCCAAGTGAGTCTTGAGCCCCCTCTTGAGCATTTGCCACCCATCCACACATACCTGAGCTATGAAGATTTTGACTGACCACAATTTTTTTTCCCCACTCCACTCAGAATCGCAGGCAAACTTTCCGAAAGCAAATTGCCACCCATACCGTACCCGACAATTCAGATCCGGCGGACTATGCAGACCTTCAGAGCTCACCCCGTTCTCGTCGACTCACCTTGGAAGCTACCAAAGCTGCCGATAGGGATAGAGTCACAGCTTGGGCAGCGGAATCTGGAGCAGCGACGGGATACCTCGGCGTCTCACTAGAAGAAGGTGCTGATCGGGCATCAGACGTTGATGAAGATGGTGGGTTGACACCACAGCTGTTCGGTGCTGTACTGACTTGTGCCCACAGGCGAAGAGCCAGACTGGTCACTGTCTCAATCCGCTTCACACGCTGAATCTTCCAGGAGGTTGTCTCGCTCTGACCGTCCGAATCGAGCTTCAACCATGTGGGAGCTGGACGAAGATGAGCGTCTACAAGCCTTCTCCCACCCTCATCGACACCCGCAACCCAGTCCACATCGCTTGTCACCGAAGAGTTCGACTCGGAGAGAGAGCAACTTGCATGGTCCTCTGGACGCACCCGTCTCGTGCAGACCGTTGGCAGGTCGTTCAGGTGGAGCATTTCAATCATATGCTCGCAGTCCTTCATTGAACGATCCATGGACTCTCCGACCGAGTCCTCAGTCAGTCACCTCACCCCTCAGTCCCGCCCTTCCACCGCTTCCACATCATTCCCATTCCGCCCCTAATCCCACAAAAAAAGACTCCCTACCTCAGCTCAACAACCACTCCAGACCTCAGTCATTCGATGGAACTCGGCCATCCGAGCTTCCGCCGAGTCTCGTCAACCTCACACTGACTGGGCCGATGGCACACGAGGTCGCGGGCGGTCGTTCAAGGGATTCATTCCACTCACTGGCCGTACACCATTACGATCATGTTCCATCGCGCTCTGGATCCCTGACGACTTCTTCACCCGCCATGCCAGGATATCATCCTGAACCTGAGCTGTCCCGATCAAGGACAGACAGTGCGCGTACGTCGCGCACTGGTCCGTTGACCGAGTCTCACAGTTCAAGAGATTGGTTCAGGTCGTCTTTGAATTCGGATCGAAAGTGGTCGGAGGGATCCGTCATGATGTCTCAAGACGGCGATATCAATATGTCTGCTCGTGGTGTCCAGCCCGATCAAGCATTCAAATGCCAATCTGGACCAACCATCGCCAGCGTCGGCGCCGATGGCACTCATCAGATAATGTCGAAATTTGCTCAATCACCCGTCGACCTGGAGATGCGCAAATCGAGCGATACGAAACCGACTCAATATCGCTCCCAGCCAGGTTCACCCCTGAAGCACCTTGGGTCTCGGAACGAAGCGACTTCGAACAAACGGAAATCATTCGAGATGCCTCTTCCCCCGTCTAACAATGGCGTCTGGGATAGACTCACCTCGGCTTCTCTTCCCAGCAACAGGTCAGAGGGGGAACGAGCTCAGCAGCTCAACACGGTGTCTGAATCATCTGCGAAGAGGGACCTACCGAGTTTCAGAGATATGTTCCGGTAGACATCGGAAGCATGGCGCATATGCTTCTCTCCAACGACACCTGTAATCACCTGTACCTCCTAAATTTGTGGCAGTCATACCGCCCGAATTATCATCGCCCCGTCATCATCATCATCATTATCTTCTCATGACCGCATGACTACATGCACGAACGACCACATCTCCTCAAGACATCACTCTCATTCATCTTGCATCATAAACTCCGATAGAAGCATCGATTACAAGTTCAAGGTTTAGCATGGCGCGTCTCTCTTCAGAACGCCCATGAAAGACCCACTGTAGCAGTATGTACAGACGAAGCTTACTGTATATAAATGTCCAGTCGGTCAAGAATCGGCACGCATATACTCGTCTCGAGATAGAGAATCAGGTAAAAGTGTCGCAGGGTCGGGTCGTCAAGTATCAATAGCTTCTATCTGTCTAATCATAATCTGGGATGGTCGTACCCAATCCTTGAGTCATAGCTTCCTGTAATACAAGGTGAGTTATAGCGATGTCTTGCACACCGAAGCCAACCTGGTCAATGTCAGTCTGGTGCAACGGTTACAACCGAGGGGTATCTGTGACCTACAGACTTGAAAATGACCACATCGCCAGTCTTCTCGACGCGCTCTCGGTGCATGAGGGCCGAATCGCTTTCTCCGAGACACTGTCCAAGTTCAATGATGCCTGCTCCCTCCACATTGGCGATACCGGAACTGATCACTTCGCCAGCTTCTTTCAGGCAACCCTCTGCTGTATCCACCACAAGGACCCCGGACCTCATGATCAATTCGTCAGATACTTCTCGCATGCTTGGCTTATAAGATCCCACAAGGACCAATCTCGTATGCGACGTGACGTCGACGGCATTGAACAACGGTGAAGTGGAAGGGGTGAGTGTCAGAATGATATTGGCATTATGGACAGCTTGGGAGAGATTGAAGGGGGGTTCAGAACCAGCGGGAGGTCTCGGATTGTCTGTGTCGTCGGTAGATTGAGACTTGGTCGTATCAGAGATGCCTAGCGTGATATCGACATTTGAGAAATCCTTGCGAAGGGCTTCGATTAAGTGATGTGCTCGAACGGTCTTTGCTCGAGCGACGATGATAAGCGATTTGATAGATTGGAAGAGCTTCAATATGATAACGGCATGAGCGTACGCCTGCGCTCCAGTACCGAATATCAACAGGCTGGTCGGTTTACGAGGAGCCGGGAAGGTTTGAAGGAACAATGCAGACCCTAAATTGGAGATCATCATGTCATCAGCCATTCTCATAAACCCTCCAGGTGGAAGGTGGACATACCAGCTGCATTCCTCAACGCTGTCAATTTTCTAGCATTGATCACGGCTTTGACCTTGCCACTGGTTTCGTCTAACAGGAGATTCGTAGCGGGTAAACCTTGCCCATCGGAGGAAGGGACAGAAACAATCTTGATACCCGTTCCCAATGAAGGAACTTGAGACGGCATAAAGAGGGAAGTATAGGCTTGACAGGACAGAGTAATCCGAGGTGGAGTTTGAAGTGGTATGGATTGTGTAAATTCTCCTTCATCACTGCCAGTCTGAGAACACCCCGAGTGTACGGAGAATGCATGACGTTGGGATTCTATCGCTTGCTTGAGGTCGAGGGTCGAGAGGACCTTGTCGACGTCTCGGGCGGTGAGAATGAGTAGCGAACGGGAGGATTCGGTGGCCGCCTCCTCGGTTCCAGCGAGAGCGGAAGATCTACCCTCTACGGGTGGATCCATGCTGGAGTCTCGAGTGCTCGAGGTCGATTTAGTGACCATTCTGAGCGGATGGTGTGAATCAAAGTCGAGGTACTGTTCGCCAAGTGAAAATGATCGAATCGTCATTCCGCCTCGCTTATTCCGGTCATTCCTTGAGTTCCCGCGCCTCAGTGGTGACGGTCATTTCGTCATACACATATTACATGAGAAAAAGTCATACAAGCATCTAGCCTCCAGTTCTTACACCTCACACGCCTAGGTATAGCTCCAGGGACCCAGGCCCCTTGCCCACGATGCCAATCCGTCTCGGCCAGCTTCTCTTAGCGCCGCTCGTTTAGGCACCACCATTCCATCGTTGTTCCCCTCGTCCGTCGGCAACACATCTGTTGATTGGCTCGGAGAAGCGGAGGAACCGGACGAAGAGAGAATGCCGAGACCAGGGACACCGAGCGAGGTGAGATGGGGAGTGAATCCCATGTTTCGAAGAGTCGACAGGAGAGAATCAAGTTCGGTATCGGGAAAGTCTACGACGGGCGGTCAGCAGCACATCCCTGCGTGGTAGCTCATTGGGACCCACCGTCCGGAATCAACGTCACTGCGCATCCTCCACCTCCTGCACCTGTCAATTTGGTTGAGAGGTTGAAAGGCTCGGCAGATGTCGCTGAGACGATCATTTCAAGACTGGGATGAGAGACGCCAAGCGTCACAAGGTGTTGATGATTTTCCGTGATCATGGCCTGGGCGTTGTGTTAGACGAGGTCATCGCGCGTGCCTCAAATACTCACCGAGAGGCGATGGACTAGTCTGTCCCTGCCGACGTGAGATTGTCCACCCAGCAAACCCCTCGCTTCGTCACTGATGGATTGAATCGAGTCGAATGTCGAGTCCACCAAGGCCGGCTCTGCTAATCGTTTCGCAGCAACCCCAGCAACGAGTGATTTAGTGTCGCGAGGCACGTGTGTGTCTGTCAAGAGTAATCTGACCGAAGAGAAACTGAAAAGCAGTCAGTACAAGTTGAGCGCAACGGTGCCGTTTTTTGAATAAGAACTCACCCATTCAGAGTTTCTAATCCACCTTTCCTGCCTCCGACTGAGCGGGTAAAACTCACAGCACCCCCTCTGACCGATACGGCATTGTCTATCCCACTTGGATTTCCATGCAAGACTTTTTCAGACAAGAATGCCCAACCATCGATCAGATCCGTATCACCAGGGGATATCCCAGGACCAGAAGACGAGAAAGACTCGCCCAAGGCAGGATTGTCAATGTGATTGTGCGCCAGGAGCAAGGCGGATGCAATGCACGTCGAATAAGCTGCTGATGAGCCCAATCCAGCACCGATAGGCAAATTGGAAGAGGCGGTGAAAGTGCCGGATGGAGCATTGGACTCTTTGGCAGAGATCACCATGTAGAGGTACAAGAAAGCGAGTTGGGAACCGATGGCAGGATTCGCTACGTCATTGGATGTGATCAGGGATTCGATGGCGGCGAGGAGGGGCGGATCAAGTTCTTTATCCGCGACTCGACGGGATCCATCGATATGGACTGGCAAGAGGTTCCAAGGAAGAGCAGATATATCCCATTCTGCTTCTACGTTCAGGTCTGGAACTTCAAGTGCGACCTTGGAATCCGAACGTGGTGACAGAACTCCGAAGCATCTCAGATCGACAGAGGTAGCTACGGCAGACTGGCAGATGTCAGCTGGTTCCGAGCGACGCGAATGGAATAGCTCACCACGCCATGGACCACTGCATGCTCTCCGAACAAGATGACCTTGCCCGGGGCAGAGACAACGATATCGCTCTTGATGGTTTTCCTCTCCACATCTCCCAACCCAAGGCCTGCCTGAACTCCCTTGACAAGCTTCTCCATATCAGTCCCTTTGGGTCGAGTGTAGGCTCTTGCACGCTCCAGAATCCAGGCATCGGGGTCATGATTGTAAATTTCTTCCGAGGCATGTCTGGAGACGGCTTCATATGAGTGATCCGGAACAATGGCACCAGCAGCGAGCAGGGCGTGTTCCAAATCATCGATTAGGTCTCGTGGATCTTCGATACCGCAACACAGACGGATGAGGTTCTCCGGCAATCCGCGCTCAGCTCTGACGGCGGCTGAGATGGAGGCATGCCTAACAGAAAGACGGCTCAGCAAACGCCATGGGATATTTCTACAATCACTCACGACATGAGACAAGGCATCGAAATGAGACTGTTGACAGCTCCAAACGACACACTGATGCCCCATAACCTGGTGCCACCGACGATCCTCTCGCTCATTGCCTTGTCACCCGTGACGAAACTCAACACTGCCCCTGCTCCACTGGCTTGGCTCCAGTGAATGTCATACTTTGGATGACGCTTCAGGCCCGGATAATGAGTCAAGAAGCCCAGCTCGTCCAAGTAAGTAGCGACCAATTGAGCTGTCAATAATTGTCTGTCCATTCGGATGGACATTGTCTTGATGCCTCGAAGAAGGAGGAAACTGTCGAATGGCGCCAGACCTGACCCGACAGAATTGATAAGATACGCAATGGATTTGGCAATGTCCGGGTCGGCAACTGCGATAATTCCAGCCATGAGATCATGATGACCTGACAGGTATTTCGTAGCGGAATCATACACGATATCCGCCCCGAGTTCGAGGGGTCGTTGAAGGTAAGGAGACATCATGGTGTTGTCAACGATGACTAGTGCAGCGGGGGAACCAGCCTTGACCGCTTTGGAAATATTTCGAATGTCTGCAATTTTGAGCAGTGGATTGGTAGGGGATTCCAGAAGGACGGCTTTGACTCTGAGAGGGTACATCAGCAGGAAGGCCCGCAAGAGTCAGAGCTGGTATGGTGCTCACTTGTTTCCCGGACCAAGGTGAGGAAGGAGCTCTTCCACTCGGGTTGTATCGACGTGCCTCACGTCGATGCCTCCATGCGTACCGAGATACGTCAAGAGTCGGTTGGTGCCACCATACAGGTCATCTCCAGCCAAGATCGTTTCACCAGGCTTGACCAGTCTCAAGATCATATCCAAGCAGGTCATCCCCGTTGACAATGCAAACGTTTGAGTCGCACCGTACAGCCTGGCCAGATGAGATTCTAATCCTCCACGAGTCGGGTTCCCTGATCTAGTATAATCATACTGTCCATCCATGCCCTTGAACGTCGCAGTCTGGTAGATTGGGGTCGAGCTAGCACCATATTGATCTTTGGTATCTACCGCAGCGCATAATGTTGAAAACCTCCAATTGGCGGACCGTGCAAGTCGCTGTTCAGCTTCGGTCCGTCCCTTTTGAGGTAGTGAGAAGATGGATGTGGCCAGAGAAGCCGAGTCAGAAGGTGTTGGAGGGGTAGTCATGCTATCGTTGTATTCCACAGAATTCACATCCACAAGGTAGATAGGTAGATGAAGTGGGATTGCGAATGAGTCGAGAGTCACCTCGGGGGCCGCCTGAGAAGATGGAGGGGAAAATTCAAGCACATCATCAGATTTCAAAAGCTGACGTAAGGATGCAGCTAGCATCTGGGCGGTCATCGCCGCCGTGATCTCGCGACCAGCGACCATGATGCAAGTTTTTGAATATCACAGCGGCGGCTGGTCACAGTCAAGGTATAACCGGCTTAGGTGAATGATCAAAAGACATCGAATAGCATCGTGAAGGTGGAAGTGGCCCGATCAGTGGTGCAGTCGGAACCTCCATCATCATCATGGCTCTCTACAAACCCTTACGAAGTCTTCACTTGCCTTCTTGCAGCTCTCGCCTCGCAACATCCTCCTCTTCCTCCTCCGCCTCCTCCTCTTCCCGAGTCACATTACATGATCCGCGAGTCGTGCGCTACATCGCCATTCATACATTCTTCACTCGGCAAGCATCTACGCTCTCCTCCTCTCATCAAAGCACCAATGTTCGCCTTCTTAGGCGTGTCCCGCCGATACGCTGTCGGGCTAATTCAACAGCCACGACACCACCTTCCAAACCATGCCCCGATTGTCCTAAAGCCGAAACGAGAGGTCATGCACAAGAGTACACTCCTTTCATTCAACGTTTGATCCACCGCACACAGACGCTCACTCCGAATTCGCCTCATCGGCCGACGAAAGAAGAGTTACTTACTGCCGCGAGGACTCGATGGGAACGATTTCGAATTCGATTACAGTGGTTTTTCATTCGAGGTTGGAGACGATTCAATACGGATGATTTGAGTGCCTTTGCGAGTTGGTTCGTCGTTGGAAACACCATTTGGATCTTGATTGGAACGACGACATTTGTCTCGGCCGTCTTTGCGACGTTGAACTCGTTGTCATTGCAGAAATACGTAGCGAGGTGGATATCAGATTATCTGACGTCAGAAACGGGAGTCAATGTCGTGTGAGTGGATTCTGAGTCCCGACCCGTCACACATCAGCGCTGCTAACTGCCGAATCAAGATTCGAATCTGCTATCGTGCCTCGTTGGGGAGCATCCACGATATGCTTCTCCAACGTCTACGTCTCAAGACGACCCAAAGATGATGTACCGAAATCTGATTCCACCGATTTTTCCCATTCATCCTCTCCTTCTGCTTCTTCTTCTACTTCCTCCTCCTCCTCCTCCCCCTCCTCTTCCCCCTCGTCGCATCTACCTGCCCCGATCCCATTCCTGTCTTCCTCTTTATCCCCCGAGACGTACTTCTCACCGCCGGCTGCGGAGAGCGACAACTACACCATGTTTGATGTCAACATAGACGAAGTGGAAGTTACACTGAGCTTTATGCGCTGGCTTGATGGCAAAGGATTGGTAAAGGATGCAAAGGTCAAAGGCGTACGAGGCGTTGTCGGTGAGTTGACCACCCTCATAAGGGAGATCTCGACCTCGCAGCTGATGTCGCCACCAGACCGCCGCTCCGTCTGGTGGGACATGTCCAAACCTCTCCTTCCAGAGGATTTCCGGCATTCCACTTTACCTGGAGATTTTGAGCTCGAATCCATGTCGATTGAAGATGCTCTCGTGACCATTTATCAGCCTGGTGGTCAGAGACCTTACAATATTTCCGTGTTCTCAGCAATGATTGGACCCCTGCGGAAACGTTGGCTATTCTACGATCTGATGAGCGCAGAAGGCATCACTGGGCAATTTGATAATTGTTTGTTCAGTCTGCACATGCCTCAGAAGCTCGGCAAAACGCATACGGGAGAAGGCGAAGTGGTCAAGCGGATGGTCAGTCGACGACGGCCCTGGTGTGAGGACGAATAGCTGACACCTCACAGGCTCGATTTCGAGTTGATGGACTGCCTATCGAGCACGCTCAGTATGCGACTGGACATACTGGACCCATGTCTTGGATCACGTCGGGAAAACTGGACGCTGTTCTGGATATCAAATTTCCTCATCACCCAGATGACGAAGTGGATTTCCGCGCGCTGTTTGATCAAATCGGACGGAATGTAGCGACTATCAAGCAAGGTGCTCATCCTGCCGAGAGGCTGCAAGTCAGCACCAGCAGCAGCAGCAGCAGCAGCAGCAGCACCAGTAGCACCACGACAACAACGGTATCAACATCTCCGAATCAGCTTGCCAATACCACCTCTGCTCCCGAAGGCGCCATCAACCCAGGTCAGCATCGCTTAGCTAGACCTGCTCTACGGGCTCCGAATGCTGGCAAGGAAGCTTTTGATCAAGAACTTCATAAACGTCAAGTGACGGTGGACATTGATCTCCGATTCCGTGATCTTAAAGCCGCTGTGCCGATCTTCACGTCGGATCTGAGCGTTACGAATCAAGCGTTGATCAGGCCAATAGTGGCATTTATCAAGTGGGTCGGGCCTTGCTTGGTCATAAGTAAGCGACCCTAGACTGACCAGTCGATGCAGCGCCAATCGCACTCTGGTACCGATTCACTGTCAAGTGGCCGCTGACCTGGTGAGCCATTCATACTGCTGCTCGGTGTACCAGGACTAACTAGGGATACAGTCAGATTTCGATGGATCTTGGACAGTGAGTATACCTATCGGGACTGATGATGTCGGGCTGACGGTTTTTGTCCCTTCATTTTGCCGTCGACCATGCAGCTCTTTGAGAGTCAGTCACTTGCCCCCAACCTCCCTAGCTTTGCTCAGCTGACTTTTCTTCTCACAGCCGGCCTCATGACTTCCATCTCGGACCAGATCTACTCTGCTCTAGCACACCACGTCTCGTCAGAAAGTGCAAATTCGAAACGAATTCGCCAAGTCTCATTCTGGGGTTTACAACGAGGCGCCGAAGTCCTATTGGATACGTTGAGGAGAGCTATGGACCCGGTCCATGGGCAGTTGGCCACGATATGAGGGTCTCTCACAATTGTAAATCGAGAGTCATCGGTCTCATCCGCTAGGGGTGTGTGGCATTCAGCAGAGGCACGGAACTCATAGGGACATTCGGATTCATATTATACGAAACACACCGCATCTCATGAACGAATTTTACGATGCATTCCAAACGAGATCAGCAAGATATGGCATTTTGGAAACACGACAGGTGGCAAGCATTTTCAGACGCCTATGCATGCCAATGAGGCAGAGATATCCTCTCCGGTAGCCCCTTTGGGCCTGATTAGTTGTCAAGGAAGCAATTTTGGGCGACGGGAGTGAATAACCAATACACCGCGGTATTCGTCCCCGAGATTGTGTCCCCAAACATTCCTCCAAAACCCCTCAACCCTGATCAGGTGTGAGACGCCGTCACGACGAAGACATGATCTACACGATCTCAACGCTGTCACTTTTCTCGATCTTTGTGTACGCGCAAGATGCCTATTTGGCTGCGCAGAAAAGCCAGGCGACGACATTCGTCAGCTCCGATGGCGTCGAGGTATTTACCAAGCCTGTGTATGTTTCGGATAGCGAGTTGCACTGGCTTAGCGTGGACGACTATTCTACGGTCTGGTATTGCACACAGTATGGAGATAGCGAGGGATCGATGCGCTGGTATTCGCCCACGATCTTCATGGGTCCAACCCTAAATGATTCGAATCCAACGATAGCCTACTCGTCTTCGAGCATTGAATTTGGATGTGGAGTAGGATTACCAATGACCGACGGCATCTTCGATCATATCCATTCCGAGGCCGGCGAGTGTCTTGCTGTATCGCTCTACTCTTGTGCTGCCGAAGATGATGATGATGATGATGATGATGCACCTGAAGGCTGTCAAGGTCACTCAACGCAGGATATCGGTTTCATGCCATCATCATCCAGTGAGGCACAGCATTTCTTCGAGAATCAGAACGATTGCGTGGATCGTTGTCATCCTTACACTCGGCACGAGGGCGTTGGCTGTCCATTCTGTCCGGGCCCAGAGTGTCAGAGATGTCCTGGTTGTTCTTCCCCTTATGACAACGCCTAGGCTGGTGTGAGTGATACTACAGATTTGGAGTTTGTGTATGTATGTATTTGACTTTTCGGATGGAACCACTCCTTTCCTGTCTGACCATTTCAGACCGCATCAGCAGTCGCGCGATCCGTGTTCAGGGACTTTGAATCAGTCAACAGGAAGAATAATCCTCTCAATTCCTCGATCTTCCATTTTGCCATCCTGTAATAACACATCTGGCTTCATTTCGGCCACCCGCCTGATGTCCCGCTCCTCTATCTCATCTCACTAGCTTGGAAATCCTCCCACCACCACCTCACAATCGATGATTGCATCACTGCAAGACCAGAGGTGGTGGCAACCCATTAGCATATGTTCAAAATGTGATTTTGAGCGTGCCCTTAGCACCCGCGCCGCCCTGTAGGCATGAGCGGCGTGGTCTGATTTCATTGAGGGTTATCAAGGAATGTTCAAGAGCTGACTCCTCGTTCCTCTATCAAGTCGCTTTCGTCGCTGAAGTCACATGTCTGTCACCTCGATCAGCCCACTATCCGACAAAATCGCCACCAGATGGTAGTTTATCGTTGCACACCCATCACGCTGAGCTCTGTGCATCACCCACGCCAGGCTGTGCCACCGACGGCCATGACTCAGCCAAGCTGGCATATACGGTTGAAGCCGGCGGCGCGTTGGCTGTGAAGTCGGCCAAAGAGTTTTTCCGATTCACTCTGGCAGCTGGAGATGCCGCCTCAAAAAAAAAACACGATCTCAAACAACGCGAGCGCGCGTGTGCGCGCTTTGATCGCTTTTGATCCTGTCACTCGCTCCATGTGAATCTCATAGGGCTCATAGCTTCATAAAGAAGTTACACAGAGCTCTAGATGCATCTTTCTTCTTCTTCCATTTCATTGTTCATGCTCGACTCTTCCCCATTCCACCTTCTCTCTTCCGAGCAATCGTGTTCGACCTGACTTGCATCGACATTCTCACTCCTTCACGCTCCCTGCCTCTTTCGTTCCCTGTCAGACGCTCTTACTCCCCTTCTCATCACTGTCTTTTCTCGCTCCATCTCGTTCACTGGGTCACCTGCGATCCCATCATCACTGCTCCTGTCTTGTCATGTCGTCACCATTCTTTTTGAGCTGCTTCATTCCCTTGTCTAGATCAATCCATTCCATTCCCACTCTCTCTCTCTCCGCCGCCTTAAATCTGTTGTCCGTCGCGCTGACAATGTTCACTGTGACCTGTGTCGCTCTAGGTAGCCAACGGAGACTGTACCGTAAGTCAGTCTCTATGGATGCCGTCAAGCGCCCCCACCGCCCGCCCGATGCTAACATCTTCCGCAGCCCATCATCCATTCCCCCCTTTCAGATCAACTGAAGAATAGAAGAACCATCTCATGCCTTTTTCCCGCCAAAGCTGACAGCATCTCTATGTCTCATTCATTCGTCCGCAGTGGTTACACCAGACTAGCATGCTGCTGAGTCGTGTTACCATACCGTGACGCCGTCTACGTTCTTATAGCTTGCTCTCTGCTAGTTACTCTGCTTTCAAGAGTCGGGCTACTATATCTACTATACTAGTTTGAGTCGTCCCGCGAATTTCCCCCCCCCCGCGCCCCCCACTCACGCGACGTGCCACACGTCGGTACGCGTCGGTGTATCCGCGTTTTTAACTTTCAGGGTCAGTTGCCCCTTTTTGTGTGTGTCGTTCAGGGTTTTTTTTTCTTTGGCACACAAAGCGTGTACCGCGATTTTTTTTTGTGGAGTGGAGAAATTCGACGCGTTTTGAGGACACCGAGGGACGTGTCACGGTGTAGGGGTTGGGATGGCATTGAAGGGATAATACGGATGACATGAGCGGGGAGGACAGTTGAGGGCAGAGGCTGTGGTGGCGTAGAGAGAGAAGGATGATGTGAGTGAGAGAGGGACTGTCTGTGTGTCTGTGAGAGGGATGGGATTTGGTGTGTCAAAGGGACGTGGTTCATAGTCATGACGAGGTCTGGAACGGGGGTCAGGAAACACACTCCACTTTGGATCCATGTTGCTCTTCCGAACTAGAGGAGATTTAACATTCCGATAGACACCTTAACTCTACTGCATCATCATCATCATTCTCATCTTCCTGCTGCTCATTCACCGTCGATCAATCTCAGCAGCAGCAGCCATCCCCAGCCGCCAGCAGCAGCAGCCAGCGAGCTCCCAGTCTTGAAAAATTGCGAGGCGGAATATTGAGAAAAATTGAGCAAAAGAATTCAGAAAAAAGAGAGGAGGAAAACCTTGTTCCACCCTATTATAAGTGAGATTTTTTCCTGCGGCACTGCGACGAACCAGCTCTGGGCCCAATCTCGGATATCGTCATTCAAGGCAGCAGCAGCAGCAGCAGCAGCAGCAGCAGCAGCCACCACCACCGCCGCCGTCGTCGTCGACGTCGTCGAGATCCTGAACCTAGGTCGCCAAAAACCCAATTAAACCCAGCTTTCATTCCCCACCTCTCACTCTCACTCCCGGGATCCCGACCGGCCACAGCTGAAATTCAAGGAAAACCCGTTCAAGGAGAGGAGAGCGCGGGGGGAAGGAACTCGGGGGGCGCAAACGAGTCATTGAGTGAGTAAGAGACGACGCCTAAATCTGATTTCTCCCCCCTTTCTTTGCTGCCTGCCTGCCTGGCTCATTTCTCTACGGTTGAAGCTCGCCATCCCCGTAACATCAGCTGCCTGATTGTGTGGGCTTTTTGGGTGGACGGATGGAAATTCGACCAACAGCCTCATTGATTTCCCACCTGTTTTGCTTCTTGCAATTCACAAAAGATCGAGTTTGCAACCAGTGGGAGCGGTAGATTCATCCTCCAGAAGAGAGTCTCTGGGAGAGTTCCGAAAGAGTGTAGATCACACCCACTGCGTCTTGACGAGGTAGGTCTCTGATTCATCTCCCCATCCCTTGATCTGCTCCTCCTTCCCACTTATCGATCCTTTACCATTTCGCTCACACCTCTTCTCTCTGTCTCTCTCTTATTGTTCCAGCTGGACCGTCCCCACTCTTAGAGAGAAGTACCTCGCTGCTCGTCGCTCGAACTGCCAAGAAACCTTCCTTCTCATCATCATCTCACGCTGCGCTCGAGTGATCGTCGACGGGAAGCTTGCGATTAGAATCCGAATAGAGCGAGCAAAGAGAAAGTCGGATCCAACGAGTGACCTTGAGATAGGTTCGGTCGAAATCTAGGTGAGAGTTGTGGGAATCATCTATGCTCGTCTCTTGTCTTTATCTCCTCCCCTTGTCCCCCGGGGGAGATAACCAACTCCAGTCCAGCCTTCCTCGATAGGTCAGCTGCTCATTGCTTCCGCAATGACGATCATTTGACCAGAGGGAGGCAGGCGCAGGGAGGTCGAGGCCAGAAAAATAAAAAGCTTGCCACCTTGTTCACGTGCAGGCTGGAGAAGGCGAGGTGTATCCTCTCTTCCTTCTCTCTGTCTATGCCTGACCCCCGTATTGTGGGATGGTCTTTGCGACACACTGGTGGTTGTAGGAATGGTGGGGCGGTGAAACATGAGCTCCGTTTGTTTCCCATCATCCCATCATCATTTTCTTTCTGCTCCATCATCTTCTACTCCTACTCTATCCACCGTCAGCCAAGCATGGCGCCGCCCTCTTCCACCTTCAGACCCCTTCCCACTTCCTCTCCCATCAGCGAGCCTGATCCTCCCGTCTCCACTTCTGCCCATTTCATCCTCCGATACGATGACACACTCTCCCGTGGGACCATGCTGAGACTCCCTGCCCGTCCCGTAGAAACCTCCACTCCCTCCTCAGCATCATTATCAAACCGATCTCTGAAACCGTCTTCCTCCCGATACAATCCTACCACCATCTGTCCTCGCCTATTACCTGATTGCTCCAAGGCAAGGCGAAGACGAGATCAGATCAGTTACAAGGCGAGAATGCGAGGAGGAGTTACATTTGAAACTGTTCAACCTGCCCCGACATTCTCTGGAGAATTCACTACGCATTCCGGTTGGACCATGCCGAGGGGTAAAGAGTGAGCACTGGATCACACACCGAGAGAGGCGTTTCATCTGACCATCTGGTGTTCTCCCAGGCTTAAAGGGGATCATCCCGGCCCATCTCCAACTTATTCTAATATCGACTCTCCGGCCCTCTCCTCACCTTACCACATGCCCCAATCCATCGTCGTCCCTGGCGGATATCAAATGGTCTACCCTCAGATGACGCATATGCCTCAATCTGGTCAACGCATGCAAATGACACCAGGGGCCACTGCCTACTATGCGCCTCCAGACGTGTATCAGACCCCGACACCTCATCCTCGAGTCGGAAAATCCTCGCCATATGTCTTCCCGCCGAGTTTTGCCGTTCCTCAGGCGACGTTCGATGGTCAAGCTCAATTGTTGACCAATCCATCGCTTGCCCGATCGTACGATACGACCATCCCTCAGTACTACCCTGTCACAACCGATGGAAGGTGGTACAATGGTCAGGCATCCGTCGAACCTTCCGTCAAGCGAAAGAGGGAGAAGAAGGAGAAAGCGCAGGCGCCCCCCTCTACCGCTAAGAAGCCAAGAGCTTCTAAACAGTCTGCAAAAGCAGCTGCCGCGGCACGAGACAGTCCGGTACCGAAACGTGCGAGACACGAGAGCCATTCGAGCCAGGGTAGCTCGGTTCCTCATCAGTTGCCAACCCCACCATCGACAGGTCGAGATTTGGGCAAATTGAGTCTGCCTCATGAGGCGGACATGGAACGTTCTGCCTCCCCATCTGATGACAGTGGCACGATCAAGCGTCGAGGTGTTGTCGTCACGAGGCACGAGGTTGAGGGTCGAAAACTGGGCATTGTTGGCGCTTCTACCGGCGGAGAAGAAGAGGCAGCCCCTGTCAAGGTGGAATTATCACCCAGAACGACCACTATCCCCGCCATCACGACCGATGCGAATGGTATGGCCGTCTTTTCCACCGATCAAGTGCTAGAGAGTGAAGTCGCTTGGATGGAGTACTCGCGTGGTCAGAGTCCGCCATCGTCTCCTGACATGGTCCAGCTTCAAACACCTCACTTGCCTCACGACCACCACAACATGCTCATCGAAGATCAAGAAACTCCCATCACTCGAGCAGAGAGGACCGACAAGCGATTAAAATTGTTCAATGAGTCTGATGAAGTTAAGGACGACGCCATGATATCCACTCGGATTGAAATGTTTGGTCGTGTCGCCGTCAGAAAGAACGTGGCCATCAAATTCTTGGGACTGGACCCGAGTCGGTCCAAGGCTCTGATCGAGGAGACTGCTGCCGACGACGGCGAAGGATCTTCCAGTTGGACTGTACGTGCCGATCGACCTGGATCATCTAAACTTGTCCGACCGAGCTGGCCAGATACAGAAGCTCCTTGGGCTCTGGCTGGAAGCAGTCGTAAGGTCAAGATGATGAGGGAAGAGAAGGAGAAATCTGCTGTCATCCGACGATACCTCGAGACTGCTTCAGACGAATCATCGGACGATGAAGTGTCGTTCCGCTCGGCGGTACCCAGTCGCAGCAGCAGCAGCAACAACAACAACAACAACAGCAAGGGCAAGAATGTCCAACGTCAACCGGAGACGACTCGTGTCCCTAATCGAGTTTGGCCTAACCCACAAGCTGATGCTCGAACGGCTCTGCTCACATCTATCCGTCATCGTCAACTGCCTCCTATGCCAGTCGGCAAAGTTGCTTGTGCCTGCGGTGCTACCCAAGCCATCGGTGTCAGTCCAATGGTCGAATGCTCAGGCTGCAAGACGTATCACCACTTGGCATGCTGTGGCATCGGTGACGATGCCATGGTTGGACCTCAATGGTGGTGTCCTCGCTGTCAATCTGCCGCCATGGTCATCTCCACACCTGCACGAACTTCGACTCCACGAGTCTACACTCAATCGGACGAAAGGAGCAGCGCATTCAAGGGCGAAATGCACAACATCGCCCTGGCTCCCTCACCAATGTTTGTCAACTCTGCGACGTTTACTCAACATGCCCAGCACACACCTTTGAACCGAGCCATGGCGTCCCCTTCAAGCAGACAACATCGATCTAGGGTCTTGTCTTACGGCACAGATATGTGGGCGTACACGGAAGACGGTGCGCCATCTTCCGTCCTCCCATCCACTCCGCGACCCGCGAGAGCCGATCGATTCTCCACGCCCAAGATTGAAGAAACTCCATTTGATGTGACTTCTACGCCATCTCGTCACCTCGACTTCAATTTCGGTCAACCATCTCTATTCTCCTTGACACCTCTCGGTGCGAGATCTCGATTCGGCTCCTCTCTGCTCGAAGCGACCCCTTTCCCTTCGAAAGGATCCGCGGGTAGCAAGAATCATCTGTCCGATGGTATTTCTCGACACGATTTCCTCAAGGAACTCGGCAAGGGCGAGGGAGTCGCTGGTGCTGCCATTCCTGGATCCCCCGCGACGCCAGGAACGAGATGGCCTCATGCGTTGCTTGGAGCTCATAACTTGTCGCCGTCACCGTTTGGAGGTAGAAAAGCCTCTGGACCCGGAGGCAAATTAAGCAGTATGAGAAGTAGTTCAAAATCAGGGCTAGGGTTCGGTCTGCCCATTGGCGCGGACACAGAGGAGGAATAGAGAGTGGCGATCGCTTTAGATTGGTTCTGAGACTGTGCATGATGGTGAGTTGAACCGACAATTCACCCTTTTGGCTCGAGCTCATGCTGGACTTCAGTTCGAGTTCGACTTGATGTATATTACGATTTGGATTTTGGAAATGGGCTTTTGCGATGGCGATCGGATCACGGGTCTTTTACGGTGATGTGACAAAGTATGGCATCCGACGATCATCACGCATACGGCCCTTCAGTCTGGAATGGAAGTGAAACGTAGAGTCTTCCATGGACACAAGAAATGCTTCAGGTGCTTGCTTGCTTGGTGCCCTCTTCTCGGTTGGCAAGATACGTGCGTAAGAGTGATGAAAGCTGGAATGATCACACCAAAAAAACAACAACACAATATATAGTAGTACAGGATCTCATGGCTATAGAAGGAATAGCTTGAGATCTGGCAATGGTTCTTTCTGGACAGTGTGTGTCTCGTGTTTGCTAGTTGCTAAGGGACATGATGTATCGATCTTCTTTGCATGCACCTATTTGGGTCGAAGAGAACAGGCGGGATATCGATGTCCGCGGAACCAAATGTTTCGCAAGTGACTGCAGTAGCTCTCATCCCCTTTGTACTGCTGTGTCTGTCTCTCTCTCTCTCGCTCTCTTGAATACATCTCTGACGGTGACCCCGATGTGTCCCTGAGACGACAAGGCTCTCACATGCTTATACATTGCTGTTGTGAGCTCGAGATCCGTCGCATGTTTCCTTAAAGTACAATTCCCCATCGACAGCTCTGACGATTTGGATCACTCGCGAGCCCTCTTTCCGCTGTTGTGGCCATTGGAGGATCGAGAAGCTGGCTTTCCCCCCTTTTCGTTTCGACGAGGACTACCACTTTCGCTGCGGGCCTACCTTGAGACATCCCCATTGACCCTCATGGATTTGGCTTGATGGGTTCAGCAGCATCTTCTCTCCCTCCCGATGACCCGCATTCAATGTCTCTAAACCCTTCGACGTCCAATCATCAGCAAGAGACACAAAGATCTTCAAATCCTTCCAGCTCGTTTGGAGCGACGAGACATGATGCCGACCATCGACCATCCCTCACTGGTCTTTCCGTACCGTTCTCCAAAGTTGACTTGACCTCGAGCTCATCCACGTCAGTATCAGCGGCGACGAGACGGAACATCAATCCGACTGATCAGTCTGCCAGTGTCAGCGAGTATGAAAGTCGACACACCCGCACTCGTCATCGAAATGCCCAAGTCGAAAGGGAGGAAGGAGAGATCAGCGACGATGATGATGATGATGGCGGCAACGATGAAAATAGTGTCGTCGTCGTCGTCGAGCCGACCAATTCGAATACATCTATCCGTTCGCTCCCTGGTCCGTCACGCTCCTCTGGTCTCCCTAACAAGCATCCTCGTGGAGGTGGTAAACGCGGACGACCCTCACCTGCTCCTATCCCTCCGAGAGGACAACCTATTGACAGGACGGTAGATCGGGAACGAGACAGGGAGCGAGATCGTCTCAGGGCTCGAGGGCGAGGGACGCCAAGAGGAAGAGGAGGAAGAGGTGCCCCCATTCCCCCTCCTCCTCCTCGTGGTGGCGGTGGCGGTGGTGGTGGTCGTGGTGGTGCCAGCGGTGGAAGAGTAACGGACCATGTGTTTCATGATCAAGGTCAGAGGCAGGCCTCCTTTGGAGATCGAAATAGACCTTCAGACATATCGCCCAGACGTTCTTCACCTCCTCGTCAGCCTCTCTACCCTCCGCCAGCATCGCAATCTGCTCCTGTGAGCCCTTACACCCACGGACCGGTTCAACCACCACCGCCTGTGCATCCTTATCCGGGATACCAATATCCATCATCTTTCCATCCACCGCCAGCGTCCCTTCACAATCAACTAAACGCTCCTTCTGGACCGAGATACCCTGTGCCGCATGGATCTCAACAGATATTCCGACCACCACCTATCGACTCATCAACGCCCGCCTCGGTTCCCAGCTCATCTCGTTCATCTTTCGTCACCCCTATGCCTGCTCCGGTGGCAGCGGCTCCAGAAGGCAGGTTCTTGAAGTATCACCGATGTTGCTAACTTTTCCAGACATTTCCCCAGACGAAGCCCAGCAATACATGAGCATCATCCGTAATCTGCTCCAGGAAGGGTTCACCCCTGAGCTCTTGGTCGAACGCGGAGCGACTCCCAAATACGTTACCGCCGTCTGTCAAGAGATCGTCGAGGCGCAACAACATCGTAAATCAATATGGATGGGTACGAATGCCATCGCCGGCCCGAGTCGACCTGTGACTTCCACTAATCCTCCTCTTGTTGCGGCCTCCTCTGTTCACCCTAACACTCGACGATCACCCAGTCCCACCGTGAAGGTTCGTCAATCTATCCCCATGGATCGGGGATCGAGTTTATCCTCTGAAGGTTCAGCGGAGATCGTCTTGCTTGAGGATTCCCCGCCACGCCATCAGGGGCTACCCGCATCTTACCCTCCACCCCGTCTGGTTCCCAGTTCTCACTGGGCGCCACAACCTTCTTCTTCCAATCCACCACCATCGATTCCGCCGCCTGCAGTGGCTGCGACCTTCAGCGCCCTAAGTGCTCCTGTCCCTCCGTCCAATCTAGCTCCTCCAATCCGGCCGTTTACTGCACCGCTCGCAGCAGCACCTCGAGCCATTAAGATTGAGTCGTACAAACCCGCATCGCCCGTCCCTATCCCGGACATTCCCGCGGGCAATACTCATCGGCCCAGTCAGATCAGTGTCAATGGCAAGGTCCCACCGTCGGGACCTCGCAGCTCGACTGGACTCCATCGACGAGGCTCAAATCATGCGCTATCGGTACCGTCAGTCCAGGTCGACAGCGGCAGTGCTTCGCCAAATAAGCGACCTCGACACTTATCGCCAGAGCGCGAGCGGATTGCGCATTCTCCAACCTCTGTCATCCCAGTTCAAAGTGCTGCCATAGCGCCACAGGTAGTGATTACCCCTGCAAACCAGCACGGTCGATCACCCTCCCTATCCAGTGGATCAAGCCGTCATCCGTTGCCAGAAAAGCCATCTCTCGAATTATTCCTAGAGCCAGATCTGACGAAGTACGACTCCCAGCCATCCTTTGTCCCGTCTTTGGTACCTTCAACTCGCACTACTGTCGCTGCGGACTTGGCGGCGAAGCACGCAATTCTCGAAACTCGTCGAAAGGCCTTGGAGAGTATGCGAGCGCGTCGAGCGCAGAAATCAACAAAGCGCATGGCCGGCAGTGCGTCACCTATGGACGTGGAGGTGGACATGGAGATTGACGTAGATGTGGCATCGGAGAATCCGGTGTCGGCTGCTGCCGATGCCGCGTTAGAAGAAGCTGCCGATGCCGCTGCTCAGAAGAGCATCGAAGATGAAGTAGCGGATTTGGAGCAGGAGGTCATGGGATATGAGTCGGTCCTTGCAAAACAGGCGGCTGCAGCAGAAGTGACATCAAACGATGCTGAGACGAAATCGAGTGCACCTCCAACAGCTCTGGAGGACCAAACGAAGACAGAGTTCGTCGATATGGACGTCGACAGCGACGAGCCAGAGGAAGGTGAACTTTCACCTGATCCTGTCGAGCCTACCCCAGACGTGCCGATCCGCCGAGTCCGCGGTAGACCCGCAGCGGAAGATCTCGACTCACGACCCGTATCTGCACCCGTTCGGACTCGGCGTAAACCATTCGGCGCACCTCAACGTGCCAACAAGCTTATTTTGGCTCTGGACGATGACTCGGAATCGGATTCTGAACCTGAAACGTCCAATGATCAGGCTGAACGTCGGGCCGAGATTCTCAAACGCCTCGCGGAAGAGAAGCAGAATACTCCCATCCCACTCCAACTGACCCTCTCATCTGAGGGCACGACAGATTCGAGAGGTGCTGGTCAATCAAAGCTCCTTGCGTTGGCTGAACAAGAGGAAAAGATCCGATTGTTAAAGGAACAAATCGCGCTCAAGCTGAAAGCAAAGGAAGCCGCTAGATTACGAGCCGCACTTGAGGGTAGGGGAAAGAGTGAAGGTCAGAGTAGTCGAGAGAGTACTGCAGGAGTCGAGGAGAGGACGGACAGTGCTCGAGAAGGATCGCTGGTGAAGCCGACGATCGACGTTGGGATCAAGCAGGAGGCAGTGGAGTCTGCGGCAGATGTTGACGCGGTCGAGACGGGTGAAAGTGGACGAGCAGATGATGAACGAGGGGTTGAGACACCTGAAGGAAGGCAATTCTACGCGAACAAAGACAATTCTGGTGCGTTTGACTCGCTCAACGTCTCGATCACCTAACGTTTTCTGACATTCTTCAGCATTGCCGTTACCCCCAGCTGGTCTGTCACGACCAGGTCAAGCTCTATGTGACGACTGACAATCCTACAGATATATCCATAACCCGACCAACTGCACCCGATGTACGTCTGATCTTGGAGCCGGTCTAGCAGGTAAGAATACTCCAGCTCAACATTTCTCTCTCCAGGTCGGCCACCAAATCTCACCATTGGATGACCGGTTGCCCTTTGCAGTCCCGGTAGCTCCAGCACCTGTCGTAGGTCAAGACTCTTGCGATGGTTGGAACTTAACGTATTGTCCCCATAAGCCCTTTGCGCCGTATCAGGGAATCACAAGTCGATACCCTCAGCTCTTCCATGATCGAGCAGCCATCAAGCAAGCTCGAGACGGCCGGGTAGCTGTCGACATTACCTCAGAACACGAGCAAGATGACCCTCTACTAGTCCCCCAGAGGAATATCCTACGTGGGATCATGCTGACCCGCATAACGCATGATCAACCCGATGCGTCAATGTGCGCTGCAGAAGTAGGAGGAGGCACCTGTGCGGATCCGTCGTGTGACGCTGTACACTTTCACCTGGAGCTGGATCCTACTGGTGAGCGAGATCTGAACCAAAGACTCTTGATGCGTCCAGGAAAATAACCCATGCCCAGCTGAGGATCTGGTCGCCTACGTGTCGCAAGTGAGCCCTCGTCCAGTGGAAGAGTCTACCGTCAAGCGCGCCGTGGACCTTGTCCTCAAGCTGTCCAAATCGAGAGCTTTGGTGGGAGACGTCAAGAGTACGAACAAGGACCTGAGCAGCTCTGACAAAGGTAAAGGGGCCTCAAGAGACCATACCAGCGGCGAGTACAAGCCGCAGCCTGACAGCGCCGCCGAGAATGAGAAAGACAAGTTGGAGAGTCTGACTTTGACATTGAAGAAGATCAGCCATGCTTTGGGCCTCGCTTCCCGGTGATCGTGCGAGAGATCCAGTGAGGAGGACCATCAAAACTCCTGCCTTGTCAATCCAGCTATTCTGGGGCACAGAAGGTGCAAGGGGACCAGAGCCTCTTGACGATGAATGCGAATCTCTGAAAGAGATAACAATTCACGTCGTCGAGCACGAAACCATTCGACACGATCCAGAGCCCCCATCCTCTTCTTTCCCCTTCACAAACATACATGTACATCGTCATCCCTCATCGTTTGTAGTATAATCATCCTTCCTCCAATCCATGCATTGTGATCATCTGAGACCGTGATCCCGGTCAAAAAGCTCTTAGTCCGGTGGGTAAGCATTGGAGGGGGGAAATTGGCGGATGCTACGAATGCATCGCCGGATGACCGGAGGATGCGGGACCGGCAATCTTCCTACATCCCATGGCGCTGCTGATCACGTTTCTGGATTGATTCCCAGATACGGACCTGTTTGATCACTTTGTCTTTCGCTCAGAATGTCGACTGCTGTACCTGATCAGGGAGCAGCCCTCTGCACCGGTGTGCGCAATCTCGCCATGGTACGGGCAGGCAGCCTTCAAGCGCCTCTCGTCCGGCGAAAACGTGACTTTCAAAACTACATGCTTCTGCGAGCATACGCATCTAAGTATGTGAAGCTGCCTGAGCGATCGGGCTTTTCTACATACTGTACGATTACTCGGATCATAATTCAACCTCGACGTTGATTAGTGGCTTTGAGTGAAAGCAATAGAGACTGTCCGTCCATCCAGAGTCACAATCTCCGAAGGTCGCGATGTGAACGACCGAAACGCAGCAGAGATCCCTTGACGAGGTCTGACTTCTTCTGGATGCTCCGAGAGGTATTCCGCCACGACAACGTTCACGAGCTTTGCTGCTTTGGTCGAATCGCCGAGAAATTCAGCTCGGTGTGGGAAAGAATTTGCATCATGGTCGTAATCTGTTTCGTCCATGAACAGGTCTTCCGACGGATCAGCGAACGGATTTGCTTCTCCAGATGGACTTGACGATTGAGCTACTTCGCCTTCGTCAATCGCATCACGGATGATCCTTCTTTGCTTGTTCAGTTCTGACTCGGCTTCCAAATCCTGTCGGACCTTGCTCTTAAGCAACGCCATGACACTGTCGTGACCCGCTGTAGAAAGTCTCATTGGCTGCCACTGGTAGCCTCCAGAGGGCTGGACCGAGATTGTCGTCGGGATGCCAATACTGGTGGTTGTACCATCATGAGTATGATCTACAGACTCGACAAAGTAGTCAGCTGTCGATTCACCATTCGACGTTGTGATGTTTGAGGCCTGGGTCTGAATGCCTCGCGTCAGAGCAGACTTGACCTCCTCAGCGTTTGCCTTTCTGTCTTTGTTCTTGTCAGACAAGTAAGCAAAGATTGGCCTGAAATCAGCACCGTAGTATGACATATCCAATGAAAGCCGGTGTGAGTGTTCTTGAGCGTAATTTCAGAGCGAAGGCAAAGCAGGAGGCAGTCAAAATGTAGTCGGGGAGGATGGCAGACCGGTGGTAGGCTGTATTTATACATGGACCAGGCGTGTGTAGAGTGGGAGGATCAGCGACCCTTTCACGTTGCCACATCGCAGCACCGACTTGTTCCACCTCCCACTCAAGTGTGACCAGACAGATCCTTTCAGTGAGATTCTCCTCTGGTATCTGTGTGAATATTTCGACGAGGACTGAATGCGCGTGACGTGATATCGAGCATATTCCTTGACCGGAGTATACAGTATAATAGGACATTCTTGGGGGGAACTTCGGAAGGTTTGCTTGAGCTCGTCGTTGGGACGTTCCTTTGGCGTGCTCTAGTCCAGCGACGTGTCAGAAGTCATGACGACAACTCCGTCTGCGTGAGGTCACGAATCCTTTTATCATCGGTCCCCTTCGAGGGCTTGGCAAAGGTTGCTCCTGGACTTCGGTTTCAGCAGTCGAGCGGCTCCGTCTTGGGTAGAGCATGGGTCAAGCCACCCATCCCACTTTGTGCCGCGGCTGTCCCGATGGGCACCGTGAGACCTCAGCAGATGAAAGGATGAGAGGCGGGATGGACTCCCAAAGAGGTCCTGGTCAAAGTGTGAAGGGCCATCGCCCGTAAGCAAAGGTTCACTGTAACGGTCTGCCTCCGCGTCCTCCGCGTCGCCGTTCACACGAGTCCCGCAAGGCACCTATGCAAGGTTACCGTCTTGGGGTTCACAATCTTCATTGTCGTGCGCCTCAGAATCCGCTCAGCCATCGAGTTCCTGCTTGACAACGATATTGTATTTTCCTGTCCATTCGGGGATACTCGACAGTGCTGCCTCGGGGTTCACAGGAGGTCTATCATGAAAGGGATATCCGGGTGGTCGATTCTTAAGTGGGATATTCTGGACCTTATCCGCATTGACTCGACCCTGAAAATCGTCATAGTATTTACGTATGGCGAAAGGCGAGAGGTTGAATTCCTGTGTGCGAAAAGAACAAGGTCAGCAAGGCTACCCGGCCATAAGGCATTATTGTTGCGTACTCACGCGAGACGTCTTCCAAGTTGAAATCATGACGCTGAGTGGATCCAACGGTCTCCCAGGGTATTTTGACCTAGCTTCACACCACATGCCATGGACTCGGGTCAACATACATTGTTTGACAGTATCCAAATTCCCCATCACTGCGTCCGATGGAGATGGTATGCCCATCCTTGCGTGTATGTGATCGAGGAAGAAAGTCCACATGTTCTGAATCTCATCGGCGGACTTTTCACCAAGTTTTGACGGATTGTACTTTCCTGTCCTCTGAGGCGTAGGCGATGACTCTTGGAGTTTCTGTCGTGATGACTCTTGGAGTTTCTGTCGTGCTACCTGCTTGGAGGAGGCAAGTTGAGAGACTGAAGATGTGGGGATAGACCGGATGGAGGAGGATCCGCTAGATTCGACGGTATCCGCTCGTATTGTTTCAGGGCCAGCCCGAGGGTTCGGTGGATTGATAGATGCTTTCTTCTTTCTGGCACTGGCGACCAGCTCCACTGAGACGATGGCTCTTCTGGGTCTATAGGCCCCAGCTTTGAGGCTTGACCCAGAACCTTCCACTTGTCGAAGGGATTCCGAAGCGACAGAAGCACTAGATGCCAAGCTGGCTGCTGCCTGGTAGCTGGATCCCTCAGACACATCCTTCAAGGATGCTTCTTCTTCTCCCATTGACGTTGTCTTGACGGTTGAAACCCTCTTCCGCTTCCTAGCAGCTGGACCTCCCTTCTTCCCTGGACCAGATGACGCTTTCAGAGTGGATCCTGTAGAGCTACCTGGCTTGTGATCCAGAGCCTGCCACTCGTGCCATCCACTCAAATCCCAGAAGGTCATATCTGCCACTCCACCCACACGAAGACATTCTTGAGCCCAGTACCCACACAAGACGTGCCTCGCTTCCCTATGAAAGATGAACCCCATTTGGTCCTGCGTAGGGTGGGAGGAGCATCCCTTGTGCGGCGGTAAGAGATCCAAGAGGATATGCGTAGCATCACCAGGTACAGCAGCGATACATTGTGCCTACCATCTGCTGTCAGTCTCGCTGACATTGGACCTCAATGTCTACGTCAAGGACTCACCTCGACTTGAGAGATGAACAGGTGCCTCATGGGAACATCTGGATGGATGTAAATCTTCAGGGGCTGACCGTCTTCTTCAAGTAGGAGAGGAGCACGAGGTACATCCACCTGATGTATCCTAGCCGCCATTGCAGTCCTTGAGATTGGTGCAAGCTGAGCACCACCTCGCTGTCCCAAGGCCGCTGCTTAGATCATAAGAGTTCAAGCGAAGATGAGATCGCTGAAAGTTAGGCGCGCTGGCATCAGGTCAGCGGAATCAAATATCTTTTCCCAGTGCAGACGCCAGCAAGTTCTGAGACCGTCGGTCCGGTGAGTTTATCTGGCAGGTATATAATAGTGATCCGACTTGGTCCATCGTTGCGCGATCTTTGTGCTTTTGGTTTATCATTGACAATGGCCAAAGTCGAGTTGTATGTCTATGATCTCTCAAGAGGCATGGCCAAGTCCATGTCTCAGATGTTGACTGGCAAACAGATTGACGGGATATGGTGAGTCTAGCGTGTGCCCGAACAGTGGCAAATGAGCAAAGGGGCTCACTCATGCTTGTAGGCATACGTCCGTCGTGGTATTTGGTAGAGAGATATTCTATGGACAAGGTATACTTGAAGCTCGACCTGGGACGACACATCATGGTCAACCGCTTCAGAGGATCGATTGTGGAATAACTCATATTGATGAACCGACGTTTCAAGAATACATTACCTCCTTGCAAGAAATGTACACTGCCGAGGCATACCATCTGATGGATCATAACTGTAACAACTTTACAGCCGATGTAGTTGGATTCTTGACCGGAGGGACGATACCCTCGTGGATCACGGGTGAGTCTTCGCTTACTTCCTTCTGGCGGCGAGGTGGGCGAACGATGTCTGACCGATTCTTCTCTTTTTTCTGGGCGGACAGGTCTTCCAGCCGAGTTCCTCTCTACACCTTTTGGACAAGCTATGAAACCTCAGATTGATGCCATGTTCAAACGGACAACACCGAACGAACATCGCCCCGGACCTACTTCCCTGCCCACTCCTCCAGCATCAGGGTCTAACACTCCCCTGTCCAACTCTCTCCTCAACTCGATTGCTGCGCAAGCTACTGCCGGACCATCCACACCAGCTCCTACACCGCCTAATCCTGAGACGTCTCCTCTGTCTCTCGTAACGAGCTTGACCAATTTTACCTCTACTCTTCAACAACATCCCGCGGTCATTGTAAATTTCACGAATACGCCGACTTGTCCACCTTGCCGGATGATTAAACCTGTTTACGAGGCTATCGCCGGGGAGCACGCTGCGACTTATGGAGCCAAAGGAGCGAGATTCCTTGAGGTAGAATTGTCAGTCGGAGAAGGTCAGACAATAGCTGGGAAGTATGGGATCAGAGCTACACCGACGTTTCTCTTCTTCAAGCACGGAAAGAAAGTCGACGAGATGAAAGGAGCTACGAAACGAGAGCTCGAAATCAAGGTCGAGGAGTTCCTGGAGAGCGTATGGCCGAGACATCCTCACCGCAAAATATACCTCTCAGCGATCGAAGCGATACCCACTGCCCCAATCTCATCAACGACTATCCCGAATTACTCTGCCCTTTTAGGGAAGTTGGAGAGCTTTGGAGCGGATCCATCCGCCATGCAGCGATTGAGGTCCCAAGTAGTTCCAATACTGGAAGACAAATTACAACCATCAGATCAGGCATTGAGAGAGATTCTCAGGTCCTGGAACGAGGATACTGTCAAAATGCTCTCAACGCTGAAATCAGTCGATACATTTCCAGTGATCGATCTGTGGCGCGTCGCCGTGTCAAAGCAAAGCATCGCCACGCTACTTGCTTTCGAGCTCGCGAACAATTCAACAGAGATAGTCATCAACCCGCTCTCTCCCATCTTGTCGCTCGTCTCAAAGGTCTTGAAAGAACAAGGCACGCAAACGCCTAAACCTCTCCTTCTCACCACCCTTCGACTACTGACCAATGTACTCGCATCACTCCCGCTCTCCAATCTGATCCTATCTTCCTCTTCTCCGGAGCCGATCGTGTCCCTACAATCCGATCTCATGTCCATCACTGTGGAGTCTCTTCTTCACGCCGAGACAACGGTCAGGAGTGCCGGCGCAGGTGTAGCGATCAATATCGCCAGCTGGCGACTCCGAGCTGCTAAAGCGACCTCCACTCAGCCTGAAGATCGAGCTGAGGAAGGGTGGGAAGTAGAGCTAGTCAGCGGGCTGATGGAGAGTATATCGAGGGAAACGGATGAAGATACAAGTGAGCCGGGCCCACGTCGGTTATGGATCTGATAGCTGACATGCCCTCAGTCCATCGGCTACTCGCTGCACTTGCCTTGACGCTTTACCTTGCGCCAGGATACACGGAGACGCTCCAACCGCTTGTCGAGGTCCTCGGCGTGAAAGATGCCATAGAGAGCAAGGCCAAGGGGTTGAAGAAGAAAGAAGTGAAGAAGCTTGCAGAGGAGGTAGCGAGTAAGTTGTGTGTGTAGACCAGGCGAGGTATACGTGGGGACTGTGACTGGATCATGGCATGTTCATGTAAAGTTGTAACGACTAGGCGTCTCATTTGATATATATATTTTCTGCCTCACTGCCGATCTGAAACATTTTTGTATGATTCCCTCAGACGGCCCCTGTTTCATTTTCCGTCGAAGCGCTGCTCCACCAAGCGTCTCGTCAATTTTGGTCTCTGGATCCAGTCTTGACATTGTGACATGTCTTAGTCAGTGTTGTCCAAGGGGTCTGGATTCACAGATGATTCAATATCCCCCTTCATTGCGATGTTCATCCATACTCTCAGGCCCCCGAAGGCCATCTATCTGTACCTCACTTCTAGGCTTGGACCCCTGCGTTGATTGATGGTGTCAAAGGCAGTGGCGTTGGAAGAACAGGATACCGCTCATTCCATTCTGCCCCTTCCTCGCTGACTTCTCTCATCTATGAGCATTATTGAACGTGTCGACCTCGACATGACTCATGTCACAGAGAGGTCCCGGACGCAGAATCGACTTCGTACGTCCACCTCAACACCATCACTCTCATCCACCACTGCCGCCGCCGCCGCCGCCGCCGCGTATAATGCAGGCATCGACATCTTCTCCTCATCTAACATCACCACAACATCATCATCCAATCCCCCCAGCTCAAAGACCTTGGAATCTCCCAAAAGACCCGCCACGCCTTCCGAGTATCGATCCTCTCCTGTCCGATATCATGCCAACGCACATCCATACGCTATCCATTCATCCAGTACGTCCATCCTCACACGAACCAATTCTTCCCCCTCCAAAGGACTCGATCCCGTTTACTATCGACCGACGAGGCGTATGAGCTCGTTCCAAGGTGTCTTGGATGACGGTAAAGAAGGAGCATCACCTGGACCCGAGGTGCCGGAGAAACCTAGGATCAAGTTGAAGAAGAGCTGGTCAATCTCTTCGTTCAGCGAGGAGAAGCCAAAGGAGGTATTGGGGAAGCCTTCTATTCCAGTGAGTGGACTGTGGAGCTTGGAGGTCTTCGAGCTGACCAGTATCGCCTCAGTCGAATCCCAAGACATGGATGCGTGAGCTAATCCCTGACTGCCAGAAACACCAGCTGATCCCTTCCGCGACCAGCTTCAGATCTCTCAGCGTACCTCAATTGGGCACTACGCTCTGGTGATACGGGGCTCACCGATGACGTTGTTCCACTCCCCCTGGTCCAAGATATCAGTTCTTGGATCTTTAGGCATCGCGTGACGGGCAGAGATTTCCTCAATGTCCATTCGGACGTATGGTCAACGTCTCGCCCGCCACCATTCATGTCCCTTCTCTTGACCATCTCGAGGCGTATGAGACGATGTTCAGTACAAGGTGGGGGCCTGAAGACATCCTACCATCGAGGCGAAGCTTCCGTATTTCAAGAAGAAGAATCAGAGGGGCCATTCATTGCCGCCGGTGATGAGGATGATGATGATGAAGAGGCCGATTTCGACAAAATGAGCGGTGTCAAACGCCTTGCCAAAGTTTTTGAATCAAGAGCAGTCGATGGTTCTGGATCCGACGCGGGTCTCGATGATAACCTGATCAATATACCCTTGGAACCACAATGGACAGGGTCCAGCACGACGTCGTCGGCTGCTGGTTGGGAGCGTTGGGGAGTCAAGAGACGTTTCAGTGGACGATATGTCTCATCGGGGTTGGAATCTCGTGATGCGTCTTCCAGCTCGAGCGTGCCTGCCGCAGTGACTACGCAATGTGGTATGGAGAAGGACGATACAGCGGACAGCAAGAGTCCTCCTCCACCTTACGCTTCGCCAGCTTTGGATCTTGTACCACGCTCCGCGGACATCTTTGCAAGTGTATCGGAATCCAGCTCCGCGATTCGCGCTTCGGAGACCAGTCCACGTCCCAGCACACCACTCTCACCAGCCCCTGAACTCCCAATGGAAAGCGATACTTCTTCGAGCTTTTCGCAGAGCAATACTGAGGCTCATGCTAGGGAGCAAGTGGAAAGCTATGCCACACTCAGAAGACGTCAAAGACCCACGACGCCAGCGAGCTCCAGTGCTCCTTTTGACCTCGAGCACAAGGAGACCGAATTTGACGTCGCCGACGAGTCAGAGTGTCAAGACAAAGATTCGGCTCGGAGGACGACCTTGCGCCCGAATGAGTCCCAGATATTGGGGTTCCATCGCTCTCCGCCAGGACGTTCGCTCATTGACCAAATACCCATCACGACCGCCGCGGCCATTGACCGGATGACGCCTGACTTGCAAGATCGGCTGGACGAGATCTATGCTCGGATTGAGCGCTTGGAGCAAGACAAGGCGGACTCGGAGGAGGCGACGACGACGAGAACTATCCACAGCTGGAACGATATTCGAGCGACCTTTGGGAGTATGGATAGCCTCGAGGCGTACCTTTTGAACGTATCTCGAGGGAATGTGGGGAGTCTGAAGGTTCTGGCAGGGGCTGTATTTCTGACTGGTGTGGGTCTAGGCATCTTAGCCGGTAGTCTGTTGAGCAGGCGAGGGCGTTAGTCAGAAAGTCGAGTCCGAGGGGTGAATAGAAGTCGATTCAGCTAGATACATATCAGATGCAGTGGCAGCGCCACAGATTTGGCCAAGAAGAGCCTTGAAGATGAGCTGCAAGCATCGGAGGCGAATTCAGAAGCGTTGTAGGAGGGACGACGACTGAGCAATCGCTCCTGACCGCCCCTATACGTTCCCGCAGTATTCGCATGTTCACCGTTTCCACGTCTGTTGCCAACGAACGACTCTCAACATCCCCCGGGACGCCTAGGTGACCTGATCGCCGATTGGGGACCCCGCAGATGTCATATATCTTCTGCCGAGAGTTCGGCCGCCGAGCCGCCTTCGTCGCTCGTTTAAGTGTGCTTATGGTTCACCCGCGTCCCGAGAGATCGAGATCGTGAAGAGTGTTGCTGTCAACTGAGCAAGCCGATAGCCTGACGAAAACGACGGTGAGTTGTCAAAACCTCGGACTGATGACATGTGGGGACTGTAGCTGACGTCTGTGACTTCCTTGGTGATCTTTTGTCTTCCCGGTCGCTCCCGGTCCTCGATCGTCATGGATCCTACAGTCTTCGTCAGCGATCACGAAGAATTGAAAGGTCTTTGTTCTTCATTTCTCTTCCCATCCAACTGTCTGATTCCATCGTTGAATTCGGACCTCGGAGCAAGATGAAGTACCTTGCAGTCCTCCTTCTCCCACTTGCCATCTCGGCACCTACCGTACAAGACAACCACCAAGGACAGGCGCCAAAGCACTTGTCTACCTCGCAGAGGATTTTTATCCCGTCATCCTTGTCAGAGGGCCTATCAAAGCTCAGTGGTCTGACCTGGAAGACCGCTGGAGAGATCGTCGAGTCTTTCGAAGACCAAGACGCAGCGGATGTAGTCTCGGAAGATAAGACCATCTGGCAATTGTTGAAGGATGATCCTGTCAATTTCTCAAAGCTCATCAAGGTCGTCGAGGTGGGTCCGAGAAGATTTGTGGAAGAAAAAAACCTTCGCTTTGATGAACCGTGAATGATGCTGACACTCTTGTTTCTTCAGTTCGTCGGGGATGAACCTCTTAAATACCTTGATGGCGATAAACCCATCACTTTCTTCGTGAGTCATTCCATTCCGGTGAACACTGGGTTCTTACCCAGGATGGATGGATTACCTGAGCTGATGATCTTCTTGACAGGCTCCCAATAACGAAGCGTTGACTCCACCTGGACATGGGCCTGGTCATCATGGAGATCACGGACATCACGAGTATGACTTGGCAGAAGTGGGTAGTCTGTCTGTTGTTCGATCCAAAGTATCGACGGTGGTGTTCGATCCATTTACTCTTCCTTTAGCTCATGTCGAACCCCTCCCTTGCTTCCATTTCGGCACTTTTGGAAAATGAGCCATCTCTTATGATCACCAGCGATGATGACGGAGACGATGATGATGACGACGACGAGAAGAAACGTCGCCGAGAACTCTTCCGAAAGCTAGCCAAAAAGGTCCTCCAATATCATGGTCTATCCGAAGCTTTATCCGCTGCGGACATATCGGAACGATCGACACTCGCTTCTGCCCTTTGGGCCTCTGATGGAAGTTATGGAGGCCTTCAACGACGAATCAAGGTGAAGAAGACTCTGATCCCACCGTGTGAGTCCATTCATCCCGAGACTGAGCGGATCTACCCCTGTTCTGATATCCTTACTCTCCAGCGATCAACCTCAACTTTTACGCCAAGATTGTCGATACGGACAACAAGGCGAAGAATGGATATCTTCACACGATTGCGGCTCCGTTGATCCCTCCTCCAAGTATCTTTGAATCTACCTACATCTTCCCCGACTTTTACTCGACCTTCACTTCGGCTGTTCAAAACCTTCATGGCAGACACTGGCTCGACTGGGAATACAACTTCCACCGACACCATGACCACGACGTTGATGATGATGATGATCACAAGAAGAAAGCGCTCGACGATGGGCTCGCGGCCTATGCTCAAGACCTCATCCATGAGCTTTTCAGCAAGAAAGAAGAGGAAGCCAAATTTATCGGCACACCTCTTGCCACCATGTTCGTACCGACCAACAGCGCTTTCGCTGTCCTTCCTCCTCGACTCAAGTTCTTCCTCTTTTCGCCATTCGGTAGACGAGCATTGACCAAGATCCTCGCATACCACTATATCTATGATGCTCTCATCCTGACCGAGTTCCAACACTTCGGCAAAGACTACCCTTTACCAGAACACAAGGACGAATTTGTGGCTCCTCATGTCGTCGAGAGTGTGGACGGAGAGGATCTTGCTCAGACGATCAAGGTCACCAACTCGATCAACGAGACGCTCAGCCTGTACATTGAGAAGAAGAAGGTCCTCCCGGTGAAAGGTGGGTAGGAGCGGAGCGCGGCCTCGAGCTCGACTTTGCTGAGTAAATTGGCTGATGCGCTACCAAAGTGATTCTCAAGGTCAATGGGATTGAAACCCTAGAGAATGACGTTCATGCCACAGGCGCTACCAAAGTGATTCTCAAGGTCAATGGGATTGAAACCCTAGAGAATGACGTTCCTGCGAGAAACGGTGCTTTCCACGTGAGTCATTCGTCGACTTGCATGACCCCGTCCCAGCTGACGGACGATGAATTCCAGCCTATCGGGCTGATCCTTGTTCCTCCTCATCACCATCACGATGAAGATGGCGTCGATGTTTCAAGCACCGACTCGTGGGCCAACTGGGAAGAGTGAGTAGTTTTTCAGGTGGTTGTGAATGCAGTCGCTGATCAGAACCACCAAAGGTGGCTCCCTCAATGGGTTGACGCGGAGTAATCAGGGGGAGAGTCACCAGTCTTCGCTCTGATGTCTTTATCCTGTGCTGTGTTTAAACTAAATGTGACATGATCCTGTGACTCCTGTATCTGACCGACGGCGCGATTCTGTTCATACACGAAAGAGATGTATCCCTCTGCCCATCCGAGAGCACAGCTGAGGACCTCCGATCTGGACACACATGTCAACGAATCGTGCTCTCTATCATTCCGGCGACTGCTGCAAGTTTCACCGCAATTGCTATCAGGCTGAGCAAAGCAGGCGAACATGTATTACGTTCATGCACCCTGAAGGGATGGATCGAACCGGGGAGTACCAGGCTTTCAAGACTTGCCGAGCATACTGCTCGTGGGATTAAGCGGAGTTTGATGAATTGGCATGACAGAAGGTTTCCAGAAAGGGCGAGTCTGTACAGCTTCCAAGAGGGACTCATCCGTCCCCCCATCGCTTACCGCCCCCGTCACGCCACGCCCAGCACATCATGTCACTTGTCATTAGCCAAGAAAAGAGCCCCCGGATCCCCCACTTTTTGGTCAGCTTTGGCGAGATAAAAGGAATGACAAAGCAGCGTTTGCCAAATCATCCGGCGCAGGCCAGAGTGCCCTGGAGTCGGGTCAGCTGCCGATTAGATCGTCAAGGGTCATCTAACATGTCATCATCCACGACATAAGAAACTGCAGTTACGCAGAGACCCTCGGCGATAGCTATATGAGCCTATTTTGCAGCTGCAGGGTCCCATTAGCAGTGACGTTGGTGGTTTGAATTCATTCTTTTTTTAATCTATCGATCGCTGGAAGGATTACTCCTGACGAATCTTCCATGGCGGCTTTCGCTCCCTTGGTACGACGATAGGATGGTGATCTCTCATCCGAAGAAAGTATGCATGGACTGCTGAGTAGTATCTCGAACGTGCCATGCATGTAAGCGCGCACCACTTTCGCAGCGCTGCACGCCGCCGCCGCCGCCGCCGCTGCCTTGTTTCCCTCCCGATCGTGTGTCTCCATCGGAAGATCAGTCTGACTGTCATCCGCCCACTGTCCACACCCCGTACTGAAGGTGTCATGCCACATGGGTGGGGTCCCCCCGTTATACCAAATAGTGTGGGCTGCCCATTGGTCATTTGTCTGTTGATTGGAGATTCAATCGCACCATATAGCGAAAGGCGCCGCCGCCATGTGAGGCGAGGTGGCGTGGCCGGTCAGAGTACCGGGGATGGAACTATGGTTGGAAATAGCATCAGGGGTGGAAGGGAGGGGAGGGAAGGGGAGGGGACCGCGGGTTTTGCATACCCGTACTCCTGGATCAGCGGAGGTCATGCTGTTGAGCGGCGGGGCTCCCCGGGCGGGTAACGAAGCTGCAGCCTTGCTACAGGCTGAACGGAAAGGTTCTAATGCGGTAACAAAAGAGTGTTTTTCCTTTTTTTTTTCCAAGTTTAACAACAGAGAAGACGTGCTGGAATCAATCCTGCCGGTAGTAGCAGTCCTAGTAGTGGTAGTGGTAAGCAGATGGTGGCAATCCCGACTGGATCAGATGATATATCGGGATCTTGGATCTTTTGTGTTTGATGATGATCTTTGTTGTTCGCTAAGTGAGTTCCATCGGACTGCCACGACCACGACCACCACCCACCACCACCACCACGCCTCATTCCATCTGCGCCGCATTCCCCGCCCTTTCTCCCCATCACCGCCCCCAGCAGGGCAGCAGCAGCTGCTCACACCTGTTTCCCCCGGATTTTTTTCCTCGTATGAAATCATCTTTGAGTAAAAAATCTCTGGGCATTTAGAGTTGGCCTCTCTCCTGCTTGCTTGTCGCCTGGGCTGTGTCCTGCCCCTTTCGTTGACTCATTGGAGGAGGAAAACTGCTTCATTACTGTGGAACTGGGATTACAGCATCCCGGCTTTGGATCGAAAAGAGAGTTGGAATTGACCCGTCAATCTGCTCAGTGGTCATTCCAATACCCATAACAAACCACCCGAGGACTGACCCTCACCCAGCAAAAAAGGGCTGGACTGGGGGGTATAACTCAAGTCCTGTAACTTTTTTTTATTTCTCCAGAGTGGAGCGAGCGAACGAGCGAGCGAGGGACAAGGAACCTTAGAATAGCATCAGGAAGAAGAAGAAGAAGAATAATCAGAGATTCACAACTTTGCCTGCCCTTCTTCCCCTCCTTTCCCTATTGCCCCGCCTTGCCCCAAAAAGGATCGACGGTTGTTCTATCCCGATTAGAACACATCTCAGAAAGCCCAACTTTTTACAAACACTACCGCATGGTCACCATGTCATCGCCTATAGTCGAGCAGTAACCAGTCACTCTGAAAGAGAAAGCAGAGTTCAATCCATTTCAGTCTGCATGATGGATCGACACCATCGACTCTACCTTGCCCCGCATTCCAGCTGACCATTCGCCCCGCCCTAAATCTCTTCAACCCCACACTTTTTACCCCTCGCAACAGGCCGCCACGCCCTCGCTTCCTTGCCGCTTCCTTTGGAAGAGTGTTCCGCCCCTTTGTTGGACACAGGACATCCTTCTTCTTCAATTGCACACTCAACGCATACTTGGCCCATGTCCTCGACACGCACGTCCTGAACGTCACCAAGATATAAACTTTTTTTTTCCTGCCTGGCTGTTGTAATAATCATGTGAGCAATCATCGTCCTCAAAAGGGTCAAGTCAAGATAGTTCGTCGCACCGTCTGACCAAATCGTTTCTCTTAGAAGCTACATCTAAATCATCTTGGCTGCTCCCTCTCCTCTTCCTTTCCCCGCTTTGTTCCCCCCACGGTGCCTCTCTCCTTTGCCGCCGCATCCAAAACTACTCCTGACGGACGTTGAAGTGTGAGTGTCCAGGTCATGAGGTCTCTCTCTCTTGGATCCCCCAATGAAAGTGAAGGACCCCTCTCTATAGCTCTCTTCGGAGAATACTGTCTTTGCTTTAGTGCATTGTACCTCACGAAGTGGGGGTACACACAACCTCTCATGCTTCTTCATCAAATCCAACATGATCCGCAATCCCCTTCGTCTCTCGCTTTCACTAGGCTGACCTGGTTCACGTTTTTTTATCTCCTTCCTACACACTCATTCCCCTTGATCACCTCATCATCATCGACCTCGCCTTCACTCCCATCATTACTATTACGTTGGAACATTGCAGACCGTCATCTATCCCAACGAATCCACCACGCCCCCCCATCCTTTTGGCGGAACAGTCATCCACCGTTTACTCACAACATTCTCTCTCTTGGCTATACAGGGCACACGCACTTGCCTCGTTGCACCCAATCTCCCCTGCCTTTGGGCCCCTGAGGTCTCCGTTTCCCACAAAGCGAATAAGAAGAGAGCCGACAGACGGTGGGGATCAATCTTTCCTTCTCTTTGTCCGCTTTTGTGATCTCTGAATCTCTCTTTGATCTCTCTCTCTCTCTCATCAATTCATCTCATCACGACACAGACCACCATGGCATCACACTTTGCAGAGAGATCATCACGTCTAGGTGGACCGAGCAGGTGAGTCGGGACTCTTGTGTAATGTTGCGTCAGATATGCCCCATCCAATCCTCGGCTTGAACAACACTCATACCTGCTCTTAGGCACACCACTGTCGACAAGACACCAATCGACATGGACATGGACGTTGCTTGGTGCTTGACATGCTCCAAACGGACCGTGAGTTTTTCCACGCATCTCTCACCACGTCTTATCGCTGAACCTACCTCTCACAGCGCGACTCACGCAGCCCGTACTGCTCTGACCAATGCAGGGTCCAGGACACCGAGTCATCCTCATCCGCTGCTCCGCTCAAAATCGCTTCGCCAACCATCAGCTCTCACATCCCCCTCCTACTCCAGTCACCCACTACCAGCACTGTCCCCCTGTCCCCGGCTGGCCGTAACATACCTCGACAACGATCTCGCTCTCAAGGTCGTCGTCAAACGTCTCGACCACCGCTTACTCCTCTACCACCGACATCCCAGGAACCTGTCATCCTCTCTCAAGGCTTGGCAGATATCGACGAGACTGTGGCTGGTGGGAGAGCAAGAGATCGCAGGGCGTTTTCATTCCCGGCCCCGTTCTTATCAACCTCAAAATCTCCTCGATCCTCTAGACAGAGTCAGACCATGCTTCCACCATTCATTCGTAAACCACATCCAACTTCCGGCGGACCATCTACCAACTCGCCAATCCAGGCGCCTACGCCTAGATCTGAGAAGGAAGCTGCGGCTGGTGGATTGAAACCGCCCTCGCGGGGTCGACAATCCAGGTCGAGCGGAGGCGACGGCACAACACCTCAATGCCCTGAATCAGTTTTCGGCTCAACATCCGAGTCTGACGAGGATAAGGAAGTTGCAGAGCCTTTTTCGCTATCTCCCTTTCCTCGACCCGTGACTGTCTCCACGGACCCTACTTCCATCCCATTGTCTCGAAGCACAACCGCCAAGTCGTGGACTCGTCTCAAGGGCACGTTGGGGCCCACCAAAAAGAGTAGTCCTGATGGGCGTCACGATGTCATCCGCACACGACGCCACGACCTCCCATCATCCCTCTCACCTACGCTGCGGACCTCCTCTCAATCACCCGTCGCTCAACTCGTCGCATCCTCCGCCTCCTCCCGTAGTCGTGATGACATCATCTCATGGGCCAAGCAGGTCATTGAACCTCAGGGCAGCCAAGATGAGTCATCTGAGGAGGATCGAGGTCGGTCTCGAACACGTCACTCGCCTCGAGTCAAGATGTCGTCAAAGAAGCTTGATGCGCACGTCGAGATGGAAGAGTCGACAGCAGCAGAGCATCAAGACGACACGGCGAGAGGTGGGACGACGCCCAAATCGAGATCATCTATCGGCTCTGCCTTGGCTGGGCTCAGTATCGGTGGATTTGGCGTTGGACCCATCGTCAAAGCTCTCAGCACCATCGCTACCCCCGCTCCCGCCGCTGCTGCCGGTGTCACCGCACCTATCATCACTGCCTCGCCCTTGAGTCCAGCTGCGCGTCGACTATCAGCAGCCACTCATCCGGCCAGCACTGGTGCACTTGGACTCCAAGCCTTTCCCAGTCGGGCTGAGGTCAGTCGCGTGGCTGTCGTCACGACCGCGGCCGTGTCTCAGACGGCCTCAGGTCCCCATCGTCACATTCCACCTCCGACCTCGTCATTGAATTATGATTCTGATATGCCCCTTCACTTTGGTGGCGGTACACCTACCTTGTCCACCATTAGTATCTCCGAGGCCATCGACCCCAGCATATCCGATCATCACGATCATATTGAGGTCGTCACTGATCTCACTGATGACTGTGTGTCAGTCTCGTCTTATGCTCGTCGACCACCCTCCTCAGGTTCGAGACAGGGCTCGAAAAAGTCTGCAATTGGCATTCTCAAGCCAGGCGGAGGTTCCGGTGCCAAGACGGGTAACCGGACACCGCTGCCTCTCCGACCCATCGCGAGCACCGCCAATGCGATCTGGAACCTTTCAAGCTACCTTCGATCCATCACTCCCTTCTCTATCGCTTCCGCTATTGCACCATATGGACCCTTTTCACCATCGGACGAAGTGGTGCCGTCTTCTCCTGGGACCCAGCGATCCAACATCGCCGATCCCTCATCCCCTGCCGCCGCTATTCGCTCTAACCTCAAAGTCTCCCATCGACCTACTCCTGAACCCGTGCCTACTTCACGTATGGCCTCGCCTGATCATGTCGAGACGCCTGCTCAGCTCGTTAGAAGTCTTCCGATGGATATCGCGCTGTCGCTGAAAGCTGGAGCTTTGGAGGCGAACCAAGAGCGAATGAGGGAGCGAGAAGCGAGAGAATGGCTGAGTCGGTCTATCACTGGAAGGCGACAGACTAGATCAGGCGGAAGGTCCCAGTCACAATCGCGACGATCGGATTCCCGATCTCGAGCCAGGTCAAGGTCCCCGGCACGCTCGTCATCTGCTCGACGCGCTGCTCCGGGTCTGCTGCTAGCGGCTGACGAAACGGATGTCGAGTCTGATGCTCGACGGGGACATGTCGCTTACGATGCCGATGAGAGTGACGGAGAGGAAGCACCTCGTCGAGGAAGGAGTCGACGAGGGAAAGCTATCGGACCAGGTGAAGTGACTCGAGGACGTGGACGTTCTGGCATTCAGGCGTAGATCCATTATCCCCTCGGCGATCATCGTCACTGTATACCACTACTCCTCCTCCTCCGTGGATTGGGTGTTCCGGACTGGACTCAAAGCAACAACACACGAAAGCAACCACACGCATCACACCTGTTATACTGTCTTCGTACCCCGAAACGATCCGAATCAACTCGGCACACTCAAACTGTACTAGTAACTCTCACTTTTACCCCAGAAAACCAGCGGATGTCCTATATTCCCCTGTCAGTCTCACATCACAAATTTTCTGTTGGACAAAGGTATCATTGCAAGCTCATAATTTTGAACATCCCACATATACGTAGCATGTACCATACGCTCACATTCCTTCTGTATGACTTTTGGCAATACACATCTATGCATCGGATCGTGGTATTGGAGTCTTTCGTCTGCAGGCCACTGGTTGCCGCCTTGTCGTTACCGATGTCCGCTTGCGTAATGAGAGCCGAGCGAGCGAGCGATCAACGATAATGATAATGGACACTTGTCGCTGGCATTCTTTGTTTTGTATTCTTCGGTTCATCCTCCTTGCTGGACCATGTCCAAGTTCAGCATACACAAAGCTGCCCTAGAGGGTGAGATCCAACTTGACATGTGTCCCAAGCATTGTTCGCTGAGGCCACGCACAGGGCAGCCCGGACTAGTCAGGTCCATCTTGGCGGAAGATCCCAAAGCCCTAGACTCGAAAGACGAGGTGAGTAATAATCGTGCAAGTCGGGGCCAGTCATGGGTCACCCTGTGATCGATATCCTTGTCTGCCTTGTCTGCGTTCGCAATGACGCTCACGCTCACGCTCACGCTCACGCCTTGCAATTGTAGGACGGCCGAACACCACTCCATTGGGCGGCTACCACGAGTTCATTACCGATGATTCAGCTTTTATTGGATCAACGTCCGAACCTCGAAGCGAAAGATACAATGGGATGGACAGCCTTGATGGTTGCGTGTGAGTAACAAGGTCCTAGGGTGCCAAGCAAAGATGGGAACCATATGCCAGGAAGACCAGGGGAAAACGAAAAAGAATGCTCAGCTGCTGATGGGATGAATGAATGCAGCTGCTGCTGGTCGAATTGAAGCTGTCAATGAATTGTTGGAGGCTGGTGCGAATGTCGATGCGGTGAATGAGAAGGGTCAGACGAGTCTGTGAGTGAAGCGCTCGTGTCTCGGGACTCAGAGAAAAGAGAGGATGAGACAGGCTGATTGTTGGCTCTGCTAGACATTATGCCGCTTCGAAAGGGAACGTTCAAGTGAGGACGAATTCAGTCGTGACATAGAGGTAAGGGATACTGACTGTCCCGTACAGATTGGCCGAGCATTGATAGCCAAGGGAGCAGATGTGAGTAGAGTATCTCGTTTGGGGGGGAGATTGAGCTGAACGCCATTGACCAGATCAACGCTAAGGATCGCGCTTCTCAACATCCTCTACATCGAGCGGCGACTACAGGATCCGAAGCGTTCCTCAAGATCTTGTTAAATCCTCCAGAAGGAAGACCGAAGACGAGACTGAACGGAGCTGATAGAGCTGGTGAATTTGGCATAATACTTTCAAGACTTTGGAAGGGGAAAACAATGAGGAGGACAACTGATCACTTGGCTCATGCAGGAAACACACCATTACATCTGGCCATGGAGTCTGGGCACGGGGAAGCCGCTGCTATCTTGATAGAGGCAGGAGCGGATCGCGAGCGGGTGAGTGGAGATTCCACGAGGCAGCGTGAGGTCTGGGCAAATTTTGCCCAGTTCCATTTCACGAGGCAGCGATCGGTCTCGGCAGAGGATGCCCAGTTTGCCATCCGTGTCACCCGCCAGCATAGCTTTCATTCATTCGAGGCGAAGCCCTTTGCCCTCCAAGTTCGCTGACCCTGCTTTCATCAGACGAACGGTGATGGGCAAGTACCCGAAGAGATCGATGGCGTCGGTGGACAGGAGCAGAAACGAGTTCGAGAGTACCTTGTCTCGAGAGTTGGCACACGACGGGGCTTCTGAACGGATTGCGGGGTGATAAGCATGGCACAGAGGCATAAGATTGATGTTATCATTGGATGGTAATTCAACGACAAGCATGATATACAAAAAGGAAGAGTGTTGCTCGGTGGCACGCGCTTGAGAGCAGAACGACGTTCTGAGAATCATCTCTCACAGATGAGATTGGCAGAGATTCCATCTGCTTTGAGACACAGCCTACCATCCACCATACTGATCATCCCCATCACCGGCACTGGGATACAGCGTCCCGCCCCAAGCAGAGTCTGAAGTAACTTTCCCTCCTTTGCCCCTAATGGACGGTTGGACAGTGACAGACTCCCAGCCAGAGTCAAAGATGGGCTGAACGACTGTCTTGGGAATCTTCTTGGATGACCTGTTCGATTGTGCATGGCCGTGTTTAGAGCGCGTGGGCGCTCCAGCTGCAATATCGCGGAGGTTGCGTTCGAGGTTGAGGGGTCTGGCGTTCGCTTCCGAGGGCGCACCAAGTGAGGTCAAGTGTCGGAGATCATTCGGGAGAGCCGGCATCGGTTGTGATGCGTCGGAAGACCATGAGCGGCTCGTACCCAATATCAGCTTGGACGATGTATCGCGTGACAAACTGTTTCGCGGATTCTGTGGAGAGACAGGAGTCGAGGCCGAGGAGGGTGCGTGAGAGAGAGACAAGCCATTCGTCGTCGAGGAACCACTGGCGTCTGAAGCACGAGTCGACGATTGATGCGATACCGTCTGACTCACTGCTGGAGATTGAGCAGGGGGTCCAAATGGATGAAATTCTTCTCCCTTCCCAGGTAGACCAAAAGAAGGAATTTGAACTTCGATTCCGGTCCCAAGAAGCTGATCCTGTTCCCCGGGCCTCCGCCATCGGGTTTGAGGAGGCCGCTGTTCGTAAGGTATGTCTGGGACGCCGCGGCCTGGATGAAATTGTTGTCTTCGGGCCATGGCAGAGGTAACATCCGACTGATCCGCCCTGCAATGAGGTGGCGGGATGAAACTTGGAGGTCCCGTATCCCACCTGTTCGAGCTTGTAAATTCGTCGCGTTGGAGATCGTCTGGTGTCTTCCCTGTCGGGTTAGACATCTCATCTGGAAACGTTTCCGAGGGCTCGTCCGAAAAACTTGCCTCAGATGGCACGGTTGATGACAAGTTGTGAGCCGTAGCGCTATCGGTGGCAGACCCAAGAGAAGGGTACTGGAGGGGGTCGGGCGAGATGATGCTCAATTCGTCGTTGGATGTCGATGAGGATCCTCCAGGTGTAAGAATTGGCGTATCGACGCCTTCACTAGGTAACGAGGCATATGAGTTGCTCAAATCTTGATTGTCTTGATCTGTAAATTGACTGGAGGTCATGAAATGCGAGTGAGAAAAGCCATGATTGTTGGTGTATGAATGCTGTTGCTCCAAGTAGGATGCTGTGAACCTTGTACAAGGGTACAAAGCGTGCTATGGCGCGTTAGATTTTTCCCTCCTACCGGTTTACGAATACCGCTCACTCGAGCTAGATCTGGATGGTCAGGAAAGACTTTTTGACAGTTCATACACGTAAGGGGTGCCGTTGCTGGCTCGGGCTGATCCATTGCGGCTGTCTTGGCGCTGGAGCCGGTTAAATACAAGGAGGAAGCCTGCGATGGAAGACCAAAGCTTGGGATGATACTCAAAACATCTTCAGCCTGTGCCAGCGAGGATGGGTTTGGGTTTGCTGACTTGGTGGCATCATCAGCTGCGCGCTGGGCATTAGCGACCGTGGGCCAAGCCGAGGACGAAGAGTGTGCGGCGTCGGGTCGTGAGGTGGTCGCTAGACAGCTCTTCGAGCCGAGAAAGACTTCTATCGTATTGAATGTGACACCATGAGCGTAGTGTACGTCTCGATAGTGCTGATGAAGAATTCAACGAAGTTTCACGAAGACCCCGAATGCATGAAGCTTACCTCAAGAGCCAACTGAGCATCGCGAAAACGGACCAAGTGCGAAGAACAGAGGTAAGCCCAGGAGTGGTTGGCGTCGACATGCTACGAACCAAGCGTCAGCCCAAAGACTCATAACCGCATGAGGTGGAGTTTGTCTTACCTTGCGAAGCTCCAGAGACGACGGAAGCTCCATTAGACATACCTGGCATTTCGTTTCGGCGATAGCTGTTCCTCGCTAGAACTCGTGGTCAGGACAAGCCATGACTGAGCCTCCTCAGACTCACAGGAGCAGTAGTTCCAGCCGGATGAAAGTCTCGATTATGCTGACGTGTCGGTCAGATCAATGCGAGGCAGGGCAGCACTCCGTGCGACGGCGAGAGGTCAGAAGTCACTCACCTCTTGGAGATGTTTCGGGTGCACTGGCCTCACACAGATAGGGCACAGGTCGTGTTCCGACTTTGCGCTGGTTCTCGACCAACGGCCAGGCTGCTTTTCCGGACTGCTAGCCCGATGCTTAGATTTTGACTTCTGTGACTCTACGGATCAGCCGCTGTTCGCCTCACGTGTGCAACGCTCCGTAGTTTAGATAGAGGCCTCCAAGTGCTGAGCCAACGGAGCCGAGACGAGTGGAATTCGAGTCGATCCGACATACGAGGCATACGGCACATGAAGCTCACGATTTGGGTCGGGACGATATGCCCCCTTGCGCTTTGACTGCACGGTCGATCTGTACTTCGATCTGTACCTGCTGGGAGTCCCCATCCACCATCATCCTCTTCAATAAAGGTCTCAGATTTGTTCACAGAGGGCAGCGTTTGCTGGTCGGACGTTGCATTCTGAAGGGCGGATGTCAGCCCGACCGGGAAAACTGAAGGGTAAACGATAACGTACATGGTCTCCAATCCTTGAATCTTCTACATTCGGCGGCGCTACTGATCGCAGTGTGACACTTTGACCCCAATCGTTGTCGTCTGCCCAGAGCTTGGTGCTGGCCGGTTCAACAGACTCATTTACAGTTGACGGCGCCGAATCCGCTGATATCTCCCCATTTTGTGGATTGGCTTCGGCCCTGATGGGAGATGTATCCAATTGAGAAGCGGGACGGTCGTCCAACGGGTCCTGTGTTGCCTCTGATCTGTCCTCTTTCTCCGATAGAGGATGATCAGAGTGCGCCGAAGGCAGGTCCAAAGTCTTTTGAAACATCCCGGACCCAACTAGCCGACGAATATTGGCTACGCCGTACCCGAGCGCAAAGACCAACAGGTATCCCCACATGACTCGAGAGCTATCCATCAAGCGAGAGATAGAAGTCGAAGAGAGCATAGTGGGACGTCGACCTTTTGCTCCCCCGAGACTTGCTGCCCGCCCCCTACCCCCTCAATGAGCGCTGCGAGCGCGCTAGTCGTCAGGGTGACAGAGAAGCCAAAGGGCGTTGAGAGATCTCGGGAATTTCAACGACTTTTTTGGTCCGGTCTTTCTCCTGCCGGTGAGGTGAACACGGTGCTGAGTGTGTGCTCACAACATCACCGCAAGTTGGTGGAAATGGCAGCTGACTATAGTGCGTTGTCCATGGCTCTATTTCTTACGGACGTGCAGAAGAAAAAACTTCTTCTGATAACTAGGATTGTTCTGCTCGAGGCGAAGGAGCTGAGAGCCACAGAAAGCTCCTTGAGACAGTTGGAATTGTCCCTGCTAATCATTATGGGAGATTCGCCGTTCCTACTCGATGAGACTAAGGAATCGCGTACAGAAACGTCCGGAGTCACTGGTCAAGATGATGCCTTGCTGCATGCTGAGTGGGATGCTAATCGATACAGTACACTGGTGGTATATGCTAGAGGATCCAATCTATGAGTAGTGCCATCGTAAACCCTTTGGAGAATGAGTCCGAGCTCTAAACAATCTTGTCGTGACCGTCGGCGTAGCGCATGAGAGCTTCCCACACTGCAAGAGCAGCAGCATTTGTTGGGAACGCTCTCAAAGCGACCGGAACAAATCCCTGGAGAGCCCTGTCAGCTTGGCACTGGACTCATTGGTGAAGCGGACGCACCCTGTAAAAGTTCCGTATCCTCGCTTTGGAGTTCCAAAGCAGGCTTTTCGATCCATCATATGTCTCTCTCCACGTCTGGCTGTATGCGTTGATGACCCCCTTGAAACGGGGTTCACGCAGTTTATCGACTATGAGAAGAGCGCATCAGTGGCGGTCTGACGAATGCCTCAACTCACCCATCAACCTGTTTTTCACATTGTCCAGTGCTGCGAAAGTCAGAGACCGACCCAACAGGAACGCCAGCACCAAACTCACGTAGCGCTGTCGCCCAGTACAAGTTCGAAGCCAATCCTCCGGCCCAAAAGTTCCGCGCCGCTTCTGACATTTGCCAGCTCGTTCCATCCCACCGCTTGAACATCCGGTTGAAGATTTCGAACCCTGTCCAAGTGTCATGCCTTGTCCACACACAGTGATAGAAAGTATCGACTCACCGCCAAACATTGCAGCGAAACACGTCCGGTAGATGAAACTCGCTCCTACCCCTCTCCACATGCCCGTTGCACCGAGTGCCTGGTATGTCTGTCTGACAACGTCAAACGGTCCCGAATATTGTTTAGGGACGTCGGCAGGCAGGACCATTTGGAGCTGGAGCCGGCACTTGATCACCTCTGTCGGATGAGCAATCACAGCACTAGATCTGGGTCAGCTAGGGAGATGTGTGTTTGACTCGTCTCTCACTTTGTCCATCCTGCCATCGCCCCGGCTACAGTGTGGCCTAGAATCGATAACCTTTGTCCTTTCGGTCCATCATCCACTGAGCCCGGTATACGCTCGGCGAACCCGTTGTGCTCAAGAATCGACCGATAGTTGTGCAAGCTAGACGACAGCCGATCAGTCGCTCTGCCTGGCCGGCCACTCATGTCTGAACCACGCACCTGCCCATCAAGATCGAATCGGTGATGCCCCACGAGACTGCGGGCACCGAGGCACCTTTGTAGAGTGCTCTTGGACCCTGCAACATATGTTTAGCATTATATCATAGTGCTTCAGCCTTCCACTCACCTCGCTCGAAATTGTCTTCGTGAAGCAATGCCAGGCACCTCCAAACGTTCCTGGAGGTGTACATTGTACTAAGAGCTCGATCAGACTCCATGGCTGACTTGTCAGGCTCACGTCGCGTCTGTGATCTTTATAAGCGACCTGTAAATCCTTCCAAAAGCCTTGACTCACCTTGATAGTATCGAATGGATGCCCAACGACCAGCTTTGTCAAGCCCGAGCAGATACCCGCCGCGAACCCGATCAGAGGATTGTGCTTGACTTTTGAAGGGGAGATGTCCGCTTCAAGACCATCCTGAGGATCGATGTCCAGCTCCGGCAGGCTTTGCTTGCCTGGCATGATGGTGCTCGACCCAAGCTTATTCTCACGGCAGATGAGCTCTCACGCCTTGCCAGATCATCGATGTCGCTCTATGGTCCGCTTCACTCGCCGATTGTTGAACATTTTTGGTTGATTTTCCTTCCGAAAGCCGAACAAATGAGCAGTGACGTAAATGATGAGCGGAATCAAAAACAACACCTCCACTCTGGACCTCCACCCTCAAGAAAAGCAGCAGCTGGCTGCCTGCTCATGCTAGGGTTGACCTTTGAAGCCCGATCTCATCGTGCATCCTACCAACTCAGACCCGACAAGAATCGCAAAGACAAAATGAGGATCGTATTCACCGGAGGGAGTGGCAGAGCAGGTGAGCAAGCCTTGTTGTCCTATAAGTCGCATCTTACCCCCGGCCAGGAAAACATTGCGTCCCATACCTCCTTTCCAAAGGCCACAAGGTGCTCAACCTTGACTTGGTCAAACTCGATCACCCGGATGTCATGACCCTCAAGACTGATCTGACAGACTCTGGTCAAGTCTTCAATGCCCTGACATCCCTCTTCTCAATGGATGAATACTCTTTGCCAGAGAGACCCGGTCGACCCGATGCTGTCATCCATTTCGCCGCCTATCCCTGTAACCTCATCGTTCCTGACAACACGACCTTCACGTCGAATGTTGCACAGACTTACAATGTCATCGAGGCCGCTTGCAAGCTTGGCATCCCTCGAATTATCATCGGTGAGCACATCTACCCCAAATCCTATTAAACCTTCCCTTCTAGCCTCATCGGAGACCGTCTACAATGTCTGCTTTACCCAAGGTGATTCCGACTACAACCAATTCCCACTCGACGAAGAAACGTACGACACGAACCCTGAAGATTCATACGCTTGCTCCAAGCTCTGCGGCGAGAGGATCGCCAGATCCTTTGCCAGACGATTCAATACGGACATTTACGCCTTCCGAATTGGAAATGTCATCATCCCAGAGGACTATAAGAAGTTCAAACAGTTCGCAGAGGATCCAGCTTCTCGAAAGAGGAACGCTTGGAGCTACATTGACGCTAGAGATCTAGGACAGATCTGTCATTTAGCTTGTGAAAAGGGAGGACTGGGTTACCAAGTCTTCAATTGCACAAACGATACAGCGACTCTGAATGAAAAGACAGGGGATTTCCTCAAACGAGAGTTTCCCAACGTCAAGGTCACCAGAGAGTTGGGAGATGACGAAGCGCCGTTGTCGAACAAGAAAATCAAGGACGTATTGGGATTCAAGGAGGAGCACAACTGGAGAAAGTATGCCTAGATCCTTGCACGAGATCCGGTCCAAGATGTAATGTCATAAGATGAATACATTCGAGAAGCGGCGCCGGGAATAGACTCTACGCACTCTAGCAGCTTGTGACTCATGCCTCTTCGCCGTCTTCCCCATCCTGCATATCCATTTCCTCGAAATGCTCCAACAGCTCATCTAGCTCAATTTCGGGGAAGTCTTCTTCTGACTCATTGTCACCGTCTGCTCCGCCATCGCTGACTACCACATCCTCCTCGACTTCCATGCTGTGATCCTCATCTGTAGGAGCAGTGGCCTTCTTGACCCGTCTCTTGCCTCCGTGCAGACCGGATCCAGGTGTAGATGTAGCCATCTTGACATCCTCTCCTTCCGGCACCACACCAGATGACTTGTACAAGTTGATTGCGCCTCGCATATCCTTGTCTTCCTCCAGATCCCGCAAGAAGAGCTCGTAATCTCTTTCGACATTCTTCTGATCCACACCACCTCTCCGTCCAAGCGCTCCTCTGCCCACTGTCGTTGGATCGTTCGATGGATCCTCTGCCTCTTTGGCAATAGATCGAAGTTTCCAGTTTCTCGGCCTAGCCTTCTTTCGCCTGTTGGGATATGTCTTTTTGACAAGCACCACATCTGGTATGCGTCCGCTGTCCAAGGATTCGAACTCTTCGCTGTTGAAGTTGGCATTCGTCAAGTGATAGCCCAAGACGGTATCTCCTGGCTGTAAGAGTGCTCCGAGATGTGTCCGCGTGTGGTAGATTCCGTCATCACCCATGCCCTCGTCATCGTCATGCTTTCCACCGGTGTTGGCCCGAGTGACCTGCGCATCTGCCAACATGTACTTGCCACGCTGAGGACCAGAGGGCTCAATATCGAGGACGACAAATTCTACCAGATCGGATTGAGTGGCTAGGGAGTCGAAAGGCTGACGCCAGTATATAGGAGCGGTGACATCGGTCTGTTGGAGGGTCATAGGGTCGAGAAGGTGAATCGAATTGCCGACTCGGGAGCAGATGGTCAGTGGACTGATTAAGTTTCAGCCAAACACCTCAGTCCAGCATCCAGGCCTTGAAAAGCTGCTCACGAGATGTTCCCCCAAGATCTGGCAAGGGACTGAGGCACACAGACCAGGTCATCTTTACAGATCGGCACGATCTCCACAGAGTAGGTGAACTTGTAATTTGCAGTATTGCTCTTTTTGTCAGAGGAAATGAGCTGCTCTGATGACTTTGTTCTGAACGGAGTATGAGCGGGGCCAAAAGGGACGACAGGACAACTCACCGGACCGGCACCACTCCGGCTAAGAACTCGACCATTTTGATGGCATTATTCCTTTCGCTGTAGAAGAAATCCAGACCGTCTCGCTTCTCATTGATCGTGGTTGTGTCTCTGAATGATATCAGCTCGCTCAAGACCACGACCAAGGCCTCAACATACTTGTGAGCATTATGCTTCAGAATGAGCTGTTCAAGCCAGAAGAATGTCCGTTTATGCGTGACCTTTTGTCTGACCTGGACCGTCGCCTTCCAAGTGTTCTTCGCGGCCAGCTTAGTACATGAAGGACATTGACCAGTATGGACAACCAGGGTAAGGACGAATGTCTGCTGAAGCACAGTGTTGGCCATCACCTCCTTCTGAATCGTGACTTTGATTTTCACACGGCGGGAATGTGGCTCGGTCCATATAAACGAGGCATCTATCAACCTGACCTTCATGAGAGGTCTGGAGATCTTCTTCAGACATAGAGCTGAGACCAAGTGAGCCGACTTCTGGTTCGCGAATCCGGTTCGACTCACCCAAAAGTTCTCGAGATTCTGGCTGAGCGTAGACCCATGATTGAGGTGGGGACAAGAACCGTTCACATCCTCGGCAGAAGTTCAATGTAGCTTCTTTCGGGATACCTTCCGTGATGTCCACACTGTTCCGCAGGCAACCAACACCTGAGATGCGTCAGTCTTCCGAACAATCTGACAAAGCAGGGTAGGTGCTCCGCGTGAAACTCACAGAGTCCAGCTCCATTTGAGGACGGTATAACAGTACCGCAGTCGGCACACAAGATGTAGCTCTCCTGATCAGCCTGACTCGGCTCATAAGTGACGGCGACCATGTCGAGTGCCTCGCTGCTGTAAGTCTATCAATGGTTGTCAATGTGGAAAACCATGGGTGTGTCGTCGTAAAATCTTAAGACTCGGAAATTTTGCTTCCGTTGGAAAATTCGCCACCCTCGGATCCGAGAAATCTTCGGTCCATCAAAGTCAATGAACGAAGCTGAAATTCTATCAGCATCTGTTGCTCACTGCGGTCGTCGACGACAGCGATCACGAGCGAGAGTGACAGGATGAACGATTCTTACGCGTCTTTCGGTTCATATTCAAGACCCTTCCCTGTTTCGACCATCCCGGAAGACACCGTCCATTATGTTCTTCACCTCACCGCCGAAGAGGATCCGACATCCATGGCTGTCCTAATAACCGACTATGTCTACTCCTTACTGACTCAGCCATGGCTTTGGAACAAGGATTCATGGGAGCTCAGGAAGCGATCCGAAGGTTCCGGTCTAGAGGGTAGGATGCGAGTGGGAGATTCGATCGACGACGAGTGGTGTGTGGTCTGGCTCTTGAAGGAGATCAGCGAAAAGTGGCCAGAACTGGTCATTAGGTGAGTTCTTCAACAAAAATGATGGTCTCTAATGGTCAGTCTTCGCGACTCTGATGGAGAGTTCCTGCTCATAGAAGCTGCCAACGAGCTGCCGGCATGGGTCAATCCTGACAATGCTACAAATAGAGTAAGCTCATTCGATATAAAAGCTGAAAGCTCAACCCTCCGTAGCTCTGGCTGCAAGGAGGTCATCTGCATCTCATACCATTAGATATCCGTTCACTTTCAATAAGCAAGCAGATTCGAGATGACGATGAGGAAGAGGAAGCGACACTGACCGAGGAAGATGGTGTCAAAGCTGCGAGGACGGGGAAATACAGGGCTCAGGCGATCGAGAGAGCCGTGTGGTCTCGTGTTGAAGGGTGAGCAGACTGTCTACCGAATGCGTCTGACATCCAGCTATCACGGTCGATTGAGGGATCATTTACACCGAACCAATGCGTACCTTCCCATAGGTATCGCGAAAGCGCTCTCCGTCCAGCCGGATCTGATACAAAGGGCTGTGGAGGCGTTCTATGTGCGAGATCCCGCTCAACTGAGGGTATGTTACCGGCGCACTGATCAGAAGCTGATCGTTAGGCGGCGTCACGCATGACCCATTTCCCACCCGCTCAGTCGACGCTTACCTCTGTACTCATGACGCGCCCCGCCTATGCCCAGCTCCAAGGACAAGTATTTCATGCTCCTCGCGTTTTCGGTCCAGAATGGCACGTCAAGGATGGCTCTGAATTGGACGATGAGAGAAGGTGGCGTGACCTTGGCGTCAAGATCTCAACTGGGTTTGAGATTATGTATCGGGAGGGCGGAAAGAGGATTGGGAAAGCTTCATCGTCCAGAGTTGGCTATGACGAGTTTCTGCAAAACCTTCAGCGAGCTGGATTCTTCGGGAATGAGATGCAAGGCAGTCAGAAATGGAAGGAGAGGGAAGCTGTCGCCCAGAAAGGATGGAACGAGGCTCAGAGTGAAGAGTGAGTGAATCCCTATGCTAAGGCTAAGATGGATGATCCTCAAGCTCCCGCAAATCCTTTGCGTCACAAGTCGATGAGGCTATCAAAGCCGCCCCAGAATCATTTTCGTCATCGTCGATGGCCGAGGACTCGGCATCTTGGCTGGAGATCTCCCCGTCTGAGCTGGAAGGGATGATGGCGAGATCTTCAGGAGCGGTTTTGAATGAGAAGCCAGAGCACGCCGGCGAGGACGCAAAGGCGCTTGGGGATCTGGCTCAGAAAGTGCAGGAGTTTGTCGGTGGTGAGGGAGATATGCAGGGTGCCATGTTCTTGGAGTGAGTCTGCGGTATCTAAACGAGATCTGACAGCTCAGCGAGCTTTCGGACGACGATGATGAAAGTGACGAGGAAGAGGCAAAGGAGGATCGCGATCAACGAATGCGCGATCTTGTACCTCCCTTACCATCAGAGGAATGGGGCAGGAAGACAGTTCCCAAGTCAGGCAAGGAGGCAGACAAGAATTTACTCTCAGAAACCGACCGACCGCCTATGCGTCCTCCAGCATTTGCCAAGCAGCAGTACGACGGCGTAGAGTCGGACTCTGGTGATTCGGATGATGAAATGGCTCCAGCAGGAACCTTAGGTCGACTTGCAGCCGAGCTGAGACTCAAGGACGCTGCTGGATTTGAGGATGTCGAAAAGGAGTTGGCAAAGAACAAGAAGAGAGGTCTCGGCGAGAATATCGACGAGGAAATGAGGCGTCGAGTATGGGGTGAGGATGACAATGCCCCTCAAATCATAGAACTCGACGGTGATGACGAGGAGGAGGAGGAAGGAGATGTGGACATGAACGGTCAAGAAGAGGAGTTTCTCAGGTTCACACGAGAGGCCTTAGGTATTACGCATCAACAGTGGGAGGATATCCTGAGCTCCCGACGAGATCGTGGAGGTGAGTCTCCCTCCATTGCTATTCACCTCAGCTGATCGAGTTCTCCGTAGCCTTTGTTCCAACTGCTTCCACGAAGCCTGCAGGAACAGCGCATATTGGGCAGATGGTGGACGCTTCAAACCAACCTCAAACAACGGCCGCCCGACCGGGGTCCTCCCCCCTCGACTCATTCGAAAAGGTCATGGAAGCGATGGATGCTCAACTAGCAGCTGCCAGAGGGCCGTCCAAGGACTCAAAGTCAACGCTCAAAGATCCGAAGACTTTCCCTGCTGAGGCCGACATTGATGGCCTATCCGATGGCGAATTAGAAGCTATGGACCGAGAGCTCAAGGCTGCGCTGCAAGGGGCCGCAAGCGATGATGATATGGATGACGACGGAGACAACGCGGATCAAGTGGCGGAATTGGGCGAAGAAGAGAAGAGAGAGTACAGGATGATGAAGGACTTCTTGGAGAGCTATCGCGCACAGGCGGGGCAGAGTGGAGTCATTGGAAATCTGTTCGGAAGGCTGCAAGGAGAGGGAAGGTCAAAGGAGTGATGTCAGAAGACATTGCAGGTCGAGACTCTCTCGAACCCCTCCCTGGATGAGGCACGTTCGAGACACCTGTCTGAATATCCTTTCTGGGCGCCTCCTCCGTCTTCAATGGATCTATGATTTTCTGGACTGTCTGAAGTCCTCGCATGGCATCGGACCACCTTTCTGACGCTGGCTGGAAAAAGTCATAAGCCTACCTCAGTGACGCATCTGACGCTCGGTCTGCCTTTCACGAACCAACAAGAGCCTCGTTATACATAAAACTAGACATCCCTCTCACAATACACCAGAGACATGGTCATGAGTGCTGAAACACACAGGTATTTTCTTCGACTGGTCCCCTCGTTTTCTTCAAAAGGCTCCCATGACAAAACCTTCACCACGTCGAACGGAAAATGCGACTGCTTCATGCATCACTGGGAAGTATGCTCAGGCCCGGCGTGGGAAGGGAGGCCGAGAGAGGAGATCATCTACTTGTTTCAAGGCACGGCTGATAACAAGTCCGAGGCTGACAGTGATACGCCTTTTACGAAGGCAGAGTTTGAATATTCCTGTGCCGGGACCAATGGCAGGTACGTGGTCAGAATGCAACATGATTCAATTGGCGACGACGACTTCATTGAACCGACGATTGGGAAGCCCACGCATGGCGACATCTCGGAGTGGGTCCCGGGTTATGGTGCAACCTTGAAGAGTTGTCAGACAGCCAAGGCAGTCCCTCAAGCTCTCCGTCACGACGAGGAGGCTTTAAAGCGAGCCAGCACTCACATTTTCCACGCTGGAGAATCTGAAGAAGATGACTTATACAGATGGAAATGGTTCCTGCTTTTGTCTAAGGGGGACTCATATGCACGAAGCTTCGCGGACTTGTTAGACGTCTCGCAGGCCTCGGCCGCAGACACTGATGTGGATTGGGGTTCTAAGGACAGCGAGGTATAGACGTAGTACGGCTTCAGCCCATGGGTGGATATGCATGGATGTTTACTCCTCACTCTCGCAAAGTGTGATGGCAGGCTCGAGCCGGGATACCCTCCTGAGCAAGGCATATTGTCTGGCAAGGACACAGCCATTGACCGGGTCCGACGCTGTCCATTGTTTGAGACGGTATGGAGTCCATTGCGTCTTCCGGAACGGACGACTGCATCTGCATGGCTTTGTGGTCCGAATTGAACTGACATGTCAACGAACGCGGGCTCGTGAGCTGAGGGAGGAAATGGATGCCCGAGTCACTGCCACAGTTCTATATCGCGGAAGCAAATCCATGACCTCACCTGGTCTTCCGAGTCCATATCCATCATCATCATCATACACGTCGAGAACGGTCGAGGAGGGCTCGGTCACTCTACGCTGCATGACAGCGACGGGATGTCACACGTTCGCTCCAACTCGAATGATGATACGCGTCAACACATCATCTCCTCCCTTTTCTCCAAGCGTGGTCCGGATGGTAGTCCAGAGGAGACCCTCATCACCTATGTCAAGGTATTTGAGGAGGATGAGGGCAGCGGATCAAAGACTAGATATCTGATGCTAGCTGGTAAGTCAGAAAGCTAGTTGAATAGACAAGCTGAAAGAGACTCTTTCAGTGACGAAGCTCGGCAAAGTCGTGATACATAAAGCGAAACGAAATAGCAACCTGTCATTCTCCAAAGGGAAAACATGGAACTTGGAGGACATGAGGATAGTCGAGGTTATGGGCGTGCGTGAGAGAATCGACCAGAGGCCGGCTCTCAGATGATGCTGATGGGCTTGTAGCCGTCCGATTTTGCTCTGACAATGACTGTCAGGCGTTATCACTGGACCACGGACCGCCCTCGTGACCAACAACATTTCCTGAACTCTGCGGTCAAGGTCTATCAAAAATACACCAATGGCGAGCTTCCAGAGTTGCTCAATTTCGAGCTCTCAAGCAGTACGAGCAGTACAGATCATCGTCGTCAATCTTCTTCATCCTCTATCAGTATACCTGCTCAACCACCCTCCAATAGCTCTCGGACCGATCTCGTACCCCCTCCCGGATTCAGACAGAATCGTTCAGGATCATCTCATTCCATTGCATCGGGCACTTCTTCGAACTATGGTGGTGGCGGCGAAATACCACCTGTGCGCTCACGCATGGGAGAAGGATCCACTCGATCACGACCGTCTATAGATGATACTCGATCCAATGGTTTCGGCCGATCTCCCCTGAGTGAATCATCTATCCGACGTCCTTCCTTAGATCATCGAGTTTCTCCTCGGAAGGAGACAAACACATTGGCTCCTCCGGTGCAGGCTCGTCGAACTTCCGACGATCGAGATGCACGCAGCTTCCCCGGATCCACGGCATCCAATGGGCAATCACCGGCTCCTCCCCCCGCTGCTGGTCTCGTTCGTCGACCTTCTGACGACCCATTCTACGATGATGAGACCCCACCGCCAGTCAAGGAGACACCGAAAAGCAACCGTCCACCGGATCTTACACCAGCTCCTCCGACCATAACCACCACATTGCCTTCACCGTCTATTCCCCCTCCTCCCACACCAGAACGCAATCGACCTCAACGTCGAAAATCCTTCCATCCTGCCCCGGTCAATACCGCTTTCTCACGAGAAGTGCTGCTTGCCAGCCGAACCGGGGTCCTGCCAGGTGGTGCAGGCCTGACTGTGGACACAGACAAAGAGACATCTGAGGAGGCTCTCATGAACAATGTTGAGGAGATGCTAGAGGGCTTTGACTGGACGGCGGGCGTAATACAAAACCAGACCTCGATTGAGGGCGTCGATGCAAAGAAGGGCTCAGTGGACGCCATCGAAGGTCGCCTGCTCGACGAGCTTGCTGCATTGGACCAAGCCAACATCCACGCTTTCCTCGAATCCGACGACCGCATTGCTCAGGTCCTGGGTCACATTGACGAGGCATTGCAGGAGCTGGACGATATCGATATGCAGATCACGGGCTATCGTATGCAGTTGAATGCGGTCACAGAAGATATCTCGTTCATCGAATCACAGAACAGGGGTCTTCAGGTGCAGACATCGAATCAGCATGCTCTACTTGATGAACTTCGACAGCTCCTACAGATCGTTGAGGTTCCAGAGGATGCCCTTCGTGCGTTGGCCCAGGAATCACCGCAAACTTCAAGGGGCTTGCAATCACTCGAGTCTGCCGCGACCGCATTATACAAAGCTCTGCAAGCTGGCAGAGACACTGCCAACGCGGAAGTTGCGGCGACCATTGCGAGGATGCGCGAGTATCAAGATCAATCGTCACATTTTTGCAAACGGATGTTGGAGTATCTGGACGTCACATTCAGATATCAGTCGGATACTGCTTTGACAGATAGCAGAAAGTCTGGCAAGAAAGCTTTGGCGCCGCATACGGCTATGGGCGAATTCCTCATGCAGTATGAAGGATTGGTATTATACATTAAGGAGATGGACGAGGCAAGGTATCAAAAGCTCTGCTCGGTGAGTTGACACCCCGGTCTCGGCTAACAGAGCAGAACTACCTCGGCACCATAAGCTCCTTGCATCAGAGTGAGATCAAGGATCTGCTGATGAGCTTCATGCAATCCATCAAAGCTGGTCAAAGCAAGGAACCAAGAGATGCCTGTAAGTCCCGCTTGACTGTCTGAGCTGAGCTCAGTGTTCTCAACTGCCATGTCTGCCGCGCCAAAGCCCGGCGCCCTCGCCAGGTCTAAGACTGCCGTAGGGCTGGGCTCCATAAGTCAGAGCAAGCCAGCAAAGAAAGCCGACGACAATTCCGCTACCATCGCCGAGGTATGAAGTGGATCACGGCTCCTACTGACACAACTTAGCTGTACCAGCTTGGTCTCACGCAGATCATCAATCAAGTGCTAAATGAAGAGGGTTTCATCAACGCTTTCCTGCATCTCACAGACACCGAATCAACATTCGCAGATCATATGGAGCTGGATAGCTATTTTAGACGTCAAGCGGCACGTCATGCAACACGACAACTGAGTTCTGGAATGATGCAGCTCATCAGGAATATGATGGATCTGGTGTTTGGCTTTGTCGACCTGGAGCTGAAAAATTGGGTCGAGGCAGCTGCGGAGACGAATCCCATGTCAGTTATTTCACACCGTTTTTTGGATCATGGTAGCTGACATCGCTCAGTGCCATCATCGGCATTACTGTGGTCACCGAACGCCTTGCCCAAGAGGCGGAAGCTGAGAACACGTCCATCTTCTTTGCTCAGCTTTTTGATCGTCAAATCGCTCGTCAGAGGGCGGCACTGGATCTTCTTGCTGTAAGTCTCACAGCACTGGCACACCATTGATCATTCTGCAGAACGAACAAGTCAAAGCCATCGACTTGGGCAAGAATCGACGAAGGAAGGGTGCCATCATCTTTATGCGACAATTTCCGGTGAGTCCGCTTCCAGAAGGAATATGCTCACATCCCCAGATTTTTGCCTCCCGCATCGAGCCGCACTTGCACGATGCCCAGAGCTTGCCTGTCCGCACTCGCGTCAATGAAATGTACGAACGGATCGTCAATGCCATGTTTGCGACACTGCAACATATCGCCAAGCTGGAAAGAGCGGAGAGTCAGTCTGCCGACGACAAGGGTCAACTGAGCTACAACGTTGTAATGATCGGTGGGTCCTTCGAAGCGAGAAGCTTCCGGTCCAAGCTGAGCAATGCCAGAAAATCTCTATCATTTTGTCGAGGATATGAAGCAGCTCACAAATCCGGCATTGGTCGTTTTCTTAGAACGTGCCAAGGGAATGCTGGAAGACAATATGAGCACATATGTCAAAATGATGCTGCGGCGTCAGTTTGGCAAGCTGATGGTTAGCATGAGGTGCCGTCAGTCTGGACCTTTTTCTGACATCCTTTACTAGGAATTCTTCGACGGTGTCGATCGACAATTGAAGAGCACCCCGGCGTCTGAAGTCTCCATGCACAACGCCTATAACAAGTCTGCATTGAAAAAGGCCCTGAAGGATTCAGGAAGCAGCAAGGATCTTCGCAAATCAATCGAGGCACTGTCGAAGCGTGTAGACAAGCACTTCGCAGACGATGACAGTGCAGGCTCTTCTCATTCCGACGCCTCGACTCAATCTCTCATCCAAGCGGTATGGAAGGAGATCACTGCAGGCCTCGTGACTGAAGTCAATCGAGCGAGTCGGATCATCAAGAGTAGCTATGGGGACAGCGGACAGGGTCTAGAATATGGACCTGGTGATGTCGAGGCCATCTGTAAACGATCCAAGTAGCGAATACTTCGAGGAGGTCCTTTCCACGAAACAAAAAATGATATCACGATGCAGAGAAACTTCCATTTTTTCCGTTTGCAAGGGGATATCAAACGTCAGCTGACATCAGCTTTTTCAGGGGGATCCTGTCCCCCTTTCATGGAATGCTGAGCATCGGCTATGGGGATCGCAGAGTCTATACACGAGCTGCTCGATGTACAAGGGGACTTACGGACAGGCTTGAGCCACTGTGTACAGCTGTTGCTCCCCCTGTTGCTCCCCCCATATATGCTCTATGCTTCAGTGGCAAGTCGATCGTCCTTGGGGGAGACCAACCCCCCCCTTCCTTTCCGATCATTAAAGTGCCACATTCGATAGTCTCCGCTGACGTCTTAAAAAGGAAATGACGATTCCTTGAGGCCGGGAGCTTTTTTTTGGGTAACAACATTAGCCTACATCCCACTTTCCGTGGACTGTGACTTCGACTGATTTCCTGGCGGGGACATACAAACGGTTATAGTGCTCTCAGGCCTCAAGAGGCTAACCTGGTATCAGGTTGACACCCCACTGCGGAATTAATCCTTGTCATCCCCAGAGTCTGGATTTGCAAGGGGGCCATTGAGTCGACAGACTCCGGATCGCGCGCAGCCCCACTCGAATGCGGCACACAGACTTTCAAGCTTTTGCCCGATAGATCTTTAAGCCAACTTGAACACTTTGGACCCTCTTTTTTCTCTCGCTGTCAAGCAATCTCGTGTATGCGGCCTTCCAGCCGTTCGAAAGGAACAACGAGTGCATCGACGTCTCGACGTCCATCTGTCACTCGAGATGATTCTTCTGGAGCTGGACCATCGAGGCTCGAGCCTTATTCGGAACAAAAGGGCAGAATGGCGTGGGGGGACATGTATGCTATGTCCAGGGGAACGTTTGCAGGTACCTCCATAAGGTGAGCCCATAGTCTTGAAACGAGCGACCCTTTTCGGCTTGCACCATCGAGTGTACTTTCTTTGCCGCTTCGATGCTCGCGCAATCAAAGCTCGATGGGGCCATCTGAAACCTGCAGGTGACTGAATTTGCTGACATCATCTCTGACTTGAATTACACAGGCACTGCTTGGAATTGTGTCAAGAGCCAACGCATGGACGCAGAAGGACAGACAAGGACAGACGGCCCTTGGCGCATTGTCCAATATTGAGACTCCGGATCTACAGCTGTTTTAAAACTCCCAGTGGGGATTGGACAGAATCTGCCATCGACTTGACGTGAGTGGGAAAACGGGGCAGGATATATATACATGCAGTACCAGATTCGTCCCACTGACGATCCCATGACAGGTCCGTCGAGTGTACAAGCTACGTTTGTGCTTCAGATCTCCTGCCGGATCGTTCCACGACTCCCGTTCTTCCGACCCCTGCAACTTCATCTACAATCTACGCAGCACCCGTTGCGCAACCTGCGCGAGCTGAAACTATTTTGGACACTGGCCAATCCACTCCCATCAGTCATGGGACATCTTCCAGCCGTCGATCTTCTCTAGCTCACCTCATGTCCGCTTCTGCGCCACCGAGAGGACCGCCGATTTTACCGACGGATCTCGATACAGTTCCCGGCCCCAGCTCATTATCCCACGTCCCACACTTCCCCTCCCAAACCGCTCCTCCAATCCTCCAGAACACCTCTCAGGGCAAGCAAAGAGAGCGAGAGCGTAGCAGTGGCTCTTCCCCCAATTCTGATGACCCCGCCGCGGCGAAAAAACTCCGTGGTGCCGAGGAGCGCAATTTGTTTGGCTCGCTGCACGTCTCGGCCATAAAAGTTCCTGCTCCGGATGGCGAATGCGGCGTGTGGTTCCTCTTCAATGTAGGTCTCTAATAATGCGAAGTAAAACATGAGAGATCTGACCTCCCGCATCAGGACTTGACCGTACGGCTTGAGGGAGTGTGAGTTTGATTTAGCGACGTCGTCCTTCTTCTTCTCCTTTTTGGCTGAGCCGTTTGCCCAGGTATCAACTGCGCCTTCGTGTCTACGACCTGTCGACCATCGCAGGGTATTCTGGCCAGCACGTCCAACCATTGGTCGAGATCCTGACCAGTCCGTTTGTAGTGCATTCCCCTAGAGCGTAAGGTTTTGTATCTTGGCAAGGCACTTACCATTATAGATTTCCTGGTGTGCCTCCCACAACTCCATTAATCGAACACTTTACTTCCATGGGCTTCAAATTGACTTCTCGAAAGGTGAGCCCGGATGGAAGAATGATATTTTTCGGAAGTCCACTCATAACAACATAGAACGAGAAACAAGCACGTCAACAAAGCCAACCTAAGCTGTCTCGTAAGACAACACCGGAGCGACCGGACCCTCATCCAGTCCAACCTGACGCCTGCCGGCATCCCTCCCAACGCCAATCAGCCATGTCTACGTCTAGTGGAAGTAAGACGGCTACGTCTGTTTCTTCAGGCTACAGACATGGCCTATCATCTTCGGATCTCGCCGGCGCCGGCGCCAGCAGCAGTCGCTCGAGTGGCGTGGATATGACGGACGAGTATGGCGTTGGACAGGCTGGCAAAGACGGTAACAGCCTTCGACCTTTGCCAGAGTCCAGCAGTGAGGATGTCTTGATGGATGCTAAGCCGAGCCAGAAATGGCGGTGAACGGGGAAAGATAAGGGTTGTTATCAATCAAAAAAGGGGGGGCAGGGGGTCCTGGACCACATGTCTCATCAAATCATTCATTGTAGCTTTAAAACAGAGTCAGTCACCATATCTCAAGGGTCAAAAGTGGGTTGCATATCATATCGTCTTGATGTCGTAACAAAGATTGCAACTAACAAGCCAACCAAATCTGAACACTACTCATGTACGGGGAATGAAACGACTGACGGGCATTCATGATGGCGTGAGATATGAAAAGAACATGAAACGTATAGAGATGGGAAGTCGTTATGTACGGATAGCAGAAGGGAGTAGCACTTGACCAGGTTGCAGTCCAGGCGAAGGGGCGTGAGAGGCAGGCGTACCAAAGCCACTCCCTGAAGTCGGAGGCAAGACTGGCGTGTTGGGCTCCGAGTTGGAAGTCCATCTCGGCCCTGATCGAACTTGAACTTGAGGGCTTGTGTGGAAAGATTTGGCATGTTGAACGGCTGGTCGTGTGGGACCGGTCATACTGCTGCTTGCTCTCGCCGTCGGGTCCGAAGGTGAAGGTGGGACGGGGGATAGTGATTGAGATGATTCGATAGCGTGGCGTAGTTGCGAGAAGATCACTAAACGAAGAGTCGAGTCAGCCATCTGAGGTTTATCTATCCAGGGAAATCACGACTCACGTTTGAAAGTCGATTGAGCGCCTTTCTCCAATGTGAGAGATACAAGGGTGTTGTAGCCTCCGCCAGAGCTGGGCGTATTTCGAGAAAATTCTGCTCGGAATCGTACGCCTTTGACAACGGTAAGGGCACCTTGGGCATCTATCTCGTGTGAGCGGGACGAGATTCGCAAAGACGAGGAAAATCGCTGACCTTTGATCTCGTCCACTCGGCACTTTAACGCTCTGATACCATCAATCTCAACCACTGCCACTCTGACTCCCAGTTCGGCGAGAATCTTCTTGCTCCTGTCGCGAGTGTTGCTGATGTTGTCATGCGACAGCAAAGTACATGAAGGAGCCTTGAAAGAGAAGAGGTTGTTGAACCAGCTCTTCTTGGGTGACGGCGTACCCATGGTGGAGGATGGTGATGGTGAGAATGGGAATTGAGTGGCGTTCAAGGTCGAGCCAAACTCTGGAGAGTAGGTTCCGGCCGTGTCCACAGTCATGGCTGAGGTGACTGTCAATATATACTGAAGGTAATGCAGTCTCGCAACTCACGCTTCTTCTTCTTTTTAAGCATGCCGAAACCATCCTGACCTCGATGCTGAGAGAAGCCGCTCTGCCTCGATGACCATGAATCATTGGCCACCGAAGGGACTTCGATGTTGTCTACCACGACATAGGATGTGTCTCGTGGAAGATTGCTGTCCTCAGTCCTAGTGGCGATCGCTGGAGGCTTCGGTGCAGTCCTCGTCGCCATTGGAGGGGGTGGTGCAGGGCGGTAAGATGACAACGGGACCTGGGGTCTGGAGGCGACACCTCCCGCAGAGCTATAGCTCCATCGATTCTGGTTCGCCTGTTGACTCTGGATAGGATGCAATCCCGGTCGAGGCGATGCTCCGAAGCCCAGTCCTACCAACGGAGAATTGGCTGACATGGCAGAATGCGTCGCGTGCGAATACTCTGAGGCCAATTCTGAGTCGTCACCATCCGCATCTGCGAACTGGTTCGGGTCAAATCCACCAGTAGGCGAAGTCGGTGAACTAGAGTGGATAGATGGAGTACTCGGACCAGGCAGAGGAATGCCAGCCGCGTACGCAAGATAGGCTTGGTAATCCTGTTGGATGGCTGGAGAGTTGGACGACGTAGAGGACGCAGAAGCGATGGATGATCGAATATTCATCGAGTTGAGCTGACTGGCCACTTCGTTAAAGAAGTGTTGCAGCTGCTCATCCTGGACAGTGGGAACATTAAGAGGTGATGGGGACGGAGAGGGCGGGGCAGGGAGTTGAGGAGTGCTGGGTAGCTGAGGAGTACTGGGCAACAAAGGCGAAGGTGGTGGAGCCATAGACTGAGGAGCAGCAAGTCCCTTTGTAGGTGTTGGCTGATGGAGGACGATGGCAGGAGTCGGAGGTTGATTCTCATCGTTCAATTCTCGCTTCTGAGCTACAGGGCTAGATGGCGGTCGAGGGCCACGAGGCGGAGCAGAAAGCTTGCTTGGGCCATTGGCGGGAGAAGAGACAATCCCACCAGCCGCAGCCTTCTTTGGGGTGGGTGCTGAAGGTCTAGCGACTGGTGATTGAGGTGTAATCTTCTCTTGGATCGTTTCATTCTCGCCAAGGATGCGTTTGGCAGGTGGCGATTTCGGACCTGATGGTGTCTTTCTAGGCGTGGATGAGGGCGGTGCGCTCTTCGGCGTCCTAGCTTGAGTTTCGATCGCATCATCATCGTCCATGTTGTAGTTCTCCAGATGCTTTGATCGATAGGTGATGAGCAAGTGGTAGATGGTTTTTTCCCATGTTTTTCTAGACGCACACAGTCAATCACTGTGCGCTCGGAGCAGACTTTTTCACGCACTCTTTGCTCATGAGAGCCGCGATGATCTCATCGTCAGATGCACCAGACCACAATGTCTTGAGATTACCCATGATATCGGCATCAATCTCGCTAGGAGAGTTGACAGGTCGCTCCACCTCGTCGAGCGAAGGAGGGTCAACAAGCGCTCTTCCAGGGATTGGTCGGGGCGAGCGAGAGGTGAAGAATGGATGTCGGAGGATTTCAGGCATCTGAAGGATCAATCGTCAGAGAGTGTCCGTCCACATTCAGAGTTTGGTGACAACGTACGGTGATTCGCCTCTCTGGGTCTTTCTCCAACATTCTCTTCAGAAGATCCCTCGGCGGGCCCTGGATCTCGTCTGGCATGTCAAAGAGTCCAATCTTGACTTTTTGCAAGAGCGATCGGATGTTGTCATCGTCAAATGGCAATCTCCCAGTGAGGAGAGCGAAGAGGATGATACCGCAGGACCAGATGTCCGAGGCACTTCCATGGTACGCTTTGCCCTGGAAGGCGGGCGGACAGCGTCAGCCATTGAATTATCAACCGATTTCCTGCCACGCTCACCGCCACGATCTCTGGAGACGCGTAATGTGGACTTCCACAACTTGTCTCGAGCATCTTTTCACCGGCTTCCCAAGCTGCCATACCAAAGTCGGCTACTTTGATATTCTTGTCCTTGTCCAACAGCAAGTTTTCGGGCTTGAGATCACGATGACAGATGTTGAACCGATGGCAGTAATCTACGGCAAAAATGATCTGTTGGAAGTAATGCAAAGCCTCCGATGGAGGTAGTCGACCCCTCTTGACAAGATAGTCGAATAATTCTCCTCCAGGGATGTATTCCATGATGAGATATCTGAGAGAGTCCGAAAGGTGAGTCACTGTGAGACGGGGTCCGAGTGGGGGACGGTCATTACTCACAGCTCGTTTGATGTCTCCCAGACATCATACAGGCTCATGACGTTGGGATGATCGATCAGTTTCATAATGACAATTTCCCTCTCGATCCCTAACAAGACCTTGTCCGCTCGTGCTCCAGCTTCGGACATGGACATTCTCGAAGTGAGGATGAGTCCTTTGGGCACAATTTTGATCGCCGCGTATTTTCCAGTGATGGCATGTTTGGCGATCTTGACTCGGCCTGGATGAAGGTATAGATCAGTGCCGCAACCATGTCACATTGATCAAGCGCAGCCAATAGTGGAGACGCTTCTTGACCACGAAATGCTGACATGCTGACTCACCAGAACTGCCTTTACCGATCGTTCTCCCTATTCTCCATTGTCCGATCATTCTCACGTCCTCCTTGTTTGATGATCCCGTCCGTTTCCTGTGTACGGGTGCATGTCCTCCTGATGGTCCATGATGTCTCGATCCCGACGGTCCTGCCACCCCATTGCCTTGTCGTTGAGCAACCGCAGCCATTGTGAGCGTCGGAGTCCCGTAGTTGTCTCCTCTAGAGGTCTGAACCCTTTAAATCGACGGCTCTGATCAATCCTAGATCGCAACGCTTTCAGGTTTGTCACCGTTGGTCGAGTCCTAGATGATGATCGAGGTCCGTATGCAAGCGAGGATGACAGCGAAGAGAGGATGCAATGTAATGATCGCAAGAAGTGTTTTGGGGTTGGGTCGGCCTGGGTGAGTTTGGGGGGCAATGGCCCTAATTCATACTTGCGCCTTTGGATGTTTGACTTTGTGATATATCCCTCTGGTCGGTTTCTACAGTCGAGTCCATAAATTTTTTTACTTCTTTTAGGTAAAAAGCGAGCGAATAGTAGAGCAGGGCGAAAGACGTTGACAAGTATCCTCCAAGGCGTGAACAAGATCGAGACTATGATGCACAGAGATGAGCATTCTCAAGGATATCGAGGTACGCTGTGTTGATGATGATGGTGATCGTTCGTTCGTTCCTGCGACCAGGATCAAAGTCTCATGTCTCTTGTTCCTTTTTCTGAACTGCAAAGTCGTCCAAAGATGGCGTTGTACTTCTTCTCTGTTCCAGAACTGCTAGGTTGTCTCCCCGAGATCCCTTGACCTTTCCCGTGATAGGATAAGCGGGACTATCCTTCGCTGTATCGGTTCTCCTGACTGTACCAGACTATAGTGAAGTACCAATGCACAGGACAGTCGATCAGGATAAGGGGGAGGCTGCAGGTTGCCGCGTCAAGGACGCTGCTCAAGGTTCATTTGGTGGGGGCAAAAATCAGTCGCGCTCGCGTCAACGAAAAACGAAAGAAAAAAAAAAGGGAGAGGGGGAGGCTGCGATGCATGCATGCCATTGACTATCCACCGGCCGGGAGGGGGGGGCGAATACATACCACTATTTGGCCTTACTTCAAGGACATTTCATATGAACCCGGTTCACTCGTACTACTTTTGAACCCTGAATCTCATCATGGCCCCTCTCCACCATCCCAACAGACTCCAAACTTACATAAATCAGCTTTACGTTGCTCGATCGAAGCCACCAGCCAGTTTCAGTCAGTGGCCGGGAGTCGAATCGCTAAATAATAATAATGTTTGACCATTGGGGTTTGTTTATTTTCACTTTTTCGCTGCTCTTTCGAGCATCGTCCTCGTTGTTAGACTGGCGTGCGCGATATATCATACCCGACGTGTTCTGTCTGTATCGGGCTACGTCGTCATTCATCGTGGTCCTCTTTCCCCACCCCCAAGGCAAGCAGAAAGTTACACTGCTGATGGCAAGCCTGCAGGGAGTGGCTTACCGCAGTCAAGGTGTGGATGAATGCTCGGGCATCTAACGAGGTCTGGAACATGATGAAGAATATCCAGTCATATCGGACCATCCCACTTGGTAGCCGCAGCCGTCAGTGGCTACTTCCTTCACTGGATATTACAAAATGATGATTGGCTGACAGATGAACACTGACGTAGTCAACTTGGCAGCATTTGCAGTGTGAACTCGGCCGACTCGTGAGACGCAGACAGCTGGCTGATGCATGGTGTGCTTGCTACTTGGATTGCAGCCAGTGGCGAGTACAACTCCGCTCTCGGAGGATCACTGTACCTGGAGGGCACCAGGTGTCGCCCACGACTGGACCAGGCACCGACCATTTCATTAATGCATGTATTTGTCCTTTAATGGCGTTAGGGTCAGCGGTTCACCTCACGGTCCTCGGCGCGCAAGGAACAGACTATTTACGCACCTTCCAGACCCATGCTAGACCGAACGTATTGGTAGAGCCCTGTCCGATCTAGAACGAGATCAATGACATCAGTGAACATGGACGTAATTATCGTGCCAAGAACTGGCAAAAAGGTGGCTCACCGCCATGCGATACCACTTAGCAGCTTCTTTCCTTAGAGTTCCAATACATCAGCCACGAAAACGGCGTTTTGGTGGCGGACACGTCTCTACTCACATGTCTTTTCTGACTCCATTGCCCCCTTTTGATAAGAGGAACCCGAGCTCTGAAAGAAAACAATGGGCCGAGGTCTCTGTCGTCATGGATCTCGACTCACGTTCTTGCGCTGCCAGATCTCCCAAATTCCCCGCAAATCGAAGATATGCCATGGCGATGTCAGGCGCCTTTTTCACCCCGACACCTTCGAGGAAGCAATTGGCAATCTCAAACATGCCCAGCGACACGTCCCGCTGAGGTATGTCAGCAGGACTGCCTCAGCCCGAGACGACTCACTGTCATCTTCTTTTTCTGCTGCAAGGATAGCTTGACCGTACCAGGTGACTGGTAAAAGTTGATGCCGCCCTCCATGAGAGATTCGTCACATGCCTGTCTGAGTTCGGCAAAAGCCCTCTTGTCATCGCGGGCTACACCCCAGCTGCGAAGCGTTAGCAAATTTTATCTCGACATGAACCGCGACCGACCCGTGTCGCAAAGCTAGACCTGAATATGTTCATCAGCTGACAAGCGTCATTGACCAGCAGATCGACTCACCCCAATACATCCTTCCAGTTGAGCTTCCCGCATCGGCAGCCTTCATGAAGTACCAGGCGCTCCGCGGTAAGTCGCCTTTGCCTCGTGCTTCAATGCCCTTCGCAACATAGCCTGACGGGCCTGCATCATCTCCTTCATCCAGCGGCGAGAGAGACGCTGTTCCCATAGAGCTGACATCCGAAGCTGTCCTCTCCCGATGCGCCTTCTCATTCTCTAGCTTAGAGACCGAGACCTTGACGTATCTACCATTCGGAAACACTGAGTCCACACTTTGTTTCCTCGGTGGAGGTTCTATAGGCTGTTGAACAACTAGAACAGGACCGGCATCAGATTTAGCTCGAATGGTGCGCTGTGTTGGCGTGTTGGCGCGAGGTGTACTTGGGCCAGAGGCATCGAGGTCATAGAAGCTATATGCGGCGGATTGGAATGACATTTGAGAGTAGCGATTGTCTTCACGTTGGATTTTGGACCCGCTGGTCTCGCCAGACCCGTCAGTATCCTTCAGAGGTATCATAATGGACGGAGGGAGAGGTATAGGGCTTGAACGAGGTGACGGGATGGTCGGCGAGAGAGCTCCGCGAGGTGTACTGGGAGCTGAGGTTGAAGGTGATGACCAGAAGTCGTCAGGTGTCGGGACTACCCTCTCACTCTCCGCTCTACGCTGCGCCAGTCCGGGGCGTTTCATGTCGGGCACGGCAAGATGATTGCCCGATCCAGAGGTCTTGAGAGTCACGGTGGAACCAGATGGCCGAAGGGCAGAAGGATGAGATATTGTTGGTGAAGTCGATGCTGCACGAGGGGAATTTGGATGAGGTTCCACCCCTGGAGGGGGAGGTGGTGCTCTCCGAGGGAAGACAAGGGCCTTTCGAAGCCTCCTTCCATCTTCTCTTGAGCCCGTATTTTCCTCTCTGGAGGGCGGCGGGGCAGCATGACCTGCCATGACCGCTTTGAGCTTCCCTAGTCGCTTGCTTGGACTTTGGCGCGTCTTTCCATCTCCATTGATAGCTTCGGGCTCGCCTGTATCCAACCATTCAAATTCCGCTTCGTCTTCTCCCCAATCTGCGCCTTGCTCTCCATGTATGGACGTCACATCAAAGTGACCGTCCGAGCTGGCATTTTCCAGTTCCGCTGTATCGACTGTTTTGCTCCGACCCAACGTTGGCCTCCTCCTCAGCTCGAGGGGTAGCCGAGGCCTTTCCGGCTCCCCGACTCGAGTCTTGACGACAAAGCTACGTTTAGGGACGAGAGTTGACCGTGATGGTCCAGCTGAAATGGTATAATCTTGACTCTTTGATGAGCGATGACCCTTGTTTGCAAGATCATCTGTATGCGATGGAAAATACTGGCTCTGACTAGCCTTGGGAGTTGATGGAGTTTCCGGTGGAGACGTGTTGAAAGCATGTTCGTCAGCTGAAATGGTATCGAGAGATGCTGTGGATTCGACTGAATAGATGGACGGCGAGCGGAATAGGTTGAAGTTGATGGGAGGGACATGCGAAGCAGGTGCAGCAGATGGTCGGCGGGCGGTCGAGCTTTCGCCAAGCTGATCCGATACGGTTTGTCAGCACGAAGACCATATGTGCGAGAGACGGTAACAGAAAACTTACCTGAGCTCCGGGACCAGCGAGTGATAATTGAGCCAGTGGACTGGCAAAGTTCCCACTGTTGACTAAATCCAATGGTCTAGGCTGGACCGCTGATGATGATGAAGCCATGGCTACGTCCTCTCTACTACAGCCACGATGTACTCTGGCGTACTTCCTGTTGGAACAAGACGAAATGAGAGATGTGTGACGGGAGACAATAGTACCCGGTCGGTGCCTTTGTTTTCGTCCCTTTTGCCGCCTTTCTTTGCTATTACGAGAACCGTTTGGGAAAATGGTGGAGGTGGCCGTTAGGTTAGTGGTGGGTGGCAGTGGTAACAGGAGCAGGGAGGGATGCTCTTGATTCGATGCACAAACTCAATCGAAGCCGATAGCGTGTCTAGAGCTATCGCGATCACCTGAAGGATGGCTCAACGCTTTCAAGAGCCTGGAACCTGTTGGTCTTAATGGCTCCATTGTGCCCCCCCGTCTCCAAGGGCTACCGACACTCTCTCCCCCCTTTTGGAGGCGTTTCAGATTGAATTTCTGGCAATTTGGCAGAGTGGCGGTTACATGGTCGTCAAGAAGCTCAAGACTCAGCTATGCTCTAGCCATGCAGTATATGCCTTAGTTCTCTGCTCTCAGACAGGCAAAGATAGCTGCTGTCAGAGGTTGACATCACTTCCACTCTGTGCAGCAGTGGTAATGGCCAGCAATGAAATATTCCAACATGTTGAACCCATCTCTCTCTCACACATTTTGCCTCCGTTCACGTCTCAGAGCTGATCTTTTACGACAAAATGAATCCCGTATCAGCCCAGATAGCGTCTCATCAAGCTCAAACAGCCATTGGTTTTGGACGCAGTGTAAGGCCCCGCCAGATCTTCAGGGCTGCTATCATATGGGATGTGGCTACACACACGATGACCGGTGAGGTCCGCTTTAAACTGCAACGCTTCGGCTTTTGCCGTTCGGTGATCGCCGCTACTCCTTTCTCGGACCTACCGCAGGGTACTACGGCGGTTTGTTCAGATCCCCGATTCCAATCCCCCATCTTCCCTCTTGTCTATCTTGTGATCAGATTCACTGTCCCTCCGCTTGCTGGTGATTATTCACTGCGTGACATCACTCCACAATGCTCGCCTCGTCCCTCCTTGCTCTGCTTCCCCTCGCAGCGGCATTCCAAGTGCCTAAATTCCCTACGGCCCAAGATGCTTTATCGGCAGCCGATAACCTCCTCCACGGTCATTCTGCCGCTGGGGGAGCGTCGACTGTCTTGAGCCCAGCCAGCGATCTCACTCTGTCGAGTATCTCGGGCGACGACCACGTCACTTTGACCTCTGCTTTGCACCCTGTGAGTCGCGTTGGCTCGAGCGTGTGCAATCAATGTTGACTGTGCGCTCAGAAGCACAAGATGAGGATCAAGTCTCATCACGGATGGTGTGACCCCTGGACCAAGTCGTACAGTGGTTATCTTGACGTCGGCGACGGTCGAGATCTCTTCTTTTACTTCTTTGAGTCACGATCCGACCCGTCGAAGGACCCTGTCGTTATGTGGATCAATGGTGAGAGATCTCTCGCGGATCGTCAAGCGCTTTGGTGGCTGACGCGCCCCGCCTCAGGTGGACCGGGATGTAGTTCCAGTATGGGATTGTTCATGGAGCTCGGTGAGACTTATCTTGAGTGTCTCTTCGCATTGCGCTGAATGAACCCGCCAGGACCATGCACGATCAAGAGCAACCCTACCAACGTCAATGATACGAAACCGAACCCATATTCTTGGAACGAGAAGGTATGTAGATATTGCATTCATTCAGGGTTTTCCTTTTTACTTTGGCTCACGAGTGTGCAGGCAAACATCTTCTTCCTCGAAGAACCTCTTGGTGTGGGGTTCAGTGAGGCTGAGCACGGCCAAGTAAGTCGAATGATGTCGTTTCTTCGCTAGATCTAATCGTCACTAGACCGTCTCCACGACGGAGGAAGCTGCCATCGATGTCCAGGCTTTCGTCCACCTGGTGAGTCGTTTTCATGAAGCTCTTGTAATACGTTACTCACCTGGCTACAGTTCTTTGAGCACTTCAAGGAATTTGAAGGCCGAGCTTTCCACATGTCTGGTGAATCCTACGGTGTACGTCATTATCAACTTTCCCTTTGGGAGCCTCGAGTTGACCTCTTTTCAGGGTCGATACCTACCTGTCTTCGCCAGTGCTGTCCACGATGGTAACAAGGCTTTGATTGCCGCTGGCAAGGCACCAATCAACCTCAAAAGTGTCTTGATCGGAAACGGTATGACCAACTTCAGTGAGTTGTCGACTACACGGAAAGATAGCGTCTGACGCTAGTCCAGTGACCGAGGTCGAATCTTATTACCCATACGTGAGCAGATTCGCCCTACGAAGCTTCCAGCTCCTGACCGGTCCCAGTCCTGCACAATCCATGGAGGTCTCGATGCGCCGATCTCTCCCATCAAGGATTGCGTGGAAATGGCCGAAGCTGTACGTAGACGATCTGCGCAGGAATCTCAGACTATGCTGATGGTGCTGCAGGTACCCCGATGCCACAAGATGGCCAAGAGAAGCTGTGTGGACTCTCACGATTACACCGAATGCGCCATGGCCGAGACTTACTGCAGCTTGGCATTGACAACGCCATTCGCAAACCTCCAGCTGAACCCGTGAGGTCACCGCAACCGATTGGATTATTGAGTTGCTGATCTATTGCATCAGCTACGACGTAAAGAAGAGCTGCACGCCTCAGGAGTTGAAGGACTACCTCTGCTATGCCGAGACGTGAGTTGAAGACTGAATATGGAGACAGATGACTGATCTAGTGACACAGTGGTGTCGTTCGTGAATACCTCGACCTCCCTGAAGTCCGATCGTTCCTCGGCGTTCACCCCAATCGGCCCAAGTTCTCATCTTGTGACAAGACTGTCGGCCAAAACTTCCACCGATCACTGGATGCGACTGGCCAGACTTGGCTCTACTCTGCGGGCTTGCTCGAACGAGGAATCAGGACTTTGATCTACGTCGGTACTCAGGACTGGATCTGTGAGTCGTAGCTGAGCCACCTCGGGACACCCGCTGATCTCGTCCGGAAAGGCAACCACATTGGTAATGAAATGTGGACCGAGGCTCTCGAGTGGACTGGTCAGGAAGGCTACAATGCCGAGTCACTCTCAGAGTGGATCGTTGACGGCAAGGTCGCCGGATCCTACAAGACTTACGGACCCCTTACCGTGAGTTTCTGGGCCGTACGGAAGGACTCCCTCTGACGGATCCTCAGCACCTCAAGGTACTCGGCGCCGGACACATGGTTCCCATGGACAGGCCCAAGCAGTCTCTCTCCATGTTGCACACTTGGCTGTCGGAGGAATCTTTCGGTGACTCCAAGTGATAGGGACTGTGCTTTCGAGCAGATCTGAAGGTAGCGAGCGAATCAAAATGCATTTTTGCAACAGTGCCAAGCGCAGTGCCTCAGTGAAATCAGTCGGCCGTTGGGTTTGTTCGAAGAGAGTGACGAAGGCCCCTCGAGTTCCCAAAGCAGCAGCCCACAGCCAATCTGGCAAGCAAAGGTAATATTGTCGGTTTTGCTGTTTTGGACGCGTCTTGCAAAAATTTCAATGTTCGGAAATTTTTCCAATTCAATCTCTGACAGCTCTCACAATAAAATCTAGTCTTGTGTTTTCATCCGACAATCCACTCGTAGCAGAGCTCGAACTACACTCACTGAGGACAGCGGATCACTTCAAAAGATGAGCGCAGACGAAATTCACAGTCAGTATGACACCATCTTGATCCTGGACTTTGGATCTCAAGTAAGTGCACACAACACATGGCCGGCTCCCCAAGTCCTCCTAGTCTGGCTGACGCTGTTCAGTACTCTCACTTGATCACTCGAAGATGCCGAGAGCTCAGCGTGAGTCTCTTGGGAGCTGTAAAGCTGCATGAGCTTAATCACATTAACAGGTGTATTGCGAGATGCTGCCTTGCACCCAGAAGATCAAAGATTTGTCCTGGAAGCCAAAGGGTTAGTCGAAATGCTATCTTGCAGCTATCATGGCGCTCGCTGATATCAGTCTTGGACATTTAGGTATCATCCTTTCTGGCTCCCCGTATTCAGTTTACGACCCAGAGGCCCCTCATGTCGATCCCGACGTCTTTACCCTTGGTGTTCCCGTTCTCGGGATCTGCTATGGACTGCAAGAGATCGCTCGAACACACGGTGGACAGGTCGAGGCTCACTCCCATCGAGAATATGGATATGCCAAGATCCAAGTGGAGAAGGTGGGATCTCACGGTGACAGACTGTTCGACGGCATAGACATGGACACAGATGGGATGCAGGTGAGTAGTAATCCTGGCGTTGACCAGGTAGAGCCCAAATCTAACACCGGACGACAGGTTTGGATGTCTCATGGTGACCAGCTCACTTCCCTCCCACCTGGCTTCAAGGTCATCGCTCACACTCCCACATCCCCTTACACTGCCATTGCTCACGAGATTGAGCACGTCTTCGGAGTCCAATTCCACCCTGAAGTCTCTCATAGCCCGAAGGGCAAAGAGGTCATTGCGGCCTTTGTACACAACGTCTGTGGTATCAAGGGTGGATGGAGTATGGTGAGTGAGAGAAAATGCCGTTGGTAGGTGCTGACGGAGTCGACCTTCAGGACTCGTTTATCCCGAAAGAGATCGCTAGGATCAGGGAGATCTGCGGAGAGAAGGGCCAGGTCATCGGAGCTGTTTCTGGAGGTGTTGACTCGACCGTCGCTGCCAAACTCATGCACGAGGCTATTGGTGATCGGTGGGTTGATCGGCAATCTTGTTCGCGGAGCTCATCTATTTATGTAGATTCCACGCCATCATGGTCGACAACGGAGTCTTGAGGAAAGACGAGGCCAAAAAAGTGCACGAAATGCTCACGGAGAATCTCGGAGTCAACCTTCACGTTGTGGATGCCTCTGAGCTCTTCCTATCACGGCTCAGGGGCGTCGAAGACCCCGAGAAGAAACGAAAGATTATCGGCAACACTTTCATCGAAGTATTCGAGGACGAAGCGCTCAAACTCGAAGCCGCGGCCGAAAAGGAAGTCGAGGAGAAGGGCGGCGAGGCCAAAGGAAAGATTGAATGGCTGCTTCAGGGAACACTATACCCTGATGTCATCGAGAGTATTAGCTTTAAAGGACCCAGTGCGACCATCAAGACGCATCACAATGTCGGAGGATTGCTGGAGGATATGAAGTTGAAATTGATCGAGCCATTGAGAGAACTGTTCAAGGGTGAGTTGAATCAAAGAGAGGGGGCGTAACGAACGCTGACGATGCCTTTTTTTTTGGTTGTCAGACGAGGTCCGAGCTCTGGGTCGATTACTGAACATTCCTGCTCATCTCGTTGGACGACACCCTTTCCCAGGTCCCGGGTTAGCCATTCGAATCCTCGGAGAAGTCACTCGCGAGCAAATCACCATCTTACAGCATGCGGACGACATTTACATCGAGGAAATCAGAGCAGCTGGATTGTATGACCAGATCAGTCAAGCGTTCGCGGCCTTGTTGCCCGTCAAAGCGGTTGGTGTCGCTGGAGATGCTAGGACGTACGATCAGGTGATCGCTCTGAGAGCAGTTTCCACAGAGGACTTTATGACTGCCGATTGGTGGGACCTCCTTGTTAATGGATGATGCAATGGCTGACGAGAGAATCAGGTTTGCTTTCCCACCGGCTGTCCTGAAGAAGATTTCATCTAGAATAACGAATGAGGTGAGTTGCCGGTCACTCACTCTCGATCGAGCCGAAACCTCAGCTCACACTCTTATCAGGTCAAAGGTGTTAACAGAGTCACGTATGACATCACATCTAAACCTCCAGGAACGTGAGTGTTCTCTGTGACGAGTTGTAACGAGCAGGGCTAACGGACGATCAGGGTCGAATGGTTGTAAAATGGGTCGTTGGTGTGCATGCTTTGACGAGGCTCTAAATTGCGTCAGCCTCGTGGTTCAGACGATCATTGTGTCTCATCGGCAGAGCGCGCGGCTCTTAGCTACTAACCTCTCGGAGGATTGTCAACCCAAAGTTTGCTGACGAGAGATACTCGACAGTCCGGATTTCAACATTGAATTCAAACTGCAGACTTACCTCCGTTCTCAGCAGATCTATCTGACGAGCGACATTCGATACAAGCCAGCGATGAACCCCTCTCCTGTGGTCACGAATATCAGGGGTAGAGCCCAGGTCGACCAGAAGACAGTTCATCCCGAGTACAATGACTCCAACGCGGACCTCTCTCTCGTCAGCAATGACAATGTCGTCATTCATGTGCACTCATTCTATTTGAAAGCGCACAGGTGAGTGATGAAAATGAGGACATTGACCCAGACTATTTGCTGACGTTCCCCTCAGCAACACCTTCCGTGAACTTCTCACTGATATCATGATTGTTAACGCGGACCAACTGCAAATGAATCGATCACCCATTCCACTGGATGCGTCCAGTATCGCCGTTCAACTCTTCCTCGACTTTATGGATCTCAACAAGACTCGTCACATTGTTGACATCGATCACATTGCCCAGACACTGCAGCTATGCCAGCAATTTGAGTGTTCATTCTTGTTCAATCACATCCTTGGCTACATGGCCGATCCAGCTGAAGCTGGCTTGTGGATTGCACCCTGGAAAGTATTCTGCATCGCTGCCCGCTTCGACCATCTCGGACTGGCCAAAGCTGCCATTGGCCAGATGGACTATGAGCAAGGGAGTCCACCTCAAGGACGTTGGGATATCGAAGGAATGACCGCCGCGTTTGCTGAGGATTGCAATATGCGATATCTCCTCGGCTTTCTTCGCGTCACGACTGCCCATTGCAAGCCGGCGCAGAAGGCCAAGCAAAGTGGGAAGCGTTCCTATGATTATGATTGGGATGCTGCAGCAAAGGATTTCAGAGTCGAGAGGACGCCAGTGAAGAGGGCGAAGATCAAATGCGTCGCAAGGAGTCAAAGGGGAGCAGCTTCTGCGACGAATGAAGCGCCTGTATCGTGAGACGTTGTAAGGCGGTACGCTTGACTCTTTCTCTGCCTCATATATGACAGGCTATCTTCGGCCCTGTGCGTCGTGAAACCGCCATCATGCATTACGTTGTGGCAATCCCCGAATGGATGACTTGAGAACTGCCCTTGAACGAGCTCTCGCGTTAGGCACGAGAGGGCTTATCCGTTCCACTCACAGCATCAGGAGGTCCTATACCATGCAAGGACGTCACACCAGAGGCTATACCGGCTACGTGTAGGCCTCTTGGTGGGTCATTCATGGACCCGCCACGAACGGGGTCGCCAACTCAGCCGGAAGTTGCCGCGGCGCGATAAGCACGTCCTGACCGATCCTCGGTGATGTGGCAGTTCTTGGTGGCCCTCAGGTTCTGCAGTGAAGCAACGCCTGAGGTGGCCGGTCTGCGTGTACTAGGAAGGGGTGCTCTCTGATCAGAATTATACCTTCGTATGAGTATTCTACATCCCATTGTGATCGCTGTATCACTGCAGCATCTCCAGCTTCGGCCACTCAACTCCAATTTGTCAAAAAAAGGCCAACCTCTCAAGCTCGTTACGATGGACCTACCCAGGTTCTGATCAAAATCGTTGTTCGACAGAAAGCAATAGCTACCAACAGACTTGCATTCAAGCAATACACCTATGGTGTGATGGTCCCTTCCTATCCTCATATCCTTGGCCTTGAAGGTGCGGGCATTGCCGAATCCGTTGGTGACCAGGTGGCGGATCTCGAAAAAGGTGACGAGATGTACGCTTGGTACTCGGGTAACCTAGCTGGCAAGCCTTGGGGTGGAGCCTTTCAGTCTCATGTGATTGTCCCAGCTTGCTTTGCAGCCAAAAACCCAGACTGCATCTCGATGAAGCAAGCTGCTTCACTTCCGTGAGTGGTTGCCAGTGTGGCACTGGGAGACGTTACTGTACATACAGTACATATCAATCAATGCGTTTTACAGGGCGTGTTTCCTTCACGGCTGTCACGGGCCATCACGCTTGGCTTGGCCATCAACTTGCCTTCTCTTCTCATCGAGACCGAAAGCCATCCCGCAAAGTCCATCTTGATCCTAGGCGGATCCACCGGTGTTGGATCGAATGTGGTTCAGCTATGTATGCTGGAGCAATTGGTGACGCCGGAGACGGTCAGCCAAGCTATATAACCCAATCTTCCAGCGTAACAATGACATGCCCTCAGAATCCCCAAACAGCTCCACACGTCTGTCCGAGGACGTCCCCGCCTTTCACCCCATTCACAGACATGTACTGTACTTTGCATTCAACTGTGGCGCCACGCAGACCACCAATCAGATTTTCCAGTCATCATTGGCTTTCTGGGGTTCTCACTAGCTGCCCTGAGCTAGAAGCTGACCGTCGTGTATCCGACACGAGGCGATTGTGAATGCAAGATTGTGTATGTGCTGCTGACAGGGCCAGCTTAGCTGGTGCTTCGTTCCGTCCAGAAAGATAAAAGGGGCCAAAGTCGTCTCCCCCTCTCTTTCGTTCATCATCCCATCCTCTCCACATCTACAAACTCAACAGTCACTCCAAGTTGCTTCTGTGGACCTTCTCCTCTGCTCACCAAGTCCAACCAGCACCATGACCGAATCCTCCAACAGCCCTTCGCAGACTACCAGCAATGGCACCACTGCCTCCAAGGTCTGCTACACTGATCCTTCGGCCGACGTCACCCTCGTTTCGACTCCCGAAGGACGACACTTCAAGGTCCAGTCCTTCTGGCTCAAGGCGAACAGGTGGGTGTCCAATTCGAGAGCTCCCTGGAGATAGCTGCTGAATGACCTTTCGGCGGCTGCTTCACGCATCTACCTCCCCATCTTCACAATTTCTGCTCCACCTTCTCCTGCCCGCCCCGCCTCGCTTATGTTCACTCTTATACACAGCGCCTACTTCCGCAAGGTTCTCAGCTCACCCGAATACCATGGCGATGCCATACAGGTTCCCGCACCTACCAAAGTCCTCAAGATCTACCTTGATCTCTGTCATGTTCGACACCTACCTCCCAAGCTCTTGTGGTCGGTCCGAGAACCCCTCTTCAAGCTATGTGACGAGTATCAATCCCCCAGTATCGCCGAGCGAGCCCTCTTCCACTCCAGCGAATGTATGGACAAGGATCCCTGGCAAGTCTTTTGCTTGGCTTCTCAACGACGCAATGTGGGGCTGGCGAAATCGGCCCTCAGGGCCATGGACGATTCAATGACCCATGTCAACGTTACCTCCATCACACCTGAGCTCGCTTCGGGCGTGACGATGCCTTTCCTGCTCGGTCTGTACAATGCTGCCCTTGAAGGTCGAGTGGGTCAAAGCAACGGTTACGCCAACGGACATGGGCATGGCTACGACCATGACCACAATCATGGTCAAGACCGGGATGTCACAGTGACCTGGAAGGTGATCGCGGAGAGGTTCCATCCCGTCATGGGGTGATGAACTCCCCCCTCACACCTCCAGGCTCTGCCATGTGAGCGAGGGACAATATTTTGCTTGATATCCAGCTCATGAAACCCGAACAGCATCGTCGGGCGATGATATCGTTTGGCGAGGATGACTGTGCCGCTCAAAGGTGTGTGCGTATGCGTGTGTGCCTTGACCTCGTTGCGTGTCGGTTTCTTGGTCGTGGTATGAGAGTTTTCAGCTTCGAGGTCAATCGTATCTTTTGTATCTCCTCTGTCTTGCTTTGCGATGTCAACGTTTTGTCAGCTGAAGCTCGAGACGGATCGGAGTAGCCAAAAGATCACATCATCTCGTACAATCTGCCCGCATTGTCCACCTAAGATTGGATCTGAAAGTAGGCCGCTACACCATGCCAGCTCTGACTCGTTGACTTCTTGTACCTCCATACAGCCCTGACCAATGCCATGAGGTATGGCAGCGGTACGCTCTTGGCCATTTCATCTGTTACTTTAGTTAATCCAAAACTGTACAGTCCACCAAGCGAGACATCCATACTCTCGACGGATTTTCTAGCGAGAGGCATATCGCCAAATCTCGCGGCAATGACGAATACGTCCCAAGGGTGCGTATGAGTGTACGCTTTGAGTCGGTGAATGAGTCGATACTGTATCGAATGACAGCCAAATCCATCCATCATTCCTGGAATAGCCTTCAAGACCTCGAATGGGCTGAGTGTTTTCGGTTCAGGAATGTTGCGCATGAGGTCTAAGAAGACTTTGAGAGTTTGGGAGGTCGCGTCGATGGGAACCGGGATGGAGTCTTCAGGTTCAGGTCCAACGTGGATATTGGGAGACCTCAGAAGATCGTGGAAGAACGAGCTGGAGTCTGAGTCAGCGCTGAAGGACAGGGACGGTGACACACTCACCTTGATGCTTTGAGAACGAAAGAGTGGACTCTGAACAAGACATCGTCGTTCGCTTTGAGGACGATATCTGCATCCGCTTCATTGTAGTCTTCATGAGTTTTATCGCGTCTATTATCGGATGCATCGTTGGAAGAAGAGACGCGGCGAGGCATGATGGATTGAGTGAGATGTCGTCAGAGGGGCGTGCTGAGATGGGTGAGTCTGACACAGTGAATCTCGGACGGCGAGTTGAAGGTTTTTTCTTGCCCTCTTGGAGCTGAAAGCCACGTGTAATTGGAGCAATGGCGGAGGGCTTGGGTGAGGCTAGACATGAGTGATGGGTAAGAAGGAGTGCTGGGTGATGGGGAGGTGATGCCAGGCGACGTTGGGGATGATGAAGGCTACATCGGACGGAAGGTGTGAGCGCTCGCCTTTTGCAGGTCAGTGGCCTTATGGATCACACGCTTTCACCTGGCTCCAGGTTACATTGCCACACAGATTCGACCTATGCATGCTTCATTGTCGAAGATGTCGAGGTTTATGGTTGAAGCAAACATCTTCGAAAGGGATCTTCGCTCAATTTCGCGAACGACACGTGTGATTGGGGGGGGGGGGGGAGGGGTTTGTGGCAGGGTCTGCCTGGCATAAGGGGTGCCCGATGAATTATTGTGAGATCATGTTGAAGGGGCCTGTCTTGATCTTTTTCCCAAGAGTCTCCGGTTCTGTTTCCGTGCTGAGGACCTCACTCGGAATCGTATGTCCTATCTGTTTCGAAGATTCCGAGGTGAGACGGAACCAAGGTCCGCACTTCGGAAACTACGGAAAGTGCGGTCAGCCCCCGGTAATTAAGGACCTGGTAGGACATCTAAGGACGTAGTGCGCCCGCACTTTGGTCCGCACTTTGAACGCAGTTTGAGCTGATTTGGAGTGGGTCCGGAGCTGAGTTGGAGCATAGTTGGGAACACATTCATCCTCGTCACGGATGCATAGGGATTACCACACATACAGAGGGGGCTCTTTGGGAGTGCGTGGCGCTCAGATGGTGCAGGGTATGTGTGACGTTAAGCATCTGGGTAAGGGGGCGTGCTGGGATGAAAGTCTATCTCAAACCTCTCTCACAGTGCAAAGAGTGTCACAATCATGTCACACGATGTCACACGGACGAGGACAAATGTCACACGAAATGTGACAGGCGTCTGTCTTGTCTCCGGCCCGTAACGTGACACGAACTGAAAAAGTAGTTGCTCCAGATTCCTACACCATATGCCTTCGCCGATTCAGTGGAGTTCAGTCATGGTGGTGTAGACATCCGGAGGCGACTTCAGCTACGCCTCAAGGACGATTGACATGCACAGATATCTTGCTCGCACGCGACGCTTGGTGAAGGTTCAAGGGTGAGCACCCTTGGCTTCAAGACCGTGTACATGTCCATCATCATGTCCACCATCATATCCACGACTCGGTCCACCATTATATTTACCATTGTCACCACTATCATAACTCCCTCTGGGTCCACCTGTTCCCACTAACATGTCTGCCACTGGGTCAACAACTGAGTCCGCCGAGTGGGTCCACCACGGAGTCTGCCACTTGACCCTCGTGTCCGCTGCTTGAGTTCTTCTCTAGGTGTGATACGACAGCCAAAGCTTTCAGTGTATTAGATATATCCCCCAAAGGAGGTGATCATGGAAGTCTCTGATTCTCGCTCAGCCGTATCCATCAGACCTGACATATCTATGATACATCGACATCTGACTCGTACGAACGCTGAGTCTCTATCTCTATCGTCACCTCTAACACACCTTACATGTGCTTTGCAATCTCGCTGCTCCACCCTTTCGCAGATTCGAATCCATTCTTCCCCTCTTGGAAATCTTCAAACGCATCTTGGACCTGCTGAGCGGTATTGACGACAAACGGACCGTATTGGACGATTCGCTGGTTCAAAGGTTCACCCGCGACGAGGATGAACTTGGTCTCCTCATCTACTGCCGCACCATTGGAGTATTTCTCAGGCCGGGTAAGGGTGACTCCAGATTCATCCGGGGATAGAACGAGCAAGTTGTATGGGTCATACGGGAAAGGCTCGTCCCCGATTTGCAATTGACCAGACTAGACTAGAGGGGAATGTAAGCATCCGTAGCTTCTAAGGTCATGTATGCTCCCAGGAGTCACTCACCATAGACGAAAGCTGTCCATCCTTTTGGAAGTGGTTGATGGATTTTGACGCCAGGTTTAGAGAGTTTAACGTCAAAATACCAACAGCCTCCGACTGGCCTAACGAATCCCTTGACATCGTGAGATTCACCAGAGATGATGCTGATCTCGTATCCATCTCGTTTCACTGTAGGTATACTGTATTGGGGAAAATGGCATTAGATCAGCCTCAGGTCAACGACGAAGACAGAGAGCACTTGAGCGTGAGACAAACAGACTCACTCTGCCGCTTTCTTCTCTTGATAGCTCGGTTCGATAAACTTCTGAGCTTGTGGTCGGTCTATCCACAGTTGAAATCCACGAGTCGGTACGGCTTTAGCTGAGTCAGGGTCGAACAGAGGCATCTCGGCGTGCACTACGCCTCGGCCCGCCGTCATCCATTGAACGTCGCCAGGACGGAGTCTACAGAAACGACATCAGTATCCAATCTATCTGACCGCCGTCCTTAACACGGGGGACAGAATGGGAGGTGGCAGGGTGATGGGAGGAAGCCTGTGAGAAGACCAACCCCCCAATGCTCCAAATGCTCATCGTACCCTCGAAGTCTCTCCCACCTTACCAACACACTCACGTTCCTCGATTGCCCATACTATCTTCGTGTTCGCTTGCCCCTTCCAAGATGTACGTCACGGTCGTCTGTCCTCTATGAGGATGGTCTCCGAATCCCGCACCTTTCGGTATCATGAAGTGATCGAGCATGAGGAATGGCGACAAGTTTCGAAGAGATCGTGACCCTATACTCCTCCGGACGCGAGCCCCGATTCCTTCGGATACTTCATCCGCGTAAACATTCTTGAGGACAGAACGCGAGGGACCAGAGAAGCTTGATGAGCTGGGACCTGTCACGGTGGCATTGACATTGGCAGTGGCAGAGGACGACATGGCTCGAGATGCAATTGGTGTCGTTGATCTGAACAAAAGAGGAATAGATTTGATGGTTGTGGATGAGAATCGGTTCATGCAAATTTTGAGGAGACGGAATGCTTGAAAGGCGAGTCAGTTGCCTGTATATATATGTCTCTTGCTGATATGATGATGAGGAGACGCTAGGACATTCCAGACAACAAGAGAAAGCAAGCTTTGTCGAGCCTTTGATGCGAGATCTCCCTTCAGTGTTGGCTAATCTAATCTCTTGGTCATCCGTCGGAACTCGTGACCAAAAGTAGTAATTTCCGTCCTTCCGTCGGGATGCACTTCCGCAGGAATCAAAGTACCCATCTGACAAAGAGTGGTTCATAACAAGATACGGACACAGGCGAGATGATGCATTGAGACACGAGGCGCCTAGATCCTCCTCAGAATTATACCTGGAAGCAATCTCGCTATGAGACGCCATGCAGCAGCGAAAGTGAAAAGTAACAGGGACAGGGACGACAGATGTTGGCTGAGGCGGGTGAAAAATGCTAACCTTACGAATGAAGGATTGGTGGGTCGGTGGGTCGGTGGGCCGGTCTTTGAGCCGAATGTGGTTTTGTCTGTCCAAATGTACAAATAAGGCTGCAGTAAGCCTCAAGAGAAGCAATAGAATGTCCTTGTATGAGAGATTCTGACCGAGTGTCTTCCTTGAGATCCTGGCGAGGAGCGGAATTGGGGGGAAATCATGCGGTAGAGTTATGCAGGGTATCGAGACGAATGTGCCGCCAAAGTTCAGGCAGGAGCCGATATGTCAACTGGTGGGCCCACCGTTCAGACCGCTCGCTCTCCAGTATACCTGGATTGGTGGCCCGAGAAAGACGCGGACTGACTGTGCGGTAAACTGGCACGATGACCACCTCGCTGAGGTGAAACGGGTCCAAAGTCTGTCCAAAAGCATCAACAAAGGGGTGCAACGGAACTGCCGCCGGCGCGACTCACCTGAATTGGCAGACAATCGATGCTCCCTATTCCTGGCAGCGCCCATCGAGGAGCTGGTCCCTTCCATACTCCTCCTCTCCCTCATATAATCATTCCCATCATCCGGTCTCGGTGAACTGAGCAGCTCAGGCATCTGTAGCATCATGCGTCTACCTTGATGAGGCGCTCCGCTGATATTGACTGGACCGATGGTGTTCATCGATATGGTCGAATAGGGTCTAGGGAAAGGCGACAGAGAGCTGGAGATGTATTGCCTCGGCGCCATCCCGTTGAAAGAGTGAGCATGGCTCGGAGTATAAGTCGATGGATTCGGGGAAGTCGCTCGGGAGGAGGGTTCGCCTTCGCTCGGAAGGGATGGAGATGGAGCTCGAGACGAATGGCCAGTCCCGCCACTCGGGAAAGTGGGCAAGGCACCGGGACCATTACTTCCTGCCAGACTCGATCGTGAAGTTTCGTGCCTCAATCTATCCACAGACGTCTTGTGTCTCGGTGGATTTGATCGACCAGACGATGAGCCGGATTGAGAGCTAGAGTCAGTCTCTCGTCGAGCAGCGCCCGCGAGAGGTAGCGGACCAGGACGATGGAACGGGGACTCGCTGTCATAGAGCCTGTGAGCGGGGATACCTACGCCAGCGAGATTGCCGAGATCGGTCGAGGCTGATCGTGCGTGGATGCCTCCGCCCGGCGACAAGTCGTGACTCAATGGTGGAGATGGTTCAGAGGCAGGAGTGTAAGCTGACACGGGCGCCATGAACGGGGATGTTGTCGGTTCCCCTGACCCTGATGATGGGGTTGCGATGGGGTATGTAGAATAGTATCCTGACGTCGAGGGATCGCGAGAGTGAGCGAACTGAGAGGAAGGTCTCGCAGCGAGCACTGAGGAAGGCTCAGCAAGGGCTACAGATTGGGTGGTGCGGTAAACTCACGGGTAGAGTAGGAAGATTGACGATGGACATCCGCTCCGGCTGGCTCGAATACACTGGGAACTATGCCCGAAACGCTGGCTCTGTGTCTGGAAATGGACTGAGAGTTGTAGGCCATCTCACGGGGTGGCCTTGAAGAGAACGCCATGTCAGTAATGAGGCCAGGCTGAGCCATAGCTCGACGAGACTACTCACGGTGGAGGTACCCAGTTCTTCTTATCTCTGGCTCTTCTCCAGCAGAGGAATATCAAGACGAGGAGGGCCACACCGCCCGCAGCACCTCCTGCGATACCCCCGATTTCACCTTTGCTAAAACTTTTCGTCGAGGTCGCTGCATCGTTGGACAATGCTGTGGCGGCACTGGACGAGGAGGAAGATGACTGGGTTGAAGATAGGGAAGATGGGTGAACGGAAGAGATGGCGGATGAGATGGTGGAGGAGGACGAAGGTACATGAGAGGTGGAAGAGGAGGATGCTATGGAAGATGAAGGGTGATAGGATGAGACAGCGGCAGAGGTACCCCTTATCGGGTCCCCAACAGCTGCGCTGGATGATTGAGGCATGGGGTAATTGTTGTTATTCTGCGTCGATGTCTGCGGCTGTTGTTGCCCAGCACCACCACCACCGTTTCCTCCTTGCGCTTGAGTCGTAGGTGGCGTATAGGTATTCTGAGGCGGAGGGTTGTTACTCATCTGAGTCAATGTGGTCGTTGAGGGAGGCGTATAATTCGCAGTAGGTGAAGAATTCACACTCGTTGTGCCTCCATTGTTCCCACCACCGCCATTACCACCACCGCCGTTGTTATCCTGCTTGGAAGTCGTTGGCTGTTGTTGTTGAGTGGGGGAGTTGTTACTTCCTCCTTGACCACTGCCGCTACCACCACCACCACCGTTGTCTGTCGTAGGTTGAGGTGTAGTATTTGCAGGTGAAGTTGGTTGATCACCTCCGCCTGAAACGTTGCTATTCGCAGCCATCGTGACGGGATGTTCTGGGGGAAGGGGGGGGAAGGAAGGGAGAAGGGAGAAGGGGGGAGGGGGGTGGAGGGGAGTTGCTAGCGCAGATGGAAAAGGGTTGCGCAACAGCTACAGGGTCCTAGCAGATCCCAATATTTTTCTCGTGCTGCTGCTGCTGCTGCTTCTGCTGCTCTTGCTTTGTATGGGAAAAAGTGAATGGATGAATGGTGTATAAAAAGAACGTTGGTGGTGGAAGACCAGCAGCACTGCCTCCAGGATTCCACGGATAGAGTTGAATGATGACGAAAGCTTGACTGACAGGTTCGAGAGAGAGAGCGAGAGACGGACCCAAACCCCTTATTCTCTCAACGATACTCGAGCATGGTCCACTGCTGCTGCTGCTGCTGATACTATCACCAAGACTGACATGATGTCAAAAAAATGGGAAAGACTGGTTTGCTTGAAGTATGTATTATTTCCGTTTACAGTGGCTGGATCATATGGGGGGAGGGGATTTGCCCCGGGGCTTTTTTTCTTCCTTCTCCTTCTCGCCTGCCGTTCAGAGTTGCTGGAATAATATTTGGGGGAGGGGGGGGGGGGGGGGGGGTCGCTGCTAGTGCCACTGCTACTCGCTGCTACTGCCCTGTGACGGGGAAATGTCCAGTAGCTGAGTCTCAAAAGCGGGAACAGAGAGCTGCTGCTGCTGCGATAGGAACAGGTGTCTAGCAAAAGCTGCAGCTGCGTGAGAACTCGTACACTGACAGCTGCCATATGACACACACCCCGTGCCTGAATCGGGGAGATATAGATGATTAGGATACCCCTTTTATTTGATAAAGAACAGAATTCAAATACACTATTACCTTTCTCTCTTGCTTTTCTAATATCCGTACTTTCCTCCGCCTTCCCCCCTTGGGTGTCGGCCCGAATGTCTCCGAAGGAGAAGCGGAAGAGAGAGAGGGGCTGGTTCACGAAGAGAGAGAGAGCGAAGGGGAAAAAGAGGGTGACCCCCATGACAAGGTTTCTGCAGTGAGATGTACGTCAGGGGCGGGGATCAACGATGTGGCAGCAGGTCTCTGTCTCTCTCTTCTGATCAACATCTCCGGCGCACGAGAGATGTCACTCCTTCGGGGGGGGGGGGGGTCATACATTCTAGCTACATGCACTTCCCTTGGGGCACCATCAAGCTAGTCTCCGAGAGAATCGATGAAAGCTTGGACTTTGGGTAAGAGATCGTATCGCCACTTGCGCCAAACAGGTGTCAGGTCAGGTAGAAGATGGCGATTGGGCATCCCACGCCACATTGAAAGCTCACCTTGTTGCTGCAGCTCTGAGAAGAAAGCATGTCATATCAAGCGATAGGGGAGAAGAACGAAACTGACCAGCTTGTCTCTCTGTGGTACACGTGCAGATACCTTTTCCCAATCGATCCGGGTCTGATGATATGTGTCAAGCGTCAGCGTGGCTAGAACATACATACTGATACGGCTACTGCCACTCTTGTCTCACCGGTACGATAAACATCGTGTCCCATAATGCTCTCACTTCCTCACGGGTCCAAGCACGAGCCTTTCGACCTCCCTGGTTGGAAGCGATCTCCCTTCTCCTGCTGCTGACTTGATCAGGGCTTGTCCTCCTGCCCTTATCGACCCGCCTTGCCCCTTCCCCACGCGTTCTTCTCGTCAAAGGCGGCTGCTGCTGACTCGTCTCGGCCTCTCGCTCCTTTTCTGATTCAGAGTCCACCACGATAGCCAAGCTGCTACTTCTGCCTGATCCTGTTATGACTGGCGTCAACCGGTTGAGCGTACGATCGGGCGTGACAAAGTCTGACGAGGACCATCCAGGTTTTCGAGGACCGATCCCTGGAATAGGGTAAGGTCGACCGATAGATGTGCGAGCTTTGATGTGGGGTGTCTTGTGAAGTTGGCGAGGATGTGCGGACTGGGAAACAGGATCACCAGATGACGAGATAGGTGCGGACATCTGTGGCGGCTGATCAACCTCCATGGCCTTGTGCAGTGTTGCGGAGGGGGCCAGTAGGGGTTGAAGATGCTCTGTGGATCTCGGGCTGACAATCTTCAGTTCGAGAAGTGAGGCTTAGTGTCAACTATCCAAAGACGAATCGACATGGGAGCCATTCCTGGTACATGGTTACAGGACCCAGCGATGCGGCCGTCCACAACCTTTTTGCTCTCGTCATCATCGATACCCTGTGCCTGACAACCAGGGATCCCAAAGCCTCATGTCGACGGTGTGGCCTAGGATATCGCTTCGTCTCCAAGGAAGTGAACAATGGGGCAAAGTAGTGTATGCTCACCACATCGAATCATCCCTCATCTCTCTCCTTCTTGCCCCCTTGACCATTCTTCCCATCTCAACGTTCCTATCCTCAACTCCTTGCGTCAAAACAACCCTCACACCCTCACACCCTCACGCCCTTCACTTGATTCGTGATTGACCATGGCAGGCAAGAAACGAGACAGCTCGGACATCTCTTCGCCCTCCGATACGTCCCCAACCACGCCGTCCAAAAAGGCCAAAGGCAAAGCAGCTACATCATCACCCGCCAAGGTCAAATCCGAATCGTCGAGCTCAGGAGACAGCGGAGAAGTGCAAGGGAAGAAGACTGGACCGTGGTTCGGCGAAGAGCTAAGGATGCTTTACAGCATCATGTGTCCGAAAAGGGTCAGTCCCCGAGGTCACGCCACCACGAGTAGAATGGACATGGACATGTGCTGAGAGGAAAACACCATAGACCGGGGTGAAATGGGACGAAGTGGCCGCTCAGATCCCTGGGAGAGATGTGAAATCATGTACGAACAAGGTGAGGTCATTTCCATGACGGATGAAGCTGGAATGCAGGGAGTCGTGCCAGGACCAGTGCTGACCTCACACAGTGGGCCAGGGTCCAAGGCAAGATCATGGAAGCCATCGAGGCGCTCGGCGAGTGAGGCAACCAGTGAAAAAGCTCGCTGTTCAGCCATATCCACACATATCCCACCAGTCGAACGATCTTACGAGATAATGCCAGTGAACGACATGCATGCGAATCTTCGAGGGATCTCATGGAAACACAGAGATGTCTCTCCTTGAAGCGTACGAGCTCGACTTCGGGGAGCAATGCTTACTGACCGTGAGACTTGTCAGCAAGCCGTGATGTCCGAAAAGCTGTATCCCCCACCTTGAGTTCTCGGCTTACTCCTTGACATAAGTCGTACTTCCGTCCGCACTTCGTTCGGACCAGTACAGCAAGTCTAGACGGATCCGTGAGCATTAGTCCAAGTGCAAATGCGTGGGAAACAGACGTGAACCCACGCTTCTTCAGTGGGTGCCTTTCGCTCGCTGTATAAGTCGTCTTGAAACCCGTATTGGTCGTGGATCACTGGTCGCAGCTGGTGTTATTCCAGGAACTGTGATTAACAGAAGAATCGACATAGGCCGCATGCGGGACTATCAACAACGGTGCATCCATGTCAGCGATCGAGGACATGACCACGAATGCTACATGCTCACCGTCTATGTCGTTGACGACCTTGCATATTCCACTACTGGACATTGCTGATGATTCGCTTGAGGGTTTTGTAAGTTCGTTCAGGTGCGGCGAGTGGTGAAGTACCAGGGTGCAGAAGGTGCCAATCCGACGTTGCAGGCGCCGGGTTTTATATCCAGAAGACCAAGCTTCGTTGGAGAGACTTCCCAGAATCGTAAGGATAGACGAAGCGTGGGACAGCTTCGAAGACTGCGTTTGAAAGGAGAGAGTCTTTCCGTTCATAGCCAGGCGCAGTGGGCAGACGTCCGTCGTGCAGAGCCGCGCACGACGTGAAAAGCCCCTGGGAGAATAGTGCATGACCTGAGCGAGAGCCAGCCAGAAGCGCCTCCTCTTGTTTTGCATGTGTGAATGCGGACGCGAACCGAGACCAATGGTTGACTGGATTCGATGAAAGGATCCAGAGAGGTGTTCAAAGCTATAATTCTGATTGGACGTCGACCTGCTCACCGTGGACAAGCTCAATTTTGATGATGTCCTTGCCACGAATCATGATCATTCCAGTGAATCGGCCTGGACCACGTCGAAATCCCCATGTCCAGCCTTGAAGAGTCTGCATCCAATTGGAGCTGGAATCAGATTCAGAGGAGTGTGTAAAGCAGGAAGAGGGAGTGTTTGAGGATTCATGAGGTTGGTGAGCGGCATCTGTAGTTGAGACGGTCTTGAGGTTCACCGCTTGCTGAATATCGCTGATTGTCGAATCATCCTTTAAGGCTAGCGAGGTTGTCTCCGTCTCTTTGCTCCTCCGTTCGCTCCCTTGCCCATCCACTCGAGTGTCTTCCAGAGCTGCCACCATCTCTTGAACGTCGTTGGAACTACCCAGGCTTTGCTCCGTGTCCCCACGTTCTGATCCCGAATTTTCTCCTTGCACACCCTTGGCTTCCTCTCCACTGGTAACGGCTGGTCCGAAGTTCTCCAAATTCGCCCAGAATGACCAATCGGGTTCTCCTTCCAATCTCTCTGAACGAGGTAACCAAATTTCCTCTCTGTCTCTCTGAAGAACCTCCGCTTTGGTCCTCGGAGCAGGTTGAAACTCCTCGGTATCATTCAAGATGATATTCATGTCTCTGTCTGTACAGTGAAAGTAGCCTGAAGGTCCAACGATCAACATGAAGCACCGGGGGGGTCCCAGAGAGAAGGTTGCCTGACTCACCGATGAACATGCGTCCATCGTGTATTGTGATTGCCAAGGGTCTCCCTAGGAGCTGTCTTAGGTCAGAAGGGCCAGGTCCAAGGCCATGGACTGAGTCTGAACCGTCATGACTTTCTGACATTCCTAAGACAGGGCGGGAAAGAGGTAAGAGGGATGGGACTAAGACCAACTAATCCAATGATCGGGCAGCATCGACAGAATTCTTTACGTAAATTGTTTTGAACCTCGAATGGTATGATGAGACCCGTCGCGTCGAGCTGGTACACTTTTCAACTGTGCGCTGGCGCTGACGCAAGGCGGCAGGGCACAGATGGAGAAGGGACAAAGGGCGAAAGCAGATGTCCTCCTCTTTGACCCACGCTGACGTTCCAGCTGCTAAATTGAGATCCTTCTGAACGATAGCATTTAGTGCCACTAGACAAAGCCGATCTACATTTCCGTGCCACGCCAGCCCAAGTTGGAGCCTAAGAACCAGTGGTCCCCTCGTCGTCAAGAAACCCTCCCAAAGCACCTGTCCAACCTTTCTGACACCCAGCGTACCAATCATCAAATTGTTCAAATCCCCATCGAAAACCTGCACATGGTCCTCTCTCCGTGACAATACGCCTGACTCTTGTCCGCAAGTCCTGATCCCGTATACAATTAGACCACCAATTGTCCAAGCTCTGGCCGTGCATGTTATGATGTGGGGCGGGAGAGAGATCGATATATCCTTCCGAGTGGAGGGCCGTGAAGAACAAGATGAGAAGAGGAACGTGAGGTTTGAGGAGAGGGAATTCAGACAGACATTTGAGGATACGGGTTATGCGGAGGAGGTTGTGCGGGTGATGATAGAGGTTAAACACTGGTGCAAAAGTAAATTGTGAGCAGCCATCGCATGCAATGCTGAGAAAGCGTCCACTCACATCGCTCAAGATGATCGACTGTCAATCGCAGATGGCCGTTGTTGAAGTCTATCCCGTAGAAAGCGAGCATCTGTAGAAGGAGTGAGCGAGTCTACATTTGGCATCGTATCTGCTCTCTTCTATATCAAACGCACCATCCTATACGAGCGTAAAAGTCTCGCCAAGACGGCTCTATCCGAGCTCATCATCTGAATCTCATGAAGTTGAAGCGGTCTCGATTGATAGTTCAAACCCTTCTCACGGATCGGGAAGAGCCCTGAACGTGAACGTCTCTCAGAGATCATCCAGGATATGTCAGAAAAAAACGCGGCCAGCTCACATTGGATGTACCCGCTGGATACCGCCTTCAGCCAAAATGGAGTTCGACTGGTTCACTGAAGACTCACTGATTCAGTTCTAATTCCTCGTAGTCCTTTTCGAAAGCCGACATGAACTCTTCGTATGCCATGTTCCCAGGTTGCATTTTCCCCGTCCCACGGTAAAAGTCAAGGTTGACATTGGACTCGAGGTCTGGCGTGAGATCAGGATACTCAGCGAGGAAATCGTCGATATCTGACAGGAGCAGAGAAAACAATCAGCGGGGGGACAATGTAGCCTGGTGGAGGGCGTGGCGCAGCAAGGACATTGCTGACCTTGCGGACGGTTGGTTAGCCGTCTTATTTCGCTGTAGTCTGCCGAAGCAGGATGACCGGATTGAAAGGCAATCGAAGAACCGCTCGGATCACCCAGTATGAATCCATTCCCCGAGAATGGTAGGTGGATATTATTCGCCATCTGAGCTGCTCTTCTTCGATTCGCAGTGAAGCACAGTATTCTACGTACAGCACTCGACATGTATGTTGTAGACAATGTACGGTTTGGCAGACCAAATGATGGTCAACCTCCACCCAAGCGATCCCCGGACCGCAGACACGTGGTAAAAATTGCTTAGGTAAGTAAATTCTGGGACTCGACATGTTCCAAATTACCCAACGTCCGCACTTCATTGAACAGTGATACCGACCTCTGCTCGAGCACAGGAACTCGACTCTCCTCTATCCACCATGTCGTCCTCTTCCTTCATGGTACTCCGAGCGAGCTCTTCCCGTCGAAGTATAAGCTCCCTCGTCCATATCGATGCAGGAGGACGACGACCCAGCCATCGTCCAAAAGATCGTTTTCAAATTGAACCTGTCCCTACCTCCATCACCTGTTCGCGATCCTTTACTTCTTCAGCATTCCGTCATGCTTCTACCACGACAGAGAGTGCAGGCTCTAAGGGAACTACCAAGCAATCGGCGTTCCAAGAGAGGATGGCGAAACAGGAAATGACGATGCAGCAATTTTCTCAGAAGAAGAGAATTCAGGCTGAACTTCATCGAAGGCATGCCGGATTATCTTTTCCTCTATTCAGTGGGTCACCGCAGTCCTTTTTTCCGCGCCACTCCCCCCTTGTCATTGGTGATCTGCCATCGGACTGACTCTATGGGTGAACTAGATGATCTCACGTACGCTCCCCTGACTCTGGACATGATCTTGAAAGGTCTGACGACACCTGGAAACCTCTGGAGACATCTTCGTCACAGATGGATGCGTGACGATATAACGATGAATATGTGAGAATTTGATGGCGCTCGGACCGCATTGATGAGTCTTGGTCACTGACGCGCACTTATACAGGGCGACACAGGCGGAAGGTGCCACGATCAATGCGTTGAAACCTGATTACGTCCCTCGTGTACTCAACCCGTACCAAAAGGTCAAGCACTGGCTCATGAAGCGAGGAGCAACGGATGCCCCTGAAATCGCTTACAAACCGCAAATGCGATATGCTTCGTACTTGGCGAGAGCGTTCGATCAGTGGAAGATCTACAACGAGGCTTTGGCATCGTGAGTCTCAAGCTGAGACTTCGAATGGGATGTGAATTCCTCTGACGGTGTCATCTCTCCAGCCGAGATACTGCTCTTCTCGACCAGGTTGCTGTCAATCCTGCCATCAAGCTTGGTCATGTGCTCATGTCAAGTAATCGCATTGTAGACTGGCAAGTAACCAAGGAATTCGCAAAGCCCGAACTGCTCTGGATGAGATTAGCGTCCGAGGATGAGCGTGGCGTGTCAGCGTATTTTCAAGTCTGTGTACGATTCGACACGGAACAGGTGAGTCAGACGACCATTATACATGATATCTCATGCCGTGCGCGTCAGACCATTACGACAGTCGAAACCTCTGCCAGGCCCGAGCTGCCTGTCGCTCCTACCGCTGCTCCGGGCAAGCGAGTCCCCGATTGGAAGCTTAGGGAATACCGCGATGCCATGTTGAAGTACCAATACCAACTCGCTACCGATCTCCATCATCGACAACAGGGTGATATGGTGTTCCCCGAAGGAGTTGGTATAAAGAGTCTCAAATCGGTACAAGGTCTTCCTCGACACACCGAGACTAGTCGAGTGATCGATAATGTCGTGTTCCAATTCACGACAGCCGAAGCGTCTGGTCCTTGGAAAGTTCGCGAGAGGGTTCCTAGCTATCCACCTCATTACATGATGACTGAAGAGGCCTGGGAGGAGTTACAACGAAAGTCTTTGGAGACGGACGAAAAGATGGGTGTACCTTCCACTTTGACCATCCACCACGTCAACACTAGCGAGTGGAACAAGCGGCAGCGATTGGAGGCGGAGCAAGGCTCACCAAGTGATGATCAAGCTAAGAGGATCGGTGCAGGGGCTCAGTAGTCTTGTAAAGCATTCATAGGGCCTCCCAAAAGGACGTTGCATGAGGACCGGTCGACATAGATTAGCCGCATGATAGAGGAATATCTTCCACTGAACAGTGGACAGATCAAGCCACGCTGATGCTATGCAATGGATGAAATGCTGCGTTACAAGAGTATTGACGATGCTAAAATACAACATTCTGTTCCAGCCTTGTTGGCCATCTATGCCAACGTCTCTGAGGTAGCGTCGGGGTTTGTACGTGGTATCCAGCCATCCTTCCTACATCTATCGCATCGGACCCAAACCTTGTGCTGATCGTTTCCTGGATTCCACCTTCCAGAGGTCTTTACAGTCGTCTCTAGACAAGATCTATGCCATCTATGTTCACACGAATGGAGTTCAAAGTCCTGGCCAGAAGACTCGGCGACTTGTAACGGGGAAAGAATGGAAATCGTCTGTTCAGGATCACCTTCCACTTCTGGGTGATCCGAAGTCGGCGCTTTGAAGCATATCGGGGCATCACATCTCCATCCCAAGGCCTTTTCCCTCGTTTCGACCCATGCGTCGAGTGTTTCCCGAATCACAGCTTTCGTCTGCGGAAGTGTTGGCGACGGCTCGCCTGATGGTTCCTGTGTGTTGGGCGGCGTAGCTGCTGTGGTATGAAAACGTGCAGGAGGTTGAGGATTACCAATGTTGATGACCGTCTGGAAATGCGGGATGGGATGAGGTGGACGGACATGAGACGCTGGGAATGGACTCAAAGTCGGAACTGGAGGTAAGAACGGTGCGATGATAGGTGCTCGCGGAGCTTCTGCCTCAGATCCATGAAGATTCCCGTTCGAGGGATCTGCAGCGGCCGGTATTACTTGAACTGGATTGTGCCTATGAACGGTCTCCATGTTGATATGCACTCGTCTTTGTGGTAGTGGTCGACCACCACCGGGGAAAGATCCCGGCATTTGAGACGTGAATGACGGGCTACTGGGCCCAGCGGCGGATGATGATGATTCAGCCCCATCGCTGGCGTTGCGTGTCATTGGAGCTGGAGACGATCTCAGTGGGATATCGAATGTCTGCGTAGGGGGTGAGAGGAAGACGGATGGTATTGGGGGGAAATGCTGAGCAGGAGTACGTGGTCCCTCAGCAGTCGTTGGAGTAGAAGGATTCGCTTGAGAACCTTCAGGCGGTGAGGCACCGTCTGGACCAGGAGCTTCACCCGTCAGCGTCAGGGTCGGAACTGGCACGGGCATATGCCAGACAAAGGTGAATTGAGGAATTGGAGCAGTATCGTCAGGTCCTTCGACGTTCTCACTCGGCGGTCGACCTCCATATGGATGTGTTCTTGGTCCAGCACCACCTGGACCTGGTCTGGATCTCCCACCGCCTGTCCGTGTCGAACCCCTGAGCGTATGTAAAGGGTCCAGATCGAGCCTGCAAGTCGGACACGTATGATGCGATTCGAACCATGGTCGAAGGCATCCAGAGTGGAAGAGGTGATTACACGGCAAACCTTTGATCCCAATATCATTATCGTTCTGGATCGTCTCTTCGTTGAGACCCTCGAGACAGATCGCACATTTCCATCCTGGTTCTTCATCGACGTCTCCATCCATTTTCTGTTCAGCTGAAACCACCATGTTGACACGATCGAATAGACCTTTGGAAATGGGTGGCAAGGATCGGATGAGCTCCTCTGCCGCTTGCGGATCAGGTTGTTCAGATGGTGGCGGACCATTGAATATAGACATGAAGAAGGTGAAGCCAGGAGTGGTGTTTGATCCCGGGGCAGGATGCGCGTCTAGATCAGGTTGTCCGGTTGATGATGGAGTATTAAGCGGCTGTCCAGCGCTATTCGCAAAAGGGGGATGAAAACCTGGTGGAGGCGGTCCAAACATGATACCACCCGGTCCGAACCCCATCCCCATAGGAAAGATGGGATGCATGTGACCACCTGGTCCAGGTATCATCATGGGTATTGGTGGAGGTCGAGCATTGTTACCTTCTTCAGCAGTTTCATTAGTTACAATCGTGTCAGCCGTGTCTGTCGTTGCCGCTGGTAAGGAGGTAGTCGTTGCCGATCCGATTGATGGTGGAGTTCGGACGGGTGAGTCACTCGATCCACCGCGTGACGATGGATCTCTCGGTGGGCTGGACATGACAATCAAGTGAGGAATCCCGTTGAGTCTGTCATGTGCACTTGATCTGAAGGGAGTCGATCTCGCTCGTTGACAGTTGCTGAGCTGGGTCTCGGTCGTTATTCGATGACAAAGGGCGGGAATAGACTAAAGGAGGAAGATTCCAGCGTCCGCAACAACAAAGTGGCGAAAGTCAGACCACGTGGGATTTTGGACACCGACGGACGGTTTTCTGATTGAAGGCCATCACCAAGTGTACACGATTGACAACGACACCAAGGATGAGCCGTAGAGTGGCCAGCAGTCCATTCACGATCTCTCGTTTTGGTCTTCCACGTAGTCTCATCTTTGCCAGACGTTTTCTGAAACTATTTGCAGCTGTCGGACTCTTCACAACGACCATCTTTGAAATCAGAGCTTGCGATGGATTCTCCATGATGCCCACGATCAACTGGAAAGGCGATTGGGTCTTGACATCGCCTATACCTTACTGGTCACCGTCATGGCTCCCATTCAAAAAGCAGATTTCGAGAGGTGATGTGGTCTTTGCAGCTAGTCCGACGGACCCACGAGCAACTGTCTGTAAGCGAGTCATTGGGATCGCGGGCGATATCATCGAGGTGGATCCCAGACGTGGAGAGGGGTTAGCGAGAAAGAAAAGAATGGAGGACAGGACGTGGGTAACGATACCGAAAGGTCAGGTCTGGCTAGCTGGAGACAATACGAGCAATTCGACGGATTCAAGAGATTATGGACCCGTACCTCTGGCTATGGTTCATGGACAAGTACTGGCGAGAGTGAGTCGTCAGACCAAAGTCTACCGATAATGATCAGTTTGATGAATTGAGATCATAGGTCTGGCCACTGCCTTGGAAACGTTTCGAGCACGAGCCAAAACAGATCCGCTGACCGCATCCCTGTGAGCGTTTCTCTGGACGGCATGTGTCCCCGAGACGACCATCGCCCAGACAACACGGAATGTCAATTACTATTTACTACCTCGGGTGTGGTGTCCCTCATCGTCCTCGCAACGCCGCCGATTCGGACCTCACGTCAGCTCGAAGATATTTTCGTTCCCAACCCTCAAATCCTCTCGCAGCGGGGCCTACATCACCTTCAGCCAGGCTTCATGCTCCTACTGTCCCACGGATCCTGTATTGCCGGTCATCGTGGCGCCGGATTATCAAAAGGGTTCAGCGCGTGCTTGGAGATCGAGTGAGGCCAGTCCATCATGTTCGCGTGGTCGTGTGAGTGTCGAATGTGGTCTGTAAGTCGCTTGAGAGAGGGCTGCAGCCTTTTGCCCTTCGTCCTGGTGACAGCTACAAATAGTATCTGCATCAGACCAGTTCTCGATGCATCACTCTATGGCCCTAAGAGTCCCCATCTCCATGCGATGCCATCTACAATCCAGTACATTCGTTTGCTCCAGACAATAGACACGGCGCAAACCAAAAAAAAAGAGAGAAGAATTGCTTCCGTCTCGGTTAAAACGCGTTTGGGCCGCCGCCGCTGTCCTTGTTATTGATGAAGAGTAGTGGTGAACATTTTCCATTCCATACTCGACTGAGACCAATTCCTATCATCATCATCTGCTGTCCATCCAGGAGGTAATCCTCGGAACCCGTGGAGTATAGTGTCTTGAAACACCTTGGAGATCGTTTCTCTCGACTTGGGCAAATCAGTGCCGCCAAGGTAAATCCCACACGATGAAGTCTCTTCGGAGATCCATCAATGATAGACAATCAAACCCTTCGCCATCCACTGGTCAATTTGCGAACCCAATTGGCAGACCATCGGACAAGGTAGCACCGCCGAAAAAAGTGATCAAGGCATTGAGGAGCCATCGTAGTACCAACCCCCAGGAGTTGAGCTATACGGCGGGAGATTTTTGGTACGTGACGGGAGAGCGGGATGGATGGTTCGAAGCGTTGAGTGAGTGTTGCAATCGGGCGCAGGCCTTCGACTACTCAATGCTTGACGTTCACTGATGCGATCACTCGCTCCCCCCCCTCCTTCTCACTATCGTATCCTCTCTTAGACCCTCTTACTGGCTCTCGAGGCTTGGTACCGAAATCCGATTTCGAAGAGTTCGCAAAGGGAGGAAGGAATTCCAACCCGACGTGAGTTGGATAGACCGGACCATCGTTTTGCAGCCCGGTCCTGATAACGACTCTATTTCAGGACTGGACCGTCCACACGCGTGGCATCACCTCCCCCGATGCCAATGTCAGCACCATCTGCGCCGGGTCCAAGGGGACCTCCAGGCAAACAGCCAATCTATGCCGTGGTCATATACGATTTCCAAGCGGAGAGACCGGACGAGCTGGATGCGAAAAAGGGAGAACCCATCATGGTCATAGCGCAGTCTAATCATGAGTGGTCAGTTCTTCACCGAACGCTTGTACGAAAGGCTGATTTGTCGGTCGATCAGGTTCGTCGCCAAGCCTATCGGCCGATTAGGAGGACCGGGACTGATTCCCGTTGCATTTGTGGAGATTCGCGATCCTGCTACTGGGAAACCGGTCCACGTTGAACCAGATGCTATACCTATGGTGGAGGAATGGAAAAAGGCGACAGCCGAGTATAAAGCAGCTGCGATCCCGTTAGGTCGATTTGATCTCGAACAACAGCAACCTGTTCAGCAGCAGCCGTCGCAACAACAAGCCTCAACCGCTCTGCCGCCTCGATCCTCATCTACGATCCCTCCATCTCGATCTCAGTCAAATCTCGGTCATTCAGGGAGTGGATCTGGTGGATCGGGTGGGACAGGACGCCCGAGACCGCATTATCGACCCGAGCAAGATCTCATGTTTCCACCCGGCGACCTCACAGCATTATCCGTCCCTTCATTCCACAATGAGTCGGGAAACTACTGGTTTCGACTTCACGTGACTTTCCTCCCCGATGAGACCTCTGCACCGGCGTACACTCTGTCTCTCTATCGGACCTACGAAGACTTTTACGACTTTCAGATATCTCTCCTGGATACATTCCCCTTCGAAGCCGGTCGACCGAGGAACTCTGGTGAAGTGCCACCGGAGCGCATATTGCCTTACATGCCTGGACCAGTGGATGACGAAGTAGACGACGAATTGACAGAGTACCGACGAGAAGAGCTCGACATGTATGTCAAGGCGTTACTGGATTTGAAGTCACGAGGAGGATCCTATATCATCCGAAACGAGCTTTTAAGGACATTCTTCGCGGCAAAATCCGGAGATTACTGCGAAGAAATCTCGAGGTCAGATGTCATGGGCGATCTCGAAGAGAGATTAGCAGAGACGCGTATAGACGATAAGAGACCGTCGAATGGTCAGGCAGCTTCATCTCAAGGTCATGGCAGACAACCCTCATACGATCGTTATGCCTCCTCGTCATCGAACGATCATCGTGCGCCATCAGCAGCATCACTCCGCTCAGCTAGTGGAGGTGGCGGGGGTGGTGGAGGTGGAGTTGGAGGTCCAGCGGGTGGTATCTCGCCCATGACTTCTTCTTCTAGACCCGCTTCGGGTGATCCTGGTCCCTCGACAGGCACAACATCCTCGTCGTTCGGCAACAATTCTCAACCGGCCTATGTCAAGATCAAGATCTATGATCGATCGACCGATGATCTGATCGCGCTGCGTGTGCATCCACATGTGACGCATGCGGAACTGTTCGAGAAAGTCAGAGCGAGATTAGGACCGGATATAAAGGTACTCAAGTGTCGTACGACCATGGCCATGCCGGATGGAGGGCAATACAGGGAGATTGGGAATGATCGTGAATTAAGAGAATGGATGAGGACAGAGGATCAAAAGATGGTTTTGTATGCTGAATGAGGCGGGGAGATGCGTAGCCAGACAATACAGCGCGGGAAGTATAGGCCGACATGCTTAATCTCGAAATCATATATACACACATCTTGATATAGTCGGTCGGTCAATGGTGCGAGGTTGGTGGCGACTGAAAGTCAATTCGCCACAGGCTGAGAATCGCCGAAAATATTTGATTCCGTCTTCAGTCCTATGCGCTTTGCTCGTCTTGAACGAACCATAATAGTCATTGTGCAGTGAGCAAGCAGCTTGGGGGCTACTGGACAGTATGGTAAGGCTTGCACCGAGCTCGATCCAAACGGCACGCTGACTCGCCAATCAAGGTCCGGATCATCATCAAGGGAGGTGTTTGGCGAAACACTGAGGATGAGATCCTCAAAGCTGCCATTTCAAAGTACGGCAAGAATGTGAGTTCCCTATTGATCGAGTTTGTCTTCACGAAAGTCTCAGCTGATACATTCATTCTAAGCAATGGGCCCGTATATCTTCTTTACTGGTCCGAAAGACGCCGAAGCAATGCAAGGCGAGATGGTACGAGTGGCTAGATCCATCCATCAAGAAAGTTGAATGGTCCAAGACGGAAGATGAGAAATTATTACACTTGGCCAAGTTGATGCCTACGCAATGGAGGACCATAGCGCCCATAGTCGGAAGGACAGCGACTCAATGTCTGGAGCGATATCAGAAACTCTTAGATGATGCTGAAGCGAAGGATAATGAGGAGTTGGGTCTGGGAGCAGGAGAGAATCTAGATGGTCAACCCTCCGTGGATGTGAGGGGTCTGAGGCCCGGAGAAATCGATACGGATCCAGAGACTAGGGCGGCGAGACCTGATCCTATTGATATGGATGATGATGGTGGGTTTGAATCGAATTCGTCGGGACTGAGCTAAACGCCTTTCTATCTGTTCCTCAGAAAAGGAAATGTTGTCGGAAGCTCGAGCTAGATTGGCAAACACGCAGGGCAAGAAGGCAAAGAGGAAAGCTAGAGAGAGGCAGCTCGAGGAGGCTAGACGTCTGGCGTTCTTACAAAAGAAGAGAGAGCTCAAAGCGGCTGGTATCAAGTGAGCAGAGAGAACAACAGATCAACCGAGGAGACAAGACTTGATTCCTGACGAATTTTCAACCAGCTTGAGAGCAAAGACGAAGAAGAAGGGCATGGATGTGAGATTCCCAATTGTGGACATTTGCTGAAGTCCACAGTACAACGCAGATATTCCATTCGAAAAACAACCTCAACCTGGTTTCTACGATGTGACCGACGAGCGATCGAAAGTTTACGCTGCACCCGTCGGCCAGTCTCTCAAAGCCTTAGAAGGGAAGCGGAAACAGGAGCTGGATGAGATTGAGGAGAAGAAGAAGAAGTCCAAAGGGAACGACGGAAAGTCTAATCAGACGGCTCAATTCGTCGCGGCTCGAGAGGCTCAGATAAAGAAGCTCAAGGAACAGGAGCAGATCATCAGGCGGAGAAAACTCAATCTACCTGTGCCTCAAGTTGGAGAGGCGGAATTGGAGGACATTGTCAAGATTGGTCAGGCCGGAGAGAGCGCGAGGGAGTTAGTCACCGGAGGCAACGACGCCACTGGACGTCTACTTGGAGACTATGAGAGTCTGGGACAGGCTCGCATGGCCAGGACACCACGGACAGCTCAACAGGAAGACAATATCATGGCAGAGGCTCGAAATTTGCGAAATATGACAGCACAACAAACACCGCTCCTTGGCGAAGAGAATACACCGCTACACGGCCAACATGATGGGACAGGATTCGAGAGCGCCACACCACGACACGGCGTAGCTGCCACGCCCAATCCATTGGCTACCCCTGCTCGTGGAGGTATGTCGTCTGCTCGTGGGATCGGCTCCACTCCTGCCCGCACACCACACCGAGACAATCTGAGCATCAATGATGGTGATTCCGTCTACGGCGAGACCCCGAGGGAGGAGAAGATCCGATTGGCAGCTACACGACGAGCTTTGCAAGCCGGTTTCAAGAATCTCCCAGCGCCAGAAAACAACTTTGAGCTGGCAGAGGACGAAGAAGAGCCTGAGGAGGAGGAACCAGTCGTCATGACGGAGGAGGACGCTGCGGAGCGAGACGCGAGATTGAAAGCTGCACGAGAGCTGGAAGAAAAGCTCGAGTTGGAACGGAGAAGTTCAGTCGTCAAGCGTGGATTGCCTCGACCGGCCAATGTCGACGTTCGGACAATGTTCAAGCTCCTCAACGAAGCTGCGGAAGACCTCACCTCTGCTGTTCAGATGATCAACTTTGAAATGGCGAACCTGATGCGTCACGACTCACTCGCTCATCCCATCCCTGGAACGTCTACGGCGGGTGTCCAGATCTCCGAGTATGACATGCCTGAAGACGAGTACGTTGCTTCGGCCAAGTCGGCTATTCACCATGAGCTGGCTCTGGCGCTAGGCCTACCTGGAGCCAATGATGAGCAACTTCGAGTTGTTATTGGCTCCAACATTGATGAGTCCGCTTTCGAGCACGACTGGGCATCCGAACGAGCCGGCATGGTGTATTCTCCAAGCACGTCCGCGTGGGTCGATTCAGCCTCGCTTTCTCCACCGGAGCTATCTGCGGCGTATCTTCACATGATCCAAGGATCCCGGGATCGTATGATTGCCGAATCGACCAGAGCCCTCAAAGCCGAAAAGAAGCTCGCCAAGCAACTTGGAGGATATCAAGCACTCAATGCGAAAGCCAGGAACGGGATAACAGAAATCATCAATGAGATTCACGCTACACAGCGGGATTTAGAGACGTTCAGCATGCTGAGAGTCATAGAGGAAGCAGCTGCCCCGAGTAGATTGGAGAAGAAACGAGAAGAGGTGGCTGTTCTCGAACGTCGCGAGAGGGATCTACAAGCTCAATACGCCGAGATGAACGATGAGAGGCGGGCGTTGCAGGAATCCATCGATCAGGTGAGTGCCATTGGCGACTCAGCGTGCGGATCATTATATCTGACAACCACGAACTAGCTCGAGGAAGATAAAGTCGTCCTTGCTGCCCAGGCTGCCCTCGACGCTCAGGGTGGAGAGGAAGACGGTGATGAGGAGAAGGCGAATGGGGAGTAGGTGGCCAACTTTGATACATCGTGTACATGTAGATGCATGCATAGATGCATTCATCATGGACCTGTCGCACTGCCCAAGTACAGATCTGCGCAAGAATCTGCGTGAGAGCCTTACTGAAGTCCACTGAGCTATGTCAAGTTAGGATGGTGGTCCGACCCGAAAGTGGGAAATTTTGTTGATGCTTGCAAAAATTATCATTCTTGATCAGCGACCTTCGACCAACCGATCAACTGTTGTTCTCGCCCATACCTTGTGCTTGTGTTCTTCACTGTCTGACTCTCGTGTCTCATAGCCCATCTGTTCGGCCCACGTCTCGCTTCTCTGTCCCACCGCCAGCCTCTACGCTCGACTCGCGTGACAAGCGACACGACCCGGACCCCACCCCCGGTTATCTTCCACCTCCACTCGAGACATCGCTTCGCCACCATGATGTCCTTCTTTGGTCAAGATTCGCCTTTGAGCTCCTCATCGAACGGAGCAGTGGTAGCTCGATCAAAAAAACCTGTAACATCTCGTCCTGCTCCTCCTCCTATCGCAGCTAATGGTGCTGGTCCATCACGCTCATCGACGACAGGTACCCCAATCAAGTCATCATCAAATGGTATACATAAATCAAAGCATCTCCACAGCATATCGTCCTCACATCGTAAATCCGATCAATCAAAGGGTACATCTCGACCTATCACCTCGTCATCTCACGGGAGATCGTTGGAGCATAGTGGGAAGCGCTCCAAATCCAATACGAAGACACCGTCTCGCACCGTTTCTCCTATTCGATCCGATTCAGAATCCTCGGAAGACGCATTTGACCCGCCTAAGAAGAAGAAGTTCAGAACCAATGGTACCCCATCGGGTCAGACGCAGACACCAGAGCTGGACGAAGCCGCTTATGGACCCGAGAAACAATGGTGTTTCTCTCAAGTCGATGAGAGGGGAGAATGGGGTAGAGGTTGGGCAGGTTTCGTTCCTTCCGAAGAGGTCGTGAGAGGCCAGAGGAGAGGATTTAAAGGCAGTCTACAGGGCAAAGCTAATGACTTGGAGAAGTACATTCCTTGTGAGTGGTAATTTGCTGACAGATGCCTGCTGGCCGAGCGAAGACTGATACAGAGCAAATCAGGGTTTCCGCAAGAAGGCTTCGAGAACAAGGAACCCTTGCCTCGAGTTGATCTATTGTATCCTTCTGGATGCCGAGAGACGTGGGCGATGGCAGTCAATACGATATGAAGGTCTCACTGACGTTTGGTTCCCTAGTTTCGTACTTCTCTCCCCAAACCGAAAAGGCGAATACGCTCCTATCCTTGAATTGAGAACTGCCCTCAGTCTCATCCTGAGCTGTGCGTGCACACCCATGTTATATCCACTGACTCGCTCAGATTACATTCCACCATCTCATCAACACATTTTTGGCTCTATCGTCGACGCTCTCGATCTGGAGAAGGCACCTACGCCAATATCTCAAATACCATCCCCCGCGCCCCATTCGTCCGCCACGCCCCCTCCCGATGGAGCCCTGCATACGCCGCCAGTATCTCAAGCACCATCGGAAACGATAGGCAACGCACTGCGTAAAGCTATGGCACCAAATAGAAGGGATGGACCAGGTTTCATGCGGGCCATGGAGAGGTTCAACACAGCCATGGAGGCAATCATTGCGGATGGCTCTGTCGCCAAGTGGATGGAAACTCGTCCAAGATTGAGAAAGGAAGATTGGTCAGCTTTGGTCGATGGCGTTCATGACGAAGCGTACTCGAGAGTCGTCGGCCCGTATGCTAATGAGCTAGAAGTGAGTCATTACTCTCGGCTTGCATCAAGCTGATATCCTCCAGCATCATCCGAAACATCCTGACGAGGTTGCTCGTGCTATCACCGCCAAGGAAGATTCGTATGGCGAACTGCGTCACAGATTCATGAGCAAAGTTATCGAACAAACCAAGCTCGGCACAAATTCTGTCTTGTGAGCTTCAGCATTTGACCTTTGCTGACCACCTCAGTGTCGATCTTGGTAGTGGGGTGGGGAACTGTGTTCTTCAAGCCGCGCTGGAAGCGGGTTGTCGCAGGTGAGCTGATTTCTCTCTGAGGTGATGCGCGGCTCATCGCTATGTCAAGCTACGGTTTCGAGCTGCTGCCGGTTCCTGCCCACTGTGCTCGTCTGCAGCTATGTGAAGTTAGACGGCGATGGTCCATGTGGGCACTGAATGGGAACCTTGATGTAGAAGTGGAGGAGGGGGATTTCAGGTTCCTCCCGAATGTAGGGAAGCGCCTCAGAGAGGCAGATGTGGTTGTCAGTATATTCATGATTCCCCAAAGCGTCTGCTGATGTCGCGCTCAGCTCGTAAACAACGAGGTCTTCCCCTCCACACTCAACGTCGATCTAACACACCTATTTCTGGACCTCAAAGACGGCGCTGTCATTGTATCACTACAACCATTGGTCTCTCAATCCTTCAAAATGAGCGAAAGCAATGTGAGTGCACCACCTCAATCAGATTTGCTTGGCTTGCTGACTCGTGTCTCAGTGTGATTCGTTCGATGCCATAGTCAAAATGACCCAGCACCGTTATTATAATGACTGGGTCAGCTGGAAAGGCGAAGCTGGTAATTATTATCTGCAGGTTGTGGATCGCAGTATGAGACGCAAGTTTGAGGAGGATCTGAACAGTCGGAGACGTAGGGGTTAATAGCTGTGTCTCAGTTCTTATCTCGATGCCTTGCGAGAATGTCTTGCAGCATAGGTTTTGTCATGTGATGTTGACAAGAGGAGTGTGAATGCATATGCTGTGATGCGTAGTCATTAATGAACTTCGAGAGACATGCCTCGATAATGATACAGTGAGGAATCGATCGATCCTAGTTTTCCGTCATTCTCATTTTTTCTGCGTCTACGTCCTTGACAGCCCTACTCCAGTTGCGTGATTCCAACCTGAGCTGGCCGTAAGACTCGGCTGCCAATGGTCCAGCCCTCCTTCGTGACTTCCACGACTTCTCCCTTTCCCCAGGTCTTTCCGTCGCCTCGTTCACCCGCGACTGTCGGTGGAATGTGAAAAGTGGCTTCATGAAGGTTTGGATCAAAGACTGTGCCTCTTTCCACGGCCATCTTCTTCATTCCATGTTCCTCAAACGTTTTGTACATCGCCTTTTGAGTCATGGTGACTCCGTTGAAGAGATCTGCGAGAGGGGTACCAGGTTCGATGGGTTTCGGGACGTGATTCAGAGCCGTAGTGAGGATATCAGTGGTTGATAATAAACCACGGGCAAAGGAAGTGATGGCGAATTCGGAAGCCTTGGCCTTCTCTTCTCCTATTCTTCGAGTGAGAGTTTGGATTTCAGCTTGGCGATACAGACTGTCACTCTTTGAACGAATTCCAGTCAGCCAAGGTCTGGCCGGGACACACCACAAGGCTGATCGTGTGCTCACCTTCATCTCATCCATTTTGGCTTGCAATTCAACGACTTTAGCCTCTGCCTCCTGTAGTTTCCCTTGAGAGTCTGCCGATTGCTTCTTTGCATCTTCTGACTGCTCGGGTTTGGATGTACTGCTCTCGGACGAAGCTGTAGAGTAGGAACGAGGTAATCTGTTGGCAAGAAGAGAGGAAGGTCGGGGAGGAAGAGGAATGGCGGCCCGGCTAGAGACGATTGGAGACCGTGACAAGGTCGTCCCAAGGGTCGATCGGAGTGCTGAGGTTCTCATCGTGGTTCAAAGATGGCTGAATGGGTTGGGCAGAGGAGTTAGCAAAAAGTATGAATGCTCCTCCGTCTCGATTGTACTTGAGGACTTTTTCCGACTGAAAATTCTAGGCGATCAGATATTTACGTAATACTCCAGCGCCTATCTGCTTTTCACAGCTGCGCCTATTTTGACAAATTACCTATTCCAGAAGGAACCGCCACTCCGACAATTCACCCATTCACTCGTTCTCTCCCCTTCATACAACATTCTCAAATCGCATAGATACAGAGGTCGAGAAGGCTGTGGTAGCCTCTAACAGCAGTGGATATCACCCTATAGATACCCTGGACATTCTCATCCCCTGTGACCCCCTGCTCACCCTCCTTCCGCCTGTTCATCCTCTCACAATGTCCCCTCGGACCCGGGGGCGCGACCTTCCATCCAGCAATCCTCCTCCAGCTTCTTCTGCCCCTGATTCAGCTCCTGCTACCGATGAACCTGAGTCAAATTCAGCTGCTCAGCCCACATATGCTGAGAAGGCTGCGGCCGGCGCAAACACTTCGAATGGATTAAAGAACGAGAAAGACAATACAACTGTCGATCCAATGATTGATCCGGAACTTGCTGCCTTGCCTGCTCCTCCCCATCCCCGTCCTACTTCCCCTTCCAACGCCAACAATACCTCATCTGGATCCAATACAGATAGGAGAGCTAATGGATCGTCAGCTCCTGGTCCAGGAGACCAAATGAGCATCACACAATCAATCGCGTCGGCTCCGGATCCAAGGCCAGCAGATTTTTCAATGAATCAATTTGAAAACAACGAGGAGATTGATTTGGAGGCTCTGGACGCAGCAACGGCTGAAGGCGGACCTCCCGGAAGTCCCGCTCAAAAGTTGATGCGGGCTATTGCGCCTGCCAATGCAACTCAGGTCGATACCAAATGGCCGGCAGTGAGTCCATCTGGTCAAAGGTGGCACTGCCATACTGCCATCTTGTTGAAAATCCACCACATACATGCTGACACATTTGTGGCACCTACCTATAGCCACCCCCCAATGCCAGTGTCAACCTGTTCATAGGTGAGTGAACGGGTCCCCGGAGGGATGCATCACTAGATCCGGGAGCTGACTCAACATTTTCCTAGGTCGCGCGTTGTTGTCCAACGGAAATGATAATTGGCCATTGGTGCGTTCGTCATGTACTGTCTGTCGTGTCCGAGACGTACTGATCAGCTGTGTTTCTCCTCGTGTTTCCTCACCTTACTCCATCTTCCTCTGCGCCCTGTTGTCTTCACTGTCATTGTCTCCTCGCAGAAACCGAACGACATTGTCAACTGGATTCGAAAACACTATCCGGCCGAATGGGATGGCGACGAGGGTCGTTGCTCTGCCCACCGAGTCCGGACCTATCTCGCTCGTAAAGGAGCCGACATGTATTATGAAAAACTGAACCAAGGCAGTATCACTGGATGGCGTATACGACAGAACCACCTCTGGCGCTTTGAGAATGGTGGATTCATGGGAAGAGGAATGAAACAGGAGGAGGCGATCGCCGCAGCGCAAAAGGAGCATCAAGCCATTGCTACGGCCGCGCACAAAGCTGCGGCCGCCGAGGCTTTGGCGGCTGGTCATCCCGGCGTCAAGGTATCCATGTCTTCACCTGGAGTTCACGATGGTGCACCTCCACCGAAACGAGTTCGACGCAACGTGGGTCAAGCTAGGAGACGAAATGCTCCCCGCGCCAAAGAGGAATTATCGATGGGCGACACGAGTATCGATAATGGAGTAGGAAACGATTCATCTTTCTTCGACGGGCAGCACGACGAGTCTTTCAACTTTGTCGAGGCTTCCGGATCAGGCGCTCAGCAGAACGAGCACGGTGAAGAGCAACGCGATGACGCGAATGACTCTTCGATCGACCCTACACTCATGACTGCAAGCCAAAACCATGATCAAAACGAAGTCGATATGGCCATGGTTCAACAGGCTATGCAGGCTGCTGCAGCTGCCAACGCTGGTCAAATGGACGAATTCGACGTGCAACTCCCTGCAGAAATGAGGATGCACGGCGATGGCGGAGATGGCAGCGGATATCAAGAGTATCAAGGCGTTCATCATCCGTATACGCCACATGGACAGGATCAATGGGGACAGAGCCAAGTCTACGGCCAGACTGGATACCACGAAGGGCAGTAGACGAAAGAAGCAGAGTGTCAAGAGTTGCACGGCTTGGCTTTCGAACAAGCACGCCTTTAGAGAATGGATACGCACAGTGGGATGGGGACGGGACAGCTGGAGTGATGGTGCAGGTGGTCCATGTGATTCTAGTGTCTGGTCAATTCATCCTCCCCCTCCCCCCTCTTTGGGCCAATTGGTTGTACATAAACTCCCTTGACCGTCCTCTTTGATCCTTTCGACATTCTCAAAATTTTGCATTCCGTCGCTTTGACAGGATGGCAAGCGAGGAGAGCTCCTGTCAGGCGAGTATAGCTTCATAGCCATGTAGACATTCCATGTAATCAGTTGAAGAAGGTCCGTAGCGGCGCATGGTGCTTGCTCAGTATAGGTTGGCTCCTTGACCTAAAATGGGGTTTCTCGGGAAAATAGGAGTTCCGCCAAATTAGGTGTATCTCTGGGACCGTCATCGACATTCTCTGTCTTCTCCTCCCCATCTATCCTCTCGCAATGACATTGCTGACTACGATAAGGTGCTTCGCCGGTTGATCGATTGACGAGCAACAGTCTCGCCATCGTTGCTGAGATAGTACAAACCCATCCTTTCTTCAAAGGACTGTGCATCGACCTTCCTTCCCCCCTTGTGTGTGGGTGTGTCCTTTGCAGGACCTAGTCTAGCACAATCTGCCCCGTTTTCTACTCAACACATTCCCTCATTGTCATGGCCAAGAGACGCGTTTCAACAGAGGGAGGCCATATGGGCCGCGAACAATAGCCATCTTACTGACCGTCTTATTTCCCCCTCTCCTCCGTCTCTCCTTGATCATCAACGCTTTGACCTGTCAACACCTCATCTGCCTAGAGCGTTGAGCTTGAGCATTGTCACCGTGCTAGACGTCCTTCGCATCCCTTGGAGCCTTTGCCATAGATCCAGACATCCTTACTCCTGCACTGTGCTCAGCTCCATCTTCCAAGAGACCACCCACCGACGATCATGACGAACCAGTTTCAAGGTCTCCGACTGACGATTCGAGCTGTGCTCGTGTCATCCCTCCTAGTTCTTGGTCATTTTCTCCTCATATCGGGTGAGCCTAGCCTACTGACAGCTTTTTTTCTTCAACTCACACTGTTCAGCTCCGAACCTCGCAGCAGATGAGGATACTCAGTCCGCCCTTCGCGCTTCCTCTGCCATTCTCTTTCACACCCTCTTATGGACGATTTTTGTCCTTTTCGAAGAGGCCGACTCTGGCTCCATGGGACAAGCAAAAGTCAATGAAGGCTCTGGAGCCTTGTTCATCAGTACCGCTGCTGAATGGATCCTAAATTCAATCATCTTTGGAGCTTGGATCGGTGAGATAAACCTCCCCAATGTTGCAAGCTGCCTTGGCGAGACCGAAAAATCCTCCATGCTGATCCCCTCGTCCTTCCGCAGCTTATGCTGGACCAACGAGTGCATTGATCAAAAGCGTTGTTATAGGAAATACAGCGGGCCTCTGTAAGTTGATCTGTTATCGTGTACAATCCAAGGATCGTCAGCTTGCTCACGGATCCCTTCCTCAGGGATGATCCCCGTCTCCTACATGTTGGCCATCGCAGCGGTCACGACGCTTCAAGTACATCTCGTATTCTCCATCCTCCTCTACGCCATCCGTTCTGGCCCTGGAGAATTGCTCAGATGGTCTTTCTGGCGTGAACGTGCAGGTCATTGGGAACCCTCTATCAGGCTCGCAGAGGATGAGGTTGACGACTTGGTCTCTTGTGAGAAAGGCTTGTTAGGGAGTGTGCAGGATCTGAAGAAGTAGTTCATCGTGACGGCTCATCCCAAGACAAGGTCGTACAAGCCTTCCCTTCCGGATCCCGTGCTTGTTCCTGTCTGTCGTGGCTCTGTCACGCTGTACAGAGCTCCTAGTATATCTCTCGCGACTGGGATGCATACCCCTGCGCAAATACAACCTGCATGATCCCAAGTTTACAAGAATGCTTACAGTCGCTAGTTGATGAGTTCCGACTCGAACGTCATGTTCGTCGCGTCATCAAAGGTCGTACAGATTTCGTTTCGTGCTTCGACCTTGCTGTGCCTCGCCTTTGACTCCCCTTTGTTGATCTTTCCCCCCGTGAATCACTACTCGCCATCGTCCTTACTCGCACCATCCTCCACGCTCGTCCAGGTACAGGGGGAATAGGTGTCCTCTTGGTCTCCTCCCGCGATCAAGTCTTCCGCTCAAGATCGAGCTAGGTGTTTTCTGAGATATGTTGTTTCTTCGCAGCCGACAACGGTTCTGCCGCCGCTCTCTCCAGTGTGGGAGTTTCCGGATCATCAAATAATGCGCCAGGCGGAGGAGGTGTCACTGTCCTCGCCAACTGATCTGCTTCCCTGTGACCCGGTATGCCAACCCAAGAATCAGTCTCGGACTGGGTACTAGATATCGTCGGTCGCTCCGAGGATCTTGACTCAGAAGCCCCCGCCAGAGCCTTCCCGTCGTTCAAAGGCCGAACTGTAAAACCCGATGGTGGTGTTGACGGAGCGGAATCTCCTCTCCCACTACCCTTATCCCAATCTTCATCGGCTGCGCTCTGAGGCTTCTCAGAAACGGGCTCATTGGAGGGCAGACTCCCCCGCCTAGGGTCTACATCTGCTCGGCGGTGAGGCAAATCACGCGCCGAGACGGTAATTGGCGACATATTGTCGTCGTCAACTGCGAAGTCAGGACTAAAGCGGCTTGAAGCTACGCCCTGCGCTAGATCGTCCATCTCGGGTTCCAGCTCGTGGTCATGGTACTCCTCAGGCTCAGAGACCGAATCGAGTTCATCGTCATCCCAGGTTGGCGGTGCATCCTGAACGGTAAAGATCTTCTGTGGTAGCTATGTGGACATCCCTCAGCACCGTCACGAATCATGGAACACCACACCCCGACTTACCTTGGCGGCTCGCATACAGAAATCCTCAAGGTCTGCCTCATCCTTGACTAAGAAACCAAGTAACATACTCGGATCCAAGCCGGACAAAGGCATCTTTCTGACCTTTTCACAATGAAAAGTCTTCATCTGAGCTTCGGTGTAAGCTGAGGCGTACCAGAGATCCTGAGCATCAAGAGTAGGATTTTTTGCCTTTGTCTGCCTCGGCGATCCAGAAGTTACGGACGACGAGTTGACCGAGTGTTGAGGGCTCGCAGCAGTAGCCACTTTGGACGAACCGAACGGATCTGAAGAGGTCCGACGATGGGTCGTTGGTGTTGTTTTGGTCATGGAGTGAATGGAGAGATCCCTTTTATGTGCTGACAGGCGTTTCGCGGCTGGTGATGAGACGTCTCGACGTGTTCGATGTGAAGGCGAGGACGTATCGCTTTCGGAATCATCGCTTGGAACATCGTCCACATTGATCACGTCTAGTGAGTGTGGCGGGGCAGGAGCCGGATTCGTCTTCACAGACTCGGAAATGAGGCTGGACGCCAGGCTAGGCGCTGCCCGGTCTTTGGATGATGGAGCGGGCGGTGTCACCAGTGGAATGGCAGGCCGTGTGAAGTGGGGATCGAGATAGAAAAGGGAGTTTGCCTGGCATGCGACAAAGTAGTATGACGATGATGGTCTGCCTCCAGCTATTCCGACAGATTGGGGGAAAGTGAATAGCGCCTGGAAGTCCGTCAACCCCGCTGCCAGAATTCATGACATCCTGACCCACCTTGATACTATCATAGTAGATCGGATTCACGCCGTCCAGCCCTAGCCTTATGCCAATGAGGATCAACACAGCCTTGTCGCCCCAAACGGTATTTGATTTGCGGCTGGTTGTGCTTCGAGAGGGGCTGGCCGTGGCGTCTTGCTCCGTCCAACCTTCAGATAGCAGACTAGATGCAGCGAAGACTTCAGAACGATAGACGATACTATCCGTCGCTGTGGCTACAGCCGTACCACAGAGTGGAAACGAGTTGGTGAGTGTCCTATTATTGCATGAGCATCCAACGATTTTTAGGACTTCGCTCACTTCAAAGCTCCGGCAGCGGTACTGGGACCGAACCATTCTCCAACCTCTTTTCCGAGCTCCTTGCCAATCAACGCCATGCGATGGACGGAAAATGGTGACAACGGAGAAGGGTCGTCCAAGAACCAAGAGACCACCTGGATGTAAGTCGCATAGCTCTTTAACGCGGCAACTTGGCTCGGTGATTCTGGCCTGGAGGACGGCCTGGATGATGGAAGTCGCCAATCTGCAAACAAAATCAGCTTGAACAGATTCAGAGAAACACTAAACGTACCTCGACCGAGATGCAGATGAATCAAGGCATTTGCCAGCAGACTCTGACCCGTTCTCAACATGCACCCCCACCCCGCATCACTCGTTAAACCTCTCTCTTCTGACCTGGTCCAGCTCCAAGGAGAAGAAGATGTTCGAGGCCCAGAGATCGGTGGATGATTGGGAATGGCGGGCAAAGAAGCAGTAGCGTCTATCGGAGGACCAAAAGCTGAAAAATAAGGGCCTGGAGATGGGACCAGGAGATTGGGAGGCAGGGAGAGAATGGGAGCATACTGAGAGCGATATGTACACCATACGATCGATCTGAAATCATCGTAGACTGGTCCTAATCAATGATATTCTTGGTAACGGTAATCGGTCCACTTACACTGCTCCGGCCACTTGACGACCTCCTTTTCCACCTTTGCCTTGCGACCCTTGCTTGGACTTTCTGCCACTGTCCTTTTCTCGTCTGTCTGCCTGCCTGGCGACGTAGCAGCGGGTAATGTCAATGAGGTATTAGACCCTGAGAACAGATTCGAATACCCTTTATTGGTCGATGGAGAAGTAGGCTGAGTCTTGTCCCTCTTACGCCCTTCAGCAGATTTGAGAGAGGCTTGATCATTCTTGCTCGGGGAAGCTTTGGTCACCGAATTGGCTGATCTTGCCGTCTTTGGCTCATCATCGAGATTCTCCATCAGATTCGCGTTCTCATATGCTGGGGATCCGAGCGGCGTGACAGGTCTGTAACCCAGGTGTCCTTGGCCCATGAGCCAAATGGGATCAGGACACCTATCCGGTTGGGCCTCGCTATCCAAGAGATTTCGAACTCCATCCACGGCCTTTTGCCTGGCGGCATTGAGAAAGGTCGCGGCGACAGAGGGACCCTTACGTGGAGGTGACGAGGTGTACCCTGCCCCGCCATTAACCACACCCATCTCAGATGGTCCTGTTGATCCAGAATTGGCAGAAGAAGACGGCATAAGGTGTGAGAACCACATGGACATACGAGACGGCAGTGTGTGCGCCGTTTCAGAAGGCGGAGAGAGGACAGGCTGTGGGAGAGCATTCCGTGATAGTCCAGGGACCGAAGCGGATAGGTTCGAGTGCTGACGTGGTGGTATTGGAAGATGGTTGCCCTCGATTGGAGAATCGTAAGTTGATGTTGAGGATCGTCCAGATCTAGCTTGCCAAGAGGAATGTGAGTCTTGCGAGAGGCGTCGAGAATGACTTGCGCCGGAACGAGCGTTCGGATGTGCAGTCATCGGTCGGGTGAGGGCTCCAAAACGACGTGATGAGGATCCGTTGGAGAGGTGCGAATGGGTCGACTCTCCAGACATCACTGACGAGTAAGACGTTTGTCGACTGTTACTACCTGGGAGGTTGAGAGATGACTGAGATTCAGGTGTGATGGCTCCGGTAGACGAAGCGCTCTCCACATAGGTACCGCCATTGTGACCACTTCCCGATTTTTCCGTGGACCGATCCCTATCTTTGTCCCGCATGAAGAGCCTCGAGGTCTTCTTAGCCAATCCTCTTCCTTTCGACATCTTCTTCTCTCTTGCCGGTACCTCTGTCAATTGAGAATCAAACATCGGTCCCGGTTCGCCGCCACGAGAGCTGAACCCATCTATGCTAGCTCTACTGGTCGATATTGTCGGTATAGATCCACCATTGTAGCTACCGACACCGCCGCCTTCAAACGTCCATTCCTCATCGTTTATAGAAGATGATCTCCCTTCGGCGGGCATGGATGCAGCCGTGCGTGATTTCTTCTTCCCCAGCTTGAACCTGTGGCCCGCATCCTTGACGCTTCGGCCTTTCGGAGGCGGTAGACGATCAGGTGGAGGAGGAGCAGGAAGGTTTGGAAGTCTGGAGGAGGAAGCTAAAGCTGTTGGGTGGTGACGGTAAGCCGGGTGCGAATGTGAGGACACTCCAGAGACGGATGGGTCAGACTCCCTCGAATCAACAGACGACCGACTGTCGTTGCAGATGTCACCAGGAGACATTGTCATGCTCAGGCTGCTAAGAGGCTATGAACTGACAGTCGAATCTGCATGATGATATCCGTCAGCTTTGCCACCATCATGACTCGGAAGCACAATCATGAAGCAGTGCTGGGACCAACGATAACAAGCTTGTGAATTAGCACTCACTCCTAGTGATTCAGGAGCGGTCCATGCCCGTACAACGACCTTCCCAAGATCCAAGGCCGGTCTCCGCGTGATGTGCACTTGTTGATAATGATGAGATTGAGATGCCGGGAACCGAGCACGAGAAGAAGCAGCAGAGTTGGTTATAGGCTGGTCTGCTATGGGAGGAGCTTGTGTCGGCTGGATCGTTCTTATCTTCGTATATTGTTCCCTTGCTGATGCACTCCCGGGTCGTTAGATGTACCTAAACATGTCGTCAATGACAGCGCGAACGTCTATCGACAGCTGGCGGTCGGCTCACACAATGCATAGCACGCACGACGGACGGCTCTTGATGATAAGCAGGTGCGGGGGTGAAATTATTGACACGTCAGAAAAGAGCATGCTATCACGCTCTTCTCATCAAGCTTCATATGCATACATCCTCTGATGGGCGACTGGAATCATGCATTGTCATAGCAACGAGCTTCAAACCATTGTGGCCAGTCAGACTTCAATGGACACTTGCGATGCTATCGGAAGAAGGGACACCCTCATCTCACTCAAGTCGCGACTGATCTTTTTTGATCTCGGCCGACAAGCACTCCTCATCTGACTTCACTATGAAACTAAAGAGGTCAGGTAAGGTGAGATGGGTTCTTATTCTTGACATGCTAAGGCGCGCTCATATCCTATAAGGCAGGCATCAGCTGGCCTATACAAGAGCGCTCGTCAGATCCCGTTCTCGAGTTCTTCCCGCAAAACTCTGTGAGCTTCGTCTCTGAACCTCGTTTACTCTCGCCATAGAATCTCTCCTGGCACTACAATTGGAACAAGAACTATGACTCGTTGTTACCAGAAACGAAGCCAGGATTGACAATCGATGCCGAGTTCGTGCCCATGATGTGAGTCGCGAGCCATAAGGGTACAAGTACATACTTGATGGGACAGTTTCGCCCCAGACTACCTGGACAATGGTGTTGAGCTGCAAGACGGACATCGATTGGTGTTAGGCTTTAACGAGCCAGGTGAGTCGAGGCCCTTGTTCCAATGCTGAGGTCGATAGACCATCACGACGCATCAGTCGCTGTGCAAACTTCAGTCGAGACTGCCGTCGAGGCGTGAGGAGGACCGAACTTGATTCATTCTCTAAACCTTTCTCAGCTGGATCAGGCTCGCAAGGGATCGAAAGCCGGGGGTGAAACTCGCCTCGCCTGCGGTAGCCCACGATATCCAGTGGCTGGAGGTGCTTATCCGTCCGAGCCAATTGCAGTAGTGTCAGCTGATGAGCATCAGACCTTTTTCAAGCTCATTCCACCAGATACAAAGCCCGACTACCTCGCAATCCATGTCTACACAACGACCTTTGTCAACTTGCAGGAGCGAGTAGAGGTTTACTGGAAAACGTTTCACCTCCCCATCATCATCACTGAATTCGCGATGACGGTGAGCATAAGCATCACAGCAGAGCCATGCTTAGAGCGTCATGCAGAGCTTTTCTGGCGCTCCCCCTCCACGAGACGTACAGCAAGTGCACGACTTCATGGGTGAGACACGACGACCGCGGCGTTCGGTATGGTAGCCTCTGATGCTCTTTCCAGGTCAGGCCACTAAGTGGCTCGATGAGACGGTTTACATCTAGTGAGTGGTGTCGGCGTGAAGCATCATGCAACAAGAACTGACCCTTTCAGCCGTTACGCATGGTTCGGCGCATGTCGGAACCCCGCGAACCTGCATGGCGTTCATCCTTTGAATCGGCTGATGGATGATGATGGACGATTGACCCCTCTGTGAGTAGATGATGAGCGACTTGCATCTGATCTGTCCTAGAGGGCATCAATACGTCAGTTGTGGACACGCTTAAGATGAGCAGATCCGGATCGTACGTATGCACCCTTTCTCGTCCCAAACACACCCTTACACCTAAGCGGCGCCTGAGTCAGCTTTGATACCAAGCCTTCCCAGCTCACCCGAACTCTCATCCCTCGTGGACGTTACAAGGAGGGAACAAGCAAGGAGCTGATCACGTTAGGGGTCAGAGCTCCCTCCATTGATCTACCCTTGAAACAGACAAAGGATACTGATCGTCGCTCTCATGTATGGGACCTAATTGACATCTCCTGGCATGCTTGGGCATATATCATTCAAGCGCTTCTGAGGATCTCATTAAGTCACCCGTCGAATCTATCTGCAATAGAGCTCTTTGCCTGACGGATCCCCAACGACGCTGAGCGTCCACCTGTCTTGCTGACATACGTTGCCCTCTCTATCCATTCGCTTACTGACCCGGCGAGCGAGCGAACGATCATCATGACTCCCTTCGCTCCTGCTCTTGGGACGCTGCTTGTGCTAGCCTCGGGGACTCTTGGGAATCCAATCAAGATGACAGCGCATAACCTTACTGCTCGTGCACGCAATGGAAAGGTGAGTCTTGTTGGTGGTTCCACCATTGTGGCAGTAATCGGTGCTGACTTCCTTTTTTTCCAGGCAGGAGTCAGCTGCTTGTACAGGAGAAGTCTGCAGAACCCGTGGAGCAATTCTTCGGATCAGGCTCGGTAAGTTTCAACTTGAGTCTTCGGTTCCAATCTCTGTTTAGGAATGTCTGACAGTCCACAATCTGACGCAGCTCTCAGAGCTTGTCCTGGTGGTTTGACTGGAACAAGAATTACGGAACAATCATCTTTCCTTCCGATGCGACCCCTGCGACTGTGGATGCCCAATTCATCCCGATGATGCGAGTGCCTATCTATGACGGCCGGCTATCGTCCTTCCGCTGACGATGATGGTCAACCAGATTCGACAACGCCATGTTCTCAAATGCCGACAAGCTGAACGCTGGCTGGACGGAGATCATGGGATGGAATGAGCCCGGTGAGCGGAATTTCTCTGCACACATGGCTTTGATGCTGAGACTACTTAGACCTGCACTCCAGTACGGGTGTGTCGGTCCCTGTCGACCCCATCGTAGCTGCCGGCCAGTGTGTGATACTCCTTCTCTCCGCAGGAGTTCGCTGACGCCCTCACCAGATGGAAGACAATGTACGACTCTCTCAAGCACGCAAATCCCAGTGCGAAGCTTTGGTCGCCCGCCGTCGCAGGCGACAAGGACTGGCTCCATGTGGGTCCCCTTCTACGTCAACTAGACCCCACAGCTTCGTTGACATCTTTACTCACAAGAGATTCTTCGGAGCCATCTGTCCTAACGGGCTCGACGGATGCCGCTATGCGCCTGACTACCTCGCCATTCACGTCTATGGCTTGACTCTGAAAAGCTTCCAAGATCAAGTCAACGCGTACCATGTGGAGTTTGGGCTGCCCATTGCAGTGACAGAGTACGCCTGTTTTGTGAGCTCCTTCATCATTGACAGCGATGGAGAACGAAGACAGCTGATATCTCTTGCTCAGAGCTGGGAGACCAAGACTACACCTCCGGACAATCAAGTTTCCGCCTTCATGAGTGAGCTTCCATCTCCCCACCTCTCTCCCCAGAATCTTACCGCCACGACTGACATGGATCCTCAGCTCAAACGAGACAGTGGATGGACTCGACCGACTGGATCGTGTAAGCGTCCGCTCGTACCCTTGCCTAGTGCGATCTGCCTATCCTGACACCGATTACTAGCAAATACGCGTGGTTCGGGGCCGCTCGAAATCCTGATTGGCTGTACGATGTCGCTATTACGAACAAGCTGATGGATGCAGGCGGTCAATTGACCACATTGTGAGTGCAGGCGTCATGCTTCAAGATTTGGAATCTAATATGGCTCTTACAGAGGCAAGCAATGGAGGTCTGGACAGTGAGAGGCGGATTCTGTCGGACGTAGATATCCCCAAATTGAACCGCTTGAAAGACTGTACGAATAGATTATAGGGCCGAGGACAATGCACATCCCAGGTCCAATGTTGGTGTTGTGCAGCATTACCTTGGCGTGGATGTGGAAGCAGTGTCTTGAAGCTAGACACGAATGGCAAGGCGGCGACGCAGCCCCACCTCTGGTCATAGACGCAGTACCGTTCTCAAATGTCGATCAATCTTTCTGCCGTACACCCGATCAGTTGGTGCTCCTTGAAAGACATCTGATTCCGACCACCTCTCGTCATCAGACTCGCCCATCCAAGCAGTGATCGTGATGCCTCTTCGTCCAGCACATTTCCTATGGGCTCTCCATGGCAAGCTCTGGAAGTCAGGCTATAGTCAACTTCATCATGACCCATGGGGCGAGTACCAATATGTCTGAAGGTGTTCCACCGGGGTCGAATAAGGGGAACAATACTATGCCGACTGAGATCAGAGTCACCCTACGCAGCACAGTCAGCCTGTTGGGATACTCCCACGCATCGTTTGGCATACGAAGCTTGCGTGACGGCGCGGCGCAGATCTACGGATCCAAAGGCTATTCCCGCCAAGTCTATACTGGGACGAGGCAGCAGCCGCTCTCATCGTCACGTTGCGGGTCATCAACTGCAATCTCGGATCTGTATCCGATTGCGCGGGACGATTGCTGATATCACTGGTTGTCATCCATAAGTCCTCTACATTGGGAAAGCTCTGATCTCGTTAGAGAGGTGAGTGAGATCCGCTCGCCAACCTGCGCCGCAGTGTCTCCTCGCTCCGGAGCGCTCGACGGAATCTCTCCGATCCTCATCGATAGACAACTCAATAGCCGATCCGAGCCTCTTTCCATGTAACTAAATCTCATGCAATCGGTCCGTTCTGAACTTAATCTCGATACCGTATCTAATATGGTCGAATCAGATGACGATGACATTCCCCCCTCTCAACTCTATTATCAGGTCTGCGAGATTTAATCTGAATCTTGATCTTCATCTTGCGGAAAGCGATCAAGGCTGTGCTCGTGATCATGTTGGAAGCGGAAGCGAATAGGGGGACTGACATGTATGTCATTGGACCTTAGCTAACAGTCGACGTGGACACAAACGCCCTCTTGATCTGCATTTGGCCAACGGAAAAAGCTTTTCCCGGTCGACTAGATCAAAGCGTACACTCGCCCGATGGCGTCTAGATCAACGACCAAAACGCCAACAGTTCCAAGGGCCAGAAAGGCTGATCCGCCACTAGCTTGCCCGAAAAGACTGGCAGCAACGAAGAACCCCGTCTCCGCCTGGGCATTAGTCTTGAGATCTCGGCCGCATCAGTCGCGCGATTCACCATAGCGTATTGATCTAAAGCAGGGGGTCCGAAGACGGCCGTGCAGTTTGATTCGACCGTAATCATGACGATGAGGGAGACGCGAGAAAGGAAAAAGGAGGGGTCCGCAGCTATAGTACCAAACGTTCGCAACGCCATTCCTCGTACAGCAAGGTTATACTTCACCGTGATCAGCACAATACAGTACGACTCTGAATGATTCAAGTGGCGGATACTCTCTCGCTACAGTATACTTTCATACAATCGTACTACCATTGTCCCATGTTACACGGATTGCAATTGCGTTGTCTCGTTGTGGAACTTAATAAATGTATAACTAACTGATTTTTAGTTTGTTTCCGTCCAAGCTAAGATTAGGATGGGCTGAACGAACTTGTCTTGCGCTTCTCCTTTCGGACAACTCCCCCTCTGTTCGGACAGATACGACGCCGGGGCGGAAGCCTTTCAGATAGGGACGCGGGCAAGGAGGGGGTAGAACCTGTGGTTCTGTCCCCCGTTCCATATGATTGGTCCTATGGCGCCACACTCCCCTCTTCAGGCTACTGCAAGATTCTCTTGGATTCGACCCATTGTGAATTGTGGGCCTACTGTGCCGTTTCAGCATCGCAATGCGACGGGCGTAGTGCCACGCCACGTATGCATTCGGAGTATAAGCCCGTGCAATGTCCATAACGACCAAGGCGTACGTTAGCACCTTGCCCGACGAAACCGCCACCCTGTTCCTGAAACGATGGGGCTTTCCACCTTCCCAGATCTGAGGGTTCTGTGTGTTACACAGGGATCAGAGTGTCTGCGTGTTCTGAACGAATTGCCCCTTTGTTGCTAAAACTATGAGTTTGAGTATAACAAAAATGTCATGCCGACGTTTGATGCCGAGATGAGGGTACTGAACAAAGCAGGACACACACTTTTTGCTAAAGCCCACAGGTCACTCACTGTACCTTGGCGCATCGAGGAGCAAGGGGGTGGACCTTTTACAAAACCCGAGATTGTATTGTATTGTATTGTATTGTATTACTTTTTCCAACCTCCGCCACTTCTCATCTGACTGACTGTGGAATTGGCCAATTCGATCACAATTTTTTCCTTTCCCTTCTTCCTCCTCTACTGTTTAGTCTCCGCCACTCCCGTCATTCACCTCAGCTGCCCGCGAAACCAAGACTCGGGAGAGGGGGTCTAGCAACGTAGGCCTGTTTCCGCCAAGATTTCCAAACTGCGCCAAGGTACAGAGATAACGGTGACTACTCCGTCGTCCCCCCTGACACTATACTGCGGCATCTTTGAGGCCCAAAAGACAGTCCCCGTGCTGTAGAGTTTGATTCGATCGCGAGGATGACAGCGACGAACCATGTCACAATTGTAGCCTTGGGGACATTGCAACTGGGGGGACGTCATCCCGCAGCAGGTGCTATGAACTAGGCGGGGCGGTCCCCGTGTTTGACTGGGCCCGCAGTCCGGGAAGTAGGGGTGCACCAAGCCAACACTTGTTTTTAGCGGTGTCCCAAAAGCCATCATCATTACAGTTTGGTCATGTTCGGATGAGTTAGATCGAGACGGCGAAAAAACGGACTATCTTAGCACCAGACGCTTTTGTGTTCCGCCGCAAGCCCAAATCAGAAGCCCGCCCATCCGTCATGTTGCGCAGTGATCATGCCCCATTCTTAAAGTGGCATACAATGATCACCTCCCACTTATCCAAGAGTGGAATGTCGGCAATGTCAGTGGCTCGTTGTCCCCATTGGAAATATAAGATTTAGAGCGAGTTGCCCAGTCTGGCCGACCATCGAGCGGGACAGGGCCATGATGGCTCAGAAATGGGATGGAGCGGGACTTGTGGAATAGCTCATTGTCTCGTCTCTGATGCATCCGACTTCGGACGACATGTCCCGAATTGATCTACGCTCCGCTCCACAACTAAAGAGGGTGGTGAGACCTTTTGCCACGCCCTATCCGCAGTGATACGGGTCGAGGATCAGGGTACGTGGAGTCTGTTCTCAGGGAATCAGACTCGACGACGGCCTTCAATCGGGTTCTAAATCTGGTAGTGTGGTGCCACGTATGTATGTGTGGTGGATACAAGCAGATCCCATTTCCGTTGGTTGTCATCCCGTGACCCATTGTGACCTTTTTCTTACCCGCCAAGTACCCGTCGTTTTAGCCACACTGTAATATTCATGGGCTCCCAAAGAAGTAGAAAGTGCGATGGAAAGGGTACGAACCAAAGTGTGTCATCTCATCGGGTCTGACCGAGGTGGAAAAAAGGTCATTACAAGGGGAAGGGGAGGCAGGGGTACGTGGCCGTGGCGGAGACGATGAAGCGATCAATTGGGATGGAGGTGGAAAGGGTATTGACGTACTTCTGACCCGAGATCCCACCCAAGCTTTTGGTTCCTCAATCCCTTAGGACCTTTCTGTAGAGTTTACGTAGTGTTCATATACCCTGGATGATCCTGTGATCGATGACAAGGGTAAGGGAGGGAGCAAAACAAATCCAACCGCCAGCCGCTCCCCCCCCCCCCTTTTCCTCCCCGCCCTATGGTCACATTTTTGAGACTGACAGACGTGGCATCCACGTCGCAATGAACCGATGCATTCGTCTATTTTTTTTTCTCTTAGTTGGACCCCCTGTACCTTGGCGTCGGTCGAGGGAGGGGATTGCGACACAGCTCTCGGGCTAAAGGGTGTAGGTGTGAGATCCGTGTGATGTGTTTTCGATGCATGACAGATGAGAAAAACAACCATGGTGGCAATGGGGTGGGATCTGAGTGAGACTTTGGAGTCAAGTCTAACGCGGGGAGGCAGGCATAGTGGAGGGACGGGTGAACGGGTGGAAGGGCTTCACTCGTGTGGCGGATGCGGATTGGGAGGACGGTCAGAGGGAGCACTCAACTTAACGATCTATGATGATAGTGGGTTGGGGAGTGAGTCGTAACCAGGTCACATTTTTTGCGTGGAGGCGAGTAGCGTGCCTTTCGCAACAGTATTGCGTGCATATACAGACACACCACACAGTCCCTCGCACCTTTTACGTGCAATGTGTGATTTACACGGCGAGCAGGGGAGAGTAATTCACACATAAGCAAATTCATCACATACATTTCCCCTTTGCCTTTCCGATCTCGTCACATCCAGGAGGAAAAGCATTCCTGGAATAGTTCGCGCAGCTGTGACGATAGAGACACAGCAAATCAGATCCCATATCTGACACTCGTTCCCAAAAGTCGAGCGAGGCGCAGTACAGGGACGGCGGGTCTCAACAGGCGGAACCTCGGGTCGTGTGTGAGATTTTCCCGATACCAATCTCATTATATTTTTTTGGGTGGCGAAACCGCGCGCGCCCGCCCAGAAAAGAAAAAAAAATTAGGTAGTCGTTCGTTTTTGTCATTTTGGACATTTTTTAAATCGGGTCAGCTGGCGGTTTGCGGTGGGTCACAGGTGAACCTTGGCATACGGATCTGCGCGGAGAGAAGAGGGGGCGAGCGAGTGAGTGAGAGGGATTAGGAGGTCAAGAGGGGGAGTCGGGTCAGCCTAGAACGAACGAGAACGAGGAGAAGAAGAAGAAGAGAGAGAGTTCTGGTGGCATCGTTTAGACCTCGCAACTCTCGACGTGGTGGTCCGAGTCACAAGGAGGCGGATAGGATCACATTGCCCGTTTGCTCCGCCTCGACTCATCCCACATTCAGCAACGGGACAACATCACAGGGAACCCTCGAGATTGACTCTCAGGGAGACAGACAGCTTTTGTGCACAGCTCACATCACCAACCAACCAAACCAACCAAACCGACACGTCAAATTCGAATAGGTCGCCACTGCCACTGCCTCGACGTTGATATCATCGCTTCTTGTCCGGTCATCCTTTCTTCCACGAGAATCATCATCCCTTTGGAGCTGCGTCAGTCAGGGAGATAGGTGCACCAACTTGTCTTGGATCCACGTCAGAGACTGCGAGCCTAGACACACACTCTCGAGGCGTTGAATAAACCAACGCTTGGATCATTGACAAACCACCTTGGACAATAGTGATACCTTGTCAACCACTAGTCGAGGCACTGTCACTCCTTCCTTCCTTCCTTCCTTCCTTCATCGATCACTTGACGATCACCCACCCCTTTTTCCACACGCATCATCCACCTGGTGTGTCCCGGCGAAGGGAGAGGGACAAAGCACCGACAAGACGACCATCAATTGAGTTCATCACAGCCGCTGCGACCCCTTCATTAGGGACCTTGTGGGTATTATCGTCTTACTATTCATCCCGCCCACTGCATAGCTCTGGCGCATGATCCTCCCCTTCGAGCTATTGGCGAAAGAAAGCAAAGGACGACCAATCCCCCTTTCTCCCCTTTAGGTACCTCAAGCACAGCGCGCACCACCATCGGACCACTTGATCATTGTATGGCTCGCTAGTGCTCATAGCCGACCATCGGCACAATTTCAAGGAGGTCCCGTCCGTTCAGTGTGTGCAGTCCCTTTCTTGTGCCATCACGCGTTACCATTCACAGCGGACGGACCTTGGTGCTGTCATCTTCATTATCAGCATCACAAAATACGACCATCCCCATTGGCGCCGTACCTGGCTGGCTTGGACCTCTCTTGTTCGGTGTTCATCTGTGTGAATGACACTATTGGGAGAGACGGAGGGACCTTTGGGATCCGGCCCCTCATACAACTTATAATTCAGGTCCATCCATTCACGGTTCGACCCCTTATCCCCTGCTCCTTGCAGCCGTACTACGCACCACGCCTCGTCCAGCCTACTGCCATCGCGAACTTCTTGTTCGACATATACGCGGACATCCCATCGACTATCTTCAGCAGCCCCACATGTTCACTCACCACTCTCTACAACCACCACCCCTGACACCACCTCCTTCCAACGCTTACGACCCCGCTATCATCCGACCCACTCTCGATCAGGAGATAGGATACGAGACGGCCGATTCAGATAGGTCAGAAACGTCGAGAAAAGTATATCAGTCTCGTCGCAAGTCGAGTCAGACACGGCGGCGTGAACGCTCTTGTCGGCCTGAGGGCTCCGGGAGCTCGAGCTCTGCCGACTCAACTACATCATTCCACATGATCCAAGTCGACCCTTGCGCTTTTCCGCACGCCTCGTCATCAGCTGTGAAACTCGATTCGAGTTACCTGCCACCACCACCCCTCGCTCAACCTTACTTTCCACCTTCAGACCAGCTCTATCTCACCAGTCCATTATCCACATTCCAGCCTGCGACCGGATATCACTACTCCCCCGGTAGCACCTATCATCAGCCTCCTATCATCCCGTTCTCGAGATCTAGACCGCCGATACCTTTCACCGCTAGCGAGGTGATAGACCCATTGACTGTCGGAGAACACTCCACACCTGGTCTCGACAGTGACCACACAGATAGTGTGGTCCTACCACCTAGGAGAATCATGGACATGAACATGGCTCCTCCAGGGAGCGAAGCTGCTCAACCGGGTTTCCACACGCCGCTGGCTGCGTATGCAGGTGTGTCTCTCCCACCTTGAAAGAAAAGCTAAGGCTGACGAGACATACTCAGCTCAAACTGTCACCTGGCTATGGTTCGGTGAACCTTCTCTCTCCACCGTCGACCCCAAATTCAATTACTCCCCTCTCATGTCCTCCCCGAACCCTTTCGACCCTAGCTCATCATCGTCCACTCCGCTCAACCCACATCAGATCACGCCGTCACCACAGTTCGCTGATTTCGTCTCCAAGATGCTCAGGATCACCATGGTCTCACATAGCGTCACGCTGATCGCTTTACTGTATATCCATCGATTGAAGCAGCGCAATCCGATACATGCTGAGCCTGGTAGTGAGCAGAGACCATTCATCGCGAGTCTCATCCTTGGCAACAAGTATCTCGACGAGTAAGTGGAGCGTCATTCCATGGAAACAATCGGCTGACTCTCTCAGTAACACTTACACCAATCAAACGTGGTCAGAACTTGCCGGATTGCCACTGGCCGAGATCAATGTGAGTGGCCAGCTCTTGCCTGGGTGGTCTCTGTGCTGAACTCTTGCAGCGTATGGAGGCGGAATTTCTACGCGGTCTCGACTACAAGCTCGGAGTCCAAGTGGAAGAATACAACCAATGGCGCGTCCTCCTCGACGGGTTCATCCTCGCTCGTCAACGCGAAGCTGCAGATATCGCCTCTTCAGCGTACCACTCACACAGTTCGAACTACCCACACTTGCGATCCGGCAGGCCATCGATGCATGTCTCACCGCAGATCTTGCAGACTCCACCGCCAGCCTTGCCCGTGACAGCTACTGGGCTTCAACCATCCTATTTTGTCCCTGCCCGAGCTCGTGCCCGGTCCACTTCACCTCAAGCTTGGTCACCGCCATCGCAGCCCGCTCCTCAATTCTTCCCTCCATCACCTGTCCTGACCCGAAAGCGCAGCGCCGTCGATGCTTTCGCCACGGACATCACCCAATCTGGTATATACGAGTCTCTTCGGCAATTACCTCGAAGAACGGGCCGTACAGGGTTCCAGAACGGTGCTATGGCGCAAGAACGAACTGCTGGCCCCAGCCGACAAAACAGTGGTTCTCTCGGAAGATCTAGTTCACTCAATCGTCGTATCGCTCGACTACCAGATTCCGGTCGAAGAGGATCGTTCGGGCATGCGTACTCTACTTCAGCGGGAGAACTGGACAACGCCTCATCGATGGAATCTAGCTCAACGGCGACACCCTACGAGATCACGCCGCATTCTATCAGCGCATACGGGACGCCTGGTCACATGAGTGCTCACGCTTCATCTGCGATGGTGCCTGTGACGCCATCCTTCTATGGACCAACACCAGGACATTACACGGCTCCAGCCTCTGGTAGAGCCACCCCAGAATCTGATCTCCGACACGCAGCTACCATCAGTCAGGCCACACGTCAAGCTCACGCCGCATGGCAAGCTCAGCAACAGCAGCAGCAGCAGCAGCAGCAGCAGCAACAACAAGCTCAGCTATCATTACCGTCTGCTGTGACTGGAGATGGACTTTATACTGAAGATGGCTGGGACTCGCTCGTCGCTCCTTACCAACGTATGCAGGGAGCTTTGGTCCCGCCTGAACACCTCATGTTCTATACACTGGCGGCTGAGGCTCACCCTGGACCCGATGGGGCTCCGCGGAAGGCTATCCTGAGGTATCAACAACCTCCGGTCTTCTCTGGTTACGGCTACTCTCAAGCACCGGCATCTTTTTCGACTTATTCCTTCGAGGGTTATGAACCAGCTCGAGACGCTTACGGTCGATTAAATCCCACTATCGCTTACACTGTCCCATATGTCTTTCCACCCGTTGATCCTCGATCGCAGCCTTTGGAATATGTTCCTTCGGTACATCCAAGTCAAGTGATGCACTATGCTGTCCAGCCTCAGCCGGCTCAATTTGCCAATGCCGGTCCGCCGGGATACACATATGACTCGACGACGACCCATCATCGTCCATTCGCGTCGCAATCAAGCGTAGGATTGGGTTTCAACTTTGGCGCTCATGGATCAGCTTCAAGTTCCACAACGCCGTACGACATGGCAGCTGTGCAACGCCCACAGGTGTTCTCCAGTCACGTCGCCCCTGGAGGAGACGAAATGCAAGGTGTGGAAACTTGGCAAAGTCGATTGAATAGAGGCAGTGGAGATTGGAATACACGCAGTGAATGGAGTAGCCCGATGCCTGGAACAGGTATGGATTGGCACTGAGATGAGAAGATTTGGAGATCTAGAACGACGACGACGAGACACGCAAACACGGCGACCGGATGACATATACGAATTTTGTTACGAAAACTGCCTTGGATAGGAGAAAGAGAGGCGATATCGACACGATACTTCGTCGCAGAGGTATCTTAATACCACACAGTGTAGACAGTTGCATGATTCATCTGAAGTCGAGATGATCGACATTTTTGTACTTTGTTTATTGAAACAGTGTATGTATACGATACAAAACAAGCTGAACGACATATCGCTGTAGGCAGCCGCACATGAAACACGATCTCCCCGTGGCGCTCTAGTACAGTATTCTGAAACGGCATTTAGTCCGCAAAATGTTGCTCCATGCGGTCCTATCGATCCATCCAAAGGCATCATCGATACTATTCTCACAAGGCAGTAGTGAAGTTTTGTGTTGAGCTCTTGCTCACAGTAGTTAGCTCGTGCAAGTGGCTCCTGCCGTGAGAGCCCTCACGATGCCTCCTTTGTTCTGCGTCATTTGGTCGTTGGCCTTACTATCACCGAGCTATGTACGCCCGATCGAGTAGAATTGAGGTAGAGAGGAGTTCTCCGGCGGGACAAAGGATGTCCATGAGAAGTCTTTGTACTTGCTCCAGTGGAAAGAGTGGGAGGAGAACATGATGAGCCATTACAAGTCTCATCACCGTGAGGTTGTGCCACCTCGAATATCAACCACACCAACTCTCTCCACTCCCCTGTCTGAGAGCTGTCCTCCATCAATTGGCAGTACCACATAGACACATATTGAAGCGAAACCTCCTTGCTCGAGCTCTCACACTACTGTCCGGACGCGACGGCGATAGTATCTTCTTCCCTGAGACCGAGAGACGAACTAGAGCCTCCGAAACAGTCGCTTGGATCCCCTCTTAGGAGTCCGAGTGACATTCGTACTTGGAAACCAGGCCCTCCCTGAAGGCTCGCACTCGACAATTTTACTGCATTAGGACGGTCGAGACGGCGGACGGTCCATAATGGACCCAATGACTATGATGATGATGGTGCGTGTGATTGATACGGCCCAACACCATCCCGCAGAGTCTTCTTTCCATCCTACGTGCTCTCAGAGGACCAAGAGCTCCCTGAACCAGAGACTCTTTTTATGTCAGAGGCTTGTTTGACCTCAATTCTGGTGTCCTAATCTCCTCTTATACGACTCGCCCAGATCCCTCGGGCCTCCCCCTTCTCTTCGCCATGCACACCAAAGCTCGAACCAAAGCTGACATTAGAAACGCCTCTATCGAACACGCTGTTCGTCACTATAACGCCTTCATATCTCCCTACTCCTATGGATCATGTCTCCCTGCCTACCCAAACCACAATGTCCATCGATATTTGACTATTATGCCTTCTATTGGATCGCCTTTCATCGACCCATACTCACAGTCCGGGATGGGCGGTATGGGCATGATGAATCCCATGATGATGGTGAGTTGCATCTTTCCAGAGCCAACATGCGGAATGTGGCGGAACTGACGAGCCAAGTAGGGCATGATGAATCCCATGATGATGGTGAGTGGAGCGATTGCGAACTATTTCGTGGCGACACGTCTCCCGCCTCAACCCTTTTCCTCTCACTTAAGTGGCAGTGCTGTCAATCTCCTGGTGCCTTGCCTCCTATCCCGCCAACGCGGGCTCCTGGAAGCCCGCTGACGTAGTCCCCTAGGGTATGGGAGGACTCGGAATGGGAGGCTTAGGATTGGGTGGACTGGGGATGGGTATGGGAGGTCTCGGAATGGGTCTGGGAGGACTCGGAATGGGTGGAATGGGCATGATGAACCCTATGATGATGGTACATCTTCTTCTCAAAGTCCTCGAGCTCTTCCGCATGGCCAATCCTGAGAGCAAAGGCTCCTATTTGATCAGCCTTTAACCTTCTCGTCAACTATCAACGATCAGGAGCTTTTTGCTGACTTTCTCTCCAGGGCATGATGAATCCAATGATGATGGGAGGATATGTAAGTCACTGTTCTCCTCCCGCTCCGCCCGTCCACTGCCAATGATGTGTGATATTTTCCTTATGATTCCTGAACCCATTTTTTGGTGTCATCTGAGGCCTTCATCATCCCTGTACCTCTTTGCTCCCTGATCTCGTTCAACATGCACCGCTGACTATTCGTCCAGGGCATGATGGGAGGCGGACTGGGCTCTGGGGCCTACGGAGTCAGTCTACTCCCGCCCTGGATGCAACAGCTGACCAGCAAATCGCCTTGGTATTTCTGATCAAACATCGTTATCCTTCAAACTCTGTACAATGCAAATCTTGTCATTCCTTCTCAACGCATCATGCTGTGCCTGTTCCAACGTCATGGTCTTCAACAGATGCCAAGGTATCCACCGGGAGGGTGAGTCTTGTCCGTCCCTCTCCTCCTCTCTCATGTCCGGTTTCTGCTTTTTCCTCCCGGTCCGAAGGTGGGATTCGCGCATCCGACCATTGTCAAGTGTCATCTGATATGACTTCAGGCAGGAAGACAATCGGATGCTTGCCCAACCGCCAAGATCCTGTCGGCAGTGCGGACACCGAGCCGTGTGTCATCAATGCGGGCACGACCAGTAGCTCCGTTTCTTGCCTTCCCTTCCCTCTCCTGCCTCTTGGTGTCCCTCCACTGTCAAACGGGTTTATCTGCGCCTGACATCCATCCCGTCACCTCATATACAGTCTAGACCTTGAAAATCCTCCTGATCCGCCGATAATCCCATTCAAAGATCGAATCTCGTACATGTGTCAACATCAATACTATCATCCTAGATGAACGGGCAACCGAGCTGATCCCCATGATTCACTAGACTCTTCGGTGATTATGGACTCGGTATGGGAGCGTTACCCGGCGGAATGATGGGTGGTCTGGGCGCTCATATGGGTGGGTATGGGCTTGGGACGGGTATGCCGATGGGATATTGAGGGCAGAAGTGAGGGTTAAAGCCATATCTCATCCTTGTATCCACTACTCTGTACTCAGCCATTCATATGCGTAGTATCATCCAGATCCGGCAATGTCTTGCTCGACAGGGAATCTCAGGATGCACTGAACTGACGGTGAAGAGGCCGTCGAGCTATAGTCACCCGGCCATGGATAGCATTTCATCTGCCACCATGCGGTAGGAGAGAAATCAGTGCCAAGTTAACGGTACTCGCATATAAAAATATACCACGTGCTTCCAAATCTATCCGCCGCAAATCATCATCCGGGGTCTATTGGCGTGCTTTACCCTTCGAGCCGTTCATCTTACTTGTTACACCATCAAGGTCTCATAGCTCATCATGCCACCCCGAGTCATCCCTCCTCAAGCATCCATGTCTCCTGCACCGATGGAGAACATTGCACCGAATGACGCTCAGGATATCCTGGTCATTCAGGATGTGATGGATACGCTGGACCAGATCCCTCCAGAGTTGACGAGAGTCCACAGTGATCTAAACGAGCTCGGCGCGGTTCTGTACTGTGAGTCTGAGACGCTTCAGATAATCCTTCTTGGAGATCGCTGTGGGGGTCAAGTCGCTGACGACTGGTCCCTTCTTGTTCCCTCTCGACGACTTCTCCTCTGTGCTGCTTTTGCTCCTGCGCGCTGAACAAACTCCGATGGTCACGAATCCAATTTGTGTTTGCCTTGTTGCATCCACCTTCACACTCCTCATGCACCCGGACCCGCAATACCAATCTAAATATCACATCTCGCTTACTGAAACCCTCCTCGTCGCTTGCCCCGCCTCAGCGACCCTCGTTGGACTCGAGAAAAACCTCAACAAGCTCATCGACTGGGTCCAAGATCCGACCATTACCCCTGACAAACGATTCGCCCTCTTGCAAGATATCGCCGAAGAGGCAGCGAGATACAAGCTAGGAGGCGATGACAAGATTCGCGTCGCCGGAGGCGCCTGCGATGGAGTGAGTCTCGATCCCTCCAGTCCGGGCCTACGAGACCTGGCACGTCTCCTGTTCTCACTGACATGACACTTTGTCTCCAGATTATGGCTCATCAACGACACATTTCCAACCTCATTGCTTCTTCTACCCTGTTCCAACGCGGACCTTTGTCCCCCTATTCATACAATTTGACTTTGAGTCAACTTCCGCCTCATGCCAATACTCGCCGTGGTCAACTTGCTCGAGCTGTCAATTCTCCATTTGTTGTCGCGCCTCGAGCGGCTACCGTTGGAGCATCAGGACTTCCTGAAGGAGCCGTCAGAGATACGCCTAGTAAGAAGAAGAAGCATCGCGTACAGGCGCTAGGCAGGGACGACGATGATGCCTCGAGTGTGGGAGGAGAGAAGAAGCGTGCGCCAGCGAAGAAGAGGAGGCAGTGAGTGCCTTGTTCTTAATGGCGCGCAACATGACAACTGGGCTGACAGTGCTCAGACGCGCCGTCTCACCAGCCGATTCGCTTGCATCAACCTCCGCCTTCAACGGCAAGCCTTCGCAACCACAAACTGCTCGTCAACTCGCCGCAGCGGCCAACAAGGCCCGTAAGGCTGAAAGAGCAGATGAATCCGACGATGAATCGGGAGATGAGGGTGAGCCAACAAGCTTGCCACGACATGCCAGCTAATGCGATCAGGTCGACAAGACGCTCTTGGCCTCGACATTGGCAGTCGAGAAGGTTCGCAAGCTGGTGGCAAGAGCATCAATGCCACGCCAGTCCTAGCCAATGGCACTGTCCTCCCTGCAGGTGACAGACGAGGCTCACGAGCCGGCCGAGCTGGCCAAAAGCGATCTCGGGCCGATGATGAAGATGGAGAGGAGGAAAGCGACGGAGACGACGTCAAGCCAAAGCGAACGAATGGATCTGCCCCAAGCGCATTCATGAGTCGAAAGAGCAGTGGAATGGACGACTCGGACGCGCTCGATGGAGATGGCCAAGGAGTTGACGGTGACGCCGATACAAAGCTCTACTGCACTTGTCGACAGATCAGCTATGGCGAGATGATTGCGTGTGATGATGAAGAATGCGAGGTAGAATGGGTGAGTTCGGGAGCGAGCACAGCGCGCGCCACAGAGCCTTCGCCGTGGGTGATACGTCTCGCTGACGTTCTTGCAGTACCACATTCACTGTCTCGGCTTTGACAAACCACCCGAGGGTAATTGGATCTGCCCTCAATGCGTCGAGCGACGGAAGAAGAACCCGGGCAAGAAGAGGGCCGGCAAAGCAAAGTCCAGGAGGTAGTGTATGCGTCTGTCAATCAAAGGACAGTCCAATGCCTCGCTGTTCTCGGACAATGATTTGTGACATCGTCTGTATGTATATTTTCACTCTTATATCCGTTGAGCGGGAATCGAGGTCGGGTCAACTGAATTGCCGAAGGAAAGGGAAGATTAGACCGCGATCGCCACTCCGTTCTCACGTCCCATCTTTGGGCTCAATCGTGTCAGCGAGATCAACAGAGCACAACAATCATCAGGTGACGACGAGAAACCCAGATCGCTCTCTCAAGCCATGTCCATCGTACCTATCTCTAATGCGAGAAGCAATTCTCCTATCCGATCACGCGACTCTACAACCCCGTCCTCAACCTTCAATCTGGACCATCTCCAAGCTCTGGCCCTGCATCATCCATACAGTTCTGCATTCCTTCTAGGATCGACTCTCACTTTGACCTTCTGCTCCAGCGTGCTCCTCACCAAACGCCTCTTCTTCCCTTCTCATCAGGCTGCGGCTCAGATCACGAGGCATGAATTGGCCAACCTCCACTCTCGAGTACTCGAAAGGTTGGAGACATTGGAGACTCGTCTTGGGATGCAAGTCAGGATGATGCAACCTGATAAGAGGGCCCAACAGGATATCTTGGCTCGATTGAAAAGTATCGAGGTCAAGTTGGGTGACCAGTTCGGCGCAGGAGGATCGAGGTTTCCCGGCTCAGCTTCCTTAAGTAAGACAGGTCCCGGATCGACTTTGATCGCTGGATCGGCTGGCGGACCGAGGACGGAAGCTCAACAGAAAGATCATGGACTTCAAGTGACTGAAGAGATCTACTTCTCTAGACCTAGCGAGACTGAAGCGGTGGATTTGGCCACGGAGGGCCAAGAGAACGGATCGCATGATTGGCGATTGGGTATCGTGGATCTCGACGAGGATACAAAAGTTCTATCAGCGGCTAAGATCAGTCCTTCACGTGCGGCGTCTGAATCTTCATCCACTCATGGATCAAATACCATAAAAGTCGTGCCTCCTCCATCTACTGCACCTTCACCTCCCTATGCGGCTTACAAGCGACCTGCCGCGATGCTCTTCGGTGGTCTCAGAATGGGAATTGGAAAACATGGACCTATGCCCATCGTGGATCCCTCAAACCCAAACTACATGTAGGCGGTTCTGCCCCTTCTATCTTCGACATTCAAGCTTCCCGTGATTGTAAATTACTTCGAAACCGGTTGTCTCTGTATGCCTTCGGTTGTATTGCTTGTGCCCGTAAGTTAGGGATTGCCATTTCTCATGATTCTGCATATGATCATGCCATCGATTACTGTCCCCTTACTCTTCTTCCTTCCCACGAAAGCATCCTCTTGACTTGACACATCTCACCTTCGAATGGCCAACATTCGGCATATGCCCTGTCTCGTCATTCGACCTTGGTATGTTCTTTGGCCTTAAATTTTATCGCGTCCTCCAACCTAGGCATGAGTTGCGTTCTTCGAGAGGGTCAGGTATGCTTATCTTCCCGCATAGAACTCACCGCCATAGGCTCCTGGCTTGAGCACCTGACCTTCCCGGTACCACTCCTTCCCAACCCTGCTCACTTCCAGGAGCTCCATGTTTGACCACGAAGTGAAAGATGACCTTCAACTCTTCGACGGTCCATGGCCTGTTGACGGGCTTCGCTGAGCCCTTGGGTTCGGTCGTAGGCATGAGGGAGCGCTCTTCCTTAGATGTCTCGCGGGGTGCATGACTATTCTCGCCAGAGTCGCCGGACGAGGGAACCTCATCAGCTTCGGGCTTGGTGTAGGGTTTGGGCGCTTGTTTGCAGCTGAGTGCTTTCATGACTCTTGGCATGATGAGGATGATGAAATGGTTCTTCTGATCCTGAACGTGGGCGTGGGTGCTGACTCGAGAAGGCCAGATCGTTGGACGGTTACAGATCAGAGCAAGAAGAGGATGATGCAGCTGACGAGAACATTGCATAATGGTTATGGGGACACTATCTCGAGAGCTGCATCCTTTCGGTCGTCAGGATGACACGAAGCTGTCTTTGCCTTGACAACCACCTGACAGCAAGAAAGCACGTCTCATTCTCAATCCCTATGCGGATACATCATTAAGCACCGTATTCATCTATCTAAAGACCAGTTATTTCCAAACTGGCAGCACCACCTTGGACCGCCATCCAATCTTGGTCGAACCCCACTCTGATCGTCCTGGTCGCTTAGGTCCCCTTTGCCTCCAGAAACTTGCTGACATTCGGCACGACATTGAATCTATCAGGCTTCAGTCCTTCTTCTCTCAGATTAGGTACCTACCTCCATGCATTACGAGCCTGTTGTCCTGTCTTTCCCGGTACCACTCCTTCCCAACCTTTGTCACTGCCAGGAGCCCCATTTTTGATCGCGTGCTGGAACAAAGCCTTGAGTTGGTTTCCTGACCATGTGCAAGGTTTGCTCTTGGCTTTGTTGGGGGGTCCTTGGGTGGAAGATGTCTTCTGAGAGCCGCTGGGTGAGGATCCGCCATCGCCGTCGTGGTCGCCGTCTGAGGAGTGCGGTCGAGAGGGGTAAGGTGTCGGTCGGTTCGGCGTGCTGGGTTCGGCTTTGATAACTGGCATTGGGACGATTTGATCAGAGGATAAATTAGCGTTCGAGGCAATCTGTCAGAGATAGGGTAGAAGACGAGATGAGAAGACTGGATGGGAGAAGCAAGCGCGGGACATGGATGTGGTCAGCAGAAGTCGAGGTATTTTGTAAGTATACACGCAACTGCGTTGCCAGGTGACGATTGCGTGCGGACCACAACGCGTGCCATGTGCGTGGTGTCAAGCTGTCCTCATCTCAGTGACACTTCCGAAGTTCCTGATGTCGTAGCATGGTCCTTTGCACCAGTAGCATGTCATGTCCGTTTTCAGGACCTCTTGCACCTTGACGTCCCCGCATTTGCCTCTTCCAATGATCTTCTTGGAACTCTGATCGTCCGTCTCGACCGCCACAATGGTAGCCAGATTCAATTTTCCCACGCTCGTATTGTCCCTGGAAATTTCAATGACAGAAATGCCTCCCTGCATAGACACGCTGATTCTTCGTCAATACATCGCATTCATCATGGCATCTAGAACGTGAGTCATGGAGCGGAGAGACTTCTGAAGCTCGTAACACACTGCCATGATGTGCTGACACTCCGCAGAATGAAAGACTGGACAGCGGAAGAGGATCGTGAGTCTGGTTGAAGGATCATCTTCGAAAATCATTCATGGTGCTTACTATTGTTCTTTCCCAGCCGAGGAGCTTCCACCTCCCTCGGAGACTACTGTCGATGGAATCACCACTATCATCACTTGGAAGCTTGACGAGCATGATCGCAAGGTCAAGGTCAGTTGAAGGCATGCATCGGGTATGTGCTATGGACCAGCTGACAGGAACCAGGTGACGCGAAGGGTGAGGAGAAAGATGCAGACTCAGAATGTCTCGCATACTGTTGCAGAGAGACGGAGACTGCCAAAGTGAGCCGGGGTCGATGAAGTTTTACATCCAAGAACTGGCGTTGACGCTGTCGTCCAACAAGATTCGGGGATGATAAGGGGAAGGCGACTGGGCCAGATAGGAAGACAACGATCGTAGGGGAGAACATCCATTTCAAGGTCGCCCCGGTGTCTGCAAAGGTGGGCCCTTGGCTGGCCATCCATCGTAGATGGCTCCTGTGATCTGAGTGACGCTGATGCCGCTCGTCATACTAGGCCAATGAAGCCGCTGCTGAGCCTGACGCTCCCAAACTTGCCGCTGGAAAAGCAGTCATTTGTCGATTATGTAAAGGAGGACATTTCACTGCCAAATGTCCTTTCAAAGATTCTTTGGCGGCCATCGAGAACGTCGATATGGATGATGGTGGAGAGGCGCCCGCGGCTGACGGTATGGGCGGAATCTTGGCTAGAGGAGCAGGAGCGGGAGGGAAATATGTGCCTCCGTGAGTTCCGAAAACCACCTGATCGCTCTTTATCCGTGACGGTGTGCTGATTTGACGTGTGCCAGTGGTCAACGAGCTGGTGGAGGTGCCGGAGAATCCATGTACAGGAACCGTGATGATCTACCGACATTGCGTATCACATCCTTGTCGACCGATGCGGAAGATGAGGATCTCCGTGAACTCTTTGCGCCATTCGGTAAAGTCGCCAGGGCGAATGTGGTCCGTGACAGAGAAACGAGGGAGAGTAAAGGATTCGGTTTCGTCAGCTTTGAATCGAGGAGAGATGCGGAAAAGGCACTGCAAAAGATGAATGGGCACGGATACGACTCGCTTATCTTGTCTGTCTCTTGGTCTTGTGAGTGGAAGCGGGGTTCTCTCTTCCTTTGATTTGTGAAGAAACTGACGCTTTCTTCTTGCTCAGTGCCCCGAGAACAGCGGTGAAAAAAAGGGCGACAGTGCTTGCGACACTGGCTCAGTATGCTTTCGTCAGCCGAGTCTACCAATGCATTCTTGTACGAGTTGAGCGATGACCACTGATACGCGGGAGTCTGTGGCATCCGCCTATCGATTAACTGGATGGACATCAATGACTCCCTGATAGGCTTTGAGCCCTTGCAACTCCAGGACTGATCCATTGACCTCTGCTTATCCTTTCATGTAGTCCGACTGGCATTCACAAAGGACGGCTGCAAGTCTGCGCGCCTGGAAGCAAGAGCATACGTAGAGAGCGCGAGACTGGAGACATTGCTCACGATCGAGCTCATCAAGCTAACTCACCATGACGCAAGTGAGTGCGCTGATTCCATCGAGGATATCAATCATATCCCTACGGGTGGAGGCACGGTATAGGAAAAACTCATTACTACTTGCAGACCTTTGTCATCTACACTCTACGATCTGAAGCTCGATTCAGAGAAGAATTTGATCGTGCCCATGGTACGTGTATGTGTATGTGTCTGTGTGTGCGTGTGCGTGTGTCTGTGAAAACCAATCCCATGCTCGGGGATCGGCCACTCGTCCTGTCTGACCAAGTTGATGCTCGGGTGGGTAATTTCTATCTTGACACCATACTTGTATGTTAGGTCTTCAACCTCAAGTCATTCTCTCCTTCTTGAACCCTGCTAAGGACGTCGCAAACAAGTATGCAGCTGGTGATCCTGGCGATGCATTCTTACGCGTCGTACCGATGGGGAGAAAAGTGCTCTCATCAGCTCAACAGGCACACGTCATTGCTTGTGTGCAGCTCGCAGCGAGAGCCGCAGCTTCTTCGTGTGAGTTCAGAGAGAGAGAGAGAGAGAGAGCCTCACCTCACTTGGGGGCAATACTGTATGGGTAGCTGACGTGTGGTTACGCATCGTCTGGACATTAGTCTGTCCCGTCCGATGATGGCAGATGCAAGCTGATTAGTAGATGTGAACATCCATCACCGCTGCTATCCCCCTTATATCTGAGCACATTGCACTGCTCGATACGGTACGAGCTTGATGGTTCATGTCTGCGTCTGCCCAGAGACCACTTGATAACAATGTCGACTATAGATTTCATAACTCTCGTGAAGTTCTCGATAAATGCAGTATTGTTGATAAGAATGACACGGACAAAAGAGTCGTGGTATGACAACAAGACAGAGATATCTATGAGGGTCGAAACCCCCCCAGAACAAAGATGGCAATGCTGAAGGTCCCGGAAACTACGTGTCAACACCACGGCACCGCGCCTGCGACTCGTGCGTTGCGCCGCACATCTACTCTGCCCCCAATTTCATCAAGCTCTTCAAACTCTTCGCCACGCCAAAGCTCGCACTGGCTATAATCTGTCTCATGGCTTTATCAAATCCTCCATTCTTGGCTGATTCTTGAGCTTCGCTGAGCTTGTTGGTGTTGCCCACTAATTCGCGCAAGAGTGGGTTGCCCTCTGCGCGGAGAGAAGTAGGTAGAGCGTCTGTGGATACAGCAACGATGGATGAAGCTATGGCGATGACTTCGGACAAGTGCTCGTTCAATGCTGGAGTAGGACCTCCGGTTCGGATCGCAGCGAGCAAGTTTTGGATCGAATTGACGAGGGCAGAGGACTGATTCTCGAGGTATGGCTGGAGAATGGAATGTCAGTCCGAAGCGTCGGGTGTAGTGTGGAGATTGCCAGACCGCTCACCTTGACATCCTCCCACTCTTGATCTGTCCCTCCGCCCTGACCTAGGAACACCTCATCATCGTCCCTCGGTGGATTAGACTTGGACGCCGAGCCCGAGCCCATTGATGCGGCTGAGACGGCAGAAACAGGCGCCATAGGCGTGCTGTCGCCCGAAGCTCCTGTTGCTCCTGCGGCCGGGCTCTGTGATCTTGGCGCCGGATCGCGATTGTATCCATTGCCACGGTGGTCCCCCGAAGGATTGCGCATTTCTACTGGAGATCTGAATCCGTTTCGTGAAGATACGCTGTCTCCCCGTACTCTGTCCCGACTGTCCCGTTCACTCGATCGATCAACATAATCGTTCTGCGAGCTGTAAGTATTGCTTCTTGATTCAAGGGTCGGTCGACGCTGATCATAAGTCGAGACGGATGGTTTATGGTCGTAATCGAAAGAATCAGATCTAGCCATGGAAGACGTGTTCGAAGCGTAAGAGTTGATACGGAGGTTGGATGCTGCGTTGGGTCCAGAAGAGTTGGCGGACGCACTGGCACTTGCGCTCATGGGTCCTGAACCAGCGCCATTGACCTTGGTATCTATGGGTGAGAGTGATCTACCATCTCCAGATCCCGACCGAGTAGATTGAACGAGTCCGTCGAAAGCCCTTCGGACGCCACTAGAGGATGTCGCACTCAAGGGCTCGCGAAGTCTTTCGACGGCTCCTTGTGCATATTCCTTGGCTCCCGCAGCGTAATCACGTAATCTGGACCCAGCAGACGAAGAAGTAGATTTGATCGGTGCAGACTCGGTCGGAGTACCGGATCGATTGGAGTACTCCGTTGTGGGAGTGTTGGCACGACGATCCAGTGTGGGTGTACCTGCTCCAGCTCTAGATCGATCGACCATGTCCTTGATGCTCATACTGCTTCGATTACGGGTCATAGTGGCAGCTTCACCACTTCGTCGAATCTTCAGCAACTTGATAATCTCCACAACGTTGGAGCTGAGATGTCCAGCTGCGGCATCGATCAGAGATACAGGCGCCAAACCTGAAGACATGGCGTGATTTCTGGCGGTCTGCATGAGTGAGTTGAGCCGATTGGTCGATTCAAATTTGAGTGACTCCAGGCGAGATACATCGACATCAAGGTTGGGTCGCGCTTCGAATTGCTTGACATCGTCCCCGATCTCCGTGATGGCCTCCACGATGGACTTCATTGACGACAAGACGCTGGACGGCTGTGAAGATCTATATTATCTGGTCAGCTCCAAGGTCTCTGCAAAGAGTCAATTAGCTGACCTAGCGGCAGAGAGCAGTCCATCGATCGCAGTCTGGAACGCCAATACGTTGATATCTGCAATGTTGCCATCGGGTGAAGCAGGAAGGTGGTCATCGGTAGCGGGTTTCGGTACGAACATCATGGAAGTAGCTACCAAGGTGACGTGTCAGCCTGCTCGCAGCGCGCAGTGTCCGCTCGACTCACCTTTGAGGTTCCTCAACTCTACTCTTGCCGAATCGTACATTCTCTTGTACTCTTCCACCTTGGCTTCCATCTCGTTCATCGCTTGGGCGTCCCTCTCTCGCTCGGTGATAAGCGCTTCGTTCCGAGCTGACAACGACTGCAATTCATCCACAAGGGTATGTATTTCCTGCTTGAGCGAAGAGACGGCTTCGTCGGTCTATGCAAAAAGGGCAAATCAGTATAATTATCGATACTTGGGATGGCACTCGACTCACATTCATGCCTCCTGCTGCATTCGCAGTTTCCAGCGCACTGCGCTCCTCTTCCGCCCTTCTCAATTCATCTTCTAGCCTATCACACCTCTCTTTCCAGTGCGAGATCTCCTCCTGAGCTTGCCTGGAACTCGACTCCCCATGACTCCGTGCTGCCTCTGCACCATCTTTGGCAATGTCCAGTTCATGCTGCATGGACCGTAGCTGAGAGGCGTGTAAAGCGGCCCGCTGCGAAAACTTGTAAGCGTAGCTGGCAGCATTCCCCTACAGCGACATCATACGCACCTCCTTCATGCCCCGTATCTCCACATCATCGCCTCTGACCGTAGATTCCAACTCTTCCACCTTTTTCCTCATTGCTTCTCTCTCGCCTTCAGCCTGACTGGCTTTACGCTCTAGTCCAGCGATCCTGAATTCGTACTCTGCCCTGATCTTTTGCTCGCGTTCCTCATCCCAACCTAGTCCAGCACCACCTGGTGTTCCTCCGGTCCTAGATTTCGAAGTGATATTCGATGAAAAAGACATTCGATCGTAGTATTCTCTATCGTCTCCTGCACCGTGAGGACTGAGAGCGTTCTGAGGTCCGTCGATTCTCGGCGTGCGATCGTGATTCTGGCTGGAAACTGATCCAGGGCGAGAGGATGCAGAAGATCGCGGTCTGTCCAGATTACGTGATTCCCTCGCATAGGGAACCTGGACCTCTTCCTCCCTCATGCGGCTCCTATTAGGGACCACGACATCGTTGGTCGGACGGTCGACCATGCCTCCACCTGCGCTGCTCTTTGATGCGGACCGCGAGGGTCGTGTGCTGGAAGATCCAGTCGCGGAGTCGTCACGGGAGAACGGCACCTCTATGTTTTCTTCCCGTAAACGACTCTTATTAGGTATGACCACATCATTCGTCGGTCTGTCCAGCATTCCAGGCCCAGACCGAGCCATGGGAGCGAGAGGCTGGGGAGGTGGACCACTCGTGGAATCTCGAGAGTAAGGGACTTTGACATCCTCTTCTCGCATTCGTGATTTGTTGGGGATAATATTGTCACTAGTCGTCATTCCCATGTTGGCAGATCCGCCCCCGAAAGCAGAACCATTTGGCCGAGTCATGTAATCCCTTGATCCATCTCGACTGGGGTGAGAATGGGAAGAGGAGCCAGAGACATTGCGAGACCCTTGGCGCTGATGAGAAGCGACAGGAGCAGTGGGACCATTGCGGTCGTATTGATTGCGAGGGGCGACGGGACCAGGCGCGGGCGGTGGCTCGTCATCGAACATGGTCTCTTCGGTCTTGGCGCAAACGAACGAGTCAGTTCAGATCCTACTTCACCGAATGGCCATGCCCAGGCCATGCATGACTCACCTCCTCCTCCTGGAACTCTGGATACCTCCTGCGTAGCTCATAGAAGACATCGCTGGCGAGATCACGAAAGCGACTACGCGGCAACGTCGCGAGCTTTTGTCTGGCTTGGTTTCGCTTCGGGTGAAAGTCCTCACGAACGGGGAGAAAGGCGTCTGGCACGGTGGGTGTTTCAATGACATTGACATCTGGGGGAGGCCTTGACCTACCTGCGCCATTCGGACCATGTTCTTGATCTAGCCTCCGTTGCAACTCGTCATACACGTCTGTGGAGAGTTCCTGAAATTGCAGTTTTGTGAGACGGGTGAGCTTGTCCCTCGCTGATGCGCGAGTGGAAGCGGATTCTGCAGCGGATTAGTGCCATACCATGTCAACGAATAGGTAGCAGGCGATGCGATTCCGAGGGACGTCTCCGAGAGGGAGGGCGCAAAAAGAAAGAATACTCGTGCAAGCGCCTCATCGCCCCGTCCTCGACCCATCACCTGTCGCCGTCGCCGTCGCCGCTCCGCCCAGTCTTTACTGTCCTCGCATGATGTAGACCACCGACCAAACTCACCATTCTCCAGCCATTCTCTCAGAAAATCCCTCAGAGCTCGATAATGTATCCTCGCAACATCTCTACTCTCAACTTTGCGATCGCCGCTTGCACTTGCACTCCCACTTCCCCCGCCTCCTGCTGACGGTCTTAAACCTGTTCCTTGCCTCGGAACCGTCCGATTTGAATAACTCGAGCTGACGCTCGGGGCTGAAGGTCGATGAGCGGAAGGCGACGCGAAGGAGTTGGATCCATATTGACTATAATTCAACGATGAGGACGTGGTAGGAGCCGGAGAATTGGGGAAAGCTGAAGATCCTCCAAATGGTCTAGAAGAAGAGGTCATTGCCATGATCTCATTGGGCGGCGTAAGATTATATTTGACCGCCGAGCTTGACTCCACTGCAGCGTTTGCTTCCAGTTAGGATGACGACAACCGACAAAGTCTCTGGTTCTACGTGTCGACAGAATGGTTGATGGATCGTCGATCTCTCAGACGAGTCGTTATCGATTCCACAAAGAGGCAAAAGTAGCTAGCTAGATTGTTTGTGCGGAAAACTCCGACCTGGCTTGGGGACAGTGCTCAGCTATATCTCTTCTCTTCTGAAGGATATAAATGCTTTGGCAGCGGCAATGGACCGTCTCTCTCTCTCTCTATCCGCAGCCGGTGGTCGTATCTAGAAGGAAATATGGATGGGATGGTATGGAGGGATGAACGATGAGCAGCGGATTGTTGTTCTTAAGGAGGAGGGGAAAAAACACAAGCAGAGAAGGACAGGTTAATGAAATTCTTGGGATTTTAGAGAAAACCCTATTGAAATCATCATTATTAATGACAACGAGGCGTTTCTACACCAGGCCTTGCATCATCTCAGCGACTTGTCCCAGCAAGAGAGGGGGGAGGGGGGGGGGGTCGGAGGGGGTTGTGTCTATATCCCTCCCTCGGACCACCCCTATCTGCTAAGACCATACTCCATCCTTCGTCGCAGGCCAGGGATGGTATCTCGAAGCCCTTTCGTACCCTCTCAACACGCGCCGAGCGAAGGGCCATGATAAAGGCATAATTGGTGCCACGCAGCAGCAAACCCTACGAACGAGGCATGGCTCAAGACCTCAGTGATGTGTGACGCCAGCAGCCACACGTGCGCATGCGCACCGCTGCTTTAGCAATCACGACTTCATGGTCATTCCATTCCGGCGCGCATATACAAGTAAGAGATACGTTGAACGAAAGTCTTTTGTCTATCCGAGAGATGCTTCTTAATATCAATTGAGTCAGGCAGGCAAAAGGAACACAGTCATCAGGAGCTTTCGCGACAAAGCGCTAGACAATCCGAATAGGATCATAGTACCTGTTCAGGGACGATTAGAGCATGTTTGATACCGGTAATGTTTTCACTTACCATGCAACGAGAGCGATGGAGATATACGCCATGATCAACGTGGCGCCCTCCAACCAGTTGGTTCTGCCATCTGATATGGCAAAGTTGACGAGAAGGACCGCAATCACAATGATGATACTGTGACGAGCGTCAACTGATGAAATTAGTCCTCCAGGAACCACTCACGTCTCGAAGACGTCAAAGAACAACATCATAGGTTGACCTATCGCCCATCCGATCAAGACGAGGATCGGAAGCAAACACAGGGATACTTGGATTGAGGACCCCACAGCGATAGACATGGAAAGGTTGAGCTTATCTTTGACAGATACAGTCACGGCAGTGATGTGTTCCACCGAGTTACCTGGTCGTGGAGGTCAGCAAGTGGCTCCAAAGCCTCCCTTACCACTCACCGATGACAGGGAGCAAGATCAATCCTACGAACTCTCTACTGACATTGCCCGTCGCCGTCAATCCATCGATCGAATCCACGAGCCATTCAGCCGTCACTCCAGCAAGGGCAGTCATCAAGGTCAACATGCCAGCCGCAAACCAGACGCGAACTTTTGGTTCAATAACGTGCTCTTCTTGATCTTCTTCCTCAATTTGTCGGCGGATCGCCAGTTCTTGATCTTGTTGCGCGAGAAGGTCAGACGTTGGACCAAGGTACGACCGGGGTGAATCCCTCGATCGAAGCGAGGCGTGGGAAGCGCGAGACGTCGTTCGAACCATGTCCTCGGTAGCGGCCGATGTCATGTGCTCATGGGGTTGGAGGATGGGCGATGGCAAAGGAATTCCTTCCAGGATGGCCTCTTCGTCTCCATGTAGCGTTCCAGTTGTGCCAGTCGTTCCCCTTGAACGCCTATCAGGGCTTTTCATCGCGGTACCCAAGGACCATCGTCGAAGTCGCTTGAACGCTCCGCCATGGTGAGCATCCGTGTGGAGCGATGTACTTGACCGCGATGCAATGGATGAGGCAGACGAGGTGGACGAATCGACGATGGATGGCACCCAGGATGGGACAGGGAACACTGAATCGTGATGAGGCTGAGGTCCAGGAAGAGGGTGGACAGGAGGGTGTCTAGGGATTCTGAAGAGGCTTCACGGCGCTCGTCAGAAAGGCTTCATATGATACTGTCGATTCACTCACTAGGCATGGGTGTACAGCTGGAAGGTCAGGAACATTCCGTAAACCGCCAACAAGATGATACTCAAACCCCTCGACATGGCGAGCAACGCGACTAGCTCTTCTCCCTCAGGGGGTCGATAGCCTTGAGCAATGTTTGAGACTGTTTCGACGGTAGAAGGGAAGGCGAAGTGATACGCTGCGGGCATGACGATGGCGGCGAGCGTAATCCCAAGCAAGGAAATGTGCATCTGGGCCCCTGCAATGCCATACATTTGTTCGTGGAATCGGAGTCCACCGGCCTGAAGGAGAGGTCAGCGGGTGGCCCAAGCACCTGCTGCAGGTTTGCTCACGAAATAGCTCATGCCTAGGACGAGGAGTACTGATCCAAGACATCAGACGCTTATACGGCACCTCGGAGTGACACTCACTGTTACTCAGAATACTACCGATCATACTCGCCTGAACGATATCGAGTTGACCATCGACCAAGGCGAGAATGGCAATGAGCAATTCGACGGCGTTGCTGTATACAGCGGTCAGAGTGGGGTTCTAGCACGAACAAGATCATCAAATACCCGAAAGTGGCATTCAAGAGCCCGCCCCAGGCGTCACCCAATCGACTGGCAAGTTCTTCCGTTGCAAAACTCAGACCACCAGCGAGGGGCACCACGGCGAGGAGGGAGACGGTGAAGATGGCTACAGGGAAGTGGTCAGTATGGGTCAAGACTCTTGATGAAAGCGTCTTGCTTACCCGCTGGATTCTGGTGTGTAAAGTGGAGAGCCCAAGAGATGGGTAGAAGGACCGGGATCAGGAAGATCATTGGCTGCGCTTTGAGCGTGTTCTGGAAGTAAAATTCAGTTTCAGGAAGTGAGTCGCCATCGCCAACTCACGATGAAGCTTGCCTTCCATGTCGGCTCGATGATCTTAGGTTTTCCTCCGTCCCGCTGTGGAGGGATCGGCGCCGGGGGATCAGGTCGGATAGGGGAAGCTTCGACAGATGATCCCGTCTGAACATCTTTCTCGACACTGTCTCCCGTCTCTTTCCTGATGCGAACTTTTGCCTTCGGATCGATAGAAGGGAGAGTGACCCTATTGGCGCCTTTGACTGCCGTCGCACCGACAGCTCCGACCGTGCTGGTCACTGCGTTCCATGCTTTTGTAGGCGCTGACGAGGCGAAGTCTTTGACTCGGAGGTACGTCGTTCCATCGATAGGTGGTGTGGATAGGCGAGGTCGACCCGATTGAGAATTGCTCTTGGAAGTGTGAACTTCGTGTGATGGTACGGACACTTCGGGACGAGTCAAGAGGATACTGGGTTGTCTTGTATGTCCACTGAGGTGGGTCCGGTCAGGGACCATTTGGTCAGGAGTGATGGTGTCTCCCTCTTCATCGAGTGGAGCATGAGCAGCGGTGATTGGAGCTGACTGTGCATTGTTATCATGAGAATGATGATGATGCGGTGTAGGTGTATGTGTAGGTGGATCACTCCTGGTGGCGATACCGTGAAGGGGTTGTTCTTGATTTTTGTTGTCGTTGTTGTTGAGTTGCTGATGGTGGACCGCGAGGGGCGGTATATCAGGTTCAGGATCAGGTTCAGTCGTCAAGAGGTTGACCATAGATGGATGAGTGAATCTGATGTGAATAGCAAAGCTGAGGTGAAGGAAGATAGAGTCGAAGAGCAAGAGTCATCGTTGCCCGCTTCCACTCCCCCTTTGTATATACCACTGACCGACTGAGATTCTTGGCATGTCAGCGAGGTGTAACGTGGGGCTCGCCGCAACTTTCGCTCGCCGCTTTACCCCGCCCGCCCGTCCGACACTCCCCAGCCCAACATCCCCCGCCGTCCCCTCTGGGAGCAATCAGCTCGATGTGCCCTAGAACTCGCGAGGAATACATGTAATATCGTTGCAGCAAAAGGCTCGCAGCAGGCAGCAGCAGCAGCTCACGATGAGAACAAGCACAGATGCCAAGCCAGAAAAAATATGGACATGATTTGCAGGAGAGCACGTGGCGGTGGCGGTTTTTTTGGTTGAATTCACCACCACTCTACAGACACGATCCCCTGGAGGTGGATGCAAGTCAGCGACTGGCTTGAGAGACTGGCTTGAGAGACTGGCTTGAGAGACAAGCCAGTCAGAATGCATGATGGAAACGTGTATGGAATACATCGACCAGCCCTTTGCGGTCTGTCAGGATATGCACCCTGGGGAAGTAACATATTTGCCCTGCCACTTGATCGTACGGCTCAACTTTGCGCATTGGCCGTGCGAGAGGGTGGAAGACAGCGATGTGCATTGGAAGGGGGCACTGGTCACACAGTGTTGTTGAAGAGGCTACCGCTGGTGCCGAGAAATAGGTTGAGGAGTCGTGAGGTATGTACAGTATGTTCTGGGGAACTGTCGCCTGCGAACACGATGTCCTTCCAACTTCAGGTCATAAAACTCCTGCGTTGCCACCTAAACGCTTGACCAAAAGAAGTGCGGCTTATCATATGGAAGATGCTCGAATTCAGTGTCCATGGGAAAGAGGTGCTTCATTCGTCACTGTCAGTGTCGGAGCAATGCGCGTCGTCGAACACCTCTTGCCAAGCATCTTTACTTTGTCCCCCCCACCTTACGGGTTTTCTCTTGTCCCGATACCGGCCCGGGATCATCGGCTCGGACGGTATCTGATGCATTCATGAGGCAGAAGATACCAGGAGTCCGGTATCGGGGGGAAGAGGTCAATTACCTCGCCAGGCAAAAAAGGTGTCGCAATGCTCAAGACGAGAATAAGACGAGAAGAAGAAGATTCTGCGATAAGGTATGGTCAAAACGCGTTGTTCCCCGTCGGGTGAAGGACGATCGAGAATGTTATTGGACCGACATTTTGTCCGAGAAGACACTGCGAGATGAAGGTGAACAAGAAAAAGACTGGCAACAGCAGTGTCCTCTATCATCTTCTCGCCAAACCATGCGCTGTACGGGAAAAGATCCCTCATATGCCTACCTATGTGCCTCTGTCTATTTCGCCACTCTTGGGACCAAGACGAACGTGTTGACCCAGTGACCCAATTTGGGGATGTTGTGGTGCCACACATAAGCATCAGCTTTTTTTTTGCCAAGAGGGAAGCTAGCAAGCGGTGAGGGGGGGGGTGACCCTCTTCCTGCCCACACTGTCTCGCATCATGTCGACTGCGATGATGACCTATTTTATGAATCGATCCGAACAGCCATAAATAAGTACACAAGCGTCTCTCTAGAGTTGGTCCGTGACTAAAGCTGCTCACGCTGCTCAAGCAACCTTCCATAGAGCGTCTTCTACCTAGTCGGTGTAATCACCGGCTTGGAACGAAAATAGAGGATGTTCGGTATTTATTATTATGTTTTTTTCCCCCCCTTCCTCGCCCGCCGCCCGCGTTCCTCTCTGAATAATAATTTTTTTATATCTCTCTCTCTTTCTCTCATCCCACTCCCTCCCCGTTGTCATCCAAAATTAGAATAATGTCGTCGTCAGCGTGGCCTGGAATGGAACCCGATGACCAAGGTATGATCAGTTGATCGTGTGTCGGGTCACATATACGAGCGATGGTGTGGGGAAGATGTGGTGTATGGGGGGGATGGATGCATGTGAGATGGATCGTGGTCTTGTCGCCACAAATTGTGGGTTCCCAAAGAAAGCCATGAGCAGCATCAGCAGCAGTCCAGGCCCTGACTCCCTAAGCACCCCCAACCGCGCCCCTCTCTTATAATTGCCACGTCATACTAAAAATGGTCACTGCCATAGCCAAGTATATCTCTTCGCCAAGACCTTTTTACCCCTGAGATTGGCGACCTTGGGCTACTTTTGGCTTGGCTTCAACGGGGGGCGAGGGGGGGGCATACATATTCTCAGCTCTCCCCGTCTCTTCCTTCTTTCTTCCATTTCTTTCCCCCTCCTCAACCACGTTCACATTCTATCACTCCTCGTCTCGTTGCTCATCGTCGACACCGACACCGTCACCGTCGCTGCTGACAACACATCCCACGCACACCATTCAAGGCGGATTTCACCCACACCCCGGTGCCACCCCTTTCTGAGCTATTTTCAAACTTATTCCAGAATACACCACCATGTCAACTGTTGGACCCATGACGGGCAGGACACAACAGTCTATGCACAGGCATCATCCCTATGCACCTTCTACCCCATCCACCTCCAATAGACCTCACCACGGCGCCAACCTCGTTCCTCCCCCTTCTTCGTCTTCGTCCTCCTCCTCTTTCGCCTCCCCTTCTGGCTCTGCTTCCACCTCGCGGTACGCCAAGGTCTTTTCAGGAGCTGTCCCTCCTCGACCTAGATCTCCAGAAACATCCTCTTCGTCAAGGCAACAACACCAACACGAGCGATTCTCTTCTAAGCGTTCCCCCATGATGGGAGCCAACATTCATCTCCCACCTTCTCCTCCCAGATCACGAAGAGAATCGAGCGAGACTCCTTCATTGGCCACGACCACCGGGCTTGGCGCTGCCTTTGGGGGTTCCAGTGGAGGCAAATGGTGGGACGAAGAGATTGTGAGTGCATGGTCCCGATCCCTCCATCCACATGATTTTTCCATTCATGCCATCATTGTCCCCTCGACGCCCTATGTCGTTCGCATCGTATCTCTCTCACTATGCCAAGCCTTCGCCACATTCGTGCTGACCCTTGACCTTTCTAGCCTCCCCCACCCGCCAGTCTCACCGCCATTCTCGATTCATTCAAGCAGAGTGGACAAGGCGATCGCGAACTGCTGCTCGCCATCCTCGGGGCCAAAAAGGCCGAAGAGGAACGTCTCACAGCCCTCATCTCTACCCGCCTCACCATCCTCCAAGCCAGACTCTCTCTTCATTCTGCCGCTGCCGCCCTTGCAGCTCAACAACCCCCTACACCACCTGCTGAACTTGGTTCCGACGAAGAGACGCTCGTCTCCAAACCTGGATCAAAGCTCAACTCGCCTCGATCAGAGTATCTCTCTCCTCGATCCAGCAGAGACGACATGCCTCATAGTCCCATGATGTTGCCTTCATCATCTCGTATGCCTCCTCCTCCTCTCCCTCAACGACCAGGTCAACAACCATCCTACGAGTCCCTCGTCCCTAAAGGTCTCTTCTCTTCTTCGTCACCCGCTGCATCAACGCCTCACGAAGCCTCCCACCGATCCGACCTTGAACTCCCTCAGATCCACGTCGGACGATTCTGGAACGAAAAGCAACGCATGCCTTCGCCAGAAAAGGCCGATCGACGAGCTGGACCCATGAGCCCCATCAGCCCTGACGAGTCTCGACCCACTCGTTCCGAGCGCGCTGGGTCTAACGGTAGCAGCGGATCCGAGAGCCGCGCACCGGGACTCGACATGCTGCTGGATGCCGGCATGAGGGATCAAGAGATGGCTTAGATGGCTGAAAGATATCAGAGTAGACGTGACAATGTGTTTTTACGCTTTCGCACGAGTCCTTGTAGGGGGGTTTGTGTTTGATGTGACCTCTTTTTTGTATTACTATGTATATATGGAATACGATGCAGCAAAGCGTATCCTTAGCATGAGTGTGATTGGAAGGAGTCAGGGATCTCAAGCCAAGCCCAGAGACAATGACCATACGTTGCGTTGATCACAGATTAGCCGTACAATTCTGCATCGGCAGAGTAAATCCCACTGGACGTCTGTCCTCCAAATAGACCCTTCCATGACGCAGGCTGTCTCAAGGTGACCCCCGAGTCTGGTAACAATGCCTTGAGCAACAGAGCTGCCAGAGCTCTTGCATCGGATCTGTTGTCGCCTTCCACGCACCAAGCGACGACCGTCAGATGGGCGGGCGAATCAGCGGCTGCAGGTACAGGCTGGGAAGCGGTGACTGAGGTTGAACCGCTTTCGCGGGGCGTATGCGCAGAGCCAGATGGGAGGTCCACTTGAACCCACGTAGATGATGAGGATGAGCCACCAGAGGAGCTCTTGGAGATGCCTTTGCTGGAACTCGATGATGCATGAAGGGACGTGAGAAGCCTTCGAGTGAGTCCACCTCCAGGTATGAAAGGTGGGTAGTGGGTTGGGTTATGAGCAGATGGAGGAGATGGCTGAGATGGTGAGGAGGGATCGATGGTCAGGGAGAGAGGGGGGAGGTTGGCCAGTTCTTGGAGTGGTATTGGGAGGCACGAGCGGTCAGCGGTCGGGGGCAGGATGAGTTGATGCGGCGTTCTGGGTAGAAGGCGGAGCGTTTAGCTAAGAAGTAGTGTCGCCTGGGAGTGCCTCGCGATACACTCACAAGAGCTGAGCATCGTTCTGATTCGCAGCGTCGAGACTAGACAAAATGATGACGCCTGCAAACGCATGGGAGGTGATGAATGAATGTAAAAGATCGACATGCTGGTCTTTCCGACTCTACTGATCGATCAGCTAAGCTGGCACTTGTAGCCTCGGAACAAAAAATCAATCCAACCGACCTTGAGAACCGGAGATCTTTGTTGCAGAACCACAAACTCGCAGCCCGGTCGAGAGTATGCTATAGGAGAACTGTCAGTACATGACCCATCGATGCCTGTCTGTAGCCTCAAGTCACTCACCTTCTAGACCTCCACTAACGAGCCCTTCACCCATGTCACTGTACCCTAACAGTGGGGCGACTGTGTCGCCGGATCCTACGTATCCTATTCGATTGAGCTCGCGTGACGCAATGATGAGGTCCACAGCGAGTTGAGGAAGGTTGGCGAGGGAGACAGAGGGCTAGGCGTTGCCAATAAAAAATCAGCTCTGTCATCAGATCTCTAGCAAAAGGTTTCATTGACGGGGCTGAGGGCGCCGCTCACGATGATGAGGATCTTGTCCCTCAAGGCATCTTCTGAGATGCCCGAACAAGGGTAAAACGTCTTCTTTTCCATCTTAACTTATCGCCAAGGTATCAGCTTCACAACGGGACGTCTTTGCTGAAGGTATAGAAACCTCAAGCTCGAGAGGTAGATTGTGCGCTTGTCGAGCGTCTTTGAAACTTCATCTTCTGTTGGAGAAATCTTCCACGTCACGACTTTCACAAACGGTTATCCGGGTTTCAGGACGAATTCAATCTTCGAGATTGGGACGAAATTTATTACTACCGATTGACGAATTGCTCGAGTGGTTTGAAGGAAGGAAGCAGGCGTAGGACAGGGAAGAGAATCGAGAGCTGCTCAGGAGAGTGAGATTGAGGATGCCTCGGAACCAATGGATCCTACGTGCCGCGAGGTGTTCGCGTGGAGCGAGCCGGTCTCACGCATTCACCAGGCCATCTCAAACGATATCACATACCGCCGCCCCCTTTTCTACGACTCGAGCGCAACTTCTTTCCGCTTCGGACATACCGACAGCAGGAGACTTTGAAGGCTGGGATAAGGGTCCGAAAACGTACGGTCCTAGCTCTGCTCCGCCTCGTTTGCGATTCGCCCCTTCGCCTACTGGATATCTCCATCTAGGTGGATTGAGAACGGCTCTGATAAACCACATCGTAGCGAGGCAGGGGAAAGGAAAATGGGTATTGAGGGTGGAAGATACAGATAGGGTAAGCGTGTCCTTGTACGAGAGTGAGATCGATCAGTCAGTCACTCAAAGAAGCCAAGCAACAATCAATGGCATTGCGCCCAAGTGTGGGATCGTGCTGATCGGGCCGTCTCGTGTCTTGTAGGAACGCCTTGTTCCTGGCTCCATAGAGCAAATGAGGAAGACACTCGAATGGGCAGGACTGGATTACGATGAGGGTGAGCTCCGGAATCGGAATCATTCTCAGATCCAATCGTTGACTGATTGCTTGTTCAGGTCCGGGCGTTGGAGGATCTTTCGGGCCGTACTACCAAGTGAGCCGCACCACTTCCCGACATACCAAGGTAGCTGATATCATGGCAGTCTGAAAGATTGGAACTTTATCAACAATATGTCAAACAGCTTCTTGAGGTAAGTCGACGCTCATGTCCTTCTATACTCTAGTGAAACTCGTCATCTGAATGTTTGATTTTCCGCCTCACAGTCTGACCAGGCGTACGAATGTTTCTGTTCACCTGAAGATCTCGCGGCGATACGAGCGGCAGGGAAGAATCGTGGTGCTCAAATGAACTATGACGGGCGATGTCGACGTCTGACGGATGAAGACCGAGTCAGGAGGAAGAAAGCAGGACATAGCTATACTGTCCGGTTCAAGGTGGGCGGGCCACTCAAAGCCTTTTAACAAGCATGGGATTGGATTGGATGTTCTGACGCGATTCGATTCCCTTCACCTAGGATCCCGGCAAGCTACCTGATATGCCTGTCGATCTGATCTTTGGACATATCAAAGCGCATACGGATACAGGAACGCCGGAGACGTATATCCCAGACGATTTCATCCTTCTCAAGTCGGATGGGTACCCCACGTACCATATGGCCAGTGTGGTAGATGATCATGCCATGGAGATCTCTCACGTCATTCGCGGAGAGGTGAGCTGACTCGACTGAAGACTTTGACACTTGTCTCTGATATCATGCGCTCCAAGGACTGGATACCGTCTCTGCCCAAACACATGTCTTTGTATCGAGCTCTTGGATGGGAACCGCCACAATTCGCTCATTTATCCTTGCTCGTGAACCCGGATGGCAGTAAAATGAGCAAGCGACAAGACCATGTCTCAGCAGAATGGTACAGAGTGAGTGGAACGCACGAGTCCTTTGGCTGGCTGCACGTTTCCTTCTGACACCATCAATCACTTTGACAGGAACAAGGCTTCGAACCTGAAGCTCTCAACAATTACCTCGCAGTCCTAGGCTGGGACTATACGCGAACTCTGGAAGAGCAACTTGACGAAGCTCTGCCACCGAACGAAAGGAAAGACCTCAATTCCTTGCATGAAGTTTTCACCCTCCCTCAATTGATCAACGCATTCGACCTGACTCATCTGACGAGACGTAAAGCGAGTATAAACATGGACAAGTTGGATTTCCTCAACAAGATGCACCTTCGCCTACGGGCAGGTCTGATAGGTCAAGATGGACATTTAGTAAATTACGGGAAAGGGGACTCAGGAGTGGACCCAGACATCCTTGAAAAGAGGAGGGGAGACATGGTGCAACAGTTTCAGAGAGATCTCAAGGCAAATCCAGACATTGCGGATCAGTGAGTCCTCTGCTTTGTTGTCTTCAGATTGGGAACTCTGTGTCGATCCTGCATTCCCTCTAGCCCCGATGTCAATGACAGAGGTCGAGTCGCTGAGATTTTTGAATTTGAAATGGTGCGTCTTCGTTGGCTTCGCGAGTCAGTCGAGAATTGCCATATATCTGATGACTCGTCATTCAGCCTAGAGTCCGCCGATTCAGAGAGCTTTCTCAAAACGTCTCGTTCTGGTTCAAAGACCCTTCATACACCACCGAAGACGCCGAGAAGGTGCTCAAGGCAGTCGGAAAAGATCAATACAGTGAGTCAGTCTCACATGGTGCACCTTCATCGCCACCGCTCGGATCTGTCTCGCTAAGAAGAAACTCCCAGTCCTCTTCTTGGAATTCATCATTCCACGTCTTGAGCGCATTGCGGATGATTCCCACCATTTCAACAAGGACGACGGGTGGATCCTCGCCAATCGGGCGCATAATCAATTAGGCCTAAAGCGTCGTGGCGGTGTGCTGAAAGCCATGCGACATGCTCTCACAGGACAAGACGTAAGTATTACCTGCATCGACAAGCGACAAGGTTGCAGCTGACTCACGACGCCATGTAGCAAGGACCGAGCGTCCCTGACATTATGATGGTTCTGGGACCGGAAACGACTCTTCGGCGAATGAAAGCTGGACTAGATTACGTCAAGGCCAGGAGCGCCTGATTGATCGAAGCATTGAAACGATTAGACGAGGATGCATGATAGAAGGTCATTACCTTCTTGCTCGACGTTTCGCACCGCCGCCTCCACCGCCGGTCGGAGCAGCAGCCGTCTTCTTGCGTTCCTTGTCTCTGGCTTTCTGACGTGCATTTGCGACCCTCACTTGAGCCCTTGCTTTCTGCTCGTTTCGGCGTTTTTGATTGGTCGATAGTCCTCGACCTTTGGCTTGTTCACTCTGGACAAATGCAGTGTTGTCGAGGTATTCGCGGACAGCCAACGACACGGACTCATCGAGGGATAGAGAGGAGACTCGTATTGGAGAACTCCCTCGATCGCCCGAGTCATTGGCCGATTTGAGATTGCCATCCGTCCGGATGTCAAAGGACGGGGATCCGTAACGCGATTCGGGAACGTTTTGATCCAAATCTCCCAAAGGTGCAGCTGTAGTAGTAGCAGCATCCGAATCGTCGAATGTCGATGTCTCGCTTATCGGTATAGTGTCCCTCAGGAGTTTACCCGTCGGTACCAGGCTATCCATTGTCCATCGTCCAAATTTCCCATCCCTGAACGCTTGAACGACGAAGCCAAGTGCAGCATCATGATCTTTCTCCCCTCCCTTTTTCCAAGCTCCAATATGTTGGCACACAGCATCGAGAAAGGTCGTGAGATTGTCACTTGGTGTAGAGAGGAGTCGATCAATCTTCAGTGCTTGGAGATACGATGGACCTGCAGAGAAAAAACAACAGTGTCAGATATGGTCTGATCTCATGATATGAGAGGATCATTTGTACTGACTTCTTTCCGAAATTGGACGATCTTCGTCCTGGATCATTCTCCGATTTAGCCTCCATAACAGATAGTCGACCGCCACTTCGGTTTCGAGCAGATCATCCTTGATACCGGCTGCGGCTCTTCATCAGTACAGATTCAGATTTTGATTTAGAGAGCTCAGCGTTCTCGCCAGTCTCCGTACTTACCGGTCAAAGCAAATTTGAATCCTCTCTCCGCTCCGTCATCTCCATGACCCAAAAACGGAACCATGACTCCAGGCGTATCATACACGTAAATCGGTGGCTCTTCATATATCTTGACTGTACCCGTGAGTTTACGTGTCACTCCCGCAACGTTTCCTGTCCTGAATGCTTTCCCTGTACGTGCAGAGATTCGTTTAGCCCTCGAGACGATCCGAATGGAATATTTCGCTCAACGTACCTCGATTGATACCGACTCTCCGTAGGGCATTCAAGAGGGAAGATTTGCCCACGTTAGGCATCCCAACAACAAGAATATTGAATTGAGTTGTATACTCCTGCTCGAGCTTGGCGAGACCTTTTTGTAGATTTCGTTAGCTCCTGAGACTCGGTCCTCTCGTGTCTAACAACTCACGGACGGCATGTTTCAGGATCGCTCTGACATCCGCGTCGACCCTCGTATCTGTGAAAAAGACTTTCTGTCCCAGCGCCTGAGTCAAGGCACTTTTTAAAGGCTGAAAAATCCATCGTATCAGCATCCAGTGTCACCACCATCTCGAATCGCCGTCCCCGCTAACGTACCTGCTCGTATTGCTCTTCTGCGAGATCCCTCTTGGTATAGACAATGACCTTTTCCCTCTCTTTGCCTTTCACACTGATAGGTCCAGGAACGACGTGACTTGAGGATCCAGCGACTCCTGATCCTGCTCCTGCTCCTGATCCTGCTCCTGATCCTGCTATTCCTCTGACGCCTTTCAAAGTACTATAGCTTGTTCCCCAAACTTTGTCCAAGAGCGTATCGAAGGCCGGGTTTATACTTGTCAAGGGGAGCCTTGAGTCCCTGGCTTCAATGACGAAGTTTATATCTCTCAAGAGCGAGCCCATCTCCTTCATGGACTTTGCCATGTGTCCGAGGTACCATGATGGTGTCTGTAGAGGATAATGGAAGGCTTGACGGATGGGGAACGACATGATGCGGAAGACAGTGGAGATTATTAGTTGGACCAGCGACCGGCTTGGCGCCAGCGGAGATCCTACAGACTTTCAAGGGCAGAGCTTCCACAGAGTCTTTGGTTGGAATTCCAGCTTCTCCTGTCTATCAACAGCTCCGCCTGCAGTCGTAGACCTATCTTGAGACTGAACACCAGCTACATACAGTATGAGAGCATTTCAGAAACCCGACCATTCGGTCCACGGATTTTTCGAAGCACGTGGCAAACGGAAAACTCAGCGAACGTCAGAAAGTCAGCCCAAGTCATTTGATGCACATCATCTTCCATCTCGAATAAAGGGAGCTCTGCGAGGTCCACGAAGAGCTTTCGACACTCGTCAAGATGTTCAAGAAGTAAGTCTCACGCCGAATATGCAGCTGTCGGGGCTTACCGGGCACTGTATAGATTCAGTCCAAAGGAAGATGTATCCAGTTCAACGTCTCTCAAATCATCCGTGCAACGACATATTCGGAACGACCTCCTAGCTCAGTTCCCATTACTCGCATCTCCCGCTCATAAAGACGGAGCCTCAGGATCAATTGAACCTCAAGCAGCAGCAGCAGCAGCAGAGCCTGCCCCTACTGTTGCTGAGGAGGTCAGCGCAGAGGCGAAAGATGTTGCAGACGAGCGAGATGGAGAAGAGGACGATGGTGTTGGCCCAACAGGTAGTAAATTAAAGGGAAAAGGTGGGGGTAAAGGTGGTGGGAAGAAGAGTAAAGCAGGAGGCAAGAAGAGTAAGAAGGACAGGGAGGAAGAAAAGGATGAAGGGGATCATGCGGCTGGCGGTGGAGGTGGAGGTGGGATGGATGAAGTGCTAGTCATGGATGAGATTTGGCCAAAGAAGGAGAGTTTAGGCTTGACAAAGTGGTGAGTTGCACTGAATTACGGCGTCCCATCAGAAGAGTATGAGAGTGAGACGAGGGACAGGGACTGATGCGATGCTTCCCGACTATTGAGAATGGGCTGACCAAAAACGCGTCTTTGCCAGCCACGATAGGATATCGATCTACACTATCAATGCCAGACCATTATTCTTCAATCATTTTGACGGACCGTTCATCCCGACTTTAAAACTTTTACACCAGTGTGAGTGGCCCTTGCTCTTGATCACACAAAACTTGTAGAACCGCTGAGACAATATAGATCCCGGTCTTTTACCACACGTCCAAATTGACCGAGGAGCCATCAAATTCTTATTAGCGGTGAGTTGGTGAAACAGGCCACTCGAACGCTGAGACTGATCATCCCCGACTGTAGGGCGCCAATATGATGGCGCCTGGTTTCTTATCCCCAGGTGGAAGATTACCTGATGGGTTAGAGAAGGACGCTCTTGTCGCTATCCATGCAGAGGGGAAAGAGCATGCATGCGGCATAGGCAAGATGATGGCTAGTTCGGAGGAGGTGAGGAAGACTGGTAAGGGCGTGGCAGTAGAAGTTGTCTGCTGGGTCGGGTGAGTTTCAATCTATATCTCGCAGAGCAGAGCCTTGGCTGTAGCACTGACATCCTGTGTGCTAGGGACGATCTGTGGAAGGTCGAGTCCATTGGCTTGTAACGCGCATCTCAGAATCAATTACCAATCCGCCTCTCGTCCCAGTCATGCAGCATTTTGACGTATTGACCGATCGCCTCAGACAACTTTGACCGATTATGAATTAATGCATCAAGCAAGGCTACAACTACGTAGAGGATCCTACCTACGTTTTTAGATTGGACAAGATGAGGTCGGAGGAGGGATGGATAGAAGAATCTTGTCCGGTATTTACTCGCAAAAGATCTCGAAGGACCGGCGATCGAGAAATCCTGTATCGCAAGTGAAGATGTCGACGGGAGGAAAGGATGTTTGTTTGCCAGGTTTGCTTCGGGGCGTAGACGGGGAGAACGGGTGTCGATACAATCGAGGGGTCGACAGGTCGAGCGAGGGTGTGAAAAGTGTGCCATTTGGTTGAGCAAGGCGCGACAAAAGCTCCATAAAGTCTCCAAGAGGTGGTAATTTTTTGTTTTTACACCAGAGTCGTCGAGTTGAAATACTTGACGTAGGAGACTTGCCAGAAGGAATCTTGGAACGCGCTGCCTTGAGCTCTGACATAGTCCACACAGTTACTGTAACCTGTTAAAGCTGCACACGATTGATCTTGACCGGCATAACCAGCATTTTGCCAGACCCAATCGGATCCAGCCCAATCTCCACAGAGAGTGGTATCGAAGATGTTGTAGTGATCATAAAAGTACTGGTATGGGCTGCAAGAGTCGGAGGAGAAGCTGGCCATGGGAGTTCCCCAAGTGCTCGGGAGAGGAGCATCGTTAAGGATATCATTGGGGATCTGCGATCGAGGGAAGAACCAGACGTTGATTCCGTCCAAGGCCCATGACACTGAAGGGAAGAAATCGTTTAGCAAGGCAAGGCGACCGCTACAGAGATCATGGCTTTGTCAACTCACTGGCATAAACTCCGCCACCGATCGTGTTGAATTGCTGACCGTATGTGTTGGGATCGACTTGATCCCTAACTCCACATCCTTGATTGGCGGTATCCGCGCTCGAGCAATCGTAGGAATCATAGTCTCCAGTGGTGTATGTGCCCTTTTGGAAGTTGTTCGAATCGGTGGGCATGTAACATCCTGGAGCGGTGTGCAGGGACACTTGGTTCTGAGTGAATCCATTGACACCTTCAATGATATCGATTTCACCACCCGTGGGCCAATTGGGACCGTTCTGCCACCATGCTGGCCATGTCCCACAGCCATAAGGCATGTGACGAGCATCCATCAAGACGAGACCCCCTGTCCAGCTGGAGGTAAAAGAGAGAAAGAGGCGTGTCAGCACAAGTTGTTGGAGAAGGATGAGAGATCTCTTGACCTACACCAAGTTTCCGTGAATGCGGACCGACTGTCTAGATCTGTTCAAGTTGTTGGTCGTCTCAAGTCTCATGATGGCATCGCCTTGATCGTTGATGGAGATCAGTCCATTGTTCCAAGCCGTACCGACATCGACGTAGTCGACATCACCATGAGTCGGATCGGCCCACGACCAAAAGTTCCAATTATCAAAGAAATTGGATCCAGACCAAGTATCAACCAGAGTCCATGGACTAGACCCGGCAGATGCTGATGGACTGGGTGAAGCGCTGGCTGAAGCTCCATTATTGTTATTGGTAGCAGAGGGTGAAGGGCTTTCCGAAGCAGCTGACGTTGGCCAAATCGAGGCAGAGGCGGACGCTGACGCTGACGCCGATGAAGATTCTGAAGCGGAAGCGATCGGCGTCGAAGTGCCATTGCAGACGTTTGACCTTCGTCTAACGAGTCGTTTTCCATTCTTGTTAGCTGCCATCATGGGTCCTCGACGGTTCAGTCCATCGGTCCCAAGATGAGAGGAGGAGGAGGAGGAGGAGGAGGAGGAAGAGCTTGACCCTCGCTTGAATCGATCAAGACCCGAGTGAGAGCCACGTTTGGATCCTCCACCGTAGGGCAGGTGAGCTGCCGTCGTAGACGGGAGCGAGACCGCCAGGGCCAACAAAGGGAGGAAAAGCTGATTGAAGAGCATCTTCGATACGAGGTAAGGAAGGGCTAGTAGGTAGGGTGGTAGTAGTAGTCTTCTCGGTGAAGAGGGTTGGTGTCTATAGTGTAAATTGCCGTAGAGGCTGTGTTATCGACCGGCGAAAATTGGTCTGATGTGAGATGAAGAAGGGTAATAGGAGGGTAGGACGCTCAGCGTCAGGACTGTGGATTGTAGGAGAGGGTGATGAGATCGGAATAGCAATGACAGGCAGTCGGTCCAAGGGACGATTCGATGGTAGGATGAGTGATGTATAGGGATCATGGAGTAGAAAAAGAGGTGAATGGCTCGTCAGCGATCGTCCTTTTCTTTATTCACACGAGAAGACAGATATAGGAGTGTCATCGATCTCGCACGCCTCGCTCAACATGCGCAGAGCAGAGAACATCGAGGGTCGGTCGTCGTCAAAGGCCAGCGGGAGCAGAGGGCCGAGCAAATCACCCCGGTCCCAAAGTCAAAATCAGGCGCGACATTGGGACCCAAAAAAGGGCGGGTCCGCCTTTTGACTTTCGACTACGGCTTGCCATGCCATCGTGCAGCCCAGACTTATTGCTTGGACCTACTCACCACAGTATCAATCTCTGTTTGTCAATCAAGACAAAGTCCAAAACCAGAGAGAGAGAGAAGGACTGAAGAATGTCAAATAAGAATGTCGAGGGGGTCGGAGGGATGACGAAGGGAGAGAAGTGAAAGTAAAATGATTCAGACGACCAAGGAGGAAGGAAAGAGGAGGAACAGCAGAGCCGAGAGAGAAAGACAGAGACTGACTGGGCTATGCTTCCCCTTTGCGCCTTCAGTGATTGAGAAGAGGCCCGCTCCCGGATAAAGGGACAATGTGAGAAAGAGGAATACTGTAGCTCTAATGGATGGGATGCAATCCATACATGCCAAGGGGGAACCCATCTCAGATGCACGCCGCCCATTCGCCGTTCACCCCCCCCTCTCTCTCATATGGCTGGGCCTTTTGTATCGCCTCCTCTCTGCTCCTGCCCCTGATGCTACTGTCGGGCGTATCCGTGAATGTCCCCCTTGGCTTCGCAGTCATCGTCACCGATCGCCCCATGCCCCCGCCCGCCTCCGCCGCCCTCTTTCAGCTTTGGCAACGAGACGAGAATACCTTGAAGATTACAAAAATGGCTTGTCGTTTTCCCATCTTCTCCTTCTTTTTCATTCAAACGGCGAGAGTTTTTTTTAAAGTTGACTGGCTGTCCAGCCCTTCTGGCGCCTCATCTCCGGCTCATCTGTCTCTCTGGGTATGCTATCTTACGTTGTCAATCAGTACGTCAGGAGAGTAAGAAGAAACGCACTTCGCGTCGAATGGACGAGTCGAACAAGGGGCGAGAGAGGAAGAGGAAGAAGAAGAAGACCGCCAAAACGCCAAAACTCAGAGCCACCAGTGAAAATGGCGTTTGACCCTAGGCCGAGGTATATCATCTTGGTCTTCTCATGTCCAGTTGGGAGACATCCGACGTTTGCAGCGCGCTAAGAAGAGTAGAAACATGATGCGGGGAAGAGAGTGTCCACACGGGGACCTATGAGTATGCATGCTTGCAAGATTGCAATGTATAATCTAAACAGAGCTAGGTCGATCTGCATTGTGTGTAAGGATGCCTCCCGAGCATGACTGCGAGGAGCCCGCTGTTCGTGATGAGTTGGAGGCTTCTCGAGAGATCTACATTCACCACTGTCTCACTCTCAAGCCTCCACGAACAGCGACGACCAGCCATCTCTTTGCAGATTTCCTGTCAATTTAAAATCCCGACCCAATGCGCCATTCGTCATTTACATCAGGGCATGCATGCATGGCTGCATGCCTTGCACAGCCGAAAGAGCTATCAGATAGGACAGTGCGATCGCTACATGGCTCAGTGACCATTGGACCTGCTCTTTGAGTTTGTTCTGCGCGGATGACATGGAAGGGACAATGTTCTGAAACAATCAAGTCGCGTCAAAGAAATCATCATCCCCATGAAACAGCGCCACAGTGTTTCAACATGCTCGCTCACGTCAAAGCAGGCAACTTTGTCACATTCCCCCGACTCTATTCATGGCAACTGTCCAGTGGGGCCAGGTATCCCATGCATTATAGTGGGAGTGACGAGCTATCTATAGAGACAAGAAGTTGTTCGTTTTGCTGTTGTTAATCGAATGGATCAGGCGGAGATGGCTCACCAGCTTTGATCCAGTCTAATGACGTTTTTCGTCTCTTTGTAAATATTCTAGTAATTCCGCTTGGTCTTTCTCGACATGGCTCAAGCGGGTTGACTCCACATCAAGCTGGCTCGTAGCTGTGCTTTGGCGTATCTGACGTGAAGGAGGACATAAAGGTGCACTGGGATCGTTTGACAATAGTGGTGACGTCGGAGAGGCTGGAGAAGTAGGTGAGGGTTGGGTGTCGAGATGAAGGGTTGAATCGGAAGCTTGAGAGATGACAACATACGGCGGGGAATCGCTAAAAGGTGATTTTGCCATGGGAGGAGGAGGAACTGATGGAGCACGAGATCTGTGCTTTGGACGTTGCTGGGCTGTCAAAGCCTCTGATGATGACGTCCCGGCCATCCTTTGAGGCCTCTTGGGAGTGGGTGAATGGGAAGGAGGAGTAGAGCTGTTTAATCTCTCTTGACGTCTCTTCTCGAAGCAGAAATGATCTTCTTCATCGAAATGACGGATCCGTCTCAATCTCCTCTTCCACCAGAAACTGAGGATGCCGATGAAAATCACAACTGCCAAGATGACTCCTCCAGCGATGAGATAGCGAGGAAGAGTGGACGCTACAGATTCGAGGGAAGCTGTGAGACTGGTCGGGGTGGGTATATCAGGAGATGGAGAGAGAAGGGTCGAGCTGAGGTCAATACCAGATGAGGTGCTGCTCAAATCTGAGCTGGAAGAGCGGTGAATAGGGAGGTGACTAGAGGTCGGGAGAGGTTTCAGTGTCGTTATGGCATGGAGGAGGCTGGTGGTGATGGAAGCGGTCGAGGGAGAAGACAATCGTACTGAGGAAACGGGATCACTCGTGAGGCTCGTCGCGGACGAGAAGACAACGGAAGAAGAAGAAGAAGAAGCCATAATTATGTGCCGAGAATGAGAGCGAGATTGACAATCTGCCTTCCCACTCAATGGGTCGGTCGGAGTGAAGATTGAGAGATGGGGCGTTAGATCGAGCTCTGGAGGACAACGAATGGATGCCTTTTTTCCAATAATTGGTGAATGCCTTTCAATGTCGACCGTGGTCCCTTTCTTCACTAGCGTTTGAGCTGACGATCAAGAATAGACACCAATTTTTTTTCTTCCTCACTCGATCAAGTCACCCGCTGGTCCAAAAGTTTCATCTATGGCGCACACTTCATGTCTGAGCGATACTGAGACAGAGGGTCATAAGGCCATTGGACAACCAGATGAATGAGAGCAGGGCTCAGCTAAATGCAGTGCATATCATACACATGTCGCGGACGAGTGCGAGACCCATCCTGCCGAGGACCAAAGAGCCATCGTCCATCAACTAGCCTAACCGCGTGATGCGCACCAACCCTACACGCTACATGGTCTACTTCTTCTTGCCCGCCCCCGCCCCAACTTTACTCTTCGCCTTGCCTTTGGCAGCGACCGCCTTGATCAATTTGTCTTTCGAGACATCATTGACCTCTTCATCTGGATCTTCTCCCTTGACCGATTCTTCATCGTCAGGTGGCGCTTCGTCCTCCTGCGGGGTTGTTACTCAGCTGCCAATCACACTGGACAGCGAACGGCAATGTCTCACCTCAAAGACATCTTCATTATCAGGCGCTGGACCCACATCTGCAATCTTCTTCTTTGCACTCGCAAACATGTCACCCTTGTGAAACGCAATAGGGTGATCGGACTTGTTGTATCTGAGGCAGACCATCAGCGGGTATCAATAATGCGGAGCCGAGAGATGCTCACTGTTTAGTGAATGCACTCTTTGTCGCCGAGGGGATCTTTTTGGTGATCAGGTCGTCCTTCATCGTGTCGACTCCAAGTTCGACAAACGCATCCCAGTCCTCTTTGCCGAGGTAGTACTCATCCATCACAGATATGACATCCTCGATAGCATCCTGGGACTATCAGCTCTGCCGCTTCACTTGCAATGCTGCCCTACACTCACCGTTCCGTCGTCGATCAGAGGCATGACCAACTTGGTAGCCAGCAATGGCATGTACGTCTCCCGGATCTCCTGTCTGCTCCCAGACACGCGCAAACGCATCCGAATCTGGATATCTGTAAGCAGACGCTGCAGCTTGGTCTGCTTCGAATTCTGCCCAAGCCACCTGATCGAGCCCATCAGAATGAATCATGGCAATTCGCATCACACGTACTGAGGGAATGATGGACCCCAGAAGCCAGACCCTGGTCCTCCTTGAGATCTCATGGGACCGTAGGTGAAATAGGCAGGTTTGACGGTCGACGTGACGGCGTGTAGCGGTAACAGCGACCAGTGCTGTTCGGAGCTGATGGGTGAAACTTTGTTCAGCGCACGTCGCAGAGCTCCCGAGCCCTGCTTACCCTCGGATCATGCGATCCACGAGGTCGCCATCCGATATGGAATCTGCGGCTTTGCTGACGAGTTCAAGATGTTTCAGATCTTTCTCCTGACCAGCGTAACTACCAAGTCCAGCTGGGGCAGTCTTGAGGTAGTGCTCCTACGATTGCCTTTTCAGCGTGCGCTGAGACTTAGGTGACCCATACTGACCTCCATGAACAGAGGGACCATGCCAAAGTCATGGAAATACAACTCCATCTTGTCGTTGAGAGTCTCCTTGTTCGTCTTGGAAAATGCGTATGGTCCAGTCAGCCTCTCGATGATCGTGAAAGGGGTGAGGAGCATATTCTTCTCGTTCATCTTCAACCTGTGAATGCACAAGTCAGTCTCGCGATGCGGCCGTGTTGCAGCACACTTACAACTGTTTGCCCTCATCGAAATCCATATCTGTCTTGCCCAGCTTGAACGTCGAAAGCATGTTCAAGACCTGTCGGATGTCCGAATTGGCACCCTTAACCAGCTCATCCAGGACGTTGGCAGGGATCTTCATCTTCTCCCTAGAACGCGTCAGCAGAGCATCGGGGCAATGTAGACATCTCCCTCACTTGAAGATGATTGACATCAATCGTGATCGTATCTCGGCAGGGCCCGGGCTGGTTCCTGAGTCAGAGAGAAGAGGCACGCTCGACACGCATTCGACGTACCGCTTGAATGTCATGTTGAACGTGGTACTTTGCAATGGCTTCATCTTCTGCAAAGTTCTATCGTTACAGATTAAGATCATCGGAATCTGTTCAATATCAGCCCAACTTCTAATGTGAGGAGCTGGCCACTCACTCGCGTCTTCTTGATCAGAGCGTTCAGAGCGCCGACACCACCTCGGTCACCAGCCGACATGCCGTCCACTTCGTCCATGATAAGACAAGTTCTAGAATCAACGCGGAGATCGCCAATGGCTGTGGTACTCTGCTCACTCGTCAGCAAGTCGAAAAAAGCATAGCTTTCATCCTCACCTGGACACCTTTCCCGGCGAAGAATCCATCGAGAGAAGTATTGTCGATATTTGTGCCGTTCTGACAGATTTTAGCTGATCCATAAAAAATCATATGGCCCACCTCGACCAGCTTCTTGCTCCTCGCATCACTTGCATTCAGCTCTATCGGATTGTACCCCGCCATCTTAGCCATCAAATGAGCGGACGTGGTCTTGCCGATTCCAGGAGGACCGGAGATGAGAACGGCTCGGTAAATGCCCATACCGTCCTTGCCAGGTTTTTTGAAGCCAGACTTATAGTTCTTTTGCCTTTTTCAATTTCAGAGAGATCTCGTCACTCTGACTCACCAGTCGTTCAGCCAGACGCCGAGTCTCTCCACTGGCGCTTTATTACCGCAGATCTCCTTGATGTTTTGCGGAGCATACTTTGTTGTCCATAGCTGAGACGAGAGGGGAGGTATCTTCCTGACCGTTCTCGTCAGGTTACAATGCTTGTAAGCTCCGCTCAACTCACTTGGACGCAATGCCGGTCCCACTCAAAGCCTTTTCTTTCCTTTTTCTCGCTGATTCCTCCGCCTTTTCCCTCGCTTCAAGCTCTGCAGCCTGCTTCATTATCTCTTGCTCCGCCTTTGCTCTAGCCTTGAGTGTCTTGTCGTCGACCTCCCCAGCGCCTCTATTCCGAATGAGATCTAGGAACTGGTCCTCATTCAACGTCTTGATGTTGTTCTTCTTGATAGTCTCGAGCTTCTTTGGTCCAGCGTTTTCTCCCAGGACAACGTACGAAGTCTTTGAGGAAGGTGCACCAGTAACCTTTCTGTAGGAGCCCTATGAGCCTCGTTTTTCCCCAGGTCACAAAGACTCACCCTCCGTAACGCTTGACGAGTTCCGAAGCTTCATCCCGGCCCAGACTGTCAAGCTCCCCGGTGAAAACAAACGTAAGACCAGCAAGACAATCCGGCTCGCCCTCAGGAATCTCTTTGCTGCCGGCAAATTTGGGACCAGCAGCTCTGGCCGCTGCCACGGCGTGATAGCTGAGACGAGATGAGCGGCGCCCACTGTACAACCGAGGATAAAACTTCACTTGAACTTTGGCTTCTCAAACTTCACGTTCTCTGTCTTCTCTGTCTCTTCATTCTTTAGATCCTTCTTCGTAGCCAGCTTCTTGGCGGGAGACTTCTTGGGAGGAGGTGTCTTTTTGGGAGCAGCCTTGCCTTTACTCTTCTTTGGCGGCTCGTCCTTTGAGTCATCATCTTCGTAATCGTCGGATTCCTCGCTCGACTCCTCATCGACATCCATCGCCTGACGATTCAGTCAGCCTTGATCTCAAGGTTTGAGGCAATGAACCCACATCACTATCCTCCTTTTTCCTAGCCTTGCTCTTGCCCTTTGGAGTGATCTTCGCGGATCCCCGACCGGTAGTTGCAGCCTTGGCGCTGGGTTTCACTTCCACCTTCTCCTCCTCTTCCGATGACGACTCTGCATACTTAGGCTTTTTCACGGGTCTCCCCGTTGAGCTCGTCTTATTCTTCGCAGCAGGCTTGACATCCTCGTCCTCAGACGGATCGGACTGCACGACCCGTTTCTTTGCGCCGCCGGACACCTTTCCAGACGTTGGTCTATTCGTCTTTGGTGTTGGAGGCGGGGATGGCGTATCGTCAAGGAGGAAAACATCTCGCTTCGGCTTTGGACGCGAGGACGAAGAGGAGGAAGCAAAGTGTTTAGAGGTTGTGGGCTTGGACGCGCTTGACCTGCAGAGAATGCTGTCAGTCGAACATGACATAAAGCACGACTGGAGCTAACTTTGGTCTGTATGTCGTCAGTAAAATGGAACCGCACAGCGGTGTTGATCGACCCACGGCGCTGAATCAGGCTTGACATCTTCTTCCTCGCTATCATCTTCCCAAAGATACATTAGCATGGATTCAAATTAGCGATCCCCGCCCGTCTCACCTATGGCTATCGGTTGTCCACCCGTGCCAGCTTTACCACCGCTCGGTCGAGATGGCCCTCCCTGAAAGATTGTCAGAGGCTTCGTTTTTAAGTATGACTGCTCTATATGTACTCCATTGCTGCCCTGCGAGAACTACCAGAGCTATCAGTCCATAGCCCCATTGGGTCCATATCGGAAGATCAGCTCACAAAATTCCTGATATCTCTTCCAACTGCCGGAGCTTCTTTCTTGACCACTTTCTTGGCCTTTTTTGGGCTCTCGCTAGCCTTTTGAGTGCTAGGGCTGGCGGAAGGCGCCATATTGGGCAGCTCTGTGCAGCCGAGTTTGATCCTTGTCCAGAGATCAGAGATCAGTCTACCCAGCTAGATGACGCGCTGAATTGTCGAGCAGTGGAAACATGACATCGGCGATCGCCGAAACGCGAATGCCAGATCGAACTGACCGAAATGCTTACCATACAAGAGGTTTCCAAGATTCTGGCTTGCGAATTGGACTTGCTGCACGGTTGATCTGGACGTACGAGGATGGCGTCTACGTCTAGGCAGTCGACCAGGAGACTCAAGGTCAATGGATCCAGTATCGAGGACAGATTTGAGGAAGACGGCGGCGACGAGGCGAGCGCTTCTCACCTCGTCTCCTTCCTTACTGGCTATGATACTTCTCGAACGGGTCGAGATGTAGACGAAGATGAGGACGAAAGTGAGGATGACAGGAAGGATGGAGAGAAGAGTGAGGATGAAGAGGACGACTATGAAGATCCAGATGAGGATGGCGAGATTGATCTGACACCGTCTAAGAGGAATCGTACGGGTCTGGTGGGATTACCCAGCTCAGGACGATCCACACCTAGATCTAACCGAAGTACGCCCGTGAAGCGGAAACAGGTGAAGCCAAAGAAACCAAAGACTCCAATGACTGGTGGTATGGGAGGTGATGGGGTTGCGTCGGATGAATACGGCTACATCAAGACTTCTCGAGCGGATGCCTATTTTTTATCGCATTCCAAGTCGTCAAGGACATCCGGAAATTCTTATTCATCGCTTGTCAGGCCACTCTCGCAAGCGACATACGAATCACACGCTTCATCGGCTCGATCTAAGGGCAAATCGAAGGCCTCTATCGAGAGCCTCTTGGCGTTCCACGCGCTTAAATTCGATCAATGGGAGTTGGAATTGGAAGAAGGATTCAATCTCCTACTTTACGGCTATGGAAGTAAAAGGAGACTGATCAACCGTTTCGTCAAAGATCGACTGGCCTACAGGGGTCACTGTGTAGTTGTGAATGGACATTTCCCACAGCTCGGCATTCGAGACATTCTGAATCAGATAGACGACACACTAGGTGTGTCACAGAATATCCCCGTTCCACCTCTGGCGACGTCTCCTCTGGATCGATCCGCCCATAGGATATACAGCTACTTTCTTCCTCCGGAAGCCCTATCCTCCACCCATGGTTCTCAATACCCAACGGCCGACGCTCCACTCTACCTTGTCATCCATAATATCGACTCTCCGACTCTACGAACACCTCGTTCTCTCGCCATTCTCTCGCTCTTAGCTTGCTGTCCGCGTATACATCTCCTCGCTTCATTCGACCACATCCATACTCCTCTTCTCTTCTCCACGACAATGAATGATACTCCCCCTCATCATTATGAAACGGGCTCATTCACAGGTACCCCATCCCCAGAACGAGGCTTCAATTGGCTGTATCATAATTCAACGACCTATGACGACTATGACCTCGAGTTGACGTATCAGCGCCTGACGTCTAAAGCTGCCCTTGGAGGCATCTCTTCATCCTCAGTGACGGGTATATCCGAGGAAGGAGCCCTTCAGATCCTCCGATCTGTTCCCCCGATGGCATTGCGTCTCCTCAAACTGCTCTTGTCCAAACAACTTGCATCTTTACCGCCAGAACCGAGATTTCACGTCGCTCATCCAGCATCTCAGACCTCGCCGTCATTCGCGATCGACAATGATATTCTCCAGCGGCTTGCCCGTGAGAAATTCATTGCTCGGGAAGAGGAGCGATACAATGCCTTGATGGGAGAGTTTAAAGACCATGGAATGGTCGTAGAGGCTCAGGCCGATGCAGAAGGTAGGACGGGGAGATGGGTCTGGGTACCACTCGGCAAGGCTGCGATTGAGAGGATACTCGAGACGATGCACGAAACCGAAGTGTAATGAGTCGAAGGGAAGGGGGCATGCATGGCGTGAGGATGTCCGACGACAAGCATTACAATCAAAGTCCTCGCTGGCCTATATACAAAAGCCCCTTGCCCCGAACCGCTCGCGGAGCATGAGTCGTTGGGCAGGCGAGGGACTCTAAAGAAAACTTTTCCCCTGCTACTGAGCGGTGAAGTAGCTAACGAGCGTTGATCAGTAATTTCATACGGTATGCGTCACTAAACCCACGAGCACGTGTTCTCGGCCCCGCGTTGAGCAACGGGGAGAATGACAGAAGCGTGATTCGAGTTGGCTGGCAGGGGGAATGTTAACGGCAAGCAAGGTTGTAGCGTCTTTGACGACTCACACATGATGGTACAGATCCTGTAGGCTCCCTGTTGAAGTCCGCCGACGACATCGATAGATGAAATGCCATTCACTAAAGCCCGTGAGTATCAGTATGACGCAGGACACATGCTGAGAAATGTGAACTTGCCATCTCCAAAGTCGAAGCCTTTGAAAAAGTCAAACTCTTGAGGATTGAGCAATTTGGGGGATGTGATGGATTCCATCTTTTGCACGACGACGTGTGCGTGACCGACAATCTTGCTGCGAAGGAGTTCAGCCTAAAGCGGCACCATGGACACGCCAGACGTCTCACCCGCTTCCGTCTAGCTGTTGGGGACCGGCATAGTAGTTCTGCTTGGCATCGGTGAATGAGCCTGAGGCAGTTCAGCTGAATCGGATATCAGGCTGGGCCAGACACACCAAGAGTCATGCCTTGGACAGCCAGTTTGATGGTGAATGTCTGACCAGCTTTGACTTGTCCGTTGTTGGCCTATTGAACGATGAGCAAAGGGAACGTCGGGGTCCGACTCACAGGTTCAGTGAACATTGTAGACACCATGTTCTGTGTCGAGGGGATCTAATGACGATCAGCAGAGCTTCACGCTTCGTAGCCGAGCTCAATTCGCGCTCTTCTTGGACTCACATCTCCGATAGGCGTGACGCTGAGCGGGAGAGCCGGTCAGGTTGCACATCGTCTCAAGTTTCCCCTACTCACGCGCAGCTGCCACCCGTCACTTGTTTGCCGTTTGTCAGCGTCTTCCCTTCGCAGAACTGACGGTATGCGTCAGACACATGTCATAGAATTTCGTGGCTCGATCTTGCCCTCAACTCACATCGATGTAATTGTTGTCTGTTGTAGCCGAAGCGGCTTGACCAGCGGTCGCATTCCCATTCGCTTGAGTCGTCAGGATAAGTTTAGGGTCGAGTGCTGAGCATCCAGTGTCATTCTTCTTCGCCAACGAGGGAATCAGTCGACTCACTCTGCCCTCCGTTGTTGACTAGTTGAGGGACCGCCGGACCAGGTTGACCATTCTCATTGGCAGCTACGGGAGCTGCAGCAGCAGCACCTGTGTCTGGTCAGCGGCTTTCAAAATCCGAAAATCAGAAAGGCTGAAGATGATACTCACCCCTGTTGTTATTGTTCTGACCATTGTTGTTCTGACCGTTGTTATTCTGGGCGTTGTTGTTGTTCTGACCATTGTCTTGGCCATTGTTCTGACTCTGACCATTGTTCTGACCATTGTTCTGACCGTTGTTGTTCTGCTGACCATTGTCGTTCTGCTGACCGTTGTTCTGCTGACCGTTGTTCTGACCATTCTGACCGTTGTTCTGACCGTTGTTCTGACCATTGTTCTGACCATTGTTTCCACCTCCGAATCGCCCACCGCCGAACTGACGGGGCCGATCACCGCGGAAGTGCCGTTTACGCTCTGATGCTTCATGTGAAGCCCATTGGAGATCCCTAGCGGGATGACGACTCCAGTCAAGAGGCATGAGACCCTGGTAGCAAGTCAGGGATAAATGAGTTTGACTGGGTAAAGGTGGAGACGACTTACTCGACGAGCGGGGCTCGCCAGGCCCATGCCGGGGCTCAGGAGGAGCACACTGGACAGTAGAAACAGCACTGAGGTCTTCATCATGTGATTTTTTGAGTCCGTGTATGGGCAGGTGTAAGTGGATTGTGGTCTGCTGGAGGCTATTGGTGTGTTAATGGTCAGGGCAATTGCCGTGCTGTACCGGACGAAGGAGGACTGGGCCGCCGGACTCTAGTCAGTCTTGACTACACGAGCATCTGGAAACGACTCACCATACCAGTCTCTTGCCAATGAAGTGCAGTCCGAAGTTGAGGACAGAAAATCGTCGCCAGGACGTTTCTGCGCCAGAAGAATCAACCTAGACCGGCTGGTGATCCTGTGGAATGGTCAAAGATGAGGATACAAGAAGTGAGAGTAATAAGGTCAAGTGGAGAAAGAGGCTGAAGAGTGGCCACAGTGTGAGCTTTATGAGGCAAAACTCGTATGATTGTGAGGGTGTAGTCCAGGGAGACGAGCGACTCGGTCGTCCCGTCTCATTCGGCTCGTCAGTCGGCGTCGCCTCACTACGTCTCCATGGATACCTTGAAAGGACTCCCCAGCAGGACATGACTTTAGATTCGCGATAGGTCCCCTGACCTACTCGTTCCTGTCGCTTGGTGATGGTGCTACTCTGACCATTCGACCATACCCTCATCGACCATGCCGATATGGAGCTGAGTGATCACCGACCGGACCCTCATCCCGCGGGAAGTGTCGAAGCGTCCGGCATATCTCCTTCGAGTGACTCGACATTATGATTTGATCAGTCAAGGGGTCAGCGCAGGACACATTGGGCCAAATGCCCTTCTTGTAGGGAGTGGGAATAGCTTCGCTGTGACATCGATGGCAGAATTGACCGCGGCAGAATGGTGTTGAGTAGCAATCCAATCTCCCGTCGGCCGTGATAACAAAGCATGCAGCTCAAGTCATGCACTGGTGAGGAGATGCTGGGATGCTTAAGCTGTATACCCGTCAGTCCGTCGTAGAACCTCACCGCTCATGCATACGAGCTTACTGCTAGGTGAAGGCGTGGGTGCAGCATACCCAGCTATTTTGATTCCGCGTTAAACCCCGAGTCCAGAGCCCAAAGGTATGATGACCCTCGTACCTCGACCCATACTCGAATCAACCTTTAGCCACCACAGACTACTTTGGCAGGCGATAGAGAGGATGCAGACATGCTCGCAAGCCTCAATTCCTCTCAATGGCCAGGGAAGAACAAAGCACGCAGGACTTGCTCCTCGATCCCCAATCACGTGCCAATGCTCGGAGCGATCACTGAGCTCACGAGAAGGCTGTCTGAGACTTTTTGAGTGAGAGACATGCACGATGGTGGCCAACAATAGCGCCAGGGATCCAAGCTAGCGGTTGAGCGTAATACTGAATGATCTGCTGATGACCTGTACACCAAACGCGTCCCTGCCAACTTACCTGTCACTGGTCACTCACAACTTTGTTCATTCGCTTGGACTATCCGACCATCCCGCACATACCTTTGAGAGCTTGGACTAGTGGGACCTAGGGCTTGATGTCCCTGGACACTGCACTTCGCGAGCTTCTGGCCTTCAAAGAACCAGAGTGCATTGATCATATAAGAGTGGGGAAAAATTAGGGGGGGAACCTTGACCCAACCCTTTCTCACAACTCCATCTCTTCTTACAAGTCAAGACTGTACAGCAACCGCTCGATTACGCGCATCCCTCCTCGCATTGGATAGTGGATCCACTCGCATCTGTTCGGTACCCAACACCTCTCTCTGGATTACCTATTAGGTTGCTCACTCCGTGTCTAGAAGGAAAGACTGGTCATCACAGTCCCAGTGCACACGACCCTTTCAGATCGCTGTGGAGCCATTTCTCACCTGTCCTCACCTGTGTACGTATTCACTCGCCAATAGCCTTCCTTTCGAACCTTTGGTTGCCAGACAAGGTTTCGTCCTCCAACTTTCTCGGAGGGGACAAGGAAGCGAAGATCGATATTGTCCTCGCTCGCCCCAATTAGACCAAAGGATTCGTAAGGATTTGAGGCTCAGCCTTCATAAGAACGATGGCAGTGAATCATCGGAATGTTTTCGCCACTGAGCACTCTTCAACCAATCCATCTCTATCTCCGCTCAGATCGGAGGGAGGAGGAGCCATTGGTGTGCTTGACGACGATCTCGCTACTGTGACCAGAATCGACAATCTAGGTCAAGAGCCTGACGACTGCACTGTCGTTGATAAAGACCCCTTTTGTGTGACAGAGGACGGAGCTAAGAGGAAACTGTGAGTAGTGGCTTGAACTGAAGAGACAACGCTGAAAGGTATCGAAACTCAGCTCCATCCCTAACATCTCTCATCGACACAGCTCAGATAAAGTCAAGGGAATCCGTAATCGCCCTTCACTCTCACCTTCTTTCACTTCGTTCCTCGTGCCGTCGAGGATTCGACTACCTCGTCGATCCTCTGCTCAACCCGGCACTACTGCGACGCTCTCATCCTTGTCGATTGAACCCGAACCCCACTCGTATCCAGGCTCACCCACCATGTCGAAGCCTCGCAACACGGCCCTCGAGGCGTTCACAAACTGGCTAGCTGTCAAGCCGCCTACTCCACCCGTCGATCGACCCTCAGCGGTCCTCGTCTCTGACGTGCCGGAGCCTATTCCTGCTATGCTTCGATACCCTCCCAAGGATCCTAATGAAATCCCGCACTCACCAGATTGTATCGACTGTGCACACAAGCGAGTCGTCAAGGGGGATACCTTTGTAACGGCATCTCCACATGGTCAAGACGAGTCGCTCAGCATCCAAATTGGACAGCATGGTCAAGGTGGACTCTTTCGAAGCACCGATGAACAGGAGCGCGTGAACAGGGTCCACTCCAATCGCTTTGGCTCTTCACCTTCGCTCGCAAGTTTGGCCAGTGCCGTCGAGTCTGGAGCAAAGACCCGACCTGAATTATCCATCTCGACCACTCTGTCCCATCGTGCTCGGCGTCCATCACAATTGGCCTCTCAAGCCAGCTCCTGCATTGACTTGACCGCACTTCCCGAGAGCGAAGAGGTTACTACTTTCAAATCCCCGGGGCCATCAAATCAGCTAATCGAGGAGGATACCAGTCTTCCCACGCTCTATTCTGCCACCGTTGACAAAGCGATCACCGAAGAGCCTCAGACTGTCTCCCCCAGTGAATTGTCAAATCAACGTGTTTGGCTCTGCTCTCCTCCACCTCGTTCTCCGCCCCTTTCCCCGCTTCAGCTTGATTCAAGCTCTACCCTGAATGTCAACCAACCCGTCCCTGTTACGATGACTCGATCGAGGTCGGAGGCCACCGTCGCCAGCATTACCGTGGAGCATATTCAACCAGCGACCTTTGCGTCCCGATGGTGTAACAAGACTGGACGAAGAAACAGACCATTCGTCACTCGATCCTTCTCGACAGGTCGACTAGCGACTGAATTCGATGATCAAGGTCGAGTCATCTGCCTCTCTGCTCATTCAGATCGGGTTCTAGCAAACAAGATCAGCGTTGAGCCCGTATGGAAGATCAAAACGCCTATCGTCAGTGAGCCCCCAACGCCTACTTCGCCCGGCGGTCAGAGTCCATTTGCTAGTGTCAGATCTCGCTTCGGGTCAAGCGCCTCTCCAAGTATGAAGGGATCAAAGATGGGCCGACCGATGCCCAAGCGGGCAAACTCTGAATCCCGCGATTCGCCCTCGGAATTTGGCGCTCTGAATTCTGGTCCCGGCAATCAACAACGAGGGGCTGGCATTGTCCAGTGATGGAGCAGGACATATCGACTGATTGATGCCATAAACCAAACGAATGTCTGTATCAAGCGAATCAGGGTATAAGGGATGTCTGGGGTCGTGTGCTTGGTACTGTAGTGGAAAGATAAGTGTCAAGGGATCATCTTGCCTGCAGGTCAGGATATCAATTACCATCATTAATCTATACGCTCAACGATGTGCCTATATCTCTTGCGGGTCGACGTGCTCAACGTTAATGTCATGAATGCTGTCTTTACGTTTCATGCGTTGACGGAACTCCTTCGAATGCATCAGCAGGTGGGCATTCTTCTACCGGGTGGCTGCGGGTGTTCAGCACCTTCCGACAAAAAGGTCCCGACTCGATGGAGACCCACAGGTCTGTCAAGCTGCCAAAATGGTGCTTGGGCGCTCCAGACCGGCGAGTGATGCATGGACAAGAGGTCTACAGTGCCCATGAATGAGCCTCAAGCTCTCGGTTGCCCAGCCAAAATGCCGTAATTGAGAGAGCGCTCAGCCAGAAAAGTCAAAAAGTTGGACGCGACGCGCTTGCGAACATTGAAAACCCTTTTGATCTTGTTCATCGACCTAGTAGCAAGACGTGTATTTAGGAGTCTGCTCCGAAGGGCGTCCAGCCTCCTGCTCCCATCGTAGGCTGTCCAAGATCCACGATGCCAAGTCGTGGAGCCAACAACTTTCGAGGTCGTGGAAGAGGCGGAGGATCGAATACTCGATTTCAGGGTAAACGATCATCGTTCAGAGGTCGCGGCGGTCGAGGACGAGGTGGATCTTCCAATGTAGCGTACGGAATCGATCGTCCCGCTCCGGTTCGGGAAGATGATGGAAGTGCGCAAGCTGAAAAGTTTGAAGAGGTCAGGACATGGGATGAGATTGACGGCAAGTTGGGTTTTGAGAGGTTTGAAAGTGGACGACATGCTGGAGAGACTCGGCGAGGTTGGTTGGTCAACATGCACCAGGTGAGTAGCCCCGTGGTTAGAAGGGACGGCAGGAACGGCCCGTATCTCTGATATGATCATGGCATGGTGGACTTACTTCTCGCTAGACCCTCATCCAATCCACTTCTCATGCTACCGGAACGGCAGCTGTTGACTTTTACTTCATCCAAGAGGACGGAGGGATGTTCAAGGCGACGGTGCCGTGCGAGCCATACTTCTACGTCACTTGCAGGGTGAGCTATGTTGGCTCTGGTCTCGAAACAGTCAGCTTATGTGATCGCTCAGGGGGGCTCAGAGACGATAGTCGAGGAATGGATGATGAAGCGGTACGAGGGTACATTGATCCGCGTCGAACGGGAAAAGAAATGGGACTTGGATCTAGTGAGAGACATCCCTGGACCTTTGTCCCCCTTACATGTCTGACGTTCTTGGTTCAGCCTAATCACCTCTTATCAGCACCTCCCGTCTTCCTCAAATTCTTCTTTCACAACACGCAGGATCTACAAATGGTCAAGAGAGAGATTTTACCTCTGGCACTCGCTAATTCGGCAAAGTTCACCGCTGTCGATGCCTATGCCGACGTGGTCGGGATGTCAGGAGCCAACCTAGCTCCTACAACACAGTATGAAGAGGACGAGAATGGTGCAGGAAGCAGTAAAGCGTGGGGTCTCGAAGAAAGTGAGGGAAAGAAGAGAGAAAGGGAGCCTGGCGAATGTATAATTGATATCAGAGAACACGATATCAATTATTATCTCCGAGTCGCCATTGATCTAGGTGAGTGACTCTTCCGAGCCAGGATGTGATGAGCTTACGAGGAACAGACATACGTGTGGGATTGTGGTATGATGTAACTTCTCAAGCTGGTGCCATCAAGTTGGAGCGGATACCCTCCATCGTCAAGCGTGCCGACCCAGTCGTCATGGCATACGACATAGAGACAACCAAGCAGCCACTCAAATTTCCAGATCAACAGACGGATCAGATCATGATGATTTCGTACATGATTGACGGACAGGGATATCTCATCACGAATAGGTAGGCTCTCCATCCACTGGCGTCAAGTGATGGACCTGCTGACATCCACGACTGTACAGGGAAATCGTTAGCGAGGACATTGATGATTTCGAGTATACGCCACGAGACGAATACCAGGGAGAGTTCACAGTGTTCAACGAGCCGGACGAGGTAAGAACGATGCTATTTGCAACTGGCTGACGTATATCAGCCTGCTCTGATTAGGAGATGGTTTGAACACATTCGAGAAACTCGACCAACCGTCATCGCGACGTACAACGGGGACAGTTTCGATTTCCCCTTCGTCGACGTTAGGGCCAAGATCCATGGTATCAGTATGTACGATGAGATCGGGTTCCGCCCGGACAATGAGCAGGAGTACAAAAGTCGATCATGTATGCACATGGACTGCTTCAGGTGAGTTTCAAGTCCCCCTCGCTGGCTCGTACTGATGCGTGTTCCTAGATGGGTCAAACGAGACTCGTACCTCCCTCAAGGAAGTCAAGGTCTCAAGGCAGTGACAACCGCGAAGCTTGGCTACGACCCCATCGAACTGGATCCCGAGCTCATGACGCCGTACGCTATCGAGCAACCGCAATCTCTCGCCCAGTACTCCGTCTCCGATGCCGTGGCAACATACTACCTGTATATGAAATACGTCCACCCATTCATCTTCTCCTTGTGCAATATCATCCCTCTTAATCCGGACGAAGTGTTGAGGAAAGGATCCGGGACACTATGCGAGACGCTGCTCATGGTCAGTGGCTCAGCCCTTTCTATCTCGGGGGAGTTCGCTGATGCGCTTCATAGGTGGAGGCATACCAGGCCCATATCATCATGCCCAATCGACATGAAGATCCGCACGGTGTCACATATGAGGGTCATTTATTGGCATCTGAGACGTACGTTGGTGGACACGTCGAGGCGCTGGAGGCCGGTGTCTTCCGGAGCGACATACCGACACACTTCAAAATTGAGCCAACGGCCATCCAGCAGGTAAGCGGCGTCTGAAGGGTCAAATGCTGACCTTTGCCAGCTGATTGACGATCTTGACGCCGCACTGGTCTTCTCCATCAAAGAAGAAGGCAAGATTGATCTCGATCAAGTCGTCGACTATGACGACGTGAAGAGCCAAATCCAATCTGCCCTAGAGCTCATGCGGGACAATCCCAACCGATTTGACAAACCTCTCATTTATCACCTCGACGTCGCGGCCATGTATCCGAATATCATGTTGTCGAATCGACTTCAACCTGATGCCGTCAAGGATGAGGCGGCGTGCGCGGTATGTGACTACAATCGACCGGATAAGAAGTGCGATCGGCGCATGGAATGGGCATGGCGTGGGGAGTACTTCCCAGCGAAACGCGACGAGGTCAACATGGTGCGATATGCGTTAGAGCAAGAAATGTTCCCTGGAAAGTGGCCGACAGATCCCAAACGGAGGTTTGTCGATCTTGGCGAAGTCGAACAGTCTGCGTTAATACATAAACGGCTGGGCGACTATTCTCGCAAGGTCTACAAGAAGACCCATGATACCAAGATTGTCAATAAGACGGCAATCATCTGTCAGCGGGAAAATTCATTCTACATCGACACTGTACGGGCCTTTCGAGATCGACGGTACGAGTACAAAGGGCTTCACAAGACTTGGAAAAGAAATCTCGACAAGGTCAACGAAGAAGGTGCGGCTGTACTGGCCGTGGACGAGGCAAAGAAGATGATTGTGCTGTATGATTCACTTCAGTTGGCACACAAGTGTATTCTCAACTCATTCTACGGCTACGTCATGCGGAAGGGTGCCAGATGGTACTCGATGGAGATGGCTGGAATCACCTGTCTTACTGGAGCCAGCATCATTCAGATGGCCCGACAATTGGTGGAGCAGATTGGTCGACCTCTCGAGCTGGACACGGATGGTATCTGGTGTATGCTGCCTGGGGTATTCCCCGAGAACTTCTCCTTCAAGCTCAAGAATGGGAAATCTTTTGGAATTTCGTACCCCTGTACGATGCTGAATCATTTGGTCCACGCTCAATTCACCAATGATCAATATCATTCGCTGGTAGACAAGGAGTCTGGCTTGTATGACATTCGAAGCGAAAACTCAATCTTCTTCGAATTGGATGGCCCGTACCGCGCCATGATTCTGCCCTCATCAAAGGAAGAGGACAAGCTCCTGAAGAAGCGTTATGCAGTGTTCAACCCTGATGGAACGCTAGCTGAGCTCAAGGGGTTCGAAGTCAAACGAAGAGGAGAATTGCAACTCATCAAGATCTTCCAATCCCAAATCTTTGACAAATTCTTGCTTGGCACAACGACAGAAGAGTGTTACGCCGAGGTGGCTGTAGTTGCCAATCAATGGCTTGACATCTTGCAGTCCAAAGCGTCCAGTCTTCATGACAATGAGCTGGTCGATCTCATTGCTGAGAATCGAAGCATGTCCAAGACTTTGGCAGAGTATGGAGGACAGAAATCAACTTCCATAAGCACGGCTCGACGCTTGGCTGAATTCCTTGGAGATCAAATGGTCAAGGACAAGGGTCTCAGTTGTCGATTTATCATCTCCGCCAAACCCAACGGAGCCCCTGTTACAGAGCGCGCTGTCCCGGTAGCCATCTTCACCGCGGAACCGGCGATCAAGAGACATTTCCTGCGCAAGTGGCTCAAGGACAACTCGCTCACAGATTTCGATTTGCGGACTATTCTCGATTGGGAGTATTATACAGAACGACTTGGCTCTGTCATTCAGAAGCTCATCACCATACCTGCCGCATTGCAGAAAGTAGCCAACCCTGTGCCTCGCATCAGACATCCAGATTGGCTATTTAAACGCGTCGCTGCCAAAGAGGACAAATTCCAACAGCACAAGCTCACGGACATGTTTGCCAAGATGCGGACCATGTCAAAGGATATCGAAGACATCGGGGAACCCTCTAGATCCGAACTCAAAGTTGCGGTGGTCAAGAGAAAACAAATTCGAGAGGCCGAGAAACCTCCTTCACCGGAAGTCGATTACTCTGGCTATATTCGCGTAATGCGATCACAGTGGCAAAAGCAGCGTGTTGAACGCGCTCGCGCGAGGAAGAATGGCCGAAGGCAGGATGCCACTGTATCGTCGATGCTTCAGTCCAGAACCCAAAGTTTGGGAGGTCGACAGTGGGACATCATTCAGATAGCTGCAACTCCCAGACCAGGAGAATTCAAACTGTGGCTTGCGATTGACGGGACGTTCCAGTCGGTCCGCCTGAGAATCCCTCGAGAGTTTTATCTCAATTTCAAGGGACTACCTGGAGCCGACACCTTTTCACCTCGATACGAAGCTACGTCTGTAGCTCGGACTTTGCCTCGAGGCCAGGCTGTCCGACAGCTCTTCCGCCTTATTGTGGATGAAGCTCTATTTGTGGAAGGCGAAAGCCATTTCTCAAGCCTCATCAATAATCCGAATGTGGACGGAGCATTCGAACTCCAGGTCCCACTGATCACTCGTGCTCTGCTCAATCTTGGCTCATCATGTACTCTTCGGTCCAACGCTCTTGGCGCCATGTCTCGTGGTCTTGACAAAGGCTTCGATCTGGCCGATCTAGAAAAGGCTGAATCGAGTGTGCTGCGACACAAATATCTTGACGAGGGCAGAGGAATCCGGTACCATTTCCTCTTCCACGCCACTATTAACTCTAGACATCTAATTGCGCTGTTCTCGCCGGATGTTCCGGTGAAAGTGTACGTCGTGGACGGAGCGAGGAACCGTCAGCAATTGCCAACTCCAGCAAGATGGTATAATGAGCGAGTGGACAGAGCGGAGGTCGGCGTCTTCCAGTATCCCTCAGATCTTGAATTCGACACCAACTACTACAACACAGAGACGGCAGCCATGCGTCAATTGACCAAAGACCTTCAGTCAGTCAAACACCGTCTTAATGTCGTCGCCCTCTGTTCGCCGTTCGATCATTCATACTACCAAGCTCGTGGACAGGTATTCTCCGAAATGCCATTCATCACGTACAGGCTCGGTAAAGAAGAAGAAGCTTCCTTGATGTGGCTAGTCCAGAGTTCGAGACGGATGGTCACGCAATATCTCAAGCTGTCAAAATGGATCTCAAATCAAATTGTCATTGCTGCTCATTATGATGTCCCTCTTGGAGTGAGCCGTGGTCCGACTCACTGAATTTCAACGCTGACATATTTACAGAACCTTGGCCCAGATCCAGGAGTATTCCTCGCCGATATTGAGTTTGCTCGTCGCCTCAAAGCTCAGGACATGGTTCTTTGGTGGTCACCTTCCCCGCGACCAGATCTTGGCGGATCTGAAGAGGACGCAAACACCCCGGAAGATCTGGTCGCCCCACACATCTCCAGCAAAGGTTGCTTCTCCTCCGTTGTCCTCGAAATGGAGATTACCGACTTGGCCATCAACGCAATTCTTCAATCTGCTCTCGTCAACGAGATGGAAGGTAGTGGAACGGGGTCACTGGCCTTTGACTCTGCCTCACACAATCTTGACGAGTATGCGAAAGGTACGGCGAACAGCGCCGTCATGCTCGGTGATGCTTCCTTGTCAACTCAGACGTTTGGTGTGCTCAAGACAATGGTCCGATCTTGGTTCTTGGACAAGGCGAGGGCGCACGTCAAAGGCGTCGTTGATTCGCCTGCCGATTTGGTAGTGGATCAATTCTGGCGATGGATCAGCTCGACTTCCTCTTGCATGTTTGAGCCTGCGCTCCACCGGTTCTTACACGGTCTGATGCGAAAGACATTCCTTCAGCTCTTGGCTGAGTTCAAGCGACTGGGCACCCATGTGGTCTATGCCGATTTCAATCGCATCTTCTTGCTCACTACCAAACCAGATGCTGGGGCTGCCTTCGCATTTGCCAAGTACCTCGTTATTGCTGCCAACTCGCAAGAGCTCTTCCGACACTTGGTCATTGATGTTACTCAATTCTGGAATTACTTGGCCTGGATGGATGTTGCGAATTTTGGAGGTGTCAAAGTATCTCCTGCCGCAGCGAGCAGCCTCGAACCACCTCGACAACGATTTGAAATAAGCATGGACTGGAACATTCAATCATTCCTGCCCGGTGCCCTTCAACCGATATTCGAGCGAAACGTCGCGTCCTTCATCTATGCCTTGTACACTGCCAAGAGGGGTTCAAGCGATGGACGCACACCACTCCGAGTCATTCATTCTCTGAATATCGATGAACCTGGTGAGAACTCGTCTATTGATCCTGCAAAGGAGAAGGAGCAGAAAGCTGGCTCGAAATCCATCTCCCAGAATTTGACTCGTCGCCTTCTGGCCGATGTTGCCAGTGCGAAGCGGAGACAAGTAGCGTCAGCGACGAATGAGGACGAAGCTCTGGCTCTAGCCTTCCCTGAGCTTCCGGGAGCCCGGGGAGACAGGACGAATCCGACTTTGGAACTCGTCAAAGCTATCTGTGAAGTCTTGTCCTTGGATACGGAACATTCCATCGATGTCCAAATCCTGCGTCGAAACTTGCTCGACTTGCTCGGCGTTCGAGAATTCTCGACCGAGGCGGCTTTCAAAAACCCTTGCGATACCATCAGTGTCCCGATGGTCATCTGTTCCAGATGTAATGCTATCAGGGATGTGGATCTATGTCGTGATCCCGATAGACTGCCAAGCGTCGACCCGGTGTCTGGGGAGACCATTCCACCATCTAGAAAGAGTTGGGTCTGTCATGTGAGTGTGGTTTAGTTAAGCATCTTCTCCCTTGGTCAGGTACTGATCTTTGCGCTTACAGAAATGCGACTCTGAATACGATCGATTCCAGATCGAACGGCCTTTGATCGACATGATCTCGAGAATGGTCACGTCGTTCCAGACTCAGGATGTGAGTCATCACCGTCTCTTTACCAGAATTTTCAAGCTCATGACTTCCCATCTTAGCTCGTTTGCCTCAAATGCAATCTATCCAAGGATGACAACCTTGCGCCAACTTGCCAATGTGGCGGATCATTCAAGCCCTCATTAAACAGAGGCGAAATGAGAAACAAGTTGAGAATGATCAAGAGTGGTGAGTGTGAGAATCGTTTGATTAAGCGACTTTCGCTAATGATCCTCCCAGTGACAGACTATCACGAGCTACACATGGCTGGTGATTACGTTGTTTCGACATTGAGGATGTGGTGAGGGTCGTAGAGGAGGGGCTTTTAACAGAAAAGGAGATTGATTTCGCGTCTGTAGCATCACTTTCAGTTCCTGTATCATGTTGTAAAAATACGGCATCCTGTTCCCGATCCACATGCATTGTCAGAGATAGACGAAATTTACAGAGCGGAACCGCGACCTCCATTTGATCACCTCCCTTCTCCAGAAAGAGACCCCCCCCCCCACCCCCCCCTGTGCCCCTGTGTATCAATCCATTAGAGTAGCCTATCACATCTCCCCTGAGCAAGTTGTTTGAATCAGGATCATGTTACTAAGATCTGCGTCTGGAACATTATTCGGATCCGGTCTGGGCGGCGGTATGAAATGATTAGGATAACATCTCAGGGAAGACACGAGCGGCGCAAGATGATCCGCAGTGATCTACATTGGTATGAGAGCCATCGCACTACTCTTGGCTGGGAACACCTCGATGCTCTCGGCAGCATTGTCAACGTATGTTTCGCAGATCAAAGATCCGTCTGCGGAATCTTTCGGATTGACAGGATGAATTTGAACGACGGGTAGATTGAGCCGTCCCGCTCTCACGGGGACGAGGACGATACTGAACGTATCGTTTTGGGATCGCTGGGCAAGCGTATCAGCTTTTGCTTAATGCTGCAGATCCCTTCAGTCTCACCCGAGGCATGTAGAAGCCTTTCTTTTTGCCCAACACGATCCAGTCGTCTCCATTGACCTGAATATCGAAGAACAGCCTGAGGTCCCGCGAAACCTCGTCCAGCCAGTCAAAATAGGATGTCAAGTGCAGAATCAAAGATATGGCTCGTCCTTCGTACACCGATGCAGCACCATCAGCATGTTCAAAGTGTGCCATCGTGAGGAGCTGATGAATGGCTTCAGTTCCAGCGCGCCCACTGCCGCTTCTCGCGAAAAAGACTCACTCGCTGACCTGGCAACTCGACCGGTATCTCCAAGCGTCTCCATGGCAGAGAATTTTCTCTCGATGCCTCGACTGTCTACAGAATGATTCAATACTGGTGGCTACAGAAGGAACAAAGCATACCTTGGCGAACGACTCCATATCTGCTTCTGATATGTCTTCGGGAGGAGCAAACGACTTCAAGGTACTTTTGCAGACCTCGGCGGCATCGCTGGATACGAGATATTGCTGCAACCAGGCAGAGGAATCATTCAGCAAGGCTCGGACCGATTTCATCAGAGCAGCCGGAAATTTCCCCTTCTTGAGTGTGGAGTGCAAGATAGTTTCGAACTCTGTGCGCCGTAAGGGATGGTCACCGTGCATCCTGTGAAGCACCCACCCTCATCCAGAGATGTATAGCTGATGACCAGACGCAGGACTGGTGGATCTGCACCTATCGCGGTTGTCAGTCTTTGTCCAACATCTTATCACCTACTGGGCTCATAGGATGAATTTCGGCGAATCCTGAATAGACACGAGAGGGGCTGGAAAGGCGGTACAATCACCTAGCAGAGGTCAGCGATGATCTGTAGTAGAACGCTCAGGCTCACCGACGGCGACGTCGCTCCCTTCACTGCGCTCGTCACTTCATGACCCGAATTCTCATCCGCTAAAAGTTCGACGGATCTCACCCGGAGATGGCGTCTGCCATCCGAGGCGATGGTGAAGTGTGAAACGAGACTTTAAATGGGAAGTTCAGCGATCTTCAGAACCAATCATGTACCTAGAAGCCTTACAAAGTTGGCCGGAAGAAGTCTTGGACGTTGACTGTGAGAGGGAGGGCGGTTGACAGAGTTTGAGTATCGATGTAATTTCTGCTGTGTCCTTCCGTCTCGTACTGCAAGCGGATGCTTGCCTGAATATACAATTAGTGGTCATCTTTCACGAGACGGCTTGACTCGCCCGTATCCGATCATTGTGGGCTTCCGAATGATACGGGACGAGAAAGCTCGTGGATGCTCTCGGATTCAAATCGCCAATGAGGATTTCATTCTCCGATGCGGAAATGGCTGCGAGAGTTTAGGGCTGTGCCAAAATTCGCTTCTGCAACTTACTGCTTCCAGATCCTTCGGCACGAGACATTGCGAAGCTGACCTCGGGTTCGAAGCTTTCAACGACAACTTTCATCCCTGAGATTGGCCATTCGCCAGCCGTAACTTCCACAAAGACTTTTTGATCCTTGTCAAGAGCAACTGTAGCGCAGGTGAGTTTGATCATGGCGAGCACGACTCGGCGGCCGCTCACCGATAGATGGCAGCTTCATCTCCAGAGACGGGCCGTGAGAATGTCGACGGATGTGAATAGACAAGGAAGGGTCGTCGACAAGATACACCAGCTCGACCGCACCAATGTATAGCCTCGCACAGCGTAAATAGAAAATACCTTGGATGGACGTCTACGGATCTCGAATTAGATGCCACCGCACGAGCAAGCTGTCAGACTCACGGTGCACCTCAAAGCATGAGACGAGTTACCAGGCGGTATCTGCGTGGATGCACAGCTGTACAGAATCTGTTCACCGGCAGAATCCTCCAGCTCAAGCAAAATGGAAGATGATTCGACTTGCTATGTCAGAAGTAAGGATCCGTCCTTGTCTCTCCGACTCACCGAAAGCAGCTCATTCGTGATCCCGATCCGCAGAGTCGATATGTCTGTAGAATCTGACTGGGCAGACTGACTGTCCAGTATCTGGACGCTGAAAGCAGGATGAGCAGTGGCTGTCCAGTGTCAGCACGGCCTCTTGTGGATTTGCACGAAGCGACTGACCAGCCAGCTGAATATTGCTTTGTGCGAGATCCGCCAAGACCTCTTGTACTTCTTCTCGGACAGTCTCCAGTTCACCCTCTCCATTTGACAGGGCACAGACGCGGAGATAAGCTAGCGCGAGATTGACCCAATCTTCGTCAAAAGCCAAGCCCAGGTGTCGATGAGCTCGTAAGGCTCCAGCAAGCGCTCGTCCGGCGACTTTATCCCAGACCTCTAAATCTGCACAGTCTTTTGCAAGATGCCGACAGAGGTCGTAAGCCAGCTTCCAATTCTCGTCGAGCCTTGAGGTCCGATCAGCCTCCATCGTGAGATGACAAACGTCGACTCACAATGCCAGTGTTGCGAGATCGGCTTTCAACCGTATGACCGAGTTATGCTTTCCACATGCTTCGTATGCTGATACGGCCTTGCGTGTCAAATGGGCGTACATCTCTCTGTACGTCCTCGTGTCCTTCATAGCGTCCAGTAAGAGTCGATTTGACAGGGTCGAACGAGGCTCTGAATGTACAGCCTCGCCGTTTGTCGAGCCTGACTCGGAGGATTCAAATAGAACATTATCAGCTGCCGTGCTGAGAGCAGACGAGGGCGCGAAAGGGTAGACGTTTGGCAGATGACCACTCGCTACTCCGATCCGCTCAGTCTGAATGAATTAGCCTTCACTGCGCAGAGCTAGACACACCTGGACTCTCGCAATGTCCAAGAGTTCCGATCTCGCACTTTCATACGCTATCAAGCCCGAGTAATCACCGTTGGGTCGGTCTATCCGTGACCATTCGTCGCAATTCTGCACGATGTTCATACAGGTCGAGTAAGTCCAGGATTCGATGAAATGTTCAGCCAGATCCGCCTGAACCGTGCTATCAGCAGAGCGCATGAAAGGGCTTGCGATCAAATCGCTTACCTCGTTCTCTCTTAATCGCCTAGCTAGACTTGCGACGAACCATTGACCACGTTTTGCGATTTCTGTGATACGGCCGATCTTTCCCAATAGTTGAGCCTGCCTCGCAAAGACGTATATCCGGAAATCGAAGATCGAAATGGAGCTCTTTTGGAGTAACTCGCGATACGGTCGGGTGTCGGTGTCCAGAATCGGTAGCGAATCATCTTTAGGGCCTGTAGCTCCTAGCTTCCCAAACCAAGACAGGTTTTGTTCCTTGAGGACCTGGAAAAAGGCAGCCTCTAATTCCTCATACACGATGAGGGCATCCTCGTAGAGGTTGACGCCTTCGAAAGAGTAGGCAAGAGATTCCTGACGAATGTATCAGCTCCTAGTGGGACATCGAAAAGGCATAGGATACACCTTGAGCAGGAACCATGTGCAAAAGTTCCATCCCACCGTCAACCTCTGCGCCTCTCCGCGCTTGACGTCTTCCTCGCGCTCTACTATCACGTTGTCGAAGGCTGAGATGATGCTCTTTTTAAGCTTATTCATCACATCTGGCCAGACCGTCGGATCGATGGTCCCTTCTGGAGGGAGATTAAGCTGGACACATCTGAGGACTGTTCAGCATTTACAGGGGCTGTCATTGCGCACCGCTCCTTCTTATTCAGATTGAAGTCTGCTTTGAGCTTCCCGAAGACGCCTTTGTCCCTGCCAAACACATTCTTCCCAGATCCTCCTGTTGTAGACGGGTTAACGAGCACAATCATAGGCACGTAGGCTCCTTTCTTCGCTGCAAGGAGAGACTGCCAGTCGCGTATGAATGAGCGTGTTTGGTTCTTGTAAACTTCGTCATTCTGTAACTCGGGTAAGTACGTCCTCTCCCGAGACATGCAGGCTCATCTGACCTCGCAAGCGACAAGACACAAGTGAACCAACGGGCTCTCCAGCACACTTCCACCTGGTTCTTTCCCTAGACTTCCAGCTTCGCCTAATTCTATGAACCGGACGTCAAGCTCCTGAATCGTTCGAATGGAGGTGCGTGTAGATGGCTTCCAGTGGAGATTGCGCAGAGGAAGCTGGGCACGTATACCTTCGAAGGTGGATCAGCATATACGATCGTGCTCCGACTCGACGAGGAGGTCATGGCCAGGAGATTCCTCGACTAACCCTTGATGGCAGAAGCGAGAAGCGGGGATGATGGCGGGTGAGTAGTGTATGTAATGATGACTGAGCGAGAAGGCATGATGAACTACTGATAAGTGGTGAGGTCTTACAGCTCAGAGCTTGCCTCGGTCGTCGGCGTTAGATTAGAAGGGAGAGGATCAACGATAAATGCAACTTGGTCGATCGAATTCCAGCAGCGTTTCAGCTGGGATTACCGGCTCGCGTTTTATGAGACAGCCCTGTACACAGCGTCTTTCCGCTGCACGATGACCTGGAAGACCGACTTTGGGCAGAGCGGCTAGAGACCGACTGCGATGCCAAGCGTGTACATAGCCCCTCAGCATAGCATCGCTCTGCAGCCCTTCATAAAGGACTCTTCAATGCCATAAAGGAGCTTTGCCATAATATACAATTATACATGCTTAGTCTTTGTGTCACCTCTAAGCTCTAGCCTGTGATGAATGTGATGCAGGTGATGACGATGACGGCGACGGCGGTGTCGGTGTCGGTCGCCTGTTGACCCCTTTCGGCTTGGATGCTTTTGAGTTCTGTTTCGTACTGTCCATGACCTCTTTCACCGGTTCATTCGAAGCGGTCTTTACCAAGTTTTTGCTCAGAGTCTGATACTTGAAGTGCGAGGCATGTCTGTCACCCGCCTTTAGAATGCCGCCCTGATGATCAGACTGTCAGGCTCATACTCGAATTATGGCATTCGCCCATCAGAGACCCAACTCACAAGTTCTAACAATTTCGTCACCGAGTCTGAAGGTTCTGCACCTTGAGCCAACCAGTACTTTATTCTCTCTTCATTCCAAATCACCCTTCTCTCCTTCACTGGCGGCACAGTCTGCTTCCCAAAGACGAACGAGGACGGATGAAGGTCGCGAAACGAGGTCACTTGCGGTATCGGATCCCACTCGCCTAACTTCTCGAGCGGTAACGCATTACGTGCCTTTGAGCGATCCATGACGACTAGATGATAGAGTGCTTGATTACGAATACCATGGCGAGCGAGCCGTATACGAAGACCATGGACAGTCATGGCGTATGAATCGGTATGCGAGTGAACGGGAGAAAGAGTTGGAAAGTCAGACTTTTCGGGAGGTGTAGTAGAGAGGTGACGAGGGACTTCAAGGCGCAGGATTTCCCCTTCAGCGATCTAAATTAAAGACCTAGGAAGCGATTTCCGGGACTGTCGAACTCAGTTGAGGGAGTCAGCTTGACAGGTATTTGGAAATGGTGATCGTTGTAGGTATTCAATACATGCTCATCTCCTCAGAAATTAGCTGCAAGTCAGATGTCTGATAAGCCCCGCTAACCCAAATGAGGTCCACGTCATTGAATTTTCCACGTGGCGTCATCGGTCATGCTTCGCGTAGGTTGTGGTGGAATTTATATGATGACCTTGAACTGATCGGTGCTGGGGTCGTGAGCGACTATCATATCATGTCCGGTCTCAGTAAAGCCAGCTTGGTCTCTCAACTGTCTGACATACAGACCAAGGTGAGAGCTGGTCGACTTTCTGACACAAGGCATCAGCTCACATTGGATGTCTAGCTCAAATCAACAGATTCAGACATCAGGTGGGTGCAGGGTATGTGTGCTAGGAATGCATAGCACACGTCTCGAGCCTTGCACAGCCATCTGACTGGGTCTACAGGAATCAGACACTTCTGGACTTGCACAAAGATCTGCTGTTCTTCACCACACCTCTGCCGTCATCGTCTCGACGACCAAGCTTTGATCAATGGACAGATGAGACGACCGAGACGACTCTGGTGAATCTGGTACTAGGAAGAATAGTAACGGACAAGAGCGAGAATGAAGTCGCAGAGGTCAAAAACGCAGCCATCAGCTGGTGAGATTACGATGCTTCACTGTTAGATACCATAAGCTCATCAGTCGACCCAGCATCGGCGCCATGTCGAGAAGGTGTAGACCAGCTTCGTTGAAGAAGATTGTCGATACGCTCTTGTCAGGGCTGTCTTCTGACATCGATGAGCAGAGGGATGTGTCTTGCCTAGGTAGGTACTCTTTGCTTTTTGACACCAACATGGAAAGCTGACGGGAAAACAGCTCTCAAAGCAGTGGCATCGGAGATGCCGGTCGACTTGTCACACTTGTCGCAGATTCTGGACAACATCCTCACCAAGCTCTTCGCCATCTTGACCAAGGTATAGTATCAAGAAGATCTCCTGCGATCCTATATGCTGACGATCTGAGTCTCAGTCGAATCCTCCAATCGATGCTCAGCTTGCTTCAGAACTCCTCCACATCATCACAGACATCTTCACTCGCTTCCCTGATCTACTATCCTCTTCTAACACACTGCGATCGACATGCCTCACATCTCTCGTCACCATTCTTACCACGTCACGTACTTCCATTCGTAAACGCGCAGTCCCCGCTCTGTCAGCCCTCGTCATTACCAACCCCTTGCTCTTCGACGATGAGCTGCGAAAGCAATTATCCTCAGGTCTGAAGGACAACGGCGAATCCGGATCGACCTGGGCGGCGGTCTTGACATCTCTCGCGAGGAGTGCAGACGCCGGAAAGGTCGGAGAGATGATCAGTCAAGGGGAGATAGTGGATGCTCTGTTAGCCCAGGCTGCGAACCCAGAGCAGAATGAGCGCGTAGAGGGCGCCCTGACGGTGAGCATTTGAGGGGACACAGGGTGGACCGCTGACACCTGTCAGGCTGTCGAAGTCTTGATTCTACGCTGTCCAACCGAGATCACACCGTATATACCTCTTATACTCCAGAGATCACTCGAATTGGTCAAATACGATCCAGTGAGTCGACTTCGAACAACGGGCATTGACGTTACCAGAATTATGTCGAGTTGGACGAAGAGGACGTTGACATGGAAGATGAGGCTGAAGAGGACGATTACGAGGATGAGGCGTACGTCTTTCCGGATAACGCTACACTCGACTAATCTTCGACAGGTATTTGGACGATGAGGATGCCTCATGGAAGGTTCGCCGTTCAGCAGCGAAAACCCTGGTCGCGATCATTGGCACACGAATCGAGCTTTTGTCTCAGCTTTATCAATCCGCCGCATCCATCCTTATCTCACGTTTCAGCGAGCGAGAGGAGAGTGTTAGGATTGAAATTCTGACAGCAATGGAGACGCTCCTGAAACAGACGATCACGGGAAAGAACGCCGAGTTGGCGTCCGCGGGACGGAATAAACGGAAACGAAGCGAGGAGATGGACCAGGATTCAGCTCCGGAGGATAAGTGAGCGTCTGGGAGCGCCCCTCGCTGACCTGATCAAAGTATCATCGCGCACCTCAAAAATTGTCTCCCAAATCTCCTTCGAGGCATTCTCAAGCAATTATCCTCAAAATCCAATCAGACACGGCAGGAGTGCTTTGTCCTGCTTCGCTACGTCACCGACGCTCTTGACGGTGGCCTCGTCAATGACTCTTCTGAGATATGTCGCGCCGCGGTATCAGTGCTCACATCGGCCGAAACATCCACCACATCTTCACTCTCCATCGCCGCCCTCTCCTTCCTATCAACCTTCTTCCGACACCACTCGCCGCGCATTTACGGGAACTCGCTCAACGATCTCGTACCTGCCATTGAGCGCTGCATGAAGGAGAAACTTCAGCGAATCAGCTTTGAGGCTTTTACCGCCGCTTCAGCCTTGGCAAAATCGATTCACCCACTAGGTACTTCCTCACCATCCTTGGCAAATTACTCTGGCTCCGTAAAGTCTCTCTTCAAAGCCTCGACCGACGTCTTGGCTGATACGACGGTGGACGGCGAAGTTCGAGAGAGAGCGTTGGACACCCTCGGCAATCTGTTGGTCCACGAAGGCGATCTATTTTCAGATTCGTACGAGACATGTCTGCCCCTGATATCTGCTCGACTACAGACGGAGACCACAGCACTTACTGCCGTTCAAGTCATCGGCAGAATTGCAGAATCACCTTTGTGCAAAGGTCCAGTATTTGAGGATTGGCTCCGGGCGGTCTTACCCGAAGTGGTCGTTGCTCTCCGTCGATCTCGACGAGCCTCCGGCAAGTCGGCGGAATTCGCCTGTCTACGAAATGTCCTGTCTCGCGTTGGCTCCACGCTCTCACCTGATGCTGCGACCGAGCTCATCAATGAGCTTCAGACCTCCTTGGATAGCCCTCAAGCGCTCAGTATCGTCGCCCTCATCCTTTCCAATCAACCTGCTTGCAGACCAGCTGTGGATTCTCAGATCTTGCATCAAGTTTACGAACTGATCAAGACTCCCGCTCTTAATCCTCTGCTCGCTGATGCCCTCTCTGCCTTTTTCGGAGCTTACGTAGACGGCGATCCAGACGGTGCGACTCGGCTAGTACCGACCTTGATCGACAATCTTGGCAAGTCAACGGCCATCCCTGATGCCAGTAGAGGAGGTACGGCGTCGTATGCGACGACTGCAAAGTGCATCGCGACGGTGGCGGAGCACGCTCAAGGGGAACGAGCTGGTGTTTTGAGCCAGCTCGTGAAAACCATCAGTGTGAGTGCGCCGATGTGGGATATGACGCATACTGATACTCCGTCAGTCATCCAAGTCGAGTGAAGCGCCTACTTACCTGGCTTTGCGAAGCATCGGAGAGATTGGTCGAATGAGGTGAGTTCACGTCGCCGAGAATGAGGATCCTTGCTGACCAGTCATCTCGCAGTGATTTGTCCGACGAGACGGGCCTATTTGACCGCGTTCTCTCCTTCTTCACCAGCGACAGCGAAGAACTTCGAAGTGCAGCTGCGTACGCAGCCGGTAAGTCATATACCCTTGCGGACTACTATTTTTGCGTTGACCGTGGACGCCAGGGAACATCGCCGTTGGTTCACCGGATATTTTCCTCCCCCTCATCTCCAAAAACCTCAATGGTGCTTCCGACGAGACTTCTCGCTTACTCCTCCTGCACGCTCTCAAAGAGTGTATACTGCATACCAGAACGTCAGACCTCGAAGTCTTGGCCGACTCTCTCTGGACATCTTTGCTCGAGTCAGGCACGTCTACCAGCAAGACCTCGTCGAAGGGTACTAGCGCGAGTAAGGAACTGGGAGATGATGGACAAAGAAACGTCAAAGCTGCTTGTATTGGGAAGTTGACAACGACCGCGCCTGCCAGGTTCCTCCCGCGACTTCAAGTGAGTCCGGCGCCGTCATACTCGGGCGAGCAAGCGATGGCGCTGATTCTCAACCTTAGGAGTTACTTCGATCGACACCACAGGACAGGGCGATTGTCGCTGCCGCCGTCAGATACACCTTTATCGATACTTCGTCTTCATATGATGAGCTCATCGCTCCTCTGATTGTTGAATTTCTGTCGCTCATGCACGACGAAAACTTGGTGGGATATCGCTGCAGACCTGTAGGAGCATCGCTGATTCCACATCTTAGATCGTCAGACGTCTTTCATTGGCCTCACTGAACGCTGCGATTCAGAACAAACCGCATTTGATCATTGATCGGTTGGCAGCGTTACAACCTTTGTTATACGCGGAAACCGTGGTTAGACCGGAACTTCAGAGAGAGGTCACGATGGGACCGTTCAAGTGTGAGTGTGGGCATAGGGCTGTCACATTCTGAGACTGATGTTGCGTACTAGTGATCGAAGATGAAGGGTTGGAGAACCGCAAGACTGCTTACGAGACAATGTAAGTTTTTACCATCTTGCATATTTGCTGAGTAAATGTGTCAGGTACACTTTGGTCAGTTTCACGCTCCCACTATTCGTTCTATGGCGTAAGCTGACTTTTGTCGCAGCTAGGAACGTGCTTCACTAAGGTTGACCTTCCGACGTTTACGGACCGGGTCTTGGCGGCAATTCGAGATGTCAACGAAGTCAAAGTATTGGGCTTGATGCTTCTTCTGCGACTCGGTCAATTATCACCTGCTTCCGTCGTTCCCAGATTGGATGACGTGACGGATGCTTTCCGAGATATCATGAAGGATGTTCAAGTCAAAGACGATACTGTCAAGCAGGACCTGGAGCGAAAAGGTGAGAGCACGAGCGATTTGCAGAGACGATCAAATGACGGAGGCTGATCGGTGTGTATGTGTGTGACTCGCAGAGGAAATGCAACGGACGACTTTACGTACTCTTGTGCCGTTGTATCGACTTTGTTCGCCCAGTCAAGCACCGACATTTTACAAATACGTCAGCGAGCTGTTGGCTCAGAAGGACTGGGCGGAGTTTAGAGAGTATGCTGCGTGAGGATTGGATGCCATTGGGTGTGTTAAGGACGTATATGAAAGCAAGATGCTAGAGCCTTACTCGGTCAAATCGATCGACAATCATTCTATTTTTCTCACTCATCATGCATGTACGTACATAGCTGTGTGAGGGGGAACTCCAGTGCTCCTTGAGCAGTCTGAAAAAGTTTTTGGAATCAATCGTACAGATAGATGCATTCGCAGTGATGGAGGCGATCATCGCCCACGCAAAGCAATTGACAAGGTATGCGGAGACAGACAAGATGAACCAAAAAAGAAAAGAAAAAACGGGAACTATATATAATGTGTGAGGTTCGTATGGATACGTGTACAAAGTGGCAAGAAGGACAAGAGTGTGAGTTCAAGAAGGGAGAGAGATGAGCGTTAAAGGTCGTGAGCGAGATGAGCGAGACCGATGTAGGTCGATGATGGTTTTGGGATGTGGGGGGGATAGGCTTGAGATTGTGGGCTAATGATCCGGTGAGGATGAGCGGTCGACATGATCGGCCGCGAGATGATGGTAGTGGACAACGTTCTGTCTGTTGATCGCCCTTCTCTTCTAGATCAACTCTTCTTCTATGCTCATTGGCGATCCTACGGGATCCAAGTGCGTCCTGTGTTCAAAAGGCGATTTCAACTCTTCGGACCATAAAGACCCATGAGGTCTAGGGACAAAGACGCTCAGACCTCCATTGTTACCCTTTTGCCTCTTCGCAATGGGTCCCATGAGGTTGCCGTGAAGTCGAGTCGATCCGAGTCCCACACTGATGAGCGTAGACGCATGCGCATGACTTCGGAGTGGAATGGTAGGAGGTGGGTGCATGCCTTCCGAGTAACTCCTGCTCAGGGGCGTGGGCCGACGAATTCCTAAACGACCAGTCTCGTTGGAAGAAGCGGTAATGCTGCTGCTGCTGCTGTTATTATTGGGGATGAGCTGAGGAGGAGAAATGGACATGGAGGCGAGCTCTCGCGCTGTGGACCCAGGGGACTGAGTGATCGCCTGGGCGATAGTAGGCGGTCGGGGAGGAGGTAAAGCCGGAGCGATCAGCGTAGGTGTCGATGAGTTGCCTAGATCCGGCGAGACTTTGGTCAAGGTGATTGCTGGCGTTGAGGTGGTCCTTCCGGCCGCCGCGGGAGTCGATTGACCGCTGGAACATGTCGGTGATTGACGTCGAAGGGGTGGCGGCTGTCTCAATCCGAGGGAGTTGGGGAAAATCTGATCCAACGGCGTAAATGGTTCAGGCTCCTCTAATCCATCTTCGAGAATACAAAGGCTGTTCGAAGATGTTGCAGAGGAGACGGAACTGGGTGGAGAGATTGTAAAGCTTGAGATGGGAGAACTGACAGATCGAAGCATTTCAGCCTGAACACGGACAGGCGAAGTCTCTTCAGTGCAAGATGAACTGCTCAACTCTTGTCGTTTCGAAGGGGGTGAAGGGGACTCGGAGAAGAACAAGGCAGATGACTCGTCGATCGTTGTAGGGATTGATGGGAAATCATGCGAGGTGAAGGACCTTCCACGGTTGAGAAGCGACAATGGTCGAGGTACTCCAGAAGGTAGCGAGGATGAGATGGGACCGCCTTTACGAGGAGCATTGAAGGAGAATGTGAACGCGAGGGCTGGAGGCCTTGTGAGCTGAGAGATCCGAAAGAAAAGGGGAATACCACTCACGCGAAGACAATGCTTGCCTCGCCCCGGCCTCGGAGTGATCCAGGTCGCCTTGAGCGCGGTTCTGAAGCGTGTTGCTGAGTCTGTTCTGCTTCAGCTGATACGTTCACGACGCGCAAGGCCAAGCAAGGCTCACCTCAGTGTTTCTGACATTGTGCCGACCTCTGCATCGCCATACAACGAGTCCATTGAGTGCTGTTGCCTCGACATTTTCGCCCCTCCCAAAACGCGTAGTTTTGACCGGACTGCCCTAGGCTCGATAGGAGGTACTTGACGGATCACCTCTTCTGGATCCCTGCTCATTGGGGTGATGTCCATTCCACCTTTGCTCATCGGAACAGGAGTGACATCGAGGTTTCCATTTCCGAGGGGTGAAACGAACAATTCTCTGGCCGATGCTCTGTTCTCGCAGGACTGTCGTTTCCGGGACCCGGCGTAAAATGACGCAGAATTCTTCTGAGCGATATCGAGGAATCTGGAACGCGTGGAACGCCATGTACGGCTTGAAGACCAGGTAGAGAGATTAGACAATTGTGTAGTTAGCTCGTCAAGAGCCGCAGGGGGAGGAAGAGAGTTGGGAGGGTATACGTTTCTCAATGGACGAGGAGGGTGATTGAGGTACTGTAAGAGACATCAGCACCAGTGATTCCTCGTGTAAGCTGTGAGCCACCCACCGACGCGATCAGAGCGTCCTCGGCATCGGTCCAAGGGGAAGTTCCAGAGATGCGAGGTTTGACTTCATCCTCGAGTTCCAGGTTGAAAGCGGGAGTATCGGGAGTCATGACGAGAGGGACAGGTTCGAATGGGATGGGTGTACATGGGACCGGGGTATGAAGTGAGTCTGCAGATAGGTCGCTGCGTCTGAGGTGGAGTTTGCGCGAGTCAGCAAGAAGAAAGTTGGCGCCCAAGGAAAACACTTGAAGCAGACTCACTGAGATGGGACCACGAGATTGGTCAAGTGGACTGGTCTTCTGTCCTGATAAGGCATAATGGAGGAGATGATCTGAGTGTGCAGTGATTGGAGTGAAGGATGCTTTCCGAACAGTCGCGGACGGTTGTTCTATAGGATTCGAGATTGATGGACAACTTTATCCTACTGGAATGTCTTCTTGATCTTCTTTATGGCTTTCTTTTGGACGAGAGAGAAAATTTCGAGCAGACGCGAAGCAGTAGGAGGAGCAGCGAGGTGTATAAACAAGAACGAGGCGGGAGTGCGAGGGGGGAAATTGGGATTGGTTGAACCAGATGCAGTCGAATAGGGTCCAACAAATTGAAGGTATGATCAGCTGATCAAATGGCAGATGGCAGCAGAGGAGAGGCAGTGATGGGGAAAAATTCGTGCACAAGGTTTGTTGGGCTGTCGCTGCTGCTGAGACGCCTGGAATGTGATGGAGTGTGACCTTGTGAGATAGTCGTGCAAGTTGTCTTTGTGGATAGCCTGAGAACAGAGAGTCGATAGATGATCTCTTGAGACTGGGACTGGATGTTTCGTCTGGTTTGATGAAAATGTTCAGGGTATTGTTCTGTATCGCGTTTCAAGTTTCTGGACGGGTGATCGAGAGGGATAGTAACCCTGAAGTGAATCGTTCCGGAAGGGCTCCAGAGTGAAGAGATGGATGTAACAAGAAGAGGATAATCTCGAGCTGATGCTGCACCAGTCGTCTACCTAGTAGCCTCGCGACAGGAGCCTTGACCGGCCACTACTAGCTTCCAGGAACGTTGAGTCGGTCCTTCCCCTTGGAAACCGGGGAGATCCAAGGTATGTAGAATGATGATGTCAATGGAGAGGTGTCAACCGATCGTGTTCCAGACCAACTAGTTCCTCGTTTGAACAGCTGAGTGCCTGTGAGATCTGTCTCAGTCCGTGGAGGACACGAGTGCAAGGTAGATGGTGGGTACGAAGAAGGTGGGTGGGCTTTGGAGCACACAATGAGTCTACTCTGCAAGATATTAACAATGATTATAAGACAAGGAATCGTAGGGTTGCCAGGGAAGACGAAAAAAAAGTTCGAATGTAGGATGGACCTTATCCACTCGAGAGGATGGAACGGGGAGGGTGAAGCAGGTTCCAAGAGGCGTAGAAGAGGGCGTTGCGTCTCGGTATAGTTGGAGGAGGGAGTGGAAGCGAAGAGGGGGGGTGAAAGCTGAACTAGAACGGTAATTCCGCCGGGCGCTGGGCGTTGTGGGCGCGCGCGCTGATCTAGGGAAGGTATGTAACGCAGGCGTTATAAGAGAGTTGACGGATGAACGGAGGAGAATAAGGGGGATTGGGAGGGAGAGGGAGGAGCAAGCGGGTGGTGTTGGTGGTGATGGTGGATGTGGGTCTTGCAGCAACGAGATATATATATATACAGTTCCAGTCCCAGTTCCAGTCCACAGTCCCACAAAAGACGCGCGAAAAAAAAGGAGAGAAGAAGACGGAGCGCGGGTGAAAATCCTCCTTTGCTTGGTCGGATAAAACTTTAAACGTTCTTGGAGGCATTGGCTGGCCTTCCTTACCCAGGTCATGTCCACCTCTTCCTTCAAACAGCGGCTAGCTATGCATGTAATGGAATGATATCCATTCGTTCATCCGCTGGCAGGATCTATACTTGGAGTGAGTGAGTCGTAGAAGGGTAAAAAGAGGTTTCGTGTGTTTGTCGCTGCTCTGTTGTTTATTAGCTTGAAATCCCCTTTTCTCAGATGTCCGAGATCCCAATTCTCCAACATCCCCCCCAAGTTGAGTTGACAATGTCGTACAGGTCGTAATAGGTAGTAGCTTCCCTTGAATCAACGTAACTTACGAGTCTGACCGGTTCGGAAGCGGGGCGCGCGCCCAACCTGAAGCAGCTCTTCGGTGCATTTGTACCACAATTCCTTGTTCGCCTCCACTGATCTATCTCGCCCCTCTCGATCAGCTGACCATATGGGCGTATTATATAACCCAGCCAGTCGGCAGCGAGCAACAGCCCATTCTTTGCAGACGCCGCCACCTATAACGAGAAGATGGAATATTCAGGGAAAACACAGGTTCCTGGACGCGCGACGCGTCTCGTCTTCGTCCTGACAGAAATAACACGTCATGCGAGTTCAAGTTTCTGTCGGTGAGCCCCGATCTAAAGCCACGTGGACAGTCACCATTAAAAAAAAGTCGGGGACTTCGAGCTGTGATCTGATATGATATCTTATCATCATCTAACACTCGCCACTTCCACCACCATGACTCTGCCCATGGCGTCCTCGTCCAAACCTCGTCGAGTGATCATCGGGGTCTTGGCACTCCAAGGTGCTTTCATAGAACACATTCACTACCTTGAACGACTGCGTATCCCCAACACTGTCATTCGAGCCATCCCCATCAGGACAGCAGATCAGTTGGAATCATGCGAAGCGTTGATCATACCCGGCGGAGAAAGTACTGTCATTCAATCTGTGGCCGAGAGAACGGAAGGATTGTTACCGATCTTACTGGATTTTGTCAGGAATCCACAGAGAGCTGTATGGGGAACGTGTGCTGGGATGATCCTTATGGCGGAGGAAGATGGCATCGGAGGAGGAAAGGTCATCAAAGGGAGACCGCCGCAAAAGGGTTGGGGAGGTATCGAAGGGTTGAAAGTGTGGAGAAATCTATATGGAAGTGAGTCGACATGATGGACCATTCCGCGGGGAGGGGGTTTTGGTTGGTGATCCATGGTGACTGACTCCCACTCCTCCGCTTAGCCCAACTCGAATCGTTCGAAGCGCATATGGAAATCCCAGCCCTGTCTCAGCCGACCAAACCATTCAACTGTATATTCATCCGAGCACCAGCAGTCCACTCGCTCCAGCCAAAGTCTACGTCTGTAGCGGATCTGACGCAAGACCTCCATCACACCATCGCCCCAACGGAGACCTCCACCACCATCGAGGTCCTCGCCACTCTTCCTAGCGAATGTACACCGCCTCCGCCACCTCAGGATTCGCATCTTGGTCCATCGAACCATGAGGATCTAGGCAAAGTCATGATCCGTCAAGGTTCGAAACTCGTCACGTCCTTCCATCCGGAGCTGAGTGGAGATACGAGGATACACCAGTATTGGGTGGAAAAGTGTGTTTTGGGAATGTAAAGGGAGAGAGAACTGGTCGCAGAGCAACCTTTCAGAGTCGCAGAAAATACCCATCACTACAGGCATCGCTTTACACCACAGCAAACCGCATCACATCACCGCATCGCATCGCATCACCGCGTCGCATCACCGCGTCTCATCACTGCGTCGCATCAACACATCACATCAGATTGCATCTATATTTGATCTAGATATGTACAAGATGGAATATGTCACAGGGTTGTCAATTATAACAGATATGCCAATTTGAGACTTCATGCCTGTCGTGTCTTCTCCCTCGCATCCTCTTCTGCTCGTCTAGTTCGCGCCTCTCAACAGATTTTTGTATGCCCAATTATCCGTCTCCTCCACATATGGGTATCCGAGTTCCGCCAAAAACGTCTCGAAAGCAGGTTGAGAGTCGGGTGGGACTTGGACACCGACGAGGACCTTGCCGACGTCTGAGAAGAGTTGAAACTCGTCAGCGTAGGCTCATTGCAGCAGCGCGTGCAGTCAAGAATAAACCCACCCGCTCCATGGTTCCTATACTGGAACAAGGAGATATTCCAAGTCGGCTTGAGCTTTTTGAGAAAGTTTGCCAATGCGCCAGGTCGCTCAGGGAATTCTATGAATCCGTATTCAGCAGATTGCTCCGATTTCAAAAGAGCTGAATATGCCGTGACAACTCACCAAATCTGACCAATCGTTCATGCTCTACCTCTCCACGTCCACCTATCAAATGTCTGAGATGACTCTTTGAGAATTCATCATCGCTCAAATCGACCGCTTGGATATCATTATCCTCGAGCGACTGGATGATCTCGGCGACTTCTTGTGCTCTTGCGTCGGGTGTCGGGCCAGACGCTGACGAGAGAGACGACCGAAGGATGAAGGAACAAATAATGTAGGCTGATTCAGAGGGAGAAGGAGCGTTCAAGCGATAAGAGAATTCCGTGACGTCTCTTCCGTCCAACAAAGAGTGAAACTTGACGAAGCTAGACATGAGACAGACGATCAGCGACGCGGATTCTGACCAAGAAAAACAGGCCAGTTCTCTCACCTGCCGGGCTTTTCGGGCACTCTGACACTCATCAATACTTCTCTCCTCTCTCCTAGCTCTGCACGTTCCGCTACGAATCTTAATCGACCAAAATTCATGTTGCCTCCCGAGATGACCGCGACAAACCGCTTGTTAGCTCCGACGAGATTATTTCGAATAATATGCGCTTTGACACCGGCCAGTGCCAGCGCACCAGAAGGCTCAGGTATAGATCGTGTCTCTATGACGAAGAGTGATGAGCTGGATCCCACTGCGGACCTTTTTCAACCTAGACAACCCACCTTCAAAAACGTCCTTGATAGCTGCGCAAATCTCATCGTTGTTGACTTTGACGATCCCGTCCAGGAGCTCTCCACAGACTCTAAATGGTTCTTCTCCGACTATTCTCACCGCTGTACCATCTGCAAAAGGTCCCACTTCATCCAACAAGACCCTCTTGCCCTTTTGCAAACTCTTCTCCATCGCATCTCCATCGATCGTTTCGACTCCATAGACTTCTAATGAAGGCTGAGCCACACGTTTGATGTACGCCGCCATTCCACTGACCAAACCGCCACCACCTATCGAGCCGAATATCCCATCCAGCGAATCGACATCTCGGATCTGACGACAGATTTCCATCGCTATGGTCCCTTGTCCAGCAATCACATAAGGATTATCGTATGGCGGTATGAAGGCCAGACCTTCGGCTGAAGCGAGACGGAGACATTCTGCTTTCGCGGCGTCAAAATCTTGTCCGTGGAGGATAACTTGAGCGCCTAGACGTTGGACGTTGCGCCATTTGATGGACGGGGTGGAAGTAGGCATGAGGACTTTGACAGGTATATCGAGGGCTGATCCGGACAGAGCGACTCCTTGGGCGTGGTTTCCTGACATCTGTTAACCAGTACAGGTGAACAGCTCACCCACCCGCACTGCACGTTATGACACCTTTCTTCTTCTCTTCGTCGGACAAATGAGCCATCATGTTGTACGCTCCGCGAATTTTGAAAGAAAATACCGGTTGTAGGTCTTCCCTCTTGAGCCAGATCTACAAGGGTCCCTCCCAGTCAGTCGGGTTCATGCCTCTACAAGACGTCTCGGCGATAACGCACCTCGTTACCCAATCTCGCGGACAAATTGACGGCCAGCGTCAAGGGAGTCTCCTGTAGGTTCAGCGGCGTGGAATAGACCTTGGCTGATCCGCATTTTTTGATTCAGTTTCTGTATGTCCCACAAGATTTGATTGCACCACTCACACATCAAGATCATCCGAAGGTAGTCCGGTACTCTATGCCCATTCTTGTCCACCTCCATCATATGCTTTGGGATCTTCTCGTACAGATGTGATGGGACATCATCGATCCCGTTCGGTGATGATGCGTGGTGCCCATTCGGCGGTTCAGGCGCGGAGGACGAGTACTCGATGGTCGTCGTGGCGTAATTGTGGAATTGAGCTGGCGGAGACATACTGCCAAACGAGGTCGGGTGGGCGAGGCGATGGGAAGCAGGAGTTTTTAGGACTCTGGACTCTGAAACGGGGGCTGAGTCCAGTGTCGACGATGAGGAGAGAGAGGTCGATTCAGAGTAAGCTCAGCTGCCTTGATATGCTGCCTCTCAAATGCTTGCTTGGGATCGAGTCGAGCAGGGGATTTGGACGCAGAGCTCGACTTTTTCTTTTGAGAGGAACTCTCCAAGAGACTCGCCACGTGGAAGAACAAACAACAACAAAAACGCCGTTGGCAAAAATTACTAATCGGCCCATTAGAAAAAGTTGTATTTCATTAACAAAATCTCATCAAAGCTCATTAGGTTGGGCGGCCCCTTTGCGTGCGTCATGAATAGGAAACCCACGTCCTCCTCTCTGCTGGTCTTTCGGTCAAGCTCTCTCTCTCTGTCTTTCTGACTTTTGGACAGATCCTCCCATCTGCGTTCGCCACGTCGGACATGGCAAGCAGTCATGTCCCAGGTAGCTCGGCAACCCAGCATGTGTCGGTATCGCCGGGGACGACCGCCTCATCTCCCAAAGCTGGGCACTATCGGACCTCCTTAGAGGCCGCTTTGCTCAAGGGCAATTGGACAGATGGGTCAGCCGGAAAAGCTCCGAACGGGACTGATCTGAGCTGGTCAGAGCTGATCAGGAAATGGGGCAAACATACTGGAGGTGGTGAGTGAGCGAGAGTGCTTGAGACAGACGAAGTTTACCCAGGTGGTCAAAAGAACTGACGGGGACGCTGAAACGTGCATCTTAGACGTATCTCTTCTACATCATTTACGGAATATTTCCATCCTCTATGCTGCGCCCACCTCTCACCCATCGTCATCAAAGACATACTTCACACTCCACCCTCACGACTCTTCGAGCTCTTCAGAGCGCTTTAACCAGCATGGACTCCCCGCTTCGGCCGTCCCTGGACCGAGCGAAGGTGAATCCCATTCGACAGGTGCAAGGTCTAGTCTTCATATCCCACATCCACATCTACGACGTTCGAAATCTCATACCGAGATAAAAGAGACAGAGGATGAATCTTCTCCATTGGCCATCACGACTTCGAACACGTTTGCTGTCCCTGATACCAGTAGAGGAGACGATGATGGACCAGAGGAGGAAGCTTGGAGCTCAGGTCCAAGCTGGTGGACCGGTGCCAGCCTTGATAAGACCGAGGAGATTGAGAAAGGAATCAAGGAAATCGAAGCCATCATAAGTAGTGGGAAACTAAGTGCAGAGCAGTTACAGGTGAGCTTGATTCAGAAGCAGGGGGTCCGTCGGGACTGATTCTTTGCGCTCAGATTGCTCGGACAGTCCTTGCTCAACATCTCAGTGCAATCGGCAGACATGAGGAAGTTTTAAGTCGCCTGGAATCAGCTGGAAACCATCCAAATGCCAGTGAAGATTCCATTTCCCTCCTGAGCCGTATACGCGCTGCTTGTCTGAGAGGTATGTGAGACTTCCGTCCTTCAGTCGCTCCAAGCTTATTGCTTCGTGATGGCAGGTATCGCACTAGAGCTATCGCCATCAGCGGATGATGAGGCCGCTATCACCGCCTACACATCCACAATCGGTCTCCTCGCCAGATCCCAGCTCTCCGTCCCAGTCCCCGCATACATGACTTCATCTTCCAAATCACCTGCCTCCGCGCCGTTTGACTCTCGTCTCGAGCTATATCGATGGCTCTCCACATCTCTGTCTCGCGCATCCATCCTTGCAGCTCGCCAACCTCATACCACATCCAGATTATTGCCCATTTTACGCACCTATCACGCTTATGCCGACTCGTGGGGATCATCTTTCCGCCCCATTCAAAGACAACGGATGATTCTACTGTATCTTCGCGCGTTGTACGCTGGGTATCCGCCAGCTGGAGTTCCGTGTACATCCCCTTATCTTCTTGACGGATCGATACCAGTTCCAACGGCAGACGCGAGGACGACATGGCGTTCGGAGGTCATGGAAGCATTACGGCAAGCTCGTCAGCTGCTCGCGGCGACAACAACGTTTCCCCGCGCAGGATCGATCAATCATCCCGTTGCCGCCTTTGTGGATCTTGTGGCCGCTCTGGCGGACAAATGTCCACTATTGAGTCGGGATGCGATCTCCGTCATGTGGTGGGCCATGTCGTACACCTTCCAATCACTTTCAGTCCTTCGACATTTGACACGACTCCTGGCGGCTGTGGGCGATTCCGAAGATTCAAGGAGAACATTCGAGCTTTATGTGAAGCTTGTTCTGAAGGATAGAGAGACACATCAACCCGAAGTCACCTTACAGCTCAAGCGTCGGCCAACCGAGGACGAGGCGGCTCCGACCGCAGTGATACAGCAGGACGCTGCGAGGGCAGAACAAGCAAAAGAGGAATCAGACGGAAAAGGACCTTCACAACAGGCGGAAGCTCAGAGTGAAAGCGACCAAGATTTCGTCGGATGTCTCCTGGTCGGAGCGAGACTGTTGTTGAGGAACCTTGGGGACGCAGAAGAGGCTTGGCGATATGTTTGCCTGGCTGGCGACGTCATTCGGAACGCATCACAGGGAGGCGAAACATGGCTCAGTCCCAGGATCCGGGGCGAGGTAGAAGAATGTAAAGGAATAATCAGGATGGCAATGGGCATGAGGGGTGAGTTGGGGAATGACTAGCAGCGGAAGATGGCGCTGACGTGTCGCAGCAGGAGATCCAGTCACTCGGCCTTCTTACCAGGCTCAAGCACTCAACCACCTCTCTCTAGCCACCGAACTCGACAAGACATCTGCGACTGCTTTCTACCACCTTTCGTATTGCCAAGCTGAAGCCCGCTCGATCGACGCTGCTACAGACTCCATACGTCGGGCATTAGAGCTAGAGTCCAAGAACATCCAATCTTGGCACTTGCTCAGTCTGCTGCTCACTGCTCAGGGTGATTGGGAAGCAGCGGCTAAAGCTGGAGAAGCTGGAGTCAGCGTGTGGGAGCAAGAAGAAGAGCGAGAAATGAGAGAATCGGAGGGATCAGGAGTCGGTGGGAATCCAGACGGACAGAATCCCACGGTGGACGCAAAGGATTTCGCCGTGATTGACGGACAGAGCGCCCCCGTAATTTCCGCCTCGACTATTGGCATAGCATCGAACAACGAACCTCTGTTGCTTCCGTCAGGCGAGTTCAAACCCACTCGAGTCATGACTGCACCAAACTATCCACCCTCTGTGACCCGGGTGGTCAGACTCGAACAGGTCATCCGACTTCGCATGACCCTCAATGTCATTGCTGAAAAGCTACATGGACCCGAACTCGCCATGTTGAAGCAACAGGAACTGTTCTCCTTCTTCTCCGCTCGATCGGGGAAGAACAGAGGTCAAGCGGGTGGAATCTCGAAAGTGTTACCTAGCTCAATGTCCAGTATGAGCTTTGGCGCCCCAGCCACCCATGCGGAAGGCAAGCCAGTAGAGGAGAGCTTTGTGGATCTTACATTGGATGCGGATCATGCCGAGGCAGGGAGGATGGAGATCGAGACCGTGGCCGGTGAGTTGCCGCTTGAGAGGATCTATGCTTAGTGGCCCGCAGTACAACCTCCGACGCCGGTCGTATCGCAGTCTGTACCCCTGTTCCCAGAATCTCACCCTCCGTCTGGCTCCACAGCGCCTGAATCGGCTCGTCGGTCTTTAGAATCCCCCGGCGAATCATCGCCTATCACTTCTGATACTGATTCGCCTCGATCGAGCACACCAGGAAGTGTTCAGCCTCCTCGCGGTCCCCGTAGACGAAGCTTCACTGGTGGGCGCAGTCTATCTGGTACTAAACGGCTCGTGGCGAAACATTTACATGTCCCTCAATCGCGAAGTCGGCCCAGCAGCGTGAGGAGGCCTTCTGACAAGCAGGATCGTGAGTCTACGTGAATGAATTTGAGCAAATGCTTAACGAGGTGCAGAGCTTTCGCTGAACCGCAGCCGAACGGCGTCCTCGTCCTCTGCCGCACTATCTATCGCTCCCACCGCTGTACACTCGCATTTCCGTCAATCGGCCGGCAATGCCCGCTTGCCCCCGCCTCCGCCCATCATTCAAACACCCGACCATGGTCGAACCCCAGCTGAAAGTCGCATATTGTCTAATCTCTGGCTCATGTCCGCCGCGACATTCAGACGTTGGGGCAAACTCGAGCAGAGTCTCGTTTCCATTGAAGAGGCCGAGGTGCTGGATCCTGAAAATCATCTCGTCTGGGTTCAACTTGGGCTCTACTACTGCGCTCTACCAGTCCCGGAACATGAAGCTGCCCTACCGGCATTCACAAAGGCTATCCTGTTGAAACCTGATCATCCGCCTGGCATTGTGGCTTTGGCCAAGCTATACCTCTCAACAGGTTCCATCGACCTAGCTCACGGGTTACTCAATCAAGTAACTCAGGATTTCGGATGGGACAGTGCAGATGCTTGGTTTTACCTGGGGAAATGTTGTGAAATGCAAGAAAGACATGAACGAGCGAGGGAATTTTGGACTTTTGCTCTGGGTCTGGAAGAGACAAGACCAGCGAGGAGATGGAGTGATAGTGTTGATCGGTGGCTGTAACTGCTATGGATGTCGAAGAATGAAACACTGTGTCATGAGAGTCGGAACACAGGCATGATAATCTCACCACATGATGAGATTCGAAAGGCGGACATCCGAAGGATCTCCGAGAATCCGGCTGAAAACTTTTTTCTGGGCCTGAAATGCAGCTGCACTTCCAAGGCATCATCTATAGATATCATCACCACCGCAGCAGCGAATCAGCATTGGCAGAGAATCAGTAGGCCCCCTCACTGACAGGCCGTGTTTCACTGTTGCTCGAACTCTACCCTTGCGCCTCACTGCATCGCGTTTGCCCCATGGACACCCTCAACGCCGAGGCGAGCTCTTCGCGGCTCGTATCCTCCTCCTTACACACCAAAAAGCGGACACATGAATCATCTTCCAAGAAGGAAGGCAAGAAGACAAAGATGAAGCATTTGTCAGACTCTTTAGATGGCGTTCGAGTGTCCCAGAACGGGGATCATGGGCGGTCATCCGAAAAGCATAAACGGAGCAAGGAGCAATCTTCGGACAAGCAACAAAAGCACAAGGACAAGGCGGCCGCTGGAGGAACAGGAACAGCAGCAGAAGACGGGGAGGTTGAGTCGGAGCGTAAAAAGGCTAAGAAGGAGAAGAAGAGCTCTCCGTTCGAACATTGTTTATCAAGGATGAGGTTATCTATCCCGCCTAAATACGCTGGGGATTGGTTGAACGGCGTGAGAGAAGTCCTAGATGGCATGTTGATGCGGTAAGTCGTCATGCCAGCTGTCCATCACCAGGATTCCTGCTGACTGTCGTATCAACCCCATCAGCTACGTTCCTCAGATGAATGGTGTACTACTCGCTCATTGGGAACACGAGTTTATGGACGATACGGTCAAAATCATCAATGAATCTCCCTATGGCGTATGTGATGTTCAATTTCGATCCGTTACCTGGGCTCCGAAACCCGGTCAACGACTGAGTGAGTGGGAACCATTTTCAATTTGTGTGATCAACCCTCTGATGCGTTTGACTTTTCCTCAGCTGGATCGCATTCTCTCTCCTCACCTTCTCATATTTCCCTTCTGTTCGGCAAGACCTTCAACGTCTCCATTCCTTTGCAACATATCCCCCAGGACCAATATACATTTGTTCAGACGGACGAGGACGATCCGCTGGCCGATGATTCCGATTCTGAAGAGGAGCAAGTTCACGGACTGACCAATGGCATTGTCGAGGAAGTCGGTCGATGGAGGAGCACCAAAACAGGCAAAATCTTGGGCGAAGATGGCAAATTGGTCAAGTTTACCGTCATTGGGTAAGCGCCATCAAATGCAATCCTATATGACACATGCTGATCCTTTCTTTCCATCCACAGAATGCAAGTCAACAATCAAGTCTTGTCTCTTACTGGATCACTACTTGCCGATCCTACTCGTCCACCCCCACCTCCAGCACCTGTCGCTCCACTTCGAGCGGTTTCCCCGTCTCCCTCACCTTCGCCGGAACCCCCCACAAAAGTCGCTCGCGTCCAACGGACCGAGACACAGAGAACAGACGGCCGTCAGAAGACGAATGGCGGCGCACAGAGGAAACAACCTACGGCATCGACGGACCAGGCAAACGAAGCGGATCAAGTAGACGATCGATTCCTGAGTCAGCGAGAGCTGAAGAAGAAGCGTAAGGAAGAGGAGAAGCGGAAAAGAGATGAAAGAAAGGCTCGAAAGGAGGAAAGAGTACTGGAAGAAGTCGCCGAAGCTGGGGACGAGGAGATGGTGGGCATGTCCGGGGTCCTCAACGAGGAAAACGTGGGGTCCAAACGGAAGGGCGGAGAAACAGGAGGTGAAGCGGCAGAGAGAAAAAAGACCAAATACAGATCATGAGTCTCTGTTGTGACTCTCAGCCCGATATGATGATCCCTGGGGTCTTCGGCGTCAGTCCCGTGGACCCCTCAATGAGAGTGATGTACTTTCTGTCAAGTCGAGTGGCGTTCTGATGCCGGTGTGAGGATGCCCATACCAGCCTTATGCATAGCCTTCACTGCGACCTTTGACGCTACTCTCGTCCTCATAGTCCATAAATGATGCTATCGCGAGTTCCCGTCGCGTCTTGGAGTGATCATATCGGATCATCATGGTGACCCTGAATTCGACCACACAGGGCCATAGAAAGGGAAAAGAGATCAGAGGTGTGACGAAGACTATCAAACAAGGTCGGAGGTGCTCCAGATAGACATTCTTTGGCAGGATAGGTGCCAACGACTAGGGCCTCTCGTCATAAGCTGGAGAGGTACAACATCAAGGTGCTGATCCATGGTACATGAACCTTGCTCCTGGGGAAATGAGGCGGTTCATGTGGCACCCGGCGCCTCGGCATACTCATGAATAGGTTTCCTTTGGCTTGATATGACAGATAGTCGCCGCCTGTCTAGGTGGAAACAAGATCCAGTCCAGAATACACAGAGATCGAATCAGTAGACGATATCGAATCGCGATGCGAGTGTTTCATCTTTCAAGAGTTTCAGCCTGCTATGGCGATGTTCAGTGAGATACGAGTATCGCATCATCCGGATAGTCCGCAGCAATCAAGTCCGGTCTTGATAGCCAATCCATCGCAGTCTCTCATTCATTCATTTGACTGTTCGCACACTGCTGAAGCATCTCCTTATTACTCTGAGATACATGCACGTTCTTTTCGCTTTTAAACGCCATACATGATGATGGTTTCTCGCTATCAAACGACATACATGGAGTTAGGAAGGTTTCGCCAACTCTCGCCGCGTATTCTCATGAGTGTCGACTCGCGCTGAAGGCGGCCGTCCATCCACTGCATACGCCCCCTACGATAGACTACTCGAAGCCTGCAGGCGTACCTCCGCCGGTCCGAATAGCTCCGCTACTTCTGTCCAGTCCATTGTCCTCGATTCATGCCAATAATCGGTCATGCCAGTCGAGGCCCTGGCACGAAGGCGAATGACGTCCCACCACGAATCAGCTGGTGCATCGGCGAAAGCCTGGTGAGCTACATCCGGCAACCGAGAGGGAGGACAGCTTGGATCTCGTCCAAAGCATCTGATCGCTGCTCGAGCCATGGTCAAATCCCCAAGATGCGCAGCGTAGCAGAAAGCTTGCCATGGCGCGTTGGGTACTTCCCGATAGAGCTTTGCTTTCAACTTCTTGTCCCATTTTTCATCATCGCTTTGCATGAGTCTGTAAATGTCGATCATCTCCACTACCTGGTCGAAGCAAGTGAGGTATCGGTCTAGTATGGACTCGAATTGCTTTGGGATCTTTGCCGTGGCGTTGAGGTAAACCAAGGAGATATAAGCCCGAACGGTCGCCGATCTAGCTTGCAATTCGATGACAGGTGCATCGCCGAGATCCTCTCGGGTGTCTGGCAGACTATTGGCGCGTTCCGGCCCAAACAAGCTACGCTTCCGCTTTCGAAATGGAACACTGAGCAGATCCCTCACGAATCCGCTGAGGCAGGTTCAGCTCGGATGGGTGACTCAGCACATGCCTGCTTCGCTTCAGATAGTGACCGGACACTCGAAAGTACACCAAATCACAAGATATCAGGACGACATCGGCGGCGGGGTCGCAATGAACCGTAACCCAGGTGATGGTAGTCGGCGGAGAGTCGTTCTGACCACTCTTGGCATGGGTCTGCCAGATGGAGATGGGCATCTCGTTCATGACGTGTCAAATCGAGGAGGTCTGAGGTGAAGTCAAGTGGTTGAACGAGGTGGAACAGACGATACTACATTGTTGGCATGCAGTAGACGTCTGCCGCAAGGGAGAGGTCATGTGTGACGCACGCACAGACCTCGACCCACAGAATGTGCACAGACGCCCTTCAGTTCACCGCGCCGAAAGCCAATAACCACTTGGATTTGAACCATGGCTCGACGTGCCAGCTCGAAGCTTCCCAAGGCCAGACGGTGCCACCTGGTGAGACCAGCGGAGCCTCTTTCTCGATCATAGACGCCAGCTGAAGACCACCATTCTGATACAAGTCCAGCTTCAGGGACCACTGGACAGGCTTATGTGGCATCGCGGCGGCCACCATGAGGACATTGTCGCGGAGTTTGGGGAACGGGATGAGATCCAGGCATGGATGGTGAGGAAATAAGACTTGTGAAATGGTTGGTCGCAGTGAAGGCGGAAGGTCTGGAGGTAGACCGGCGATGATGGAGCTGAGCAGGTCTGCTTGATCGATATTGGTGTCCATCAGTGGTCTATAGAAAGGGGACAGAACAGTCGGCGAGCAATTGATGAGTCGGGGTAGATCAAACCCCAAAGCGATGGCATTGTATAGCATGGCGGAGAATAGCGAGGAGAACGGATCATTAAGGTTTCGTGAATCGAGCATCGGTAGACTGGGTTCTGACGCTCCCGAGATGAGCGAGGGAGTTGAGCAAGTCGCCAAAGCAGAGGACATTGAAAGGTGGTCGGTATCGGCATGAAGGAAGACCAAGTCTCCTTTGTCTTGCGGCCCTACAGACTGCCGTCCAGGGGTCTCCGAGGGACTCTCAGTGGATTGAGAACCATCAGAAGAGGTCCTATTGCCTCTGCGTCTTTCTCCTGCGCGAGATCAGCTCAATCACCAGCAGAATCCTCACTCCACCGTTTCTGACTGGCACGATTTTGCTCGCGACGACTCGGCGTGATAACTCTCTTCTTCCTGTCATTGAGGCAGCGAGTCGCCTCACATCGCTTCATTGGGTTGGATCCGTCGCTTGAAGTACCAGAGCTCATTCTGGCTTCCAACTTGCGGGTTCAACAAGGAAGGTTACTCGATAATGCAAAATGACCGAGGATCATAAGCCATGACCGGGGGATCTGAGAGACCTGGGCATACGTACTCCGTTTGTGGCTTATTTATTGACGACTGGCTTACTCTATGGCTCACTTTGTGGCTTACGCTTCGAGCAGGATATAAGGGTGCTGGGCATCGTGACAGTACAGCGGTCATTCCTCTCCAGCAGACACTGATCATATCTGTACAACTGTGAACGACATTGATCATACTCTCTACCACTATGCCCAGCGACTCCTTCAAAATCATCGCCGTCATAGGTGCCACGGGAAACCAGGGCTCGTCCGTGGCGAAGACTTTCGCTGCATTGCCTCACTGGCGAGTGAGATGCATCACTCGGAACGTCGAATCCGAAAAGGCCAAAGAGCTCCACAAGCTAGGATGCGAGCTGGTCCAAGGCGATCTCGATGACGAATCGAGCCTGCTCAAAGCCTTTCAAGACGTTCACGCGGTCTTCGTCAACACTGATTTTTGGGGACAATATCGTGAGGGCTTACAGTCCAACAGACCGCACGATGAGGTTTGCAAAGCGAGTTACGACATGGAAGTTCGACACGGGATCAACGCTTTTCGAGCTGCTGCTAAAATCCCCACCATTGAGCGATACGTCTATTCCGCTCTTGGTCCAATGAAACGGGCCAGTCATGGAAAGTACACCAAATCCTTTCACTGGGAGACAAAGGCGGCCATTGTCGATTTCATCTGCTCTCAACACAATGATCAAGAGCTGTCCAGTCTCGCCGAAAAATCCTCGCTGATCTATGTTGGATGTTTCACCACCAACGTATTCCTTAGACCTCAGCTAGATCCCAAGGACGGCAGTTACAAGGTCGTTTACCCTGGTCCTGCGACTACGACTTTCCCCATCATTGACCCATGTCGTTCAACAGGCCCGTTCGTTCGAGCTCTCGTAGAGGATAAAGCTCCAGGTGCTCGACTTTTGGCTTGCGACGAGGAACTCACTCTGAAAGAGTGCTTTGACCTCTGGTCTAATTATACTGGCAAATCATACACCTTTCGACAAGTCACCTTGGAGGAGATGCACGAGATCACTGGTAAACCATACGAGATCTTGCACGGCGCTGCTTTCTTGGCAGAGTATGAGTATACTGCAGGAGTACCACGAGCGATCAAGCCCGAAGATCTCAAACATAGACCCAAGACGGATTCATACGAGGATTTTGTAAAGAGGCAGACGATGGGCTTTCTGCTGGATCAACCTGGAGCGTCTCCGAAGTAGGGGCGGAAAATTCGTAGACCATGACTTTAATCATCATGCAGAGCCTCATGGCTGACGTTCTGTCGTTCGGCTCTAATACATCGAGATCTTGAACGAGTCTTCCGTTGTAAGACTTGTATGCCGCTCATTGTGACCTTGCAGATCATCACAAGCGCTGACTGACAGTGTGAATTTCTGACCTCCCACCACAGAATTTCTGACCTCCCACCACAGGATTCAGAGAATGAGGACGGACTGTCCTAAATTGGTTGATCACAATAGAGCCACTTCAACTTGAAGAACGTCCTCGCATCAATGCATCCGCTCCCCAGACCGTGCAGTGTATTGCCGCGCAGCTGCACGGCGTGGTTAGGTAGCATTAGTGTTTGTGGATTGCTGCCCCACATCCTCCCACGGACGGGACGGAGGTCTCATCCTTTTTTCTCTTGAACGCAAGAGTGGCACTGAGAAAGCGACCGCCGCAGACAACCAGCTCGAGTATGCAGTATGCATGTGTGCAATGATTTTCGTGCGGTCCTTCGCTTCAGGCTCACTCTTCCCAGTCACCTACGAAGCCTATCCCCTCAGGAGAGATGATCCAGTCTTCAAGTGCAATATTATCTGTACTCCTCTTCGTCTCTCCCACATCCAGTGCCCCAGTCCCTCCCACGTAGTTGCGCGATCCCAAACGTCAAATCTCCTTTCCGGCCTGGAGGCTTCCATGTCCATCTCCCCGCTGGTCAAAACTTTCATTGTTGTTGGAACTCATCGGCCACTTTTTCCCACAAAGCAGAGTCCGTGGAATGATAGGTGGCTGGCCGCTTGTGCTTGAACATCAGACGGAATAGCTCGAAGCACCACAAAGCGTTAAGCTTGTCGAAATCCAGAGTAGGAATGTCTGGATACTCCGTGGCCGGATTGGTCTGATTCCCAAAAGCCCGAATCGCTTGCCGAGCCAATTCGACATCATTCGTCCTCGCAGCATGACAGAAGGCAGCCCACGGATCTGCATGAGCCTGTTGACGTAAAACTGTTGTGATGGTATGGTTCCATGCCGAAGTCTGCAGCATGTCACATAGACGCTGCAGTTCAACGAGCTCTTCAAATCTCAAGCCGATCGCTCGTGTAAATGGGGCCCTCAATAGCCAGTCAGGGGTGTACAGCAGAAGGAGGTAGATTTCCAGGACAATCGCGCTAGCATCCACATCGATAGTTGACACGTGATCCTGGACCGTTTCGCCTCCGGCCTCATCCTGGGCAGTCTCCACCGACGTTGAAGGGGAACAATCGTCAATTTCCAGACTTCTCTTCTTGGCATTCTTCGACTGTCCATCAAGAGGTAAAGACAACATGTCGCGGACCAATCCACTGAACCCCAGAGTCAGCCTGGTCGTGCCATGCTCAAAGCGAACGGACCTTTTCAGACTCATGATGTGACTGTGCACACGGTAGCACACCTTGTCGTTAGAGACTAGGATGAGATCAGCTCTAGGGTCTAGATAGACCGGGGACCACTCCTTGCCGTCATTGCACACGGTTTGCGCTGACATATTTCGTGTTCTGAGCCAGTCGTGTCGCAGAGCGGTTGGTAGTCGATTGAGACAAAGCGCTGGATGATGAGATGCTGACACGAACTCACACTGCGCCACATTTTTTTTATGTAATCTGTTTCACCCACTGTACAGGTCAGGCAATTATCAATGCTGAGCAACGGGTCCGAAGTACGTGAACCGCTCATTAGCAGCCAGGTCGTCACGGCGAGCTGGGATTTTCCACAGATTACAAGGCTGGGCGTGCTTGTAAGGGAACACCATTCATTCACAGGACACAGATGGGGTATGATCCGGTATGTGCCATTCTCTAAAGACAAGCTATTCGTTTTTTTTTTAAGCGTTGTAAGTGGATGAAGACACCTAGAGACTTGTCAGTACACAGTAAACCTAGCCTGGGACCACTCACATCTCCCGAGTTGGCGGTCCACTTGACGTGAATGTCCTCTCCAGCCTTCATGTGGTCGTTCTCCATACCAGGTCGAACACGGAATGTGTGTGCTGCAAGAGTCAGTCAACCCGTCTCAAGTATAAAATCCCACCTCCGAAGAAGTCTCGCTGAGCCTGGATCAAGTTGGCAGGAAGAGTCTCGGTCCTGTATCCGTCAAAGAAGGACAAGGCGGTGGTGAAGGCAGGGATGGGGATTCCCCAGAGGCTGGAACGGGTCAGCCGAGACTCGGGTTGTTTCACTCACGTAGATTGAGCAACAACACGTCTCCATCCAGGTTGAGCTTGAGAGATAGCCTTCAAGAAGAAGGGGCTAGTGAGCAGACTCTCGAGCTCTGGGTTCTCTCGGTAGGCAGCGGTGATGTCGGAAAGGAAGACACTCTGAGCATTATCAGTAACTGGCGATTTGCGGGCGAACCCACCTTGATGATACATCCTCCTCGCCACATGGCAGCGATACCGGCATTGTTCAAGGTCCAGTTGTAAACCTTGGCAGCCTCTCGCATGAGCATGAATCCCTGAGCGTAAGAGATGATCTTGGAGGCGTAAAGACCTTGCATGAGGTCGCTGAGGGCGTCAACAGTCAGTCTTTTGTCTCCAAACTCACTCGATGAATTGCTGCTTGTCGCCCTGGAAGGGTTGCTTGGCAGGAGCGGCGATGACCTTGCTGGCCCTGACTCGCTCCTCCTTGAGGGAAGAGAGACATCGGGCAAAGACGGCTTCTCCAATCAAGGTAACGGGCATACCGAGGTCCAGAGCGTTGATAGCGGTCCACTTTCCAGTTCCCTTTTGACCGGCAACATCGAGAATCTTGTCGACCATTGGGACACCGTCAGTGTCGTTGAATCGGAGAATGTCTCGAGTGATCTCAATGAGGAAAGAGTTGAGGACTCCGTCTTGCCACTGGCGCGATCGTCAGCAATGGTCAAATCAGTGACGGTGGACTCGCCTTGGAGAAGATATCGGCGATCTCGGCGTGTTCGAGGCCCAATCCTCGCTTGAGAATGTCGTAGGTCTCGGCAATGAGTTGCATGTCACCGTACTCGATACCGTTGTGGACCATCTTGACGTAATGTCCGGATCCTGCATGGGCATGAGCACGGACACGTCGTAAGCTACGAAATGATACTTACCAGTCTGTCCGACCCAGTCACAGCATGGCTCTCCGTAAGCCTGAGCAGCAGTCTTCTGGAAGATCTCCTTGATGTGTGGCCAAGCGGCGTCACTTCCTCCAGGCATGAGAGAAGGACCGTTTCTGGCACCCTCTTCACCTCCAGAGACACCACTTCCGACAAAGAGAAGTCCCTTGGATTCGAGCTCCTTGCATCGTCGGATAGAGTCAGGGTAGTGAGAGTTTCCACCGTCGATAATGATGTCTCCCTTTTCGAGGTGAGGTTCAAGTTGAGAGATAAAGTCGTCGACGGCAGGTCCAGCCTTGACGAGGAGGATGATTCGCCTAGGGGTCTTGAGCTTGGAGCAGAGTTCCTCGATCGAGTGGGCGCCGATAACGTTGGTACCTGGAAATCATCAGCAAGCGTTAGCGATTCATGATTCACCCTTGGCCTCGTTTTCAAGGAATCGGTCGACCTTGGAGGTAGTTCTGACGAATAGTTCAGTATGTGGTCAGAGAGTAGCAGTGATTTTGCTCACCGGTTGAAGGCGCAGACCTTGAATCCCTTGTCGTTCATGTTGAGGATCAAGTTTTGGCCCTGTAGAGTGTGCGGCACGATGTGAGGGTGAAAAACGTGGTAGGTGGTAAAGATGGTAGAAGCAACAGGGACAAAAGTGGAGGTATCACGGTCAGCGAAACATGGATGTCTAGACGCTTCGAACCCTCTCTCACCATGACGGCCAAACCGATTAGACCGATATCAGCGCTAAGGAGATGGGTCAGCAACTGTTTCGTCTAAGAGTTATGAATCGCGCGGAGCATCGCCGACGTCATCCGGAGTACCGAGCCCCGTCGAGCAGCGACGGGGGGACTAGACCCCCAAGCAAACACACTCACAGTTGAGAGTCAGACATTGTGTATGGCTTTTGTACTTTTGAGACTCAATCCGAGGTATGTGACTGTAGTCTGAAGAGATGCAAGTTTGCTGACAGTTGAGAGAGGAAAGAGAAAGAAGGAAAAGAGAAAAGAGAGAGAGAGAGATCAAAATGCCATCATCATCCCACTCCCCCCAACGCCTCTTTATTCCTTGTAATATTTATTTACAGTGGCATTTAATCTCTCCATTTTATCCCAAAAGGGCGAGGCGGGTGGGCTTACATTTGAACGCTATGCCCAGGGGGGCATACCTGCTGCAACGCATGGCAAATCACAGACACCCTGCTCATACATGAAGCTCCTGAATGTACTCAGTGATATCCGTGAATCATGCCATGGCACCTTCATCGTCTGTGAGGAAAGCCCCCCATCACGGCGGATCGGACCTGTTCTTCGGGACTCGACCGGAGTAAACGGGCCGGTGTTCCGTGACCGTCTTGGTTCTGATACCATCAGCATAGTGCGTGTTCGCTACAACTCTAGTCAAGACAAGGCACAATGCTACACTTTCTGCTTTCCTAACGGACGCATCTTCACACTTCATGCGTCTCTGTCTGGATGCAAAGTCAGCGATTCAGATTTCTCATACCTTTCGCTGCCCACCCAGGTGATCAGACTTCACCTGGTCCTGGATAAACTGGCCCCACTCACCTCGGCCCAATCCCTGACCGCAGCATCTACCCATCCTCTTATGTCCGCAAGGGCTTTTTGTACAACTTGACCGTTCTCTTCCACGGGTTCCTCCTCCTCCTCCTCTTCTTCTTCTTCTTCTTCTTGCTCCTGAAGGATGTCCTCTTCCTCATCCACATCCTCAATCTGAACGCGCGTGTTTTGAACGCCATGTCCTGCGCCGATACCCCGAGCCACTAGCTCTCGATGGATGATTTCCGTCTGCTTGATGATCTCGTCCTTCTCCTTATCGAGTATCGTCACCAGAGATTCCAGTCCCGCAGCTTCAGCTTGTAGCGTTTTCAAGGTCGTATAGTCCCCTAGTAAGGCTTCGCGTTGTGCCCACATGTCAGGAGAGACCGCTTGTTCTCCACGTAATCGCGACAAGGTATCTTCCTTCTCCATGAGTTGATTACGAAAAGATCTGAGCTCGGTCTGTATTTTCTCAAGATACCCATAATCGATCAATGTGCCGTCTTGCGTAACGGAGGATGGCTTGAGTACGGATGATGCGGATGGCGGCGGCGGGATAATGTCGGAGGAGGCTGTACGAGATGCTTGAAGAGAGGCTAATCGAGCACGTAGTTGGGCGTTCTCATCTTGCAGACTGTCCACTTCCATCTCGAGCGCGTCACTGGTGTGGCGGAGGCGGAAAAAGCATTCAGTGGCAGGAGCATGATCAAGGAGGGCAGATGTAGGACAATTTGCAAAGGGCAGAAAACGAACATGGCAACGATGCACGACGACCCTGTCAGCCATTGTTCACGTCGCTGTACGGTATACACTCACACTTCCTTCCTCTTCTTCCGCCTACTCTTCTCAGCCGCTTTCCTATTCTGATCCCTCTGTTTCTGCTTCTTCTGCTCGTCCGTCATATCGCCATTGTTCCCGGCTTCTAATCCTCCAAGACCGATGCCAATCCCATTCTTCCTCCGCTTCCCCTTCCGTTCTTCCGTCGTAAGATGACTTCCAACACCGATACCCGAGGAGCTTGAGGCCTCCAGTCCAATGAGGTCCAAAGCATCGTCACGGGTATTCCCAACGTGGTCGTCGTCTTCCTCATCATCTCCTCCTCCTTGGCCAAAGATTTCTTCTCTCAGTGACAGTGGGTCCACATCATCCACATGCCCATCATGGGATGTGGTCGCGAATTCGTTCTCCAGCAATGCTTCATAGTCTTCCTCCATGGTTCGATAGTGAGGTCGATCGTGACGTGTTGTAGTGCTTTTAAGAGGTCGAAGAGACTTTGTTATCAAAACAAACAACCACAAAAGTACGGTTCAGGCAATTCTTAAATGAGTCACCCGATAAGACGCCCAGTTCGGGGGATCCGATCCACGCGGGGCATCTTGCGGTATATCCTGCGGGACTCGCTGTCTCTCTGTGATCACATACCGATTGATCCAATATGGGAGTCGAGCAGAACGGAAAGACTGTGGTGCTGAAGCATGACTCGGTGAGAGCTGCTTATCGGCTTCAATTCACGTATGCTCACGCTCAATTAGGGAGCTTCTGTAGAGGTATAGTAAGTCTGACAGATGTCCCATGCCTGGGCTGACCAGCGATCTCCCCCCTTTCTCAGTCTCTTCGGAGCTACCGTCACGTCTTGGAAAGTCGATGGAGAGGAGAAATTCTTTCTCTCGTCCAAATCCTCACTTGACTCGAGCAAGCCAGTGAGTGAAGTACCAGAAGTGGGGGAACATTGCGTCAATATCAATGACGCCTTAATGCTGACCATGTTGTTGTTTTCTAGATCAGAGGAGGTATTCCCATCGTCTTTGTGAGCGACAACACATGAGGGGGCGCGACCAAGGACCAGTAGCTGACCAATGACTTCATTGCTCTCTGCAACCTCTCCGACTATCGCCTCCCCCTCCGTAGCCCATCTTTGGCGCTCCTCCTTCCTCTCCCCCCGAATACGCAGCCTTGAAACAACATGGATTCGCTCGAACTGCCGATTGGTCCGTTGATAAAGTCATCATGGATCGACCAGAAGGCGTCTCCGTCCGATTCGTAGCCCCTCCCCCTCCCTCAGAATTCAAACACTCTTACAAACTCGCTTTTGTCGTCACGCTCGCCGCGCACCAATTGTCAACCGATCTGCACATCATCAATGAAGGCAAGGAAGAGTTCCAATTCCAAGCGCTACTGCACAACTACCTCGCAGTTCCCGATGCGAAGAAACTCAGCGTCGAGGGTATCGACAAGGGAACCCGATACAAGGACAAGACTCAGAACTTCAAAGAGTTGATCTGGCCCGGAGAGCCTTTAACCATTACTCAGGAGACTGATGCGTGAGTTGGAGGGAGATCCCGCTCTGAAGAGAATGCCACTGACCTTTTCCCTCAGCGTGTTCCAAAAGCTCGAGACGCAAGAACTCAAGTTGGACTACGGTAATGGCAAGGGACTGAATGTCCGATTCCGAGGTTTCGAAGAGTGAGTCATGGTCTTTGCCACGATCATACAGCTGACACCTCATCCCCAGCTGCACAATCTGGAACCCTCAAGAGAAAGGAAAGACCATGGCTGATATGGAGGACGGCGGATGGGTGCGTTTCGGCGGTGTAAATCCAAGCTGACCTGAGGACAGGAGCGATACATTTGCATTGAGCCTGGTTTCGTCAGAGAATTCAAGTACCTTCAACCAGGCGAAGAGTTCCTAGGTCAACAGGTCTTGACCATCTTCTAGCCACCTGTCAATGACTCGAAAACTCGAAAAACGATGCTCGGAGCATGAGATAGCTCCGATACAATGCATGATGTTCCCTGTACCAAGCTGGAACCTTCCAGACCTTTTTGACGTCAATGCCACGTGCGCAACAGGCTTGACCCGAGGCAATGATTATGGAGTTTCGTAGAAAGCAATAGCCAACTACTGTATCGAAACCTGTCGATCCATAGAACAGCATTCACCATGGCAGACAGCTCGAGCAAACCTACTCACCCCGAGATCACCTACGCTGAGAGATCATCAGCTACTGAACCGGAAAAGGTGAGCAAGATGAGTCATGCGAGTGTGAATGAAAGCTGACCCGGTTGATCTCTTCCACTTGTTACGTGCCGTCCTCTCTTCCCACCATGTTTCCATCGGCCACCTACATCATGCCGTTCTGTACGCTTCTCAGAACATCATCTACTTTACGATCAATGCTCCGAACATTGATGGCGAGCCAAAACTCGAAATCAAGCCGACAGAGATTTCATTCTTTGCCAAAGCTGGAGAGTGAGTCTGAAGTGGAATGCAGGAGGATCCCTTGCTCATCAATATTCAGTCCCTCCAAGGGAGTGCCCAGCAAGGAGTTTGCATTTGACCTGCAACTGTACGATGAGATCATCCCTGAGGTGAGTGGAGGAGGTCAAGCAGATTGAACTCTGTAGGGGCTAACAACTGATGATGAACACTATCAGGAAACCAAAAAAGTCGTCAATGAACGAGCTATCCTGTTGATCCTCCGTAAAAAGACAGCCAAGGCGGAATACTGGCCCAGGTTGACCAAGGAGAAACCTAACAGAAACTGGGTCAAGACGGACTTCTCAAAGGTGGGTGAAGAGCTATCATCGGGATCTACAGTCATGCTGACCGCTGCAACAGTGGGTCGACGAGGATGAACAGGAGGGCGCCGAGTGAGTTTGGAGATGTGGCAGGCTTTGGGCCGAGCTAATTTTCTCTCAGGATCGAGGACATGAGCGGTATGGGAGGAATGGGAGGAATGGGAGGTATGGAAGGTATGGGCGGCATGGGTGGAATGGGTGGTATGGGCGGTGGTATGGGCGGAATGGACTTTGTAAGTCTATCCCATCCGTAGCGGCGGGAATCGTCGCTGACCAGAGTGTTCTCTCCCCCCCTTCCGCCGGTGTGTCTTATGGATTCAATGCTCCACTCGTCCTCTCTCGACCCCAAACTCCATCCCCACCACAGGCCAGCATGATGCAGCAGATGGGAGGAGCTGGTGGTATGGGTGGACTCGGCGGAATGGGAGGCATGGGCGGTATGCCCGGTATGGGAGACATGGACGGCTTGGACGACGATGATGATGATGATGACGAGGGCGCCGGTGCGGGAGACGAAAAGATCGAAGAGATCGGCTCGAGCAGCAAGGGGAAGGACAAGGCCGACGTGAGTCTCCCTTCAACGATCGTATTAGATGCCGAGCTGACCAGTCGATCATAGCTCAACGACGTCGAGTAGATGTTGAAATGGCCAGAGATGCTATCCCCAGACCAAAAAAAAAACATCATTTCACATGCATCAGCAGTTCTTCTTCACTCGCTATCGGCGTCCCGTGAACTCCAAGACTACAGTGAGACAAAGACGGCAGAATCTGCCTGGTCTCGAGGGGTCCTTTGACCGGTTGACGCATTCGATGACAATCAAAGAAACGCAGCCATTTGGTTTGTACACACATCAGTTTTCTCTATCGCGTCTCACATCATACCGTGGAGTGTGTCAGGCAAAGGCTACGAGCTTGCACATGCTCAGATGGGTCGTTGAAACCTTCTCTTGACAGGTAGTATGCAACGGAAACTCTGGTCCGACGCAGTGTGTTAATCTCCTCTCGGGGACCACTTTTACGATGCTGTTCGACCCCCCTTCTCAGTCAGGCCTGTTTCCCTCCTCTCTCTCCGCCTCGAAGTACCTCGCGCGACACCTTACGACAGGGCTACGCCGCGCTCTAATGACATCGTGCGACTGTAAGATGTGCGCTCGGCTTCTCTCACAGACAAGCTCAAAAGTTGGCCCTAGCAGCAGTACCGATGGTCATAGTGGAGTCGAGGCGAAGGACGTGGATGATTCTGCCAAAGTTTGGTCTCAGGATCATTAAGGTCCGTAGACCAACCCTAGTCACGGTTCAAAGAGCAACCGGGACGCAACATGACGTGCAAAAGGACGTGTACATGCAATGTAGGATGATCCGACAACAAGACAGCTCTCTTGGATGTGTCTAACCGCGGCCTTCAAGCCAAGCGAAGTGTCTGCACTCCGGTAGATCTCTCGGAGACATGCAAGCATTTCACGCACTTTTATCTGCGCCACGCCCAATTGTGCCAAAGCTTGGCGGCCTGCGCAGGGCGTCAGTCTCTCTCTGATAGTCATCGGACTTCTCTGACTGACAAGTGGGATACCTCGCTCTATATCGTTCGTAAATCCAGCTTTGATCTGTTGAAATTGTTCTTCGGTGACCCCAGGTTTGGACATGAAAATTTGTCTGGTACTCTGGGCAGAGTCAGAAACGAGTACAATGATGTTGTGCCACATGCCTCCGGCATCGACAAGACGTTCTCCTTCATGATGCGTCTAGGAATGGCGGACGATCAGCTGACTACATTTCCGAGGATCGATCCTCACCCAGCCTCAATCGCGTTGGGGTCTGTAAAGGGTGTAAGTGAGTCATCTACCAGGCCAATGTGGCGCTTTACCATCGGTACACGGGGTGAACGGGAAGATGCTCTCCAACTGCCCAGTCTCTTTCACAGACGCATGCTCTCTAAGCAGAGTAGCTACTGTATAGCCAGGCAGCAGATCTGTGCCTCTCGCCTTGAATGCCCTGTTTCGTGGATGTCAACTCGAGTCCTTTTCCAACACAGGGCACCAAAAAATTCACGCCATGAAAACATTGTGACACGCTGCAAAGCCCGGTGCCAACTTCAACGTATCTTCTTCTGTGCCGTTGTAGACGGTGATCGGGAAGCAGATTTCCACCGAGATGATCAGACCGCCAGGCTTGGTGATTCGGACGAGCTCATCAATCACCGGTCTCCAGTTTTGGACCTGGCAGCGAGAGTTGAGACGACGCATATCAAAGACGAGCAGTGTTGTCCACGCTTACCGCTGTGATGAGATGTCTGGCGTGGACAATGTCAAAATGACCATCAGGGAAGTCGAGACCTGTGAGTACATTCCCCTTGACGTACTCGACGTTGGACGGTTGGCTCGGTCTTCGTTCTATGGCAAAGAGGTCGAGGCCCTGCCCAATCATCACTCAGCCTAAGTAACCAGTGCAGGAGGCGATGCCCACGGTCCATTGAACTTCGGGAAACTCTTTGGCCATCTCCAATGCCCTGCTGGTATCAGTCGTGTCACTTTAGTGGCGTGGCATAGAACCGACCAGATTCCCGAGCCTACAGACAGTCAGCTTTCCAGCGCCCGTAAAAGCTCTCACCTGATCCAACGTCGATTCCGCGTTTGACCATATCCTTAGCACTGTCCTGACCGAGAACGTCTCTGACAGGAGCAACATAGTTCCTGCCTCCGTAAAGCTATAGCGCATCAGCTGGGTCAAACTGAGGCAGGACACTGTACCGTCTTTAGGCCCAAATGCTGACGGTCAAGTCGCTAGGGAAGTGTAATGAGTGAAGAGAAGAAGATGGTAGGGAACTGCTCGGCGGCTCACTGCGAACTCTGGATCGTCTTTACATCCGTCAGCCAGCGGTGTGGCGTACTTCGCTTACCCGCGGGGAGCTGGAAGACCATGAGGAGTCAATACTTCGGCACCTACTTTGTGTCATTTCACTGACTGGATAGTGCTCTATGGAGTCCGCTGTCAGTGACATCTCCCACTGGCAGCCACGACGATTCCAGTATCTCAACCTTCCCGCTCACTCACCATTCGCCGTCTGGTACCTTCTCCCTCCTTCCTCTGTTGTTCATCAGACCACCTCATCTCTCTTGGGAAAGAACCGAGGTTACGTACCTCTAAAGTCTCTGGTGCAGGATGAATCAGTCTCAATCTCACAGTGCGATACTTCAGTAGATACTCACTGCTTGTCACTCATGTCTGGTACAGGTATAACGTTCAAAGAACAAAGATAACATTACACGAAGAGTGTACAGTCACATCCGGGCCCGCTTGTAACGACACACACTTACCCGTTCCGACGGAATTCAATCACTAGCACCATTTCTCAGGCACCGGAGATCAAAAAGAGCGGTATTACAGCGGGAAGGACTCTGTGGCGACCATCTATCTGCCATGACAGCAGGCAGTGACGATAAGCCAGTAGCGTAGCTCAGGGCTCAGTACGATGTTTCGTCTAGCTCTGATGCGATCGACTCGCAGTCACGTTGAGCTCGCCTTATGTGGGTTGCTGCGAGCCAAACTTCCTTCGACGGTCTAGACTCTGGGACCGCATGTGGTCCACTCGCTTGGCAAGTGGTGGATAACGACGTGAACGGGGCTGTCTCGCACACCGCGGCCTTCCAACTTGTGAACAGATGGGTGCGAAGCACATAAGAAGCAGTAGACGATATCCCACGTGTCACCACTTCATACGTTGACCCCAGTTCTGCCACGCAATGATAGAGACATTCGTGGCGGTGGCGGCAGACTCAACTCGTGACACTGTTCCATCTCGTATATCACTGCAATCAAGTCTCTACCTTCCGCTCAGCCAGCACTGAGCCCCCGGACTGCGCTGTGAAGACGCCGCCAAGGCGCTCAGTTGTGTATACCTGTTTGACGCTTACCTTTTCGCCATCTGACTACTCTGTTATGCCCGAGCCGATCATCATACTGGCACATGGGTCGCCTTTCTCCTCAATTGTCCGGATGAAAGCTGCACCGCACTGCATATCAGTCTTGATGATCGCTCCTCCATTTGGCTTGACCTGCTGCTGCAATGGAGACTTGCTCAGATCTGGGAGGGAGTCCTCACGTGGGGGATTACTAATGTGATGATTAGGATTCTGGAACTGTTTGAATGGGAAATTAGAAAATCCCACGTGATGATGTCATTACATTTCACCAAGGAGAGCCCGGGGCATTTCATTTGCGGATCTCTGCACCGTTCATCTACAACACCTCACATCCTGCAGATCATCATTCTGGACATCCATAGCTCATCTCATCCAGCTACAGATAAGACCCGACTCGGCAGCTCATCGACCACGAACACGAGCTCGCATCGACTGTCCTTCGAGCACGGAGAGAGGTCAATCATCTCACATCACTTGGTCCTCTGTAAAGATCCTCTGTCATCCCTTGCGCGTGAATCTCACCAAATATGTCGACCGCACCAACATCCCTCCTACAGACAGCCCTGCAAAACCTTCACGTATCTCAGCAAGCTCGAGATCAATCGCATACACCTCTGGCGGACGATGCATCAGAAGCCACTGCATCCTCCTCTCGAAATGTGTCGCCACCCGAGTCGGGGACGGACGACGATCTGGACGATGGAGACGATTACATCGCAGTAGGAAGGGGCACGCGCCCAGGGACGCCGTCCGTCAGTCAGAGAGGATTCAAGAGGTCTGCGGTTCCTCTCATGGCAGGAGCAGGAAGCAAGAAGAAGGATCCGGTGAGTCGACTGTCACCACTTCCTCCCCACTGACAGTCCTCCTCCAGTTGCGCACTCTCCCCACACATCTGGCCGTGCGAGTCTTCCTAGAGCTTGACGTCAAGGCACTGGCGAGATGCGATGCTGTTTGTAAACGATGGCACAAGTCTTCGACTCTGAATTATGGTTGGTACAGATCTTTCTGGCTCGCGGCTGAACCCCTGTACCAGTTTGGTTCCTCCAGAACAGAGCTTTGACCCTGCCTAGCCTCAACTCCATCTCTGGACCAGGTGGCAAGCTCAAGCAGGCCGTGGACGATACACCTGAATACTTTGATCCATACGATAAGACCCCCCGACTTGCAGCTCTGCCGAAACCACCCCTTCCTCAATCCAATACACCTCAGTGGACGAAGAACGAGTCCAAAAAGGTCTGGAAGACAGCGTTTCACCTGACTCTGAAACGGTCCGACCCAAATGCTGAGCTAGAGGACGATCCGCTACACGTCGATATCTCGAGTCTGCATACTTCCGGCACCAATACTCCCTCGAGGCATTCTCATGCTGGACAAGGCTCAGGGGGCGCAGCCAAATGGGTCAGCATGGCCAGTAATGGGCCCATGAGTCCGAGCGAGAGAAAACTGGCCGCCAGGGAGAATTACAAGGCTCTGGGCGGTCGCAAGTCGCGTGCCAAGCGAAAGATGGGTGGAGAGATGGGAGCAAGGGACAAAGGAGGAGCGGTGGATGACGGACGATTCGATGCTCCGTGGTGAGCATTAACCTGAGAGGTGTCAGGAGCATTGGGACCTTCCTCACAGACGCGATCTCCACGTTGCCTCTTGCTTTGTACTCGTCCTATAATGTGATATCTCCCTGGAGACCCCGCGACTCGACGCGTTTTTGGTCCCGTTTTTGATTTTTGTAATGTCCGAGATTCACAACGCGAAGTGTCTGCTTCTCTTACATCCTTATAGATGGTAGACCACATTCGACTCGTTTCATCATGGCGATAGAGTCACCTCATTCTGATAGGACAGCTCTGAAGCGATCCGTCAGTGTCAACAAGTCATATATCGACTTTTCCATGGAGACGGACGAGTCAGACGAGGACGATTTGCTGGTCCCGTCCACCAAAGCTGGTACCAGCACTACGCCTGTGAAACGAAAGCATGTGAGAGGGACTCACGAGGTGTCGCAGAGATGGACGCTACTGACAGGTGTTTCAGGACGAAGAAGCAAGATCTACGACTAGTGATGACTCAAATGACGACTCGGGATTAGGCGAGGAGGAGTATGAAGTTGAGTATATCGTCAACTCTAGATGGCGAACGATACAAAAGCGCAAGACATTGGAGTACCTCATTCATTGGAAAGGATATAGCGAGAAGGATCGCAGCTGGACGATTGCGAAGCAATTTGACGATGATGACCCGCCTGTCATTGACTTTTACACGAAACATCCTGGAAAGCCTCGAATGGGATCTGATACCACACCTAAGCAGACGGTTAGGATAGCCAGTGCTGGACCATCCAAATCTTCTCAACCTCGAAACAGCTCCCCTCTGCGTCCACCATCTACCAGGGAGACTCGGCCGCTCACTCAGACAAAGAGGGTCCAGGGCGATCTGAGGAATTGGTTTGGCAACCCTGACACGACTCAATCTCGCGGAAAGGAAAATGCTAGAGTGGTCAGTACGAGCAGTGCCAAAGAGGTCACACCTGTCAAGTCGAAGGACAAAGCGGCCAGCAAACCGGTCAAGAAGACCACTCCACCGCCAAGGAAGAAGAAGAGGGTGATAGTCTCGGATGATGACGCCGATGAGGATTTCGTCATGGACGAGGACAAGCAGGAGAGTGAAGAGGAAAGCTCGTATTCCGCTGCAGAGGAAGAAGGAGATGGTAGTGTTGAGGCGGACGGACTTGTCGAGTCAGATGCCGAGGAAATCGTCGGTGAGTGACATTCCCCTAAATGCTCAAGTCAGCACGCTGAAGATGCCGCAGTGGAGAAGAAGGCAAAGAAATACGGTGGATGGGGCAACACGATCAAGGCGCCGAAAAAGGCTCCTGTGAATCTGTATGTGATGAGTCACATGCAGGAATCGACTCACCTCTCTCAGGGGAAGCTACAAGACTGGCATCAAGCCCTTGGAATTGAAGATGGACAAAGGCATCGCCGCTAAGAATCTCAGCGAAGACCTGCCTCCTCTATCTGACGTGGAGGCGATGTTTGATCATCTTGTCTCGCGTGTAAGCCTTGCTACAGACCGGTCGCCATCATCTGACATGACGTGCAGGTACCAGACCTTGTCAAGGTGGTCGAACGCCTGAATGGTCGTAAGCTGAGAGTAGCCACCATGTGCTCGTAAGTCGACCGAGAGTGAAGTCGCCTTTCTGATCGTCCGACAGTGGTACCGAGTCGCCCGTTCTGGCTCTGAACATGATCGCAAAGGCCATCAAAGTCCAGCACGGTCTGACCCTGTCGTTTGATCACGTCTTCTCTTGCGAGATCGAACCGTTCAAGCAGGCGTACATTGAACGAAACTTTTCCCCGCCCATCTTATTCCGAGATGTCACCGAGCTAGGCAAGAACAAAGCTCACACGGCTTACGGATCCATGGCCAAAGTGCCGGGCAACGTTGATGTGAGCGGAACGTTGATGGCGTGCTGACGCTCCCAGCTCTTGATCGCAGGGACGTCTTGTGTGGACTACTCCAACTTGAACAACCAGCAGCAGAGTATCGAGGGGAACGGCGAGTCTGGACGGACTTTCCGAGGGATGATCCAGTGGGTCAAGAAGCATCAACCGCCAATCGTCATATTGGAAAATGTATGCAATGCACCGTGGGACAAGGTGGTGGAATATTTTGGTCAGATAGACTATGACGCCCAGTATGCGAGGTGAGAGAAGCTCCAATAGGTAATGGTCTGACCGTTTCACAGACTTGACACGAAAGAGTTCTATATCCCTCACACGCGGACCCGAGTCTACCTATTCGCCACCCCCCGTGGCAATGACAACAAGAGTCACCTCGCTGACAAGTGGGTTATGACCGTCAAAGACATGAAACGACCTTGGTCATCGTCATTTGAAAACTTTCTCCTGCACACCGATGACCCAAACATCCACCGCGCCCGACTTGATCTCGCTGCGGCCAAAGCTTACAAGGACGGGACGCAGCGTAAACCTACCGATTGGAATCGATGCGAGTCTCGACATCAGTTCGCCCGACATTCAGAAAATCTTGGAATCCTTCGACCGCTCACATCGTGGCAAGAAGCTGGAGTTTGTAAAGGTCTCGATTGGACCTGGAACGACTGGCTCTTGTCTCAGACAGAGCGAGTCTTGGATCTGCTAGAGATCTCGACCCTGCGAATGGCGAAAGATGGCATCGACTCTGGGTTCAAAGCTTGTATCTGGAACGTCAGTCAGAATGTGGATCGACAGACTGGATCTAACAAAACGGCTTTGGCACCGTGCTTGACGCCCAACATGATCCCATGGGTCACCAATCGAGGAGGTCCGGTCACTGGTCGGGAGGCTCTGGCTCTTCAGGGAATCCCGGTTCGAGAACTACTCCTGACAAGTGAGAACGAGGACCAGCTCGCCGATCTCGCTGGAAATGCCATGACCACGACTGTTGTCGGAGCATCGATGATTGCAGCCCTCAGGGTGGCTCTCGATCGACTGACACCTGGAGAGAATGCCGAAGGAGACGCCACGCAGATTGAACAAGATGCTGTCGCTGTGGACGATGAAGCTACTCAACGCATTGTGGGAGACGACAAGCTCGAGACACACGAATTAGACCTCGCCAAAGTTGAGACGGCGAATCTTCAGGAAATGCTCGATCTCGCCTTGCAAAGTTCAAGACACTGCCAATGTGAAGGTCAATCGGGGACGGCTTCCCCGATCGAGGAATGTACGGCATGTGGATACAAAGCTTGCAAAGCTTGTGGCGGCCGACCTGACCACCATTACGCGCCTTGTGGCAATGACCGTGTGGAGCCGACCGAGTTTGAGAGGAAGTTTAAAGAGCTACTACCGATGCGTGTCAAGGTCGCTGGTTTAACCGAGGAGTCGCTGAGCGTCTCGAGAGCTGCGGCACTCAGGGCGGGCAAAGGCGAGGTCTCGGACAAAGACTGGTCATCTTGGAGCTCGGCAGTTGTCGAGGGCGTCATGGATGCCGAATTCCGATTCCGATACCTCAAGCGAGGATACACGTGGACAGCGGTGTACGAAGCACCTCATGCCAGTCTCGACTTGTTTCTTCATCCCCAGACCCCCGAATGGCGACTCACTATCAAAGCACCACCCACCGAAGCAGTCAACAGTCGCTTGAGAAACTTGGTCCTTCATCCGGTCGCCCGACTTCGTTTCGATATTCATGGCAGTGATGTGCTTTGCGGGCCGTGGGAAGTTTGTGTGCCGTCCAAGCAGAGCTTCGACATACAGATCACTGGTCGAGGCGAGACTGTTCCCAGCTGGCACGCCCTGCTCGGTCTACAGGGAGATTTGGGGAAAAGCAAGCGTTGGTCCAAGCTTGAAGTGTCTGTGCCTGCCGAAGCCAGCCGAGCTCTGGATCGAGACCTTTCTGGTACATACGAGCTGCTTCCCAAATGTGGCCAGGCCATGACCTCTCTCCACAAAAAGATCTCTACAGGTGGTGACGATGGTCTCGCTCAAATCTTCTTCTTCTTTGACCCTACGCGATGTGGCGAACCGGAAGAGGACTGTTTCGTGTTCTCAACCAGAACGGAACGATTAGATGCCGGTGTTGAGCGACCCATCATCGCGTCGCTGAGCAAGAAATGGAGAGAGTCCGCCAAGGAGCACGAGACTGTCCGGCTCGACATTCGGGGAGGATGGGTCAAATGTGACAGTGCTCACTTGACCGCCGTGGGCGGGAACGAGATCGCAGTCGTGGCGGATCCAGGTGCTCGAACGCACGAAGACTCGGCGACTTTTGCTGTCCCTCCAAACGCTGCTTCCGTCACCGAGGCAACCGAGTCACAAGGCTGCCAACACGCATCTGCCATCTTGGCTTGTCAAGTGCCTCTTGACCCTGGTCATTCCGAGTCCATGTGGCGGAATGGTGCCTGGGGCGAAATTGACCTGATGCATGCTGGTAATGCGACATTCGCGAATCTCGCCTGGATCACCGAACGCATCCCCTTGCTTGGCAACCTCGCGCAATGGAATATGCTCTCCGAGGATGTGAGTGGACATGAGCGAGGTGTTTAGCTGAATTGCCCAGGCCTCTGGACATGCTTGTGAACGATGTGCACCTCGACCTCCGAAGATTCACTGGATAAAGCGTGAGGGCAAGCTGAACAAGAATGGTAACAAAACAAGGAGCCCAATCGTGGCATTTGAGGATAAGTACGAAGCTGGCCGATACGAACATGTAAGTCATCACGAGTCAGGAATTTCGGCTCACGACCGCCTAGGCGCTTAAACACCGACCATCCCCATTCGTCCTCCAACTCCGACTCGATGACTCTACTGGCCGCTTCAGGATCGGTTTGAACATCGTTTCTCTCGCTCATCGGGCCTTGTCTCGTCTGCCTCTCAATGCCAAGAAGGGCACAATCAAGCTGTCGTGGAAACTTACGCCTGGTCAAGTCGCCGATGTCCCAGAGCCCCCTCGAGTGTTCATCTTACCCAGTAACAAGTTAGACCCGCAACACGCTCAACCCAGAGGATTCCAACTTGATCTCAGGAAGGAACAGTTGAGGTCTCTCTGGTGGATGCTGGAACGGGAAAAATGCAAAGGAGAGACACACACATTCATCGAAGAGGAGATATCTGAAGCTGCATTGCCGTCGCTCGGGTGGCGAGCAGAGGGCAAGGCAGAGAGACCCGTCATGATTCGTGGAGGAGTCATTGCGGATCAAGTCGGATACGGGAAGACCATCATCTCGTTGGCCTTGATTGCGGAGAGCAAAGGTTTGGAAACTCCTGAACCTGCTCCCCAAGGCTCGATTGAGCTCAAAGCGACGCTCGTTGTCGTCCCTGGACATCTGAGCAAGCAATGGCCGAGTGAGATCACCCGATTCACAGGCAAAATGTTCAACACTGTCGTCATTCAGAACATGGCAGACCTCAACAAACTCAGCATTGCCGATTTATCCAAGGCGGATATCATCGTCCTCGCTTCAGAGATTTTCGAAAGCGATGCCTACTGGCAACGATTCGAATACCTTTCTGCTCAGCCTGATGATTGGTTGAACGACAAGAACGGAGGTCGATTCTTCAGTGATCGATTGGATACAGCTCTGGCTTCTCTGGAGCAGCAGACAGCCCTGTTGGCTGGATCAGGAGGTGCTGAATCTGCTCTCAAGACAATGGAAGAAGCTCAACGGGAGGCCGTGAAAGAGGCTGAGAAGCGAAAAGAAGCTCATAAAACGGCAAACTTTGGAAAACGAATGAAAGGGCAGGCATATCGTAATCGGTACGATGCGGCGGATGGCAAGAAGATGCCTACGAAGGACTCAGATAAGTGGGAAGCCTCTGGTGACGAGGAGGTGAGTGGACTGCAATTGTAGGCACTTTCAAAGCTGATGCAACCACTGTGCAGGAAGATGATGAGTTACCTTTGCCGGTGCCTACATTCCGCAAACCGTCCGGGACCAGCTCCTTTGGTAGCTCGACGGTCAAGGGTAACCACAAGCTTCTCGCCGCTCCGGTCTTCCACATGTTCAGGTGAGTCACTATTCCGAAGGACTTCAAGTGTTGATCACCACAGATTCCGTCGAGTCATTGCAGATGAGTTTACGTATTTGGCGAGTCGGTCTCTGGCATCCATCTTGAGGCTCAAATCTTGCTACAAATGGGTCTTATCGGGTACACCACCCGTCGGTGATTTTGCGGCTATACGAAGGTGTGTAGTATCCAACCCGGAGCGAATGCTGCTAACCCTGATCTCACAGTATCGCAGCGTTCATGGGTATCCACCTCGGCGTGGACGATGATGGCGAGACACCCACGCAAAGCTCAAAGGCTCGAGCTAAAGAGCAAACACAAGCGGAAAAGTTTCACGCATTCAGAGAGGTCCATTCGCAGGCGTGGCATCGACGTCGTGATGATCTGGCACAAGAATTCCTAAACACCTTTGTCAGACAGAACATTGCAGAAATCGACGATATACCGACGATGGAGCACGTTCATGAAGTCAAGCTGCCTGCCTCCGAGGGGGCGGTTTATCTCGAATTAGAGCATCATCTCCAAGCGCTGGATATGCAAGCGTGAGTTTGCGGACGATGATGCTCATTCAACTGACATGCCTCCAGTCGTAAGGAGACCAAATTCAAGAATGTCACAATCGGAGATAGAAACGCCCGATTGGAGGAAGCTCTCTCCGACTCAAAGACCGCCGAAGAGGCTCTGCTCAAACGGTGCTGTCATTTTACACTCGATTTGACCGACAAGGAGCTTGACGCAAAGTCTGCCGCGGAGGCGTGTCAACACATTTCGTCGGCGCGTTCGAGCCAGCTCACCGCTTGTGAGGAAGACCTGTATCGGTCCATGAATATTGCCGTCGGCTATCACCTCTACATCAAGAAGAAGGGTCACTTTGGCAAGTCTGATCCGGATGCCCAGCCATTCCGAGACTTTGTCATTCAGTCTTACGACACGTCGACCCATCAAGGTGATAAAGAGGCGGCGGAGCGATTGGTTCAAGTGCTGGAGAAATGCGGATTCAGACATACCGACTTCCCTAGCGAGCGTGCAGATGGCAAAGGTCCAGAGATTGAGAAGGGTGCCTCTGTCGATGATGTCAAGTGGAGTTTGAGGGAACAAACACATCTCCTTCGGCGACTGTCCAAAGAACTCGTCGCTCGAGTTCGATCCCTTCGATTCTTTGATGTGGTTCGGAAACTTCAGCTTGACGGTGCTGAAGCCAAAATCACCCTCGAGGGATCAGGCTGCAGTCACAAACCTTCAACTCATCCTGGAGTCGAAATGGCCGTCCTGTCCTGCTGTGGGCACGTGGCATGTCACGCTTGCATGCTCCAAGCTGCTGATCAACAGGCCTGCATTCGACCGGCAGACTGTCGAGCAGCGGTTCGATACACCAATGTTGTCAAAGTATCTTCTCTAGGTATCGAGGGTGAATTGTCATCTGGACGATTTGGTGCCAAACTTCAGCGTCTGGTCGATCTGATCCATACCATTCCACCGAAAGAACGTATCCTCGTGTTCACCCAATGGGACGATCTAGCCAACAAGGTTGGTCAAGCGCTAGAAGCCGGAGGTATATCGCATGTCATTTTCTCCGGTTCAGTCAAACAACGTGCCCTGACGCTCGCGAATTTCCAATCGACAGATGCCCAATCTGCTCGCGTCCTGCTCTTGAAGATGAACGACGCTTCGGCCGCTGGCTCAAATCTCACGACTGCGAATCACGCCATTTTCCTCGGTCCGTTGTTCACCTCGTCCTTGTACAACTACCGAGCGGTCGAGACTCAAGCCATCGGTCGTGTGAGACGATATGGTCAAACGAGAAAGGTCCACATCCATCGATTGTTGGCTTTGGACACGATTGATATGCGAATATTCAATGAGCGAAGAGCGGAGATGGAGGCGAAACCAGATTACGTGCCGATCCCTCAGGGAGAATACGTGGCGGGCAAGGCAAGCGGAGGCAAGAAACAGCAGGTACTTGATGCCGTAGAGGTTGATTAGTGGGAGACGTGGAGACACACACAAGAAGATTGGTGGTCTTGCTATTGTTGGTGTTCATACAGTTTTATTTCATGGCATATGCATTTCATAACGATTCGTGAAACGGTCTAGTATACAGGGTAGGCGAGTGAGCATACAAATAAAAAACACGAGAAACATCCTGTACAACAACGAACGTTTGTAGCTACAATGAGTCGCTCAAGCTTCTTCACCGTCAGGGCACGCGACGGCGATGAGAGCACGGAGATGAGCCCTGTCTACGGCGAAACTTGCTCGGGAAAACTTTCGCTCCTTTAAGAATGGTGATTTGGCCCGGGGTACAGATTCTGACGTAGAGCGAGGTGTGGTCGACCAAGACTTCGACCACTTCGCATCTCGTGTCTTGATCACGGACGGATCATCCTTCACCAGGCCTTCTTTAAGCCTCGCCACAGGTCTGAGGTCACTGGCTGTATTCGCAACACCGACCACTGCGTTTGTCGAGTGAATCGCGGATGACGCCATCTTCGCTCGAGAAGGCCTTCTCGCCGTCCGGCGCTCCTCGTCCGTATCGTAACCTTCGTCCAAATTTTCCATTATTACGGATCGGGGCGGCGCAAGCACGACACCTGCTCCCATTGCTTGAACGATTCGTTCTCCTATCCCAGGCGGTAGATCTCCGAATGATTCTTGAACATTCCCCAGCATAATTCCCACTCGTGACATGTGATTCGTCATGGCGGCTTTTCGCCCGCAGCCAACTGGCGAGCTCAAGTCTTGCTCAGGATTCACGTCTGCATCTCCTCGCCTGAACGGTATCGTGTCCAACATTGTGATTCCCGGCATCCTTCGTCCGGCATACCATTGATCACGTTCCCTTTCGAGTTGTTTCGCCGCCGTCGGCGTCAGGCAGTGACCAAGTAGTTCAGGTAAGGCAAAATACTCTAGACCGGAAGGCATGGCCTGAAGAGTATTGGGCGACAGACTGCGAGGCTTGAACAGTTTCACCAGCGCTTGAAGCTCTGGCAGTGGACTGTGACGAGCCACAGGGCACATCTGAGAACACGCATCAGGCGAGACCATCCACTTGCACAGGACGACCAGAGGCACTGACCAGGGTTTTTGGCCATTCATATTCACCACGACTCGCATCATCCACTTGTTTCCGAATGTCCTGTTTGAACAGCTCGTATGCCGCATCCTTGACTTCCGACATGGTGACTGTGACGACAAGTCTCTCAGGACTGCCCCTGCAAACAGCGCATCGGGCATAGCGCTCGCACGCGTGAAAGCGAGTGGCCGAGGGGTATAGTGTCGTACAGTCTAGTAAATCCGGGTCGTCGTGAATCGCTCGATAGACGCTATGCTTGTAGCGGTCGACACAGACCTGATGACCGGTCAGTACCGCCTAACGAATAAGCACTCACTGGCTGATCGAAAGCGCTAGACACCCGCTTTATGACGTCCTCCCAGCTGGATGTTGGCAGTCATTATCAAGGAGTCTGAGTTGTAGGACTTACCCCCAGGTCCATATGTTGAAGAAGAATACCGTGTCTTTCGGGAACCAAGCGATTTGGTCTACCAGCTCTCGGATAGCATCGTCTTTGTGCGGCATATCCTCTGTCCCGATGCTGACCAAGGTGCTCTTCGTTAGTTGTTGCTCCTCTCTCACTGGAGAATACATACAGCACTCACAAAGCGCTGGTATCGAGGTTTATTCGGTCTAGAGTCCGCTCGCCAGTCAGAAAGGGCTTCAGAGCTGGATGTGACTGGACCTTGAGTGCATCAAGGAAACGGTAGTCTGCCCGGATATCTCCGGTGTGTAGGATGGCGCGTTCGGGTGTGGTGATCAAGAACCTTTGCGGAGCTTAGCAGGTACAACATCGAGTGTATCGCTCACATAGCAGATCCAGGGCAATGATTGGCATCGAAGGCCGTCACGGAGACAATCAAAGGCTTGCCATCCTCATAGCCAAGTATCAAATCGATGGTTTCTCCATATTCAATTGAACGCTTATTTCGATTCAAAATCAGTTCTGTTATCCAGGTTTGATCCTGATTATCACTCACGATCCTGTCTACATAGTATTGAACGCCATCCACCGTCTCTCGCTTTTCTCTGGCGAGCTTTGAGTACTTCAATTTGTTTTCCTCTTTGATTCCTGAAGCCATGTATTTTCGTTCCTTCTCCGCCTGCAGCTTGAGCAACATTCGCTTTGAATCTGGTGTGCATATGATCTGCCCATGAAAATTGTCTCCCTTGAGACCTTGTTTTTTTTAGCGTTGTAAGATCGTCACCGTGAACTTGCCCGTCAGATGATCCGAATGCACATGGGTCAAGAGAAAGACTTGCGCTCTCGGTGCTTGTATCAGAGGCCCGAGCGAGCGGTCCTCGTTGATGGAAGGGATAAGATATGGTCCGCCTTTAGGTTCAGTGAAGCAATCGACCCGAATGAGTGGAAATTCCGGCAGGTGGCCGTCTGTAGAGATCGGTGAGCTTACTTGTTACCACTAGCTTCACTCACGCCACGGACCTGCCATGATGCTATCGAGGTTCCCTGTTGGGATTCTATGATCTTCATTCAGATACCATCGATGAATTCATGATTGGGGAAGGAGGGAGCAGCGGTTGCGGAGACTGGATTGTGGGTGTGAGCTCCGTGGACCAGACCAGCTGAGAGCATGAATGTGGAGGTTTAGCTGGGGCTGAGCAGCTTGCACGCCATAGTAGTCTGGAACAGACGGTCGCGGTTGAGTGGACTCGCCATGTGGAGGGCGGCGATGAGGGCGGAAGCAAATCTGACCATTTTACGTAAATGTCACCCAAGTTCCTCACACGAGCTCCACGTGGTGCACATCTGCCCGCTAATTTCCCGTTAACCGGCGGCAAATGAAAAGCTTCTTTGGTTGGTGGGGCGGGGAGAAAACCTTATGCACAGACAACAATTGAAAAAAGAATTCTAATAAAAATACAACCTGAAAGAATATGGTTGATTTATGCAGGATGTTATCTAGAGATTGACATGCACCCTGGGTGCCTTGCTGAGCTCGCCTACTGAGCTCTGCCTCGAGAGCGTGGGTGTACGAGCCGGATTGACGGCTCGTTTGGCGGGCGCTCGATATCTGAAAGGGCCATCTTCGACGATACCACCTGCAGGTTCCTCTGCATCGGAATCGCCGTCGAAATCCTGATGATAGGTGACATCGAACTGTTCGCGCTTGTAACCCCATTTTTCAGGAATCCAAAGCTCGGCATGTTTGGCTTGACGACGTTGATGGAGTGTTTGTACGGGTGATTTGTCACGACGAGTGAAAAGGGGTGGTGCGGATGGATTGGAGGGTGGACGACCAGAATGGGATGCATTGACTGCGAGGGGGTAGAGTGACAGAATGCCAGATGCATCCATCCACGATTGAATGGGGGCGAGCTGTTCGGGTGAAGCGTGCACTGGACTGGAGACTTGAGAACAGACGAGTGAAGCGTTGAGGATAGGGACTTCTTCGGAAGGGGTGAGAATGGTCTCGGAAAGTCGGTTGGAATCGGTGACGGAGGATGTTTGACTGCCACGGCGAGAAGGTTGTCCCGAGAGGCCAGCCCCGCCGTCTCTGGGTGGAGGGATGCACACGTCGCAGACTCGTTCACTGACGATGGATTGAGCTCCGTTGGCATCGGTCACGGTGACTGGGGCACGTTGAGTCGTGTGATCGGCACAAAAGAGTAACCCGCACAGACGACAGTGATGTCTTCTGCGATAGAGAGCAAAGTAGCTTCTGTTCTCGGGTGGAGCGAAGAGGGCAGTACAACATGGAAAGCTGCAGAGGGCTGAGGAACAATCGGGCTTTTTTGTAAAAATGGGTCAGTCTACATGTCGTGTGACCTGCGTGAGATGACTCACCTGCCACCGATCTCTAGGTACGGCGAGTCCTACAGAGCCTTCTGCCAATGTAGACAGGATGTCTGTGGATGTGTGACTTCCTCGCTTAGCGACACAAGCTCGTTGATCTCCATCGCTGTCGGGAAGGTGGAGTGAGATTTGAGAGAATGACATGGGGTGGAGTGGTCGAGAGGAGGAGGAGGAGTGAGAGGAGGATGAGGATGATGCAGCAGAGGATGAGAAAGAGGCGGCTGGAGCTGGAGCTGCTGTCGCTGTTGGGTCTGTGAGAGAGAATCGCCTAAAGGATGTCGACGATGACCCAGAGGACGACATGGACATATCTGTTAAGCGAGGCGTCAGACGACCGAACGCACAGATCGCCGACCCCGTTCTCGGGAAGAAGGGAGGGGGAAAAAAACAACACTCACTCTCTACGCCACTGCTATGGATACTACTGGATCGATGCCTGCGAGTGGATGGTGTGGGTCTGAGTGAAGATGGTCTAGATAGATGCAACAGGGATGAAGGTGGTGAGATGGACATGGTGTGTGGAGATGAGAGAGAGAGAATGGACAAGCTGGCTGGCTGGCTCCTCCTGTTATTATTATTATTATGATTATTACTACCTACCGCTACGAATTCAGCCGGGTGGGTCCAGTCTCATTCCCCTTTTTCGCTCGCTCTAAAACCCTGAAAATCCCTCCGGCCGCGGCGCTGCTCTCAGCTCTCAGCTGCTGCCACACCCACACACAGCCCAAAAATTGAAAAAAATAAAACCCTGAATCCCATTCTTTTTCACCTTTTGATCCCGCTTCAGGTCTCACGCCCTTGTTGGAACCCGCAGCAACACACGCACAGACCCACACACACCCACACCCATCCATCCACACACACACACATCTCCGGTTATGGGAGTTGGCGTACGTTTCTGTCAAGCGATTAGAATCCAGTGCCAAAATTGGGATTCCTCAAGAAACAAGCATACATACGACCGGAATCAGATACCTCTCTCTGTCTCTTTCGACCGATAATCACCGAGACAATCAGCGACCGGCGAGACAGATCCATGCATCCCCCAACACTGTCTGTCCCATTCCATCTCGACCGGGCTCACCCACCCACCCATGCCCCCCACACGTTCACCAGGCATGACGATGCCTTGGCGTCCGGAGGGATGAAAAAAGGTCATCCTCCCCCTGCATCACCACGCCCGTCCGAGCCCCCGTGTCCACTTGGCATCCTGAACTAACTATCTATCTATCTCGGGACACGGGCCACGCTTCATTTCATATGCATCCGAACCTATTCCCAATGGGATTGGTCCGAACAAGAGAGCTGCCTATTAATACATCATCTCCACTAGCATCCATTTGCCACTAAAGTAGGAAATGGAGCTAATTGGAAAGAAAAACACCAACCCCCCCCGTGCCTGCCTCAAAAAGCAGCTGCGTCTGCTGGCCCTCGGCCGAATCAACGGTAGCTAGCATCCATGAATACATTGTTGAATGAATCTTACTCGCCTCGAGCATCTAACCGACGCATACCTATGGCGCCCATCCAGCTCAGCTATCCGCGACGTCTTACAAATGTCTTGAGGAAGAAACGTGAGATCAGCTCGGGATGTCTTCGACAAAGGCTTCTTCGTCTACTCACCTCTAGATCACCCTTGGTAGCTACCGCTAAGACCCACTTGCGTTCCATATCAGTCACTGTCACCAACAGGTCAGCAGATGTGCAGCACATGAAATGACGTCGCGTCTGGTGGAACAACGAACCCAGAGCAAAGTCTGTTCCTTTTGTCGAAAAGAAACTTTCCAACTCCTCCAGTGGGGTTAACGGGTGAATCACAGTATACGGGTGAGATTGAGAAGCCAGTGGGAAGTGATTGATATGGAGTGCTGTTCGTGCATGAATGCCAAGCCATTCATGGAATCGATTCGGAAGGATAATAGAGTTGGGGAATCGGACACAATAGTCGACGGGTAGGATAGATGACGTCCTGTGTCAGCAAGTTTGGCTTCACGGGGCCACAAACGCTCAAGACTCACCAATTTCGTCATCTACCCCAGCTTGACCACTCTCAAACTTTTTGCGTATACTGCGAACGTCGAGGTAACCTATCGGTTTCCGACGGTCGTTGAGGACACTATGACGTGTCGATATCAGAGAGAGACAAGATTGCAAACGTCCCCTCCCTCCGAGGACATGTGCTGGGAAATGCACTCACGGGAGCTGGTCAAATTCACGTTCATAAGCCGCTTCGAGCGCTCGAGAGAGCTGAGCATCCTGAGGTAGACAAAAGGCAGGGGGTAGTTGGAGGTCCTGGGAGGGCGTGCGTTTAGTACGTGACGGATAGACAGACAGACAAGCCATGGAGGGTATTCGATCGATGCGAAAATGTGACCGGGCGCAACTCACCTCGACCACAGCACCCCGGTATTTTGCACCTGGGGGCACCACAGGTGTCGGTGTAGTATCCTTGTCCATGCTGTATGGACCGAGCGTGATACACACCTATTCCGATCCCGTTCGACTGCAGTTTCAAAGTATTGCTCAAGTATTGATCTTTGAAGCAGAGGCAAGATCCGAAAAATGTTATCACGGCATGCGAACCGTGAATGTGGCACTCTTGCTGCGGGCTCGAGGAGCATTGAGGTGCAGCTCGGAATCGCTTCAGGATGCAAAAGGTCTCCTTAGGAGACCCGTCAGTCAGATGAAGACGTGATCCGAAGCTGCTACACGGGACCACAGTGAGATCAGCACGCCGCCCTAGACTGTGGGACAAAGATACCATGGTCTCGAGATGAAATCTGTGAAATCTGAGCGCCAGGGTAAAATCCTTGCCACCTGTCTCGGTCGATTATCCCATGTCGGGAATGGTTGTCCAGATCAATACGATGACGATAGGCCCTCCAAACAGCCCTGGTCGAGTTCTAGAACCTCATCACACTGACCTCCCATACTGTAATGTAGCGGTCACATGTCAAAACCAGGACTGTGGCGCCCATGGCTGTTAAGTGACGAAATGAAGGTAAGGAATCGTAGTCTCTCCATATTGATTCCTGACGTATATAGAGCACCGGAAGCATGACAGGACGGCGCCGAGAGATGGTCAGATGAGTTGCCCGCCTTGAAAGGCTGAGCTGAGTTTTTGGTGGGTTTGATATTGTACGTACCCGGCGCTCGATGATCGCAAGTGTTCTTGGCCGAGCGGTTATGGCGTCGGATTCAAGAGTTTCTTGACTGTACTACAGGCAAAACCCGATGGGGCAACCCGCAGGTACGTTGATTCCTCGCAATATCTTGATCAATAACTAACGATCCTATCAGGAGTTCGAATCTCCTAGAACACATCTCTTTCTTTTTTGCTTCCTCTCGGTTCAGAGCGGAAACGTTGCGACGAAATCTTCGGCTATTTGGGAATTTCAGAATTGCCGAGAGAGGGGGTTTAACGCATCACCACCCGAGCATGTGTTGGTCTACATTCCGCATCATCCAACATCGTGCGACATCTTGTGAGCAATGGAAGGACACAGCCAGGCGCTGGCGCCGGCTCTCTCTCGTCTGACAGGTCGCCGACGTCGTGTTCTTGTTGCTGTCCTCATTGCTCTGCTTCTCTCGCTCCGAGCACCTTCTGTTCCCTTGTCCGCGTTAAAACATGCAGTGTCTCTTCGAGCCTGGCGCGAAGCTCGGCGACGGAAAGCAGCAGAACGAAGGCGTATGATGAGCGAGACACCTCTGTAAGTGACTGAGATCGTGCGCAGCTGAGATGGGTGTCCTAGAAACACTCCAGCCCTGGAGAGGAAGATGGTGGATCTGGTGAGTCATTCTACGGTGACTCGCAAGCCTGACTTGGGAGTACATCCCCGACCCGTCAGGATCTCGGACGCTTCTCGTACCTTATCGAGGGCGTCTATCCAAAGTGTACATCACTCCGACGCCCAAAGATCTGTACGAGAATCATTTTCACCTATTCCCTCCGCTCAGACCTGGCGAAAAGCTAGGCGTCAATAAGCGATTCTGGAAGATGCTGGTCTCGATCTTGAGGATCGCTATACCAAGGTAGGTCAAGATCAGTGTCCAAAGCTCAAGGTGTAGCTCCACGGGCAAAGAGGCGTTCCTTTTGCTTCTCCATACCTTTTTCCTCATCACGAGGACCATCCTCAGTGTCATGGTGGCTAGGCTGGACGGAAGGATCGTTCGCGACTTGGTGAGGGCAGAGCGTTTCCACGCTGAGCTGACCGGCAAGGTATCTGCAAATGGTCGCGGCTTCTTGCGAGGACTAGGCTGGTGGTTCACCCTGGCTATTCCCAGCACGTATACAAATTCCATGGTGGGATACTCTATGCGAGCAGGCTGAAACTGAACAAAATGCAGATCCGCTTCTTAGAGAAAAAACTCGCACTCGCCTTTCGTACTAATCTCACGCGATACATACATGACCTGTACCTGTGAGTGGAGGTAAGAGTCCAAAGCTCAGTCCAGGAACCAAAACCTCAACTACTACAAGTTCGGCATGGGACTTGCAGCCGCTGTCCCATCAGGCAGCAGGGCGAAAGGTGATCCCTCGTCCGAGGCTGCCTCAGGCGGTGCGGACCAGTGAGTCGACCACCATGACGCTTCGCTCATCTGCAGACTCATCACTACGGATCTCGCCAAATTCTGCGACACCCTTTCGGCATTATAGTGGGTCTTGACATGGCAGGAAAGCCGCTCGCTCACCATCGCAGTGGGAATATCGGCAAGCCCGCTCTTGATCTCATCATTTTCACGTCGCAGCTCTCCGCCTCTCTCGGACCTCTGGGCACCGTCGGACTGTACAGCAACTATGCACTGACAGCTTGGATCCTGAGAAAGGCTACCCCGGCGTTTGGGCGGATGGCCGCGATCACTGCTACCCTCGAAGGCGAATACAGGAAAGGCCTGAGTCGCATTGGACGAGATGGCGAAGAGGTCGCGTGAGTGTGACGTCTCGAGTTTCGACTGAAAGAGGTCCAGCTTTTACGACGGAGGCAAGCGAGAGAAAGGTATTTTGCTATCTGCCTACCAGCGCCTCGCCAATCATATCCACTCGGTTCTGAAGATCCGCGTACCCTATGGGCGAGTACTTATTTCCAACCAAGCTCATATGCGCAGAATGACAGAAGACTTTGTGATCAAGTACGCTTGGTCGGCATGTGGCTACGGACTCATGTCAATTCCATTACTATTCCCTCGTGCCGGACATGCGATCGCCTCAACAGGTGGTCTATCGTTACATGTCGCCTCAAGAACAGAAAGTAAGGAATCGCTCGATCTTCACTGATACCAGACTACGTATCCAATCGTCGACTGTTGCTGTCTCTCGCCGATGCTGGAGGGCGTCTCATGTACTCAGGCAAGGATTTAGCCGAGCTCTCTGGCTATACCACGCGTGTCTACTCGCTGCTGGCGTCCCTTCATGCCTTGGAGCAGAACGCGTATCCCGTCATCGCTGCGCCGCCAACTCACACAGGCAAAGTGAGCTATTTCAGCACTGCTCACGACTGATTACCAAGCCATTTTACGATCTCGGAAGTGTGAAAGGTCAGATCATCATCGGACCAGATCACCTCTTGTTCAAAGACGTTCCAATCGTCGCTCCGTCAGGTGGTGCGGGGGCAGAGCGTGGCGGAGAAGAATTGATACGCAGTCTTGATCTCCGTGTGGAGGCTGTAGAGCACACACTCATCACTGGACCAAAGTGAGTATCTGAGGTAGGCTTTGCGGCTGATTTCCAGTGGCGTCGGGAAGACGTCAATATCCCGGATTGCGGCACAGCTCTGGCCCACATGGTCGGGTCTGCTCGAACGACCACACTACGGTCCTGGAGGCATCTTTTTCCTCCCACAAAGGCCATACCTGAGCATTGGCAGTCTGCGTGATCAGTGAGTATCGCGTACAGATGATCGTGCTGAGACGACCTAGGGTCATCTAGTGAGGTCCAGGCAATCTTCATGACTGACTGTCCAGCCCGCAAACTTACGCCGAGATGAAATCACAAGGCAGGACTGACGCTGAGCTGATGCAAATCTTGGAAAATGTTCACCTAGCCTACCTGCCATCTAGGGAAGGCGGATGGGAGACACGCAAAGAGTGGAAGGATGTCTTGTCGTGGGTGAATGCTTATCCTGTTGAAGCTGACGGTCAGGGGTGGTGAAAAGCAAAGGGTAGGTTTTTGAAGTTGCCCTTGAATAGATGCTGACTTTTGAACAGATGGGGATGGCACGGCTATTGTGAGTAGCATCATCCACTTGATTTGAGCTGACAGCGCAGCTATCATCGTCCCCGTTATGCTATTTTGGACGAATGCACGTCCGCCGTCTCGTCCGACGTCGAAGGCCTCATGTACGAACACGCCAAAACTCTAGGCATCACCCTGATCACCATTTCACATCGCCCTTCATTGCTCAAGTATCATACTCGTCATCTACGTCTGGGTGAGATGACAGCCGCGAAATCGTCCCTCGTTCGAACAAGCTCCCTCGAATCCATCAAACGAACGCAATCCACCCTTCATCTCGCCTCACACGGATGGCAAATGACGACAGTGGCGAGTGCATCAGCTCAGGAAAACATGGAGCTGGATCTCGAGATCGAAGTCCTGTCCAAAGTTCTGGACGACGATGTGGCTCAATGGGAGGCCAGACTCAAACAAGTCCAAGAACAATTGAGCGGCAAAGTGTAGAAAATAGGATTCACAAGGTGTTACATGTGTTCTTACATTCTGTTATATCACTCCCAGCATACCCTCTGTATGAGTTACAATGACCTGTCGCAAATCTGATGCTCGTCGTTCCACTTCGTCCAGAATCTCTCCCAACTGTCTCGCTTGATCCATCGCTTCTTGTCGTCCCCGTGGAGATAACAAGACTTTGAGCGCTTCGGTCATGTCTTCGTCTCCGTACCGACTGACAATTCTCTGAGCGCGCCGCGCATTCTTTCTCGACGGACGATAGGCCACATAGGTGTAGACATTGCTGAACAGCAAGATAAAAATGATGCCGACCAGGAGTGTGCTTTTCGTAAAGGGCAAGTCTTGAAGATAGTCGGACAAGGTAGAGCAGATGTCCCCAATACCAGAAAAAATAGACTTGACACCAGACATGATACTGTCAATTCCTCCTTGCATGGACCAACTGTCGAGATCCCTTCGTTGTCTCTGCTTGGCGGCATAAGCCTCAGCGGCTGTCGGACTGTCTGTCACGTCCTCAGGAGAGGAAGCCGTATCGAGGTCTTCGGCCTGTTGCTCTTTGCCGAGAAATTCGGTGGCATGTTGCTTGATGTGTGCTCGCATACCATTCTCGAGATCCTTGTGATATTGCCTCTGACCTTCCATACATGACTTTTCAATGATCCCTGCAGGGACATCAGTAAAATGCATGGGCATCCCCAAGAAGCGCTCACCTTTGACCCATGATTTGCCAGTCCATTCTACGGCACTCGTCACGAGGACACGGGTGGTGTTTTTCGGACTCCAAGTCAAACACGTCCTCGTTTTGACGCTGAAAACACCTCCACTTGGCACATCAGGCGTCCTGGTCGTCGTCAAGACCGAAATGGACATGTCAAAGTCACACTTCTCCAACTCGTCTGTGATGTGACACTGAGTCTGTTTCGGTCCGATCGAGCCGTTCAACGGTTTTATATACGAGGTCGTCTTGATCAGATGTTGATTTTCCTCTTTCGGTTGCCAATCGGACGATTCAATGTCTAGTCATCATTAGCCCAATCGTAAAAACATGCAGACTCACCCTTGAGTTTCTGATTATCCCTCATGAATTCCTTGAGCCAACCCGAATTGAACATGAGATTGTACGTCTTCTCAGGTGTGGTCGGGAAGCTGGCATCCATGGCAGTCTCAGGGTAATGTGACGCACAATCACACTTTGTCGCGGGATGATCGGCCGCCGTCTGTTCAAGATTGAGCGGGTTCACACCCTCTTCCTTGACTTCCAATGAAGGTCCAGGTGAATTTTCCGCCTGGAAAGAAGTAGCCGACATCACTGCGTTCGGGTTACATAGTCTCCATATGTTCATCATGACATCGTAAGTCGGGTCGCGCGAGATGAAAGACGCAAAGGTGTACTGAGCCGTCAGGGAAGCTTGTGGAGTTTCCACCTACCTTTGCGTTGTTAGTGGTCACACAGATAGCATTTGGGATGACCAGGGCAGTCATTTTCTTCTCGATCCGACGGATATCGGCAAATGGGACGACGACCTGTGAAGAATGAGCTAAAGGGCCGTACTTCTCACAGTTGCTCACATTTGTGACCCATCCAAAGATGTTAGCATGAAAGCATAGATGATTTTCCGAGACGTAAATGCGGCCATGGACTAGAATGTCTTTCGACAAGGCGCATCCATAGTCTTGTACAGATCAGCCGAGTCTAATCGACGATCGACTCACCTTCTATGAGATAATCTCCCTCATCGACGTTGGGAAACAAGGCATGGAACTCAGCTTGCCGTCTGTTGCTGGCGACGGCGAAGCCAGTGACGGGCAGACTGTCATTGAAATCGCTTGCGTCCGAGTCGAAGTCGTAATCTGATAGATCCTCATCTCCCAATGCCGAATCACCATTCCCCCTGACCAAGAAGGGACTACGATTTGAGGACGGGACGCGAGCAGACGAAGGACGAGACGAATTCGTAGCAAGATCAATGTCAGCAGTTGCACCGGCAACTGCCAGTCCGCTTCTTGCCAGAGCAGCGGCGATGGAGCCACTGTGCGCCGAGACTGCGGAAGCGGTCGACTTTGATCGACTCCGCTTTGATTTGCTGCTCTTCTTGTTTTTGGAGGAGCCTACAGACAGGAGTGTATCGCGCCGAGGATTAAAGTCTCGAGGTGCTTCGACGATCGAGTTGGTTCGAGAGGGATTGGTTGACTTGGTAGCGTTGGAACCCGAACGTCGACGGATGAAATTTGGATCATGAGAGCCGTTTAGGGAGTCGTGATTGTTCAAGGTGGTGATCGGCGAGGCGTCAACATCGGGCATGCCCTTCTCGAATGTCAGCGGCCATCAAGGATGAGGTGACAACACCCACGTCTAATCGAGCTCGCGTACTTTGGACACTCCTTGGACTCGTTGCACCTTCTTCAGTCAAGACTACTCGAGGTGTACTGCTCGACTTTGGCATCTGCAGGGCAGGAGGGGGCTTTTTTTTACCAGGTGTCAATCTGGTAGACACGCTCCCCTCCTGAAACTCCTCCACGAAAGAACTTTCTCCGCCGCCACGCTCTGGTGACTTTGGAGAAGATGGGACGTGGAACGTATTCGGATTGATACGAGCGAGCGTCGATGAAGCCGTAGAGTCGCTACGGGTCCGATCTGTAGTTTGATGAGAGGATGAATGGGACGATGAACGGGATGGAGATCGCTGGAACCGGGACAGAATACTGGGCATCGGAGCACTGGGACACTGCACAGCGGGCCGGGGGCTTTATTGATACAATTGAGTTGAGCCAGCAGCTGAACGGCAAGACATTGTGTGAATGGAGGAATGAACCTAGGAAGACAGACGGTGGGTGGGCTAATAATTCGCGTATTCACCGAAAATAAGACATAAACCGGGCGCCGCCGGACTGCGGACAGAAGTCACAACAAAGCCCCGGTCATGAGAGCCTGTTGGCAGGAAGGCGGGGTGCTGTGACCTCGATACAGCACAGGAGATAGTTCGCGTTCGACTCATTAAGAAGCTGTGGTTTGTTGAAGTAGACGGTTTGCCCGAGTTCATGCATCAGGATATAACATCCACGATAAGATGTACAAAGCTTTGTGACTCCCCAGGTCATCGAGGTCATCTTGAACCCTCACGGCGAGCCAAAGAAGCTCCGGTCGTCTATCTGCGAGGAACCTCGTATGAAAGCTGCGAATGTCAACTCTTGTCATGGGAATGCAGAGTCAAGAGGTTCGCAGCGGGTCTCGAAAATTGCGTCTGGACTAGAGGGGGAGGAATTGATCAGTAAGCTCGTGGTCCCATGCTAGCCTGCAGGATGTCTAGCTGGTGCTCGGCCGGAAGACAAGGCTACTTCCAATAATGAGAACGGCATGCATGCCTGCAATGATGTCAATGTTTTGCGATATCAGGGCAGGATCCAAACGTACAACGCGAGAACCTTGGCGAGCCTCGGTGGAGAGGCAGGCGTCCGTGCCATACGGCTCCCGTCATGTACGAGTCCTCCTGCAATGACCACTAGGATATGTCAACTGAAAAAGGAGCCCATAGAGACATGGATATCGTTCGATAAGAGGTCTTGTACAGTGAGGGTATTCCATCTTCCAGGACTCTCACGGCGGAATCAAAATTTCGGGTCAGAAAGCTTTTGGCTATTCTACGAAGAGCTAATCATAGCTATCATCACATACATCACAGTCACGCACACCCACAACACCATGATCGTCCCTCCGCCTTCCCAGACAGAGCTGAACCTACTCTGCGTCTCTGCAGTCGTGCGAGACCTCATCGACCAGTTCAACGCGTCCTCCTCATCCACGTCACCTGTCGAGCCACCGAACGTGGATCAGCTGCGGGCGAAATATGCCAAAAAGTACAACCTTTCATTTATACCTCGCCTGACCGACGTCTTATCGGCAGTCCCTGAAGAGTGGAAGGACAGGTTGAGAGGATGGCTCAGAGCCAAGCCAGTTCGAACGGCCAGTGGTGTCGCCGTGGTCGCTGTGATGTGTAAACCGCATCGATGTCCTCATGTTGCAATGACTGGCAATATCTGTGTCTATTGTCCAGGAGGGCCAGACTCGGATTTTGAATACTCTACGCAGTCGTATACCGGATACGAGGTGAGCCGGGACGGTATGACCCTCATACTGACGTCCTTTCAGCCGACTTCGATGAGAGCTATCAGGGCTCGGTATGACCCATACGAGCAAGTCAGAGGTCGAGTCGAGCAGCTGCAAGGATTAGGTCATTCCGTGGACAAGGTTGAGATCATGTGAGCCATCTGATTGGGGGGTTCTGACTGATGACAGTCTCATGGGAGGAACATTCATGTCAATGCCTGAAGACTATCGCCACAAGTTTATCGCTGGCCTGCACAACGCTCTGAGCAGTCACTCCACGGAGGACGTAGATGAGGCTGTTATATTCGGAGAGCAAGGCAAAACCAAGTGTGTAGGCATAACGATTGAAACTCGGCCAGACTATTGTCTGAAGCCGCACCTGAGGTGAGTCATCGATGCATTCCTCCGCTGACTCTGTAGTCAAATGCTCCGATACGGATGTACTCGACTGGAAATCGGCGTTCAATCCGTGTACGAGGACGTTGCCAGGGATACGAACCGAGGTCATACGGTCAGAGCGGTATCTGAGTCCTTTCACATGGCCAAGGATGCAGGGTACAAGATCGTCGCCCATATGATGCCTGATCTACCTAATTGCGGTATCGAGCGGGACATTTGGCAATTTCAGGAATTCTTTGAAAATCCAGCTTTCCGATCCGATGGTCTCAAGCTGTATCCCACTCTGGTCATCCGAGGGACGGGTTTGTACGAGCTATGGCGAACTGGCAAGTACAAGAACTACCCACCAAATGCGCTGGTCGACATCGTGGCGAGGATCATGGCCCTTGTGCCTCCGTGGACGCGTGTTTACCGTGTTCAGCGGTGAGCTAGTGCCGTCACAATCTGCAGCTCATCGTACAGTGACATTCCCATGCCGCTTGTCTCATCAGGCGTTGAGAATGGTAATCTCAGAGAGCTCGCACTGGCCAGAATGAAGGACTTTGGAGCCGAGTGCCGAGATATACGATTCCGAGAGGTCGGAGTGAGTGTTGATTGTGCGATAATTGTCTGACGGTCAGCTACACGAGATACACAATAGAATCCGCCCAGAAGATTTAGAGCTGCTTAGGCGCGACTACACTGCCAATGGTGGATGGGAAACTTTCTTATCGTACGAAGACCCCGCGAATGATATCCTAGTGGGACTTTTGAGGTTGCGAAAATGCTCAGAGGACGGGACGTATCGAAAGGAATTGATAGGAAGCGAGGGTGGCTGCAGTCTCGTGCGGGAATTGCACGTCTACGGGACAGCAGCACCTGTTCATTCGAGAGACCCTCGCAAGTTCCAGCATCAGGTGAGTTCCTCATAATCGACATTTGTCAGACCGCTCATCCACCCCAAGGGCATCGGAACACTACTTATGGAGGAAGCCGAGCGGATAGCTAGGGAAGAGCACGGAAGTGGACGTATCGCAGTCATCTCTGGTGAGTGCCGTCAACATTTTGCAGGCCGTCACTGATCACTCCTGACTTTAGGGGTGGGTACAAGAGACTACTACCGACGTCTCGGCTATCACCTTGATGGACCGTACATGGTGAAGGATTTGGACTAATACCATGGCTGCCGAAGCGGAGGATCGGATCGGATAGATCTGATGAAATTTCGCCGGGAACGGTCCGATGGACCCGATGTCATTTGTCCCAGCTGTCATTCATCTGCGTTGTACACTTTGTATCATTAGTCTGCACAGTACACTCAATAACCAAACATGGCATCTGCGAACGTCCCACTTGTCGCTTGGATAGGGCTTGGTGCTATGGGTTTGCCCATGGCAACTGTGAGACCACATTCCCAGTCCAGGTCTGATCATATTACAGTGCCTTGCCAAGAACGGAGTCACCGTTCAAGCATACGATGTCTGGGCTCCATCGTTAGAGAAAGCTGTCCAGGGCGGCTGTAAGGGATGCGGCTCTCCCTCTGAGGCCGCTCAGGGAGCTTCGATTCTCGGCTTAATGGTTGTCAACGTCGGTCAAGTGGAAGATTTGCTGTTCGGCGAACCCCGAGTCGCTGAGGGTGGGTGATCAGCATGGCGTGTCCATTGACGTATGCAGCCCTCGCGACTGGCGCTGTGATCGTAGTATTCTCGACATGCCCTCCGTCGGCCATGTCGTTGCTTCAGGATAGGCTGGACTTGCTGAAGAAGGACATCCACGTGAGTTGCCTATGTACGAAGATATACTGATTTGGCCTCAGATCATTGATTCACCTGTATCTGGAGGATCCACTCGAGCAGGCGCAGGTACGCTCGCCATCATGTCTTCAGGTCCATCCAGTGCCATAGAGAAGGCTCGGCCAATGATCGAGCTGCTCACTCAACCGCCGGAAGGAGGACTTTCTGTCGTTGGGGACAAACTCGGCGCCGCTAGTGACTTCAAGTTGATCAACCAAGTCTACTGCGCCATTCAGATTTGCGTCACTGGGTAAGTCACCTCCTACCCACTCGGTACTGATATGAAAGCGAGGCGATGGCTTTCGCGAAGAGTTTGGGGCTGAATCCTCGACTGGCTTACAATGTCATCAAAACTGCTAGTGGTAGCTCATTCATGTGTGAGTGGCGTACACATCAAGATGAGTCTTCACTGAGACTTTGTCCCAAAAAATAGTCGGACATCGCGTCCCCTGGCAGCTCAGAGACGACGGGATTCTCAAATCTGCAATGACCATTATCGCGAAGGATGTCGGGATCGTCATGGACGAAGCTCGTTTACATTGTTTCCCCGCTCCCATGTGTTCGGTCGCAGAGCAAGTCTTCACCGCCGCCCTCGGTGCTGGATTGGCTCGAGAGGACGATGGGAACGTTGTGAAGCTCTGGTCTCGATTCGGCGTACCTCACGAATACGAGACAGGGACAGACGCCGAGGAAACAGACAAGGCGAAAGAGCTTAATCTCAAAGCTGGACCAAAACCCTCGAAAGTGTTGTTCATGGGTCTTGGAGTCATGGGAGCTCCTATGGCGGCCATCATCAACGAATCTGGCATACCTACCGTTGGTTATGATGTCAGTCTAGATGCTTTGGACCGATATGCCAAGGTCGGAGGGACGACAACGGATGATCCTGCCAAAGATGCAGCGGAGTGTGACGTGGTAGTCATCACCACCGTCACAGCCTTACAAGCAGAAGCAGCTCTCTTGTCCATCGCCCCATGTAGGTCGGCCAGATCTCCTTGATCTCCTTGTCCGCTTACGCGTTCTTCCAGCGCTGCGCGCTGATAGCACGATCATTGTATGTTCTACCATTGCTCCTTCGGATGCAGTTCGACTCGATGGGATTGCTCGGAAGCACAATGTTTCAGTAGTCGATGCTCCCATCTCTGGAGGTCCAACCAAGGCGGCTGCAGGAGACTTGACCATCATGGCGTCCGGTACAGACGAGGCGCTTGTCAAAGCGCTGCCTGTGCTGCAAGCCATGGCGAAGAATTCATCAAAGCTTCACCTCATCCGTGAGCGTCTTTCTACGGCCTGACCCTGAAACCGCTCATCATGACCATAGCTGGCGGCGCTGGATCCGGTAGCAAGTTGAAGATTGTCAACAATCTCTTGGCTGGGATCCACATCTGTGCCGCCGCGGAAGCGACCGCTTTCGCCAGAAAGAAGGGTATGGACCTACTGGCAGTATACGACGTAGTATCCAAGGGAGCAGCCGCCTCTACAGTCATGGTCGATCGTAAGGTTACCGATCACAGCTCTCGCTGACAATCCCTTCAGGGATGCCTCGCATGCTCGCCAAGAACCCTCCTGTATTCTCAGCCACCACCACCTTTGTCAAAGATCTCGGATTGGCCCTATCAGAAGGAAAGAGAGCCAATTGCCCATTGTTCCTGGGCGCTGCCGCGCATCAACAATTCATCAGAGCAGTCGCCAGTGGATGGGCTAAAGAGGACGACAGTGCCGTCTCGAGACTTTGGGAGTTCATGGGCATCGATGTAACTCTGAGCTCGTGATAAGATCGATACATGCATAACGGGTCGTTAAAGACAAACAGAGAGAAAAAGTCGCTTGGCAACTAGTAAAGTCCATTGTTGTAACCGCCGTTGTGGCCATTTCCATAAGCTCCTTGATGTTGCGAATACTGAATGGAGGGCGCGTACATTGTGTTTCCGCCGCCGCCAAATATGAGGGATCCACCTGCTCCACGGAATTGACTCTGTTGGTCGTCCTCCATTGCATACTCAGAGCCGGCCTAACGTTGTGAATACGCGGTCCGCCATCCGTCTTGGAGACTCACCGGTAGCAGTGGATCCTTAACCTCCCATACTGCCTGCTTGGAGCCGACCGAGAATTCGAGATCCTCCTTCGTGATGGCTGAAATTGTTAGGCGTCTTATTCGTCTGAAGTCACTCACAATCCCAGTATTTGTACACCATCATCACGGCCAAGAGCATGCACAGGGTGAAGAAGAAGACGCCATCAATGTAGTGCGATACAGCATCGCAGATCTTGACGCTGAAAGCGAAAAGGAGGACACATCCGACCACGTAAAAGGCAGTTCCAAAGATGATGTCTCCAATGACCCATCGGTCGTCGAGTGTCCTAATCACCAAGACGAGCTGGGACACGACATATATAAGGACGCATACGGCAGGGAACATGAGGTAGGTGATGAAAAGTCCGATCGGCTTGGTAAAAGAGAAGGATACGAATCCTTTGAATGTAGCAATGGCGATGAAGAAGCAGATTCCCCAAATCGCGAGACATGACAGACGAAGGAACTGGAGCGGCATCAGACGTGTCGAGCATGGATGGTATCTGCGACACTCACCCAAAGAGACATTGGCGTGCCGTCTTCGTGAAATTGAAAGCCAACGAAACCGTTGATCAGGATACACCAATACAGTGCACCGAGCGCTCCGGCATAAACCGCAGCGAACCACTGTGAGGTGTCAGCGCTCAGGGCTTGAAGGCTTCACTGATGCGCTCACTGGATACACTTGATGCGCGGTAGGAATGATAGCAGAGTCCAGAAAGATGGCGAGTAATTCGACGAACATGTACAGGTAAAAGAATAGGACAATCTCTTTTCTCCCGACGGCTGTGTATTTGGATCGAACGTGAAACAGCATGATCAATGTCATGGCCAGAGCTGCGATATGCACGAAGCATGTGGCTAGAGAAGAGAGAGGAAGATAATCAGTACCACAGATGAAAGAAGGTGGACAGGCCCACGCACCAGGCTGAAAGATGATCTGACTCCCGAGTTGAACATTTCGACTATAGCAAGTCGGCATGACGCCCAAGTCTGTCCCAACGAGCGGACATATTGTGAGTGCTGCTCGCTCGCATATATACCCAAAGTGTCCGAATTGGAAACTGGACATAGTGCAGGTGAGATAGGTTGTGGATTGGGGAGAGAGAGGGGCGCTCGATTGGACGGATTGAATTCAACCGCGCCGCGACTGTGGGGACGAGGCGATGTTGTTTGAAGCTTTTGTTCTCCTCCAACTCCAGTAATGAAATGTAGCCGCAATTCCCAAGCTCGCGACACTCGCGACGACAATACGCTTCCCGTGTGGTTACCTCTGGTTCTCTATACGATATTGACGCTCCTTTAGAGCGACGTTGAGCGATGAAAATGGCGAGTTCTGTAGAAGAATAAGGAGGGCATGGCTCGAGTCTTTTCAGTGTTTTGAGGGGGGGCGATCAATGACAACCTCGTTTTTCATTGCCACGTGGTGACATTATTCAGTCCTCCTCGTTAGCAGCTCGCGCGTCGTTCAGCGAGGTGGTATCGAGCAAAGAATGACTGATCATCGATCTATCTGGCTGTTCTCCTCGAACCACTCAGCATGGCAGACGAGCACGTCCCACTACCATATCCAAACCTGAAAGTTGCCCAATGGCATTATCAGGTGACATCGGTTCCCAGGCTGAAGGATGAGGCGAGCTCTTCCTTCTGGAAAGCCGTCGAGGCAGATGGTGCGTTGAAGCAGAGGACCTACACGCACGTTCACTGACTGGCTTGTGCAGAAATGGCTCCCTATCTGACTTATGTCGAGAGCTCAAATAGCTCATTGATATCGTCCCTGAGTGAGAAGAACAAAGCCGAGCTGGATCGTTTGGACCAGAAATTGAAGGAAGCGGAGGAGAACCAGGGAGACAGTGAGATTTCAGAGTTCTTGAGGTCGAGAGCGATGTATCTCTGCCGCATAGGCGACAAGGTGAGATTTCTGGTCTGCCCATCAAGAATGATATCGCTGAATGTCCACGTCGCAGGAGAGAGCGATCCCAGCGTTGGAAAAGGCCTTGGAGAAGACCGCTGGTCTCGGTGCAAGGATCGATCTGGTCTTGGCCATGATCCGTATGGGTCTATTCTACTCCGACAGCGACCTCGTCACCGCGAACATTACACGGGCTACAGAGTGAGTCTCAAGTTCTCGTTCATGGTGTGCTAACGGATGCAGTCTCATTGACTCGGGGGGCGATTGGGACAGGAGGAATCGACTGAAGGTGTACAGGGCACTCTATCACCTGTCGATCCGAGATTTTAAAGAGGCCGCAGAACTCTTGACAGATACACTGTCGACCTTCACCGCAACCGAGTTGATGGAGTACGACGATTTCGTGGCTTTGACAGTCCTTGCGTCTGGCGTAGGATGTGACAGGAAAGGGATCAAGACAAAGGTGAGGGAGTCCGACCGAATACTTGTGTGCTGACCAACGCAGATCCTAGCTAGCTCTGAGGTTAACGGTGCCATGGCGACCATCACTCAACTCTTCACGATGACTGATTCTCTCTACAAATCAAACTACACCCAGTTCTTCCTCGCTCTCGCCGAAGTCGAGCAACATTACCTCATTCCCAACGTCTTCCTTGCTCCTCATGCTCGATACTATGTTCGAGAAATGCGTATCAAGGCATACGCCCAATTGCTCGAGTCGTACCAGTCCCTCACGATGGAGAGGATATGTCGATCGTTCGGTGTCAGTGAGACTTTTATGGACAGAGATCTCTCAAGATTTATCGCAAATGGCCGGTTGAATTGTACCATTGACAAGGTCAGCGGAGTGATCCAGACGAATAAGCTGGGAACACAAAACAAGACGGCGTTGTATGAGCAGGTCATCAAGCAGGGCGATGTCTTATTGAGTGGTAAGTCTGATCACCAACGTGAAATACACGCACTGAGCATGATGTTTGACTGCAGATGTGCAAAAGTTACATCGCGTTGTTGGATAAATTAGCCCATACTGCGTGGCTTTAGGCAGAGGTGGACGGTTGACAACCATTTGCATGTGCATGAACGTCATCATGGAAGCAAGCTCGCCTTTCTTTGAGCTGTCATAATGGCACAGAGCATAGTGACGAGGAGTCATGAAGATGACATCGACGCAAATCTGTGTGGTATTATCGTCCATTCTGCTGCTTGCTGCAAGTAGCTTTCCCACGGTGTCTTGACGTGATTTCTGGAAAGCATTCAAGCTACATCATCGTTGGCTGCTGTGACGGTGGTTCTTCACATAAGCCATTCATTTCATTTGTCCTCACCATGGCAACTCGTTCAGCTACCTCACCCGACCCAAGAGATGAGAAGAAGCAGAAGACTGGCGGAAAAGGTGAGCCGAACGATGAAGCTCAATGCAGCTTGCTCATTTAATCCCACAGCTAAAGTCTGCCTCATGTGAGCCAACCCATCATTTTCACTGAAGGACCCTCTGAGCTGATGCCACGTCTCCTATCTTCCTCCCTCCGTATGGTGAGCTCATTCACAGTGTTCACGATGGCTGGGGTCTATCCGACAACGAGAAGGGCAACGCTATTTTCCATGCCGACACTACCCACATGGATGCTATTAGGGACAAGCACAACTTCACAGAGCTCGAAGCACATGGACTTGCCGTAGGACTTAAGGAGGGGCTGATGGGAAACTCCGAGGTCGGGTGGGTCGAAGAATCATCCTCTAGCGAGGGGACATGCTGAGCCCAGTCATTCAGACATCTCAATATTGGGGCTGGACGGATTGTCTGGCAAGACATCGTCAAGATTGATCAGTGTCAGTTTCCATATCGCAGCTTGGATGTCAATGCTGATAGCTCTATTCAGCGATCAAGAAGAACGAATTCGAAAAGCAGAAAGCTATCGTCGACTGTATGGAACGGGCCAAGTCTAACGGTTCCCGGTTACATCTTTTAGGCCTTGTCTCGGACGGTGGAGTTCACTCTCACATCCAACACTTGTTCGCCCTGCTTCGTGCCGCCAAGGATTCGGGTATTGAACATGTGTACATCCACTGCTTTGGAGATGGACGTGATACCGATCCAAAATCCGCTACCAAATACTTGAAACAACTCCAGGATTACATCAAAGAGATTGGTGTTGGCGAAATCAGTGACATCACCGGAAGATATTATGCCATGGACCGAGACAAGCGTTGGGACCGTGTCACTATAGCGTATGAGGGTCTCGTTGAGGGCAAAGGAGACAAATGCTCTGCTGAAGATCTCATAAAGAAGGTCGAGGAGAACTACTCTAATAACGTAACGGACGAGTTCTTGAAACCCATCATCTGCGGATCAGAGGATTCCCGAGTCAAGAGTGAGCGGAGCGATGGGCCTTTTGCTGATGCATGATTCAGAGGGCGACACTTTGTTCATGTTCAACTATCGGTCAGATCGTATGCGAGAGCTTACATCGATATTTGGTCTGGATGACAAGCCGGTCGATGTGAAGGTCCCAGAGGATCTCGTGAGTGTGCGCGGTAGTCTCCGTCACTGAGCTTTCTCCAGTCCATCACCACGATGTCCAAATACAATCCCGAATGGACGTTCCCAGTGGCTTTCCCTCCCGCCAGTATGGCCAACGTCCTGGCGGAGTGGGTTGCAAAGCAGGGCCTGAAACAGTGCCACATCGCCGGTACGTTCCTGCAGCACTGAATCTACGAAGACACTCACCATCATGGTTGCAGAAACCGAAAAGTACGCCCACGTCACCTTCTTTTTCAACGGTGGGGTTGAGAAGCAATTCGACAAGGAGGATCGACATATGATTCCTTCCCCCAAGGTTGCAACATACGACAAACAACCCGAGATGAGCGTACAGGCTGTGGCCGACAAAGTCGCCGAAGTGGTCAAGAAGGGAGACTACGACTTTGTCATGTGTAACTTTGCCCCTCCCGATATGGTGAGGTCCATTCGAGAATTTTCCGGAAATTTGGTTGACGTTGGAACAGGTCGGACACACTGGTGTGTACGATGCCGCCGTCCAGGCTATCGGTGCCACGGACAAGGCTGTTAAGACCGTATATGACGCTTGTGAAGAGGCTGGCTATGTCCTCGCTATCACTGCCGATCACGGAAACGCGGAACAAATGCTTGACCCTGAAACCGGCACCCCCTTTACTGCTCACACCACCAGTGAGTTACTGCATGGGACGTCTTGACGCTGAAAAATGTCATAGACCACGTACCCTTCATCTTGACCGGCGAAAAGGGCTCTCTTGAGGTGTCCTCGGAGCAGGGCGCACTAGCCGACGTAGCACCTACCATCCTTGCCATTCTCGGTGTCAAGCAACCAGAAGGTGGGTCCGCATGATGGGATCATACCGTCGCTGACCAGCGTCGCACCACAGAGATGACTGGAAGATCGTTGCTGGTGTCGAAGTAGCCAACACTGGCATTCAAGTAGAGTCTGTACTGCCTACAAAAAAAATCTAGTCCTATGCACACAGTCTATAGATCCAAAAGTCTCGTTGCACGTGGGAGAAGCCAAAAAACCCATCCGGGACCTCCACGTCTTGAGTCCACTTTTTGAGCATCAGCGGAGCTGGATCTACCAAGTTTGCCCTACGACCATGAAAGAGGAGTCGGCGACATGGGGGCATGCGCCGCCCAAACTGATGACAATGGCCATGCTGCCCATCGCGGTGACGCTCATCGCCCATCCGCTCTTGCCCCTGCTGTTGCCAGACAACATTCTCAATCTTTTACCAGATCTTCCTCCACAACCCACTTTCCCTGCTCTCCAAGCCAGCATCGGCTTCTCATTCCTCTCCTTTCTTGGAATAGTCTGGACTGTACCCTCCATCGCTCAGCCTTTCGCCGACAAAGGCCTTAGGGGTAGAGATCTATGCAAGCCCGGAGGGAGGGAGAGTGGACCATGGGTGTGAGTGGTACTGAAAAATTGGGTCAGGCGTGAGACTCATACACCCTGCAGACCGGAATGCATGGGTCTTCCGCTGGCTTGCTGGTACATTGCCTTGATGATGCTTTTCATCCCTTTTCCATTCTCTCACATGTTTACTCCTCGCAAAGGTGAAGAAGTGGGTAGAGAGACGTTCCCACAAGCAGAGGTAGGCCTTATTTGAAGGAAGCCAAAATGACCTTTGGCCTCAGCTCTCGCTGTATCTCTCGTCCCTGTTGTCGCTTTTTACTGCGACACTCCTCGGTTTCTTAGACGACCTGTTTGACATACGTTGGCGGCACAAATTACCTATACCGCTGATTGCCTCGGTGCCGATGCTGTTGGTGTATTATTCCGAAGGTGGATTGACCTCGGTCGTTCTTCCCCGGATCGCGGACAAATGGCTGTCAGCAGCTGGGCTTCACGTCGGAAGAGTCGTCAATCTCGGTCGGTCTCCACTCCTGCCCAGCAGCGCAATGTCACTGATGCATCACCAGGCCCTCTGTACTACCTCTACCTGATCCTTGTGCCTACATTTACCACTAATGCCATCAACATCTTGGCTGGAATCAACGGCGTTGAAGCCATCCAAGCCCTTGTCATCGCAGCTTCCATCCTCCTGAATGATCTGCTCTTCCTGCCCATATGGCCACGGTCATTCCTCATAGCCCTTGGTGGAGTGGGCAACCCGCATGAGGGGAGATTGCTGCATTGGGCCGCAGGTGAAGTCGTCAAGCGCCATCTCATGAGCTCCTATTTCATGATGCCGCTCGTCGGGGGCATCTTGGGATTCTTGTGGCACAACTGGTAAGTATCTCGTACGCATGGCGTGATCCGATGCAACACTCATGTAAGCCACGCAGGTACCCTGCTCGAGCATTTCCTGGCGACACCTTCTGCTATTTCACTGGCATGGCTTTCTCCGCAGTGGCTATTCAAGGCCATTTCTCCAAGACACTCATCCTCTTCTTTATCCCTCAGATCTTCAACTTCATTCTATCGTGCCCTCAGATCTTCCACATCGTTCCATGTCCTCGCCATAGATTGCCAAAGTGAGCCCTGACATCTCAGTCTTTCCAAACTAATGATCCTGGTAGGTATTCTGAGGCGACAGATACGTTGAGTCCAAGTGTTGCAGAGTTCACAAAGCCTTTAACCTGGCCTGCGATTATCATACTGCGCATATTCGAGGCTCTACGGCTGGTTCGCTTGACTAGAGAGGTCGAACATGCTGCATACAACGGCAAAGGCTCCACAAAGCAGGTCAGTACTCGCTCAGGGCGGATCATATCCTGCACCAACATGACGATCCTCAACTTTCTGCTCGTCAATTTTGGACCGATGCGAGAAAGCAGTCTCTGCACCCTACTTGGGGCGATACAAGTCGGTGGGAGCCTCGTCGCTTTTGGTGTAAGATATGGCATGGCATCTTGGGTGTATGGTGGTGACCGAAGGTAATCATAGAATCATGCAATGTCTCATCGATGTGATTGTGAGCAGAGGAGAACCTCTTTAACGTTCAAATCTCATGCTGTACCCGCCTCCTTCTTGCTGATCAAACTTGAAGTTGTCTGTACTCAGGCCAAAGTTGCCCAACAGGCTGTTGCCTAAATCCTTCAGTTTGGATAGCATCTCGTCCTTCTCCTTCTCCTGCTGAACCTTGATTCTGTCCCCGAGACCGGCGACCTTTTGACGATACAAAGAAGCCTGGGAGCTTTGCGTGCCGACGATTTTGATGAGCATCTCATAATCTGATACGGCGTCAGCAAGCTGACATTCACTGAACGCCGGACTGACCCGTCTGAGCTGATGAAAGCGAGCTCCAAGAGGCTATGCGTTCATTCGCTGCAGCGCGTCGCTGGAGGGCTTTGACATATAGAGAGTCCACCTCGAGTGCTGAGTGACTGTCAGAACCACGTCCGGGCGCGGGCCCGCCGACTCGCCTGCTGTACATGCTGCGACTGCCTCCTTGTCATCGTTCTATAAGACTTCGTCAGGACAAGTCCACCAGATAGGATGGACCCACCTTGGCTATGTAGCAGGCACCTAGGTTTCCCCAGCAGGCTTTTGTACAGTCCTTCAGCTCAATTTCCAAGGCTTTCCGTTGCTCGGCTTCGGGGGTGGTCTTTTCAGACTCTTGGATCGCTTCTGCCTCCTCGTCTGTGATCTCCTGAATCCCACTTCCACTGGAGGTTGGTAAAGGTGTTCGAGACGTTGTCAGGTCTGAGGATTTGTCAACAGCGGGCAGACAATCTAGAGCCTGTTTGTAGTAGGATATGGCATTATCGAGATCCGGCGGTTTAGCTTGAAAGCAGGTGTTCCCCTTCGTCTTGAAATCGACGGCTTTCGAGATCAGAGCCTGGGATGGGATGTCAGTCAGGAGAACGACATACGTAAGGACAGCATCGTGACTCGCCTCGAGCTCGCCATTGGAGAAGAGACGGGTAGTAACGCCTTCCATAGCCACAGACTCTTCGGCATCCTCCCAGACTTCCTCTTCATCCTCGCTCACGTCGCTGGGATTCCCATGCTGGGCATCTTCCGGCGCTTCAGGTGTGGCAGGTCGATGCCGAGATTTCGAGCTCTCTCCCAACTTCTCGTCTGAGCTTGGGAACCCAGGCCCAGTTGCCCAGCTTGGAACTTTGAAAGCCTCAGCTTTGATGTTCCCCAGCGATTCGAACTGATCCTTGTCATTGGTCATGGTGCTTTCCAGGTGATAACAAACGATAGATCAGTGAATCTCATGAACCCATATTGGGTGCCACGTGGTAGCCCGTTTTTCCTCGGGGATTGAATGTCGCGAGGAATTCTTCACATCTTCTTCTCATCGCTCTCTCTCTTTCACGTCCTGATCTCCAGCTGGTGTTAGGCAGCTTTGCACGACAGCTTTGGAGGCATCTAAGAGTCAACAGAGACTAGCTGCTCTCAGTGTATATCTGCACTGCGCCTGGTCGCCTGTTTGACACACATTCCGCCATGTCAGTCTACCATAAAGTCACCAACCATCGCGCATGGAAGAATCTCTCCATGCGCGCCAGAGTTGCGACTCTCGCCGCCGCCGCTCTAGGACTCTTCCTCCTCCTCCAACTGGTCAGTCCACACTCCAACCAGATCTTCTCGCACACGCAAAGATGGACGACTGCTTCGTCCTCGATGATCCGATCCAAATTCCTCCGGGCTAAAGCTAGAGCTCCTCGTCCCCCGATTCACCATCCTATTCCTGATCTGATGGAAGAAGCGAGGACGAAATACATCGAAAAGATCAACCGTCAATCTGCTACCGTCGAAGACGCTGTCAAGGAATATCGCAGACGATACAACAAGAACCCTCCCAAGGGTTTTGACAAATGGTATCAATTTGCAAAGGACCACGACGCAGTCATTTTTGATGAATACGATCAGCTTGACCGAGATCTCAAACCTTTCTGGCTTTTCTCCGGTGCGGAGCTGCGAAGACGGTGCATCCAAGTCGGATTCCTGCCGTCGGTCGATCTTGTCCGAATCGAGAACGGAACCACGCGCACAATCGATGTGAGCAAGGGCTTTGATGATGCGGAAGTAGGAGCTCGTGCAAAGGGTTTCCGAGTCATGCTAGAAAAGTTCCAGCGCGAACTGCCAGACATGGACTTCCCTATCAACGAAAAGGCAGAGGGTCGTATCCTGGTACCGTGGGAGGAAAACCAATACTCCAATCTCACGGCGGATTCTTCTGGTGAGGTACCGTTTAGCGTCCATGATGAGGTTGCTGATCCCCTTGCAGGTGGCATCGAATCGGTCCTCGGTGGAGAATTCATTCCTGATTGGAGGGGTGATGGTAACGTCTGGGAGGCTTACCGACGAACATGCGATCCATCATCCCAGGCGAGACGGCTATTCGGATCTCTTCGTGCGAAACTGAAGGAAGGTCAGAAACCAATTTCTCGCTTGGCAGACGCCGGTGTCACTGCTGGACCAAAGGGCGACGAATTCATCTTCGCGGAGGATGTGGACGACAAGTACGATTTCTGCGATCATCCCTGGGCCCACTACAACCAGGGACATTTCTTCTCCGATTGGCGAACCATTCACGCCCTGTATCCCATGTTCTCGCCCGCCAAAGGTGTTGGCTATTCAGATATTCTGATCCCCAGTCACTACTACTTTTCTTCAACAAAGAGATATACCTATGGTTGGGACCCAGTCAATATGAAGATCCACGATGTGGACGACATGGAGACAGACTGGGATGATAAGTCGACCGATATTTTCTGGCGAGGAGCTACCACTGGAGGAGGAAGTAGTCCTCCTGGATTCCTGGCGCAATATCAAAGGCACAGGTGAGCACATTGTGGGCAAGTGCGAGATGTTTTGTTGATCGTCTATGTAAAGATTGATCAAGATGACCTCTGACATGAGCGATGCTGAGAAGACTGTTGTCTTTGCCGACCCGCCGGGTAGCACCAACTTCATTTCCGCCTCGATCCCTATCGCAGAATTGAACGCCGACATGATGGACGTCGCTTTCACCAAGGCTGTCGGATGTACTCAATATCCAGGAGGTTGTGATGGGATGCGAAAAGATCACCGTTTTGCGGACGCCGTACCGTTGGGAGAGAATTGGAGGCACAAATACCTCATTGATATCGATGGTATGGGTTACTCTGCGCGTCTATTTGCCCTGGTAGGTGCTGTCAATTGCAAATGCTCACATTGCTGACCCTCGCATCAGCTCAAGTCGGAAAGTGCCGTCCTCAAGTCAACCGTCTACACCGAGTTCTGTTCCGAATGGCTGCAGCCCTGGCTGCACTACATTCCCGTTACCCAACTTTACAATGAGATCTACAACATTTTCGCGTTCTTCTCAGGACCTACCAGATCCATGATCGAGGCCGCCAACGCCACCCGGGGCACCTATCAGTCCGCCGGACTCCTATCTGGCCACCTTGACGGCGATGCAGAACTCAGGAAAATAGCCAGTGCCGGTCGTGAATGGATGTTCAGTGTTGGAAGAAAGATTGACATGGAAAGTGAGTCAGAGTTGCAAACCAAGTCTTTGAAGTTGGAGAATTGACGCCCCCGCTCCCAGTCTACGTGTACCGACTTTGTATCGAATGGGCGAGACTGGTTGCGGATGATCGAGAGGCAATGACCTATGGCAATTAGGACCAGATCTGAGGGGTATCGAGGGTCTTTCCGAGTGTCTGGACACAGTTCTTAGAGACTATGCATGAATCTGTCCTGTTCTCATTTCCTTGGTGCAAGTGGACGCGATTTATTTTTCCATTTTTCCATTTTGACCTTTTACTGCTACTCTGCACTCATTCACTACTAGACAGATGTCAGTCTGGTTTTGTCAGGATGGTCAACACAGGCAGTGAGTAGCGACCTGATGGCGGAGGATAGTCTGATGAATCGCTTGCTCTGCAGTCCAGCCAATCCTCATCTCGAGCGATGACGAGTCCGGGTCTGACCCAGGAATATCCTTCATTGGACCCAGTCGACCAAGGAATGTTATTACTGGAAAGTGAGTCATCGAATTCCGAGACCAGCCTATCCTACAGACTAATATGCTTTAAGACGACCCTTGGATGCCGTCCTTGTCGAGACTGATTCAGATTCAGACGATGATCGTATTCCAGATCTGCATGAGGCCCTGGCCATCAGACCACCTGTCATCAGCACTGTAAGTGACATTTAGGCGACTTCTGCTGAAACACTCAGGTTACCGCTCGCAGCAATTCTCTGATTAAAGTAGGAAGATCGAAGAGTCTGTCAAAGACAGAAGAGAGAGTGCGAAAGAAGAAGGATTCTTTGACAAATGCTGCTCCAGCCGCCGGTGCCCGTGAGGATCCTTGGGAATCTAGCCAAGCACTGTGTCGACAGGAACGCGAAGAGCAGAGGCGAAGGGAGAAGGAGGCGAAGCAGCTCGAGAAAGATAGATCCAAGGTGAGTTCCGGGCTCGTGAGTCATCTAAACCCCCATTTTTTAGGCGGAGAAAGAGGCACAACGCTCGTTTCAGAAGAAGGTTGCAGAAGTCAACCGAGTGAGTCTATGAACTCCTCAGAATTGGAAGGCTAATTCTTGTGACTCAGCTTCGAACGTCAAAGAATGACGCTGTCAGAGAGATTGAAGTCCACTTTTCGGCCGATCTCGAGACTCCTTCGTCGCTGATTGCTGGAGCTCTTCCGGAGATCAAGACGAGACTCGACGACAATCTATGCAAATGGTTCTTTGACAGTAGAGAAGACTCGCCACATCCAGGCCTCATTAGATTCCGCAGACATGTCAGAGCTCGCTGGGACAATACGACGAAGCGATTCTACCCCTTGGATCAACCCAGATGGGAATGGGACAAATCTGTGCTGGTTCTATCCTCAGCAGATGACCTCGTCGATATGATCTCTCAAGGCGGTGACTATCTGAATACCTGGATGGCGGATCTTCGGATGATTGCCGGTCTCTCAGCAGACACCCAAATTATATTGATCATCAAAGGCCTGGAGAAGTACTATAGCAAGACCAAAACACTGGCCAATCGCGAGTACACAGCTGCTGCTCGTGCTGGACTCCAGCCGGGGTCTATCAGCACACAAAACGCGACAATAACGCGGATTGAAAGAGATGCAGTCGTGGCTGCTCTGCTTGAACTACAGTTCGCGGAGAAAGCCTATATCGTGAAGGGTCAGTCCATGGCAGCGAAAGAGAATCATTGCTTCGCTGACTACCTGCGTAGTTGAGAAGACAGAGGACATCGAGGATTGGATCTGGAATCTGGCAGCCGACATTGCCGTTCGACCAGTGAGTTTTACTTTGGATCGTTACCTCAAGCCAGACTAACCCTCATTAGTACAAGCTGTTATCCAAATCTCATCTCTCATTCGCACCACCGGAGCATCTTCGCAAGGCGACAAACTCGACCGATGCCCTTGAGCTCATGCTTCAAGAGGTCTTGGGAATTACCCCGTCTGCCGCCTCAGGAATCGCCGCGAAGTATCCCACTTTCGCGGAGCTCATGACAGCCTTTGAACGTGCAGAGGCACGCGGAGGATTGGCTAAGGCCGAAGCGTTGTTAGCAGACTGCGAGGTGAGCTTGATAGATCATTTGGTCGAAATGTGTCTGAAGCAACGCAGATCAAGAATCTGAGGAATGGCACAGCAAGTGGTCGCAAATTGAACAAGGTGGGTCAGCAATCTATCTAGACAAGCGCTGACAGGACCATCAAGGCACTCGCAAAGAAAGTGTACCAGGCCTTCCGGGGAGAAGATAGCCTCGCATTGGCATAAATTCCAAAGTCATTGTACATTTCGTCAATGTAGCGATTATAATCATAAGTCTCGTACCGCGTACCCTTTCAAGTCTTGGACTTCCTAGGCTTCCCAGATTCGGCCTTGTTCGTCTTGGCTTTCTTGCTTCTTTTTGGAGACGACATGACCACATCTGCATCGGCTGTTTCCGTGACCTGCTCCACGTCCTGCGTGGATCGAGTGCCGGGGGTGTTGAATCCGTATGCCTGATTGCGAAACTTGAAGAGATGCGTGGGCTGCTCCCGCTTAGTGCGAGAGGGTATCGGTCGCACGACTCGTTCGGACGCACTCGCTGCGCCACTCGACTCATCCGGTACCAGGATCAGGTGATGAGAGATCGGTAAGGGAGCTGTGGGATGATCAGACGTGGAAGAGGATGTCTATGGGACTCACCGACAAACAGATGATTTTCCCTGGTTGCGTCAGGTACCATCAAACGCATGCCTCCAGCCATTTCGATACCGTCTGCATCCGCAGCATGGAGCTGATATGTCCCGTGTTTGGTGGACAGAGAGCCCTTTGGTTTCGAGCTAGACTTTCTTGGACCCGTAACGTTGAGGGCAGACAATCGAGATGGTTTCAACTGGTAGAGCAGTCAGTCTAAGGGCGGCGAGCTTGAATGGAAACGACGCACATCTGCAGGAACCCTGATGGTCCAAAGCTGGAGCTTTGAATTTCGACGCATCTGGTCAAAGTCGAATGTGGTTTGGGAGAGAGAGGCATCTATTTGGACAGCTTTCATTCCCGGCGGAGGTTGATATCTCCTGAGGAACGGTTGGTCACTGCAGATTTTTTCCGAGAGTTGCAGCCATACTTACCTCAAACGAGGTGCCTCCTCTCTCCTATCGCCATCCCCGCTCCTGCGATCTCTTCGTTTCGGTGTCACTCCTTCGATGTCGTCCATGGAGTCTACGGATGACCCATTCTCCGCATCCCGCTCATCAACCTTTCCTTGTCCATCTGACTCTCCTTCGTCCGAGGACTCTATGGTCTCCTTAGACAGATATTCTTGGCTTGTTAAAGGGTCCGCAGCCCTCCTCTTGCTCGAGCTCGCTTCATTGCTTCGTGCTACCATGCTGATTTTAGCTGAGTTCATCTAGTGGACACACTTTGAAATTTTGCTCCAAGAACCCAAAGTGATCTACAGCATCCTACACCTTACGTAATGTCACACAATGACAGCTCGCGCGGGGTAGCTGTGATTCGCGCGTCCTTATATATATTACAACAGAAGATCATATGGTATAAGAGCAGTCTTGAAGTGCTCTCGATCATCACGAAGCTGTCCTTCATACCATAAGGTAACCCTCTATTTGTGCAATCGGGACTGGCCTCTGTCACCGATCTCGTGTAGTCCTCTTGAGGTCTAACCATGTCAACTGAAGAAGATCAACATTCCAAATCTCCATCGGACGAGAACTTGGCTGCGGCGGAAGAGCTAGAGCTCACCGATGAGCCTCTAGACGATGTGGAGGATGTGACGAGCCGCAATGTGACGATCAGTCCTGCCAAGAAGCAGTTGGAGACCGGCCTCCCTACCAGTCAGTCGCCTAGCAAGTCGCCTTCCACGTCTCCAGGTAAAGTCAAAGCTGCCGCTGCAATGTTCGAAAAGGGATCAAGTTCACTCGATCGCCCAAAGCCGGCTTCGTCGGGGTCTTTCCGCTCCATTCCCGCGTCATCATCCAAGACCAGTCTTGTACCTTCCTCTTCTCCCCCCACCCGAACTCAGTCCAGGACGCCATCCATCACTTCCCCCTCCGCAACACATCTCGACTTACCCGCTTCGACGAAAGACGTGGAGATCACGGGCGAACCTAGCACACCGACCCAGGTGCCGAAAGCTGGTACGAACGAAGCATTCTCAGAGATCTCACTCTCCGCGACTACTCCACGGAATGCCACTGCAGCAGACAAAGCGGAAGCCAGAAGCTACGCTTTGGCGCCGATGCCGGCAGCGAGCAGTCCACGAGAGAGCGACGTGCCGTTACCAGAGACATCTAAAGCACAAAAGCCCAAAGCCTCCTTCTTCACTTCTGCATTGGGCCTTGCGTCATCTGTATCGGCCGCTTCAGCCTCGACGAGCGGGATCGAGTCCCCAAAGCCCACTAGGTCAACATCATCGACATCCAACGGCTCTGGATGGAGATCCACCGTGTCAAACATCCTAGGCTCAAGGACTACGACCACACCATCTCCCAATCCTCCTGTCGTCGACGCTACATCCCCAATCAGCTCGCAGACCACAATCAGAAGCCCAGTGAGCGCCGCGCTGAGGAGCACATCCACTGGCTTCATTGTAAATCGCATGGACTCTCCAGTGGCATCTCGAGACCGTCGCATCAGTCGACAGGACGGAGGTGAAGATAAACTCAGGGCGGGCTTCGAGAGAGTCAGGGGGGAGATGGAGGATGCCGCTCGAGAGATGCGAAAAGAGCAGCATCACGCGGAAGAGGATGACATCCGTCAATCTTCGTCCAACGTTGATTGGATCTTCTGGGGAGCGGTGGTTCAAGACTATGAGGAGGTTGCGCGTGAGAGACCTCGCGAGCTGTCCCGCGCCATACAGCAAGGCATTCCTCCGGTCATCCGGTGCGTCATGCCTGCACGCTGAGCTATTGATGAGCTGACTAACCTCCCAGCGGAGCTATTTGGCAGCTCATGTCCTCATCCAAATCTACCCCGCTAGAGGAGACGTACAAGGCGTTGCTCAAGCAGACATCATCTCACGAGAAAGCCATCGCGAAAGACATTAATCGCACTTTCCCGAATCACAAATTTTTCCAAGAAGCCGGAGGGGTGGGCCAGGAGAGCTTGTTCATGGTTGTCAAGGCCTTCAGCCTGTGAGCGTTACGATGATGCGCGTCTTATAGCCACAGATATGACGAGGATGTGGGCTATACACAGGGCCTAGCATTTATTGTGGCGGCATTGCTTTTGAATGTGGGTCCATTCTGGCGGCCCCGCTGACAAGCAAGATGCCAGACGAGGAGGCGTTCTGTGTCCTGGTCCGTCTGATGGACTCATATAACCTCAGATCATTGTTCCTCGCCGACATGCCAGGCTTGCAACTGCGACTGTTCCAATTTGATCGATTGGTGGAAGAATTGTTGCCCTTGGTCCATACACACTTTATCAAGAAGGGAGTCAAGAGCAGCATGTTCGCGTCGCAGTGGTTCATGACCCTATTCTCTTACAGGTGTGTGCCTAGGTTTGCACGTGTCTCTAAATCTTCGCAGGTTTCCCCTCTCTTTGGTATATCGAGTGCTGGATATAGTCTTTGCCGAAGGCATAGAAGCCATCTTCCGATTCTCGCTCGCCCTGTTACACCAATCTCAAGATAAGATTGTCAACTTGGAGTTTGAGCAGATCCTCCAGTTCCTGCAGACTGATTTATTCGAGATATACCGTCGAAAACCGGACGAAGCGGACACCAAGGAATCTGACAATGACGGCAAGGGTGCAGCGGACGACGAAGAAGGAGATTGGCGGGCCAATGGCTTTGTCAGGGACGCGTACGAGATGAAGATGTAAGAACCTGGAGGAAGCCGAATCGCGGGATCTCTTATCAGCCGTCTCTTAGCACACCCTTCATGCTCGACTCTTACGAAGCCGAATATGACGACATGTGTCGAGCGCAGAACAAGCACGCTCTGGAATTGGACCAACTGCGGAACGCGAACAGAAGTCTCAGTACACAGGTGTAAGCAAGACCGCCGGTTGGTCACCATGGCTGACTTAGCATAGCAAACAACTCGAGGCGTCATTAGCAGCTATGTGAGTACATCCGAGTGTACGATGCCTGACTCCTATCAGCAATCAGGAACACGTCGAATTGGTGCGCCAATTAGTGATGAGCAAGATAGACAAGGAAGAGACCGAGAACGAGCTCGTCCGGTATAAAATGCTGTGGGTCGATCACAATTTCGTCCCCTCGAACGATACTGAAGTAAACTAGCTATGCGGAGCTCGCACATGCTCAGCAAGATGCTCTGTCGACTCACAGTCGACTATCAGGTCCAAGCTGACGAATTTTCTACACCTACTCGGAGTGACCGGGAAGGATGATGGTCGGCAACGGCGTTATCTGACAATGGTCCGGGGGACCTCAGCATACTATACAACAACATTTGCATGATAGATCATCCGCATTGTCATTCGTCATAGTCTTCTTCTACCTGTCTGCTCTGAGCGGGAGCCTGATCTGAGACGCCGACTTCCTCCATGTCGTCGTCCCCGTCATCTGGATCAGCTTCCGGATTGGCCGATGCCCTTTCCCCGTTGACACCATCTTCCGTCTTGACTGCATCTTCCTCCTGATCTTCACTGTCACTGCTGTCATCGTCTCCTTCATCCTCCGACTCCAGTGTCAACTCTTCGTTCGGGACGATATTGAAATCTACCTCTCCGAGTCGCTGATGAGGTGGGGGTAGACGCAACACGTCGAATGTTTCTGGAAGTATAGGAAGCGGCTGCGAATTCAAATCATGCGCCAGACTGGCCAGATACTGCGCGGTGATGTCAGCTGCTTCAAGTGAAAAGCTGGGGACGACGCTTACATCTCGGGGTGGTGGTTCGAAGAATTCGTAACGTTTACGAAATTGAATGGCTAGCTCTACATCCTCCTTTTCTATGCGGGATGGTCCAGCACGTCCAGCATGATCAGCCAAGGATTGAGCCGACTGCAAGACATCTGCTGTGTAGCCTGAGATTTGATCGGTCGTTGTCAGCACACAGCATACAATGACATGACACGGCTCAGTTGACATCCATTCTGCTCACGATGGGCAAAGTCCAGCATCTGGTGTATGACCCGCTCGTCGGCATCCTCGATTCCTTTTGAAGCCAATATGAGAGATATCAAACGACCATCTCGTGGGACTAGATGAAGTATGTCAGGTGGAAGCTCTACCGACGCCATCCACATCCGTAAAATCACTCACCTGGTCGTGTATCGCTCGTCATCGTCTATGTGTCCCAGCGTCGCTCACAACAGAAGGGACAGAAGATGGGATGCTCGCTCGGCTTTCGTTGACAGCTGCTGGCCAAATGCCTCCACGCCTCGCCGGCTCTGCCCACGTGGTCTGATATGGTAATGCCTCAATCGAGCGAGGCATTAGCATGCATTAGCCAACAACCGCTCAAAAATATGCAATCTTCCAACCATTCACATGGCGTCGACCAGGCGATTGTCAAGGTCGGTAGTTGAGGAGGGCAACAGCAGGGGAGGGCTGGGGGGCGGGGGGTGGGGGGGGGGGGGGGGGGGGCATGCATGGAGAGAGAAAGGCTTGTCATATATATACACCATTTTGGATGTGGTAACCATCTCTCACCCACACGATAACCACTTGTTGAGACGAAGAAAGATACAACAGGTATAAGCCAAAATGCCCTTCAGTGCAAAATATGGGATCGCTCTGCTGGCCGCTGTTGGTCTGGCATCGGCTCATTTCACTCTAGACTATCCCGTGAGTCCCTCAAAGGGCTCCAGTTCATTGCTTCCCGGACTGAAGCAGAACCTCTATAGACATCCCGAGGGTTCGATGATGACAATGAGCCGGAGTTCTGCGGCGGCTTTACTAATGTTGAGACTCGTCAACCTTTCCCATTGATGAATGGGCCAAGTAAGTACAGCCACGGCAACAAAACTGATGACTTGAAAGTCTGGATCGACTCACATCACACTGCTGCGACTCTCGACGCGTTCTTGAGCGTCAACCAAAATCCGACCTCGTTCAACGACTTCAACACGACTAGCAATGGGACAGCCATTCCCATGGTGACCAATTTCTTCCAGGTGAGAAGGGTTCCATGGTCCCTGAGAGGCATCCTCCAGACTGACTTGTCTCATCAATAGATCAAGGAACCCGGAGAGTTCTGCTGGAATGTATCCTTAGCCAACCTCGGTATCGGTCTACAAAATGGATCCTTGGTCACCCTTCAAATTCAATACGATGGAGTAAGTCAAGTCGTCCGCACATGTCGGTCGGACGCGCCGTGCTGTGCTGTGCTGATGGAGTCAGGGTGACGGCGAGCTCTATCAATGTACGGACCTCATCCTCTTGTCAGATTACACGGCTCCCGCCGACCGTCGATGCCCCATTGACGCTACAAGTGATCCGACTGGCACTGTCTCTTTCGCTGGAGCATCCTCTACCGCTGGATCATCCTCCACCTCTGCTGGAGGCTCTGCGAGTGGCACAACGAGTCAGGCTAGTCAGACTTCCAGAGCTGCAGCTTCTTCGACCTCTGGTGCATCTCGTGCGAAGACCAAACTTGGCTCATGGACAGTGCTCGGCTCGCTCGTGGGAGTGGCGGGGATCTCGGTCATGTAGATTAGCCAGCAGCTGCACGAATCATAATTTATGAGACACAGTCATACCATGGCCTTGCACTGGAATGCATTATGGATGATGTATTCAGGAATCAGCTGGACGGTCTTGATCGAAACCCATCTCCTTCATATAGCCTACGCTGCTTCACTCTGCTGTGTCGCTCGCTAGCTGCCATCGGGCAGACCTAATCTCGCTTCGGAAATTCTCATCCTTCGGCAATACGGGATTCCACCTTTGACAGTACACCTCATCCTTCCTTTGTCTGGGCATCGACTCGGCCTTCGACCAGCGTTCTGGTCTCGCGAGCCAGCAGCTCATCTGGCGTTTGGAAACATCTATCCCCTTCTCCATGTCATTCCCCTTCTCCCCTAACATTGTCATCGCAACAGTCCGTTTAAGAAGGATCTTGTAAATATGCCCAAGCGACCTTCTCGTCTTGAGGATTTCTTCTCTCGTACGCCTCGTGCCGGTCCAAGCAGGACTCAGCGGCAGCCATCTGAGCTCACCGATGACACCCGTCACTCCTCACCACCCGACGCTATGGACTCCGAGGGCTCGCAGGGCTTGGCAACCATCAAGCTCACACAACAGCATTCACCCGCGAAGAAGACTGTTGTCAGCAGAAAGCGAGCTCGACGCGCGCATCCAGTCAGCAGTGATGACGAACAGTCTCTTGAGTATGAAGCTCCGTCTCGCTCTCCAAAGAAGACACCCGTGCCACCACGATCTCAGGTAGTCCAGGACAGCGACGACGAACCTCTTCAAATCCCCAGGAGCAGCGCCCACAAAAAGAAGCCGCAACCTGTCATCGAGCAGGCAAGCTTACGAAGTACTCGGTCTCGCTTATCGCACAAACCCTCCAGTCAGATCTCATCTCATCGTGACGACCTCAACAGGAATCGAATCGCATCTCAACGTGCAGATATGACGTCCCCATCAATCACCACTCATGCTACACATCGTCGAAGGGTCCCCTCTGTTGATATCGAGCCGTGGTCAGCATCGTATTTAAAGCAATATGTCACCTGGCCCAGCCAAGTGGTCTCGGAATCTGAGGAGACTGAGGAGACGCGGCACGATGAGCCAGAGAGGTGTGCGAAGCGGGCCTCGCGCCAAGACTTTGTGAACAGTAATCGTGAGTTGAGGTCAGCCCGCATTACTGACATGGACGTAGACAGCTCGCCCATCAAGACACCGGCAATACTATCGCCTTCTTCACCTATAGTGGAAGCTGCAATTGAGGCAGGGAGTCCTGAGAGCTCCGAATCTCCTGATACTCGTTCAGCAAAGAAGCGGCCTGGCAAGATTGCTGGAACGAAGTCCGCGAAACGATCCCGTCGTCCTTCCCCAAAGGCCATCTCCTCCGACTCCTCAGACGAGGCTGTTGTTCGGCGACCGAGGCCCCGACCTGAACCTGCCTCACATTCAAGGCGAAAAGGTTCACAACGATCCCCCACAAAGTCTCGTCATCTTCACCGAAGTCGCGAAGACCCCGACGAGGACGAGGCAGCTGTGACTGATGTCGAGGATGTAGACGACCTTCATCTGGACGAGCCTGAAAGGTTCAAAACGAAATCTCGCCTGCGTCAGAGAAAAGAGACAGCGTTCCAGAGGCGGATCCGAAAGCTGAAAGAGCGACGAGAGGGCATCGTGGGATCCTCCACAGAGGAGGAGACCAGCGAAGATGACCCACGACCGATCCGAACAGCACCAAAACCTCAAGACTTCATTGTTGACGATGGCGAAGAGCTGGAGGAAGGGCTCATGCCACCTGAGTTCTCCATGGATTCGACCCAGACTCCAGAGTACAAATTCAAGGTCGTCTTTCACTGGCTGCTCTTGCTTGTCATGGATCGTCAAGCTGCACTCCATCTTCGGCCGGATACGATCAACTATTTCATGCCTCGAGTGGATGATCTCCGTCGTAAGATGGATGGCTATCGGGAGTCGAGAGTCCGAGGCCAGATCTGGCACGCAGAGCTTGTTCGAAATCTCCAAAAATATCCCGTGTTTCATGTGCGTAGATTTCGGACGAGTGGAAGGCTCACTGGCATGCTTAGGTCGATTTCCTGGATATGAAAGAACTTGGTTGTGATGTGTGTCATGTCTCCACCAAATATTCGCCGTATTTGGCGAGTCTTGAGGGACAGCCATACGACCCGAAGACACACGAAGATTTGAACCGAGGATCAGATGATGAAGAGGAAAGTGACGAGTCTTCGGATGCGAGCGAGACCTTTGCCGGTCGTACGGAGAAGCGGCGGTATCTCATGGGACGATTCTGCAGACGCCGTGTACAGGTTTACCATCAGATGGTTCATTGGGGTGTGTCAGATATCGTCACACGATGTCTCGGTAGAGCTAACACCGACCTTAGAACACGTCCTGTACCATCGCATCAGAGAATATTTTCGTGATCTTTTGCGAGCGAATCGTGTCGATTTGTCCTCAGATTCGGAAGCTTCCAGCCAGGAGTCTGAACCTGAAGAGGAAAGGGCAGAGAAACAAGAGCGTCGTCGCCGGCGTGAAATCCGGCGACGCCAGACTGCGACGAGAGTGAATAAGCTCAAAGACGAGAAGGCGACCAGTGTGAAGTGGAAGAGCGTCGACAAGGTCCTCCTGTGGATGGATCAGGACATGGGATACCAAGCCAAGGTGAGAGGCTGCTCAATCTGCAATACTGCGTTGTCTAAGATCGATACGTTTCAGGAGTTTCGATGGGTAGAAGAGCTGATCGAGAAGAGCGAGATGCTGGAGAAGGACAAATCCAAGGACGATTAAGACGTTTGTACACGCCGCTTCTCTGCGTGCGTCATAATGACTATCATGTATCATATTGCTGGGTGCCGCCTCGGAGGATTCGGTCCGCCGCCAAAAAATTTCGGAACTCGCTCATGATCCAGACGGAAGCTTGCTTTTCATTTCAATACATGAGCTGACTTGGGTTGCGAGCGCGAGACAACTGTCGATCTACTGCGAGCGGTAAATGAGAGGACTCTGTGGAAGTCTCCTACAGCCATGTCGGACTGTCCGATTCGTCCGGACCCGTCATGCCCGTCTAGCTCACCCAAAGGCTCAAGCTGGCATGCGACCTTTGACCAACGAATCTCTATCTCGACTTGGGCGGCCCCAGCGACCGCGGAGCGTTTGCAGGACGTGTTTGCATTGCTGTGCAGGATCTCGTGCCAACTCGTCGTTGGCGGCTACTCCGCCGTCACCATGGGTCACAGACATAGAGGCTGAGCACGCAGAAATCTTGAGATGCTGCAAAGCCAAAGTCGAGGAATACAAACGACTGTCGACTATGGTTAGTAGTCATTTTCTCGTCCTCTGCCGTCATCTGACACGTTTCCAATAAGCCGCTCTCGGACTCTTCTGTGGAGGAACTGAAAGAGCAAACCAGGACTCTGAAGCACCTGTCACGGCTCGCTGAGGCTTGGGACGCTTACATTGGAACCCGAAAAGTGAGTCTCCCCAGCGCTACCTTGGTCGGCTGACCTCATCTCATAGGCCATCATAGAGCTGAGACCCCATCTTCAAGAAGAGGACGAAAGTCTGCGAGAGATGTTCGCCTCAGAAATGGCCTCGCATATCGAGCAACTTGATCTCATCGTTCAAGATCAGTTGTCCTCGCTTTTACTGCCTCAGCTGTCATCGGATTCGCTACCTGCGATCTTGTCTTTGCATGTCGGGATCGGAGGAGGAGAAGCTGCACGCTTCCTGGAAGAGCTTGCCAAAATGTACAAGGTCTATGCCGCGAAGAAGGGGTGGCAGGTCGAGACTCTGAGCGAGGTGGAAGGCCCACAGGCAAAAGGCCCTGGCGGTAACGGCTTGCGGGAGACGACAATGAAGATCTTCCCCGGTGAATATGGGGATGAAGACGCGTCTTGCTTTGGGGACATCATGTGGGAGTCCGGGATTCATCGAGTGCAGCGTGTTCCACCAGGAGCAACTGTGGACAAGATGCATTCCAGTACAGTCTCTGTAAATGTGAGTAGGCAACCTCCTCTTTCAGCTTTCTCACTTCCTCAGGTGTCTCCCATATACCCTGATACAGCTGAGGAGCCCCTCATTGACCCTAAAGATGTCAGACAAGAGGTCATGCGTGCGCGGGGTGCGGGTGGTCAGGTGAGCTGGATTTCTGATGCTAGTAATCACAACTGAAGCTTGGATCTGTCAGCACGTGAATAAAACGGAATCCGCCGTGCGTTTGACGCATGTTCCCACTGGTATCGTCGTCTCGATGCAAGATTCAAGGTCTCAGCACGAGGTAGGCGACTTCGTTATTGAGAATCCCGACCCTGATGTGATCGACAGAATCGAGCCTGGGCGTGGGACGTTCTCAGGGCGAGAATCTCAGAGAGGAAGCGCAAAGAAGAGCAGGAGAGGCGGAGAGCAAAGCGAGCAGACAAGATCAAGGGTGTCTTCAGAGGGGACAAAGTACGAACCTACAACTATCCACAAGTGCGTCGGGACTAAGTGTTGGGACGATACTGACTCCGTCTGAATATAGGACCGAGTAACAGATCACCGAATTGGATACAATGCCTCTGACCTGGCCGGCATTGTCAGTGGTGAAAACTTTGACAGGATTGTCGCTGCGATGAAGGAGGATTTCTATAAAAGGAGGATCGAAGCTCTCATGGATGGCGAGGAAGACTTGGTCGAGTAGCGGATCGAAAAACTGCATCTTTGCATACAACATCACTTTGATCCGCCGGAGAAGAATGCTCTCAGGTCTTTTTGCGAGCTATCGAAACCCTGACTGCCAATGCCACCCTTCTGACGGTGTATGCCATCCAGATGTTTCGTTACATCCGTACTAATGATTCGGACATTCAACCTCGGCAGCTGAACTTGATTCTCATCGACCTCGGGCGGCTCTGCGGGGCGAGATGAAGGAGTCACAGCAGGGTCGGGGTTCGTTTTCAGGTCGGCATCGTGAGGGTTGGTCATCTCATCCTATTGCTTCCGATCAGAGTCCCGCAATGTAATCCAGACTCGAGACGCTCACTTCGTACCCAAGCTCCAATCTCGTCCAGCCGGTCTGGAGATAGGGGTCAGAGTAGTCACGAAGTACGACCAATTCTCACATTCGTCATACCTTTGGCAAGTCAGTGTATCTCTCGAGCGGCTGTTGGAGAACTGACCCTTGTAGCCCCAATCCAGACCTTGAGCGCCGCGTCTGGCGAGGAGGCCCCCGATGAACTCTGCGTTGAAGATTCCATGCGCAACGACCACGATATGACGAGTTGTAGGAGGTCGTCTTCGACATTCTTGCAGGTGCCTCTCAATAAACTGAGAAAATCTATACGAGTATAGCTGAGCGTCGCCTGATTCTCGAGGACATATCTCACGCTTCGTTCGCTCGAGCACGAACATCGTTTAAGGATTCCCCATCCTCAAACTTGAATGATCTTCCCGGTCCTCGGGTGTACTCTTTCCCGAACGGCTTATGTTCAGCTATCATCGATGAATCAGCAACTGACCCGTCTGAACGGTACGACGAGCCTACCTATCCCAAAATTCTGTTCTCGAAGTAGGGATGATGTGGTGAATGGCGGCCTCTGAGCTTGATTTCGTTCTATTTGTTGAGCCTATCATAGCCATAGATGATCAGATCCGAGTGGAGAGCGAGCTACACTCACCGTCCAGAGTGCTCTCAACAGATCTGACGCATAGATTGCGTCTACGCGGGTCGATTTGAATGACTCCCCCAGCGCCTTGGCTTGCTTTGATTACCATCAGCATGTATACAGACTGTCTCTGTCTAGATCATTCTGCTTACGTTCATACCTGAGATGAATGGTCAGACTAACACATTTAGATTACTCTGTGCGACTTTCTCACCATGTACAGATAAAGGTGCATCTGACCATCCTGCCCACAATGGCTTCAGATTATCTGTATCGAGCATCGTTCAGACTCAGGCGGGACGGACTACCGAAATGGGAAGGCGCACCTGTAGATTCGCCATGGCGGACCTGAGGCGCAGGAGCAGATGGTCAGCGTCCCACCACATACCGCGGGTAGCAGATGAACGCACAATAGTCAAAGTTATCATACTCCGATGGCTCGGAGAGATCGACGTCGATCGTCTGTAATATACCTGCTGCAAGCTGTTTGATGGTTTTGCAAGCTTTGCAAATCCAATCATACGATGATGAAGCGCGAATGGAGCAGGAATGAACGAGGTAAACGCTGTTATCTCTCACACTTGTGTCGTTGCGAGGCCAAAGCAGCGGTGCGGTTCAGCTTGGGAGAAACTCCGCCCCGCCAGCTGCTGACGACATTTCACTCCTGAAAACCCGGTGGATCGGACCGCCAAACGCCATACATTACTGCCAATTCCTCCTGATAACTGATAGCATATGTATAGCAATTACAAGCTACAACGATCGTGAGAAAGCCTAGCTGAGCACGGTGTCCATTCAGCCTGGAGATCGGTACACACGATCCGCACGTTTGCATCCGATGAAGCCCTCGCAGTCTCACATGATAACACAACAAGAGTTTTGCTATAGAAAACCTGTTAGTCTTTCCTCTCATCGTGGCACCGAATCTCACCTTCTTAGCGGTCTTATAAAACATCTTACTTTGCGCTGAAAGGGCATTGGACCGCTCAACAAGGTTGTCGAGCTTTTCACCACGTTCGAGAACGGATTCAATCGTCTTGTGCTATTTGGAGACGGTGAGTATCACGAATTGGACAACTACTGTATTCTCACCAAGACAATTTTGGTCTCGTCCAGCTCCTTTTGGACTTTCATGATTGTATCGGCCTGTTTTGGATCCTGATACTTGGTCAGGTAAGTGGCCAAAGTACCTTCCAGCTTCCCCTTCTGAGCGGGAGGTAAGCCTCCTGCGGCCGCCTGTGATGGGTTGCCACCAAATGCATTTGCTGATGCAGATCCGAATGAGGGCGCAGCGGACGGGCTTGGGAGTTGAGCCAGAAGTGGGGCGTTCTCGTCCAAGAGTTTGGTGAGAAGGGAGAACGCTGGGCGATAAGGATACTCCATGTCTGTGATCATGACGGCTAGAAGGTTATCGCAATTAGCTGAGTCTCCCAGACCTTGTGATCAGAGCCCACCGGCCATGCCCATCGAGTTCGGTCCTCGACCCGCCGTTCTAAAGACATGAGCTTTGTAATTGTTCTCCTCCACGGATGATGGTTGATTTGCCGGTGTCCGTTCGGCCACAGTCTAGCGAGCGCATCAGTAACAAATGCCAAAAGTTTCAGGTCTCGTTCACCTTGGTGAAGAATTGCATAAACTCGCCCACGCTTCCCCTCTGATAGAAAGAGTAGCTGCTCAGATCTTGGCTGGTACCCAGCATGGTGGCTCGTGCGGGAGACGAGGGCGTGACGGATAGCAGAGAGAGCGAGTAAACCTTCATCTTGCTGATAGGGTAGTCGGGACAGATGTGTTTTGAGACTCGAGATATAGATGACCTCCTTAGAATGAGACAAGCGGTGTGGGATGGTATCCAATCGCTTTAGGTTTGATCGACGTCAACAGAGAAATGATCGTCCAGAGAGTACCGACTGCGAACTTGGCGTTGAACAGATGACTATATAGCACACAGGAGATTAGTGATGATGGTCTGGCTGAGAGATCGGTATCTGATGGTCCCGGGAGGCGTGTGAGACCAAATCAAGAGATGGAATGATACTGTGTAGGATAGAGATGACGATCTCACCGCTACCTTGTTTATTCTTTAATCGATCCCCACCCTTTTGATGTTAGAAGGGTTCGCGTTTACGTCATTTTTGGCCCATTTTGGCCCTCGTCCCCCCGCCCTCATCCGGCGTCTTCCTCCCCTTTCCATCTTCCCTCGTCAGATCTATATACAAACCTATTCATCATCATCCCCCTCTCCATCCTTACTCTCACTCAGGTCTCCCGGCCACAGCTCTTCTGCTGAGAGCACACAGTGGGCTCACACCCTGGGCAAACCGTTAAGGAAACAATCCCATCCCCGCAAAAAGGACGATCGAGCATACGGGTCCAACGCAATGTCCGACGCTTTACCCGAGGACACTTGGGTCAATGCATTCCTCTCTGCTTCTCCTCGACCACTACAGGCTGCGCTTCAAAAGAGATTGCAAGCCTCTCAAACGCATGTCACGGCGCTACAGGAGCTATTCAAACAACGTGCAGCCCTCGAGACACAATACGCCGATGGACTCGCCAAGTTGGCTAAAAACGCCGAACAGGGATTGCTGAATGGAAAAGGAGGTGTAGAATGGGAGAAGAGCGGAGCAGAGACAAAGATATGGAACAGCGTGGTCTCAGAGCTCTCAGAGGTAGGTCATCAACATGTCGACTGACTGTCACAAGGCTGATCTCTCGTCTGCCCCGCAGACATCTTCCGCGCACTCGACTTTGGCTGCCCTCATCCGGACAGATTTTGAGCAGCCCATTCGTGACATTCCCAGTAAATCAGTAGCCTGGCGACGGATAGGCGAGCAAGACTCCTCGTTGGAAAAGACGCTCAAAGACTATGAAAAGACGGCTGGCAAGTTGGACAAGGCTCAGTCGAAGAGCAAAGGGGGCAAAGCCGACTCGCTGCAGTCTGAGCTCAACCAGTTGACCTCCAATCTTTCGTCCTTGAGCCCCATGGTATACACCACTTACCAACGACTGGACGAAGACCGCCTAAGAGCCTTGAAAGAGATCATTGTTCGATGGGGAACGGTCAGAGCAGACGTCGCTCAGAGAGATGCGGAACGCGCTGAGAGAGCCGTCGCAGTCATGGTTTCTTGGGAGACGCCAGACGAGGTTCTCCGCGTGGGACGCCAAATAGCTCAGAAAGCTGGTGGCTCACCCGGCGCTATCGCCAATACCGGAAGTGACAGAGGGGCGGACAGCGTGACTTCGACCCGTGAGTTAAGCCCTCGCACATCCATGACGATGAAAACTCACAAACCCGTTGTAGCTCGCACAAACAGGCGACTGTCCACTGCTACTGCACAGACCAATGACTTTTCGCCTCGACCACAGCCGAGGCAGAACGGCAGCTCATCGAACCTGCCCAACTCCGGCAGCTCTTTCGCAGGAGGTCTCAAGTCGATGCTGTCTCGTCGGACCACGCTGGCGCCAAACAATCGTGGCCGCAGCGACAGTGCAAGTACTACAGGGAGGGGTCCAGCCGGTCGAGAAGCTGGAACTTTTGCAACTATTGGGGAAAGTGGAGCCTCGGATCAGGCCTCCCAGCAAAGCGCGCCCCCAGTCGATGAAGAGGGATTCTCGGTTGCGCCGGCCGATCGCCACCGCGGCCCTTGGGAGGAGCCTGAAGATCTCCTGACCGATGACCCCATCGCCCCAACCTCCAGTGTCCCGCAGACTCGTGACCTTCTTTCTGATGATGACGGTCCCAGTACTGCGGGATTCCAGAATACTTTCACCTCGTCGCCTGCTGCCTCAAACGAGGACTTGGGAAGATCCAATACGAGCTCGTCTCAAGCGCAGTCCAAGCTCAATTTGGCATTGAGCTCAGCCCCGATCCAGGAAGATGAGGCGGATCGACAGGCGGCCATGGAGAAAATGCAACAAACCCTGCAAATGTCACCTCCTCTCCAGGCAACTCGTCGCCAAAATACCGCTCGTGGTCGTCGAGATGTAAGAAATACCATGTTCGCTGCCCCCGGTGAGGACGGCTCCCTGGGATACGGCGCATTAGCGTTGGGCGGTCCCAGTCGCGAAACGTCATCGAGTCCTGCCAATGCAAACGGCCTCACACACGGCTCAAGCAAGCCTGTCCAATCCCTCAATCGTCAAGCCTCGCAATCTTCTGTGGCTTCAAATAACCCTTTCGACTCACCCGGCCTGCTTGGGCCAGCCTCCACCATCCTTCCCGGTACGACAGCGAAATCGGGTCTGACTGGCTCTGTGAATGAAACGCTCAACGTCGTCCTGCGGGAGGGAACAGTTAGACGTCTACAGATCAATGGGGAGATTCATCTGTCCCTGCGACCCGGAGAGTCGACGCATCCCGCGCACGGTCCGATCCACGTCCGAATAGGCAAATTCGAAGCTCTGGAGAAGATCGCGCCGAACCCAACATTCGTCGCGCAGGTGCCGGACAAGCCTGGAGAGTATATACTCAACTCTGAAGCTCTGGCGTCAATCTCAGCTTCTGGACCGGCGAAGGGGCCATTGGCATTCAAGTATCAAGTCTTTGTGGCTCCCGGGCAAGAATCTGCGTACTTGCCCATCACCCTGACCCCGGCATTCCTCTGCAAATCCGGTGAAACCAGAATGATTCTGCACTACAAGAGAAATGCCGAGACCTTGTACCCATCCTCCGAACTCAGCAAAGCATCCATTGTCGCTATCTTTGGTGAGGGACCAAGCGTTTCCAACGTTCAAGCGAAGCCAGCTGGTGGACAGTGGTCAGCTGCGTCTCGTCAAATGACCTGGGATCTTGACTCGATTGCCAGCGAAGGCAAGATCATCGCCAAATTTGTGACCGGCCCAGGCGAGACGCTGACCCCATTAGGGGTCCAGGCGACATGGACATTGAAGGGTGCAGTTAGCAGTGATCTTGGATTAGAAGTCGTCCCGGGAGACCTGGAGAGCGATTGGACATTCTCGAATGTGCAGAGACAGATGAGCAGTGGGAAGTATCTTGCAGAACCAATAGTGAATCAATGAGGTGAGATGAGGTGAGGGATCATACAGAATGAATATCTTGAGCGTCCGCCTAGCTCGATGCCACGTGAGGATTCAATCGGTGATCGAAATGTTGTACAACAATATTTGTAGCGTGCAAGATCATCATTGCTCAGCGTTTTCACTTTAGACCTCGGCAACGACGTTCGCAGCTGCTGTGTTGAGCCATCACTTGTCATGTCAGCTAGCACAACACATGCTCAAAGCTCGTCAAGAGATCCAGAGCCAAATCGTCAATCAAGCATAAATTCTGGGCTGGAAGTTGACGACGATGAGGACGACGTGTTGCTGGACCTCAGCAGATTACAGAGCTTTGCGAGGTGAGTCCTGCAAAGCGTCCGGAACTGACAACTATGAAGCCGAGTACAGTATGTCGCCGCTGAAGAGAATCAGGCGGGACCGTCTTCCATTCGTCCTAAAATGACAATTCCAAAGCGTGGAGAAAAGGATTTTGAGCCCCTAGAAGAGACCGTCAACCTGCAGGATATGATGCTCCAACGTAGTCGGGAAGCCTTGTTCAGCGCTTTGCTTGGAGTGCGCGGGGGTAACATGTGAGCAAGGGCATATGCTCAAAACCCATATTGCACGGGGTCTTGACGCTTTTTCCAGCCAATCAATCTCACAAGCGATAATACTACCGTCGTCTCCGTATCCACGAATACTCACCACCCGGGGTCACCTCATGGATTCGATGGGCATATCAATTTCAGGTCCAGCTGTTAAACCTCAGAAGAGACGGCAGACCCACACAGAGCTTCTCCCAGAAGAGGCTTTGTATTTATTAGAGAGAGGGTCACTGCAGATTTGGATCCCAAATACCGCTAAGGTAAATGGGGGTTCTACTCCCTCGAACGTTGACTGGAACGATACGGATTTTGGCTTTGAAGATTGCATCGAAATGAGCGTCATGCAGGGGTTCTCATTCTTCTTGGGGAAGGACGGACTGACTTGGGAACGGTACCAAGTGAGTGGATACCTTTGCTCATTTCGATGTCACATTTCGCTGACACCGATTCGCTCAGGCTTATGCTTACCTCAAACGCTTGGGATACACTGTGCAACGCTCGAGAAGGTTTCTACCCACTCGATTCCTGGGTGGTACTTCTGAGTCAGCTGCACAGTTGCCTTTGTCCAATCCAGGCCTTCCTCCGTTTAGAAGTTGGTGGCTCAGCATACCCGTCGTATTGCGCCGATGCTTCGGGGCTCTCGGCACCGTGATCAGTAGGCTTCTTTGGCACCGTTCGTGGTCTCGGCGGCAGGTCTTGGAGCGATCAGCCTTGCAGGGCTGGAGCGGCCGAACGTACAGTAAGTCGGGGACCGGCTAAACCCCGATCGCTGATGATTCTGCCAGGCTCGATAGGCCTCCATCTGCATTGTTCTCAGAGCGGCTTGTCGACCTGGGGACGCGCAAGGATGACCCGAATAGCGCCATCTGATAGGATGACCAATCCGTATACGCCGTTCTGGCATGTTTGGAAACCTGATAGACCATGGTCAAAGGCTCAATGGGACAAGAGCAGTGCCGCAGGCCTGGCAAGGCAGCCTTTTGACTTTGCCGTCGCCGCCGTCGAGTAAGCACCTCAGTCGTTTCAAGGCCACATCGGCTAAACACTTCTCAGCGCCCGAGCTGAGCCACTGCCGAGTCTCGAACAACTTGACGAAATCTTTGACAGTCTTCCACAGGAGACAGACACAAGGCCTCGGCCGGTGGTCGACGGCGTGACTGCTGTTACGACTACCGCTCAGGCTCCGCCCCAGCCAAACCGCCCTTCACCGAAAGGGCGTTCAGTACCGAGCATCAGGAACGGAGATCGCGCTTTTGTCGTTGCTGTCAATGATTCCGGCAATCAAGGCTGGGTGAGATTCGGCAGAACAGGCTTTGCATCGATATTTGATGTCTGATATGCATTGAAAAGATGCCGTCTATCCTTTCGTCAATTTTACAGTACGATTTCATACAACATAACTACAGTGCCGGAATGGTATCGGGATATTTTTGAGGGTCGCTGCAGTCTATTCTGTGATCACCAGTTGACCTCTTTCTCGAATCGGTCCAGCTGATTCACAGCTGCGGCCACCTCCTTCTGTCGCGCCGTCCTTGCGTAAAAGCAGGGGCAATCCGCTGAGGTACATATGACATCCTGGGGTATCAGGATCCCATTTCGCCATCAGCGCTCACTTGGTGCAAAGAGCCTTGACATCGCTGACACTGCGTCCATAGTCTGGCGAAGTCAATCTGAAGTGCGGATGTGTGTGCGATCTAGCACAGGGCTCAGTATCAAGTTTCGACAATCATGTGACACTGACCTGCTTCTGATACAGCTCAGGGAGCTTTGGCCTGCAATTCTCGCAGACTGCGCCACCTGAAAAGACATCAGCGCTCCTTTCTTAGTCAATCCCTCACTTTTGCCCCTCAATGGTGTCTTGCAACCCAGGCATGTGACCGTCTTCACCGCAAATTTCATCAGACCGCCGATGGTTGGCGTGGCGATTTGTATAGTCCGTGTATGTTCGCCGGCGACTGGGGGCGATAAGTTGAGATCCGTAAACTAACTTACGCAATGTTCCTGCTCGTTCTCCCATGATAGGCTCAAAAATCCGCATTAGCGGCTTCGATAACTGATTGTCGAGGTAATATCTCGTATCAATCGGGACATTGTGTTCCAACACATAGAGAGGATCTTCTGACTTTTCGTATGCTGCAGCGCCTGGAAAGATTAGAAAACGTGGATTTAAAGCCGCTCACCTTTGATACCCTTGATGATCACGTACGCGACTCGATCACCAAGCGCTGGAGCTGAACCTATGCAGATTAGCGAGACCCTGTCAAAAGACATCCTACCTGCGTCGCGCTTCTTCATGCGTTCTGCCAATTCCACATGTGCCTGTTTCGCGGCGTAATCTTATCGAGTCAGCTCGGGATATTAGTCTCAGCGATTACAATTACCAGCTTTGGCCAATGCCTTGGTGATGACGAGTTGGGACATGTCAACTTTGTTTTGCAGTAGATCCGCGATGGTATGCTTGACATAACTGTGTGTCAGGCATCAGCGTTTTAAGATTGAACAGCGGAATAGTCGCACTCTTCTGCTCCGCGGACATCGCGATCGATCAAGAGCTTGTACAAGCAGGTCTCAATCACAGTGGATACAAGACGGCAGTTGTCACGTCGAACGGTCTGAGCGGCTCTGTCAGGAATCGTCACGCTGGTGTCATACCTCGATTCCTTTGGTATCCATCTTGTCGTATTTCTCGGGTTTGGTCCAATACAACCCGGCATACCGCTTCTTGCTGATCAGAAGATACGGGAAGTAGACTTTTTCAAACTCGAGCTTGATCGGCCTGATGAACTTGGATGAGACCAGCTCAGCAGCCTCAGCGCCTGCGTCCAAGGTCAGTCCAGATAGACCTCGCGCAGAGGGTACTCGCCCATTCTCATTGCAGTGTCAAGATCCGGACAGCCGAAACGTATCATAACCGAATCGGTATCACCATATATGACCTTGGCGTCGTTATCGTACCCATTCTTGACACAATATTCCGCTTCAACCTCTTGTTTTGTAAACTCGATCATCTGACGACCAAATGCAGTGGTACTAGACGAGATCGCCAGACAAGGCAGCTTGCCCACAGTGGCACCCGTAAAACCATAGACAGAGTTTGCGCTGATCTGAGCAGTTGCCGTGAGCACTGCCTCTGAGAGAAGTACCCACCTTCAGCGCCAGTTGTCTGCCATCTAATACAGCACGTTTGAATGGATCTTTCTCCACCTTCAGATCCTGTCTTGCCCTCTTTCGTGCTGCCAACAGATTCTCGAGTACTGTAGGTAGAAGCCCTTTGCGGCGCTTGGAGGTGGCAAAATAGTCTTCACTGAATCAGGATGATACACCCGAGGCTCGCGAACTCACCGTTGTTTGGCGTGTGGACGAAATCTTCTCCTTCAACCAGATTCAGCCGCTCTATGGTTGCTTTGTCCAAAAGAGTGGTGTAACACAGATTGTGCGCCATCATGATTGACGGGTAAAGGGATGCGAAATCGAGTGTGGCGATCGGAACATCATAGAAGCCTTTGGTAGGCTCAATGACAGTCGCTCCCTCATACTGCTCATCACTGCCTTCGCTACGCAGAGCCGGCACCAGGTATCCATGTTCCTTAGCACTTCTGTATAATTGGGAGACCACCTTGATTTGCTGACCACGAGATAAGAGGTAGTTGAATGGCACACCGGTGACTCTAGCCATTTCAGTGTAGTTCACGAAGGACATGAGCTTGTCCATCAGCCGCTGGGGGAGATATGCATCCTGCAGGAGATGTTAGGATGTCCACCGTAATTGGCTTACTTTCAAGCAATACACAGCTAGACGACGCCGTGAGTCCGCAGTGCCGTTTTGTAGCTCTGTAATGATCGAGTGATGAACGTCCTCTTTCTGCTCCCCCAGAAACTGTGCGCAAACCGCATTGAGGGTGTAGCTTCGAAGTTTGTAGTCTCGCTGCATGACCTGCAGTATATCCAATTGTAATCGTCCATCCATATTGACAGCCTTGGAGTCTCTTTGACCGTATGCCTTGGAGGAAAAATGAGTGTCTTTGACCTCGGAGCGCACGTCTATGCCAATCAGCATAGATCGCTTCAGTCGTGACGCACTCTTGAGTCGTCCTAAAAAGGCAAAGTCCGGGATCTTCAAAGCCTTGGCGCGATCAAGCAGATATGGCAAATCGAAATTGGCGATGTTGTAGCCGATGATCATATCCGGATCCACCTTTTCGATAAATTTCCGCCATTCAAGCAACAAACTCTTCTCATTCTGGAACTCGAGAACTTGAGAGCCAACGATGTGGGCGCAGGTATTGAGTGTGAACACATTACGAACAAATGGCTTGCTCTCCCCTGGCGTGATCAGCCTCATCGCGAACAACTACACGCACCTTGGCGGGTCACCATTGCCGCGATTTGGATGACGGGATCAATGTTTGGCTCTGGGAAAATCCCTTTTCGTCCTGCGCACTCGATGTCAAAACTCAAGATTCGTAACGGGGCAATCTTGAGCCATTCTCCCTCGGGTGCGTGAGAGACAAGATCTTTGTAGCTGAGGAACCGAGATCAGAAGCGTCGACTTGCTGCAGAAGACTTACTTGCAGGAAACCTCAATCTGGCACAGGGACTTTTTGTCGTCGCCCTTCAGAACCTCATACTTGCCTCCGGGTATCTCGACCCAATTCATACCAACCACATGGGTATCGATCATAAATCTCAAGGTGTAGGCGATGTTGCTTTCGTACGTCATGATTTCAGCAGGGAAGAGGCCATTGAACTCTATTTGACCACGTTCAAAGGCCCGTGAGAAGCATAGGTAAGCTTTGAATCTTCCTGGAGGCTGAACACCTATCTTTGACTCTGGGCAATGCCTTCGCATCCGCGCAAGTGATTTTGATGAAGGGTACATTGTCATCACCTCTGTAGCCCCAGAGGGATTTCCGGTTGAAGACTGCGCAATTGATGACTGGTGGAATAGCCGATTGGACAGCTGACTGCGAAGCTTCAGCAATTTAAAGGATCTCGCTGAGGTGACTGACATTGATTGAATCCTTCAACGGCTCCAAGTCTTTATTCAGGAATCCTGGAGGCGCAGCCACATAGAAATATGGCTTGAAACCGTGAACATAGGCCAGAACCGAGTTGCCAGCCGCGTTGACCCCGAAGAGACGTAGAACTGGACCGCCCTTTGGGTCGACAGCCTCCTCTATCTCAATCTGCTGAAATGCTAGTTTTAGGGGATGTCAGTGCTGGCGGGATGTATGAGCAAGTTCAATCTCACTGATAGAGTCCAGGGCTGGGTCGTTCACAGCGACAGAAGGTCTTGGCCATGCATCCGAACTTTCAATATGATCTAAGCCGGTAGCAATTCAGTTCTCTACACTAGGCGATATACAGTATGAGAACTCACCTCCAGAATTGTCGTCCTCAGCTTCGAGTTGCTCCAGGACCTGAGAGAAACTGGCCTGCTTCTCCAGTGTCCTGACCGCACCATTCCCTTGGAGCTTTCTCTTCTTGTTGGACACATCCACCATGTCTGATGGTGACCAGGTCGTTGCCGGCGTCAGCGCAACCTCCTTCAACTCAGTTAACGAATGAGAAAATCAGATCGCGTCGCGAAGAAATATGACTGATCGCAATTGAGAAGCGGTCATCACCGACTCATTGTGCCTTGTAATCACGTGACCGAAATATGGTTTGTACGTCATCGAGAACCATCCAGTTGTCCGCCGGAATCTGCCTTGTCGATAGACCTTCAGCTAGCACATCGTCGCTGCTTGCGAAATGAAACGGGAGCTCAGTGAAGGGCAAGAGATGTCTGAGGGATCATCGACTCCTCCATTGAGGGCTCTCGATGCTGGCAGCTCGCAGCCGACTCCTCCGAAGCGTTTCAAGGCGGAAGCCTCTCCATCGATCGAGGGCAACGGCATTGACTATAGATCTCTGGCTTGCAGGGAGTTTGGCCCATCATACAACGAGTGGCCAGCTCCCGCACGAGCGATACTGGCCGCTCAAAAATTTATCATCGAGATGCAAGTCTGTGTAATGCATGAACCGACGTCAGGCTCACATGCTAAGTCAGAACGACACAACAGCTCCCGGTATTGATAGCTCCTGACAAGGATGCTGACGGTCTATCTGGTGAGTCGGATGACTGTCCTGTACTCAAGCTGATCGTTAATCGACATTCAGCTGGAACTTTGCTGCACAAAACTCTACTTCATCTGGGTCTTCCTGAGACTTGCATCCAGGTTCAGCACTTGCAAAAGGGCAACAATGTCCACTCTGCAAAGGAGGTGGAACGGATCGCCGCTAGTGGTGTCTCGAGAGTCATTGTATTAGATCAAGGCAGCCGACCTGGCCCACCGATCTTTGACCCGGATGAGGATGGTCAAGCTCGAACACTGATCATAGATCATCATTACTCACACGAGGTAAGTGAGATCCCGCGTGACGACGCCGATCACGCAGTGGCCAGATCATTCCGTCGTCCTAACAGCCTGCCACTCTCCACCTATCGTGACTACATCGCTGTTAACATACCTGCTCCTGCGTGACCTCGCTCCGTCGTTCGTCAAATCAGAAGGATGGCGAGCGCTGGTTGGTCTGATAGGAGGTGAGGTCAGTGAATTGGTGGAAGCTCACTGACAATCGCGAAGACCTTGGACCCAACGCTGCGGAATGGGGTCAGCCGCCCTGGCCCACAGAGCTGGGCAGACTGTCCAAAAGGTGGGAGTGTTCGCTGATCAACCGATGACTGTCCGGTTCACTATTGTTCAGACTTGGCTCCAAAGCGTTGGCGGATAGCGTCGCTGCAATCAATGCACCACGGCGCACAGCCGAGTATGATGGTCGGTGGCGGGTATGGTGGCAAGATCAGCTGACTTTGCAATCCAGTCCCAAAAGCATGGAAGGTGACAGACCTGGGCATGCGAGATGCCGCCGTCACGCTGAAGCGGCTCGTATAGATCCTCTTGGAAGCCAACACGCCTCAAGCGGTTGCCTCGCATGCCTACTTGAAACTTTGCAAGCTTGATGTCGGGGATGAGACCCAGAAGTGGGCACGGACAGGTCAGTCGAGTCAAGAATCCCTCGAGAACCATGATAAATAGCGGTTTAGCTCCCAAATTCTCTCAAGACGGCCGTATAGCTCTTATCACAATCTCCACGGGTTTCCAGAGTGAGTCGGCCCAGCGTCCAAGCGTTGAGTCTCGAACAGTCCATCCGGTGATTGCGACCAGATGGGCAGGAACGCTGGGCAGGAAGAGTGGTAAATTGGTCATGGTCATGGTCAGCCATCCTGTGGAATCTCGCGTCGGTTGGCAGCTGACGATCGCTGTCAAGTGCGCAAACACGGCGTATAATCCGGATGGTAGAGTTTCATTCTCTTGTCGTATCGCAGCCACATTGAGGACATTGCCAGATGGAGAGCGTCGTGGGTTCAGGAAAGGTGTCAATACTGAGCTCCGCTCGCAGCGAATCTCATACAGCTTTTACTGGATATTGGACATGCCATACCGGGTTTCATGGATAGAGTTGGCGGTGACTTTGCTCGGGGTCATAAAGAGGCCACCGGTGGGATAATTCCCAAGGTCAATCATCCAACCTAGGGAGGGTAGAAAATACTGATAACAGATGATAGGAGGAATTCGCTCTTCTCACGGAGCACATAGGCATCGGCAAACCCCCGTCGCGAAAGAACGAGAACGTCAAGTCACCGAAGAAGCCTCGCGGAGCAGATAGAAGCATCCGCAGCTTCTTCGAGCCAGTGCCCAGATGATAAGAGGACGGCGAGAGAGACCGATAAGAATCGTTATCTAGCGTGATGATTGACATTAGGTGTGAATGTGAGTTATTCACGTGCAATCTCTTAGATTGCGATAAGTCAGGGTTGAATCAATAACAGCATAACCGTACCAGACATTCGTTTCACGGCGCTGGCCTTGAGCGGCGATGATGCCGTTCTGGCATACCTATCGCCTCTGGATGTGAGGGGGCTCCTGTACAAGATGTTTTCCGGAGCCCAGTGACATCTCCGCGTGCCCCAGAGGAAGACCCACACATCCGCACCACACAACCGTATGCTCAACCGAGTGGCGTTGTATTCCCCCGCACCTCCTGTTTTGCAACTGTGTAGTTTCGGGATAAGCGTCTACTTGGAATGTACACTCTCGCCGCGTATCTTGCGAGATATCATCTCAGCCTATCGGCGCCGATCGACCGTGGCGCCTCCTCCAGCCTTTGATCTTGAGCTGATGATGCTCGTCCATCTCGTTTTTATCTCTCTTATCACCTGCAGATTACCATTGTGAATGTTGGATGTGGTCCTGGGCGGCTTAAACGCCGTTGGACTCGACGTGTAACGGTCCGATATTGACCCGGGTTACTCGGTTGAGGCAAGAACGGTACCAGACAAGGTTTTCAGTACGCTCCCGAATATGCAGGAAGATAGAAAAAAGTCGTAAAACAAAGATCCCATCCGGCCACGGAACCGGTCAGATCATGGGTGGCGGTTTCTGAAAAATTTTCAGTGGCGTTCCTGGACGCCTCTTTTACTCTACCTGACCCGCCCTAGGTGAGCTATTTTGGGACTCGACTCACTGATACGGTCCTTGACTTTGTATACCCGGCGGAGGTTTTACCGGCTTTGGAAGAGGGGAAGGCGGGGGGGGCCTCATTCGATCTCAGTTTGTACGTACCTCCTCTCCATAACGGTACTAGACCCTTCGCAGATACTCGCCTCTCTTGCGAGAAGGGCTCACTATTATTATCTCGAGGGGGGGCCCGCGTGGCAGCTTACTCGGGGCAATCAGAGGGAGGCGCAAAAGCATGCGAATCTCGCTATCTACGCGTTCTCACGCTGCTGCCCCCTCGCCCGGATCAAAACCCAGCCTTGTCGATGCGTATCTTTTCGCGAGATTCTGGACCGCCGACCTTCCCGGGGCGCCACCAGATGCAATCACACCGAGAACAGCCCTATTATCGTCCTACAACGGCCGCGACCTCATCGCACGCACTCCGAAGACGCCGCTTGTTTGACCTGATCTGCCGGGGGAAAACTTTTCCCGGTCCATCAGGTTTTAGACAAATAGCGAACGCTTGTCTTGCCATCCTCCCATCGAGCACCCCACATTTGGTGTACAACCACCAACTATCAAACTCTCATCATGTCCAAAGAGCTCGACACTCCCCTGTCCCAACAGGGCGACTACCCTATCGTCAACTACATTGATGGGAAAAACCAGGAAACCTACGACGAAATCGACGAGAAGAAGCAAGATGGTACCGTCACACCCGACCGATGGACCGCACCCGAAGACTGGCTGGCTCGCTTTGTCGACGGCTACTCGGGTCAGCACGGTGGTGAAACACTTCCCCCTGGCTCAGACCCTTACCGTGTCGCTACCAGCGTCTTCACGATGAACGACGAGGAAGCCCTCCTTTACCTCAAGAACTTGTTGATCGAAATCCCCCACGACTACTCCTTCGACACTGCCTGGGCAGCGCGCATTCGTGACCTTTCCCTCGGTCATGAACATTGCCAGATGGAATACGGCGATTGGGCCTACGAGGTCTGCAGAGACGCCGGAATCTGCCACAACTGGTCTTGTTACGCGGAAGTTCGAGCTGTCTTGTTGCCGTACGATGACCCAGACACCCCCTGCGAGTCGTTCCGAGCGTACTTCTTGGGTATTTTCTGGATTTGTGTCGCCACCCTCGTCAATACATGTGAGTTTGCTCGTCTGGAAACGCCACTAAGTCTTTCCAGTCTTCGCACCCCGTCAACCCGGTATCTCCATTCCTGGTCAATTCATCCAACTCTTGTTGGTACCGATGGGTCGTGGTTTGGCCGTCATCCTTCCGGATTGGGGTTTCACTATGTTTGGAACTCGATGGACTTTGAACACTGGAGGCGAATGGTCTTCCAAGGAGCAACTTCTTTCCACGCTGATGGCCACCCAGGCCTCTGGTACTGGTAACTTCAACGGTCTTATCGTCCTCCGAATGCCCATGTTCTTTGACCAAAAATGGTCTGGATATGGATACTCCCTGCTTTTGGCCATCTCCAACCAATGTTACGGTCTCGGTATGGCTGGTATCCTCCGACGACTTACTGTGTACCCCACTCAGGCTGTCTGGCCCGCCAACTTGCCCACTCTCGCCCTTAATCGAACTCTGGTCTCCTCTGACCAGAAGGGAGAAGTTGTTAACAAGTGGAAGATCACCCGATGGCACGCTTTCCTTGCTTCAGCCTGTGTCTTCATTGTCTGGTATTGGATTCCCAACGACTTCTTGCAAGCCATCCGTTACTTCAACTGGATGACATGGATTGCCCCCAACAACTTCAAGCTTGGTCTCATTACTGGCTCTTGGGGAGGTATGGGTTTCAACCCCATCTCTTCCCTAGACCCATTGACCTCTGGAAGTGGTACCATGAACGCTCCCTTCTTCGCGTGAGTCGTCTGCTCTTTTCGTCATTTATACTCTGCTGACCCGTCTCAGTCAATTGCAGCAGTACGTCATGAGGGTCATCGCTGGAATTATCCTCATCGCGATGTACTTCGCGAACGTCTCCTGGGCCGGATACATGCCAATCAACTCCAACGCGTCCTTCGACAACACGATGAAGAACTACAACCTTACCCGAATTCTCAACCCCAAGGACAACACACTCGATCTGGACGCTTACAAAGCCTACAGTCCTCCCTACTACAGTATTGGTTACCTGTTCAACCAAGGTACCAACTTCACTTGGATCACCTTTGCTTTCGTCTACATCTTCATCCGTTACTGGAACGTCTTGAAGAAGGCTTTCTACGGCATGTACATCAACATGCGCAAGCGCCAGTCTATCTACACCGGTTTCGATGACGGCAACTGTCGAATCATGCGAGCTTATCCTGAAGTTCCCGAGTGGTGGTACATGATTGTCCTCTTCGTCGGATTCATCTTGTCTATCGTCACCGTCGCTGCCTTCCCCACTGAGACTCCATGGTGGACCATCCCGGCCTTGACCGTCATCGGTACATTCATCTGTATCCCCTGGTGTGTCATCGAGTCCGTCGCCAATGTTGGTATCCCCTTGGGTATCCTCTGGAACGTCTTGCCAGGTGTTTGGTTCCCCGGAAAGTTCCTTCCCGACTTGATGTTGCTCATGTTGGGTGATGCGTTCACGGCCATCGCTGGAAGTTTCGCTCAGGACTTGAAGTACGCCCACTACGCCCGAATTCCCCCTCGTGCAATGTTCCGATCGCACATCCTTGCTCAGGTCCTTAACGTCATCATGTACGTTTCCACCATCGCCTTGCTCGAGTCTCTCTACGACTCGGACAACACCATGTGCCAGTGGGACAACAAGAACTACATGGTCTGCGGTTCCGCACACAGTGTCTACTCCACTGTTGTGTCTTTCGGTGTCCTCGGTACCAACAACTTGTTCGCTCTCTACCCCGCTTTGAAGTGGTGTTTCCTCCTTGGTCCTCTTATGGCTCTTGCCTGGGCTTTGAGCGAGAAGGCTGGTCCCGTCATTCGACGAAGACTTGTGGCCAACATGGACGCCGAGCAGTGTGCTCGATTCGACACCAGGATCTGGGAGCCAGTCAGCACCGTCCTCCAAACTGTTCACCCAGCCATCGCCCTTTCCGGAGCTGCCACTTGGGGTGGTAACCAGAACTTGTCGAACTACACCCTTGCGTTGTACCTGTCGTTCTTGTTCCAGTACTACCTCAAGAGGAACTACACGGCTTGGTGGGGCAAGTACGCCTTCTTGCTCTTCGCGGGTCTCTCAGTCGGAGGAACCATCTCCGGTTTCATCAGTACCCTCATTTTCAGTTTCGGAGCTGGTAAGGGAGCCAGCTTTGACTACAAGGCCAACACCATCGGCAAGACGGGAGTCGACTGGAAATTGTACAACAACGAGATTTCCTACTTGCCGCTGCCAGAGGTCGGATACTTCGGTCTGGCCCCCGGTGACTACCCTGTCAACTTCTAGAAGGTCTCGGCCTCGTGAGGATTGAGAAGCATATCATCAGGTTTCCAGGGCATGTGGGATATTTGTGAGGCACACGACGACTTGTAGATCCTTTCGAGTAGTTAGGTGATAATTCATGAATGTTATTAGTGTCGCCACAAACATGATTGCAACTACCAGCTTCAGCCCGCAAGAGAAGGATTCCTTGGCCCCACTATACTTATATCAGATGATTTGCAGCCAACAATTTCGCCTGACAATTTTATGGCGAACGATATACGGACATACCCGCCAGTGAGAAGGATTCGCAAGCCAAGGCTATGTAGGTGAGAATCAGAACGCCATACTCTGTCAGAACTGGATGTCATTTGTGATTTATAAAATGAACAGAGCTCTTTGAGTTAAAGTCTCTGTCTGCCCTCACATCTCCACAAGAGACAGTCAAGGCTGACTATCACTCTAAAATGAATTGCGCTGACGTCCAGAGATTCACGACTCACAACGGCGAAGTGGCGTCAATTGTTGGATACCGGGAAGCTATCAGCCCTTCGACGTCTTTATAGGTCTCATTTTCGACTTTGAGCCCTCTGATTACTAAAGGTGGTGCCACGCCCACCCACAGCAACTACAAAGACACAAAGCGGCGAATTTGGGTGCTGTTCGCAAGAGATCATCCCGAAGAGACGCCATGGAAGTCCATCATCTACGCCAGGTCCACCAGCCCTGGCCGCGTAAATGCAGTGTACTTTCCCTCGTACAAGCGGCCTGGACCGTTCTCCAAGCCGCGTCGCGGCTCTGAGTGTCTGAGCAGAAGATGGGCTAAGCCCTACTCACTCCCCCACAAGGTCTGGGACGTGAGCACGCAAAAGGTATGATCGTCATCCCTATCGCCCTCTCATCAAACGCCCTCAGTGTGACCTGTAACACTCGCGTCAGTCTCAATCCGCTGACAGGTATCATTTGAGTCGACCAGGTTCTGATCGGACAGCTGACCCTCATCCTTCCGCTAATCAAAGATGGACTAAGCATAGCCTGCAAAATCCTTCAAGCCTCCTTCTAGGTCTTTCCGCCATCCGGCAGCGCCGCTCGTACAGTAGATGAATCCCGAGAGCTGGCCTGTGGTGATTAGAAAAACTACTCAGCAATCACATGTCTTGAGGGGCAGATGAGGACCTCGTCCGGTCCAAAGGACTGATGACCTTGGCGAACCGGTCGAGACAACCTCAAAAACCTAAACTAGTTCTCTCGATACTCTCCCGGGGCCGTGTTTAGACATGTTCTGCACAGAAAACGGTCGTCAAGAACAGACCTATCCGGCTTGAGGGTCCTACTTGAATAGTGACATTCTGAATAGAGATGTCAAGTTGGTTAGCTCATAGAGAACAAGTACACGATGAAGAAGAAAATGTCCTATCTCCATAAGTCCTACGCTCGGGTAAAGCTCGTCTAGCAGAGCTCGGCGCCGACCGGTGTTCCTGACAACGATGCATTGTTGTCCATCTTCTCACCTGTGATGAGACCGGAGCAAGGGCCACAGACTCGCAAGCAGGATCCCCGCTAGATAGACAGTGTTCGTTATTGTCAAGCTCTTGAGGTGGTATGAAATAGAACCGCCTATGGTGGGTGACTAAATCAATCGCTCATACAGTACTGTACATCATTGCGATGATAATGTACTGTATCTTCATCTCATGCAGATTCTATTCGTGCCAGGCGGAATGACGATGCGATGCATCTGCCTCGCGCGTCACAATTGTGTGATCTTGCCTCTAGTCGTGTGGACCGAGCATCGCCATGTAGCTTCGCATGACAGTGCCCCTCTCATCTCAAAATTAATGTACCTCAAGTCCTCTCCATTGCCCATCGGCTACGACCCAATCGAAGGGAGACCAATTCGAAGCTTGTCATGTACGATTGTCCTGGTCCATGACAGCGTTCTCTGACGGCAGTTCTCAGTGGCCTCGTTCCCGCCCGTCCTGCGCTGAGCCGCTGTTTCAAAGGAAGATATACAGTATAGCAATGACAAGAATTGCTTCTGAGTCCGCCGGCACCCTCCTATCGCGTCATCCGACTCCCTGAGTTTATGTTCTGTATGTGGGCGACGAGTGAAGCTGATTGATGATGAGCTCATACAGAGTATCGAGGTCTGTGTGGATGACGCATCTGCAGCATCATCACAGGCTCGCTCGAGTCAACATTCAACTTTCACTTTTGCAAAGAAATCATTCCATTTGCAAAATTTTGCAAATTAGGATTCGACTGTCAAGATCATTCTCACACGATGCCAAAATCCTTAATTGCGAAGCCGAAGTCGGCCAAACAATGTATGAACGGCCGAAGAATGATGGTGTCCATTCTATTGTAACTCACAACGGATGTTGTGTGTGAACCTGGCTAATTATCGAACGACTGTGAAGATTTGAGTTGGGTCAAAGAAACAACGTGATTAACTAGAGAGCTGAAGAGATGCAAAACGAGAGTAAGAGTGTATTGCAAAATAAAATACCTGGAGAATCTTTCGATCTTTAAAAATACAACAGGTACACAGACCTGCTCGTAGATGGCTGGTTCTTCGAGGTGCTGGTCGAGACTCTCTGAAGATCTCGTATCGCTCTGCGAAGTCTCAGCTGCTCTTGTGGGTCCTCTGTCCTTCACACGCGAGTCTGTTTGAATGCACAAGAATGTCCGTGATCGACTGCCCGAGAAGATCTCTTTGCATCTCTTTGCTCGCTCTAGGTGTCGGGAGTGTGAGTATTTGCTTCCGTTTCTATCTCGCCATCAAATCATCTTTAGTTTCTGTGTTATCCTTCGATCCTTCTATATGCAACTTGTTCAATGTTGAGCATCCATCGCTCAGACTCAACAGAAGAATCTTTGTGCCGTTCGAATTTGAAAAGTTGGCTGTCAGGGTACGTCCGATGACACCATAAGAGTAAACTTACAAATTGTTACGGGCGGGGCTTACCAAATAGAAGAGGGGTGCAATAAGCTTACCTTCTATTAGAAGGGGATAGCTTTGGTGTACGGACGGCTGGGTCTTGCAGCTGGGTGAAAAGTATAGTTGCAAGAATGGTTGGGAGTGATTGTGATTGAGATGCAATGAGGCGATGTTGTGAAGTGGTGAAGAAGTTGAAAGGGATTGTAACAAAGTTGACTTTGCTGAGAATTGTTCTCTTAGGATAAGAAGACTACAGACCACCTCCTTATATAGTTTTTGAAAATTCCTATGGATTCACTATGTAGACACTACAAGATCTGCGTGCGAGTTGCGCGCTGGGAAAAGATCTATCTGGGATCTGCGTGTAAGTTGCATGCTGGGAAAGATCTATCTGGGATCTTTGTGTAAGTTGCACGAAGATCTCCTTTTTCTACTTCAGGGAGATTGGGGAGCGTCTAGATCTGCGTGCAAGTTGCACGCTGGGAAAGTATAGCAAATGTAGAAAAGGCTGTGTGTGTGTGGATTTTCGTGTGTATCAAACGTGAAGGATGAGTTGGTGTTAGCTCAGACGTATCCTAACAGTAATCTCCGACTCGCCTCCGGTCTCTCAACTCTGGACTAGGTCACGTATACTAGACCGATCCACTTGGAACAGCAATCATCAATGCGAACTTCGAAGATCTGAAGGGCACTGTAATTTTTTGACATTGCTAGTGTGGGATGCCGAGACAAGAGGCAGAAGCAAATGATCACAATTCTGACAGCCAGTGGGTCGTATTCGAAAGACTCTCTAGCATATCTGCTGCCTTCGACTTCCAGAAAGAACGAAACTCCTCGCAAAATACCCTGTTGGCTCCTCCTTCTTGCCTTGCGTTCTTCCATAGGTGTATCGTTCCGTATCACAACTGGCTCGTATAAGATATTCTGTTCAGTCTTCTCATCGCGAAATGTTTTCTTTCTCCCGGAGGGAAAGATTCTTGTCACATGCTAGGCGGTAGGAGATCGGATCGTTATATCGAAGACAGGCATCGGTTCCCGCTTTTTGATTTGCTAGTTCTCCACATTGCTTCGCTCAGTGCGGTTGACGCATTGTTGGAAGACCAACGCTCAGGACTGGCTCTCACTAATAAGACTTTCATTTCAGGTTGCATGGGAAATACATCAAGCCATACCAATCTAGTTGAGGAGAGGTCGCTCTTCTGACAAAAACAAGGAAACTTGCTTCGCACGTTCACTTCTACAGTGTTATTTATTGTGTTCAATGACGAGACACGATGATTCAGTGACAAAGATCTCGATTTTTTGTATTTGAACATGCTCAGTAGCGCCAGTCCAGATCGACCACAACTTACCAGAACCATCTCTCATGTCCAAAAAAAAACCGGATTGTATTACTATGAACCGAGACTACTCCTGAAAGCTTTTTTTTATCTTGATTTGGGGAATTGTGACGCCGCTGCAAATTTAGATCCACCTCCACGTAAGATGATGTGCACAATTTTTAGACTATGATTAGTACAAGGCGAAAATTAATGTCTTTCAAAAAGCCGAGGTGGTGGTAGAGTTGACTTCATCTGAAAGTGCCTTTTCGAGCTGATTCTGTTTGGGCCTCAATAAGTCTCCTCGATGATGTTCTGTCAACGTCAGGTTTGTGATTCCGAAACGTCGAGAATTTTCTGTGCAAGTGTCAGCATGCAACGCTTTTCACCAAAAAATAAATATACCTTCTGTCAGAAAGGGATAGCTTTGATGTTTGGACTGCTGTACTTTGCACCCAAGGCAGCTGCAAGAGTAGATTAGTTGCATTTGCTAGTGATTGGGATGGAACACGAACACGAAGTAGTTGGAGAAGGTTGTAATAAGATCAGAATATCCCTCTGAGGATAGAAGAAAGATTACATCTACCTCCTTACTTAGTTGTTGGAAGGCGCTATGTGTCTACTATATGTAGACACTACAGGATCTGCGTGGGTTTGCGGGATCCATTTGGGATCTGCGAGCAAATTGCACAAAATTTCTTTTCTTTTTCTTGTTTCAGGAATATTGAGGATCTGGATCTGCATGTAAGTTGCACGCTGGGAAGACATACAAAAGATAGAAAAGGTAATGTGTCCCTGGTGACATTTCTGTGAGTCACATGTAAAGGATGAGTCGGTGTTCGGATTTGGTTGTGCAAATCGTTACAGACAAGAGCTGAGAGGAGGGGCGGTAACGACACCGATCTGATTCGATCAACGGTATCTCCTAATCGCATACTGTCCTCCATCCCTTTAGCATTTCGGCGCGCATCATTTGGATAACAATGCGGTAAGGACGGTGGTAGTAATCTTATTGTTGGTCAAGGAACGCAAGGTTTTGTTTGAATAGCACAGAAATGTGCCGAGTTCACTGTCGCATTGCACAGGGGTAGGCAATAGTGGATAGACCGTAAATCCATGTGATGATACTAAGCAAGTCCGATCCGCAGCATGATGGTGCATGGCAGAATACATCGCTCGTTCCGCGATCGAATCTAGCGGCTCAGACACCGGATTTGATCTGAATCTTGTCTGGACCTGATCATTTCTTTCAGGGAGCAGAAACCATCTGCACTGTCAGAACTACATTTAATTCGCTCTCGCATCTTATTCTTCCATTTACTCAACTCTGTGATTCCATTTGTTCGATCAAATCATTCAGTATGACATACGAGACTCAGTCATGTTGAGCATCAATTACTCGAATTCGGCATGCAAAGCTTGATGTTGCATGCGGCAAGCTCTTATTCTCGTTAAGAGAGTGTCTTCCTTGACAATGATAGCGTGATGCATACGAGGAGTATGCATGAATATCTCTGCCGATGTACTGAGGGATGAACCGCCTTGAGCCCGTGCTGGCCTTGTATTCGGCTTGCGATGATTCTGCCCAGATCGCGGAAGCGATGTCGCCTCAAGGACTGCTGATAGTAGTACTGCCTGTTTGTCTGGGGTCAGTCAGTCTCCTTACAGGCAGCGCTATCAAAATCATCTACAAGCCCATCCTTGCGGTCTTCAGATTCGCAGCCTCGGTGCTCAGTGAAGATGCATTCTTTTACGAGACGCAGATGACTCCTCCGTTCTGTCGGGGTCCAGACTAACCGGGGGTGAAGACTCAGATCACGATGCAGCGCAGATAGTCGAGAAATATCGGACACATGAGGGCGTTGAAAGTGACTGGTTGAAAACAACTTCTCTGCCTTTCAACGGCTTTTTATACCCTCTTTTCGCAACTCGGTTACTATTGAGCATCCTATCGAGTCTGAGCGTTGGACGCCCAACATTGACCGAGTTGCACGTAGAAGGATAGAAGAAAAGCAGTGGGAAAGGTGACTTGATGGCGAGATTAAAAAAAAGGGAAACAAATACTGATAATTGCGACAGATCCAACAGGAAGACACGAGTCTCACGAAAGTGGACTCTGAATAATTCACGTTGCATCAGCCTGCCACAGTGCCGTATTTCCGACAATGACCGGGTCCTAAAACCATGGAATGAGGTATCGTCGGTATGAGAGCGCGCTAGTCAGATTGCAAGTTAAAAAAACCCAGGTCCAGAAAGTTTGGTTGCAAAACCGTGGCAGCAAAAGCCTGTGCTAGTTTATTGCAACGCAGATGTACAATTGCGCAGTTCTTCACTGATCTTAGAGACGTGGCTGGAGTCTGTACACTGCAGCCGGTGAAGAATAGTCGGAAGAGCAAAAGGGTGGTTGAGGCCGCTTACCATCATCGGACTCTTTCATCATCTGAGGGTTTCAAAACATAAGGCCGAGGGCCGATGACTCATCAGGCATCTTGATTGCAAGCCTTCCTATCGGCGGAGGTCATTTAGAACTGTTGAGATACCGGATTTTGTTGTGCAAATTTTGCAATTTCAGTTTTCCGGCAAAACACTTTTGCAATTTTATTTTGAGACCAAACACTTTTGCAACAAGACCTTGCAAGCTGCTCGTCTTACCCAGCAAATGCAGAGATCAAGACAGACATCGGCGAGAAAGACCAGTCATTACATTAGAGGCTTTTCATCTCGAAAGATCTTGAATGACGAGAAGTAGCATGCAGTTGGTACCGCCTGTGATGCAGTCAAACTTATCGCTGATTAATCTAGAGATTGTGTTAGTCTTGTCGAGTTTGAGCGTTGGATGCGCAATATTGATATAGAAGGATAATGATGGAGTAGCAGGAAAGATAAATTGATAGCGAGATAAAAAGCGGAAGAAATTACTCATAATCCCAACACGTCTTTCTCCAGAGGAGTAGAAGGGCATATTGCAAATCTGGCTGCCTTTGGAGATATTGAATTGCGCCTTACGCCGCTGTCTGGACGAAAGATCACAGACAACCAATTGCCATTGCAGCAACCGCAGACACAAACAGCAAGATCTGCAATGGTACAACATCGGGAAGACGATCTCATAATTTCCCCTTGTGAGGACCACAGCCTACACAGACTTTTCACGACCCAACTTCTTCAATGCCATGTCGCGGAGCATGAATTTCTGAATTTTCCCGCTGGCGGTTTTGGGGTACTGCTCCGTCCAGAAGACGAACTTAGGGGTAAGGTGACTTGAAAGCTGCCTTTTCACCCAATCGCGAACGATTTCTTTGGTCAAAGTCGGCTTCGCGGTACTGCTTTGTGTATGCGATTCTCCAATGGTGTCGTCAGGCCCTGTGACGACGCCGTCCTTGGGTACGATGAAGGCCGCCACTACTTCTCCGAGTTTCTCATCCGGGACCCCTACGACGCTGACCTCTCGAACCCCGTCCAGTTGAAACAGGCAGTCCTCGATGTCTAGTGGGTGTATATTCTCTCCTCCCCGGATGATGAGATCCTTGATCCTGCCGGTGATGGAAACATAGCCGTCTGCATCCATTTCTGCTTCATCGCCTGAATACATCCACACCGTGCCATCCGCGTCCGCAATTCTCGATTCGGCTGTCCGTTCCGGATCGTTGTAATAGCCTGCCATGACCAGGTATCCTGAGGCAGCGAACTCTCCCTTTTCCCCTCTAGGTAGGATCTTGTTCCTGTCCACAGGAGACACAATCTTGACCTTGGTATGAGGCATCACCTTGCCAATCGTCCGGGTTTGTTTTTCCACTGGGTCAGTCGGAGAGGTCATACAGCTGATGGGACTTGTCTCTGTCATGCCATAGCAGATGACTGCTTCTCTCATTCCCAGCTTCTGGTGTATCCTGTGCATCAGGGATTGAGGCACAGAGCTACCCGCGAGGATTCCTTTGGCCAGATTTGGAGGCGCTTGAACCCCTTCAGCTTCAAGGGCGTCAAGAACAGCCAGCAACATGGTTGGAACACCATAGAGTCCAGTTGCGTCATGCTCTCGACACATGCGTAATGTGGCATGAGGGTCAAAGGCTGGTGAGGCGAACATCAAGGTGGAACCGGTCGTTGCAGTGGCCATGTATCCAAGCACGGAGCCAAAGCAATGAAACAATGGAGGCGGGACGACGATCCGATCCCCTGGCACGAGGCCCATTCTCCGTGCGGTCAGGAAGCCGTTGTTCAGAATGTTGCGATGCGACAGTTGCGCGGCTTTTGGCATAGAGGTAGTTCCTGATGTGAACTGAATGTTGATGATATCATCGGGGTGTTGATCGGCATTTCGAGCTGGTCGACTTTCTGAAACGCTGAGCAAATGTTCGTAAGGCGTAAGGGAGGTGTAAGAGTCAAGGTCAAGAAGCGCATCGGGATGCTCGCTCCGGTTGTCGAGGATGACAATACGGCGGAGGGAAGGCACGACGCTGCTCGTGATCTCTGGGGATCTGGCGAGGCCATTCGCTTCAACATGTTTGAGTATGTCCAAATTACTACTTCCTTGACCTGGGCGGTATGCGAGATCGGTGAGTGCACCAATGATCAGGACCTTGACGCTCAGATGATTCAGTGCTCGCTCCACCTGGAATGCGTTGAATGAGGGGTTGAGAGGAACGAGGATAGCTCCAAGTTTGAAGACGGCGTATGTGAGTGCACCATATTCGGCAACGTTGCCAAGGGAGACGGCAACTCGATCTCCCTTTTGCACTCCCAGGACTTGTAGACCAGAAGCCAAACGATCTGATAGTCGGTCGAGCTGGGCATACGTCAATGATATCTCCTTTGGATTGACACTCCCTCGGTCGGCAATACGGACAGACGATCGCGCAACGAGCGCCAGGGCGGTCGGGTGAGAAGCAACTATCCGGGCGAAATGTTGTGGGATGGTGTCTCGCAACAAGGACGGCTATGGATGGAGGATGGAGGATGAGTCTTCTTTCGCTTCCCGAGCGGCTGGGTCTCACCTCTGATGGTCCCTCAGAGAAGCTGGCACTTTGAGCTCGAGCTCTGATTGTTCTGTGAAATTGACGCTTGAGATGCACCGGGAGTTGCCGTGAGCACCATGGAGTGTGCGACTGGAAGAGCAGCCATGACGCGCGCCTGGACCAGCCTGGATTGAGAGTTTCTGCAAGCCAGTAGTGCATTGCAATGGACAGCGGACGAGAGTCGACGGAGGGTTCGTGAGTAGTTTGCATTCCAGGGCAATGGGGATCTCTCCGGGTGCCGAATGAGTTACCGGCCCGATCCAAGCGAAAGCGGCGAGGACGCGCTCGTCAACTTTTACCCGAAATCCTCACCGAGAAATGAGCCTTCTTGCTCTGAGCCTCTTTCGACCTCGTTGGCTTGCTCTCCACGATGCAGACCAGTGACCCGGGCTTGCTGTTCCGAACATCAGCAGACATCCTTGCTGCGGAAGCCCGAGCTCGGAAAGCTGTGGCTTTGGAGAAAAGGGGCTCGCCCTTCTCCTTGGGCGCAAAGATTCTGGATCTCAAGCTTGGTCGCGACGAAGTTATTGTTGGGGACTCTAGTGGGGCTGTCAAATGCCTTGATGAACTTGCAGGTGCTATCAAGCTTCTGCAATGTTGCTTGCTAATATCTTGCAGGGTAGCACCAGACGTAAGGTGTACAGAGGACACGCAGGACCGGTCACATGCGTCACGCTCGCACCTTGCTACCAGTCCGAGTCCACCTGGACGGCACTGTTCAGTGGTTCTTGGGATAAGTCGATCCGGATTTGGAATCATGATGTAAATTGCAGCTTCAGATGGATGACGAGTCATGTGCTAAAGCTGTCGCAGACTGGGGAGCTGAAGGCTTCGCTGGAGGGACACTCGGACTTCATCAAAAGCCTGCTTTCACTGACATCACCATACGAGCTCCTGTTATCTACATCGTCAGACAAGACCATCCGTGTCTGGGATCTCGAACTGTTACGGAGCGGCCAGGCTCCCAGCTGCGTGCAAGTGCTCCGCGATCACACTCGCCCGATAACAAGCTGCACCTTGCAATATGGCGCAGAAATGTTCGTCTGGACAGGCGATTCGATGGGAGTCGTCATTAAATGGACGGTTCGGAACCGTCGAATGGTCCTGTTACAGACTACAGCTTGTCACGAAACGAGCATAACTGGCATTGAGGCTACAGAGGACGGACTATGGACCTGTAAGCGGCCACTTGTGGCTCACGAGAATGACCCTTTGATCTTTAGGCTCGATGGACAAGACCGCCCAGTTTCGTCAATGGTCATCGTTTGACAAGCCGATCATTTTGCATCACGCTTCTTATGTGACCTCTGTGTTGCCTTTGAAGGACACGTCCGTTTCAGACATCGTATTGACTGGCGACGATGACGGCAATATTCGCGTTTGGTCCATCGAGAGTGAAGAAGCACGACTGAAAGCTACTGTCGAGGGTCACGGAGCTCAAGTCTCGGTGATGAGACAATGCAGAAGGATGGAGAATGGCTGGGAGGTCTTCAGCGGTAGCCTGGACATGACCCTCAGGCACTGGACTCTCGAAGGTAGGCCTCGCCGACTCCATTTGCACGGTTTCCTAACTGTCCGTTGCAGATCTGCTCCATCCTCCACTGCTGCTTACCGGCGACGACACTCCAGACGGGGAGGAGTCCCTGTTGACAGAAGAGGAGGAGAGAGAGCTGGAAGAGCTGATGGCATAACGGAACCAGGTGGTGCACAATCTGCTGGTTATGCGGCAATGCATGTCATTATAATTCGTCATATCTATACCTGCGCCGAGGCTCTGATGAACCCCTCTAAGCCTCCATGCACCCAAATTTCTTGCACGCTTGCTCCAACGGTGGCGCATGGATACTTTTGGTCCTGCGTCTCCGGACCGGTGAGAGTTACGCAAGATTCGGCCACGTCGATTTCAATATGCCAGCCGGGAGGGACGACGGTCAGGCGACCGTCGTTGCTCCCTTGGCCTCGCACTCCACCTTTCGCGAATCGCCTCGTGAGATCATTCACCAGCTCGGGGCATTCGATCAATATGAGCCCGTTGTTGATCGAGTTTCGCTTGTATATGTCGCCGAAAGAGCCACCGATCACCACTGGGATTCCAGCATGCTTGAGTGCTGTCGCAGCCTGTTCCCGAGAAGAGCCAGTTCCGAAATTATACCCTGCCACTAGCATAATACCCTCGTCTTTGTCGATATTGGCTCGAAGGTCCCGGGCGACTCCAGCAAAATTTGGGTCATAATTTTCTAACAAAATCAGCCCTCTGTCGTACTACGCCGCGTTGACTCACCCATAGCCACCTCCGCCTGTCGTTCTGGGGTGATATCATCCTGATACGTATATTTCCCGGGATACATGCCGTCCGTGGTGAGATTGTCTTGGGGTACATAGACCAAAGGACCGCCAAACCGGCGTGGAAATCCGGATAAGATCTTTGCACTGGAAGGGGCGGCCGGAGTCTGTGAGGACGTTGAAGCCTCGATTCTGAAGCGGGGAGAAACTGATTCGAATAGGGAGTCTGCGGGCCCCGAGATGTATCCATTGAGTGCTGACGCTGCAACGACAGCTGGAGAAGCAAGGTAGGCCAGAGCTTCTGGATGGCCCATGCGTCCCTTATAATTTCGATTCGTGGCGCTGATGCCGACTTCGCCCTTCTCCAGCAAACCAATGCCCAATCCTATACAGGGTCCACAGCCAGCGGGTAGGGTCTTGGCACCTGCATCCACCAATGCTTGCCAGTCTCCCGCAGATTCCGCGTCCTGTTGTACCACGCTAGATGCTGCCGCTATGTAGAATTCGACGTTTGGCGCAAGCTTTTTGCCCCTGAGAACTGTAGCGGCCGCAGCGATATCAGATGCCCTCGAGTTGGTACAGGATACCAGGTATGCCTTGTTTATGGGAATACGCTGCGCAGTCAAATCCGGTAGAGGTGTCGCTATCTTGACGGAGTTAGGGCCCGACACATGAGGGACGAGAGTCTCGAGATCTAGCGATAGCCGAGAGGCATACATAGCCCCGATATCCGCTTCAGGGGATTCCTGCAGAGCTCGGTCCACAATGGTCTCTTGGAGGCGTGGGTGTTCCATAGATTCGTCGGAGGCAATAGATGCAGCGTGCCGAAGACTAGCTGCTCTCGTCATTCTCCGGTACCAGTCTCTGAGCCTCTCGTCGACGGGGAAGACTCCAGCAACGGCGCCCCACTCTGTTGTCATGTTGGCGATCGTCAAACGCTCATCAATGGTCAAATGCTGAACTCCAGATCCTCCGAACTCGATGGCGGCGTTGAGGACCTCGTCTCGGTTGAACAGTCCCGCCAATGCAACAATTACATCTTTGCCAGTGACCCCGGGTCGGAGTTGACCCTCAAGCGATACAGATACGATGCGAGGTATCTGCCACCAAAACTTGCCTGTCGCCCAGATACCCCTGAGACATTAGAACAGCCGCTAAATTGTGAACGCTTACGCTGCATCCGTTCTGACGATTGCTGTTCCTAGACACCCCACCCCGCCGTAGTGATTGCTATGACTGTCACTAGCTACTACCATTTTCCCCGGCAGTGCATAACCTTCTTCGACCATGATTTGATGACCAATGCCCCGGCCTGCAGGATAGAAATCGACATCATGCTCTCTAGCGAAAGCCTCTATCCTTGCATACTTGCGAACATTTGTGTCGGACTTGTTCTGTACGTCGTGATCAAGGGCGAACACTGGCTGACGGGGATTTTTTAGCTTGGAGCAGGATAAGGACAGAAATTTGCTTATGACCGGCCCGGTGTTGTCATGAGTCATACTGCGGCTGGTTCAGCACCTATACCAAGCGTCATCAGACTCACACATGGGCTGGCTCTATCATAAGATAATCGCCGGCTTTGACCTTGACACCAGGTTCCACACCGATAGCATATTTTTGCACGATTTTCTCAATTCGAGTCTGTGGGCTGGACACTACAGCGTAGAAGCGGTGTGCTCGGCCCCAGTTATGTTGTGAAAAGCGACAAATTATAGATCTAGAGCTGACTATCATGTCTTTAGTCCTAGCCAGGAAGGTGAGCTGTAGACCATTCCTTGGTTAACCGTTCTGTGCAACGCAATGATGGCCATTAATACAAAACATACATAGTCACGTGATGCGGGTCGGTTTTCGCCGGTGGGCACTGTATGGAAGTGGCTGTGCCTCCTCTCAGGAGTGTATGAAAGGATCAGATTCACAACAGCATCGTTTGGTCTCAATGCTCGTACAAGGAGCTCTTCTCTTGGCACGCCACTCCTTTTGGGATCGTGCCGTATGTAGACCTGTCTCTTTCCCTTGAAACCTGTCTCTGTCCCTTGAGGAGGAAGTATGGCGAGGACTACATATAGGCGATGTCTGGAGTTTCGATTACTCTGTGTCGGAAGGCTCTTCGTTTCATTGGCCCCTTTTCGTTGTTCACTGACACGTTCACGAGAATGATTCACTTTATCTGTATTGTAGTCTGGCTGGTTCAGCTCTCTCTTGATGTCAAGGCAGCACCACCCGGCAGTGTCAGCGCCGTGGCCTCGCCTACGTCGCTTGCTCCTCGGGCCTCAACCTCCTCAACCTCTACACGACCCCTTCCCGAGAGGATGTACGTAGCATATTGGAGCGTGTGAGTTTTGTTGCAGTACGAGGAGCAGACTGGACTTGGCTTTCCTGACGCTACCCTAGATGGGCCTCGCCAAGCGAGATCCCCACTGAGCAGCAATTGGAGGGCGTAACACACATCGTCTTGGGCAAGTATAGACAAACGCAATGAGCTGATGCCTCCAGCCTTCGCTGATATGAAAACTTGGACATCTTTCGAGTATGCGACGTCCGGAGAATTCAATGCAAACACCATTGCGACGTTGCGTCAGAGATCCAACGCGAAAATTAGCGCTTCTTTCGGAGGGTGGAATCTCGATCTTCCCTTTCGTCCAGGTGCGCAGCCGGAGAATCGAGCGGCATTCGCAGCCAAGATCTCTGGATTCGTAGAGCAGTTTCAGCTGGATGGCGCGGACATCGATTGGGAGTGAGTCTTCATTCCTTCAAACTAGTGCCACACTCACTACTGTACTGTAATCCAGATTTCCCGTCGACGGTGGCCAGACGTATCATTTAGATGCAGACAATCCCCACTCAAGGCGAACGAATCCAGACGATGCCACAAATTTTGTTGCTCTGATGGAAGAGCTTCGGCGCGTTCTGCCAGAGACCAAGACCTTATCGATTGCCGTCCCCGCTCGTCACGTTGACATGGTGGCATATAATTATCCAGACATCGTCTCAGGACTGGACGCGACTGTGGATTACTGGAAACTAATGACCTACGACTTCATGAATAGGAGGGACAATGTGTCAACATATCATGCGGGTCTTCCCGTTGTCGATGACAGCTTCGACATTTACTCGACGCAAAAACACATCGATCCAAAGAAGATCGTCGTCGGATTTCCGATGTATGCCAAATGGTTCTACGCATCAAGCACTTGTATGACGAGCCCTCCCCTCAATTGCAACATGGGTATGGAGTACGAGTTCCCCAACGGCACGGATACCGGGTACTCTGGAACAGCGGTATGGAATACGGGTCTCAACACAAATTTCTCTCCGCACACGGAACTCAACACTGCTGTCGGACAGTCTTTTGCTCGGCTTAAAGATTACGACAATGATGCAGGCGCCTCGGCATGGTTTGACGCTGAAGAGAGCCTGTTTTGGACATGTGAGAACTGCTGCGAACTTATCGATCTGAACTGGCTGATATTTGGGGCTATCAGGGGTCAGCTCTGCCGACATCACCAAGACTTGTGAGGCTTATAGGGACAAGGTGCGCGGAATGGGCGTATGGAGCTTGAATCAGGATTCTGCCACTTTCCCTCATTTGTCTGCGATTGCAGATTGCCTCAAGGGCTAAGGAAATCGCAAGAGTGGAGAATGTCATACCCGAGTGCATATTCAAGTTGAAAGCATCTTCTCAGACCCATTGTATGTAACCCTAGATAGTCTCACTGTACCTCTCTCGCCTCATCCCAACAATGTATCTCGTCGATCTCTTGCTTTGATCTGCTACTAGGCTTACCGAGGCGATTTCGGGTTTACTGCACGAGAAGGACATTTAATGCCTTTTGGAAATCATATCCGTTCGCAGCCAATGCCTCGACGACCAGGGAGCGCGAAAAGCCCATGGCGCATAACTGTAGCTAGATTAGCAGATGAAAAACCAGTAAGATGACTTGCCTTCTTGACGTCCTCAATGTCGTCTACCTGCGCCTCTGTAGCTCTCCTCTCTGGTGGTGCAGGCGGTTGCAAATGCGACGTTGGCGCCTCTGCAGGCGGTTCGAAGGACGGTGATGGCTCGAATGCGCTTCCAAACGCGTCATCGAAGGACAAGGGTGGCGCATTGCTCGTTGATCCAGCAGTCAGCATGCCCCACTCGTCACGATCCTCGGTAGCAAATGCCTTGGATGCTTGCAGCTGTCCACCGTTAGCTGGGGGTGATACCAATTCGAAGCTCTTCGAATTGTCCGACCCGGTATTTGGTTGTGAAGGGGTTTTCGAATCAAATTCGTCATCAAAAGCAGCGAATTCGTCGTCAAAGGCTTTTGATGGTTCAGAGACTCCCGTTTGCTGAACAGTGCTTGGGGGTTGATCCGTAAAATCAAAGTCTTCGTCGTCAAAGTTGGCGAAATCAGGGCTCCTCTGGCTCGATTTCGGGCTCGACTTAGGACCTTCGGCAGCCGCTGTTGCTTGTGAACCGGACGGTTCTGTCGACCTGACGGGTGGTGCCGGCGCGCTACGTCTTATCTTATCGACGGTTTGAGTGATGGCTGGCGTGCTGCTGGCCACATCAGGAGAAGGAACGACTGTGTCTTCCTTTGCTCTGTACGGATGAGCACCTTCCAGATCCTCGGGACCTTCATCATCGTCGGAAGAGACCGTATCTTCCTCAATAGCCTGCTGATTTTCGATCGGTGATTCATCGATGGGGGACGTTTCTACGGCTGTCGTCTTCTGTGCAGGATTGAGATCCTGATGCTCGTCTTGCACAGCAGGGGACATATCTTGAGCAGACAGCGACGCCTGGAGAGGTCCATCGAGGGAATCAGGTTCATCGAAAGAAGCAGATGCGTTTTTGTCCCCGTCCTCAAGAGTATGCTGTGGTTCATCATCAAAGTCGGCAAAAGCAGCATCGAAATCGGTCTTTTGACTCGGTGCTGGGGGTCCTGAATCTGGTGATTTCGAGGTGTGATCGGCTGCGACCGAGGCGGAGATTGGATCTTCAATTGAGCTTCCGAAAGGATCGTCTTCAAACAGAGCCTCGGCACCTTTCGAGGTGAGAGCTTCGTCGGCGGAAGGATTGGTGGGGACTTGGTTCATAGTAGCACTTTGGCCCTGCGGACTCTCTGAATTCCGCCTATCATCGGTATCGACAGGGGCCAAAACATTCTCATTCTTAGGTCTGGTAGAGTCGTTGACCGGCTGCTCCCTGCTTTCTGATCGGCTCAGTCCGAGGCGGTCGAATGGGTTGTTCGATCGCTGCGATACTCCGGTGGCCACGGGGCTAAGCGCACGTGGTGTAGATGGCAGAGGTATTGCTGCAGCTTCGGCAACTTGCGAGGTATGGAGGTCGAGATCTTTTTGCGCAGCGTCTCGCCCAGTTTCGCTTGTCGCGAGCTGCTTTTTGGCGATCGACACCATTCCCTTTTGCTGACGAGCCTCTTTGCGTAACTTTTCCAGCAGGGCTTTTAGCGAGGTCTTCTCGTCATTGACATCCTTCATTCGTTTCTGCAACGATCGGACCTCCTCTTTATCTCGGAGCAGGGCTTGCTCCAATTCGTCCTTTTCCGATTTCATCGCCGAAAGATCGCTTTCTGCAGCGATGACACTTCCCCGTAGTTCCTGCACTTTGTCCTTTTGTTCAGACACTCGAGCTCGTAGATCTGAGACTGCTTTGCTTTCTGCTTCATGTCGCACCCGAGCGTTGGACAAATCGGTCTCGAGTTGCGAGATCTCATCTTGAGATGCCTGCGCCGACTGCTCCAATTCTCCACGTGATTTCCCGAGCTTGTCTAGGTTCTCATTCGTGGCTGAAAGCTGATTGCGCATGTTGCCTACATCGGCAGAAGCGTCTGTGATGTTTGAGGGTGTACCGGCCTCGTCCCCCAATAAATCGCTAGACGGCGCGAATGTCGAGGCAAACACAGAGGTCGGTGCCGGCGAAAACGGCTGCCTTGGTGTTTGGACAGTGCTCTTGCGAGAGGGAGGTTGAGGCAGGAATGTTGTCGTGCTTGGGGGAGCTCTAGACGCGGGCGCAGGAGAGGCTGGGCTGGACGCGATAGGTGCAGCCATCGTAGGCTCATCATCAAAGAGATCAAAGAGGTCCTTTGTGACTGAACTGGGACCCGAAGAGGAGTTTTGAGGGGCGGCTTGGAAAGTGCTGCGAAGGGAGGGTGGTACCAGTGAGGAAGGCAGTACGCTCGGAATATTTTGTCCTGCAAGTTTCGCGTTGATGAGATGCAACGCGACTGCAAATTCATCGCGATCCAGTTTTCCTTCATGGCGGATGTCGGCCAGGTCCCTGAGATGGGTCAGTGAACAGAGAGGAGTGTTTCTCACCATATACTAGCGAGGGATGTCTCATCAAGCTGACTCTGGAGCATGAAAGGCACAGCAACGTCTCCGTCTATGACACCTCGATTCTGGGTGTCGAGCTGCGAAAAGAATCGATCCGATGCTGCTTTCTCCTCGGACGATACATCCCACGCTGGTGTGTTGGGTGCGAAAGCAGAAGCCGATGCAAGCGATGTTATGGTCGACGATCTCGGTGGCACTCCGGTTGCGCTTTGCCCTGTCAATTGCTGCTGTAGAGCTGGAGTACCGGTGTGCTGTGCTCTGATAGGAGATCCCGTGCTGCCTCCTGTATGCTGGGAGACGATTGGGCTCATTGGTCCGGTCCTTGCTGCAGGCCGGCCTCCGGATGCAGCTTCATACACGCCATTGGGGAGAGTGGATGGCAGCGTGAGCGAAGGATTTGCCATTGAGCTTTGAATGAGATACATGGCGACGATGAAATCGGTCAGGTCGAGGTTCCCCCTCTGTTGTGTATCTGCCAGATTCCTAAGATTTCGATGTTAGATCTGAGCAGGGGAGCCGATGATCACTCACCAAATTTGACCCAGCTTTTCATAATCCAACTTGCTCTTGAGGAAAACCTCTCTTGCTTTATCTCCCGAGACTAATCCATTTTGAGGACCACACGAGACGAAGATTCGGGTGAACTTTGTCCTATCTGCTGGGGTCAAGGGTGGCAGACTCGCTCCACCGCTAGACGCTGCTGCTCCGGCCGATCCCGAGAACTGAGTCGGCGGAGGGGCTTGCCCTTCGAACGTTGGCAAAGGCCCCGGCCTCGAAGCTAGAGATTCTTGGACCGTGGTTTGGCCCCCTTTCTGAAGCCATCCGATGATACGAGCAGCCTTGTACCAACCATCCTTGGTGAGGAATCCATTGTTGCCTGGATCTGCAATGGCCCACACTTCTCCCAGAGTCTGTTGAGATAGTCTGGATGACGTCAAGAAGGGCAGCGCATCTTGTCCGGGGAGCACTCCAGACTGTTAAGACTGTCAGCTCTAGTGGTGATCACAAAGGATTCCACCACTTGCCCCGTCCTTGTCCACGGCGTCGAACAGTTTGTCATAGTATTGACGCTCTTGCGCAGCTGAAAAACAATTATCAGCGAGGCGAGAGGCAGAGAGCAGAGGCTCACAAAAGCTGGATGCCATGATGTTGGGGTTCCACACCTGACTCTCTGGCTGCAAATGAAGCCTACTCTCGTCGCTCGTCTCTCTCTCTCTTTGCTCTTCACGCGGTGCTGAAGGTCTCTCTCCAAATGTGGATGGATGGATGGATGGATGAACGAAAGAATGAATGAGAGATGGATAGATATTGAATCTAAAGAAACGTCACCGGGACCCCCGTCGTTCCCCCCCCCCCCCCCCCCCCCCCCGGGATGCCAAATCCAAATTTTCCGAAAGAGGAAGAAAAATTCATTGACTGCTGCCGCTGCCGCTGCTTGCTATACCTGTCGCCGTCGACGAGCTACCAAACAACGTACAAGCTAGGTCTTGTTAGCTCACGGTGTTGATGACCACTGCCTCGGCCAGATCGAGTCAGACACTGATGCCACGATGGCTCGGTGATTTCTATTCTAGATTTCCCTTGGTGCTGCTCGAGCCAGAAGACAATGTGACATCTTTACGGGAACACGACAATCCAAGGGAAGCAGAGTACAGTCTCTGGGTGAGCCGTCAGACCTCCTCAAGAACGTCATGTCGCTGGTTGACTGATATCTCACATCAGATCCATTCGCCCTTGTCAACGTCACGTACCTCGCCTTGGGCTTCATCCGATCCTCGAAGCCTCCGTTTTCAACTCTTGTTCTTGCTGGAGAGCCGGGCTCCACTAGTCGGGTTCATCCCGTTCGCGCGCGACGATAACGCGCCTGGAGGTGAATTGCCCTGTCTCGAACTGAGAGCAGAGGGGAAGCTGGTCAGCTCGCAGGATCTGCGTTCTTGGTTCGATGGTCGCTTCCAGGACAGGGAAGGCGAAAAAGCGTATGTCCATGCACAGAAGCAAACTCCCCCTCTCTCAAGCTGACAAAGACCCCCAGCCTCCAGGGTATGCCGGATCAGACGACTTATGACAAGGCTGTCGCCGTTGCTACACTCGTGCTAGATCGTGTATACCCGGCGTTCCTGGCTTCACAACCCAAACCCAGCTCAGTATCCTCCTTTCACCTACATTTCCCCTTTGCTCCGCCGCTCGCTTCTGGACTTGTCACGCCCTTGCCGTCGTCTCTGACAGGAGACGTCCGCCAAGTAGATATCGTGTCTGTCATCGCAAACGGCGCGTCTGCCTTGAATGCCCTGGACGAGATACTCTCAGCTGACCAATGGGCTCTGGGAGCTCGGTGAGATTAAGTCTCTCGCTAGTGAACACTTGACTGATCCGTCTCCTCACAGGTCTCCAACTCCTCTCGATTCGCTCCTCACATCGAACCTGCACGTCATTTATGACCTCCCTAGGGATTCGAAATTGCGCTTGAAGATGGACTCTAGTCGCAACCTGTCGGCCTATGTATCTCATGTGATGGCTCGAGCCGACAGTCGACTGTCTGCGACTTCTTTGAGACGGGCAAGATAAGTATCACATCGAGTCCGACATACACTGGCACCGACACACGACTATCATCACTGCTCGAGACCAGGCTGGCAAGGGCCGGCGTGCCACTCCCGCCAACTATGACCTCGATGCTGCAGCTTGGCTGCTCCCATGTCGCGAGAGAGGGCCTCTAGCGGAGCTTGAAGCGTAGAGACTGTCATGTTGTCCTTTAGATGGCGCTCGTCTGTGCATATATCCTGAAGATGAACCGTTGCCTAAGCTTGGGAGGACACGTGGATTTTTGCTTCCGTCTGTTTTGGCCAAAAGCAGTCATTGGCCACCCAGATCATCAAGAGGCCGGGTCATCGAGTCTCTCCTCCTCCGTCTCTGTCTTCCAGATCACATCTTCAGCATCACGGGCACAGCGTTACGTCGAGAACGCGGAGGTAACCGGAGACGTTCCCGCAATCAATATCAGCCGGTTCGCCAGCGATCACCGGCCTCTCGAACACAGAGAATCTGCCTCATCCCCTTTGTGTCCAATCTAACGCCAATACGAGTCGAGACACCTGGATGAAGACATCGTCAATCATTCTCTCAACCGCCTCGCATGCTTGACTCACGCCAATACTTATAAGGTCTGCGATTCCGTATACCGGTGTAGAGTGTCACTATGACGGAGCAGCGAGTTCAGACCAATGGCGGGCCATCTGCCTTCTCGACATATGCCAGTCGCTTTCTAAGCGGCAAGGCTGCGTCGAGATCGAGCGATAACGCAGATAGTCAAGTGAGTGACACCGTGGATGATCAACGAACCATCCGCGAAGCTTACATTGGCCTCTGAACAGATCTTCAGACCGTCCTCACCATCTTCACCAACCCACGATCCATTCCTGCACTCCCCCACGGCATCCTTATCACACCCCCACCTTAGAGGATCTTCACGGTCACCTTCTCCCAGCCGAACTCCACCCTTCCCCGGCCCTGGCATAGCGGGGATACCCAGCATAGCTGATGCCGATGCCGATGCCCTAGGTAGCGGGATCGGCGTCAGCCGGTTATTCGCACAACCATCTTCGGCATCCTCATCTCGTATGAACAGGTCGAAACGGAGGATCAAAACCTCAATCCCAAATCCTTACGCCCCTTCCTCTGAAGATGAAGAAGACGATCAGGAGGCTGATCTCGACGAGGTTGCCGTCGTTCGAAGGAGCCTCATGCAGCAGCAAAAGAAGAAGAGCGTGGATACCTCAGAACGGGCGAAAAAAGGCTGGCTTGCCCATCAGAGTGTATTCCCGCCTTCATCGTCTTCCTCCAGCGAAGATGAGAGCGACAAGGCTACGGAGCCAGATTCTGATTCTGACAGTCCATCTGGGATGATGGGCATATCCCAGTACCAGAAGAGGCAACCTCGGCGACACTCCTTAACAGAGTCTGAGCCGCTTCCGAACCCAATCGAGTCTGCGCTTGATGAGCCGTTGCTTGGTCCAGACGAGCTTGAGCAGCGTCGCGGAACGCGAGCGACAGTTCCGATACGCCTGCAAGTATATCACGGGCGCTTTGGGCATTGGCAAGGCGAAGGCCTGAGAAAGTACAAGGGTGAGCCTCCTCGCCATGAAAATGCTCATCCTCTTCGTCTCCAGATTCCGGATTTCTTGCGCTTTGGTTAGCTAGTGTTATGGGAGTCATCCTTGCGCTCCCGTTCCTCTGGGGATCGACAGACGTGAGCGATGTTGAAGCGGACACTGCTGAAGTTCAGCCGTCCCCCGGAGATTCCACTCGGTCTGCCCCTTCCCTGATCCCTTTATTACCTCTACTCCTAGTCCTCCTCCTTCCGACGTTGATAATCCCTCCAGCTTTCCTATTCCTGCTCAGCAAGACTGTTCGGCCAGTCCTCATGGGTACAGCAGTCATCGTACCCTTCTCACTTTTCGTGTGTGGATGGTGGGCAATTGGAGCGAGTTTCGAAAGCTACACCTCCAGAAACAATGATTCAGGAGATCAGTGGTGGGGCACAGTGGGACTGCGTGTATCTGCGGCTCTTCTTTGGATACTTGCGGCCGGTTTCGGTCGACTGGTATGGATCAGGAGGAAACGGCTCGATCGTACGGCTGCCGTTGTCGAGCTATCGACTCAGCTGCTACTGTCGCATCCTCCGCTACTGCTACTCACTCCGCTTCTCCTCGGCTTCTTCGCACTCACATCGATCCCTTTCTTGACGATGCTGGTGAGACTCGGGACCATCGGCTACTGGCGACATCCAAGAGAAAACACTTGGAATTTTCACATCAAGCCATATGCTGGGTGGCTCATATTTCTCGTGACTCTATTGTGGATTTGGACATGGGGAGTCATTCGAGGCATCGGTCGGGTGACGGTGGCAGCCGTCATCGGAGAATGGTACTTCCACCGGTGGGTTTTTCGCTATTTGTCGTGTCTGACCACTTTAGGGACGACTCGACCCATGCCGATCCCCTCGAAACGACGACAGCAGCCCTTCATCGTGCCACAGGCACATCTCTTGGTAGCATATGTCTTGGAGCAGGCATCATTGCTGTCGTGAGGACGGTCGGTCGTTCCGCTGCGCATCTCAAGCGGGTGTGTTCTCCCCGCGCGAATATTCTGCCATCCCCACGGGGTTTCTTGTCTCGTCTCAACCCGCTCTTTTCCGTGATTGCCAGTGTCCTAGATCAACTCAATGGGTACGCACTGGTGTATGTCGGGATCACGGGGGAAGCTTTTTGGCCCAGTGCGCGACGCGCTGTCGGTCTGGCTGGGAAGCGGAAAGGCGGCCATCTGTTGGACTGTGAGTAACTCGTGAAATACCGTATAAGAAATCGGTCCTCACAATGAAAATCTGTAGATACCCTTATCAAACTCCTTTTGACACTGAGCTCCACTGCGTTGGGCGTCTTTACCGGAATGGCAGGCTATCTCTATATGGCTCACTCTCTTGGCCAGCCCGGGTATGCCCCAGTCGCTGCGTTGCTATGTGGAGGAGTGCCGTTCCTCGCTGTCAGAGCTGGTGCAGCGGTTCTGGGTGATGCGTGAGTAAATTGCCTCCATGACGAGTCCTCTGACCAAGTCTCAGAGCCGATACGCTCTTCATCTGTCATCAAATGGATCGCGAGCTGGGCGGCGACCATTGCGACAGAGCTAAGGAAGCGGTGCGTATGAAGATGCCCTTGGACGATGGCTGACACTCGACCAGTTCCTCGGCGATCCTCATGCAACTGGTCACCAGAGTGTCTAGATTGTTCAGCATGTATTTGTTTCAATTCATGCAAATTTAATTCACTCAGGACAGCAACTACAAGTTTTTGGTCGGTAGGCACTGCACATCGCACCAACCCATTTCATCCCGTCCTCTCTTTTACCCTGCCAAGCCAAGCTAGCGATCCATCTGCCGCTTCTCTGCAACTATCAATCGAATCTTGAGTATTGACTGTCGGCACTCAGCAGGGTCCCACTTCTGACCCTTCTGGACGTGGCATTGACCGTCTCCTTCAGCTTTGACAGCGATGTGGACCTCGCACGGCTCAAAGATCCCATCGAGCTTGAGGAGATAGTGGCAGCTCGGCGCCTGCTCACGGCGGAGCGATATGAGGACGGCGCATGATCGTCGCTGGATGCGGCCTTTGCAATCCCGAAGTCATCTATTCTCGAGGCAGCTCGCGAGGAGAGCAATGCCGTGGAGTCTTCCGTGTCCGAGTCGAGTTCTGCAACTAGTCTCTTCGGCCGACCCGTGTTTGTAGACAGGTGGAAAGGAGATTGGACCTGTTCATCCGACGGCGTACTGATCAATCCCGGCGTGTAGAAAGGTGTAGAAGGTGCGCTGGTATTCACCTGCTCAGCGAGTCCAGGGATGACTGGAAGTGAACTCGACACAGGATTCGGCAACCGATGCGCCGTGGGCTTGGTGAGACACAGCTCGAATGCGTCCTGAAGTCTCCTCCGGCTCCTGTCCCGCCAAACCCACTGAAGCCGATCTTCGCGAGTCAGCCACGATCTTTGCGGCGCCAGCGCTGTCGCAGGATCTCTCAATCGAACGGGATTTCTGGAACTGGGCTTGTGACGGGATCCGGCAAACGTTCGCGACGAGGACACCAGGAGGCCAAGAGCTGAGATGAGGATTACAGCCAATCGGAGAGCGACGTATCCTTCAAAAGCCAATATCACACCTATAGCGTAACGTGTCAGTTGCCCATCGTCCCGGCCGAAGAAATGTGGATCTTTCGAAGGTGGGTTGGGCTCATCGCTGTGCCAGAATGTGAGTAGCAAGACAATGCCAATGCCCGATCGGGGCAACAATGGCATGAGACCTGGAGCTAGTTGAAGAAGGCTATGACAACTTTCGGGGAAAATGTCGGCGGCGTGAGCTGTGCCCAGCGGCGAAAGTCGAATGTGCAATAGAAAGGCGAAATGGTGGAAAGAGTAGAGTGAGAGGTGAACGCTAGCGGGCAGAGAGAAGTAGATTGGCTCCATTGCGGGTCGCGCTACCACTATCAGGTCGGCTAAGGAGCTTTGCACTCACATTGTCGCCACCTCCTGCTGAACTCGTAATACACTTCCCACACGAGCCATACGCCGACGGTCGAAAAACCCCAACATACAGCATATGCTGATGCTGCAAATGCCCAACGTCTACTTGAGTCTCCATCTTCACCCGAGTGGATCACGCATTGGACGAGCATATACATGATGTTGACATCGAAGAACTGGAGGAAGTGAGCGGATGTAGACCTTCATTATCTACTCACCATTCCAGCCAAGGAATTGGCTGTCCAGGCAAAGAGCATCACAAGCCAGATAAGCCTTTGCCTTGGACCGCATTTGACAAAAGCCAAATTGAGATCTCGTCGCTTGAAACGAGGGATCTCTACAGCTTGAGCATCTGGAGACATCAACCTGAGGACAAAAGGCCCTGACTTGCCTTCTGGATCTTGTCGCACAACAGACGATGCATTAGCGTATCTGACGGGAGATCTTGAATCTATCGCGGGAGTACCTGGCGCAGGGCGGAGAAGAGAGGACGAGGGTTTTGACACGAGAGGCGTACATCGAGCGCTCCCTTTCGGCGATACCAATGAGGTGTTTGAGGCGAATCGGGCTGTGCCGAATGAGTATCAGTACGCAACGATGCACTTCCTCACTGACCTATGAAGCTCTTTGCACCGACCATTCCCCTCCGAGGATTAGGCTTTCTCTCAGAGCTCATCGACACCGGTTCCAATCTTCCCTTGCCCTTTCCATTCTTGCCCAGACTCTCATCTCCAACTTTGTTCATCATCATATGCACCATGGCGAACGGATGAAGTGCATCTTCACGAGTCTCAGATGGTTGTATGGTCTCTTGCTTCTCCTCGTCTGATCCATTTGAGCGACTGCTTTCGAGTTTGGAATTGAAGGGCTCTTCTGCTACTTCGACTACTGGAGGAGGGGGGATCGCCGTCAAAAAAGGCCGCTGTTGGAGTGAACGTCCTCTTCGGAACCTGTCGAGCCTCGGTATCAAACTAAGATTCTGATGAAGTAGGATGCTCTTGTTCGGGAAGGCCAGATCCAACGCTTCCACAGATGGTGAAAGGGAATCTTGCCGAAAGAGACCCGACTCAGCTGGGAATGGCCCTGGCTGGACAGTGTCAATGTGGACGGCAGGGGCCACCAGTGAGCGGACATCATCCTGGGCAGACAAAGCTATCGAAGCCTCTTTTGCAGTATGGGAAGCTCCGGACATTTCCGAGAAGCGACGACTGGCTGCTCGAATATGAGAAAGGATGGATCGGCGAGGTGAGCGAGGAGGTCGAGGTGGTAGTGGTGGAGGAGGTTCGGAATAAGAAGGGGCAAGAGGGGCCAACTTGTATGGATCAGGATGGCTCGTGGGTGCATGGAAGGGATCATAGGAGGACAGTGGTGTCTGGGGAGGCGTTTCGAAGGACAAGAGTGGTCGGTCCGACATGACTGCTTATTGTGTCAAGGCGGGAGGTTGAACGAAATTATCTACGCAGAGCTCATTGTCCGAGAAGTGAGATGATGGAGGAGCGAGTAGTTGAGCAGTTTCAACGATGATGTACTCTCTTATACTCACATGGGCTTGAGATCTCTAGAGCTTTTGCGGTGTCAAGATTACTCGAACAGTGTTGTCAAGCAACTAGCCTGTCAACGGGGGTTGCACAATATCCTTCTTCGCTACCTGAAGCTGTGATGTGTTCCTGTCGCCAACCATATCATCAACAGACTCATGAATCGTCGCCGGTGACCATGCATGCATGCTTCACTCGCCATCGACAGCTGGAAGTCTGAGTCTTTCAGGCAGCAAGTAATAAACTTGATTCCTGTTCACCTCGTTCGAAGATCCATGAAACACACTCATATCGGACACAGATTACGTAACATCTATCCATTGACGTCAACCGTCTCGTACCCCTATGCAGTTTTGAATACTCAGTTCAATTTCAACCTCTTGTAATGTCTTGACCATCCATCATGCCTCGTCCTCAATCGGAACATCAGGCATGGCACAGGGGTCAAAAGACTTCAGAGTATCAAGGCGATGGAGGGGAAGAAGATGAGGAGTCATATCGACCGCCGCCGCTGGCACCTTCGGCTACACTCGAGAGACCGCCTGATTGTATCAATCGAAACCCCACTCCGGCTTTCTCCTTGTTATGCACCGTCATGGATCGACTGAGAACTGAGGAACCGAGTAGAAGGAGGGATACACTTAGTCGCTTCATGTCCATATGGAGAGCCAAAGTGGGCAATGATCTGTATCCATTGATCAGACTCTTGTTACCCGACGTGAGAGCTTTGAAACAGGTGCGAGGTATGTGAACTGATTCAGCTATTGCAGAGAGACCGCGAACGTCCCGTGTACAATCTGAAGGAAGCGATGTTGGCGAAGTGCTACATCGAAGTGCTTGGCGTCGACAAGCACAGCGAGACAGCTCAACGCTTGATCAAGTGGAAGCAGCCCGTTGACGGACAGGTAGGTGTGGGACATCGTCAATCCGCTCGCTATTTGCGCTAAGACCAGAGGCTAGGCAGAGTCTTACTCCGGAGATTTTGCGAGGGTCTGTTATCACGAGATCGCAGCCCGATCGACTGTCGAAGAGGGGCAATTGACGATAGACGCTGTGAACGCCTTGTTGGACAAACTTGCAGCCGGCCGGTTGAAACAGTGAGCAATAGTCGACTCGTGAGTTGATTTGGCCGCAGACAAGAATATGTCCCAGTTCTCCGTAAGATCAATCAACAATGCACCCCCGTAGAGCAGGAATGGATCATACGAATCATTTTGAAAGGTCGGCTGATCAGTATCCGAGAGACCTGGCTGACACTGTCAGATCTGCGAATATCCATAAGGGAGAAAGGAGTCTTCTCTTGCTTTCATCCAGATGCAGGGGACCTGTTCAACGTCTGTTCTGACCTCAAACGCGTGTGTTGGACGTTGTACCGCCCAGATATCAGGCTTGAAAAGCATGTGAGCCCGGTGCAGCTCTTCCTCCCCTTGTGCTGACTATAGAAAGCAAACCAACATTGAGCTCTTCCGATGCTTTCTTCCCCAGCTATGCTACCGCTCACCGTCATCATCGCACGAAGCCATCTCGAAACTCGTGGGTGCTCCGCATAAGGAATTCATTATGGAGGAGAAGCTCGACGGGGAGCGCATACAACTGCACATGCGAAATTCCGGGGCTCAGTGGTTCTATTGCTCCAGAAAAGCCAAGGATTACAGTATGGCTCGTCACCATCCTCAGCTGACACTCTACCAGCATATCTGTACGGAGCGCATGCTGGCGAAGGGAGTCTGACTCAATATATTGCTGAATGCTTCGACGAGAACATCCGCAAGTGAGCACTTACACCTGCTGCCCTGCTCACGAATAGCATCATCCTCGACGGGGAAATGCTGGTCTGGGATCCTGTTCTGGAGAAATATCTGGCCTTTGGAACTCTGAAGACTGCAGCTTCCGGTGAGTGAGAGATAGGCCATTCTCAGCTGACCGTTTCCTTAGACAAACGAAATGATGAAGACGCTCCGCGGCCTTGTTGTGAGCTTCATCTCCAGGATGCCGCTGCGGTTCTTGATATGCTCTCCCAGTCAAAGTCTTCGATATTCTATATCTCAACGACAAATGCTTGACATCGAAGCGTTTATCGGAAAGGAAACGACTACTACACTCGGGGCGTATCTTCAAAAACATTGAGCAATTTAAAGGTCGCATTGAATTTGCTGAGGAAAGACGCGGAAAGAACGGTAAAGACATCCGAGAAATGTTAGAGAGGATATTAGAGACCAAGTGAGCCTGAAGGTCCCACACAGTCTAGTCACTTACTGGAGTAGAGGCGAAGGATTGGTAGTGAAGAATATTGACAGCGTCTACCGGACGAATTCTCGAGATTCCGACTGGGTCAAGGTCAAGCCGGAATATTCTGACCAGATGGGGGAGAACCTCGATCTCCTAGTCTTAGGAGGATGGTGGGGCAAAGGTGGTCGAACTGGTAAAATCTCCAGTTTGTTGTGCGGATTGCGAAATCAGACGGAAGACGATGGAGTATCACCTTTTCCCGAGTTCACGACTTTTGTCAAAATCGGGTCTGGGATGAGCTACGAGGACTACCAGTGGATCTTGACGAAGCATAAAGATCACTGGAAGCCGTTCAGTCGAGACAAAATCCCACCATGGCTCCACCTTGGACCGTCTGGTCTGGATGACAAGCCTGATGTCTATATTGAACCGCCGAACTCTTTCGTGGTTGAGGTCAAGGCTTCGGAAATCGTACCCGCGGCCGGCAACTTTGGTGTCAACTACACAATGCGATTCCCCCGATGCCGCTTCATCTACTGGGACAAAGCCAGTCGAGATGCAGGACACGATGACGCTCAGGATCGAGACATGTGGAATTGCCTGAGTGTCGATGAGTTCATGACACTGTTGAACGCGCCATCCAAACGCTATGCGGACGACGAAGCAGGTTCGACGAGGCGGAAGAAGCGCAAAGTGGCCCCAAAGAAGAAGGTCGAACTCATCAAAAGTGCCCGCGGACAGAGACTGGAGGAGAGCTCGGGACAGAGCCGGATCTTCCGTGGCTTGACGTTTTACATCATCAAGGGCACTGCACAGCATTCCAAACAGGAACTCGAAACACTCGTTCACGATCACGGCGGAGACTTCTCGCAGGCTCAGCTAGCTGACAACTCTGCGTACGTGATCGCACCAGACGATAAGGGTGAGTTTGAAGAGCGGATCTCGTTAATCCGATCCCTAGACGTCCGAGTACGAGCTCAGAAAAAGCGAGGCGTGTCGATCATCAAACCTGACTGGATACTCAGGTCTATAGAGAGAAGACGCCCTTTGGCCTTGATTCAGGAGTAGGGCTCGGGAGTGGTCATCGCTCACATCTCACAGTCTGCTCGTTTTTGCCTCTGATGAAGCAAAGGATGACAGAGACTACTTCAAGTCGCTGGACGATCTCAGTGATGATAGACTGGTACGAGACCGCCATGCGAAGATCGGTTCAGAGGACAGAGACGAGAGGGTAGGAGACGATTCCTTCGTCTCAGACAACGAAGCTTCGGGCAAGTCTCGGCAGCAAAGCCAGCTCGAAGCAGAATGGGGCTTGGAAGACGACGACGATCAGTCTGTGCGGAGCCGGCACATGTTTAGGGCGGCTCCAAGTGAAAGCGTGAGTTAGACCAAAGAGCTGCGATCAGTTGGCTGAGATCCGGGCGTAGGCTTCGCCGGCGTCTAGTCGATCACCTTCGCCAGCTCTGGAAGGCGATGCGGATGGGGACGAGACTACAACTCTCTTGCCACTGCGAGATAGCGAAGCCGTACCGCAGGTAAGCAGCTTCTGACAATGGGTACTGAGTATCAGCACGCCTTTGGCAATGACAGTCAAGCCATGGAATATGATGATGAGAAGGTTTGTGTGGCGCGAAGCTCTGCTCATCCTGCTCTAGATCTTCACACACCTCGTCTTCTACGTTGACACACCCGAGAATGCGCGTGCCAATGGGTTGACAGATTCATCTCCACGGCCAGAGGTCTCCTCCAGGTAAGTATTGTTCTCCATTGCTATTCCGGAAGCCTGACTTATGCGTGCGCAGATTGGAGGAGACGAAAGATTTGATCCTTGAGCACGGCGGCAAGGTGACTGGGAACGTGGATGATGTGAAGTTGTCACACATAATCATGGATGATGACGACTCTGTGCGCTACGCTGAGATCTCCCGGAGGACAGCGAAGTACGTCGGGACAAGCTGCAAAGACGCTGACGTAGAAAGACCCAAACGGAAGCATATCGTTCTCCCTTCATGGGTCCACGAATGTCTTGATGAGGAGACTCTGATGAATGAGGACGGTGAGTGCCCTTCCCGGTACTCGACTGAACAGTGCAGGTCATAAGCCGCGATGAGACTCTGCTTTACCCTGTGTCAAACGAATCATTCGTCTTTGTTGTCTGTAGCATATAATGTACATTTGGTCATAACGGCTTGCATCATGTCATCTAGAGAGAGAGACGGCTCGACGTAAGAGAACGGATACAAATACACCATGGATCCTATCGACATTCGTCTGTCCACCAAGAGGAGATGGGTACACAATAGATCGTACAAAAAAGGAGGAGCAAAGTTACAAGTTGAATTCGCGAAGCTTGCGAGCCGACGGAGAAGCGCCGCTATCCAGCAGCATGGCGTATCTTGTCGGACTTGTTGGTGGAACCGGAGATCTTCCGATCTGGGTGGGAGAGCCGCCGTATCCTTTCAGTCTATCGAGGCATCCACCGACTTCCCAAAGAGGTGTCGATAAGAGAGCTGTGACTGATGGGGGAGGTTGAGCCGGACTGCGTCCGCTGAACAGTGGAGTTTTGGAAAGGGATGTGGCGGGTGTGCGAGCAGCCTCGCGAAGCGCGCTCGACCTCGATAAAGGTGTCTTTGGTACAGCGGCATGATGATGATTAGCAGGTGCAGGGGCAGGAGCATCGTCGTCTCCGGCCATGACTCTTGTTCTCATCTTGGTAGCTTTCGGCTGAATGTCAAAGGCCTCGTCCAACTTTGGAGGACTTTGAGGAGACGCGACCGAGGCGTTATCAGCCATATCATCGTGTGTCCACGCTTGCTGCAGAGCTGACGGATGATGCGTCGCTCTTGTGATGGTTGGTGGCATCGGTGATGAGCCAGGGGAGGAGGACGTATTGACTAAGGCCGGTGTCCTGAAATCGCTCGATGTCGCTTTCGAGCTTGAACCCGGTCGCTCTCGTTCAGGCGTGATGAATGTGTCGTCCCATTCGGTGAAGTCCTGCTGTTGGACAAGTATCGGAGCGAGAGCCGCCGGTCTCGGCTCTGACAGTCGAACACGTTTACCAGTCGTAAACACATTCTCCTCGTCTTCGATGGGCGGAGGAGCTACTCGCTTGTCCACTCTTGGCTTTTCGAACACGGGCGGCGGCGGTACCATGACACTCGCTGAGCCACTGGGCATCGGCTCCTGAGCATGTTGATGATGTTGATCCGGCTCCATGGGCAAAAAGTCACCGTCATCCTCATCCTGGGTACCGTGAAGCATGTGAACAGCTGGTAGTTCTTGACTGACCATTTGAGGCGTCACCTGTGCTAGAGGTAGATAGAGACCTGATGAGTGGCCGGTGGGTTGAGACATCATGACGGATCCATCATACTCATTGTCCATACTTGTGCCAGATCCGGTGCGGACCATATCCACTCCATCCTCGTCATCCCTCGAAGGAAGCTTTCGGGCCTTCTTGCCCTTTTTGGGCACGTACACCCTACCCTCTCGAGCGGCCTTTTCTATCGCATCCTTCTCCTTCGCCCGTTCATGTAGTGTCTGCCGACAGACTCCGTGGTGAGGATGCGAAGCAGGAAAGTTCTTGATAAACTTGTTTTCCTCAGGCCAATGGCATTTTTCGTCTTCGTGGATGATCCAGATACCACCCTTGCCTGGTGGGAACTTCTCCGTACGAGGAATCGTCTCAAACATCTTGTGGATCGAGAGATTGTGTCTAACAGAATTACGCCAGGCACCGTCGCCAGTCTTGAAATAAGGATAGGCAGTCTCCACGTATCGATAAATGTGTTCTAGGGATAATCCACCAGCGCTGGATTTGAGGATGGCTTGGCCGATGATGCAGGCGAATGATGGGCCGGGTCGCTCCATGGATCTGGGGCCAGGGGGCACACCTTCAACGCCTGGGTCCTCAGCGACTTTGGCGAATTTTGCACTCGTTCGACCTCCAATGACCTTGGATTGCGGACGCTGAGGCCGAGACATACCCACAGCCTGGCGGGTGACTGAACCTTCTCGTTGTGAGTTGGTGGATCTGTCGTTGAGCTGCATCTTTTGCAGTGCTCGGGAAGCCGAGGGGCCACGGGTCGGTGAATCGTTCTCTTCGTCGCTAGCTATGGGTTCCGCACTCTCGCTGCTGTCGGCAGTGGTCGCAGAAGATACAGTGATAGAAGAGGATGTCCCAGACGAATGAATGGCTGGAGCGTATGTATGCTTTTGATTCTGAGGCGTGATCATCGAGTTGTCCGGGGGCACGACCGCGAAGCGTTGGAGCTGAGGAGGTGCTGGACCGAGAGCACGTGCTGGGGATATACCCTGAGTTGGGGCAAAGAATTGCTGTAGCATGTCAGATAATGATGTACAAAAAGGAGACAGAGGTAGTGCTCACAGAAGGGTCTTGGACGAATTGGACGTGGTGATGAACTGCGTGCTGATCGTGCGGGATGCCGAGTGAGCTTGAAGCCCGTTTAACGGGCGAGCCTGGGACTGGATCAAAAAGATCGCCAGCCATCATGTGAGGACTCGCGGAACGAGCCGAAGTCATCTGCAACGAGGCTTGTCTATGAAGGGTCGGGGGACGTGGCGGCACTGCCAATGTATGACCACGTTGCATGACTGGCCTTGTCGATCCAGATGCAGAGCCAGTGCGATGACGCGGTGGAGGAAAGTGCATGGCGTGCTCTGGATGATGCACGAGTGGTAAAGAGTGATTTCGTTGTAATTCGGCCCCGTGATATCGTGTCGCGTCCAGATGGTCAATCATGGGTGAGACATTCACCTGCATGGGAACCATGGGTTGCATGCCGTAGGGTGACGTGCCGTCATCTGGCAGGAAGGGAGAAGGTCCGCAATCAGGTGGATATTGAGTATAGTGATGAGGGTTCAGACTTCGATCTGACATGGTCATAGTCATGCCATTGGGTCCAATGTGGTGAGTCGCGGGTGTCATCATCGCGTGTGCGGAAGGATCGTATAGACTTGGGTCGATCTGCGACGCGTAGAATTGTTGAGCATAGGGCTCCATCTGCATCATGACCACGTCAGTCATGCTGTGGACGGTGGGTGAAAGGGGGATGGATGGGCGCCGACGGTCTCGCTGCTGACAAATGAGGATGGACGGGGTCGAGCAGGTGGGGGGAGAGATTATGACGGCGCGGGTCTAGTAGACTCGCTGTCTATCGCAATCTAGCGATGCTGTGTCGCGCGCGATCTCCTCGCTGAGGATAGATGAGAGTGGTGGATATGAGAGAGTGTACGAGTCAATGGTATGAGGTATGGGTTTGAGATTGACAAAAGGTTGAATGTAAAATTGAGAGACAGATGATAGAGAGTGAAAGAGAGAGAGGAGCGGAATCAGACACGCGCCGAGTATAGAGAGTGGAGCGAGTGTGAGAGAGTCTAGATGGAGCAGCAGCTCTACGATGTGACGCGTCTCGTAATATGAAGTGGGACTGTCGGATGAACTCATGTCACATTTTGGAGAGGCGTGAATGAAGAGAGCGAGGAAGGGGGGGAAGCGAGAGAGGAAAAGGGCCCAGGAAAAATTTCAGAGACAAATGACTCTTCTACAAATGTCACTCCTCCTTCACTCACCTGGTATGTGACTCTCTTGACTCTCGACTTGGGACAGATGGCAGGATGCACAGCCTGTGTATTCAAATGACCGCGAGATGAGCGAGTGTTGGGATGGATGGATGGAGTGGATGGATGAAGTGAGACGCGACTGGATGGAAAGTGGCGAATTTTTATTTTTTTTAAATCGTTTTTTTGGAGACGCGCGGCGCAAAAAAGAAAAAGAAAAGATTCGCGTCGATGGGTCACGGTGACGTAATAGAATCATTTAGGTGCGCACTAAAAAGATAGGCAACCAGCGTCACGTGGCCGGCTGTCACGGTGCATTCCCCCTATGATCTCCCAGTCCCTCAATAATCGCAGAGAGTCCCGTACCCCAGACCAAGGTCTATGTGTGGCATCAGCCTCTCGCTCAGACTGGTGCCTCATCACAGCTCGTCATCAGTGCAGGATCATCTCTCAAAATCGCTGGAAGCACCCATCAAGGCTCGTGGGCCAGACTCATACCAGACATTCCAGACCCGCATTCCGCTCGATTCCCAATGGGATGTCGAATTGACACTCAGCGTCAGCGTCCTCAGTCTTCGCGGGACAGGGACGGTACGTCAGCCTGTGGTTACCCATAGAGGCGTCCTGGCGTGGAATGGGCAGGTATGCGGTCAATCTGGGCAGATTCCTGACGCCGCTGAAACCTCATGCTAGATCTTCCAAGGCGTCCATGTCGGCAAAGAGGACAATGATACCGCCAAATTGGCGGAATTGATCGACTCGACAGACGTTGACGATCCTCGAGCACTACTGCCACACATAGAGGGCCCGTGAGTTGGTCACATGTGAGCAGAGCGACCCTGATGCGCTCGCTCTAGATACGCCTTTGTATTCTTCGATGTGAGGTTCCTCGACCTCAACCAGTTTCCCCTTCCTGACACCGTCCTCAGACCAAAACCCAGACGCTCTTCTTCCAAGTGGATCCCTTGTCCCGTCGATCGCTCCTGATACACCCTATCGACCACAATGCTCCAATGCAGACGTTCATGCTGTCCTCTGTACAGTCCCACTGGGGCAAGCAGAATGATATTCACATGCAGGTCCTTCAGGGCGGGCAGGGCGGTCTGGTGAGACTGCGAGATATCGCAGTCACGAGCGGGCATGGCAGCAATGTGAATTCATCACGGTTATCACTCTTGAGCTCATTCGCTGCGTCAGATGATGGACCTGTCAAAGGCGCTTACACTACAAGACATTCATAGCCTGTGCCCCACTGGATTCGTCAGTCGAGCGCCGTGGAAAACCAGCCAGCTAATCGTGCTCCATAGACCCGGGTAGAATCCCTATCGAGACTCCAAGATGATCCGAGAGTCTCTGACGACAATGAATCCCACGTCGCCGACTTTTTGCAACGATTGGCTTCCAGCGTGAGACGGCGGATAGAGAATATCCCAAACCCACGTTCAGGGTGAGGCCCCCTCCAATGGACCTCGTGTGTTTCCGCTCAAGGCGATACACAGTGACGCTCGAGTAGCTGTTCTGTTCTCTGGTGGCGTGGATTGCTCCCTGCTGGCTGCGTTGATACATCGGTGAGCAGGCGGATCTGGCAAGACACATGCTGACCCCGATCAAGCTTTATTCCCGCAGACGAGCCTATCGACCTTCTCAATGTCGCGTTTGCGCAGTTGCCAGATGCTAAATCTGTGGATCTGCCACGCTTTGACGTACCTGATCGTCTCTCTGGCAGGCAGAGTCTGGGCGAGTTGCGAGCGGCCTGTCCTCGCAGGCAATGGCGTTTCGTCGAGATCAATGTTTCACAGAAGGTGAGTCTGGTCGCATCGCCTCTTCTTAGTGCTGAAAGGAGGTCCATCCTCAGGAGTGTGAGGAGCATCGTTCGGCCGTCATGGATTTGATGTATCCAAACGCGACCGAGATGGACCTAGTGAGCATACTTATTGCTCTAAAACGGCCCAAGCTCATGATTGCAGTCGCTTGCGTACCCGCTTTACTTTGCATCGCGAGGACAGGGGCATGCTCAGGCTGAGGCATATGAGCCATACTCCACAGCCGCGAAGGTGTACATCTCTGGACTGGGGGCAGACGAGTGAGTCAAGGTGTATGGACGTGAAGTACATCCCTTAATCCTCCTTTCAGACAGCTCGCAGGTTACGCGAGACATCGGGGGGCATTTCAACGAGACGGTATCGGCGGTCTCCTTGATGAACTACAGAAGGATCTCGATCGTTTACCGACACGCAACCTAGCTCGAGACGATAGGCTCATCTCGTCACACGGTCGAGAATCTCGGTACCCCTATCTGGATCTCTCGTTCGTCACATATTTATCCTCCCTCCCGCTGAGTATCAAGTGCGATCTCTCCCGCGAAGGAGGCGACAAGGCGTTGTTGAGAGCAGCAGCGGCCAAATGTGGTCTGACAGAGACGAGCCAGCGAATCAAAAGGGCCATGCAATTTGGTACCAGGAGTGCCAAGATGAGTGGTCAGGACAAGCCGAGAGCGAAGCGAGGTCAACAGTTGGCGAACGAGTGATGTTCAGTGTGTACATATACATACCTTCGTACATACTTTCCTTCACTCTTATTACATGATCATCAAACGTAGCGCACATGAGTCATAGCTTCACAGTGTACCGGTCTCATTATCTCTTTTTGCCCACATTGGAATCAGGAAAGCTCGGAAAGGTTGATCATCTCCTCGCATCGACGGGTATCGTATTGTGCAACCCTATTTGTAGCCGATTTTCCTCCTGATGCATCTTTCTCAGTGGCCAGCCCATCGGTGGCAGTGAGCTGCTTGGGCTTGATCTTGAAAAGTTCTCGCTCAACCCGTCCGCCGGGTTCAAAGTAACCTTGAAGCAGTTTGTTTTGCCTAGCGGTGTTGACCCATTTGCGCGGGTATTGACGTTTCCCTGCTGCAGTCAGCTTTCAGTCTCTTTGCAAAATGCTCACCATTACGGGGGTCATAAACGAACCCTTCAGAAGTCAAACGTCGGACAGTAGCGTCCGCCTGTTGTGCGTCAATACCTGTCTCCTGATCAGCAAGGAAGCGGTAAACGATGACTGCAGCGCACCCAATGAATCCTTAATGTGTACGGCACTGTCAAGACTTCCCTTTGAGCGAACGAGGTACAACACACGCCTATGTCTATCAGGGTTGTGTTTGTGTCTCGAGCAGCATCTCACCTGAAGATGGCAAGCGCATTGAGCTCGCCTTGTATGTCGTCTGGGGAAGTTTCGTCCTCGATGAGGCAATTGATGCATTGGAAGTCCAGTGGGACCATGTCAGGCTTAAGATAGCCGCAGCAAGCCAGATGCAGTCGACGTTGGCAATCGTGACAGCGAATCAGACTATCTTCTTCATCCTCAAGCTCGCAGTAGCAGTCAATCGGGGTCTGAAGATTGGTACCTGCGTCTCGAAGTCTTGCGACCGGCGCTAGTGATGACATTGTAGATGCTGCTGACGGCATTGCCTTCGCCTTGGTCGCCTTCACTGTAGATTGTGGCGAGTTGGACGAAGTGGGGATTTGATTTGCTGTTGCATCCATTGCACGCCTGGATCCTGCATCAGTGTTCGAGGTCATTAATTCTCTGTGAGCGTCCTCAATGGGTGCGTTGCCAATCGGGTTGGTTTTCGTGGCAGCCTTGTTCTTTGATTGATGGCTTGGAACCGGTCCTTTGCCCATTGCAGAGGGCAAAACTGACTTTGCAATATTCTTGGTCCTTGTACTGGCTTTGGTCTTCATCTTCGCAGCCTTCGTTTTGGACGCGGAATTTGGTCGTCTTGCCTGGCATTTCCTCTTCCTTGGATGGTCATCGGCAAAGTCATCATCATCGAGGTCAATATGCTGACGCGATGATCTTTGAGGCCCCTTTAGAGGCCTCGCAGATGACGCTCGAAAATGTGAATTGGTCACCAGATTCACTGCCGTACTGACATCCCGGGTCACCGGTGACATTGTGGCGTTTGGGATTGTTTCTTGCTCCAGGGCCGGTGGCGGAGACACTCTGCTCCATCCCGCCTGGGCAATCAGCGAAAGAACAGCTCGTGGCAACCCACCAGTCGACGTCCATTGACTCCCATTTCTCCACTTCGCTTGAAGACCCCATCTCTAATAGCATTGGTCGGATGAACGGCAACGAGTCGAGGACTTTGATCCTCTTCGTCTGAATCAGGAACACCTGCAACGACCTTCTTGAGATGTCCACCAGGCAGAAGCCATCCGAGCGGTTGCCTCAGAGTGGAGCCCAGATGATCTTGAGGCTGCAGAGGATCTTGAATGCTTGGATCCAATTCAATCCGATCTTCAACTCCCTAAATAGCTCATCAGCTATATGATGCAGATCAATTGGTGGAGGTCTGACCAAGGCCGGATCCTGCAAAGTCTTTGGTCAGTTTCGCGGAGCGGTCAACGCTTCAGCTCTCACCCATACAACTTTTCTCCCTTTGTTCATTGTCGAAGCACCGTTTTTGAAGGCTGCACCGTCATCACCTCCCAGCGATGGTGCGTCTCCAAAGCTCTGGACGACTGTGGTGAGCCGGAAAGAGATGCTGAGCGGCAACATCAGCTGGGTTCCCTCGTTCCCAAATGTCCTGACCCATGATGTCCGCTCTGCGCCGCTTGGCCTTGGCCCCGAAACAGAGGAGCGTCCATCAAGCTTTTGGTCGTCATTCGGAGATCTTCATTGACCACCTTGAGATGTGGCAACTTGTAGCTGAGATCCAGGTCTTAATAAGAGCAAGAGTCGGCTGCTCACTCTTTTGGCGTGTCTGACTTCAGGAAAAGCTTAAAGTCGAGATACTTTTGCTCTATCGCAATGATGTCAGAGAGTTAATTCCTGCGCTACAAATGTCCATGGAGGACTGACGAGGCAGGTCGTTCAGATCCTTGCACGCGTCCACGATGCTCTTCATCAGCATCTGCAAAGGGCGGTCAGCTGTGCACATGGCTGTATACAGCATTTGACAGAGTATTCTCTAACCTTGGTCTGAGATCTGAAATCATCTGGAGTGCAAGCATGACCTAGGCGGGTAGGATCTGCTCCTTGAACTTTGGCCGCGATATCGAGAGAGACGAAGCCATTGTCTGCGTAGAAGAAGTTCATGGTATAGGATTCAATGACACTGCAAGCCATTGTCAGTGAAGGATGAATGCTGCGACTGCTGAGGACTCAATCTTGTGGCTTATCCTCATCCATCAGTACCAGAACCATAACACTGTGAAGATAACCTTTGTCCAGCGCATCCATCACACAGTCATCCTACATGTTGTGAGCGGGTCAAGATAGGCGTCGCAGCCTCCGGGATGGGCGCACAATTATCTGTATCACCTTCATTCCTTCCTCCCTGCAATGCAGAATCAGAACAACAGAGGCCGTCTCTTACGAGATAAGATCACTATCACGATCGAGTGTCTTGACAACAAGTCGATCCGATTGAGAAGACTGCGATTGAGAGAGCACGAGGCTCTGGCTAGCACTAGGATTGTCGGTCTTGCCAAAGACAAAGTTTCGAAAATGATCGACTGGAAATAGATCCCTGTCAAGAAATGAGCCAAATGAAGAGGGAGGCTGTCCGCCTCACTCACCTGAGAAAGAAGAGCGTACCTAGAGTCGAGTGGAGAAAGCCATGCATGGCTCGGAGACTGTCGATCCGAGTCATGGGTAGTTGTCTCTGTGATGCGGCTGTTGCGGAGGATAAGCTCTCCTGAGCATTGAGCGGCCTGGCTAGCTGCTTGGGGGCCCTCTGAGGATGCATCATGAGCATGACACTTGCCTATGTCTGCCGGCAATAGAGCTCACGAATTTCTGCATCTGGATTGGCATGATGATTGTAGCTTGAGCGATATGGTTCCGTGGCTGAGAAGTTTCCTCGAGGTCTGAGACGGAGAGATCTCGCTCAGAGTCACGAAGACAGGTGTCGAGTAAATTTGCAAGATGAGAGTTAGCAGCCTTGAAGACGGATGGATGGGTGGATGGCCAGTCAGCGATCAGTGCGTAAGTGAAATCCGAGTCCCTTACGCGAGCAAAGAGCGCTCTCATTGCTGATGTATGTGACGGACTGAAGAAGAGTCAGTCAGATGCATACTGATCTGGTGAAGGTCATGTATCAGCTTCATGAATGAGAGAAGCTGTTACAGCAGCACCCAGATCAAGTCAGTGTATGGGTCAAATGGGACCAAAAACCGGGCAGAACGCCGGTCATGATCACCCAAAATTGTGGACGAAAATGAAAATGATGAGACAGATCTCTCTGTTGTTTACCATTGACGCGTTTGGAACAACACCCACTGCGTAGCTCACGGAGCGAAGCATGATCTCGATACAATCGACAGGCGCTCTGATCAGGAGATCGGAACGGTGAAGCAGGAAGAGGTTAGCATCGACGCGCCACTGGGAGAACCCCCACCATGCCCTCATCTAAATCCTCAATCGACGGTCGAGATGTCTATTACCGCCTGGGCAAGAGCGCAGGGTATCGAGCGCGATCAGCTTACAAGCTCATTCACCTCGATGAAGAGTTTGGAATCTTTGAAGGAGTCGAGACTGCTGTCGATCTCTGTGCTGCGCCTGGGAGCTGGAGTCAGGTCTTGACCCAACGACTCAAGTGAGTCATTCTAGCTTGATTCGATAGGCGTATAGATGACGGGTCGGCTGCAGACCCGGTAATGGCAGGAAAATTGTCGCTCTGGACCTTCAACCAATGGTGAGACCTCATATCGGACACTTTCGATGCTGAGCCGAGCTCAGGCACCATTACCTGGCGTTAGCATTTTGCAGGCCGATATCACCCAGCCGTCGACTGTCCCGCGAGTCCTCGAGGCCTTGGGCAGTCGTAAAGCAGATCTGATAGTATGTGATGGAGCACCAGATGGTGAGTCAGGAGCGTATCAGAGTGCCAGCTCTGACGACTTGATTTCCTCAGTCACCGGGGTTCACGACCTGGATGCTTACCTGCATTCTCAATTGCTCTTGGCTGTAAGCCCCAAGTTGAATCGATTATTTGACGCTGACTCACTGCCTTTTCCAGGCTGTCACGCTGTCGCTGCTACTCCTCGCACCACACGGCACACTCATCATGAAGATCTTTCTCTCGCCTCATGATCCGAAAGCCACAATGCTTCAATCTCAACTGAGAGGTTTCTTTCCCGGGGACTTTTCGAGCCCAGCATTTGAGGATATGACAGAGGAGGAGGAGGAGGGGGAGATGGAGGAGGAGAAGAAAGAGGCATCGGAGCGCAAGACGGATTGTCCTCAGAGTGGAGTCTACATCCGAAAGCCACGAAGCAGTCGAGTCGGCAGCGGCGGTGAGTCATGGAGTGCTGGCTGAATACTGACACACTACACAGAGGCTTTCATTGTCTGTAGAGATTTTGACGCGACTCGACTTCCGTGGTCTGCAGCACCCTTAGCTTCGGTTCTCGAGTCGCTCCATCAGGACTCTAAGGGGAGCTTGTCGCTACTTACGCTGGAGACTCTGTTTCCGGACACCACATCGAGCCCAGAGTGGGAGAGACTTAAAACGTATGCCACCAGCGGAGATCTAGAGTAGGTACATAATCACCTCTGGGGAGAAGATCGACCAACCCACGTTTCCAGTTCCCTTCCGTCTGCACCGCAGATCCAGTCACCAATCGCGAGGCCAATAGAAAGGGATGCGCTTCCTGGGAGATCCAGAGAGAGTCTCAATGCGAGAAGAATGTGGATAGATACGGGATCTAGAAGTCCATCACTCGCATCCGTTTCTCCATCTACCTCTACTTTGGACGTACCGTGGGATCGGCGCCCGACACCTTTACCGTCCCCCAGTCTAGGATGGCCTGGAGATGCGAACAGGGATGCACCATCACCTGCTCCAAGTACGAGTAGTAAGACCGACATCTTCTTCGGTTCTAATGAAGACTTTCTGCCAAAGCCCCCGAAGCCCATGTCGGTGGGCCTCGACGCACAAATGACGGTAACTCCCTCAAAGGCGGATATCTCGATCCCTGCTCCTCGTCCTGGACACCTTGGACACAAGAAGACCATCAGTGTCGACATTGTCGTCCGGGCACCTACCGTTGTACCGGCTCGCTCCGTATCTCAGCCCCAATCGGCGGGCCCAGAAGGTCCTACGGACACTACGACTCTGTCTCACGGCAGATCGAAACACGGCGCTCCTCGTCGGGAAACCAGAGAAGCTCAAGACGACGGACTTCAGCTTGCATCCGGCGCTGAGCTATTCGACGACTCAAATAGCTGGATCCTCATCACTCGTCTGGGTGATGGCGCATTCTCATCCGTATGGTCTGCTCACCCAAAAGACTTGCCTCATTCTGTCTCCGCTGTCAAGCTCACTTCTCGTGACGCCTGCGATGAGGATGCTCGGACACGGGTAGCTTTCTTACGAGAAGTCTCGGTCTTGAGACATATATCCCACCCGAACATCGTAGCGTATCAAGCTTCTTTCTCCACTGCGACATATCACTGTCTGATCCTTGAACAACTCCCTGGAGGAGAGCTGTACGAGGTACTTGTCGATGACATTCGGAAACGCCAAATGTGTCGACGGAGTCCTGAGGATCCCTCTGGCGAAGCTTTCGCTCGACGAGTCTTTAGTGAGCTTGTCAAAGCTGTTGGATGGCTACATAAAGTGGGAGTGGTGCATCGGGACATCAAGCTCGAGAGTGAGTATACAACAGTCAGACAGCGCTAACGGGGTAGACGTGCTTTTCACAGTCAATCCCTTCACCGTGTGTTCTGATGACTGTCCCATCCCGCTCGACAGATTGCCTTCACCTCTGGTCAAGCTCACCGACTTTGGTCTTGCGCGATTCATTGACCTGGACCACCCGACACTCGAGACTCGCTGTGGATCTGAATCTTTCGCGGCTCCTGAAATCATCATGGGCAAAAAGTACGACGGACGACAGACTGACTGTTGGGCGCTTGGTGTTCTTCTCTTCGCTCTGCTTGTCGGGCAATTGCCTTTCGACAGCGATCACGAAGAACGTCGGAAGAAGATGATGCGAATTGCCAAGGCCGATTTCCGCTGGCCATCAACTGTGGGCACACAAGGTGCTCGAGAGATTGTCCAAACTCTGCTCATGCGAGATCCTAAAAAACGATCCTCAGCCGATCAGCTGTGGAATCATCCGTGGATGCAAGGTCCAGGGGGTATCTCTCGACCCACTCAAGTCACACCTATCAATGGGCATATCAAAGGTCATCGCAGGATCCTCGATGGATATCTCCTAGATGAAGAAGTCTCCTCAGACGCCACCACGGAAATGATCAAGTAGGGTGATGTGTTCTGGCGCCACTTGTTCCGCGAAGGAGATGAGCGATCCTTTCACCCAATCGCTTGAAAGGAGGTCCATTCTGGACTGGACTCACTGCTTGGCAGCTGGAAGGGGTTCGTAATCCAACGTCTGTACAACCTACCTCTTGGACACGCTCTCCGTTACGACATTCTTGCTCATTCGAATCACAACCGATCATTCCTCCCATTACAGCCGAACGCCCCAGATCTCAGCATGCAAGGGGAAGAATCTCACTTTGGCTCACAGCTGGGTACTGAGCCAACCACGGACCACGACACGTCTTCCAGCCCTCCCTATGATTTACGTCGCGGAAATGCAGACTCGTTTGGTACAGAGGGTGAATGGACTTCAAAACTGCCTCCGAGCAAAGACGGGTCGCCAACACCCAGGACGACCGATGACGAGAGAGCTCCAATGCAAAAGGACGAAGAACATTCCAGCGCGTTTCTGAAAGCAGAGAATGCGAGTCTGAGATCTGCAGTATCTGATTTAGAAGCCAAACTATCAAAATATCGATCGCGGCCTTCGGGGGATCGCGATATCGGATATGATGTTACGAAATTGGTTCAAGGAGCTCTTCCAGTTCTCTCGACAGCCCTTCGGACCTATGGAGCGATACATAATGTCTTGCATACGGCCAGCACAGTGGTAAATGTCTTGGGTCCGCCGATACATAGGGCTATCTCCCACTATACAACGGGCTAGCAAGCTCACTTGTCTTTCTACTGTACCTGGTGGAAAAAGTCCTCTTAGACTAGCTTCAGATGCTACATGATTATAATTGCATGAGTGTCGGTTTCAAAGCCCCTTGTCGAAACGCTGGGATCCATTGCTGCATCCCTACTGGTGACGTTGCGCCTCTGCTGCACCGAGCTGTCGATGATGGTGATATCTGAGAGAGGCCTTACAGGGGCAATCCTTTCTCATCGCGCGACTGTTTCGAATGACCCTCCTTTCAGGCCGACGAGGCTCCCCAAATAGGTCGGTGTCGAGAGGAGGCCGGGAGGAAGTCGCTCTTTCGTCCATTTGCCACCGTTCAGAGGACCTTATCGATACTTCTACCATTACTCATTGACTTCTGTCATCCCATCGAAAGTCTTCTTCCAGTTCATCCCGTGGAGGGTTGAGCTAGTCGCTCATCGTATCAGTGTAGTAAGCCTGGGAGTGACTGCCATACTTCTCAAGCTGGCACAACACGAATCAGACGAAAATCAACCTCGTGCAGGGCGAGGCCAAGAGAATTGAGTTGCTCTCCTCCTCGGGCAGCACACTTCACGATGTTATGGGACGTGACTTCTTCCAAACCGTCCTGCGAGACGCCAGACACCGACGACGATGACCTATCCTTCCTAGAGAGTGACAAGGAACCCAGCATCAATGACTTGATTACTTCATTATTCCCTGGATCGTCCAATTCACAACCCCCTCCATCATACGACCAAGCTCCTCTGGACGACTTCCTCTTGCAAGATTCATCGGTTCCATCGGTTCAATCTCAATCAGCGCCCACCCCGACTCGACCATGGTCCTCCGCTTTCAAAGAGAAGATTGGAGGTCTCGTCGTCAATCATCCCCTTCTTTCAGCAGGTTCAGCATGGTTAGCGATCGACGCGGCCAGTCATGTGCTGGGACCTATCAAGCAGGCCTTATATGACAGAATAATTAGCGAGTCGGTCAGCCGAATTGCAGGATCACACTCGTCCTCCGCTTCTGGGGGTCAGCCTCCCTCTGCGCCTTCCGCGAACGGTCAGACACCGCAGATCATCACTGGCCCAGACTCCTTGGCTCAGCTTTACAAAATCTCTCAGCCAAAGAGCATAGAGGATAAAGACTCCATTCCGACGCCGACCAGGACACTGCCACCCTCTTCTTCGTTCGGTAGTGGATCCAGTCCACCGTCATTCCTGAGTCAGCTTCTACCTAAACGTGTATTCTGATTGATGGTTGTCGGAGGGACATATAAAGGGCTCAAGTTAACCATAGATTCCTGTGCATTCATTAGATTGCCGTCTCTTGACTACTTGTTCTTCTTGTCCATGGTGATCGGGTCCGGGGGATCCTCTCTAAAGGCCACCACCACATATCCAACAAGAACGGCATTGGCAACCATGACCGCGGAGATGGCAGCGGCGATTGTTGATCCTATGATGGACAAAATCAGCTCCATGATAAAAGATTTAGACGACCCTCACTCACCCTTCCAGATGTAGTGTAGAGACGCAAAGTAGGTAGCAATAGGAGCAATGGCCATGAGCAGGGCGAAAATGAGGAGTTTATATAAGACAGCTCTGAGAGGTTGTCTGATGAGCCCGAGTCCATGCATCCAATTGCAGACTCTACTCACGGCTGATAGCCCTGCTGAGCTGCCATCTTGCCTGTTCCTGGCATGACTGAAGCTGGGGAACGTGGTGGATTCAATAAAGAGGACAAAAGGTTTGCAAGCTTAATCTCATCATCATCGTCTTGGTCCGAAATGCCGGACAATTCAAGTGACCAGGATTCATGTACTCCTCCTCTTCTTGTACATCATCCATATCTTGGTCATGTAGGGAAGCCAACGACTCCGCCCAGTCAGTAGCTCAACATGGCTCTCTCAGGCTCATTCAGAGCAACGTTGGCTGAACCAATCCCTTCTGATCCGCCTCGCTTCGTGGTCGGAGGTCAGACGGGATCCGCGTCCGGGGATGTCAAGATGTATGAATGGCATCGGACGGTGAGTGGGGCTTTCTTGGCCGAAAGGCTGCGCTGCTGGCTTAGTCAAGGCTGATCAGTGTTCTAGCGTGGTGAGATGCGACTTTTGGGACTCCAAACGGATGTAGGGCAGCTCAGGGTATGTTTGCGTCGCTCGCTCATTCACTCGTCCTTCCTTCCTTGACCGCATCTCTAGGCCGTGGCTTGGTCACCTCTACCCACGCACCGACACATAGTCGCCGCTGGTTTATCCACTGGTAGAACTTTGATCATATCTCTATCACCTCAGACGCTCTCAGTCAATGTCCCCGCGAATCTCGGCACTCCATCATCCTCTACATCCACTTCTACCGCTGCTGTTCTTGCACTGAAGAACCCAAGGTCCTCGACTTGCGTTGCATTTTCCCCTCTTGACCCAAATTATCTCGCGACGGGATACGATAGGCATCGATCCGATTACTCTCTACTCGTCTGGGACATCTCCGCAGCCATGTCCTTGATTCCTCCAGATACTCAGAGCGCTTGGCATCGACCTCTGGAGAGGCTGGAAGTGACGACTGCTCGGACGACGACCGGTGGCCTCTCTGAAGATTCAAAACCCACGGAACCGAGACACATTCAACAGTACTGCGCATCCGAACAAGTCAATGATGTCGCTTTCCTGCCTTCAGCGTACAATATCCTCGCATCGACGAACAACAAGCAAATTCGAATGTTTGATCTTCGAGCGCCGAATTCAGGTCAAACCCCTGATCCATCGAATAATCACGTCTCGATGCAGTGGATCACTCGGGCCGTTCAGAGTCTTTCACCGGATCCAAGTGCTCCGTATCGTTTTGCAAGTTACGAGTCATCCAATTCGGGTAGCACAGTCCGAATGTGGGATACTAGAAAGTCGGGCGCCGAGCTATTGTCATTAGATATCAGTGGAGCCATCCTTGGTATCTCGTGGGCGCAAGGTGGAAGTGGCGTCTCACGGCTAGGTGTCGGCACGAAGGATGGCGTCAGTGTGTGGGAAGTCATCAACGGTCGTACTGTTGGTGATGATGGAACCCATGAGTGGACTAGTCTAGGGGAGATGAAACAAGGCGAGTGGCGTCTTTAGCGACTGACAGCGCATGACTGAGATTACATTTCACAGTCATTCGAGCCAAGCAGAACCTCCAGTCCTTCACCTTCTCGCAATCTTCTGACAAGCACCGACCGGACATCTTCTTCGTCCTCAAAGATGGGAGTCTGAACGTCGGGTCACTCTCATCAGCTCCTAAAGTGGCTTCAGGAGCCCGCGGTGACATGGCCATCGTGTCGAAGGATGCGATCGTCGTGGATCCTCGCATCAGCACGGATGCAGCTTCGGATGAACAAAGCTTGGATTCAGAAGACGAAGGAGGGACCATCACCCGAGCGAACCCATTTCAACTGCAACCTGCCAGAGTGTCGACCATTTTGGCCGAAGCACAAAGCTCTCGACCCGTCAGTCCTGCCCCGTCGACTTTGCTTCGTGGCATGCGACGCGGTCCACCGCTCGATCCGGAGGATGGCATCCATCGTGATTTGATGAGAAGTGAACACTTGGATTGGAGATCGTGGCAGAGACTATTGAGAAGTGAAATGGGTCGCATCATGCAGCGACGAGCGGCAGAAGGCTACGGTGTATCAAATGTAGGTGCCTGGGTGCGCTAGCGCTGGGATGCTCATGAACGTAGCTCCAATTAAATGCTGCTATAGCGACCAAGTACCCGGGAAGCGAGAGACTCGCTGGAGTATGGGAATTTGTAGACCGTCAGTATCGGACACTGTAAAGTCGACTGCGGCTGATATATACACTCACCAGATCTCATTCAGGTGATGAATCCAAAGACATCCCGCGACCGTTCTATCAACCTCTCTCACGCTGGAATCTACGCCATTTGGACTGGACAAGACCTGTCCAAACCTACCCCAGTTTCTCCTCCCGCCTCTATCCGCTCGCAGTCTACCCTTCTATCCGAATCGACCGAGCTTCGTAATCCCTCCTTGACACCTACCGCTCGCGAGCCTGTCAAGCAAAACTCCGCTGCATGGACATCCCTCCGACACACCCAGCATCAAATGCCTGCTAGGTCGACGCCAAACGTCCCTCAAGTCAGTCATACGCCGCCTTGGTCTCGCTATGATGCCGCTCTAGACCACGAGTTCTCGGCTGCTGTTGAGAATCTCAGCAGACATCGCGATGATGGCAAACGTGCACAACGTCTACCTTCATCTTCAAAGATAGCTCAACGGAGTATTATTCTCGCAGTGTGCGGCGATAAAGGCTCGGATGAAATCCATCGGTGAGCTGGTAGAACCACGTCTGGGGACTAACCATGTACCCTCCAGTCTCATTGAAGACGGTAATCGCACAAAGGCTTCGTGTCTTGCATACTTTTCCGGCGAAGAGGAGTTCGCCATCCGGATATTGCTGCATAGCTCCAGTGAGGCGACAGAGTCTGGAACCCTGCTTAGTTGCTCCCAGACTCGAATCACAGGTTGTTAGGTACGACACTCGCCGGTTTCCTCCAGAATACCCAATCGACTCGGGGTACGTCGAGTTTTTTCGAGGAGCATTGGCAAACGCTAGTTGCTCGAGTGGACGACCCCTATATGCGAGCCGTGCTGTCAAAGGTCGCTGGAGAAGGATGGGACAGCGTCATGGAGGAAGAAGCGATGCCACTGTTGGACCGTCTGGCGATTGCAGTGCATAATGTCAATGATCAAGAGGTGGGGTTGTGCGACGTGCGCCTGGCTGATTGGGTTTCCTAGCTGGGCGACTTCCTCTCTAACCGATATTCCCGCTTCAGTCGGTCGACTCTGCCCAATCTGAGCAATTTTCTCGCACTGCTAGGTTTTACCTCGCCGAGTATTCAAGGCTTCCAGCGGTATCTGGAACGGACGGGCGACCTGCAAACAGTCGCTCTGCTCTCAGTCTTCTTCCCTCAATCAAGATTGTCACAGCGGGAGCAAGAGACCATTCGTCATTGGACGGAGGCTTATAGATCCTTATTGGACAGTTGGGGCATGTGGGGTGAGAGGATCGATCTGGACACGCGACGTATGGAGATTGGCAAGATGCTAGGCGAGGATAGAGTGGCGGAGGAGGATCTCGGCTCTGGCAAGGGGATATGCCCAGTGTGAGTCGACTCAATGACCTGAGATGGGCATGGATTAACAGAGGACATAGGTGCAGCAATGCCTTGAGCAAGGCACACGAGGAGCATCTTCAAGGAGCGACGAAGAATCGAGTGCCGCCGAAACAGAGGGTAAAGCTGGCGATCATCGCAGACTGCTGACGCCTATCTCAGCAAGCCAATTGTACATATTGTGGCCAAGCTCTACCTCGATGTGTCATCTGTGAGTGTGCGTCAGGTGAAGCTGAACTGACTTGCAGGCTTGAGACACGTAGAGTCGATGCATCGGGACGATTGGGACGAATGGGTGGATATTGGAGGTGAGTCGAGTGATCGACATAGCATGCTGATTCGTGAGCAGATACGATCGACCAAGCGTATGTGTGTTGCCTGACTTGTCGGCATGGAGGTCACGCCAATCATATTTTGCCTTGGTTCGAGGGCGAGCAGGGCGAAGGAGGCAACTCGGTATGCCCAGTGTCAGGCTGTGATTGTCATTGTGCAGAGATCTAGCGGGGAGGGCCTTGGAGTCAATTGAGAATCAGCGATCAGTGTGCACCACGGAATGACTAAAGTGGGATACATCAAGTTGGCTGGTAATAGACATCTACGAGACTAATCTATGCTGGCTGGATGGATGTTTATGCAAGTTTAAGAGTGTCAGCGCCTTTGGTAGCTACAGGAAGGACAGTGTTAAACACGTAGTCCCAGATTTTCGAGGTGACTCCGAATCCGAGCTCAAAATCTGGGCGTCGTCTTGTGATCAGCAAGGAGGGTTTCTCTGAAACGGAGATCTGTGCTCACTCTTGTAATGATGAGCCAGATGATACTTTTTCATCTCCGCCATGTACTGTGGGAGTCGAGTGTGATGCAAGGCGTAGTGCATGCAATCGTAAAGCATGTAAAAGGTGAAGCTGCCTGCGATGATACCGTTTGCCACAGGGGCAGGGAAGATGATGTGGGCGAGCCGAGTGAATGGTGTTTCCAGCGCGAGGAAGAGTGTAGGTGGCATGACGAGTCGCAACCTGTCCATGGGGAGATAATGATGAATGCCGTGAAGGAGGAAATGGAGCATCATGGCCCAATTGGCATCCGGGAGGTAGTAGTCGACGTGGAACAGGAAGCGGTGGAGAGTGTATTCGAGGATCGTCCAAATGACGTTGCCGACAAAGAAGGCGGCGAGGGTCTTGCCGACGGCTGAAGCAGATGGGAGAGCAAGGCGGGTGACGAGATTCACGGCGGTGTATGTGCTGCACACGGTGGGTATCAGTACACACCACCCGGGCAGCGAGATGAGATACTCACCGGTCGGTGAATTGCATCATGGAGAGGTAGAACAAAAAGATGGTGATAGGACCCCAAAAGAGCGGTACGACATACCACTTTGTACGTGTCAAGGCCTACAAAGGATGGATGGATGGGGGTGGTGAGCGAGGGATCCTTGGACAACAATGCTTTTTTTGGTAGGCAGAGCTCACCTCGAGGTAGTCATTGTCGAACAATCTCGCACTCTCTTTCAAGTGCCTAGGGTTATGAACTTGAGACAAGTAGTATTCTTTGGTCCACGGTGCATTCCACACTTGAACCAGCAGAGGTTTAGATAGATCTAAGAACTTGTTTCTGTTGAAATCGGCCAACGTATCCGTCTCGTCGGGATGGAAATCTTCCCTCGGGACCCAATCTGGGGGGATCACAAGTGTCAGCAGATAGACCCTTCCAGGCGTGATGTGTTGATAATGTTGCTTTGTGACTCACCTTCTGATACAATCTTCTCATCTCCACCCAACTCGCCGATCTTGTACTCTTCCATCATGTCATACGCACTGGCCGAATGAACGTGCTCTGTTTCGTCGCCCATGATCTGTCCGACGTCCGCGCCTGCATATTGCAGGAGAATATCATCGCCACCAGGATGATCAGGCAGGAAGGACGTCACATCGTACACGGATCCCTTGTACGATACATAGCAGCTCTGTCGCGATTTGTCTGTGTTGAGAGAAGCGTGAGATGTGTGACAACAACAACAACAGCAGCAGTGATGATCGCCTGACTCACGCTTGGACACATCTGCGAGTGCAAAGATGCGAGACATGTTGATGTATCTCCTGTCCTAGTCGCAAGTCTATCGATCCACCCCTTGTCCTATGTCGAGGAGGAGATATGTCAGGAGGGGCTTCCACAGTTGGTAGTAGGAGGTTGAAATGAGATCGATCTTTGCTGGTTGAATGCCCAATTTTATGTTTTTGTTGCCGCCTCGGCCGACGTCGCCCCTGGTGGTCCATTTGTTTTTTGTAATCGCACCGAAGAGAAATACTAATGAACATTAGAAAAACACGATGGGGGGATCTGGCCATTACAATTTGGCCACGTGGAGAGTCCTAGCGGGGGGAGTATTTAAAGTGTCAAGGGTTGAATGGGAACAAAAAGAAAGAGAAAAAGAGAAGGAGAGCGCGGGGACAGGGTGATCCGAGACTGGGGCGCCACATGCCATTTTCAATGCGCAGGGGCGGGGGAGCAGAGGAAAAAGTGCCACATTGAATGGGTGAGTCAGCTGCCACAAGGGAAGGGCGAGGGGGCAGGGGAGAGAACTGAGAGAGGGGGGAATTTCAGGGATCACACGGTGTGTGTGTGTGTGTGTGTGTGTGTCCGTGCAGCAGCAGAGTGGCGCTTTTGCAGAAGAGTCTCGCCATTGCCGCCGCCGATTGGGCAAAAGGTTTTATGGAGAGAGAGACTCGGTCGACGGCCAGGGAGGTGTGGGTCCATTCTGACTCCTCGACATCGCATCCCATCTGACCCATCCAGCTAACATCGACCACCACAGTGTATGAAGAGCGGGGAGGGGAGCCCAATCGTGACACACATCCATCCACATACTATGGCTACTCCGCGAATTTAATCTTTGTCACGATCTTTCATCCTCCTAGTCCTCCGAGACATTAGAGTTTCATTCAATTTCCATTCAAGTTTCGTGGTCCAAACCATTGTGGTGGTTCAACCCTAGGTAGGTAGGCAGCATCTCGAGCTGTATCCCCGCCTCGTCTGGGCGCCCCACCATCCTTTACCCACCAAACGCATCCAAAGCCTTCATTCCAGTTTCAAGAGGACCGACCCGACACTATTTTCATATGCCGAGCGACCACCCGACCATCTAAAAGACGCATCTTCCTTCTGGCTGTATAATCCCCTCTCCCTTTTCCTGTCATCCTCCTCACCATGTCATACCAAGGTTCCATCAACCCTGCTCAGCTCAATCCAGCTCTGCTCCAAGCCATGGCCGCAGCTGGCGTGGGACAGAACATGAACGGAGGAGCTTCAGCCGGAGGTGGAATGGTGGGAGGAGGAGGAGGAGGAGTGGGTGTTGGTGGTGGTGGTGTTGCTGCAGTTGGTGGACCCAGCAACACGTTCCAAAATTGGCATCAGACGTTCCAACGACTTCAATCTCAAGAGAGTCAAAAGTTGGATCCATTACGACAGGCTGGTCCACAGCAACAGCAGCAGCAACAACAGATCACGCCGAATCAATTTCAACAGGCTCAATTTCTGCAGATGATGCAGGCGACTCAAAACATGCAGCAGCAGCAACAACAACAGCAACAGCCTCAGCAACAGGATACAATGATGTCTGGGATGAACATTCATTCCCAGCAACAGGGATTAGCATTACAAGGCGTTCCAGAGAATGAACAAGGACGGCGGCAAATGCTGCAAAAGTGAGTCGTGTGATCGTCCCAATGACAAATCATTGACATCATCTCTGCAGCATGCTTTCACAACAGCTTCAACAAATGCCAGATCAACAGCAACAGCAGCAGCAGCAGCAGCAGCAGCAGCAGCACCCTCAACAACAACAGGTCCAAAACGTACAACGCGCTCCCGATCAGATACGCGAGTTTCTCAGCAAAAACCCTACCATTCTCGGACAACTTCAACAGCGCCATGCCAATAATCAATCTGCACTGCTGAATGAATTGCAACAACTCGCTACTCAAAGCGCGAACGCACGAACCTCGATGCAGATGAACAACTTTCAACCTCAGCAGATTCAACAAGCTCTGCAGACGCCGAGGATGGAGCAATTCGCTAATTTGCAAACCATGCAAGGTCTGCCGACGGGATCTATGGGTCAAATTGATCCAAAGCAGATGGAAGCGGTGAGTAGCTTGCTGTTCCCCTTATCTGTTGGGAATTCTGCTGACCCTACACTCCAGCTCCAAGCGATGAAAGCGGCTCAACAACGCGGTGGATTCAACTCGACGCCTCAACAACAGACCCTCTCTTTTCCCCCAAACTCACAGGCAACGGCTCCTCAACAAAACTTCAACACCCCGCCTCAAAACGCTCAGACTGTTGCGGCGGCTGTTTCTGGTACACCGTCCTCCAGCCGTGCGGGCGAAGTGCAGGCCATGATTCAAGGATGGGGCGACACTCAGCTCTTGAAAAGCACCCAGGCCGTCGTGTCGAAGGTCACGTCCCAGACCGCCGTGAGTTTAACGCTTCGAGTCGTTCGTACTGATAAATTCAGGCCCCATCTGACCCAACTAAATTCCATCTGCTTCAAATCATCGCAGAATGGAAACGGCGGAACAAGTCACCGCCGACCGAAGCGATTCAAGCCGCGGGCCAGGCGTGAGTGTGTTCAGAATCTGTTGACGAACAGTCCCCTTACAAGTTGCATAGCCTCGGGAACCCCGGCCTGGTGTCTCAACTTGCCAATGTCGATTGGGCGACCCTTGCCAACTTTGCGAGAGCTCGCGCCGATTCCATCTCGATGCAACGTGAGGGTATGCAAAATGCGACACCTGGCACGACCATGAACCCTATCGACGTGACGACTCCCGCTCAACCTTCTTTCCAAACCCCTCAACAATTCCAAACCCCGTTGCAGAACCCGACTCCTCAATTTTCTCAAGCATCTGCCTCTACTCCAGTGCCAGCTTCGCCTCAGCCCAAGACACGACCTTGGGCGGCCATGGACTTTAGGAACGAGTTAATTACCATGGACGAATCTCAATTCTGGGGTTTCCTCAGCTCTAGAGATGGATTCGTCCCGCCCTCTATCGATGGACGTACCGTCAACTTGTTCCTGCTCTTCAAGCTCGTTCACCGAAACGGAGGGGCTGCTAAAATCTACGGCAATCTCTCTGCTTGGCAATTCCTCGGAGGTTATCTCGGTTTCCCTACAGAGACTGTCCCAGATCAACCATCTAGAGCTTCGGCTCAGATCGCCAATCAGTTGCGCAACTTTTATTTGCAGCACATTCAACCATTAGAAGACATGTTCTACAGCAAATTGTATCGCGACAGATTAAAGATAGCAGCGGAAGGAGGACAGACGACACCTCAGATGTCGACCATGACTCAGAAACCGCCGACGCCTTCTGCCAACATGACGGAACAGCAAAAGAGGATCCTGGAAGAAGTCAGGAAGAACGCCACACCGACAGGAACGTCTCCGACCAATACCGTGACCATGACACCTGGCAAGACGGTTTCACCGGATCAATTCGAGACCATGTCGAACCCCGATCAGATTCGATTGATCAAGGCAAATCCAGCTTATGCTCTCATGTGGACGAGGAGCAAGGAGCGTGCGATGAGGAAAAAGTTCCGTGAGTTCTGCTCACTCGCCGTCTTCGTATCCATCATTGACTTGAGTCTCAGCTAAAGAACTGCGGGATCTCCCGGACGAGGAGAAACCACGATTCGTTGCGGAGTTGCGCAATCTGTTGCCGGTCGCCAAAGAGGCACAAGACAAGGCGCCGAGATTATTACTCATCTCCCTCGAATCTGGCATGGAACAGCTCCAAGCCGTCACTGCACTCATCTCAATGGTGAGTTGTATGGCTTTTGTCGGACCTCCTTGTGCTGACAGATCCCCCAGTACATGTTCATCTTTATTGCCCTTCAGCATGCCGAGACGGGTCGATTCCCGTTCAATCTTGTCGACCTGGCCAAGCTCCGTGAACCTATCAACCGCACGTTGACCAAGTTGAATAATCTACACAAGCAGATGCTCTTGACGCCCGAAGGTCAGGCTACCTTGCAGAGAATTCTCCCACCTTTGGAGATACTGCTACAACAACAAAATGTCGCTGGATCCATGGCTCCCCCAAGCACCGTTCCTGCCTCCGAAGAGATCGCCGCCAAGTTGCCTAAAGGCCTTCGAATGGAAGACCTCAAGCCCCCACCGAGCAAACGTCCACGAGGGAACAATGGTCGATCCAGTATGGGTAACAACGCGGGCTCGCCGGCTTCGCCAGCCTTTGTATCTACGCCTGAGACTGCACGGACACCTGGATCACCCGCTGTGACTGGTTCAAACAAGCGATCTGCAAGCACTAAACGGAAGCGTCAACCGTCTAGACCGATCGACATGCCTATGCCGGGTGGAGCGGATAACGCTCTAGGTATCAATCTGGATGAACACGCGCCATTCTTTGCTGCACACGACGCCATCCGATCTCAAGGGACGCCAGGGAGCTCTTCTGCTCCGAGCGACACGTCAGCCATGTGGTCGAGCTTGATGAGTGCTCTCGACGCGTATCAGGCGAATCCTGCGGCCCCGAATGACGCGTTGCCTTCTGCACCTACCTTGTTGCAGGATACGAATCAACCCCCCACATTCCAATCCGCACCACTGGCTGCTCCCGCTGTATCTGAAGAAGAGCTATTTGAACAATTTCTCGATACGTCAAAGATGGACGGTGATTCAAGTTGGGCTTTACCTACACCCGAGCTCTTCCGAGTCACCTCGATTGACGAAGCCGAAACGACTTCTCCAGAAAGTATACGGACCGTCGCCAGGACGCCAGCGTCAGAAGATGCTGTCCGACATTCTCTTGGTCTGATGGGCGGCGGCATGGCGAGCAACAAGTCGTCTATGGGTATGATTGATCCTGCAATCATCCTTGGAGGAGCCAACAGTCCCGAGAGTCAAGCATATAATGGAATCGTCTATGCCTCATGGGACGAGAGTTTGACTACTGCCTCGTGAAGTATGCGGGCGGATGGCGAAGGGTGAAGGGCGATGTATCATACGGGAGAATGGGAATTGATATGGAAGTGTTTTTCTCTCTGGGATTTGACCTAATAACTATATTGTACTAGTCTCACTACTAAACTTTCTTGGGTTGTGTTCTCTGTGAGGTTGTGACCATGATTTGTGTGACACGATAAAGAATGAGAAGGAATATCTAATGCATACGCGCATGTGCTTCAAAGAGAGAGGAAAGTGTTGTTCATGTTTCGCCTGAGAGGTCTTCTGGGCGTTCCGAACGAAAGCCAAAGGTCCAAATCATGTAACCAGTCGCGATGGCAGAGATCAATGGATAAAACACGCCGTCGACAGTTAGCTTGGTCGACCTGACGCTATCCAGGAAGGATTCGGATTTCTGACTATCCTCTCCGGCCGTGTCGCTCGGTTTCGTTGGAGTGCCCAGGAGCCATCCGCTTGTATCGGTGCCGGTCTCCTGAGAGACCTGTGCGTTGAGATCATCCCAGGGATCCGCGTAGTCTGCTTTCGCTCTTCCGTCCGTACATTGTGAGTTGGGATTCGAGCTGGTCACAGCGTTACTGCTTCCGTCAAACGCTGTCGAGGAAGACATCGTCGTAATTCCGGAAAGCCAGATAATGAGTACTGGTTTGAGGAAGGGTCCAAAGGCTGGTTGGATATCAATGAATGAGCCAGTCAAGCGAGGGATGGTCGATGGTATGTTATTGTGTATGAAAGCGGGGATGAGAATATCTCTTGCTCGCTGAGCCTTACTTTAAATATTCGAGCACGTTTTGCGCTCTGGGCTTTGCATCAAAGGATCGCTTAGTAGAAAGGGAAGGTTGCTATGTACATATATGGAAGGGAAGGTTGCTATGTACACACATGGAGGGATGATTTCCCAGGGATAGGAGATAAAAGAGTAGTGAGAGAGTTTGTGAGGGGACGAGTTCGACTAGAAGCGCCCGGGTGTCCGACTGTAAGGGGTTCCATTTGGCTAATCCAAACGAGGTCTTGCGACTCATATGGTGCGCTCGAGCATGACAAGCGGCATCCTGTAATGGTTCTCGGTCTGAATGTGGCAGAGAAAGAGACCAATCGCCACGCTGAGTGGGGCGTGGCGAGGTGCAAGGGTTTATCCATGACCTTTGCCTCTGAGCCGAGGCAGCATTGCTCTCCGTGGACTTGGTAACGGTCACATCTTTGTTGAGGGAATTAGCGCAGCTTCATCAAACACTACAAGAGATTGGGGTTGTGGCAGCTCGGCAGCTTGAATATAGAACCGCTTTGGCTACATACAGCAGTTACCTGAGTGTTTTCGGAGTTCGGCTCTACCCCCTGCCACCCAGGCGCCTGGCGTAACAGTACGCTCCTGCGCCAACGATAGGCCGCCACAAACTCAATGCTGTACCTCCTACACCTATATCTCTCCCAGTCTCCAAAAGCGTCATGAGTCCAATGGTCCCTAGCGTAGCTGCGGTCATCGGCTGACTAGCAGTGGCGAGATCCCAAACTCCATCGATGACTGAACCGAGGATATCGCGAGCCGCGTGACCGACAGCAGAGGCAAATGCTGTACCTGCGTCGATGAGCGATGAACCCGTATCGGCCACTGTCCTTTGAGCTTGAGACCCCAACTGAGAAGCGCCCGCGTAGTATGAGAAATGAGCAGGCGGGATGTGACTGTAAGTAGTGTTCCCGAATCCTGGGCGAGGGCGAAACAGATCGTCGAACCCGGGCGGAAGAACGAGTCCATCGAGCGGAGAGGGATCTCCTCTCTCTGTCATACGTACACCTTGGGATGTATCGAAATGAAATATCGGATAGCTCGGTTGAGCACCAAGCGAGGGATACTGCTGAAGAGGTATTCGAGATGGGTGTTGCCAAGTAGGCGGTGCGGAGGGTGCGAACGAGGGTGAAGGTTGAGCTTGTGGCATGTTGTAATGCCCCCCCTGGGACTGCGAGGCAGCTCGTGACAAGTTGTTATGTTGGAATTGTTTGACCAATTGTTGAGCCTGTTGCATCACATCCGTCTCTGCACCAAATGTCGTCGGGACGATCGTAGGATCTGACATTGGGGGCTGAAACCCGTGTAGTGATGGTTGGTGGTGTATGCTGGGATACGACAAGTTGGAGGTGACATACGGCGATATTGGTTGGCTACCGCCTATCATCGAATTCCAGTTGGTGGTCGCATGATCAGAGGCTGCATAGACATCAAGCAGAGACGACAAGGTATCGGTGTGAGGATTGGCAATGGGAGCCTGGGCTGTGATGGTTGATGACATTGTCCGTCGAGACTTCCAAGGCGAGTGCTGTCAGCGGAGGCTTGCAGCGCCGCGCCGCGCCCTGCCGCAGTGTCCCCTGGGCACCGACAGCGAGTGACAGCTCTCACACGGAGGTACCTTTGCCTGATCAGCTCAAGGGACAGTTGAATCTAGTGTCCAGCGTACTCTCATTCGGTTCCACGCCGCACAGGCGGCGTGACAGGAGGTGCGTTCGTAGTTACGAGATGTTCAGAAGGGATCGGAGCTGTGAAGGGGAGATGTCAATGAAATCTTGACATATGTGTGTCTTGACTGACTGGAGACTCGTCGGTGGCAAAGCTACCTGGAGCCAGCGTGAGCGAAGCTCAAAGGATCTCACTGTTGCGGCTTCTTGAAAGGAGATCATAAGTCTCTGGAGCTGTCTGTCAGAAGGGGCAGGATGATAAGCTTGAAGCGATGGTTTGCGAGGACCGCCTGTGCTCAAGGAAGGTCTTATCTTGACAAAGCACAGACAACTGCATCAGTAGAGGCACTCATCAAGTTCTACAGCTGTATGACCCAGATGCTAAGCAGATACATGTGATGTGTGCAGACGAATGATCAGTTTTCTGCATCCACCTTGACCTTTGTGATACCAGTTTTGTCCCCTCTATGACCTTCAGCCTCCGCGATGACCGTCCTGGATCTCTGTTCATCCTGTATGACCCGTTCCATTGCTGAGAGCCACGTAGACAAAGGCAATGGTCGATGATCGCTTGGCGGGAGAGTCGCAGCGAGGTATCGGGCGTAAGAAAGGACAGGTAGACGTCGGAGAAACCTTCCCGCAAGGGTGTATTTCTTGGACCACAATGGTCAATCCTGGACCAGAGTACATGGATATAGACTCACATGACATTGGATAGCGAGGTGCTTTAGTGTTGCACTGGGAGACATACCGCTCGCGCCAGCGCCGTTTATCCGAGATCCCGCGAGCGAAGCCCATGGTGCGATGTCTTGTCGTTGGACCAGCCCTTTACCCATTATTTCTGTTAGACAAGCAGAAAGAATCATGTACACAGCCTGGGGAGGAGGATAGTCGACAAACTCTTTAATATCGGCTCGATCGACGAATGCGGGATCTGCGGTTCGAGTGAGCGAGTGAGGGCGTGGTGTGCCGTGGAGCATGCCTCTCACCAATGGCGCCGGCAATGTTGGAGGTTGTCATGACGAGGATGTTTTTGTACGGCTTTAACCGATCCAAGCCGGTCAAAAGAGCATTCACCACCTTGAGAATTGTCATCAGCGTACACGTTGTGCTCCACGTGTGACACAAGGGCCCGATCACTCACCCTAACTGCATCGCTCGGTTCATTCCCCGTCATGGCTCCCGCTCGCGCAGCCGTCAAACTCTCGACCTCATCTGACAAATCTCATGAGCTGCCTTCGCGAAAATCTCAGTCCATCAAATATGCCACATACCAATCATAACGACCACAAAGGTCTCCTGGTCCGAAGCCATGTCTTCTACCGTTGTAAAAAGCTTTTGGACCAACTTGCCAGACTCTGAAAACCATTTTGAAAACAGTGAATGAGAGTTGATCTCGACAAGTTTGCCTCTAAAGTATCTGAGGGGTTGTCATAGCATTAAACTCCAGCACGCCACTCTGAGCTGACGTTACACGTACGTTTCGGACAGCCTTATGGAGAGCTTTTGTGCCAACGCTCGACACAGACTCGTCTTGCCTGTCCCCGGAGGTCCATGTAACAGGACCATTCTGGGGCACGTGAGCTTGTGACTTTGGTCAGCGTGCAATGGATGTCTCACCGGTTCCACGATATGACATTCGAGTCGATTCCTGCATCTGCAAAACGCATCGTGGCGAAGATGTACCGTAACAATCGTTCCTTCAGATCGTCCGAGTATATCAGGCTGACCGTGAGTAAATACGAACTGGGTCTGGTTTAAAGCCTACTTGTCCCATAATCCATCGATATCGGGAGCCGGAAGCTCTTTCACCGTAGCAGCGGGGACATGGTCTCCCTCTTCCTCGTCTCGGTCTATGCGTGGTTAGACCCAGACCAAGGTCGACCTCATTGGTAGCCTGGAAGCTCACCTTCAGTATCCGCCCCAAAATCTTCAGTCTGAACACCCAGCGTTGGCGTGTAGATGTAAACTCCGAGCTCCACGTCAGAACTTGGAATCGGTAACGAGGAGCCTATGACCGAATTCAGCTCAAGCTCATAGTGTGTGTGTGTGTGTAAGAAGGACGGAAGCTGACCATCACTCCGCTCTGCGATCCATATCCTGTCTACTCGTCTCTGAAGGATATCAACGTCTTCCCAGCCTTCCAGTAATGTCTCAGGGACAAGGATATCATGATTGGATTGTATGTAGCTCGAGACAATCTGTCGAAGATGGCCAGACTGAATATTTGATCCTGGACGAAGTCTAACTTCCACTGTTCCAACACGAAGGGGTCATAACTTCAGCGTCGACGATCAATCTGCAGAAGAGCGAGCGAGCATCAAGCTCACGCAAAGGAGAAACTCACCGTGTAAGACTGGGAGGTATGTCTCATTCACATCCATCTCATGTATTATTCTACCGCTGGTACTGCTCTCCGCGACAATGTCCATGTCCATCGAATGAGAAGGTGTCAATCCACCAGGAACTTGATCCTCGACATGGCCAGTACCGTTGACCAATTTCTCCTTGCTCGACCGAGGTGGAGGTGGAAACTCGTGCATTGCCAATCCCATGATACCTGCCTCTTGGTAGTTGTGCTGATAAAGGGCTGATCGAGTAGAGATCCAACAGCAGTGATGAAGAACGAAGCGACGATGTTCTGAGCTAACCCTCTGTCATGAGACGTTCGTCCTTCCTTTTCTTGATTTTGGTTTGACTTTCGACGCGTCTCTCGCCTCGTGGCAATTGGGATCGATCTCCCTTGACGGAACCACCGTGACCGACCTACCTCCAGCTGCTTATAGCGTGTCACACGATCGTGAACAATCAACAGCACATCCACAATGACCCATTACAAAGGTATACATGCGAGAGACAGGAGAAACAAGGGAACCGCAAACACACTAGTAGATCCGGATGTACCATCGACCCTTGTCCCCATCAAATGGAGCGTGGCGACAACGTGGACAGGGGAGAGAGAGAGAGCGCGAGGCAAAGAAGCCCGGAAGGCTAGTCCTTACTATCTCCTCCTCATATCGACGGTCAGGGCGCGCCGAGGTCACCGTCTTAACAATTACATCCATAACTTTGAGAATTCTCAGAGTCGATTCGAATGGGATCCGGATAGTCGGCGTATCTGAGATTGAGTGTCAGCCCCAAATCTCGCTGAAGAGGATGATAATGCTCACAGCTCTGTCTCCGCCTCTTGTGCAAGAGCATTCTTGGCGATTGTCTGGAAAGCCTGCTCAACGTTGATGGCTTCCTTGGCGGATGTTTCAAAGTATGGGATATTGCCCTTTGCCTGACACCATTGCATCGCTCGTTTTTGAGAGACCTATGGGTGGTGTGAGATGAAGGATTCTTGACAGGTGAGATCATCTCACCATTCGCTTTGACTCTTCCATGTCGATCTTGTTGCCCAGAACGACAAAGGGAAAGTTTTCCGGGTCATGAGGAGAGGCCTGGGAACCGTTAAAACCCCCTTTAGGGAACACAGACCTAGCCCACCTGGACTAAGAACTCGTCTCTCCAACTATCAAGAGCTTCAAAACTCTTGCTTGAATTGACATCGTAGACCAAGACGCAGCAATCGGCTCCGCGATAGAAAGCTACTCCCAACGATTGGAATCGCTCTTGTCCAGCGGTATCCCATAACTATGCGGTTGGTAGCGATGGTCGAGAGGGGCAGATCGAGATCGAGAGGAGAAGAAGGAGAGGAGGAATGGAGATTAACAGTCAGCTGGTATGTCTGGAGCACCTGGACGGACTAACGCACCTGCATGGTCACGACACGATCGTCGACAACGAGCTCTCTGGTCAAAAAGTCCGCACCTGTTCACCCCGTCAGCCGTTTGCTCGGATCGACCATACAACATACCGATAGTCGCCTTGTACTGGTTTGAGAATCGTTTGTTAACATATTGGTTCATGAGTGATGTCTTTCCGACCCTGTTCCCAATGTATCAGAATGATGAAACATGACGGGGGTGGTCGGCGGGGACACGGCCTTGGCTCGAGGTCGATGAGACTCGATCCGTTGAGTGTACGCACCCAGAGTCTCCGAGAATGATGACCTGTGGAGTTGGTGTGATCAGTATTGTACTCATACTAGCTAGATCTAGGCTGGATGCTGGATCGCATTCGACCCCCACTTGAATATGAGATCAGGTTAACTCACTTTGAGCAGGACCTTCTTCCTGGACGCCATGTTGGTGAGTGATTTGACACGGTATCTGTAGCCTTGCCTGAGCTGTCTATTGTCCGTACAGAGTGTATGATGGGCTCTCGAGATGAGATGGGTCTATAGGACAAAAGAGAGAGCAAGAGGCTGAGGGGCGTGGTGGCCAAAACAGGGGAGGAAGGCAGGGAGTGATAAGCAAACCACGTCATAGCAAATGTGGTTGTAAATAACACGTCATGATCGAGGAGTGAAGCTTGTGGTCTTTGGCCGCCAATCTCTATGGCAGTCGACTTCGCATACCTTGGGAATACATAACAACATGTCATCGCTAGAGAAACCGTCAGGCTTAGGACCGCCAGCATGGCAGAACACTATCAGATTGAGATTGATGGAAAGGCAAGCAGAAGCAGAGCTGCAGAACGAAGTACTGGATCAATGTGCGTTGAGACACCTAGAGATGCGGTTGACTTGATCCCCTGATTCCAGACCGAAGACTTTCGAAGACTGCGAGGGATCTCAAGGATCGGAATAGAGCGCTTTTGAGAGGTGGAGCAGGATCAGGATCAGGATCAGGTCCGTCTTCAGGTGAAGGGTGGGTGCCATTGGGGTCGGTCTATTGAGCGCCGCGACCGGCTCAGCTCACCGGTGGTCTCCAGGCCATCCCCCATCTTGTCTCACCTGGACGCCCAATTGTCAACATTGCGCGCGGAGCTGTCTACTGTGTATCGAACACAAGCGGCGTCTCAGAATCGTCAGTTGGCCCTCTCAGATGCTCTGAGAGATCGAGATGAAGAGGTTCGAGGGTTGAGAGAGGAAGTACGCGAGTTGAGGGATGCGAGGGATACAGCTGTGAGGAAAGAGAAGGATTGGGATGAGAGGTGGAAAATGCGAACGAAGGATTTGGAGGTGAGCCATTCGCTTAGCTCTGCTCCCCTGTGTGCGCCAGGACCTTGCTGAGTCCTGATCAGACACTTAACGATGAAATTCTTTCACTCAATGTCGAGTTATCCGGAATGGCTCAGAACAACGCAGCGCTCAAAGCGGACAACGCGTCTTTACTCCAACGCTGGCTGGACAAGATGAACCTCACAGCCGAGGAGATGAATGAAGATTTCGAGAAGGAAACTACAAAACATGTTGGGAGTAAAGAGAGCGGTGTTCCAAGGGATTTTCAACAAGGCGGGAAGATCTAGTTGGACCTTCCCGCGAGAATCCGCAGGAACATCACCCATTGCCATCTGGAGAGCTTCCGCATCGTGACGGTCCTTCACATCCGCCTTCTTCAGCCGTCGAAGAAGACGAATGGGAAATGCTAGAGGAGTCTGAGGACGATAAGGAGCCTGCACACCTCCTAGACGAGTCGACTGTTTTGGTCAATAGCTTCAGTAACGACAGGACCTGAACAAAGGCCTCACCACCCCGCGCCTTCAGCGCTCAATTCTCCTCACCCTCAGCGACATCCTTCCACGTCCCATTGGTGCATTGGACCAGGCGCTGTCCCCTACCAACACTTCAAAGGATTTCGCATTCTACCTTGTCCGCTCGCTTTGCAATGACCCCCTGTGTCGTTAAAGTGGGATGAAAGGATCTAACGCTCTTTACGTCCATGCGATTGGGTGGCAAAGTATAAGAGACCGCGTTCATTGTCGGAGAACCCCTATTGCCACTGCAACAGGTGTCTTTCGTCAGTGTTGTCGCCTGCATTTCAGTTCGCACAAAAGCAATGCCAGAACCGTCTCAACATGGTGGCGATCAAGGTACAACCTCATCGTCAGCTGTAAGTGTCTTATTTATTCGTTGCAAGTCCTGACCATACAGGCCCAGACAAGTCAGAGCTTAGTTCCTTCGAAGCCGTCGCACACGAGAAGCCATTCCGCAGAGATGAGATCCGATGGTAGCACAGGCGTGCAAGCTAGCTTTGCTGACGGTGAAGTAAGAGTCATCAAGGACGAGAACACGCGTGCAGGATGGGGTCAGTAACCCATCGCAAATTCCGGGATCGATGTAGTCCCCCGTACCTTAGGCTCCGCTCATATGCCATGTTACCATGCTGCTGTTCATACACGTTCCGTAGCTTCTGCTGTTGGCTGGCTGGCTGGCTGCCCCGTGATCGATGTAACATGTCAACATCTCACTGCCACTTAGCACGGAATCAAAAAAATCCGCGAAGTGGTAGGTAGAGCCAAACCAGGTTCAAGTGGCTGCTTGCAACATTTCTTTGATAGTAGACCCGTCTTCGAGGACTCGTCCGCAAAAGTTCAGCTCTGCGCCATGTCTGATCCAGTCAGTGCGATGTTCACAGCGGTGAAAGACCTGCCAGAATTCAAAGGATGGCTCATATCTACGCTGGAACCAATGCAAGTGGTGTTGTGTCGCTTCATTAATTCATCCTTGCTGACCCGTTACTTTTCTTACAGGTGTGATGCGGACCCCGTCGTCATGTCGGACTACATTGTTGCATTATTGGAGCATGATGCAGTCATGTCGGAAGCTCAGTGGAAGGAGGTGAGCTCATGAAGCTAACGAAGATTCGTTGAGCTCATTCCGACCAGTTCATCACTCGAGAGTTGCTCGATTTTCTCGAAGACCGTGAGGAGCAACCTGCTGAACCTAAAACGGTCAAGCTGACTCTCCGGTGCAACAGAATCGAAAAGCTTCGTTGATCTACTCATTGACACGATCAAATCGAGATCCTTCGTGCCTTCGGCTCCAGCCGAGTCTGTCGACATTCCGGGAACGGAAACAGCCCCGGCTCTTGCGCCGTCCCTAGTGTCTTCTTATCGGCCTGGTCCAGCACTTGAAGCTCCAACGGGACCATCTCAGAACGCTGCTGGACCTTCGACCACTCGACGACCGACAAATGGCCATGCGGACGAAGGGATGGATGTTGACAGGTCGACACAACCACGAAAGAGATGTTTCGACTACCATGGTGAGCGCGGTATACTTTTGAAGTCTCTTACGGAGTGCAGAAAAAGGCTTCTGTATGCGAGGTGCCAATTGTCCATATGAGCACTCTGACGACATGATCATACCTACGCCTGAGATGATGATGGCTTCCATGCCGTTCATGCCGCCACAACAGAATGGACGTGGGCGAGGCGGAGGCGGAGGACGTGGAGGCAGAGGACGGGGCGGAGGGAGAGGCGGACCACCGGGCAACATGATGCAGGGTCCTGGATTCCCTTTCATGGGTCTGCCGTTTGGGTTCCCGCCGGGCATGATGGCAGGCGGAGGAGGAGACGATGCTCGCAATAATTTCTGGGGAATCAATAAACCTCCGAGCGATCGTAATGGAACGACACTGGTCATCACTGATATCCCTAGACAAAGTCTATCAGTACCAGTCATACGAGAATATTTTGCTCAATTTGGTCAAGTTACCAACGTCGCAATGGAGAAACACTCGTCTCGCGCTTTGGTCAGTTTCGAGACCAACAAGGAAGCATATCAAGCTTGGAAAAGTGACGAAGCCGTCTTTGGGTCTAGACATGTCAAAGTTCTATGGCATCGACCCAGACCTGGTCAAGGAGAAGCGGGTAAACAGGCGTTGGAGAAGTCCGCCGAGGTCGTTGCGAGGCTCAAAGCAATGGAGGCCAACGCCGTCCCTCAAACCAAAAAGGCTATCCTCTCGGGACCCGAAAGTCGACTAGCGGCGACCTTGGCGGAGCTTGAAGCTAAGGAGAGGAGAGGCAAGAAGGAGACCTTGATTGCGGAACAGAAAGTCCTGCTGAAGAGAGCTCAGGAGGGATCGAAAGAGGAAAAGGTTGCCATTTTGGGACGTTTGAAGGAAATCACCAAGGAAATTGAAGTCTTGGATAACCCTCCGAAAGAGGATCCAGCTCTAGCGGATGGTGATGTTGAGATGGGCGAGAAAGATAAATTAGTGGAAGAGCTGGCTAGGCACGGAATGGAGACCAAAGCTCAAGGCGATCAAGCTGAATTGATGAAGCTCAACGCTCAGCTCTCTGCTCTTCGCGACAAGGCAAGTCCATCACTGCGGACTTTTGACAGGCCGTGTTGTATGCTGATTGTCGACCAGGCCAGCACGCTCGGGATTCCCGCCTCGACGGCAGCTCGATATTCACCTTACTCTCGAGGTAGTCCTCGTGGTGTCAGAGGAGGCCGAGGTCGAGGCCGTGGACGAGGAGCTCCCATGCGACTTGACAACCGGACACGAGTGATCCACCTATCTGGAGATGCGTTACATTCGGGAGCCGACACGATCAGAGAGTATTTCGAAAGTACAGGTGGTGTCCTTGAGCCGGTCGAAGATGGAGTCAAGGTCGGTTATCCCAATCGCGAAATGGCAGAGAAAGTGAGTTCTGTCTGAGAGGTCCTCAAGTTTTCTCTGATCTCAGCTCACCAACGCCCGTCTAGGTCCTCGCAGCTGGTACGAAAGCCATTCCGAGCCTGAGTGGCACTCTAAACGCTACATGGTATACTTCTTCCAGCGGAGCCCAGAACGGGGCCGCCGAGGTGGAGATGGTGGAAGAGTCACAAAGAGGAGAACGAGAAGACGAAGATTAGTCATGTACAATATGCCCGGTCGAAGCCGGATGTATGCAGAAGTATGTAAAGATGATTGGTCTCCTGGGAGTTCTGTTCGTACACGCTGCATGCTTCGTGGATACCAGATGTGTTGATCATCTGCGGCCGGCCTAACGTCCCAACATGCCAAACTCCTGTCCGTTGGGAAGATTTGCAAAGTGATTCTCCGCACCTTGCCAGACCGTTTTGAGGACATAGGCTTCGGACAAGAGCAATTCGATATCGTGATCTGTCCAAGATGAAGTAGGCAAGCATTGAAGGAAGATGATCATTTCCTATCACAATTCTTGAGCCCCTTCACCTTTCTACGGAGTGTACCACTCACCTGGAAGTCCATTTCGCGCAATCGGTCTGAAAATTTTACCAAAAGCGCTGAGCAGACGTAGAGGTGGAATTGCGAAAATGCGTCTGTGCCTTCAGCCTGAGCACAGAAGGGTCAATGACGGGTCAAAGCGAATAGTCAAGTGAAAAGATCCCACCAAGTACGTGTCCCACATCCGTATAGTTCCCTTGACCGATATCTCTCTCATCAGCAGACAGTTCATCCAACGAAAAGCGAATTGCATGTATTCAACTCCTTGATCTTCAAAGTGAGCGGCAAGTGGGGCTGCAGAAGCAAGTCAGCGGTGTTCTCAACTCATGCCTGAGATCTTTAGCTCACCGTCTATACGTCTGACAAGGTATCGCATACGCTGAACGAGTCGTTGTATACCCGGCTGATGCGAGATGTAATTGTCTTGAATGCCATCGAGAAGTTTTGATAGACACCAAAATGTGTCGGCTTCAATGGCCGACAGAGCGTTCGCAGGTAAATGTACCACATCGAATAGCTCAGGATCGGTATCTGGCGCAGTGAATCAGCCACTGCCAGCTGTCGTTCATCAGTGACACCTCACCGATGTATGCGCTCAAGAACACTTGAAAGAATGGGCAGACGAGATCGTTGATTCCTTGGACGTAACCACTTGCAGGATGCCGGATAGCCCAGACGTACAATATACGCTCGAGTGCCTGAGCTTGATCAGCTCCAAGGTCGACAGCTCGGCTTACGCGTTGAGCTGTGACGCAGCTCCAGAGAGGTATTCTGGGACGCGTACGAGGTACGTCAATCTCAATCTGATGCCAAATCTGCACACGATCAGCGAAAGATCTTCGGAGATCCCTCTCTGAGACACACCTGTTGGTCCAGTGATGCCAAACCACGCCCAAAGTATTGATCGACCAATTGAGAATACTCTTTCCGCTTGCGCTGTAGTGTTGCCAGTCGCGGTTGTGAGGGCAACGGCAGGTAGTTCTGTGATTGGCTCAGGATCCAGATGTTCACCCCAGATGGATTCACTCACCAGGAGCAATTGCCAGACGATCGGCCTTATCTCATCAGGCACACCCGACCAGGCAAGACGACGTAACTCGCCTGACACAATGTCAGGGACATCCAATTTTGGTCAGACTCACCTAACTCTACCGATCCACCGACAGCAGTTCTGCCCTGTAGAACTTTGGCGAACTTGTCTCGCCGCCGTTCCGTTCTCACACTCCGTGCCCGACCGAGACCTTCCGATCTGCTGGGCGTCCGAGGAGTTGATGTGGACGCTTTCATGGCAGCTGATATGGCTGGAACCTGAGCAGAGCTAGATGTTGAGGGTGATCCTGGTGATAGAAAAGGAAATGAAGAGCTCGGATTCGCCCCAGCAGGTACAGGTGTAGAAGGTGCGGAGAGGGATAAAGACGATAGAAGTTGTAATGGGTCTGGGGGCGTCAACGGCGCGTTCTGGCTTCTTCAGTGCTCGACTGGTCTCACCCTTCAGAATGTCTTCGAGGTCATCCCTGACTGCCTCCTTCCCAGCGACTTTTGGCTCAACTGCCTCTTCTTTCAGCTCCGCCGGCTCGACAATCTCCCAAGCACCACCAGGGGGCAATGAGGATTTTGATCCACTGGCAGTCTTCTTGTGCACATTGCCGACAACATGCGTGCCGGGAGGTGGAGGCGTCGCACCATCCGTGTACGTCTTGGACGATGAGATTTGCGGCCTGTGAATGGAAGAGGGGGATGAGGTGCCTGTCGGTGAAGTCGGGATATTATGGTATGATGCGGAAGCCCAAGACGATGAGATCACGTCTTCGTTCCGTTCTGTACTATCATCGCGTCGAGGCATAGGTATCTCCGCCGTCTGGTCTAAAGAAGAGGTAGAAGTCAAACGCGGTTCGACGTTGTTTTGCTGAATGTCCGCTTCGGTATCAGAACTCGAGTCCCAAGCATCTTCCCAGTCGCCTTCTCTTCCATGCCGTCTATAGCCTCCAGTAGTGATGTGCCTCGGCCCTTGCGAAGTTACACGTTGAAAAGTCGATTCAGAATTCGAAGCAAATAAAGAGGGACGAAGGGAGACGTGAGGATTGGCGGAGTGGGGTCGAGTTGGAGGTTGAAGCGGCATTGGAAGGGTGACCACAATGACCGTGAAGAGGGTCAAGTCGTCGTCGTCGGATACGGTTGCCCGCGATAGCTCATTCAGTCCATACCTATTCGCATATGATGCGCGAGATGCAGCTGAGATTGTGACGAGATGAGGATGAAGGTGGACACTTTGAAGATTTCCGGGTCATAATACTCGTTTTAACGCCAACGCCAGTTGAAATACCCATTAAGTGGACTCTCTTCATCCTCACATCGCACGACGCGACTCACGAGCAGGGCATAGACAGCAAGATCAGAGAGCAGGTACTATACGGACCGAGAGGTCCAAAGAGATCCCGGACTGCTTCGACTTCGCCCTCTTGATGTCATCTCGGCATATCTCTACCGAAGAAGACACTCAACCCATGACATGGCCCTGCAACCCTGGTCAGCTTCGAGCTCGACTGTGACCATCGTCACTGCACCAACATAAAATGGACGAGCCCGGAAGACCTTCCACTCCTGATTCTCAGCAGCGGCATGGGGACCATGCGTACATGGGCTCACCCTCGCAAGCACACTCGCTGAATACAGGGACAGCATTTTTGTCCAACTCAGTCTCAAATCAGCAACCGTCCTCTCCAGCGCGATACGCAGCGACCAGTAATGCTTTTGGATTAGCTACCTCCCCAAGTTCATCCATGTCTCCACGGGAATTCAAGTTGAATCTTGGGAGTTCAGATCGATCACCTCCGTCAGCAGGTACGATCGCAGCTCGACGATTACGCCGGCCTAGCCTGTTGGGACTCGCCAAGGCCAACAGCTTGTCAGAGCTGAGATCCGAGTCAGATCGCAAAAATGACCCAGTTTCACCCACCACCATCCTCTCGAATCCTATTCAAGACTCCTCTTCGAGCGACGCACCTGCCGAAGCGAGTTCAATCAGCCCAATCGCGCCTCTTCCTCAAAATCCATCAGCATCTCCATGGAGCAACGCTCCTTTCTTAGCCTCGATCCGAGCACGATCCTCTGCATCACCACTCTCCATTGAAAATCTCACTACCCGTACGCCTGCCCCTGGCCGAGATATGGATCCTCGAGGCTCTACCCGATCGTCTTCGTCCTCTTCCCTCCTGGACGTCGATAGTGCGGATGTCGAGGACAATCGGTCACCTCTTCGTTGGATCCCAAGTCATCTTCAACACAATTCTGCCAGGCGTAGAGGTAAATCTCGAATGGAGATCTCTGAACCAGGCAGTCCACCTCTGGCTAGAGCCATGGACAATCAAGCGTTCCAGGGTCGGCCGCTACCTGCTACACTACTTGCAACTTTGATATCTGAATCATCGCCTCTGGAACATGAAATGCGCTCTGAGGCTCGTTTACAACGCCTTATCGCTTCTCATCCTCGAGCCATGCCATTCACACCTCGCCCATCTCGATCGTCTCGCGGTCGCTTCCCGGAAACAGCAGATGATGACGATGACGACGATGCGATGGGATTCGGGGCACACCCTTGGCGTCTTTCTAGTTTCGCAGGTCGCCGGGTCAGCAGTTCCGATTCCGACTCGGACGATATGCCGATGGAGGATACGGGTCCAGAACCTGTCAACGCTGCGTTCGCAGCCGGAATGGATATGGATAGACCAGGGTCATCTTCGAGCTCTGCCAGTGCATTTGCAGTCTCTGGCAGCTTTGCCAGTCGGTCAGCATCAGGGTCTGGACCAGGTACGAATAATCAACCTACTCCACCGGGGTCAAATGCCCCTTGGGCCAAGTCAACTCGAATGAGTGTGAGCTCCTCGGGAAATGGGATGGTACCGAGTCCGGGTGTGCCAACTGGGTTACCATTCGCGTTTGGTAGCCTTGGTGTTGGGGGAAGTACTCCGCAGGCGAGTCCAACGGTCGAGCGCATCGAGGTGAGTTTGGTATCATGTCCTTCCTTCCCAGAGCTGACTGACTACAGCTGGTCGGCTCACCATCCGCTGTCTCAGTCCCAAGTCCTAGCCTGCTTCAGTATCGCGAGTCCCAAGGCGGTTCGGCCTCAGTTCGACCCGGCAAGCGGAAGGGTGAGACAGAGTGATGTCCAGAGCTGACCCCTCGGCAGTCAACGTCGAAGACCGCTTTGATCCGTACAAACGCCCACGAGCGACGTCACCGGCGCTGACAACGTCGGTGACTGGATTCCCCATGTCTCCCTCCAGATCATCGAATCCAATACCCATACCTCACTCACCTAGTCATGCCCCATTTCAACCTTCCTCTCTCTCCACACCAGGAGGAAATTTCAGCCTGTCAAATCGACAAGGTAGACCGACGCATCCTTACACGCGGCCCATGTCGAGCAGGTCTCGAGCTGCCTCTCCAGCATTATCTATCGGCAGTACATCCGGTATCCTCTCTACCAGTCTTGGTGAACGATCTGGTGGTATGCTAGCCGGGAGACCAAGCTTGTCTCTTGGTCAAGCTTTCATACCTACCGGCTCTGGAGCGCCTCTGACATCCGAGACCGCTGCCTCTCAGGGTCTAGGCAGCCTCGGGCTGCTCAGTCTCGCGAATGAGCGAAGAACATCGGGCGATGACGGTGCCATGGAAGTCGTAAGAGAAGACTCGGAAGGCTCTGAAGGCACGCAGGAAGCAATGGAAGAGGATTGACTGGGCTGCATGCATGTCATGTCATGTCATGTCATGTCATGTCATCTATGACATATATCACCAGTCACAAACGGGGATCGAATCAAGTCGCGTCATACTCCGATGGCAATGAAGCGGGGTGGATCAAGCACCTCTACCCCGTATTAGCGCTGGTCAATGCAATGTGGAACCGGCAGTTCGTGTCCGAGTCTTCCATTTGCCTAGAGAGCTTTGGGACGAATCTCGCCTCCAGAAGAAGATGATGGATCCTTTGACGATATACGAAGATTGGCTCCAGTAGGGCCTATTAAACCGGCGTGTTGAATCTCCGTCGTGTTTTCCCGCAAGATTCAAGCCTGGACCAATTGCTGGTACAAGAGATCTGAAACCATCTTGAGTCGGTCTTCATCGACATCCTCAGTGGCCCATGCAACGCCCAAAAGCAAGTCTTCAAGCTCTGGATCCACATCATCACCATCCTCTGTCAAGGCGAGATAGAGTTTCTCAGCCGTCAGTGATCTGACCTATGGGAGGAGTTAGGCGTGATCGTCCAGAACGCTTACCCTTGGAAATCGGTGGCTCAGCAAGCGGGGAATGATCGTGATCGCTTGCTTTCGTAATTGAGGTCCAGGACGTTTGATGGTCACCATGACACTAAAGTATCAGGTTAGCAGATTGATGGCTCACACGGTCGAGTCAACTCACAGCGACATGACGGCAGTGATGCGGTCAACGGATTTGATGGTCGCGAGTCCCTTGCTTGCAGTGATTAGGATATTGGACACGCTGGACTATGTCAATATCTGCCCTCGAGAAAGCGAGACTTTCATGACTTACGTCGCAGTCAGCTCGGAGGACGAATCGTTCGCATTGAAGACGGTAGTGAGCAGCTTGCCCGCCGCAACGGTGGCAGGAATGAAGATTCTGTTGGAGGTGAAATTTTCCGTCATCTCCCTCTCAATGTCTTGCAAGATGCCTCGAAGAATGCCTTCCCGATCACGATGTGTCTGGAGATACCCATCCAGAATTTGCAGAATTATATCTGCCTACACCGTATGAGTCTTTGCCCACCCACCACTCAGCTCACCGTGGTAGTCATTTGGGACCCAATGCTCTGAAGTAGCCCGAAAACGAAGGAAGATCGATATTTGGTGGCCAATAGAGGCATCGCTGACAAGTACCACTCATCGAGTCTGATGTAACGGAACGATTCATCACTGGACTTCAGCTCTGCCTTCTGTCCGGCACTTACCTCAAGTCGTGCATGGGCAGGTCCCAAACATTAGGAGCGTCCCATTGCCAAGTGTACGCAGCATTTGCGACTCTCAATTTGTGTACAGACCGCCACACTTCCGCACGAACGGGCTCAAGCTTTTCAGCACCTTGCTTCGCGAGGCACGCTATCGTGAGATCGAAAGATTCCTGATCCACAAGATGTAGCGGGTCAGGTAGGCTGCCAACGAAGCTCATTAATTGTCCGAGAGAAGCTATTCCAGCTACTCGAACCCAGGACCCAACATCTCCGCGCTGGTCGGTCGCATAGTCGCTCAAAGCTGAAATACAGGCAGCATGACTTCTCTGGAACAGTTTAAGAGGCGCTGAACAAGGTCAGACGAAAGTAAGGAGCGGAGACTAACTGAGGCGCTGGGAGTCGATTGAAACTTGACAACAGACCCGGGCTAGGGCGGATACAGCTGATCTGCGGGTCTCAACGTCCGCCTGAGATCCAAGATTAGACGAGCGATGAACGACGGACTCTTTGTAGGCTTACCTTCTGACTGGGCTCAAGCTGGCGCAGGAGCCCCTCGAGTGCGGCTGGCAGAGAGCTAGCTGACAGCCTGTACGAAACAGCTCCAAGACACAAGGCAGAGGCTTGGCGCTGAGCTGCAGTGCCAGAAGCCAGCAATGCGAGGAAGCTGGAACCACGGTCAGTTGGGCCAGTCCAATTGCCTGAACCTACGTATGCACTTCATCTGAGACGTCCCTAAGCTCGCTGTATCGTGCGACAAGAGAAGCAGCGGCAAAGTGGCACTCTGGTTCTTTGCGGCGTATGTTCCCGTCCCTGAACTTGAGGTAGATATGCCTGATTGTCGCAGAATCACAGCAATCAGGGGATAGACATCCCTTGATGAGGCTTGCGATGCCCTGGAGAATGTCCGAAGCTTGTGAAGACACTAGAACCGCCGGACGGATCTTAGAAATGGTCGTAACGATCTAGATATCAATGCTGATCTGCTAAAATGACGAACCTCTTCGCGAAGCACGTCGTTTGCGCGAAGCAGTAGACAGATCTGCGCCAAGGCAAATACAGCTCCCCGGACACTGATGGCGTCCAAATGAGATAACACCTCCAGCTGTGCCAATCAGCTAGACATTTCATCGTCGCTCACCTCTCGGCGGATCGATGTGATCAGAGCTCTTGAATCAGACAGCCCAAGCATCTCCCTCAGAGCCTCTGACGCCAGTGTCTGAACAGCAGCATCCCAGTGTCGGATTGTGACTTCGTGTAGGTGGTTGATCATGGCTCTCCGATACACTTCATGCCTGAATGGTTCAGCTGCAGAACGGAACGAAACCCACCTAGCAACCTGCGGAGCGGCGTCACGAAAGGCCATCCGCCTGACGCTGACGGAGTAAAAGTCGGTATGCCTGAGGACTTCTATACCTTCTGGGTACAATGCCTGAACGGATCAGCCACAGTTGTGCTTGACAACCTACCAATCGTCCGACTCCCTCTTGGAAGGCAGCACTAGCAGCACGTCTGACACCAACTTCACGATCAAAGCATGCGACACAAATAAGACGAGTCGCTAGTTCTTCAGCATAAGGCTGGATGGCAGCTGGTGTACAAGCTCTGGACAGTGACCAGACCAGATAAGCCGCTGCATCTCGAACATTCGCTCCAACAGAGTGACCAGCTTTTCGCAAATCAAACATTAAGGCCTATATCATGAGCTAGGGAGAATATCATGACTCACCTTGAGAGCCCACTGAACTACCTGCTGGACAGCTTGAACACGGATCAGCGCCCTTCGCGCCATCTCAGCAATCGCAAGACAGCATCCATGCCATCTCGCCTCCCCTCGTGTTAATTCGAGTCCTCCCAGCCCCATCGTACCCTCTGTAGCATCTGTGCCGCCTGGATCGACAACCACTCCGTACGCAGTCTCCACGACTGGCTCCTCGTCTGTACCCGAAAAGCATTGGATCGTGGCGTCCACCATCTGCTGTCCTAGCGAGTCTGGCAACAGAGCGGTCATACGGGCGAGGTACTTGGCGCTCGAGTACCGGACTATTGTGTCCTGGCGTGTGAGCGATGCACTCTCTACACTCCCACCTTGTCACTTAATGACCCCAGCAGATCGCCAAGCTGGTCCTCCAGGCCATCAAGGAGACTTCTCCCACCATCTTTCTGGTTAGACAGGACAGCCAGCCACCATCTTCCTTTGGCCTTGACGGCCAGTTTACGGACAAGACCACTACTCGCTGCCGTCCTGCTGCCCCGTAGATGCGGCAAGAGGATAGAGTCCGTGAACAGTTGTATGTCTGTGAGATGTTGATGAGGTACAGATGCCGGCAGTACAGCCAAGAATTCCAACAGAGATGCCACAAAGTTGGCTTCCGATTCCCGTTCACCTTCTTCAAGCTCCTTTCCTGCCCAGCTTAGGAAGCCAGAAAGCCCGATGACTCCGTCCGATCGAGCGAACAAGCGAGCGAGCGCAAGGGCGGCGTAAGAGCCTTCTTTGCCAGGTCGATGCAGAAGAGGTAAAGTGAGCAGGGTGATGTCACGAGCCGTATCCGAGACAGTGTTCGAGAACAATACTTTGAACGCGCTGAGATCGACCTGTGTTGCGCCAGGAAGAGGAGCCGAAGACTCGCCGAGTGCCGACAAGTCGAAAGGAACGGTGAGGAGCAAGGAGAGCCACAGTAAGATGACGGCACGTAGTTCCCATACGTCTTCGCCAGATACGAGTGGGTGCTGGAGGGATGGTGGTGATGATGAGCTGCTGGGAACGGAGGAAGGGGATAAGATTTGCACGAGAGCTGGAAGCAGCGTTATCGTTGAAGGAAAATATGGCACTAGGGAAAGGTCAGATTTCAGTCAGACAGGAGATAGTCACCAATGCTTTTCCATCCCCTGACTTTGATTATCCAGTTGACCACCTTGCCAAGCCGGCCAAGTCTCTTTCTTGAGAGAGTGCCAGGTTGCTCTTTAGTCAAGATCGTCACGGCAGACGCCAGAGCATTCATGAGGGGTGGCACGATCTCGCCAAGGGAGGGATCCAGCAGGCCAGGTTGAGGAAGATAGTAGTCCAGCTGAATTCATGGTCAGCCGCGGAATTTTCGCTCTACAAGTACTGACAATGGAACTAAGAGCTTCGACTAGCTTGATCTCCTCTGCATCCTGAGCTGCACTCGGGTCGATGTCGAGCTGTCTGGCAAGCAGTTCGGACAGCAGCTTGAGAAACTCCTCCCGATGGGCAAAATGACTATACGTCGGGTCATCCTCGAGCGTTGACTCAGCAGACATGTTCAAATGGTATGAAGCCAGGTGTATCTGACATTCTTCTCCGAACGAATGAGAACCTCAACGCGAACATGAAACAGCGGTGTACTCCGCTTTGGGCTCTGCGAATTAATCAAAATCCATATATATGTGGAGAGAGTTGCCCAATTCTCGTCTTCACATGAGACTGTGATGGTGTAGTGGTAACATAGAAGTCGGAAGCTGCCAAGCTGAACAGGCTTGCTGACGAAAAAGCAAAGTAAGCTAGGCGTAACAAGAGGCGAATCCCGGTCCCTGTAAAATACACCCCTTTGTGTTCAATGGCAGGATATAGGAATCCGCCACATTCACACGCCGACTATGGTCAGCAAAGTCTGAAGAAATGAGCCCAGATACCCTCAGCTACAGACACCAGACTTCTTACCATGGCGACTGGCTGTTTACCAAAGTCAGAAGTAGCTTCTCTGCCCTAAGTGCAGCTATTCTTCGATCGGGCCAATTGCCTAACCCCAAAGAGAGCCATTGATAGGAAACTTCAGACAAGGCTCGTGATCCCCACTTGCCATGTATGTGAAATAGACGTAGACAAAGCAAACGATCACCACATCTTCGTCACTTGCCCAGCTGCAGCGCGCTTTCTAGAAGCGATGCGTGAGGAGGGAAGAAAATTAGTCAACAAAGAGCTCGAGGATAGAGAGCCCGCTGAGGTGAAACGGCACATTGCTGTCATTGTAGCCATGTTCGATGACCAACCAATGTGGAGCAGAGGGAAATCAGCATATCACTTTGCAGTACTACCACGCAAATTCCGATAGGATGAGGCCAATCGATCACTTTCCAATGCCCTGGCCGCCCTCACAGCAAGAACAGCAGCTCGGATCTGGCAAAAAGCCTTGGGTTCAAGCGATACTTGACCTTAGAAGAGGACGAGCAGGACCAAAAAGTTGATTACGTCACCCGGGAATCGAACCCGGTGCGAGTGTATTCGTCAATAATTCTGGGAAACACTCATGTTACCAGTACACCAGCGACGTTCAAACAAGCCCAAGTGCTTTGCTTGTATATATACACAGTTGTTCTGGCTGATTCCGACCCCGTTTTCTCCCTGGTATCTCTCTCGCATCACCTCTTCACTTCTCCCTTTCCCTGTCCTTTCCGAGACTTCGGTCTCACGCAGATGCAAGTCTGTAGCGACGCCCCACACTATACTGGCAGACTTATTGACCCGTGTTCGGTAACAGGCTGCTGGGAGTGGCGGCCCCTGGGACGTGCGGGGGTCTATGGTAAAGTCGCATGCCATCACCCTCTCCTACGTCCCGTCATTTTTGATGGCTACGGTGTCGTAGACTCTAATTTGCTTCCAGGACTACCTCGAACGACTTTGAGCTTGTACGATGGACACGCAGCTCCTCCCCCGGCGGCCTCTGAAAGTGTCCTACTCAAGCCCGCCACTCAAATAGTCGCCTGAAGATCAGAGCTCCTGCTTGGCTCTTCTCACGAAGTAATGTATCGCGCTTACTTGCTCGATCATATCTATTGTACTCTAAACGCATGATCAGACTCCCCTACTGAATTTTGTCTCGGAATCTCCTCCACTGTGTGCGTGTTATAGTGCGATACGGTCCCCCAGCCTAGACTGCTCTACAACCAACTTGGCAGATTGTTTGACGTGATCCGAGATGATCCAAGAAAAGCCTAGACCCCAGAACAGTTCTGCCGATATGAGCGCCGACATGAGAAGGTGACTGACCAAGATCTCCCCTTCGGTCGCCTCCACTAATCCCCTTGGATTGCAAGATGCCGTCAAAGCTGGTCGGTGGATGACTAGATCCGGGTTTATCAGTGATCCCGATTACGAGGCAGGAAACCAGGCTCACTCTTCCCAAACCACCAAAGGAGCGGAACTGTCCCTAGGTCAGCTTCTCGTTCTCTGACACGTAGATCAAGCCTTGCCTCTCGGGACAGCGAGGATCCTTCTCTAGCCACTCATCGCCAAAAGCCCCATAGAATCCTAGTCTAAGATCTGTACCCCCTTCTATTGCCCAATCGACCACCTCTTGGAGCGGGCCGCCTTTGTGGCGTAATCCCAGTTCGAGAGCTAAAGTATTGGGTTCGGCTGCCCAGAGCTAGAATGAAACGGTCAGGGACGGCCTCAGATTGAGAGAGTGTCTCACTTTGACTAGATCAAGCACTGCAACGTCTCATCAGTGTCCCTGCACCAAATCATCGTCTTGCAAACTCACTCTGTAGGCCCGCAGGCACTGGTGATGCGATATCAAAGACTGGTATCCACGTGATCACGTCACCACGGGCGGCAGCCTAAGGCTGTGGTCAGCGAAACAGAGTGGCCCATACCTTAGAATGACTTACCCGCCCAAGCCACTGCTCTTCACGGAGGCTTTGAGGAGTAGGGCAGAATGTGATGTCTGGCTTGAATATGCACCAAGCTGACCTGGCGGGTCAGAAACCAATCTGCTGGACCCACGCCGATCGACTTGCCAAGTGCAGACTGCCCATTTCTGTCAACGAAGCGTCTGATCACCTCGTATGCTGGTTCCATCACGTCTTTTAATTTTCTTGCTGGTAAGCTTGAGGCAGAGCCGCCGGACCCACATGTCAAGCAGGACCATGACCTGAATACCTGAGTCGATGATGTCTCTCACCCTGGACTAGGTCAGTCTATCTCGATCAGAAAACACTTACATTGACTCCAGTGTCATGATTGGGACAGAAGTCAGATCACCTAGGTGATCCTTAAGTCTCAGATGCTCTGCTGCTCCATGCCAAGGTATGGAGGAAGCGAGGGGATTGTAGCCCTGGCCTGTAAGCGGGTCATAAATGTCTGAAGATTGAGTCAATGATCATCCTCAGGATCTCGAGCTTACCTTTCCGGCCATGGACCTCTCCGATGTTGGTCACTCGTCCCAGACCATCATCGTGAAGACAGACTGTATCAAGCGGTCACTTTCCTGCTGCATTGCAAATTTCATACCTGGAACTCCATCTGCAGTGAGGCGGATGTCGATTTCGACGGACATGGCCCCCATACCTGCAGCTTTGAGGATGGCGGGAAATGTCTTCCCAGCTCGTGAGTGAAAAGCAGGTTGTCCTTGCTTACATTCTCCACCACTCCCCTCTCAGTGAATCCGCGGTGAGCCGAAACGAATATGGTATCATCATCCTCGTGAGCTGTCTTGAAGTATTGTCTAATCTGCGCCACATTCGGCCGATCAGTGTTGGGATAGACCTCTGGCCGCTTCCTAGTGCTCGTCTGAGCACTGGCGGCCTTCAGATCCATGTCATCTGAATGTCGTGAGCCTCTCACACCCTTCACTGCAGGCTCAGGTACGCGCAGGGCTGTACAGATGGCCATTGTGATTGTTTGAAAAGAGCAAATGGGGACCGAAGTTACAAATTGGACAGCTTTGTATGGTTCAGAAGTACAGTCGGAAGTTGGTTCGATGATTCGAACTTGCATTTGATGCAAATCACATTGCAGATGCTACCAGAAGACCAGCTTTAGTCCAAGGATCGACCTTGATTTAACCATGGTAACCCCGAGCAACCGGGCGAGAACCGGCGGATCTTCGGACTTGGGGAAACGTGCATCAAAATTGTAACGCTGTTCTTTGCATCTGCCGAGGTTCGCGATGATCCTCTTCGACTTTCAGCTGCAGCGGTCCCCTATGGCTTTCTCAGGATGAGCAGCCAGCTTGCGTGAAAGTGTCAAACAGCTGTTGTGCATCATGACAAAAGCCTGTGATGCTTGTTACATTCGGCGGACAAAGGTTTGACCGGGTTGTCTTTCACGTTGTTGAAACCATTCTCAGTGCTCTGGCAGCCAACCATGTCGATGCTGTACTATTAGCGATCTGAATTGCACATACGAGCGACGTCATAAGAAGCGTGGCCCTCAGGGCAAGTGAGTCGCTGCTTCAACTGTATCATCAGTAGCTGATCCTTGCCGCCCACGGAAATGTTGCTCAAATTAGGGCTACACTTGGCTCGGGAGCCAGCTCTTCGCCGTCCACATCACCCTCAAACTCCACGGAGCCGTCGAGGCTGCTCCAGCAAGCTGCTTCTTCCGAGCAGCCGAGCTTGCTAGATTGGAACGAGGATACCTTCTTATTCGAGCCGGCCACAGCTTTGGTATCTGACATATTCACTGTTCTCCCAGGTGGGGAAGGCCTGGACGGTGGCCTGTTTCAAATTGAGCCTCATCATCCTCCGATCCCCTCTTTCGCCTCCTCTACCTCGTTATCAGATCCTTCCATCATCCAGCCGCAACATGCCGGGGCTTCCCAGCTGCTTCTGCTCGAGGACTACCTATCAAATGCTCTGCAGCGGTTCTTGATCCACATCTTTCCCCTCTACCCAGTCATCGACGCCGAAGAGGTTCAAAAGCGATTCGTCGATCAAGTCCACCTACATGATAAGCAGTTTGCTGCTCTCGTCTTGTCCATAAGTGCTTTGGCGGCCCTTCTACCCGCTGCAGACATGGCAAAGACTTTGGCTGCTAGGAACAAGGCCAATTCTCTGGTCGACATGGCCATTGGACTTCACAATACGGCCGATTTGGGGGACCGACCGACTCTGGATTGCATCACCACCAGCATGATGTTGTCATCATCAGCACTGATTCTCAAGGGTCCAACTGTGGCATACATAAGACACCGCGAAGCTATCAGCCTTGCCGAAGTCCTCAACCTCACTGAACCTCAGGCGTACGAGAATTTCGATGAACCGAATAAGGAGCGAGCGTTGCGGATCTATTGGGCTCTAGCTATAGCCGAGCGGTGAGCTAACCTCTTTTCCTATAGCTGAAAAGCGTCAGATCGAACTCTCTGATCATGTCCCGCCCAATCACCTTCAGGTCGGCGTTGACCTGCCTTCCCTTGGGTTTTCCCATCCAATCCGGGCTGTCGCTCGCGCTTCGGCCTACGGCTCGGCTTTATGAGCTCATGGAACCGTCACTCATCGACTGTATCATTGGAAAATGCTATCCACAGACATGTGGACTCAGTACACAGCTTGCTCTTAGTGCGCATCGTAGTCTCGCGGACGTCAGTGTAGAAGGTTGCGTCTCCGAAGTCCAAGTAGCAGATACGCTGCTCAGTGCCCAGTGGATGCACGTCAAAATCTGGCAAGCTTGCGTGACACACTCACTGCTCAACTTCAGGGCGTCACAGCCCGAATTGCGGATAGAGTACCCAATCGATTGTCTATCAGCAACCGTGGCTGCCACGCAGAAAATTTCGAGGCGGGCTATCTGCGGCAATGGCCATGTGATGGTGAGTCAAGAGTCGGTGCTTTCAGACACTGACGGGTGTCTAGGGATTGAAGCTCAAAGTCATTGCGGAGGCAGCTGAAGCCACCTTAAAGCTGCCAGAACCACCGAAGCTATCGGCTCAATTCTCGTCTGTGGACATGGTGGAGCGATCCATCTTGACGCTTAAATGCCTGGCGACAGAAGTTGCATCGCTGCAGTGGTTTCGATGGCATGAGTCTTCCGCAATTCCCTCTTGAGATCTCCCTTGTTTGGTAACCGTTGTAGAGAAGCCCAATCATGCACGTTGTCATCAGATCAATCACAGTCCCATCTTCGGTACATATCCTCCGCGCGCGAGGGCCACAAGCATCACCTAGTGTTCCTCCTCCGCCTCGATAACGGTAGTCGCAAACTTCCTGGCGGGAACTTTACGTTCAAAAAGAATGTCAAGCTCTCGGTAGGACCTTCCTTTGCACTCGGGAAGTCGGAAGTAGGCCCAGATGAGTGACAAAAGGCAGGAGCCAAACTTTGTTTCAAAGTTGTCAGTAACACTAGAGTGACTCTGGAGGCAATCGATTCTCACCCAGAAGAAGCCTTGGAAGGTTTATCAGGTAAAGAGTAGCTTCAGAGGTCATGCCAAACTCACCTGCCTTCCCTTTCCAATTCCATGCAGTAGGGTTCTGCTGGCTAAAATATCCGTCGGTTAATCCGGATGCATATCCAGGCGATTGCTTCACTCACTAGGTATTCAGGATGCCAGCTGCAATTCCAATGACGTTGTATGTGTTCCGTCCGAGACCGACCGTCTTGGCTCGAAGTCTGGTAGAAGAGGTCTCACCGACGATCGCGTAGGCCACGGGCTGTTGAAAATGAGTTTGGCGGCCCCTTCACAAGCTTACGGTAAGAGTCAGGTCCCATACGAAGACCCAGACCACGATCAAGGCAGATTCAGCCCATCTATGACTCATCAGGGGATGATCTAGTGGCGATAGACATACCTGAATCCTTCGTGTCGCTGTCCTGGGATCGAAAGAATTCCAACGAGGAGTAATCTGATTTTAGTTAGCTTGTCCATTATTCACCAGCATTCACAAGGCGTACTCACATGCAGCACAAGATCGTCATGCCTGAGAGGATGATCTTCCTTCGTCCGACATACTTCGTGTGACATCAGAGAGCATCCAGGCAGTGCCGATCTTACTCACAGTCAGAACAAACCAGGCAAGGATGCATGAAATGAACGAGACTCCACGCATCCCTAGATCCATCTTAACGGCCTGAAACGTCGTTAAGCCAGTTTGCTCGAAAAAGTATGATGCGTGGTTGGCGAAAGCGGATCCGGTGAGGATCTGGCAAGCCCAGGTAACGCATACAATCTCTGTTCGACGAAGATCAACGCCCTTGAAGCAGTCCTGAAATGTGAATGTCAGCGATTTTAGGAATGCCACACTCGTTTCGAGAGCATTTTTTTTTTTCAGGTGAGAATTCATTCTTGTTTCAGGTTTTCACTTTTTTTGGGAAGAAAACCGACGACTCACAAGATAGCTGACACCCTCATGAACCTGAATCTCATGATCGTTCGTTCGGACCATCATAGCGACGATCTGCGATGGTTGAACGTTCTCCAATCTCGATGCTAGACGAGCAACAGATCGTTCAGCTTCTTCCAATCGACCGCGGCGGACAAGGAACCAGGGACTCTCAGGTGCCAGCGTGACCAAGATGAAAATCGGGATTGGCCAGATCCATTGTAGAGCAAAGGGAAGTCTGTACGCCCACTGGTCTGTCCTTGCTTTGACTCCATTAATGACGCCCGAGGCGATCAATTGGCCAATGACCTGGAGTAAATCGAAAAATCAGATGTAGCAAGCGTGAAAACGATACGACATACCCAACAGAGGTTCACATAGCTGGTCAGGGAACTTGAGCACAAGGGAATACGCAGCTGCAGACTCACGTTGTGAGATACGCCCTCAGAGGAACAGGGGTGACCTCGCTGGCGTATGAGACTGCGGACTGTTCCATGTCAGGCACGACCTCTATTATGAGTGCCTACCGAAGCAAAAGCTCCCCAAGGCATCCCACAGAGAATCTGAGAAGTAATGAGAAGACTGCCACTTTGCCCCTCACTCACCTCCCCTACGAACAAAACCTTGATATTAGGAGCAAAAAAGACGACAAAGATGAATCCGATCAAGGACAGGAGACAAGCCTGGATGGTCCTCCGGTACCCGTACCGGTCTTGGAACCACGAAGCCACGAAAATGCCCACAAAGTTGCCGATCGGTGCTCCGTAGCCCACAGCAGATTGCCACTGGGGTTCCAGCTGATATTTGCCAGGATGGATCTCGTGTCCGAATTTCTCTCTGAAAACGGGCAAAGCAGTCAAGTTGCCGAGGACTACGACGCAACTCAACCTCGAGGCTCATAGGATCCTCGCCTCGTCACTCACGAACAGTGTCGTATCCTTCCATGATGAGACACGCGGAGATGGCCCATGACCAAAAAATTGCTTGAGGATAGGCTCGAAACGCATCCCGCAGTGGCATACGCTTTTCCGCTTGTTCGGCGTAAATTGCGTCAGTGAGATCTGCATCATCAAAGTGCTTGGGAGGTGAGAGCTCAATGTCTGTGACAGCAGCCGTGAGCAGCTGGCTTTGTGAAGCGGTAAAGGACCATACCTGAATGCTTTTCATCGATCGGTATCTCGGCTTGCTCGGCTTGGTTATCGCTGGTCATGTTGTACCGCAGATTGTGGGTGTCGGTGTATGGAAAGGTGTGGAGAGCGCAAATGGTGATGACTTGATAAGGATGTGGACCAGCAGGTCTCTCTTCCAGATTATTTGTACTCTGTCCGAAACGATCGACAAAAGAAGCACAAAGCAAACGTGCATACCGATGTTCATCGTGAAAGGTCCCGACAAACGGATCACGGCCAAGTCCGGGAATTCCATGGTTAAACCTCGGGTTTGAGGCGCATGGAACTAAGCTGAGCCAGAATAGGAGAAAAGCGCACTTCAGCTACTTCAGGTGGTTTCTGGATCTTTGGACATAGCGAATCAACTGCATCTTCATTCCGGTTTAAACGTGGTCTGGAGCAGGCAGCTGCGCGCTCGAACGGAAAATGGTTGATTTATTTTCAGGGAAATCCTCGGCGAAAGGGGTGTTGATCCTTTAAAACAAAACGTTTGATTCATCTCCTGCGGTCACGTTTGTGTCTGCTTCCTGGGCCAGTGGAATCGAAAGGACTGAGCATACTGGTGCTGCTCTCTCAAAATGCTTCAATATCTCTATATCTGTCGACATGGCTACAGGTTCGTGACAGCGTCAGCAACCCTTCTTTGGGCACTGAAATTCAATAGAGACAACTTTGATGTGGCACATCAGGATCAAGACCACATCGGTGGCTATGGTGATCCTCCGGTAAGTGAATTCCATCAGAGCCGATCGAATCATAGCTGAACATCCCGCCAAGTTGACGCTGCATGGCTTAGAGCAAGCCCAAGAACTTGCTAGCTTTCTCTCCGACGATAATCATCTCTCATCGTACCCGATCCCTGAGCGAATCTTCTCGAGCCCATTTTACCGTTGTGTACAGACGTCGGTGCCACTTTTGAGCCGCCTACGGCAGAGAAAGCCAGTGACCGCTGGGCTGTCTTTAGAAAACGGAGTGCAAGAATGGTGAGCTTTCTGACTCCTCGCGGCTCAAGCAGTAAAAGGTTGCTCTGTGGCACAGAGCCGATCCCAGAACCAGCTTCTGCAACCATGCTTGCTGCTCATCTGGGTCCGGATGTCATAGACCTCTCTTATGAGACTACTGTGTACCCGTCATCGCGAGGTGAATCGGAATCGGATCTAAAGGCTAGACTGGGAGCCTTCCTAAATGCTTGGATACCGAAGATCGATGCGGCAGGTATAAAGTCAGCCGTGATTGTCAGTCACGCAGCAGCTGTCATCGTCCTTGGTAGATTAGTGAGCCACCATAGAGCCTGTCCCAGACTCCCCGGCTGAATTCTGATTCAAGCTTTCCGGTGACTCAGATTTGCACGTCCCTACAGGATGCGCATCGACATCCCTCTATCGCCGAACCGAATTAACGACTGCTCAATCTCGCAGGAGTCTAAGTCAGGCGGCTACCCAAGAAAGCAGCGTAGCGATATCTCAATGGGTGCCCGTATGGCTAGGGAGGACAGACTATCTGGGCCGAGGATCTGAGCGAGAATGGCAATTCGGTGATCCCCATGTCTAACTATACGGGCGAACTCGATGAACCTGCCTCTGACAACCTGATTGAGGCAGCGGCTGTTGTGCCACTTCTTGCCATTACACTAGGCAGAACACTAGAAACTATCCTTTCTGATCGGCATTTCTGAGTTTCAATCGAAGCATGGCATGGGTTGGTCGTGCAAATAGTGCAGAGGCTCGGAGCTCAGAATTCCACCTCTCGTTTCTCGCCCGGACCAGTTATATAACACACCATACAATGATATCCGCAGTTGGTGCAGCAGCCGCCCTTGCCAATTTCGCAGCCTCTACCTCATTCCTCAGCGGGTGTAGTGGTTCCAAAGGGGCCACATCTGGCACAGGGGCAAACAACGAGTCCATCACCTCTTGCGTTACCGAACCAGTGGATATCGACTATGCTGGAGACGTCGCAAGAGCTCGACGTCGCCCACTTGTTACTATACGCACTCACAGCTCAGAGGGAAGCCGCGACGGGCAGATACACATGGACATGGCATCAACTCCTGACGACGCCCACATCGAGAGACCGGGCTCCGCGTCCAGCGAGCATTCTCGGGGCTCCAGCTACCCCCCAGAAGGCCATGGCGGTGGAGATTGAAGATCCCGATAGACGTGCTGATATTCCTATGCAGTCATGCACGGCGACGTCAGGGGTGCTATGGAGCCCAAGGAGCTTTGGTAACGGTGATGGGACTGTCTTGAGACGCTACATCTTTCAAGCCGGTGACTTTGATCCCTTGCGATTCCAGTCTCTGCTCAACTTCATCACCCCCGCATAAGCCTCCTATCCATATGCTCTGTATGACGACTCGTTTGCCGATCACTTCTCCTAGAAACATTTTGCGTAGACCTCCATGCGGTTTCTTCCAGTCTGGGAACGTTGACAACTGGTGTAACATAGGGGAATGCTCGGAGAATGAAGCGCCTCGTTTGAATAAGGTCACGCGATGCAGGGAGAGTGTGTACATGTCGGTCATGGGAGAGCGGGGATTTAGCGCATTGCTCAGGGCTTGCGCTGGTGTCGTGGATGAATCTGAACAGAGTAAGCCCTATGTAGTGTCGCTAAACTAAAGACGTACCAAGTAATTGGGCTGATCCAAATAGGTATCTGCGAAGCGTCAATACTGGTCAGGTATGGGGGCACTCACGGGAAGAAAGAGTAATCATCGAGACCCCAGACTCCGTGCGAACCAGCTGGCTCGAGCCTGTACTTCTTTTGGAGAAGCGTCACAAGTTCCAGGTACCTGTGTGGTTGCATGAACAACCAGGACGGGACCTACGACCTGTGTACCTACTTTGGAAACACCCTTAAGATCAATTCGTCTTCCTCTTCCTCCGACTTTATCCACCCGGAAGCGACGCAAGACCACAGGACAAGTACGAACGCGAGCTCGTGACCTGTTCCATAGTCTAACCTGGTCGGTTGGCCAAAGGGTGTGGACTGGATGAGTAGAGGGAGGATTTGGTCTGGAAGGTATACTGGAATATTTGGGAAGGATTTCACGATCAAAGGCAGCCGCTGAGTCTTGTCAGACACCTTCAAGGTTCAGGTGATACCTACTGAATCGACTAGCTTTATATAGTCTCTGAATGCTAGATTACCGAAACGTTGACTGGATAATGGCTGCAGAGGGACTTCGTCGATCCAATCTATCATTTGCACCAAAAGATCCATCAGAGCTGTGATGGCCTACTCAGAGGATCAGCAGGGCGATGCATACACCCTGTATCACCTCGGATGTGCTGTCTGACCCATGTAGAATCTCCTTCCCCTTGATTCTGTCGCATCGCTGCTTTGTCCACTCCCAGAATGACCTGAATGCGTTGGTCGCTGGCCATACATCCACTGCGGCGTCCGAGGTCAGAACTCGAGCGGGAGCGCTTGGCATCGCATTCGTAGTCATGAGCCTCGATGATGATGCTTCTGGCTGATCAGATTGCATTCTGTGTGCGAGTCAACGGTGAAAGTACGGTCCATAACCCAACCTCTGAGCCTGTTGTTCCTCTGTTGTTGACCACGTGGTGGGGCAATGATCGATAATTTTCAAGCATATCAGTTGAAATGCCATTCTGTGTGTATAATCTTGCTATCATCATTGCAGACATCGAGGGCGGTCTGAGGTAATGCAGTTCAGCATGCCTCAATATCTCCTTCGAATAGCTCAGGAGAACCTCACATTCCGCTTGCCCCATCTCTATTCCATCGCCGATGTCTTCAACTTCGAGCTGAAGATTGTTTCGACAGACCTGTACCGGGGAGCCTTAGTGGTCGAACTGGAGGATGAAAAGCATCTGCAACAGCTTTTGGACAGAGGGCTCCAGATCATGTAGGCTCCTCTCTGATCCTTCTGACTGTGCTGACACTCGGGCTTAGGTGGGCAGCAGAGCTCTTCGCCGAAGGGTCAAGCTATGATGAATTGCATACTGTCATTCGGGGACAAAAACAGTCGAGCTCGAGATATGCTCCGTTCATGAATACATCGTTTCGATTTTCAGTAGAGGGAACAAATCATCGGATAAGCAATAAGCGAACGGTGTGAGTGTGCTTCTGGGACCTCTACGTAGTGTTCCCCACTGACAAAGTCGCAGGGAAACGGTCCAGTCTTTCGCCTACCTCGACTTCCAAGGCGATATTAAGATGAGAGATGCAGAGATCGAATGGATCGTTTTCGAGGACTGTGAGATTTTGAAGAACCAGCAGCTTAATCTGAAGCTGATTAGCCTTCTAGATGACCTGAAGGAATTGAACACGCCAGAAGAGCGCTTAGCATATGACGGTCATTTCCAACGGGTCTATTTTGGACGACGGGTGGGTACTTCTTCAAATGAGCCGCTCGTGACACCTTTGACGCCTTGTGACAGATTGATCACTCCCGTGCTCGCACTTTGATGACATCTCACGCGGTCAAGAGGCGTGTGTTTTTCGGGAATACTTCGATGGAAGCTGAAATGGGATTTCTTATGGCCAGTCAAGCTCTTGTGCGTGTCCTCTTTAGCGTCAAGAACGGGGCATCGCTATAACGCAGTTTAGCCGGCGCCTGGAAAGATCGTATACGACCCATTCGCAGGTACCGGCTCCTTGCTATATTCCTGTGCTCATTGGGGCACCTATGTCATGGCGTCGGACATTGATGGACGTCAAATGAGGGGCAAGGGCGAGTCTCCAACGTTTCATTTCGAGGCTTCACTGACAGATCCTGCGCAGGCAAAGGCAAGGACATGATGCCTGGAATGTTGCGAGCAGCTGCACAATACGGCGTGGCGGACAAATTTCTCGGCATGATGTGCTATGATGTGACGCTCAATCCCATCCGACGTGGCGGTTGGATCGATGCCATCGTTACTGATCCGCCATGTAAGTTCTGATTCTGTGGACCAATCTCATCGCGTATAGACGGAGTCAGAGCGGGTGCCAAACGCTTAGGCAAGAAGGATAAACGACCGCCAGCTCGAGACGAACCATTTGTTTTTCCCGATGGACGTGTGGCGCATTTGTGAGGCTAACACATATCTTTATTCGCTTACATACAACGCAGGCAACCCGGCTACCTTCCTCCTTCACGCCCTTACGTCCTGACTCATCTCACTCTGGATCTTATCCGGTTAGCGAGATACTTACTTGTTCCTGGTGGTCGCCTAGTCTTCTTCTTACCGACTACTTCTGAAGAGTATCAATCGATCAAGATACCGCAAGTGGAGGGCATGTTGGAAGTCACCAAGGGAGGCGTGCCGATACAGGACTTTGGAACTTGGGGCCGACGTGTGAGTCTTTTGGCCTTGCAATCAGTTTTAGGCGTCAACACTGAGACTGCTGTGCTGTATAGATGATCACCATGGAGAAAGTCGCGCAGGATGATGGTGAACCGCCGAAATTCACAGACTATTCAGAGGTTGAAACTCAACCCGGAGACAAGACCTTCCAGGAGCGTGTGAGTGTACAGGAACGTCTATCGCTAGCATTTGCTGACGTCTATTAAGTATTGGGATAGTTTTGCCTCAAAAACGAACGGCTCACCAGCTGTGGAGCAGATTGCTCAGCACCGAGATGCATGATGCCTTGGAGCATAGCCTTATCACGACAAGAACGGATATGCCTTCTTGAGACCCTCTGATCCGTCGATGCCTTTCGAGCACTCCCTCCATTCCTCAACCCATCCAGCGCCAATTCTTCCTACTTTACCGTCGGCACCTGTGGGGATGGCAAAGACTCTGACCGCGAGCCATGACGTTCCCTTCTGGAACGATCCGACAATAAGCGGAGCGATGGGTCTCGGTGTAATCAAATTCGAGTTCCCATCCATGACTTGAATCTTGCCCTGCCCAGTTCCAATGAGATCTATGATCCCGCTCACTCCGGCCCTGGAATGAATTATTGCCGAGGTCCCTGTCTGCTGAAAGCCATGAATCCCGTCTTCTAGACGGGATACTGCGTCCAGTCTTCTCTCAGAGCGTGATGGACCAGATGTACCGTGGATCGCGAAACCTCCCTCACTGAAAAGGATATCTCGTTCGGAATTGTTGATGACCTTATGAATCCGTGTATGATGGGCCGCATCTTTGCTTGAAGGTGGTATCAGCCAGGTAATCACCTTGACGTTGCCTAGGAGAGATGTAAGCAACACGCTCCCTCGTCAGCGGAGAGGCTCACTCCAAGGTCGCCAGGACGATTTGAGGATACCATGCTCTATGAATTCGACATCATCCACCAGGCGCCTCACTGTCCATCGTTCGCCTTCAGAGTCATCGCATAAAGCCAATGTGGAATCGGGAGCATGTTGATTCAGGCCCATACAGCCCACGGGCACGCTGAAGCCAAATGCAGAGGAGTAGGCGAATTTGCCATACTTTGCCTATAATCATGAATGATTGAGCACAATGGCCGAAAAATGCATCTAAACTGTGACTCACCGCCGCTGCGCGCATCTGGAATGCAATCCTGGAGAAGCCGTCAATAAGGCTCCTTTCAGGCCTGCAAAGATTCTGGACTCACTGCCCTGATGATAGGACAAAAGTGTGTCCTGCCGCGTGGCTGAAGCATTGCATCCACGGTTCGACCGGTGTGAAGGGCCGGTCGACAAAAGATTGAGGATATGGCTCTTCCTTGACTTGCCAAAATGGATGAGATTCTGGTAAGGCGAGCACGAGAAAGGATTTCAGAGCCCAATAGGGAGACTGGGGGGAGTTGTAATCCTAGATGCAAACTCAATATCGGCCCACATTCAGAGATCGCCAACGCGATGCTTACCTCTGACATGAATTGGCTTGGCGATGTCCAGCCAATAGTCAATGACCCATCCCTTGCGAAACATTCTGCACGCCTAGTGAACCAACGGATATTTCGGAGCAGAAGACCCTTGATGACGCCGAGGGAGAATGGCGGAGGTAGCTGTAAACCGTCGTGAAGTCAGCTTGGTGGACCGGAATGATCTCAATCAGACTTGCCTGTAGTCCCGAGAAAGCAAGAGCTGCCCAGAACGAGCTCGTGGCAAATCGATAAGTCATGCTCCTTCCGAATGGGATGGCCCCTCCGTCCGGAGCGAACAATTGGATGGCATTGGGAAGATTGGCAATCGCACGTTGACGGTACAGTCTGGCACGTTCGGGATCGGACTCCCGGCAGAGGTGCGAATAGATTAGTGTGTAGAAAGGGATCGCGAAGGAGGTGGCGTAATAATCGTACGCCTTGGTCGTTTCGTTTGGGCCATCAGAGGGAAAACCCTGTTGATGATGGGCTCAAGGTGAGCCATTTTGCAAATGATTATACGCAGGACTCACATGATCACCATACCAGCATTCGACATATTCTAATGTCTCCTCCAGTCTCTTCTTGTTGTATCTTGCACCGACTGACCGAAGTCCGAGGTTAGTGAGGACCAAGAAGACTGATCAGGCTTGATCAGCTGCGGAGCTTGACAATGATACTGCTGAGCTGGCCCACATTGCCAGTTGTTCTCCGGTAATTCAAGCTCGTTGATCTGAAGCAGCCAGTCATTGAGCCTTTCTTTCGCCTCTGGCGGAAGTGGGTCCCAAAAAACTTGGGGAGCAATGGTCAATGCGAATCCCTGACACCCGACATAAGTCTCTGATTGCAAGAGGGCCATTTGCTCACAATCGGAGCCATCTCGACAAATCGCTGATCTCTAGTATAGCATTTCCCCCAAAATTCATCTTCCAACTGCTCATTCGTACCGCTGTTCAAACCCCTCACCCAATCATTCCGAATCGTCTTGAACTCGTCCCGCTCAGGCTCACAGCTCAGCAAAGGTGCGAGACCCCATATGCACCGAGCGAATCCCTCTAGCTCCGCTGCCACTGGATCAAAAATGGTGCCTGTGTATCCGAGGTGTACTCGAGCTCCTCCAGATGATTGTGCGGAATGGACAGGTTTCAACAGGGAATGTAAGAGATGAACCAGGTCCTCCCGTGTCACCAAGGGATTGGAGGTTATTGCCTCGACAGGGGTCATGGAGGCGACAGGAGAGGGTGCCCTGACTCGCATTGGGCACCAGTGGGTTTGGAAGATGCGTCTTAAAAGGTCAGATCAATAGATTCGGTCATTTGAGATGATCTATGGATGTTCGGTAAAGGAGTACACCCGGATATCCGACGTATATCCACCGAGTTGGGGCCAGTAGCTACTGGGTGGTGGTGGTGCTGCAGTGACGATCATCTGTACTGGATTGCAACCATTTGCAGCATGACCATCTCGAACACCTCTCTCCGTGTCGCATGCTCTCTGGTCATGCCATGCTCTCTGCACTGATATGGTTGCAGAAGGAAACTGATCAGTCACTAGGACTCCCAGATCGATCGTGGGAGAGCTATGCCACGTGATATACACGTTAGGGTCAAAGTGGGTCAGGTTGGCTGTCGTGCAGACGAGGTTGTGATCCAGTACAAGTTGACCTTGCCTATGGAGCATGGCGTGGCCTTGATTAGAGATACAGAGCGTGACACGAAGGGCGTGGAACCTTTAAGTGGCTTGCAGCCGGGACGTGAAGCTTAGGGCGTGATCCGACCAACCTTCGCAATCAACGTGTGTGTCCACACACTCTCATTCCTCCTTCCTCTTGCTCAACACCTCGCCATTGCCTCGACTCATCTTGCCTGACGGGCCCAATATACATCTCACCATGTCCCAGTCGCTGTTGAAACAACTCTTTCCCCCCGACCTTCCTGTCGCTTCTTCTTCATCATCATCACCCTCGGTTCGACCGTCATCCTTCCCTCCTCAACATCCCACCGACATGTTCCCCGATTCCTCAGGACTCTTTCCCGATCCTGACGAAGATGGAGGGGAAGAGAACATCTTTCGAGATATGACATTCCCAGATATTCTAGAAGAGTTGAATGCGCGATTCTTGGTCAACCTGCCAAAGGAGGAAATGGGACTCGTCAGAGTCTATTGGCAAGCTGAACAAGCGTGAGCCGGGGCCAGGATCGGGCCAGAACGAGCGTCACTGAGCGCTGAGATCCTTCGATACAGACATTGGTTTTATGAGGATTACCTTCGGCCTCTCAACCCTCTTCTACCTTCACTTTCTCAACGTAATTTCACCCATCTCATCATCGCTTCGTCGCCTCTATACACTCATCTCAGCGATGAAGAGTATGATCAAGTTTGGGAAGAATACTGCAATTACAAGCGGATGGTACCATGCTGTGGCGGTATCCTCATAAACGATGCTGCCGATAAAGTGAGTCCTCTGACTGTAGAGGCTTTGTCTCCATTCACGCAATCTAGGTCCTCATGGTCCGAGGATGGAAATCCAACGCTGGTTGGAGTTTTCCTCGAGGCAAAATCAATTCTGCGGAGCCAGAAGAAGCATGTGCGATACGCGAGGTGGGACACAAGTCACTGGTCCTTGTCTGAGTCTGTCTGATCGATCGATCCGCAGGTAGAAGAAGAGACCGGCTTCGACCTGACGGGGATGATCAACAAGAAAGACTCAATTCAGACTCAGGTCAACGCGCAGACCATCACCATGTTTATCGTCATGGGCATTGATGAGAATACGACATTTCAGACGCAAACGAGGAAGGAGATTGGGGTGAGTTTGGAGGCATCCAATAGTGTCCTTTACGAGCTCATTTGCGACCTTAGGCTATCGAGTGGGTCCCGTTTGTTGATCTACCGACGTGGACAAATAAACGAGGTCCAAAGACGACCAATGAAAAGGGCAAAAAGAGATTTTACAATGTCACGCCTTTCGTCGGGTACGCCGTCTTTCGCCTGCTGCGGAGTAATCTCTGCTGACAATGTGTAGACCGCTCAAACGCTGGCTCTCCGAGCATGGCGTCAATCCTCACCAGAAGAAGAAAACCCAGCGAGGCGCCGATCCCAAAGTGGGAGGTCTGCGGAACCTGGAGCCCTTTCAATTCGATTCTCCACCTTCTACGCCACCTCGCCAGCCTGCTCAAGCACAACGAGCTCAGCCGAGTGATTCTCAAGTCTCTGCTTTGGACAACCTTTTTGATCGTTTCATCCACAAACAGAATCAAGATTTGCAAATTTCAGGATCGGGTGATAATCAAGCCGGGCTGGAGAGACTTTTTGGCAACCTCGCGGTAGCCTCGCATCAGCCACCCGCTCAGGACGACGATAAGACGAGAGAGGCCAAGGAAGATGACGATCTTGCGAGGCTGTTGAGCGGATTGACTAGCACGCCTACCCCGCATCCTCCTGCACTCGTTAATCCTCCGCCCACTGAGAAGGCTTCAAAGCTGCTCGCCTTGCTTAATCCCACTTCTCCACTTGCCAACTCGAGCACTGTAGCTCAGCCCGAACCTTCCCCGACCAGAGCCCCTAGAGCGCCTGTGAAGCCACATCAAGCTTCACTCCTCGCTGTCTTATCGCCGGGAACACAGAACCCACGAACCGCCCCAGCCGCCGTATATGATGACACCAACAGCATCGCGCACTTAAATCGACCGACCACTCTGCCGACTTCCCCGAAGCCGCCGAGCCCAGATCAGGCGCAGAAGGAGAGGTCGAGGAAACAGCGGGCGCTCTTGGAGCAGATCACAGGCGGAATAGGTCTGAAAATACCTCTTCAGCAGTCGTCGGTGTCTGGCGAGAGGAGCCTTCCCGACGCAAACCGAGCGGGAAATCCAGAAGGCATACCCGTAGAGTTGGGAAAGATGCCTTTCTCACCAACCGCATTACCTCTTCAGAATCATGATATGCCTCCAAGAGCTAATAATGATGCCGCGTTTGCTAGCTATGCTATGGCGCCGTCTGGACGTCAGAATCATTCGCCTTCAGATGGGTATCTACAGCATCCGCACGCTGCTCCACCGCCCTACGAATCCTCAACTCATGGACAGTCTCACGGAGCTCCCATGGGTGTCCGTCTCGGTCAGGGCCACCACAACCCGCATGTAGCTTTTGAAACAACGGCTGATGGCTCGTTTTCTGGTCACATCAATCCTGTGGGGTCGGGTCCTCCTGCTCACCTACAAGGGCAAATGAATTTACCGGTCGTGCGACCATATGGTGTTCCGCAAGGGCAGTTTGCGACCCAGCATCTTCACCGGCCAGCTCCTCTGACTGTGCCACCTGGACAGGTTGGGCCAATGCCACACGCTACATCGATAGCCTTTACAGGTCACCCGATGTCGAACGGAGTTATGGGATCACCTCCCTCTGGTGGACCACCAGTTGGTGGCATGTCTGGCGCGCCAAATGCGGGATACCCATCCCAGGCCTTTCGGCCACCTCATAGCCAGCAAAATTTTGGACCTGGTGTTCGACCTACCGGTCCTCCCTACGGCTTTCAGGGTCCCATCCGACCGATACCTCAAGGCTCCGGAGTGCCTTCAGGCATCTCCTTCACTGGCCGACCTCCTAGCCACCAAAACCTGTTCCCAGCCCATCAAGCGAACCTCGCTCCTGGGCCCCAGAGACACTTTGACGCCTCGTATGCTCAAGGCGTCGTATCGAATCACTCTCAGGGAGCTCTAAATGGTTTGAAACATCCTCAGCCTATGCCTCCTGCTCCTGCACCTGTACCGGTTGTCTCGCCATCGACCGGAATACCTGACCTGCCGCGTCCAGCCCAAGGTCAGGGTCCTGGTCAAGTTCAGGGTACCATGCTCCAGCCAATGCCGAGGGCAGGTAATGCAGGTGCCATTCTCGGCTTTCTGAACGATGGAAGACGATGAATGTGAAAGCGGAGCAAGACCGTATTGCGTAATCAACGCGCATGATGTCAAGCTGAGAAACCTTCCCACGCGTATGCAGCCTGTGTCATCGTCGCGCCTGTCGTGCATTTGTCTATACGATCATGTGCATCCCATCTGTCCAGACAAAGCATCGTGCTCTCGGCGGCTACTTCGGGCCGCTTTTAACAGATCCATTGTATATCCGAATATCCGGACCCCACTTGGCACATGTCGAGGTGCCTATAGCAGCTCTCCAACCACTCGCGGATTGCTCTTCACTCTCGCATCGATGGGAGCTTGTCTATCGCGTGCCAGTACCGAGTCTGACGCTGCGTCCTCCAACACATACTGGTCATCCACCGCCATCCAGCCAAAACTTTCCCAGGTATCTGTACCCAACATGACGAGCACGCCTAGCACCGAAACCAGCTCGAAGGGCACTGGGGCCATACTCAGCCAATCGGTCGCTGTGAAGATTGTCGAAGTGGCGAACAAGTACGAGCCAAGCGATGTGAGTCGTTGTCATGAGCATCGTGGACGTACAGCTCGACGCTGATGCTCTCGATGCTTTGCAGGGCGAAAAGTTGACTAGGAATCCAGAGTACACTACTCCCGGTGGCCCGAATACGTACCACTGTTCAAAATGTGAGTGCAAGCTCATCCACGAGCGGCCTGTTGTATGGTAAGCCGACGGATACGAGCTCATTTCACATTCCAGATGAGACCTCATGGACGGAGGGTTTCTTCCCCGGAATGCTGTGGTGCCTAGTCGAGCGATATCGCTTGAATCGGGACTTGATTCCTGCTTCTTACACTGAGGAGGAGCTCATCCGCCTGGCAAGAAGGTATCAGAAAGATTTTGAATACCGGAAATCTCCAGCGACAAACCATGATCAAGGATTCAGGTTCCAACTGTCATATGGCAAGTGAGTGTGAGCAAGCGAAAGACGGAGCGTAGGGGGCTCGGATAACACTGGGAACTTTGGCCTGACTCTCACCTACGATTTCAGAGATTTTGAACTCACTGGATCTCAACATGCCAAGGAGGTTTTGATTGAAGCTGCTGATTCACTACTGGCACGATACAACCCAATCGTGAATACAATCGATGATGTTCATCATGAGCTCACTTCTCATATGCCCCAGGTTGGATGTATTCGCTCATGGGATAGCATGGTCACAGCGAAGGAGCCGACCAAATATGGCAGAGATCGTCAAGATCAGCATTACCTAGTGATCATTGATAACATGGTGCGTCCTGCGTTGCTCCGAAGAATCATAGGCCTGAGTCTTCCCTGCTGATGTCTCGGGCCCCTCAGATGAATCTTGACATGCTTTACGAAGCTAGCAAGCTTACTGGCGACCCTAAATACGCAAACGTCGCTACGCATCAAGCTGAAAAGAGCATGACGAGTCACGTACGAAAAGACGGGACGACGTATCACGTCGTCAACTTCGATCAAAAGACGGGGGAGCCGATGGAATTCATGACTGCTCAGGGTAAGTCAGACGAGGGCGAGGGGGAGGGCTCAGCAGTTGATGGACTGAGCTGATGGGCATGAATAAGGTTACGCTGATGATAGTGTCTGGTCTCGTGGACAGGCTTGGGGCATTTATGGATATGCACAGTGTGGTGAGTGCGCGATGAATGGGACGTCAATCGCTCATATCCAATTGTTGTGTTTAGCTCTGAGAACAGGCAGGAAAGACTTCCTGGACACCTCCAGAAAGCTGGCAGATGTCTTTCTATCACTCTTACCAGAATCAGGCGTTCCGTGGTGGTAGGTCATCGTTGATGCCCTCTCCTGCATCGATCTGGGCTCTCTGCTGACGGTGTGTTATCAGGGACTTCAGAGCTCCTACTCCATGCCCTTATGACGCTTCAGCCGCGACTATCACTGCTCGTGGACTCCAGATGCTGCACAAGTTGCTAAGGGATTCCGATCCGACTGCAGCGAATCATTACTTGGACAGAGCCAAAAAATTGATAGACGACACGGTGCGAGAGTGTCTGACGCCCGAGGCGAGACTAGTCGACGGCAAAGTGGATTGGGGTAAGGACGATTGGGAGACGATACTACAGGTGTGTCATGATACAGTACACTCCCTGGACGCGGTCCGCGGCTGACGCACAAACCCAGCACTCCACTATCAATGGGAACCCTGTTGCTGTGAGGCGAATAATGGATCATGGTTTGGTATGTGAGTAGCCTGGGGATTCATCCACCTTTCGGCGCCATCTGATGATCGTCGCGGACCATAGATGCCGATTACTACTTTGTCGAGTATGGCAACGAGGCTTTGAAGATGAGCCGAGGGACGTAGAGCATCGTGGTTCGGGCCTGACAGTGGTCGAACAAGCATCTGCAGAACGGGGCGCATACACTCTTTTCTTCCTAGATGAACATGGTATCCCATTGGCCATTTTATGAGAGCCCGGAACATCTCCCGGCTGAATGTATCCAAAAAGCATTGCATGAGAGATCTCGAGAATACACACGTAACCTTACACTGCCAAATCTTCAAGCCTTCCCATCCACCGTCAAACCTATTCCTGGTGTCGCTCATATCGTCCGACCACGATGGCGTGGTCTCTTTCATACGGCTCCAAGGTGATTTGTTCTGAGAAAGGTTGTCAGAACCAGAGTCTGGACTGATTTGCGAGAGAAGGCTCACCCTTTGGCTTGATTCCCTCTTTTCTCATGTTGTTGACTTCACTAGCAAACACTTGTGTCGCGGGAGCAGTCGAGTCGATACAGTTTGCCTTGATGGATATGACAATGGCACCTCCGTTTTTGAGGAAATGATGAGCGTTGAGGGCGATGATACGAGCTTGATCCGGTTGTGCGACATCTGCAAAGATGACGTCCACCATCTGAACGAGCATTCGGTATTTCTGAGGGTGTCGTGCGTCTTCCACAATGGCTTTAGGAAGCATGTCAGCGAGAACGAATGGGAGAGATTGAAAGACGCATACGAATGACGTTGGTCCTCTTCTTTGCCATTCCGATCAGATCTCGACCTGATCGATGAGAGAACTCCACAGCGTAGACGACGCCTTCTGGCCCAACAATATCGGAGACGTGAGAGACAGTAGATCCCGACGCAGCTCCCAGGTACAAGGTCTTGGCTCCTGGTTTGATCTGCCGAAGAGAGGTGAGTGAGTTTTGGAATATCGAAGGTTTTGTTTGCTCTGCTGACTCACGTGAATCTCGTCCAAACCTCCAAGGATACCAGCAGCCAATTTTGATCTGAAAGGGTTCCAAACTCTGTATTCTACCTTTTCCTCTTCTCCCTCAGCGTTCATAGACGCGATACTGATCCTCTTTTCGCCGTAGACTGATTCTCCAGGTGTCATATTTCGAGTGACCAGCAAGTGTTCTTTGCCTTTGGCGATGTACACTCCGGCATGTCGGTGAGGCTCAAGCGTAACTGCTCCTGGGCCTTTACGTCCAAGTCCAGGTTTACCACCTCGACCTCCACCTCGACCACCTGGTCCACCACGACCTCTGGGTGCTCCTCGTCCACCGCCTATGAGAGAGCCAGCGTCAGCCAAGGCATGATCACCAACCACCCTTAGCGGTGCAAGCAATGAACCCACCTCGTCCACCTGCTGCTCCCCTTCCGGGTGGTCCGCCCCTTCCTCCACCCCCGCCTCTACCCCCTCCAAAACCACCGCCTCTCCCACCTCGTCCACCACCTCGATCGCCGAATCCTCCTCTTCCACCTCTACCGCCGCCTCTGTCGCCTTGAGAAACGGAGGATCAGCTCGAATCACACGGTAATGATACCACGATCAGCTCACCGAATGCCATTGTTGTGTTTCAAGGTTGAGAATGTTGAGCTATACAAGCTGTCAACGATGAGAGTCGAGTGGATAGACAATGGACTGGAACTTGAAATTTTCAGACCCCCCGGAGTCTTCCACATTTTTGGGATAAAGTCAATGTTGGAAATTCCATTCAAAATAAATATTAATCCCTATGCTCTCCTCCTCCTCCGCCTTCATCATCATCGACCCTTCTTTGCTCATCACCGTCATCTAAACCCTCAGTAGCAGCGACCGGGGAGCTTCACTGTAGGGTCGAGTCGAGTAGCTCAGCGACACCTTCTCTGAGGCTCTCGCTATCGCCTGCCGCTCAACTCGCCCGCCGTCGTCCGCCCAAGGCTCGTCTTGTGATTGGTCCGAAAAAAAATATCAGGTCATCGAGTGATCATTTGTTGAAACGTCATTCATCTTGCGTTCCGTACAGCGTAACATTAACCAGACCTGGCAGAGGCAGTCATTCCTCCACAACAAGCTGTCTTCGCCGCAGTGAGTTAATCTCGACGTAAGTTCAACTCAACCTCCTCCCTGCTCCTTTTTGCCCCCCTTCCTCGCCTCGATCCGACGACTTCCCATCGCCGACCCGTTTCATTCGCACACAGACCAGCGTCTCACTCACTTTCAGTGCTATCTTCATCGGTGGAATGTCCTCCAGGCTGACCTTCCCTGCCTCTTTCCTTTAGACCATGCAAACGGCCATGATGCCGTCCATGGGCCCCGCCGACCCTTCTACATCCTACGATACGTCTCGTCAACTGGGAAGTGGACAAGCCTTTGGTCATCCTGGACCACAAGGTCAATCTTATCCCTCTGAACCCTCGCCTTCAAGTCACCCCGGCATGTCACATTTCTCACCTTCCTCTCATCCGCAGACTTTGGCATACCCTTCAATGTCCTACGACCCGAATTACTACGGTCAGCAGCCAGAAGGTTGGATGCCTCCACCTCAGTTTTACCCACCACCTACTACCGCTCATCAACCTCAATCTTTCCAAGCTCGCCCACCCTACAACGGCCGCAATTTTAGCGCTGCAGGTGGCTCGACACGGTATCCCAGTCAGTCCAACGTTCCTCAGCCCTCCAATCCTCGGTATCCCGCGGAAAACCAGCCTTACCAACCCACTTTCTACCCTCAGGGTTACCAAATGGGAGGCCCTGGACCTGGGACGATGCAGAACGGTTATGGAGGCTATCCGGTGGATGGGATGCCAGCCTACATCAGGGGCGGTCCCTCAGGGTATGCTCCCCCGTTCCCTTCAGCCGACGGTATGGATCCCAGTCAATTCGCCAAATCGCTGCCGAATGGTGGCGAGTCAACGGACGGTTCAAATATGCAGTCCGGCGATGCACCACCTTATCATCAACATCCTCAATTACCGTCAATCCCTCCTCCACCTGACCAAGATTTTCGTCCAGGCCAACCATACCCCAACGCCAATCCATCCCATCAGCCATATCCTTCGTACTACCCCCCTGGACACCCTTACGCGTACGGCGCAGGCGTAGGCTATCATCCCTACTTGCCACACCAAGCCATGTACCCTTCATTCTCATATGATCCCTCGATGTCGCCTGTCAACGCACCTCCCCAATCTCAACCTTCCCATCGTCAATCAAACGGTCCGCCAAGCAAGTCACTCAATCCCGCAGCTGCAGGCTTCACCTTTGCACCTTCGCAAGCTAGATCACACGACAATGTCCAGATACACTCTGACCAGATGTCACTCCCTTCATCAGATCGATCAGACGTCAATCCTGTGTACCCTACCCTATCTCACTCCTCGCAGACTACATTGAAGCCCGACATGCCAAATGGTCATGCCGATACAAAGTCTTTGAGCATCGGCGCGATCGTCAACGGAGAAGACATGAAGGGCATCAACGCTGCTTCGGCACCGAATGACGACAGCAATGACGAGGCAAGCGGAGGTTTGGGACTCGAGCACATGGAGATGCCACAAGAAAATGCCTCCACGCAGGAATCTTCCCTTGCAGCCTCCGTCACTCTGTCTCAGTCCGAATCCACCCCGGCCATGTCCCTGTCCACAACGACGCCCACCACCCCCATTTCCGTTCAGACCCCAAAAGCACCATCTGACCCTCTCTCGCCATCTGTGACGACGCCGGATCCTGCTGCGCCTACGTCAAATTCCGCTGCACCACCACCTTCAAAGCTCAACTTTGTCGGGCCTACCATGTCAGGATACACTTCACCAAATGCCACTGCGCCTACTACTCCCTCGATCGCACAGACCATGTCGGAGATTCTCTTGCCTCCGTCAGCGGCTCGACAGGTGCCAGCGAAATCCGTCTCCAAGAGTCAGCCGGCAGTGGAGACTCTGAAGTTGTTTGCTCAACGTCCGAAGTCTCGACAGCTATCTGGTAATGGCTACGCATTGAGTTCACAGAATAGCATACCGAAGAATGTCAAGACAGAGGTGGTCAACGACATGGCCGCATCCTCCCGATCAAGCACGCGTAGACGACCCCTTGGATTGCCCATCTTTGTCAGTGCTGGATCTCGCACGAGGAAATCACAGCCGCTGCCCGCATCTGCATCCCGCATAACCTTGTCATTTGGTGAAATCGGGCCCTCGACAGCTCCAGTGCCTGCTGCGAAAGCACTTGAGCCCTCTCGTCCCAAGACCCCCACGCCACCTGCTCCAAAATCGAAGCCCTCTTCCTGGGCAGCTTTGTTGAAACCCGAAGGTGCGACCTCTTCCACGACAGCATCTACTCGGAATGTCTCGCCCATAGCCACGTCGACCCCGCTCTCCCCCATCTCCGACGCAGGACATCTTGCCAACCCTCCCTCTACGCCTCCATCACAATCTCGAGCCGTGTCTTCAGGCACACCCGGCCAAACCAGGAGCGTCCCGCCTACTCCCGCCAGCGTCGCATCTGGGTCCAAAGTACCGAGAGCGGTGTTCAGCTACGCTGGGGCAGCCGCAGCAGCGGCTACGATAACACCTCAGCAGGAGCTCGTGAAGTTGTTGAGTGAGGGCATCAAAGGGAAAGGCAAAGATGTCAGGGGAACATTGCCACGAGGTTTGATCAATACCGGCAACATGTGCTTTGCCAACACCGTGAGTCGTGCGAGAGGGTCTGCAATTGATCCGGTTTGCAGATCCTCCAAGTACTGGTATACTGCCCGCCGTTTGCCGAATTACTCGAAGAACTCGGCAAGAGGCTCAAGGCTGACCTTGCACGACGCACGCCTCTGCTCGAAGCAATGTAAGTAGTGATATGCAAACTCACCACCGGACCTCGCTGACTCCTGACAGGATCATCTTTCTTCGTGAATTTGCCAGTATGCCTGGCCAAGTCATCCATCCACCGCCTTCAGGTACTTCTACACCCAGATCTGAAGGTCGAGCCAAGGAGCGGGATGCGAGAAATGATGCTTTCATCCCTGAGAATGTGTATGATGCTATGAAGGAGAACAAGCGCTTTGACTCGATGAGGGTGAGACATCTGAAACGGCTCTCACGACCAAGCTCATACTTGTTCAGCGCGGCTTTCAAGAAGATGCCGAAGAGTATCTTGGATTCTTCTTGAATACCCTACACGAGGAGTTACTGTGGCTCCTGTCACAGAGTCAAGGCTCATCGCGATCATCGTCGACCGTTCGACTAAATGCTGATGGCGATGCCGACACCGAGCGGTCCATTCAACGACCTGTCAGCCCGAATCACGAGACCACAGACGACGAGCCGTGGCTTGAAGTCGGCAAGAAGCAAAAGACAAACGTGGTGCGCAATACGGAGAGTAGAGAAACGGCGGTCTCTCGGTTGTTCGGCGGCACTCTTCGATCTGTACTTCATATCCCTGGGTCCAAAGACAGCGTCACTCTGGAGCCATACCAACCACTCCAGCTGGATGTCGACTCGCCTGGTGTTTCCTCGATCACGGACGCCCTTCGCCAATTGTCAGTGGCTGAAGTCGTCCCCGGTGTCTGGTCACCCAGCCGAGGAAGCAACGTCGATGCCACAAAGCAAGTGTACATTGAGACGTTCCCTCCTGCTTTGATCCTACACCTCAAACGATTCGTTTTCGATCCCCGAGAGATGACAGTGGTTAAAAAGTTCAAGCCCGTGGCTTACGGCACTGAGCTTGTCGTTCCGCCTGAGATCATCTCGCCTGGGAGACGCGGCGCCTCGGCAATCAAGTACCGACTGTTTGGAGGTGAGTTCACTTCATCTCCGTGTCCTTGCTGACGTGATTCAGTGGTTTATCATCATGGCAATTCTGCATCTGGCGGACATTACACAGTCTCTGTATCTCGACAAGACGCCGGCGGATGGATTCATTTCGACGACGAAAGTGTATCAACAGTGCCTGTGGAGCAAGTCATTGTATCACCTGAAGAGGCCAAAGAGGGTCGAAGTGGATATGTTGGAGTTGGGCAGAGGGAGAAGTGTGCTTATCTGTTATTCTATCTGAGGGTGAGGGCGTAGCCCGCCGAATGCTGGATAGCTCGAGGGGGCAAAGGACGAATTCAAAGAAACACGCAATTGGGCGTCAAGGCGCAAGGAATCATACCCTACCTTTTTTTTTGGGAATCGAATGCGCTCTCGAAGCGTCACAATACCCATGGACTTACCGACGCCAATATTTATCATCATTCATCATGATCGGGGGGACGCACACGACAATCATACGCAATTCACCTTACATTCCCTGCCACTAATCCCGCGCATTTCATGAGAACAGCAACCATCTCTTTGTTCTTTGATCATCATACTCTTCACTCTCATCCGCCTTCTATCCCTTTCTTGTTTCGTAGTCTGAGATTTAGTCATTCAGCATCGTCAGTGAATAGTGAACGGGTGGGTGGTGGTATGTATCAGCTGGTTTCGGAGAAATGATTCTACCGAGGATGTAAGTCACATTTCCGGACTTTTATTTTACCGCGATATCAGTTATATTTCTTGTCGAGCAATCCACTAGAACAGGACCTCACAGCGCACATTGGCAGACTGGTTGTTCTTGGAATCGCCCCAGCAACATGGCCTCCTTCGACCCCAAAGCTCCTGTGGATCTCGCCAATACCATTCCTACCCCGTTCCCACCTTTCCGACGTATAGTGACCACTCACACTTCCACGGATACCGATGGATCCGACGTGGCTCTTCTCGAATCGACCTATGCTCTCACCCCTCTCTTAGGGGGTCGAGCTCACGCAGGCTACGTCTTCGCCAGTAAAGATTTACCGACCACCTCTCAACATTCGATCACATCATCTGACGTTGAAAAAGCTACAGATCAATGTTCTGGGGTGGTATTGGACAACGGAGTGAACGGTCAAGTGACAGATTTACCGCCGAATTGCGGCGTGGGTATGCACAGGACCAGTTCGATAGATTACAATATCTTTTTGAAGGGTTCAGCATACCTTATCACGCCTTCAAAGGACTCGAAACATGCGAATGGGACTGGACATGCGGACGCTAAACCTGGCGAAGTATGGACAAAAGTCAGTGCTGGAGAAGTCGTCGTTCAGAGAGGGACGTTACATGCTTGGAAAGCGACGGAAGAAGGAGCGAGATGGTGCACTGTTGTCGTATCTGCAAAAGCTGTCGAGGTGAATGGGGAGGCATTAAAGGATGTCGATTTTGATTAAAGGCATGAACGGGAGGGAGATGAAGTGAGGGATAGGATAGAGATGCAGGACCATTGCTCTTGATGGATCCGGTGGAGCTTGGTATACGTCAAATTGACCTTATTACCTGCACTGGTCATTCAAATCATTCATGGAGAAACGACATTGCGGTAGGCAATACCATGACCCGGGTGCCTCACTCACCTCGCATATGTCGAGCATCAAGGGCAAGGGCGGCGGGGTGATGCATTCAGTTGGACTACAGTCTGAAAGTAGATTGAGACTGACAGCGCTCAAAGTACGATCAGCATGGGAGTCCAGATCCGTGTCAATGCCACTAGCATGCCTCTTCACTGACACCGGTCCCGCTGCTATAAGGTATGCTTCTACAATCTCTTTGTTCTCCGAGCCGAAGTTCCGCTTCGGTTCACCGGATGACCCGACAGTCAGCTCAAATACCATTTGGAACCATATATAGTATTCTCTGTTTGAACTCTGCGTTTGAGGACTCCAGAGAACGAGATCTTGTCATCTGGCATCATGCTCAGCGTTGGTCTGATTGGGTCTCGCGGATTCATGGGCTCGGCGTTTCTACCCGCCTTGACGCAAGCTTCGCATCAAGGTAAACTCCGACTCGTACTTCTCCATCGGCCTGGATCAGATACATCGAGCTTCCCAGAGAACGTAGAGAAGAGAATGATCGACCTGGCCAAAGGAGATGTGGAGGATATTGCGAGATCCGTAGAGGGATTGAACGTTGTCATGTGAGTGCCATCGAATGGGTTGTGGGGATGTCTGGCCCCCTGCCCGGGGACCAGCACTCAAATGGCTTTTCCTGCACCTCATGGAAGCTCGTTGCACAGCCACAGCTCAGCATTCTGACCTTTATCTGTCCTCTATGCTTGGCGTGGGTCCTCGCTCACGATCTTTCAGCTCCGCTATCACTGGCCGAAATGGCGGACATCAACTCCAAATCCCACTTATCGACGCTCTCGCTTCATCGAAAGACCTCTTGATATTCTTCCCGTCAGAATACGCTACGCCATTCCGACAAGAAGATCTGGACCGTTCAGAATTCTTGAGACGCATGACATGTGGGAAAGCAGCCATCATCGCACATGCAAAGGAACGCAAGGTTCCCGTGACGATTCTGAAGAATGCTACCGTTCCTTTCTTATTGTTCTCCTGGGAGTGAGTCATCGATTCAACACACACCGCATGAGGTGAGCTGATCGTGGGGCGTTTGGCGTCCTGTAGCGGGGCCAAGTTCAGGCCGAAGGAGAACTCTTTGAAACTTTACTCGCCTCGAGGCGACGGGACGAGAGGCTTGACGTGGGTACTTGGTTCTGACGCCTAGAGAGATCGCATCACGTTAGACTGATGTCATGCGGACAGGTCGAAAGACTTTTCCGGGGCTGCCCTAGTCCATCTGTTACTTGATCGACCGGAGACATTACCGAATGCCACCATATCTCTAGTGGAGCATTCTTTCTCTTCTCAACTCCTCGTTGATACCTTTACCAAGATCCACGGTAGACGACCAGATATTATCGAGACGACGGAAGAAGATTATCAACGTGGAATCAAAGAGGATGGATTTGGGTCGATGGGTGCAGCGTCTGATAAGAGTTTATCGGTCGGTGTGGATTGGCCAGGGGAAACCATCGATTCAGAGAGCTTGAGTAGGACTGGAAGATGGGATACCAAATCATTCGAGGACTATGTCAGGGAGAGCTTGGACAATTGACTTAGGGGCACTGTCGCGGGATTGAGCAGAGTACGATAGCTGCTTGGATGCAGAGGGATCAAGTAGAGATGGAGTCCTGAAGTCTACCGCGCGGCAAGACTCAGCTGTCAGGCGGAGCCCCTGTCATGAGGCAGAACAGTAAGATGCTTTCGGTGTCATAAGCATCATCTGCTTTGTGCAGACGCTGAGCAAAGCTAGCATTGCCATCTCGAAGATCCCTCTGATACGAGGCGCTGGAGCATGCTCCCTGCTACAAGGCAGCAACGAGGCCCAATACGCATGGCGATGCATTGCATTCTCCTTGAATGCTTTTGTTTATAATTCAGAAGTCTGTCTCCCACCTCTCGTGTTCCCAGCTACTTACTGCCATGTGAAATGGTACATGGGAGTGTTGTAGACTGCAAAGTTGTTCGGCCCAAATCCATCGTCTTTTGTGTACGACACGTATATCTCCTTGTCGAGCGTCAATGGAGTGATGCCTGGATGAGCCTGGATGGAGTATCCAGGAAAGAAGTAGTCTCCACCGGGGAATGCATCGATTTGAACCGATTCAGTCCAAGGACCTTCAGCTGCTGGTGAAACGGCTATCCGAGGATTCGGTGTGGCTGAATTGGTGAGTTGACCTAACCAGACGAACGATTGCCAACCATCGACGTAATAATATGTTCCTTGACCTCCTGCGCCTGGATGATCGAGCCATGCTCGTGTGTCATTGACGCCCGTTGGCTGTTCCGAGCCCCATTGACCGGAAAGATAGTAACTGTATTGGGAAACATCTTCGACGTCTTGTGGATGGACTCGAGCGACGGCAATATGGGATTGGTTCGACGTTTGACCATAGAGGTAGAGCCATTCACCTTGGATAACGGTCCCGTAATCGCCGAAAGGGATTTGATTCTCTTGCCAGAATTGTCCATTGACCAACTCGACAGATGGCAACGTATCGCGATTGGCCCAAAGAGGCGCAGACGTGACTTTGTACAGAGCCACAGAAGGATCTTGGACGAGCGCAGTGAGTCCTTTGATATGTGAATTCTTGACCCATGTATAGGCAGTGATGAGATCACCCAATTCGCACGTCACTGTCGGTGGTGAATCTGGCCAGAGGGCATATCTTGATCCATCGGGACAGGCTCCAGCACCGTTATCTGCACATTCCCCAGGTGGATTAGGGTAAAATGGGACGGTCAGACTGTTGGAACCGTATAGAGGGACCTGAGTCGTAAAGTTGACATACTTTGTCGGTGTCCAAGGTTCAACAGTAGGTTTATCACCTGGAAAGGCGAAATCCATATAACTGGCTGAAGAACTAGTGAATCCAGCCTGTGTACCGTTGTACACGTCCGCAGCGATATCTTGATTCACGAGGTATTCTGTATCTCGACAAACGACCAATAACCTATCACCCCATCGTGTCGAACCGCACGAGTCTCGTTGAAGGTTTGGATCTTGAAGGTTGCCGACAAAGTTGACAGAAGCGACTTGAGGATTAGCCTGGGGTGGAGCATTCGAACCGCCACCGCCGAATGGCCAGCCGTTACCTCGTTTCTCCAAGGCTTCACCACCGCTTCTGCTGATCCTGCTGCTGCTGCTGCTGCTGAGACTGACAGCACCGCCCCCTTCAGCTCGTCGTGGGACAGCAGTAGCATTGACAGCCGCGAGGCTGAACAGCAAAGTGAATAGAGCAGTAATCGATAACATGCTGGGCAGATAGATGAGTTCAATTGTCCCGGGGGAGGGGAGGGGGGGGGGGGGGGGGGGGATCAAACAGCCAATTCAACAGAGCGACTTCCCTTCTTCTTATAACTTCACCATACATTCCCTTCCAGGCATCGTCCCTCCACTTCCTCTCCGCACCTAGACCCTAGCTCGCCGGTGGTCTCGCCTTCCAGCAGTCAGTCACATCCATTCATTAATGTTCTTGTTAATATCCAGGCGAGAGAAAATGACCCTAGCGCGGTTTGACCGGAGATCTCTAAACGAAAATCCGCCTGATTACATAGTATAAAGTTTCATTGAAGAGAGAGAACGAGGACCCAAGTCAGCTTGGCAGGATGGCAGGAGGGGTGAAGTATCGAACGGTACATCGGCTCGACAGGCCGCTGGGTCAGCTTTGAGAACGATGGCTGATGGTGATCACCTCAGAGTTGCTGCAAAAGCGCCAGGGGGGTTGGTTTTGTGGCGGCTGGTGCTCAACGTTGGGTTTCGACAGTGCCACAAGTTCATTGAACTGGGACAGTGGAAGTTGCATCGTGAGCATCTCATGAAATACATGTCGCTAGTTCCTTGCTTGTTCTACTACTTGACTAATGCACAGAACATGTGAACTGACTTGCGATGAACTGCGTATCATTGGGAATTGGGGTTTGCGAGCTGTCGAGAGGTCGTGTCGAATTGACCTCTGGACCTATTTACATACATTCGTTTAATGGTTTAGCGGCACTCGCTTGCGGAGCGTATTACTGACGGCATCGCATGCGGAGTGGGATTACTTCCCTACACGTCGCTTGGTCTGTTTATCATCTTGTTCCCCGTGGCCATTGGGAAGGACCTTGAAGTAGCACGCGTTGCCGCTGGACGGCGTCTTCGTCAGTTTTCCTCCCATCCAAGGCGAGATGAATGGGACAGCTTACAAATTACAATTTTTAAGACGGGGACATTGGTGCCTGAAGGTCGGTGGTCAGCCTCGACCACGCCATAGCTCAGCTGCTAGGCTGCCCCACCCGTATATACACTCGTCGTCAGAATAGCGACCTGGAGAGTTAAGAAGGTCAGACCGGGGGAAAATGCAGTCGCTCAGGCAACAAACTGACACTTATCGTATTTTATGTATGGACAAAGCAGAGCTTTGGTCAGCTTTGCGAGTTCGGCGACCTGATCCTCGCTCAGGTCTAGCAGGTCAGTCTCCATATTATCTCAACAACGCACCATAATCGTGACCGTATGCACACGCATGACCGGATCCACAGCCGGCATTGCTAAGATAGTATCTGCAAAATGATGGTGCATCAGCGCATAGGCTCATCAAACTGCAAGTTTTTCGCTCACGCATGACAAGGTCGAGGGACTAGAGTCCGGATAGACTTCTCCGCTGCTCGTCTGTCTCCGGAGTTTGCCTTTTGACCGGACTTCTTATTGGCTTTCTTGGCTACTTTCCATTCGTCTTCTGATACAATGTTTTCCAAAACGGAAGCTTTACTCGAGCCAGACTTAGTCGACGCCTCATTGACTTTGTCTCTCGCCGATCGACTCTTCTTGAATGCGGACGATTTGGTGCTGGACTTAGCAAGACCAATCTGGGCGGTGTGCCTGAGGTTTCGGGGCGCATCTGACCATTCCAGTATCTCTTCAGAATCTGAATCTGAAATTGAATCTGATTCTTCAGAGATTGAGTCCGTTACGAGGGTCTTTGGCACGTTCAGCGCGACCACGCTCGATTCTGACCGCTGTGTGACAGTGGAGAACGTCTGAGGAGAAAGTGCGATCCGCGAAGTGCGAAACAGCGACGGGATCGAGACGACACGAGAAGAATGCTGACGAAGTTGTGGAGCGAGGTCGGAATAGCCTTTCAAGAGGAGAAGTTTGGACAGCAGGGATTCGGTCTGAAGACTGAGCAAAGTCGGAACGTGAGCCAATGAGCGTGGATGGAGATTTCCCAGCTCACGATGACAGGGTTGTCGCATACCCATTATCGTGACTCGCTCCGAGGATTACGGATTCGCACTGGGCGTTCTTAACGTATAGCTTGAGGAAGTCTGCGTGGGGATCAGCAGGTATCCATCGATCGAATCGAGACATAGTCTCACCCCTGATCTTGGCATCACTCGCTTCTTTACCCGTACCGACATCGATTACTGCAAAGAGGCATTCAGGAGGGATGCCAAAACAGAGCGTAAGCCGAGCCTACCCGTGAAAAGCTCGTGAGCTGCCGAGAAGCCCTGCAAGAATGCTTCGTACATACCCCAGGAGGCGACCGAGCCATTCTGCGTGGGCGGTGGATATCAGCTTTACTACTTTGTCCCGAGAGGCTATCGACCCTCACCTTCACCAGGATATTTCCAAAACCCGATTTGTTTAAGAACAACTGAACGACGACACTACCCAGTTCCTTGGTCTCTATCGCTTCCTGGTGCCCTTCTTCCCCTTCGGCGACGATTAAGCCTTTAGCGTCGACAGTGAGGTCGGGCGGCGCCTCATGAGCATTACCTCGGGCCATCTTGGCATGGGCAATTAGTTTAGGAAGTGCTGACAATAGCATGTGAGCTGCCTTCTGACCTCCAGGGAAGCCTTGCTTGAGAAGATGGTCGGCAAACTGGGGCAAAAGGTGAGTCAAACTAGATCGCGGACTTCGCGCAGTCTCACGATCAGACCGTCTCCATCCAATAGGACAGCCGTAAATCTCCCACCGGCAGGCTGAATGATATAAGCAGCGTACACGACGCCTTGAACGAGCTCACCACTTTATCCTCTGTGCTTTCGAGCACTGCCGCCAATCGCTTCGCCTCTTTATCTGCAGTCGCCCATTCACGTTTCCAAAATGTCAATTCCTTCTTGAGCCCTTCCATATCCTGAACGGCCCCGACGAGTGGCTCAAACAGGTGTTTTAGGGACTCGAGATGATGCGTTACTTGACTGGCCGGATCTACAGGCGCACCGACAGTCTTGCTGGAGAACTGAGGTGAAGGGAGGGGGAAAGGTCGCGACGAACCTACAGGGAGGGAAGAAGGATAAAGAGGAGGTAGATGGTGGTATTCCTCTCTGCTTTCCACGGATGTTCGATCGGGTCTAGCGGTCTCATCTAGTTCACGAGGAGGAGGCGCAGAAAGTGGTTTATTCGATTCCCACTCTGTCAGTCGATCCAACATGGATAATGCGAGTTTCGTCTGATTGCCCTTGACACTCGTCGTCCCGGCCCCGTTGCCATCACCATTGTCATTGGACCAGATGTTATCGTTTGGCAAGAGTGGAGAATGAGAATGACCAGAAGGATTGGAATAATGGTCGGATTCGGTGGATCGAGATGGGTGAGCAGCAGGGGTAACTGATTGACCTTGTTGAGATTTTTTCCATAACCTTGCTCGAGCCAGAAAGTTGGCGATCTCCTCTACTTCCTGATCTCCCGCCGTCACGTCTCCATGAGGTGATTTGGGCGGCAGACCAATGTTTGGAGGATGGGTCGATGACCATGAGGTGGTGGAGAAAGCAGGTTGAGCAGGTGAACCGATGGGACCATGAGGTGAGATCTGGTATGTTGCACTGGATGGCATGATGGGATCGGCTGCGTCTACAAGGGTATGTGTGAGCATGCTGACGAGGCGATGAAGGGACAGCTCCTCGAAAGTGGTTGTTGGAGATCGTTTGGACGTGTCCGCTGGCTATATAGCTGGACACCAGTGGGTCTACGGTGTAGCCGCGCAGGGACGATGAAAGGATGACAAAAGATGGATTTTGTAGAGGGAAGGAGTAAGATGGTGAATGGTGTAGAAATTTGGAGACTCACGTCGATCTAAAACAAGCGAGGCCAAGTCTTGCGGTCTGGAGCGATCAAAGGTCCTCCTCCTCAGTCAAAGGAGGGGGGTCGCGGTGATGGGATGTGGGTCTGGCGTAGGTGATGATAAGGCAAGAACGGTGAAGATGTTGATATGGTCGTTACGACAATACGTATTGAATAGCCAGTTCTCAGGCAGATTCAAACGAGACTTCTCTCTCCTGTTGTTGTACTCTACTTCGAGGAAGTCAGTATCGTATACGTTATTGAATGGTTCGATCGATGCGAGACAGCGGATTGAAATTGATGTGACTTGGGGATGCACCGCACTCACTACCTCTTTGGGGATGAACAGTCGTAACGGATGAGGAGATGCTTCTCCAACATATCTATCGCTGCAGCACACGCATCGTTCAACACATCCACACGCCCCTGGTCACTGCTGTTGCTAACATGGACGATGCATGAGCTCGACGAACCTCTCTCCAGGCCAAAAAAGATCAGCATAGCAAATGTGGCGGTGATCGCCGCTTATCTTGGCAATCGAGAGCCAATTATTATAATGTCATCTCGCCACCCGAGTCACTCACATCACCCAAGTTTAGAGGGTTACCACTATAGACCGGCCATGTAGCTCTCTTGCCCGAAGCTGAATCTCCGAGGTGCCTCGCACACGATTGCACATGAGAGCAGCAGCAGCAGCAGCAGCAGCAGCAGCGTCACGATCACTCACATTCCACCGTGGGAAATTCGGCGAAAGATCCGCCGCCGCTCCCTCTACCACGTGCCCAGCACCTCCACTTTTGTTTTTTTCGGAATATTGCGTGCTCGACGTGTGTGTGTGTGCTTATATGAACATCATTGTCAACCATTCTTGTCTCTCTTGACACCATCGTCGGACAGCTCTTCATCTCTCTCACACTACTACCAACTTACACCTCTCACTCACTCTCTCACTCCCTCGCAAGCTCGCACAATGGCTGCTCTTCGTCTCGGAGATATCGCTCCCGATTTCGAGGTATGTAGTGTCAAGGGGGGTTTATTGTGCTGACGCTTGTTACAGGCTGACACTACCATCGGTCACATTCGAGTGAGTAAGGTTGTGGTCTCTCTAGAGAGTCGAGAGGTCCTCTTGGACCATCCATTGTCGAACCCCTCCATCGATGACTGTCGATGCTCTGATCACAAAACACCATGCTTTGACCTTGCTCTAACCGGCTTCCGATCCCGCTCTTTGCCGTGCTCCGTATTCCGTGCTCTGCTGACTCAACACTAGTTCCACGACTACATCAAGGACTCTTGGGCCATCCTCTTCTCTCACCCTGATGACTTTGTGAGCTACTTTGCACCCTGAAGGGACTGTTGAGCTTACGATCCTGTAGACTCCCGTGTGCACTACCGAGCTCTCGGCTGTCTCCGTTACCGGCGAGGAGTTTGCCAAGCGAGGCGTCAAGGTGGGTACACAGATCTTCATTTCCACACTCTCATGTATCGTCCTGGGCTCACGCTTGTTCAACAGATGCTTGGACTGTCTGCCAACAACGTCGACTCTCACCACGAATGGGTTAAGGACATCAACAACCTGAACCCTAGCGCCCCCCAGCTCGATTTCCCCATTATCGGTGACAAATCTCGAGAGATCGCTACCACCTATGGCATGCTCGACAAGCAAGACTTGACAAACGTTGAGAAGTCGACCGGATTGCCTTTCACAGTGAGGCTAGTCTACATCGGCCAGTCATCTCCAATCTACGGTCCCCAGGCTCTAGCTGACGTCCTGAACAGTTGATCCCAAACAAACCATCCGACTCATGTTGGCCTACCCAGCTAGTGTTGGACGAAACTTTGCCGAAATCTTGAGATGTATCGATGCTTTGCAGTTGGGAGACAAGTACAAGGTGTGTATCGCGAAAATCCGGGGGGCCGAAAAGTCCATGCTGATCTCTGAACTCAGATCACCACTCCTGCCAACTGGAAGGTCGACTTCAATGGCAAAACTGAAGAGCGAGTGATTGTGCATCCCAGTGTACAAGGCGAAAAGGTCAAGGAGCTGTTCGGGGATAATGTGGAGACTGTCTACGTACGTTCCTGGGGGTCCAAAATTGCGACGATGGCTGCTGACTTGTCGCGCAGCCTTACCTTCGTTTCACTACCAACCCCGAACAAAAGCAAAAGGCATAAGTGACAAATGGACGATGGTGGCAGAAGTGTGTCTGCGACTTAGAAGTCGAGAGGCGGTCGTATCCTTGTGTATAGTAGGGTAAATCCGTCACTCATAGAATTATGCATCGGTGTATTTTACCAGTCTTCAGTCGGGCTGTAAAGCGGCGTGCCACGGATATTATCGGACGTCATCATCCAATCGACAAGCAGCGATATACCTCTCCTCCAAAATTGGGGCAGCAGGAGCGAGCCCACCGCGAGCATGTCATTGTACCCCGGCAGCCGTAAGCTCCATGCACATGACGATATGCGTCCCAAATCTCGGCTCAGCCCTTATCAATGCATCAAATCAAATCAAAAATGACAAGACAAAGTCTCGTTCTAATTTCCACGACCGGCCATGCGACCTCCTTGCATTCTTTCACCTTCAGTCGAGCTGTACAGAGGAGTCAGTATGCTCTTTCTGCACGCGAGACACGTGGGCGCGCGCGCGCCCAGCTACTTCCGGGACGCGCGACTTTCACCCTCGTGGGTCTCTTGTAAGGCATCACTCACACGCTGATTCCGACCATCGCCTCTCCCAAATCCGTCGACACTTCAGCCAAAAGCGAAGGGTTGTTGTAGTGCGTCACGGCCTGAACGATAGCACGAGCTCGTTTGGCAGGATCCCCGGATAGGACTGTGGCGGGTTAGACAGCGTTTCCAATTTGATGGCAGGCTGGTGCCTGGGAGCCAGAGCGACTTACAAATACCTGATCCGACGAAGACTGCCGCGAGTATGCATCAGCAAAATGCAAATGCAAATGCAACCCATCTTCGGCCGACTCACCTCCGTCACAGCCAAGCTGCATCATCAAAGCGGCATCAGCAGGCGTAGCGACACCTCCAGCGGCGAACCTGAGCGAGCGAGGGGAGGGGTAGGTGCATCAGCACGATCTGTTTTTCAAGTACAAGTACATAAAGCACGAAGGGGAGGCGGCGGATGTTGCCACTCACGAAACCACCGGCAATCTCTTCAGCCTCGCCGTCTCCTTCAACAAGTGATACGGCGCACTGAGTTCCTTGGCAAATGCGTAGAGCTCTTCGTCCGACATGGAAGCAGCTCGTCGGATATCGGACATGACGGCTCGTTGGTGTCGGACTGCTTCGACAACATCACCGGTGCCGGCTTCACCTTTGGTTCGGATCATGCTGTGAATAGGTGCAGCGCGAGGAGGAGAGGGGCAAGTGAGCAGCGCGCAGCGTGAAAAGGGGAAAAGGGGGCAGGAGATGAAGCAGTGCCGCGCCCGGGATTGGATAGGATGGAAAGGTGTTTGGCCACGAGCGAGACAGAGGAAGACAGGTGATGGGTACAGACGAATCGGGAGATTTCCACTGCTTCAGCGCCATTTCTTTTGGTCGCCTTTGAGCAACTCACGCTGCACCCTCAGAGATCCGTCTGAGCGCTTCTCCAAGATTCTTGCATCCACAAACAAAAGGGACCTTGAAAGCGTGTTTGCCAATGTGGTGTTGATCATCAGCAGGGGTGAGCACTTCAGATTCCTGCGTCGGCCAAAGTCAGCAACCGGTTTCCAAAGTGACGCGGTTCAAGGAAAGAAGCTATGTCGCTTTGCTTTCCAGCTCCTCCGCATCATTACCTCGCCTCGCTGGCGTTCCATCACTCGAAACACTCACGTCAATGTAGTCCACGCCTATACTCTGCAGAATCTGAGCTTCGACCATGTGGCCAATTCGGACTTTTGCCATGACGGGAATAGAGACAGCTTCCATAATTTGTTTGATCATGCCTGGGTCGGACTGGTGATGTGTCAGCATATCAGCATATTTAAAAAATAGACGGAAGATGAGATCGAATTGGGAATGAGAGGAGGTCCGGAGCGCGAACGACGTGAAATGAGCATGTCGTTCAACAATGACCTCGGATCTCCCTGCCATGGCCAACGTCTCGTCCTGTCGGGCTGAATCTCGAATGCTAAACTCACCATTCTCGCCACACCTCCATCTCGTCTGATGTTCGCTGGAATTCTCTCCAGAGCCATGACGGCAGCTGCTCCAGCCTCTTCGGCAATCTTTGCCTGTTCAACATTCATGACATCCATGATGACACTGCAGGAAGGGGAAGGGAACATGTCAGCGATCTCACAGTTGCAGGCTAACCCAGTGATACGAGGGCGGAGACGGGATCGTAGATAAGACCTGCTTTCTCGAGCATGTGAAGTGAACATGATCTGCCCTCTGAGCCCGGAGGTCCATCCATCCATCATCGGCCCCACCCTCGCCCTCACGCTCGCTTCGCTCGGTATCGAAACCGACCACGCCCACACTCACCCTCCTTTCAACATCTGGGCCAACCCCGTCTTCACACCAAACGTTCCACCTGCACCACCTGCACCTCCACCTACTTGTCCACTGACTCCTCGTCCAAAGACTGGCGTAGAGGATCCATTGGCGGTGGTAGGAAGGGGGTTCGAAGAGGGCACGACGGTAGGCTCCGACATGGCGCAAACGGGTCACAATACGGAACAAGCTGTGTGTGCGTGGGAGAGTTTCGACTGAGACGACCTTCTACACGATCGATCGAGACGACTTTCAAGGAGCTTCAAGTCGGGGTTTTCCAACAAGATCTTCGGTCGGTTGGAAATTGCAGGCACAGTTACGTGGGTCTCGCTGAAGAGACAGTCTTGTCAGCCTAATCACTACGCTATCGCCACGTCCGAAACCACAGCACATCACCAAGAGCTTCACATTGCGCGCCGCCATTACAACAACACTCACTGATTCTTTTGTTTTGACTCCAAACTGTTGATGATCTATCGCTAGGTCCAACAAAAGTCGAGCGAGATCCCGATTCCCAACTTTTCAACTCAAAACGGATACTCAACTTACGTAATGACACGTGGTGGGCAGCGGCAGCGCTTGGCTAGTCAAACCATCGATCGATCGAATAGAGACGACGACGACGACGACGACGACGTCTGCGACCGGGAGCTAGACAGCGATCAAGTTGGAAATGATAGGAGACAGAAGCAATTTGGTGCGTACTGAGGGAAGGTGGAAACGAAAGATAGATACATCGTAGCATGTCTTCCAAGATTTGCTAAATCATTAGTGAACCCAGCAGTACTGTATATAACATCTGCGTCTAGGATGATCTCAGGGCTCCTGACCATCGAGGCGAGAGAAGATATCCGCGGCTTCAACATGTAGCATCAGCATGTTCACCATTCGCCGTTGGGACACAAACCCATCCACCAACACCAACACCACCATCATCATCACCACCACCACTTCCTCCACTTCCTCCACTTCCTCCACTTCCTCCACTTCCTCCACTTCCTCCGCCTCCTCCGCATCCTCCGCCTCCTCCATCATGTACCGTAATCTACGTAATCTGCAGATTCACATGCCAAATATTCGCTTGAAAAGATGTTGCGTCAGTCAAGCGCCAGCGAAGCCATACGGTGTCTTGCGAGATTTTCAACTCACTCTGCCAACTCTGCCACCACTCGCCTACGTAGATAGCATCGTCAGCTCGATCGCCCCCCTTCGACACCACCTCCAAAACCCACCTCGCATCGTCAAACTCTTCCAGACCGTTGGCAAACATGTCTTCCTTTTTGTATCCCTCCAGAAAGGCATTTCGTTTGCGTAATCGATCGTACTGATCCAGCATGCGTTTGAACAGCTATGAGTCGTCGAGACGCATGAAGCGGAGGGGCAGTCAAGTCAAAGGTAAAGGTAGAGAGCACTCATGGTCAGCCTGAATCCATGTGATGCTCGCCTCGCCTCGCTCCCCTCCCCTCCTCGCCTTGCAAGGCTTCAAACCCCACTCACCGAAGCCATACTCGTGTGATTTGCCAACATGACTCCACTGACTCTGTTACCTGCCGTGCGCCGCTTCGTCAATGCCACTTGGATACTTGCCGGACCCCAAGGGATGAAAGTGGCCAGTTGACGTTCACGAATCCGTAAGAGGGATTTATGGACGTCTGTCGGGTCGACATCGCCCGAAATGATGTTCAGGCAGGAAATGTAGCAGGAGGACTTGGTCGAGGTGGTCGATACCATTCGGTTCTTGGGTTGGAGTAGGCGACGCATGACATCGAGGGTGGTGGTTTTGCGAATGGATTTGGCCTGCCAAGTGAGCGAGCGGCGCGAAGTGATGCGAGCGAGTCAACGTGGAATGGTAGGAGTAGATCGATGATTGATTGAAATCAGATCAGCTGGTGTCCAGCGCCAGACTTAAGCATCTGACACCTACCTTGTCAATCTCCTCCCCTGTGAATGGAGTATAACTCGTCATGAGGAAATGACACCTTGGCGTTGGGATAAGACTGGCGATGATACCGACGAGATCATTGTTCATATACGAAGGGTACCGTAACGTTTGGGTACTTGCAGCCATCACGGTGGACACCTGAGGGGGAGCAGTGAGTCAGGACCAGCTGATTTCCAAACGAAACTCACCAATTGATTCGTTTGCACAAAGCTCGGATCTTGTATGTGTAGTCTGTCTGCTGCTATACGAGCCAGAGCCGCATTCTCCAAAACCACCACGCTATCTGCGTTGTTCACCAGACGCTTCATGGCTAGTAAAGAGTTGTATGGTTGAACGACGACATCCGCTCCTCCCGGAAAGACTGAGTATGTTTGAATGAGTTTTTTGGGGAATCGGTCGTTGAGTCGTTCGAGTAGGAAAGAACCGAGTCCGGACCCAGTACCTCCAGCGATCGAGTGGATGAGGTTGAAGCCCTGAGCACGGACGTTGAGATATCGTGGAGATCGACATGATCACATGAAGCCAGAATTGTAAGAGGGAACATCTGCCTCAGCACCGGTCTGACCCATATCAAGCGCCATGACTCACCTCTAAGCTATCACTTCCATCCGCCTCTCTATCAATCATTTCCATCAAATCATCGTACACCTTTTCCCCTGCGCTGTAGCCTTGAGCCCAATTGTTCCCGGCTCCTCCTCCAGTCTTGGAGACATATATGTTCTCAGGATTATACAAGCCCTTGAAAGGCGACGAAAGGATATTGTTGATGACCTGAGGAGGGATTGTCAATCGAGATGTAAAGTTACGGTGTGTGAATGATTTGCCGAAGAGATATAGACAACCCACTCTAGGCTCTAGGTCCACTAATATAGCTCTCGGGATGAAATGTTCATCGTCCGCTTGGTAAAAGAAGACATCCTTCCGATCTCCTTGACCACCTTCTGCTGCCCAATCTTCTAAATCTCCATTAGGCGAGATCCCGTGTTCTGCACAAAGCTTTTGCCAGAACTGATGTGCAGGTCAGCCAGTCCGTGCATGTGATGGCATCCGGTCCCAGTGTGAGATGCTCTGTTGACATACCTGAGCACCGACTGAGATATCGTTAGTCAAAGTTATTGGCCCTACCAATTGACTCACTCTGGTTTCCAGCTTGCCCTGCCTGATCGTGAAAGGTTGTGATTCAGCTTCGGCACAAGTATAGTCTTCTCTTCTGCTCACCTGGATGGAGATGATCTCACGACCCATGTTCGAAATGCAAGCTCCAATTGAAGCCTCTCGGCGTTGGATGCGTTCCTCTCCCGCGATGAACCACCTTTGTACCGCTCAAATCGCCTCCTTGCAATGTTCTCTACCTGATCTTCGAGGGAACTTTCAGATCTCGGGGATGGTTGTGACAGTATGGTAAGATCCAGTTCAAAAGTATTATAGGCATCCCATCCTCAAAGTTGATGTTGAAAGGTCCCCACGCGAGACGCGTCGCGGAGAGTCAAAGGATCTCCTCACCACGTGTCTTCCAAATGTCCGATGACCGGCGAGCAAGTTTCGGGTGAACTGCTAATAAGCCCCATTTTGTGGTACTGCTGCTAATCACACTATCCATCACCCATGCCGAAGCTCAAGTCTGCCCTGGCGAATCATCAAGCTCATCAAGCTAGGTTGAACGCTCAGGCGAAATCCAGCCAGGTCAACCATGATAAAGAGAGATCGATCAAGTATGGGAAAAGCAAGAAGGCGAAGACCAAAGTCGGAGGAGGAGTAGGGCAGAAGGCAACGACGTATGGAGATACGGGGCAAGTGAATATCAGTTCAGACTGGAACATTGGATGAGAGAGAGGCATTCAGTCTGATTTTATACTCAGATTGGACAGATGGCCGGACCTTCTGGATCAATTCATGGGATTAACCCCACGTCGCTGACGAAGGGCAAAGGCAAAGCTCGAGCTCCTACGAATCCAATCGATAAGGACGATACGGTGCTTCTACTGGGCGAAGCAAACTTTTCATTCGCACTCTCTCTTGTCTCTTCGCCTCATTCTCATCCTCCCACTTTGGTCTGCGCAACATCCTACGATTCGGAAAAGGTAAACGCAATGGCGGCAGCGGCCCTCTCCCCCCTCCTTCCTCGTTCTCTATCTCATCATGGTTTGAAGCTGATGTAGCCGTGTATACAGACATGTTATCAGAAGTACCCTGATGCTGCGGGTCACGTGGACAAATTACGAGCGCTGGGTGTCAATGTTGGCTTTGATGTGGATGCGGGGGCCTTGGAGAAAAGTAAAAGTGTGGTGGGTAAAGGCAGGCGATGGTCAAGGATCATCTTCAATTTCCCTCATGTTGGTGAGTTGGCGGCGTAGTCACAAAATGGCATCTGCATTCGACTCTCACCATTCGTCCCCTCCAAAAAAAACAATCCTCTGACACTGACTGACACAATATGTGTTCAGGTGCCGGGATCACCGATCAAGATCGAAATATTCTATCCAATCAACATTTACTTCTTCGTACATTTAGATCGGTCGCTCCGTTTCTATCCAAAGGTCCAAGCAAATTCCCCTTGGTCAATGAACAAAGAATGAAGAAACGCAAGCGTACACAGGCAGAAGACGATGTGAGCGATGTAGAGGGAACCATCGAAGACGTCTCCGAGAATGAGAATGAGAATGAGGACGCACATGACGATCCGAGCGATGGTCAGGAACCGTCAAGTCTTCCGCGCACCACTGCTCGCACTATCCCTTTCACAACTCCAAAGAAACAAGGTACCATCCTCATTACCGTCCTCAATCAACCGCCTTATACCCTTTGGAACCTTTCCAAACTGGGTACCAAGCCGCCTCCGTTGTGCCCTGGGACTACTCTCCCTCAACCGCGATATACCCTCCTGAGATCGTTCGCGTTCGCACCAGAGCTATGGAGAGGGTACGAACACCGTCGGACATTGGGGTTCAAAGAGGGTTTAAGCAAGAGAGAGAATATGGAGATCATCGGGCGGAAGGGAGAAGCTAGGACTTGGGAATTTGCGTTAAAGGCGGACGAAGGGGAGGAAATAAACTAGCTAAGGGGGCGGTGTGCTAGGTATCAGCAACGCTGCTCTTGGGTTGGCAGTGTGTTGAAGGACTTGTATCTTCCGGTCTAGCTGTACATATAGTAACCCGAATACATGACATCCCTTGACCCTGACCTCCAGTCTCATGGCATTATGACATTATGTACCTTCTCCACTCTATAATATCCAAGAAACTTTGAGTGACCAGTAGAGTTTTTCCACTGTGTTCACCCCATAGCCGATAGGTAAGTAAATCAACGTCGTTTAGAGAACAGCTGAGACATGATCAGCTGGCATACTTGCGCTTGAACATCAGACCAGACATACCTTGTTAAAAAGAGCCAAGACTTTTGGTACATTCAGCTGTACATATTCCAGATCAAGCATGGCTTGGTTGTCTTTTTGCTACCGGTGCAAATCGTCGTCAGCTCAACCATTTAAAACGTTATGGGACTGTATCCCGCTCACTTTCTCCAACAGATCGTCAATCTTCAGATCCATCTCCAATATAGGCTTTTCTCTCCCCTTGAAATGAAGGGCAATGATGAACGTTCCAGGAGTCGGCGAAGTAATGTTAAAGTAGATGTTGATCCGTCTAGGCAGGGATGTCAACAGACGTTCCCCTTCCGCCTCTAGAGCGCGGCGTCACGCCTCTCACCTGCTCTCTGGGACATTACTCTCCATGATGATACCCTCCTTCTCAAATTGCGTATGCGTGAATCTGTAGGGCCCCAGAACAGTCGTCTTGACGGGCTTCTTCTCTTTGCCATTGACACTGACCACGCCGACTCCACCCGCATGCTTGTCTTTGGCCGTTGTGAGCCGAACATTCTGGAGGTACGCCTTGTACTGTTCCAATTGACTCCTGAGATAATTGTTGTGATCTCCAATGGTCTTGTAGACCGCTTCGAGGGACCTGGTCTCAAGCACCACTTTTTCCTTTGCGTTGCCCAAGTGGACCATCTCTGCCGCCACTTCATCCTGGATGATCTTGTAATCATCCGATTTATCAACGACTTTCGCGGCATCCAACTCCGCGAGGAGGTTCTGAACCTTGATACCTCTTCTCACGAGCATCGGATCTTTTGACGTTGCTGCCTTTTCCGCCAGCGCGGGTAGGTCGATAGGCCGCTTCTCAGCGAGATTAGGCATCGATCGCAAAAGTTGAACAAAGATGGACTTGGCTTCCATGTAGTTGATATCGTTTTGAGTCACGCTGTCCGACATGAGAGCAGCAGATAGGTCTTGGATGGGAGTCTCCCAGCGAGAGTAGAGGGGAAGCTCAATCGACCTGTTCTCCTTTCGAGGGACTTGAGCCGGCGCAGTGCCAAGTTCATCGAGCAAGATTCGGAGGTGATGTTTCTGGTTAGGTGACTGGAAAGACGGGTCAGTTGGGCCATAGGGGATCATAGAGGTCAATCACATCCGATACTCACCAGCACGTCCATGTGTTGCATCAGCAATGAGTGGGTGTTATACAGTTCATTCAAGGTGATGTTGATTTGCAGATCCTTCTTCGAAAGTGCCATGTACTGGTCGAGCTGGAGGCGGCAAAGGTCAGTATGATTAACACCTACGGATCGTCCAGTCCCACCTCCAATGAATCGTAAAAGTCCCCAACCTCACATAGGGCATTCAAGAATTGATTCATCCTGACCTTGTTGGTCTCGACGAATGGATTGAGAGACATCATATACTGCTCCTTTGCGTAGGATGGTTTATTCGCAAGATTCTGCAGCATCTTGGCGATCTGCAGTGGGGCATCAGTGTCCGTGCCGCTTCGAGATCCTCTCACCAATGTCAACGTCCGTCTGGGGTGCTTTGCAGGGACTCCATCGACCAACATGTACGCTTGAGGAGTGACGATGGCGGGGTTGATGAACCGGAGGAAGAAGAATCCTCCAATAAGGGAACATATGGACGCATCGGAAGCTTCCGGGTATTTGCGCTGGAATAGCAGTGTCAGCATATCGTCGCGCACATACGAGACCCTATAATCACCCTCGTCAAGCTCCTGATCTGCTTGCAGATCCACCTGATGCCGTAGGGCACCGTGTCCAAGCTCTCGATGATGGTACTGAGGAACGTGTTGGCGATCTCCATCAACATTGTGAGACGAGGAACGATGATAGCTTGAACGTCGGAGTTTGCAGCAGCGGTCTCGGGCGGGACACCACGAGGCAGTGATGGAGGAAGAGTTCCAGTGTCCTCCTCAATCTGCTGAATCATTTGCTCGTACACCTGGTGAGAGGATGAGCTGGGGTGCGTGCGGCGTATGATAGGGCTTGCGATATCTCACCTTGAGCGGATTGATCTCCAAGTTCAGATCCTTGTGCTCTATCAAGGAGTTGATCCTGTCCGCTAGGACGCTCTTGAGATAACTTTGACCGGGACCTCGACGGGTATAGGTCGTCATCATCCGTGAGACGGGTGTGTTGGCACGGAGAAGGGAGCCAAACTCGGATGTGGTTTCGAATTGAGCGGATAAGACAGACTGTGAGGTTTGCATCAGCGCAGTGGGCGACAGCAGGGCAGACGAAAGGGACAGCGTATCAGACCAAGAGCATCTCTAAAGGTCCCTTGATCTGATTACCCTCGACCCTCCCTCTCAACGCGAACTGATACCTTCACACTGCGACTCTTACTCACCTGGAACATTGTCAAGAGCAAGTGCTCTTCCCTCTGTTCGTACTGATTTCCGTAGAGGGTGAACATGACCGTCTGCAACAGCGTGTCGATCTCTGTGAGCGATACGAGTCTACACAGACTGGCAACGTGTCGAGGCTCGCTCTGAAGCAAGAAGAAGAGATTGGCATATTGGCTCATTCTCTTCTCGTCGGGCCAAAGACCTTCATCCTCATCGACTTCTTCCAGTGTCTCCGCGACTTCCCTCTTTTCATCTGCTGCCATGCGATTTTGAATCAAGAGGGCGATCCTAGAATCGAGGTATCGGACGTCACGTTCCAACACGAAATTCTTCTTGGACTGTGCTGATATTCTCGCTTTCAGTTCCCTCAATCGTTTCTGAGCCCTCGCCAAGTCGTCTTCGATATCGACATCTTGCTCCGCGGCGAGAGAGTACATGGCATTGACGGAATACCGGTTCGTCATCCTGTTGGTCATCCTGTTGGACGACGACGCAGGCGAGGGAAGAGTATCGGGGATGGTGGTGGGCGGCGGAGAGAAAGTCGTGGCTGCCATGGTGAACGATCGTATCTGGAGAACCGATTCACAGTCAAGCGGTTCGGAGCGGAAGAGAGCGGGTAGTCAAAGCGGAGCCGTCGAGGAATGTGAAGCTGCGGGTGCGTCGAGGTTAGATAAGCTTCCAAATGACAGCCTTGCCCCAGAATCAGGAGTATTCAGAATCAATCCAGCAGCGCAATGATCCAATACGCCTGATTGATCCTTCGATGGAGGGGGGCGCGAAACGATCAGACGAACAATTCAGTGGATCCAAGCGGGGGGGTTGATTTCGTCCCGAGGCTGGGGATGCAATGAATGATCCTCGTCCTTGAGCTGGGTAGGTGCGTGAAGCTGCCGGACTAAGCAGGCTGAAGGGATTTTGACACTTCAGTCACGCTCCATTGAACGAGCCGAGATGTCAAAGATGCTTGCGCGTTCAAGAGATGACCACAGGTGTGCGATCCTTTGTTCCGCGTTCAAACGGGATGAAGCAATGAGAACAGCAGAAGAATGGCGATAATCGATGTTCGCCGACAAGGTGGTCCACGCTGTTGAGACGTCTCTCCTCTCCGTTCTAGACGGTGAATGACAGACGCTGAAGATGATGAATGCTACCAGCAGCAGCAGCAACAGCAGCAACAACAATGCAACAACAGCAAAGGTCACACGTCTCAAATTGGCGGATATTGGAATCGATTGCAAATGAAATTTAAACTTTATTACCACGCCGGCTGAGGGCTGGTCGCTGAGTCTGTTGGGCTGCTGAGCTGTTGGGCTGCTGGGGGGCTGAGTTGCTGGGCTGCTGGGTCTGCTGGGCAAGGATGCTGGCTGGATAACACGCAGGCATACTTCAAGGCAGTCATGATGCGAAAGCAGATGCTGTCGTCTAGCGAGTGCCATGGCTTGGCATGAGATATGTTGTAAGTGGTAGCATACCTGCGCCACAAAAGATCTCTCGCACAGAACTAACTATAGGCAACTAATAAACCTCATATCAAGCCCACGCTCCAGCAAGGGACCGTCTACTTCTTCCCGGCAGATCTGTCACATCAAGGTCAGTCGATCGAGATACAATGACGAGGTAATCCTCTGGCCTCGCTCGGATCGGCTCACTTTTTGATGCCTGCACCTCCCATCGGACCTTTCTGAGAAGCTATAAAACGCAAAGATAAGCTTCTGTCCTTGGAATACAGCAAGCAACAGGCGCAAGATAGCATAGCGACCCAGGAGAAGCATTGGTCGACCTCATCCGAATGACACGAGACGCACCTTTCTGAGCTGCTGCCTTTAACTCGGCTTGCTCTTTCTTCCTGTAATCCAGGATCAGCTAAAGGTTCTCCCGCTAAAGTCCGAGGGGTAGTCCAGCAGAGCGAGGTATCGGAGGGAATGCCTATGTCCCCGGCCCTCTCGAATGGCGACAAAGCTGGACTCCCCAACTCACTGCTTCTCCTTGAAAGCGAGATCATCTTCATCTCTGTGTCCAACGATCAGCCAGCATATTCACCACACTTAGAGCATATCTAAACGTACAGTTCCTTCTTCTCCTTCTTTGGCGCCTGCGAGGTGTCACACAGCGGTTACGGTGAGGTTGATTTACAGGGTGTCAGACCATCACGACGAAAGGGGTGGGTGATATCAGACGGAACAGACAGAAAGTTGAGGCGAAATACGAGCAGCGATACGAAACGAAAACAGTCACATTGTCAGCAACAAACACAAATACGAGAATCCGGAGACAGTACAGACCTTCAGCGGCTTGACTGTGATCGTCGAGACAACAATACGTCAATACACCTCCGTCCTTTGACTCGTCTTCTAGACTGACCTTTGCCACCTGTCATGAAAGTCAGCACGTATTCCGTCGACGTCCGTGAGCCCGAGCCTACCCTGTCGTCCGGACATATCGTCTAATAGAAACCAAGCGAGATGCGTGAAGGCGGGAGACAGCGTTGAGGATCTGGCTGCATAGAGTCGAGGTGGTCAAAGAAGATTCTGAATCCTCTACTTCCTCATACTCACTCTACTAGCTAAAGGGTCCCCCTCCTCTGAATACTGACAGGTCCACCGGGCCACTCCAAGGATGTCCGAACGACTCTATCGATGCAGGTCACATTCAAGATGTGGAAATTCAGCACGACGCCAAACTACAAACCGTCGAGTGTGGCGCAAAAATAACAAACCGTGGCGGAGAGCGATGTTTTGCGAGTTGGCTCCTTGGCTATCATCGACGACAAAGCTGTGGTATCCACTATCCATAGCACTGAGGGACCACGATGCTCAAGTCATGTGGGATGCGAGAGGGCAATGTCAAGTGCCTAGACTGGAGGCTACATTCTGCCTATGTACCGCGGGTTTCCATGTGCATTCTGGGTGGATGTCTTTCGACGACCGGTGTCGATGGCGGGCTCACCCACTGATTGCTCTGTAGCAGTGTTGTTTCAGAGCCCGTCATAGGCCCATCATCTCGTCATGACCGTGTGTTTGACATGGGCGTACTGAACCATTCATTCTTGGACGTTGATGGATGGCCTTTGCCGCCTGCCACATAAACTTGCCACGTGGCCAAATGAGGTCATCAATGAACATGTGGACGGCTGCCGGACTTCTTCTTCATCGAGCTCTTTTGATCACAACCTCTTCATATTCAACTGCCATCTAACGAGTCATTGAGTAATTTCTCACAATGTCTGAGCAAACCGAGATCAAATCGTGCTGTGTCACTGGACGTAAGTCTTGCTGTCTCCCTCTCTCCCTCTCTCCCTCTCTCCCTCTCTCCCTCTCTCCCTCTCTCCCTCTCTCCCTCTCTCCCTCCCTCCCTCTATCCCTCCCTCCCTCCCTCTTCGCCTATCTCGTCCCGTTCCGTGACCTCCAGAGTCATAGCTGACTGAAACACTCGCCTCATTTCAGACCTGCACCAAGGCCAACCCCTCGGATCCATGGAAACGGTCCACGGTGTCCACTCCTACGTCTCCAAGCCTAAAGAGGCCAGCGGTGACAAAGTCGACAAGGTCATCCTCATCACTGACATTTTTGGAATCTACAACAACACAAAACTCGTTGCGGATGAATGGGCTGGACAAGGGTACGAGGTCTATGTGCCTGATTTCTTGGGAGACAGTAAGGTTGATGAGGAGTTGTTGAATGTGAGTCATCCCACAATTATTGGAGACTCCGAGAGAGCAGCGAGGTGCTTGCGATGTTTGCCTCATCGCCGTTCCCTTCCGAGGGTATCCTCACGAGAATAGTACTCTGGCTGAGCTACCGTTGCGCTGACTGACGCATTTCTCCACAGACCATCGCACCCAATCTCCGGGTCCAGAAGGAGGCTACTGTCCTACCCAAAGCTGCAGACACAGCCAAGACTGGCGCCGCGATCGGTCCATTCTTGATCACTAACCGCGAGGCTGGTAAGTCATCGTTCTCCCCGCCCCCCCCCCCCCCCCCTTCTTTCCTTCACAAATCTAAGTGCTAACACGCGATCATGTATCAGTCACCAAGCCGAAAATCGAAGGATTCGTCCAAGCTGTCCGAGCAGAGCCCAACACGTGAGTCGAGATTGTCATCAATTGACTTTGTCACGCACTCTTTAGAGTATACTGGCCTTGCTGACTTTTTCTCCTACTCGCGATTAGTCGACACATTGCAGCCATTGGATTCTGCTGGGGTGGTCGATATTCGCTCCTTTTGGCTCAGGAGGATTCGCCCGCCAGGGTCGATTGCGCCATTGCCAACCACCCATGTGAGTGCTCATCGCGCTTCACGCCCAAAGGCTGGCTGACAGACAACCCTTTTCCCCAGCGTTCTTGACCAACGACGACGTCAAGGAGATCAAGAGCGTCCCTGTGGCCATCTTCAAGGGTACTCAGGATGCTATGATGAGTGATGATGCTTTGGATGAGGTGCGTTCACATCACACTGCTGGAGAATCCTGGCGGCAAGTATACTAATGCTGATGACATGCACAGGTCGAAGGTATCTTGTCTAAGAACTTGCCCAGTGATAAGCTCGTCGTTCAGAAATTCCCCGATGCGTGAGTGTGCTCGGCGTTGGCGATGGCGTTAGCGTTGGCGTTGGCTTCGGCGGCGTTGGTCTGAGACCACGCCACGATTCATGATTTAGAACTGACGACATTTCCTCCTTACAGCGTTCATGGTTTCACCATCCGAGGTGACATGGAAGACGGTCAAGAAAAACAACAAAAGGAAGATGCTCAGAATGCAGCGATCAAGTTTGTCAAAAAGGCTTTCGGTGCGTAGAGTCTATGCCAGCAGCGATGGTTCGTTAGGAAGACAATGGGTTGAGACGTAAGATCTTCTAAATGAGATGGAACGTAAGATATCCGAGTCAGTAATCTGTAGTGACTCGTATCGAGGAAAAATGTATTCATTGCTCTGTGAACGACGAAATGTGTACATGTGAGGACCCGTGAAACCGCGACTTATCCTTTCTCACCACGTCGTTAGGAGATGTATCGCATGTCATATTGTTACGATTCTGGTGGATGATCAAGTGAGAAGATGAGTGGTACGAGTGTATTTAAGGAGGTCACTGAATCCTTGACGTCCAGCCGTCTTGGAGGTCCTCAACGGTTGGATCATTTTCGCACCGCTCCAAGCAAAATAGCAACATTCACAAACGGCATCATCAAACCACAGCAGTAATTGAGATCATCTTTGCGTTCCTACCATCGCTCCCTCCCCTCAACCTCCATCAAACGTTTCCCTTTCACCAACCGACCAACCGGAGAAGAGTCTCATCAGACAGAGACCTCCTTGACTCCATTTGTGATCTCTTTGATCTCATCCTTTTGCTCTTTTCCATTGAGCTCTGCTCCCTCCTTCTTTTCCTCTGACTTCTCCTCATCTCCACCCTCTTCTCCAGCTTCATCCAATAGCCCGAAAGAATTGGCAGCAGCTGCAAAGCTGAATCCAGGTCGAGTTTGACTCTCCTTCCGTACTGGTTTGGGCGCCTCCTTCTTCTCGACTTTAGCCTTGGATCTCGAAATTTCAAATCCATCCTCTCCGACAGTCGCGGCGGGGGGAGATCGAGCCGTCTGTCGTCCTGCTGAAGTGGCGCCTGAACCACCACGTCCAACGTTATCTTGACTTGATCGTCTAGGTCCACCAGTCGCTCCTCCAGGTCCAGAAGGACGTCTGGGTCCTGAACCATCTCGTTGAGCATCATGCACATTCCCACTGGATGTCCTTCTCGGCCCTTGACCTTGCCAAGCATTCCCACCGGGTCCACCACCTCGCCTCTGTGCCCCGGCCCCGACACCACCACCAGCTCCAGCTGCAGCACGTTCAGATTGAGCATCTGTACCCGCCGGATTAGGTGGAAGGCCATGAGCCGCGAGAGCTGCGGATGTGGCTTTGGCTTGTTCCTCTTTGAACTTTTTGGCCTTCTCCTCCTGTAACAGTCGACCTTTCTCCTCGTCTTCTTTTTGTCTCCGAATTTCCTCCTCTCTCGCTTTACGACGCTCCTCTTCCTTTTGAGCGAGCTTTTCCTCAGCTTCTCGTTCCTTCGTAGCGGAATCGATAGGTTTAGCGGAGCCAAAGATGCTGGATCGAGAATCCTTGGATCCATCCCCGCCTGAAGTCGCGGCGGTTGTCGCAGTGGATGGAGTGGCAGGTACAGATCGAGGAGCGAGGGTCAATTTACGTCGTTCGACAGGAGCAGGGGGAGGTTGGCTGGGACCTTGAGCTCAAGGTCAGACGCGGCACTCCAATTCATCATTCGAGGACTCACTTCCGCCATCAGCAGATGGGACGGCCGATGTGGCTCGAGACGATCGCCAGTCTCGTTCTTCAGCCGGTGAAGCCGTAGCGGCAGATTGTGGCGTCTCGTCAACGATAGGCGTACGGAGTTTGGATCCTCGAGACCACTAGGAAAAGTTCGTCAACATTCGGCTCATCCAAGATATCAGCAAACCTCACCGTCGCTTCGGTTTCGGCCAGACTGGGACTACTTTCACCCGTGTGTAATCCCGCGCCGGGTCCTCCTCTACCCGCCGACGTGCTACCATCCCGATTCTGACGAGGCTCTGCCATAGGTCTCGAGCTCCTCCATTGTCCAGCTTCATCGGCTGCACTAGGCTGACCATATTCTGCACCTCCTGGTCCACCTCTTTCTCTTCCTGGTCCGGATGAATCCCGTCTCAAGGGGGAATGGGGAGCGGAAGGGACAAATCTGGATCCTCTGGCTGAACCCCAATCGAGATCTGGTCCTCCTTCGCGTTCGGGTCGATCAGCGAATGATGAGGTCCTTCGGGCAGCTTGAGGCGCATCAGCCCTAGCGGGCAATGGGGTCGTTCGACGCCATTGGTCAGCTCCGTCCGCGGCGGAACCAGGGTATCCTTCCCTCTTGGCGGCTAAAATCGAGCGATGATCAGTGTGGGTCATGAGATGCGCGGGAAGCATGATAGACTCACGCGCATCAGCGACACTGATCCTGATAGTGCGTCCCATCATCTGTTGCATGTTCTTCTCCAATGCAGCTTTGAGATCATCGCGTTTACTGAACTCGACATAGCCGAACCCTTTCGGTTTCCCAGTAGGATCCTTGACCAAACGGACAGAAGTGGGTGATTGCTCTGCGAAGAAGTCTCGAAGGGAGTCCTCTTCAACCTCGAAAACGAGATTGCCGATAAACGCAGTGAAGGGCGGTACATCAGGTAGCGGTAGCTCTTCTCGAGGCGGGCCACCAGTGAAGGCTTACAAGAGGATAAGCAAAAGGTTTCATCGAAACGCCTGGTCTAGAGATTACTCACTCGGTCGAGCTCCACGATCAGGCATCGAATCGAGGTATCCAGGCTCTCCACGTTTAGGAGCAGTACCTTCTGCTCTCGCAGCCGCTGTTTGACAGGTATCAGCGTGCACGTTTTGAGAGGTCCGATCAATTCGCTTGATCCTCTTCGTCCAAGCTCACGCGCAGTGGGTACATTGTCCATTTCGTCGGCCCATGATCCAGAGGCTGATATCACTCAGTGCAGTCTCATCGCTTTATTGCTCAAAACGCACCCGCATCTGCGAAGAAGTCGGCCAAAGCCATCTTCTGGGCCTTCTTCTTGGGTGCTGTGAGGTGTCCCAGAGCACATTGCGAGGGGCATGGTAAGGGAGACGTATGGAGGGTTAGAGATGGTAGAAAGGGAGTGAGAGAGCGCAGTGTGCGGAATAGAGGCATCAAGTGAGGAGGAACAAGAAGAGCACAAGATGCGTCAGTAAGGAGTCAACCAGGTTGACGACATCTGCTCACTCACCCATGATGGAAGGTTTTGAGTGTTGTCAGACTAAGACTTCTCTGATAAGTATAGGTTGTCGAGCAGATAGTTTCCTCTCGACGGAATGTGTAGTTAGTGCACGCTTCCCAAGTTGGATGAGTCCGACGTTGGAAAGTTGGATGAATGGATGGATGATGTCCAATGGGTCGCACCGGCCGCACAAAACGCTTTGGTTGAAATTCTTTTCCCGCAAAAATACTTGAAAACAATGCCACGTCATGGGTTATTGTCCAGTGATCGGTGGAATGAGTGGGTAGTGGTGGCTATGTATGTATGTGCAAGGACGATAGAGGTCCTTCGATGTATGGGAATGTGGGAGAGTCGTTTGGTCTATACAGAGAGCTAACGTTTCGGATGCATGACTTGTACAAGAACAGATCAGCTAACTAGTGTGGATTTGTGGCATTGTGGCATAACGACACAACAACAGCAAGACAGTACAGTACATATTACGCGACATTGGATGGTCTGTTGTTGCTTCTGATGGAGGGGTGCTGGCTCAGTCGCAATTTAGACTGGGGTAAAACACTCGGAGCCCCCGAGGTAAGAGGAAGTGGTGAGGGAGAGGGAGATAGATGATAGAGGAGGGCGAAGGGGGTTTTGAAAGGATGATGAGCTCATCTTAGGGAGGTATGTTTAGGAAGGGGGGGCGAGAGCGAAAGAGGTGACCGTAAATTTGGGTTCAACTCCATCCGCTCACTCATCTACCTCACATCACCACCCATCATCATCTCGATCAGACCACTCAACTCAAAACCTCACCACAATCCTATTCTCCAGTCCCATTTTCGCGCCAAACAATCTACTACTAGGAGCCTCAGAACACTCACCCACCGGAAGCGCTCTTTCGGCATTCCGACTCTCCATTCGCCACACCCTCAACTGAGAGACCTGTACTCGACTCAAGCACTCTCACACTCAGACTGGGTTCTTCCTTCTCACAGTCACACTTTGATACCACATCATGGCATATAAGACCGACAACCCACTCAAGAAAGCGCTGTACTGGCTCTGTCTCTTATGGATGATCGTAGCCATCGGAGCGCTCGTCATGGTGAGTTGTGGCACATCTCAGGCGTCTACCCGGACCCCTTCCTCCTTCATCCTACATCTCATATTTCACACTCTTGTTGTTCTTGGGAGGGGGATCCAATCTGGACTGATCCACTTACTTACAGGTGATCACCGTCTGGGTGATGATCATCGCGCAGGATCTCGACGTTTTCCACGATACGATGGGTGGGTTCATAGACTTCTCCGTTGGCGACCGATGGTCCTGATGTTATCCCCCCGCTTAGGGTATTACCTTGGGAACGATATCTTGAGGTATCCTCCAGGAGATCCAAACAATGGCTATGTCGGTGAGTGAAAGGGTGCTTCAAAAAACCCACCCATGACAGAGTTCACTGATGGTGCTTTCTAGACAACACCAATATTCCAAAGCATCTAGGAGGAGCAGTGTAAGTCCTTTTCAAACAGTACTGTACCTAGTCTTCTATTCGTATTGTCTCACCCTCTGGCGGGGACTGTGGTTGACACCACGCCACGACCACCCAAAGCTTCGCCACGGTCTTTGGTATCGCCATGATCATCTTCTGTCTCTTTGCGCTTGCCGGTGACATCTTCTGGCGCTTTCCTTACGCTAGGCAATGGCTTGGTGAGCTACATCCGGTGAATCGAAACTGAATATCCTCAATAGTGTGGACCGCTGCGTTGGGTTTACAGACGGCTGATGATCTGACGAAATACGAATACGTCTGTGAGTTGAGTTGTTAATTGGGACAGGACTGCTCTTCTGATTGTTGACACCATCATTCCTGTTCAGTTCTCTGGGTAGGTCATACATAGAAACGCTCTTCACCCCGTTGCCAAAAGAACTGCCACTCATTGTCCTTCTCGTCCAGGCCAACGCACTCCTCAAGCTGTTCATCGTCACGGTGAGTGAGATATCTTCTCCCTGACACATTCTATCCTCAAATCCACCTCGCCTCGCGAAGTGAAAATCAGTCTGATTGTCCGGGACCACCCACCACAGGCAACAGGAAGCAAAGCATGGAGCGGTCTAAACCCTAATCACCCAGACCTACGAACCCCAACATTCGCACTTTACGCTACTTTCATTCTCCTAGGATCCATCTTGGTGACGTGAGTGGGGCCCTTCGGCGAGCTGCACCGCAAGCACGATGGGAAAAAAGCTGACGCAGAGTTGCGTTCTGTCAGATTTGCCGTTGAAGCGGTCAGTCTTCTCCATATGACTGTACGACCCGTGTGATTGCTGACATCCAAGTTCAGACTCTCATCAAGTGGCACAAGAATGAAGAATGGGCAGCGTCCGAAGCTGAAAAGGCCAAGGGTAAGAAGTAGGGTCAGATGGTGAGATCAAGCGTCAGAGTGTGTAGCGAGAGCATGTCTTTTGTGAGATCATGCATCGCAACGAGTCAGCTTCGTGTTTCGTTATTCGATGTCGACTGCATATGCGATGCGCATCACCGTCATGCACAACATACCCCTCTGTCCATCATCGATACATGCGTTGAACGTCATTAACTATTTCTCCCATCGCCTAATGCACAAGTGGAACTGTTCATCTGACCAGGTACTCCATCTACAGGGCCGTCGCGGTCGTACTGTCCACCTGTGACAGCGATGAGCCTGATGCCGTCAGAGCACATAGCACTTGACTCACCTCTATTGTCGGCACGATACTCGCTATGAACTTCAAGAACTGGGCGAACATGATCAGCAATTCGATTCTCCTTACCGTGGACAGCGGGTCAGGCAGAGCCAGCAGAGCCAGCAGGGCAGAAAGGCTGTCTGAATACTCACAATGACAAGGTAGAAATCAACTTGAACACCTTGCGGCTCGTCTTCGCTTCCCTCCTTTTTCACCGCCTCAGGTTTGTCTGCCGTTACCCCACTACCACCTCCCCCCGTAACTTTTCGTACGACGCCTCCGATACCCCATTTCTTCTTCCCTGAGCTGGAACCAGAACCAGATGCAGAGACGCTGTTGGCTCCAGCAGATTTCGGATCTCCTTCTGCTACCCCGTCACCCCCTTGAGCAGCCTCCATCCGATCTATGAATTTTTTCATCACGCTTGCATGCTTGCACGGATGAACCGAAGCGAGCTGTTGTCCGGAATGAGGGAATGCTTCCATCGTCATAGTCTTGAAAGCGTGGTCCGCAGGTACGTCTTGGAAGACTTGAGCTGGGGTTAAGGGGTTCTTGTTCTGCAGCAGCAGCAGCGCACGTTAGCTCACCTTGCTTGGCATCGTCGGATGCAGGGGACTTTGACTCACTTCGTCGTATCCGAAGAGCCAGAATCGAGGTGTCTGATAATGCTTGTCGTAGCTGATCAAGCAATCGTACGTCCGGACTTGCAAAAGATTTTGCCCAACCGTCGACTTGACCTCGGCCCTGTGCCACACGTCAATTGAATCCCTATTCTGTCAAGCTAAGGACGACGTACTCGCTTGGATGGATGATCCTGACTGCCGGATCATCCTCTTCTTCCAAACCGGCTCCCTCGTCATCCATATCAGGGATATCATCCAGGTCTGGTATATCTTCAATCTCCTCTTCGTTTGAATCTTTCAGATTCACATTGGCCAATTCTCTCGTGGGCAAGGGTGGAGAATCTGTCATATCGGGAATATCGTTGATAGCTGATGGTTCGGATTCTGGGTGCCGCTTAGCAAACGAGCCGGCCAAGATGGACTAAGCTTGACTCACTCCTCCCTATGTGTGTGGCAACCCATTCGTCCTCCTCTTTCCCTTTCCCATCCGGTCCAGCAGCCTCTTCCGCCTGAGGACGAATCTCAGTATGAGTGTATTCCGAATCCAAAGGCATTCAAGGTCCGCCTACCTCGTCCAAGAAACTCATGAGCTTCTCCGCATCCTCATCTGCATCCGTATAGTTGACAGCTGTCGCCCGCCGCAGACACGGTACTGCACGTGTGAGTTAGCCTGGACCCATACTCAAGCCGAGCGAGGTCTCCTCTGACTCACCATTACGAGTGATGAGGTATTGTTTATCGGCCGGTAGGAAGTCTCTCGATTTGGATGAATCTCCCTTTTCCCTGGAGACCGATCAGCAGAGTCCCGGAGAGTACAGCTTGAACGATAGGGGCATGGCTCTCCGCCGAGGTCGCTGGTTCACCCTGGTTGAGAGATCTTCTCACTCACCATTGCCATACTGGGAATTTGAAGGTCAAAAAGTCTCCAGCAGCGACGAACTCCTCTGATTCAGACATGAGCTCTACACGACAAGCGATCAAAGCCCCGGGGGTTGAGCATGCAATTTACCAGGAGTGATGCGCCCATGTTCCTTAAACTTGCTCTCTCTTAGGACCTATACGCAATGTCAGACTGAGTTTGCGTAGACTTCTGTTGTGGTGCGGTCCCCCTTGGACCAAGTCACAGGGTATCCATGGGGGTTTCCTCCTCGAGGGTGGCAACAGAGTATGACTTACTGGAGACAAGTAATCTCTCATAGCCCAGTAATGGCTCTCCAAGCGTCAGCGACACTTTCTCATTGAACCAGCTCACTTGTATAGCTAGTAGCGGGTTGTTCATCTTGGCTCGTGGTCAATCAATTGACAAGCAATGGATTGAGACATGGATATGCTTTGCCAAAGCTGGACGTCGCTGAGGTCCACTACGCGTGTTGAATGACCACGTGGAAGATCTGCTTCCGACCATATTACGTAACTACTACTCCCCTCCTCCGGAACGAGCTCCGGAGTTGACCGTTGGGATTTTCCCGGCTATATATAAATAATCTACTACACCTATACGTCTTCATCTTTGGAGAGCATCGTATCGCTCAGCAAGCAAGCCAGAGAGGGGTCAACTACTAGGGCAACTTGGCAAGCTAGTAGCAGCACAGAGACAGACAGAGGGGATCAATCGGTCTATACTCTACAACTGGTTTTCCCTCCTGAGGACAGCCCAATCTACAGCTCGGAGATCTCGTGGCTTTAGGTAAAAAGACCATCATATCCGGTAGACGACGGCATATCTTACCATCCCATTACCGCAGCTCGGCTCAAAGGTTTAGGATCAAGATCGTTCGGGTCTGTTAATTTTCGTGGCACATCAGCTAGCTATCATGACGGGTGACGAGGAACTGAACCCATCCAAATTGGGCACCAAGGCTCATTGGGATCAAGTTTATGAGTGAGTGGGGGTGGGAATCCAAACGTGCCGCATGATAGATCTCGGGGCTGAATGAAACGGGTACAGACGTGAAGTCAGAGTATTCAACGTGAGTCAACCTGTGGTGTGGTTGTTCAGCCGGGACTGTGATGAATTGACCAAGTATACCAGGATGTCGGTGACGAAGGCGAGGTCTGGTGAGTCCGTCTAGATCCGCAGCATCTTGTCAAGAGTTCTCTCAGCGATCAGCAGAAAGCTATCCACACCTCTTCACATTCCGCTGTGCACAAGATTCAGGCTCACACTCGAGTATAGGTTTGGCGAAAGCAGCATCAAAAAGATGCGCGATTGGGTATCGACCCACGTTTCCTCGAACCCATCCCCACCGACTCGGATTCTAGAATGCGGATCAGGCAATGGCACTCTGCTGCTGTCTTTTCTGACTTCGAAGTCGGGCTCGGCTCAAGACTATCACTTGACCGGGATAGACTACTCGCCAGGTGCTATAGAGCTCGCCAGAGCGGTCGAAAAGTCTAGGAGAATAGCGCTGAAAAATGGCTCGTACGAGTCTGCAGAAGGGTCAGAAGATGAGGATGTCGAGCGAGAAGGACCAGGCAATGGGCCTTCCGATTCCAATGGCACGACAACAACCAGGGTCATCAACCACGTCTTACCTGTCGACTGGAGAGTCGGAGATCTCTTGACGGATACAATGGACGAAACTTGGGATCTGGTCCTGGACAAAGGGACCTTTGACGCTTTATGCCTGTCCAATACACCTGTCAAAGGGACAGAGGGAAAACTGCCCAGTCAAGTGTATCCTGAAAAGGTCTCTCAGCTGGTGAAAGAGGGAGGATACTTCCTCATCACCTCATGCAACTTCACAGAGGAGGAGATCAAGCGGAGGTGGACTAAGGATGGGCTGGGTGAGCGTCCTTTAGTGAGCGGATCTAGAGCCTTATCACTCATCCCTTCGCTTCAGGATTCAGATTTCAGTGAGTGGATCAGACTGTCTCCCGCACGGACACAACCCACTCCGGTCCTCGCTTCACCGAATTGCTCCACTGCACCGTCAACGATCCCCATTCGCCCAACATGCTGACCTGTCCGCCAGCTCTAGCGTCCCTCATCCGACCTACACGTTTGGGGGCAAAAAGGGCAGCGTTGTCTGTACCGTTGCGCTCCAAAAGGTGACTCCAGCTTCCAGCGCAAACGGTTCCGCAGCCAATGGAGTCCACGCGGTCAACGGCTCCCTCAACGGCTCCAAACCGACAGAGCTGTTCCTGTGCATCGATGTTAGTCCACAACTGTCATGAACTACAGTCATCCTGGGCGCTGACGAGCGCGCTCTAGGCCGGCGGTACCAAGACGGAAGCTGCAATAGGGTCTGAAGAGGGTGTACTGGCCCGAGCGACGGGAGGTACTGGGAACATGGCCGAGGTGAGAGTGATGAGCGGCGCGTGAGAGAGTCTTCAAACTGATCGATTGTCGTTATAGGTCGGCGCGCAGCTTTGTTACGAAATGTGAGTCTCGCCTCACCCCTTCTGAGCATTGCCCTGACTCGATCCAAGTATATCTACCGCTGTCCTGGAGGCTATCGAGAAGCTGCCGGCCCAATACCGTCCGAGTGTCAGCCAGAACGGAGGGTCGACCAACGTCTGCCCTGTCAAATTCGCCGATGTCTGGGTCGGAGTGAGTCATCCGATTCACGCTCGAGGCGCTAAGTCTTGCAGATCTCTGGATGTGATACCCCGCTGGACCAAGAACGTATGTCAGAGCTCTTAGGGCCATTCTTGTGAGTTGTCGAGGTTTTACAGACGATGCCGTGCGTAAGCTAATAAAGCTCAAAGCTCTATCTCGGATCTACCCATTCTCAACGATGCCCATCTTCTCGGCGGTGCGCTGTTGACTCATCATTGTCCATGGGGTGTCGCTGTCATCGCCGGAACGGGATCGATCGTCGTTGCTCTGGAGCAAGATAAGGAGGGTACGGTGTTACAGACTGGACGAAGAGGTGGATTTGGATATCTCTTAGGAGATGATGGCTCGTGTGAGTGACGAGTCATCCTCGTGCGCATGCTCTCTCACTAAGAATGTCCCCACCCCAGCGTTCGATCTTGGCCGTTGCGCCATACGAGCAGCTGCAGACGCTTTTGATGCTGGTGAAGAGGATCCTCATGGGCTCGCTGGCAAACTTGCGGAGCATTTTGGAGTCAATACAACCGGAGAGATTCTCGGTAAAGTGGTGAGTTGGGATTCGAGCCCCAGTCCTCTAGACTATATATATAGTCCAGAAATGGTCCTTGTCCGCTGACTTGCGGGTTCCCTTTAAGCATGAACTCGACCCGACGCTATCTCCATTGGACAGCGCCAACATTCGAAAATTACAAATTTCATCCTTGGCTCGACCTGTCATTGAGGCCTTCAACGCATCACCGCTTGATCCCATCGCTGCATTGGCAGTGGAAGAAGCTACAAGACCACTGATCAAGAGCATCGTCTCGATTGTCAAGCAGAACGAGAGGTCGACATCAGAGCTGACCGGTGAGTGGAGATCGCACACTCTGAAACATGTTCCCAGCGTGTATTCCATACTGACTCATTTGGTCCCCGCCCTTTAGGCCGCCCCAGGAAATCGTCCGAAGCTGCCATCATGATGGGAGGAGGATTGATTCGACAAGATTCGTACCGTCGAGTCGTCCTCGATGCTCTGGCGAAAGAAGGTATCGTCTTCCGAGTGGAGCAGACTGTCGTCGATGTGGCTGGAGACGGCGCTCTCGGTATCATGGCGAGGTGGAAAGAGAAGCACAGAAGCGCGTAGAGGGTGGAAGACCAATGTACCTTTAGACGGGAGAGAGGAGGGGTTCACGGCAATCTTTTGGGATGGATGCATAAGGGGTTCATATCATAAGGGCTGTGTCGCCACCCACCCACCACCGCCGCCGCCACACTCATTATCACGTGGGCCACGTGGTCAAAGTTCCGCGCCTAACTTCTTGAGAGTGTCAACAATCCATTGGGCTCATGTCACTAATATGTTCTTTCGATTGGAGCCAAAAACCAAGCTGGATCTACCTGACTGGCTGCTCTCTGGGACGACGACCACCACCACCACAACATCATTTATCATCATCGAGGGCACATCGACTTCTTCTGGGGATATCAGATCACTCCGTTTCTCTGCCCACTAACACGCGGCTTCAAAAACATCATCCCACTTTGCTGCGTTGGATGAGTTGATTCTACGATCTGGAGAGACTTGAAGAAAGGGTTGTTTGGACTGTGGTGGTCTCATATATTTTGATTCACTTCATCCTCCTCATCCCTCTTCCCTCGTCCCTGCTCTGGTGTCTCACATAATAGGTAAGTTCTGGCCACCCACCCCACAGACAGACACCTTCAACATCCTCCTTGCCCCCCATCCTCATCGCATGTTTCCGAACCGTTGCGTCTCCCCAGCACCATGCTGAAGCCTCTGATGCCAGCTCCGGCCAACATGTCGACTCGACCTCTATCCCCTCCACCTCCTTCTCCCGGTGGAACACGACTCAACTTCACATCCCCTACGCATTCAGCAGCCAATGCAGCCCGGAACTCTATCATCTCATCCTCAGCTAAAGGCTGGTCACCACTTCAGATCAATAAACGGGATCAAGCGACTTCACCCTCCAAAGGCAATGACCCAGGTCCTTCGCCTCTTTCATCGTCTTCCGCAGCAGCGGCGCCCAGACGTACGAGCTCATCCTACAAACACATGGCCACCAATTCTCTGGTCTCCAACTCACCATTCAAAAATCACTCATCTTCCGTCCAGTCCTCCGCTCGGGAAGTGGTTCATGAGCGTAAGGCTTCCCGGGGTCTTGGCGAAGCTCCTGTGAAGGCGACCGGATCGTCCACCACCCCTCGATCAGCCATTGGACTAGGTATCACTGCCAAACCTCGATCATCTTCCCGAGGGAGTTCTTCAGGAAACGGATCAGCAGTGGCTGGTACAAGACGAGTCTCGACGGAAAAGGGGACCGGAAAAGTCGTCTTCCATAGTCCTGTCACTGGCGGTGAGCGAAGGATCAGTGCATCCGGAGAACAGAGACGGTCATCCGCCAGCAAGGAGAACGAAAGTCCGGATGTCAGAGCATCGAGGAGAACCCCGACCAAGGCGACGACGGGTTTGAAGAATCTGGCAGGAAGGGAATTTGTCTCGAAGTCTCCCTTTCTCAACCCTGCCAACTCGACTGGAACTGGAGACGACGATACGCCAACTGCGGCGAGTCCCAGGACGAGCGTCCCTATCGAGAGGGATGATGTGTTTTCCTCACCTGCATCTACGCCTCGTCGAGTGTCTCCGAGCAAACCACGAGGTGTCTCGTTGACGGTCGACACCTCACCTGCTCTTTCTCCTCTGCGACAACCGCCACTCGCCCTATACACTCACATCTCTCAACCTGCCGTTCCCTCTCCCCTTCGATCAGACTTTGCACCCCTGCCCAACGGACCCTTTTCACGACCGCCAGCTTCAGCGACTCCGACCAGGTCATCAATGACGCCTTCACGACGACTCCACGGACCCAGAGATTTCTCTGATCCCACCGATTCTCCGAGCAAGACCAAGACGGTGACATTTCAGAGTGTCGCGGATGTTAGGGAGTTCGAGCGCTTGAGCGTCGAGGGGAGCGCCGACAGTAGCTTTGACGAGGCTGCCGAGGATGACGAGGAAGACGATGAAGAGGATCAAGAATGGTTGGAAACGTCGCATCGGGTCAACAGTCTCGACTCGTTATTGCACGAATCATCCGGTAGAGAGGAAGAAACAGAGGATGACGATGATGATGAGGACGACACACTGTCCATGGCAAGGCTCCGAATCACAAATCCTGACCAAACGCCAGACTTTTCAGATGCAGGATCAGAGTGTGCTACGGGTCGGTTCGTCAATTCGCTCATTGAAGAAGGTCTACTTTCACCAAGCGGATCTACGCCAGGATCTATGGACCAAGCCGTCTTTTCTGCCAACGCCACTCCGCAATTGTCGACTCCATCGCTTGGTGAATCTTTCCAAGCTACGCCCATGATGGTCTCTGCTTCCATGGACGTTCAGCCTTCGCAACCTACCGATACGTATTCTGATAAGGACTCGGCCGGTATCCCTTACGGTCGGTCGCACCATGCTGAAAGAGCTGCTGCCCATCACGCCCGCACGTCCTCGAGGGACTATGCACCGATTCGACTCGCGCAACCCGTAACTCTGCCGACCCAAAGCGATCGTCAAATGCTTGTCAACGCCAATGCTGCACAGCCGTACACTCAATACTCCACGCCGTTTGATGATGGCCCTCATGCGACGCAAGCTGGACCCATGCCTGATCCGTTCATCACAATACAAACTGCAACGACGGTCGTCACACCTCAGAAAGTGGCGGAGCGGCAAGAAGATGGCGTACCACTTGGCCGGTCGAGCCATCTTGAACGTATTCAAGCTGCTCGTCAACTAGCGACGCAGCAGAGCTTGGGTTTGGGCATGCCTCGAAGTCCTGCCATTGCGAAAAACCTGGTCCAGGCTACGCGGGAGGAGGATCTCGTGGACGTCGAGATCGAGCAGAGAGGACCTCCAAAGCCTCAGCAATTGGACTTGCCTGAACCTGTTGAACCTGTCCATCCACCTGTGGACCAGGTAGCGCAGGTGAGTCCAGATGACTTAAGTGATCATTATATGCTGACATTGCATCAGTCTGAACCTGGCAGCCGCTATGCTCTACCTTTCATCAACCTTACTTCGCCATTCTTCAAGCAGACTCCGACTGTCCTTGTGCACGAGACAAGCTCAGACAGCGCAAGTGACAACGATAGACCCCTGACCCCTCCGCCATCTCATACCTCTCGTGAAGTCAAAGCCGAGAGTCCTCATCGACTACCTTCTTTCGAATTCGAGGAGATTAGTCTTCAAACGGTCGACACGCTGGAGACCAGAACTGCCAAAGTCCAGAGATCACCCACCAAGTCGAGTACATCAGCTCCTATGAAGGTTTCGACTTCGATCGAATCTACTACTTCCGAATCGACTACCATCTCCACCACATCTCAATCGGTATCGTCATCGGCTGGGGGAGCGCGAATGTCAGCCTCTGCGTCAAGGGACTCGGATTTTGGCCTTCAGCGTACTGCAAGTCCACAACCACAGGATTCCACGAGCACTCGTGTTCGACAGAGGATATCTCGAGAGATGATCAGGGACACCATCAACCAACGTATCGCAGATGGCTCTCTCACCCGACGATCGTCTCAGTATGCCACTGAATCATACGGTTATCAAGACTTTGGCCGCGTCGATTCCAGCTCGGGATCATCTCAGCGCACCCCACTTGCAGATGTCAAGGCCGTGCCTATGGTCAAATCACACACGACCGATGCTGCTCCCCGCAAGGTCTCTGGCATTCGCGATGTGTCTACTCGACCCCGGAGTCAAACGCAATCGGCCCACGAGGTGCTCAAGGCGGCTGAGAAGGACGGTCTGATCGGTGAACCTCGAAGCGCTCTCGACAAGTTGATCGACATCAATCCCAGTCCGATGACTTCTACTTCTTCACCCGAGGGATCCAGCATGCTCTCACCAGCGAGACACGCGACCCCTTCGAAACGATCATCAATGCCTCCGTCTAGTCTGGGTCGAGACAAGCCACTACCTCCTCCAGGCATGATGGATGATATTGACGAGATGCCCTCCACGCCCACGCAGTCAGCACGCGAGAGACGGAGCGACACGCCGACTGGAGAAGGTATGGCTGCCAGGGAAGCCGCCATCATTGCAAAACGTCGCGAAAAGGTTGGAGAGAATACGGCGGATTGGAGTGCGGCCATCGAAAGCCGAGGTGGTAGACGAAGGCGGAGTGTCAGTACGGGTGATGTAGGCGAGAGGGCGGACGAGGTGAGTGTGATATACCACGGTCCTGAAAGTGCGTTAAACACTGTGACAGATCAACGACTTTAGAAAATCCCTGGCTAATCCTCGTCTCACCCTTGGGATCGACGAAGAGGGAGTGTCTATTCTTCAGTCGTTCAATGAAGAGGCTGCCAATATCGGAGCAGATGTGAGTCACATGCGAAGACGAGCAGGTTCACGGGTTGATTGCTTTGCCTCAGCGAGCATATCGTGTTCGGGAAAAACCCATGGTCCATGCTTCGTTTGGCGACAAGATCACTCATTCGGGTGCCGGTGACCTTGCGAGTGGACGGGCGTGGCGATCGATAAGAAGACCCTCAGATATGGTGAGTTGACTCTTCATTCGGATTTCCCTAAAGCCTCAGAATGAGCATGCGGCGGAGATACGAGCCCTGCGTGCTCGGGAAGCCAACAATGGTAAATCTTCAGGGACGATTTTCGTCAAAGGTGAGTGTCTGCCATGCTCTCGTCCGTTGACTTGTTAGTCCTTGGTATCGAGGGTTTGGTCGTACCTATACCTGAGCAGACAGCATTCTTCTGCATCACATTGGATAATGGCATCGACTACATCAGGACACCGTATGCGCCATTAGTGCCAAACGCGAAGGTCAACCAGGAATTTTCGCTGTGAGTTGTTCTGCCAAAGGGCTTGTCGCCTCGACTCATGTATGCGCAGGGTTGAGCATCCCAATTTCGAATTCTCACTCTCCCTTGACATTCGACGCGATCCGCAAATCCTCAAAGCCATCCATGAGATACACAATCCGCCGCCACCACCTCTGCTCGCCCCGACGTCCCCAGTCAAGAACTCTGGTCTCAAAAGTCTCTTTGCCTCTCCTCGCAAACCCAAAGCGGCCAAGGAAGCCGCTAGGTCCGTCACGCCTCTGCCACCTCAACCGCCTCCTCCGCCCACCGCGCTCGAAACCATGGCCAAGTACTTTGCTTCGCCCAACTCGTCGACCATTGCCAAGACGCATGTGGCTTTCAAACCCATCGCCAAGAATTGCGAGGCAAAGATCTTAGAGATTCGGTACCCCATGTTTGCAATGTTCAAAGGGGATGGCATGTTCGCTGGCGACAAGTCGGATTTGACTGCTTCGACGTCGTCTACTTCGACTGCAAGGAGACAATTGGCCAAGATCACGCTGCAAATGTTCAGACTGCCCCCATTGCCTGGACTTCGACCGGACGAAATGCCTCAGTGTATTGATGATTGTCTCCGTGGCATGAGACATCATGCCTGGCATGGGCAAGAGTATCAAGAGGGTGTGCTGACCCAGGTCGGAGGTGATTGTGTGGTAAGTCACAGGCCCCACTGTTGTGTTGAATGATTGCTCACGACGTTTGCTAGGCACCTCGTCGGCGATTATTCAAACTCATTGGCGGAACGCTCATCGCGATCAACGAAGTAACCAAGAAGGAAGTCACCTCGATCGACCTTCGGAAAGCGCTAGCCATCACCGATGCGAATGAAGAGCAACGTGTTGGCGATTCGCCCAAGAGTCGAATGACCCTCCGCCCGAGAAACAGTGATGAGGGCTTGAGTGCCCGTCCTATGAGCTTTAGGGTGGATTTTAGTGACGGGGAAGAAATCATATTTGGATGCGATACGGATGAAGACAAGGCGATCTGGTGAGCGCGCGCCTTTGAGAGTCTATTTGCTTGAGTGAATGTTGATTCTGGCGTGTCAGGATGGAGACCCTTTCTGGGCTCATTGGCAAAATTCCAAGTAATCCTCTATGGGCCGAGTTACTCGCTACTCGGCTTAAAGAGCGACCCCGTCGACCACATTCGACTGGGACTCTGGGCAAATTCCCAGCCGTACCTGGTACAACTACTGCGCCAGATGCTTCCGCTCCGATGTCTCCTACTCGATCAAGAGCCAGCGGGACGACCACTACGAGCTCCAACACTGACGCTCGGACCGCAGGATCTAGCTCTGGATTCACTGGAGAGCCCAGTACCAGATCCGGTCAAACAGGTCATCATTTTGAGGCTGCCACTTCCGACGAGCGAGAAGGACTCTTGTCAAGTGCCGCTAGCGGCATGACATCCTCTTCTGCTGGCTCCTCACTGCCACCTCAGCAGTACGCGCCTCAACAACACCAACGCCTACCGATCCACCCCTTGGACATTCGCCGCAGTGCCCCGCCTGCGCCCGCTCCTGTCACTCACCAACATCCACCTGCTCGATCCCCTACTCGACCACTTTCATTGACCACCGGCGTACCGATGATTCGGTTCGATGATGAGAATGCGCAGAGGAAAGTGAGTCTGAGGCCAAAGTCCGCCACGCCAGTATCCAAGCGGACGGCGTGAGACCACCGAAGACTGCCTGCAGGTTCTAGGCGGGGGGGAGGGGAGAACTGGAAGTATCACGCCGCTTCGAGATAAGGCGGAACATTTGGGAGATATGGATTTGGGTAGAGACATCTGATTGCCGCACGCTTGTGCGCGCTGTATGAACTATAGACCTCACTATACCCCTCCTTTTTTGATTTTGTGTGCTTTTATGAGTTCTCTGTAACATATACATATTCTTCATCGCTCTCCTTAACTTAATTATATATATACCTGTGGTTCGTGTTCTCTCTGAAGACAGAGATCAGAGGGATTGCAACACGCGCAGGACAGGAGAATCATGTATCGTCTGTGAGGTTCAGACGACTCTGGGCATGATACGACACTGATACACAAATGTCAATGGCAAGAATGAGTCTGTGTCAAGGGTCTATGATTGTTGCCCTTGAGGATGTGTGAAGCAGAATATACATATCGTACACAAGTCTTTAATAGGATCAGTTCCTGATGATCATCCGTTTCTTTCTTTCTTTCTTCTTCTTCTTCTTGCGGGGAGGCGAGTCTTTTCAAAAGTGAATTCGTGTAGATAGCCCTTTGATTCATCCGTCATGAGGTCACGTAAAACGTATGAAGAGTGTTTGAGAGGAGAGAAATATGCGTTCGAATGTGGAGCGTCCGAGATCTTTCATTCGAGAAGAGGAATCCAACCAAAGATCCAAGGGGGGGGTAGGGGTCGAGCGGCGATAAGGAGAAAAAAATGAGCAAGATGGGAAGAATGAAAGAGCGCAAATAGAGAGAGAGAAAGAGAGAGATTGCAAGTGGCTGGCTACCAGGGATCGAGGCCGAAGAAAAACTCTTGAAGGACGGTCGCAGCGGCCATTGCATGGGAGCGCAAAGTCTGTACGGCCAAAGAGAGAGAGAGATATGGCACGAGGAGTAGGGATTTCGTGTAGTTCGTATGATCTTGCGGAAAGGACCAACGAGGGGAAATTTATCATCATCATCACGCGTTGAATGGGTTTCGTTGAAAAAGATGCAGTTGTTTTCAAGATGAGATGAGATGAAACGAAAGGAAGATGAATGAAGATGAGATAGACACCAAAGGCAGAGGGGGTTCATTGGGAGATTCATTGATAAAAGGGATTATTAGGACATCCTCCGCCACAGATAGGAGAGAGTGATCATGTCGTGTGCTGATTTTCGTCAAGGTGCGTGCGTGCGTGCGTACGTGCGTGCCGTATTGACTGAAGCTAGTGATGTGTCGTGAAAGATCATTTCATGTTTGGTTGCGAAAATCATTTGATGTGTGCCGAAAAAGGAGGGAAGCAAGGTCCGGTAAGGAATAAAAGACGAGGGAGGGGTCCGAGAATGATAAAAGTCGAGGGTGGTCGTTCAGGATGAAGACCGCTCACAGCGTCCTTTGAGCGCGGCGCCCGATCGATCCGATCCGATCCCTGACGGCAATCATTTCCGCTCTCAGCTCCCGCTCACAGGTCCAAACTCTCCCTCGTCCTTGCCATTTCGACTCCATCATCTTGACCCATACCTCCTCCGCCCGCTGAATCCTGATCAAGATCCTCATAAACTCGCTTTGAGCCTATCGGTCCTAGGCCATTCGCATGCCCGTGTCCATGTCCATGTGAGTGTCCATGCGTTGACAATTCTCCTCCTCCTCCTCCAGAGTTCGTCGACGCTGAGCCATTCATGATCATCCCATTCGAACCTTTCAAAATTCCACTTGCGCTACCTCTCAACCCTCCGAAACCTCTTCCTTCACCTGCTGGACCTCGAGGGTTTCGTAATGGAGCGGCATTGGAGAGATCTTGCGAATCCGGCGAACCGGAAGTGATGGATATCCCCGAGCTTCCGTACATTCCACCTCCGGTACCATTGATGCCATTGGCGCTCATGGCGGATAAGGACGATTTCGAATGATGCAGGGTCATATTGGCGGTAGGACTAGCGAGAGGGTTGGGAGAATGTGAAGCCGAGCCGATCCCACCACCACCCCCACCACCACCACTAGCACCACCGCTTGACGATGTCGATAGACCTAGACCAGCAGGAAGAGGTGGAACAGGAGGAATAGAATCGATAGGTGAACCGAAAAACGAGTTGAATGTCCCGCTCCCCAATCCGCTTCCCATCCCATTGATTCGACGTCCAGCCGCTGCACCCATACTGACATATTCTCTCGATCCTGCATCACCATAACCTCCTCCATTCATCCCTCCGCGAAGATTGCCAGAGGATCGTTGAGGGGTAAGTGATCGAGCGGGATCACGAGCCACAACGGGTCCATTGAAACCTCGTAGATCCGGCATGGATTTCTTGATCCGTAGGCTCGGAGAGAGAGATTCTTGATTCGTACTCGAGTAAGGCGACAGATAGGCACTGGAAGTGACGGTCGCAGAGGATGACGAAGCGAATGGTGGTCGAGGCAGAGGATCTCGAGTGACCACGACGTACTTTGTCTCGCCCTCACTTCCCCTCGTGACGCTCAGTAGACCCAATTTTTGAGCAACGAGGTGGACGATCCGACGCTCGGTCGGAGTGAGAGATCGTGAAAAGGCCAATTCATCCCTCATCCTGTCTTCTTTGAACACGAGGACCCTCGAGTAAATGTCGAGGGCACTGGGGTCATTGAGGTCCAAAGCGACGGGAAGATCGGATGAATTGCCAGATGACGCGGCCGAGTGAGGAGGTGAATATTGGGGCTCGATATCAGCCGAATGACGACCGTTGGCTCGATGGGTCGAGGGGATATTGAGAGGCGGTGGCATGTCTTTGGAATCGAATTGAATCGATCTCATCCTCTTCAGCGCCTTTTCCCTTTCAATCTTGTCCTTTTCTCCCGGCTGCAAGACTTTTTTGTACTCCACTCGGAGCTTGCGTCCCTGTACATCGTATCCGTTCAACGCAGCGACCACGGCGGCCGCTTCGTCCGGCGCTCGAAAGTTTGCGAAAGCCAGACCACGGAAGACGCCATTGTCATGGTGATAGTTGAAAGCGTAGGGTAAAGGTGCACCGAGAGATTCCATCACGCCAAGGAGAGATTCTCGAGGGACAGCGAATGGAATATTCTTAATGACAATGGCGGTAGGAATGACATCGTCTTCAGGCATCGGGAGTCCGAATCCGTTTCGAGAACTCCACACGCCATTAGAACGTGAAGGTTGTTGTGGTTGTGGAGGGACGATGTTTTGGGATCCAAAGGGAGGCATCACATTCATGTAGCCAGCATTGGGACCTGCCAGAGTCGACGGGGATCCTGATCCTGATAGACCGAATCCACCCATGGGTTGCATGTGATTCAACGATGGAATACCGAGCTGAGAAGAGGAGGACAGGGGCGGAGGGGACGGCGTGACGGCCATCGAGGCGTAAGAGGATGGATCGGGAGGGTATGATTGAGGCATGGGTTGAGGATAAGGCTGATATATATTACTCGAGGATGTTGGCCCTGATTGAGTCGAGGATGGTGGAGAAAGAGCAGGGACAGGAGGTGAGGACGCATCGCCTCGACGATATGGGTCAAATGTAGAGTGAGGAATCGGTGATTCGCGAGAGGACGGCACATCGTACCAGCTCTAGATCCGCAAATCAGCATGGACTGGTCTTCTCAATTGTACAACCTAGGGACTCACAGTTGGCAAGCCTGACCTCGATCCACGTTTGTTCGGACTCCATCCGCCACCACCGCCGCCGCCGCCGCCGCCAGAACTTCCCGCAGAAGTCGGCATCATCCCTTGCCCAGGAGGTCCAAACACACCATTATACCTGTAATCATGTACGCCAGCTGATTGTGCAGAAGGATACGGCGAGATGGACAGAGTATGGAGGTTTGGAAGAGGTGGTGATTGAGACCCAGAATGGTGATTCATGATTGTGATTGATGAGCTGCGTCCGCGCGCCAGACCAGATCAACAGGGGCGGGACAATTGGTCGTGTAGCACTTCAAGACACGAGAGAGTGTGAATGCGCGTGTCTGTATATCTGTCCGTGCACCTCCTGCAACGTCGAGTTTCTTCACAATCGTGAGATCCAGGTCAGATCCCAAATGTCGTATCTGACAGAGATGTGATTGTCCGTACCCTTCGTGTCTTTTTCTCTTTTTCGTCCCTTTTTGATCCTGTAAGTTCGTGCCGCCGGACCCCGTGGAGAAAAGAATGATCAACGAACAAGATGACAACGTGATCGATGCAGTTTCCAACGTGAAGATTTCGATATGAATCTGCTCCCTGTCGTCTGGTAGCTCGCGCTAGTGGAAGTATATGAGCGATGGAGGAGAGAGAGAGGGGGGGGGCAATTAAAAAATAGACTGATATAGAGGGAGGCTGGTCCAGGTCAAAAGAATGAATCTATTTTTCCCCTTGATGATTTAATGGGTCGTTCGAAGTATGGATGGTTTAGATGATGAACGCGTGTTATGTCTCTCGCTCTGTCGTCGAATCGTAGAACAGGTCGTGGTGGTGAACAAGAAGAAGAAGAAGAAGAAGATCACAATGTAATGTTATTGGAGTGCTGCAATAGTTCACGACGACGACGGGGGGGGGGAAAACAAATCGATGGGCGGAAATATGAATATTTACCAGGTCACCATTTTTTTATCGAATTGATCCCAAACCAGTCATACCATGTGGAGAGCCACGTGGAGTAGTCTCCCACGCTCGGCTATTTCCCACGGTGACGTACATCGGGGGAATGGCGGTGCTGTTCTTGGCGTCACATCGGAGGGTTTTATATATTTGATAGACTCCTCCATTCAACTTCCTGTGCATACTCACCGCTCACACAACACTCTCTCTCAGCATGGGATTGGCATCTAAACTCGCAGCTGCTCAAGCTGGATCAGGAGGAGGTGGTCCATACGGTGGTGGTGGAGGAGGAGGAGGAGGAGGAGGAGGAGGGGGCGGAGGGGGCGCACAGTACGGTGGTCAACAGCCGTCTGGACAATATGGTCAATCCCAACCACAGCAGTCGTATGGTCAATCTCAACCATCACAGCCACATCAATATGGTCAATCTCAAATGAGTGGGCAATATGCTCCCCCTTCAGGCGCACCACCTCCTCCACCCGCCAGGTGAGTCCCCTTAACAACATACCACCGACAAACAACATTCCTCAACTTTGATTTCATACAAGAGAATGAAAACGCTGATGAAGCGAATGACGCCTTTACTGCGTACATCACCACTACTTCGTCCCCTCACTCCCTCTCGCCTCTCTCATCACTCCCTGAATCCCTCCTTTGTTCCCCTTCATTACCCTCAGGCCCGGACAAGGAGGCTATGCTCCACCTTCCGGAGCTCCACCCTCGTACGGTGGTGGACAAGGCCAAGGACAGCCATACGGTCAGCAACAGCAGTACGGTGAGCCAGTGATGACATTCTGTCGACAAACAGAAGCTCACGTACCGCACCGCAGGTCAGCAAGGTCAATACGGCCAACAACCCCAAGGACAAGGACATCCACAAGGTCAATATGGGCAACAAGGCCAAGGCCAAGGCCAAGGCCAATACGGTCAACAGCCTGGTCAATACGGTCAACAAGGGCAGTACGGTGGGCTGAATGACGCTTCGATGTCTTGAGCTTCTACTGACGCTGGAACTTCCTCTTACAGGCCAACAACCCGGTCAACAGCAATATGGTCAACAACCTGGCCAATACGGTCAACAACCGGGTGGATATGGTCAACAGCAACAATACGGCGCTCCATCTGGTCCTCCTCCAGGAGCCGGTGCAGGTAACACTGGAAACCCACAATTCCTTTTGCAGACGCTGCAACAATGTGTCCAGGACGTGAGTCATCGCACTCAGTTACTCTCGATCCTTTCGAGAGATCATACGCTGACCCTCCTCAACAGCAAAAAATCCAGGCTTTCTACCCACCTGGTTCCCTCGACATGATCGCGGCAAAAGTCGCTAGTTCTGGTGCATTGGCAAAGGTCGCCAATGAGTGGCGAATGCCCATGGAGCTAGCGGGAGACTTGGTAAGTTGTCCCTCATGCTCGTTGACCCCCGTCGACCTCCACTGACCCAATGGCCAGGTCAAGATCGCCCTGTTCGACGTCATTCTCTACATCGACGACTCTGGATCCATGGCGTTCGAAGAAGGAGGAGAGCGAATTGATGACTTGAAGTTGTGAGCTGGACCCGACGCCGATTGTGAGATGTCAAGCCAACGCCACACCCACTCTCCTCCAGAATCCTCTCCCGAGTCGCCTATGTCACGTCCCTGTTCGACGACGACGGTATCCAGGTCCGATTCATGAACAACCGAATAGAAGGGAACAATATCTCTTCCGAAGCTCAGGCTCTGCAATTGGTCCAACAGGTCAAGTTCTCAGGTGGGCAGGGCCTTTGTTGATCATGCTTGAAACCAGCTGAAGGAACCAAACCCTCTTGCCAGGTCTCACTCCCCTCGGAACCTCAATGAATCAGAAGATCATCCAACCCCTTGTCGTTGGACCTGCCCGAAGCAATGCTTTGAAGAAGCCCGTCTTGATCATCAGTGAGTGGGACGAGATGCAGTCATGATCCTATGGCATCATCATCTTTTTCACCACCGCCACATGCTTACCTGCACTGCAGCGATAACTGACGGTACACCCGCTGGAGAGAACAAGGACGAAATTTTCAACGTTATCGGGCGAGCGGACCAAGAGCTAAGAAGGACGAGATACGGACCTGACGCTGTGTCCTACCGTGAGCAGCTGCGACTCGCCTTTTCCAGTGATCGAGCTCACCCGGTCCGTCTTGTCTCAAACAGAATTCGCTCAAGTTGGAAACGATCTCAAAGCGACGAAGTTCCTCGAAGAACTCGACAACCATCCTCAGATCGGAGGTCTGGTCGACTGCACGTCAAACTTTGAAGTAGAACAAGCTGAGATGTCCAGGAAGAGCGTAAGTGGACTCGTGAGGGCGAGATCGTGATACGATCGATGACACAAACGTTCACAGGGCGTCGACCTCACACCGGAGATGTGGCTGTGAGTCGTCATTTCCATAGCTCAACCAGTACCACACAGACTAATTCTCTCCTTTACAGCGTCAAACTACTTATGGGACCCATTGATAGCTCTTACGATACCAAGGGTGAGCCAGTGCTTACTGCCAGTGAACAGCCAGCTCACAAAGTGATATACTCAGATGAGTAAACGAAAGCTCCGGATAGAGACATGGTCTGTGCCCGCTTCTGACTTTCTTGAAAAATGCTTCGTGAAATGATGGATGAAAGAAAATGGTGTTGAATGAGTGGAACAGATCCTATGGAAAACATATACATCACAGCTAGTAGGCGATACCCGAATGAGAGCGGGATTGAAAGGTTATGAATCGAATAGTTCAGGGGAACCTAACTTGGCATAACGGACTAAGAGCGCTACTCGAAATGGTCTCCCAATCGCGAACGCAGGTTTCTATAGCTACTGGGTATTCTCTTGACGATCAGTAACGTCATCATCTGTGAGCCATGTCCTGGCATTGTCCCAGGTCAGTCGACAAGGCGTGGAGGACCATGGCCTGTCGATATCGCGGCGATCTCATAAGATGAAGGGAATGAATGCTGCGATGATGCCGTACGACTCAATCCGTCCTCGCTGTTATTAGTGCCATCTGGGCCCACTGGCGTGATGCACAGCAACTCCTCGACTGACAGACAGTCGGATAACACAAAAAGAAACCGTTGAAAATGCATAGAAGACAGATCCATGATGAGATATTTGTAGTCAACGGAATGAACCAACATGTATGTGTTGAGAGAACGAGACACCCTACACACAAACACGCGCAGATGCAAAAGGTGATAGACAGAGGGAGGAGCATAGTCGAGTTACCGGGCACGGGATGAGCTGATCCATGAGGACGGTCCAGAGAACACTGGGATGAGGGATACGAAATCTATGGATACAGTAAGAGAGACGAGACGGGGAAGACGATATGGCGACTTCGGCAGCGAGCGCGAGCGCGAGCAGGCGGGCTGCGGGCGGGGATATGTGAGACGAGAGCGCCTCTTGCTGGAGACTCCTGGGATATGATCGAGAGCGTAGTAGGCGAAGGGTGACTGAAAACTAGCGGGCGGCGAAGGTTAGGCGGGTGCGCCGGACATGCGCGAGAAGATGTCTTGAGGGGTAGGAGTCCATGAGGGTGATCGATAAACACTCTCGTTCTCGCGACGCTCGCTGAGAACCCCCCCCCCCCCCCCCCCCCCCCCCCCCCCCCCCCTTTTAAGCCTCTACGGTCGCAGGTAACACTGGACTACCGCCTGAAGCAGGACCGGTGACGGACGAATGAAGAAGTTTATCTCGTTCGCCCGCTCGTCTAGCGAGTAGACTCGGTGGGATAGGTGCAGACGTTCGACGTAATCCTGACATGGAGAAATGGATGGGTGCGCGAGATCTCCGTCTGGGAGAATCAGCATCCAGTGGAAGTCCGTACCCTGGTGCGACGAGGGGTACAGAGGCAGTGGACGATCCGAGATCTGGAGTTTTGATAGTAGAAGTTGAGCCAGAGCCAGAGCCAGAGGATGCAGAAGAGAGTGAATGTGTACAGTGGGAGGAGGAGGAGGAGGAGGAGGAGGACGCCGTCGAGCCAGACAAAGATGATTTCGTAGATACCTTGAACGAGATAGTATGCCTCATGGGTGGTCTTTCATACTCTGACACTGCTGTCGTGGAGGCTGCGGTACCACCACCACCACCACCACCTGACAACCGCTTCCATTCTGCCTTTTCCTCCAAGGTGGGTCTTCGAGCGGGTCCATGAGATGGAAGGATCTGCGACGTGGCGGAGGCGGAGGCGGTGGTGGAGAAGCTGGGATGATGGAATGAAGACGGGGGACTGAACGTGGGTAATGATCCTCGACGCATTTCCAAACTTTTTCTGTAAGACGAAGGGATGGCGGCGCCACCGTAGTAACCGCTGTTGGAAGGGATAGAGTAGAAAGAGGATCGAGAAGTAGCGGGTGACAGTGGAGTCAAGATATCCATCGATCCAGGAGATGCAGTCCATGCTTGATCCTCTTCTTCGTCGACGATGATGGTTCCAGATCCAAGTCCACGCTTGATCAAACTGCTTCGTCGTCCCCCGTTGGTAGTCTCTATCGGATCCATCATCGTCGCTCCTCTTAGACCTGAACCGCCGCCGCTGCCGCCGCTACCAACCCCTCCTCCTTCTCCTTCGCCTGATGATTTCCGCCTGTACATTGCCCGAATCGGTCGATTGAGATCGGTCATACTGCTCAACGGGATAGATCCACGTCGAGCGGCACTCGCGAGACCAGAACCAGGAGCGAACTCTGATTTCGATGCGAGACCCATCATGAGTCCGCCGATGAGGCTCGAACCTGATCCTGATCCTGATCCTGATCCACCGAGCGTTCGAACCATTGACCCACGTCTCGATCCGCCACCTCCACCGATAGTGGATGCTCCAGATTGACTGAACGATGATCTGGAGGAGCTGGGTAGTATACCACCAGCACAGCTCGGCGAGCCGGATAAGCCAATGGGATATTCAAAGGGACCTAGTTCAGCTACGGGCGTACTTGCCAATTCTGGTAGTGTAGAAGGGCAAGTTCCAAATGTGAAGCCTCCGAAAATGTCTACAGAGGATGACGAGGAGGATGCGGCATAGCTAGTGGCTGTTTCGAGGGGTGGAGAAGTGAATGTAGTGCCTGAGTTGGATGTCGAGAGGGAACAGGAGGAACGAGTGGAAGAGGCGGAATACGAAGGGGTGTCGAGTGGGTGTTGGTGCTGGTGGTGGTGGTGGTGGTCTTGGTTCTGGTGGTGCAACGAGGTTCTATGCATGGATGTGTAGTCCCCCATTGGGATAGGAGCGGTGGAGAGGGAGAAAGACGAAGGGGCGCCTAATGGGTGGGCGGTGGTGGTTGCATGCATGTCGGTCAAGGTTGGTGGTACTGCGTGGTGATCGTCGCCGTTACCGCCGTTGTTGTTGTTGATGATGCCACCAGGGGCATGCTCTGTGCCTATCTTTGATGATAGATGTAAAGCAGCCTCAAGACGTTGTCCCAATAATTCATCTTCCAACATGATGTCTTGTCCCTTGGTGTTCTCCTCCTCCTCCACCATCCTCTTCTGTATCGCTTGGCAGCAGGCGCTATCGCCGACGACAACGACGACGTGTCTCTTCTGACCGTCGATCATGTCAGCAGCATCGACAGCAGCGGTAGCTGCAGAAGCAGCTGGCTCCAGAGGAGTGATGAGAGGGTCCAGTAGTCCAGACCAAGTGGAGGAAGAAGAAGAAGAAGAGGCAGAAGATGCGTGGTGAGAGAGTGGAGGAGGTGAACAGGGCGAGGGCAGAGACATGGGCAGCAGCAGCAGCCGCAGCAGCAGCAAAGGGGGGATGGGTATGCTCTCTCTATCCTTTTTTTTTCTCTCTTCCTTCCACCCTCGTCGCCCTCGCGTCTCTCTCTCTTCTCTCTCTTCTCTATTCTTGAAATAGACGAGAGACAGACAGAACAGTGGTGGTCGACTAAAAGATAGATGGTACTGATCGATGTTGGACGATGATCTTCGACACTAGTGAGAGATAGAAAGTCTGGCCTTTCAATTGGGATCTATAGTGTGTGTGTTCACTACTACAAACGACGCCGCCGCCCACTTGCCCTTCCTTTCCCTCCCTCCCTCAGCCATCCATCCAGCCAGCCAGCCCGCCCGCTGCTGCTGCTCGCTGCTGCTGCTCGCTGCTTCGTCGCTGCCTTGATGATCGCCGCCAAATGACGCCCCCCCAAAAATGAACCACCGCGTCATCCAAAAAAAAACAAAAACAAAAAACCCCCCTTTCCCCTCGTGCCACACTGTCCCTCCCCCTCTGGTGTGCTGCGTCCTCACTTGACTGATGCCCAGTCGCGCAGCCACGGGCTGGCTTGGGGGGGTTTAAAAAAGAAAAGGAAAAAGTCTGGAAGCAGCACTCTAAAAAATCGACAGGGCGCCATACACATTATAACTCTATCCGGTCATGTGTGTGCTGCGGCCAAGGCCAAAGTGGCGAAGGCACCCAGGGTGGGCTGAGGAACAAGGTACCGTAGGCAAGTTCCTTACGTGGACAAAGGGGTCCAAGGCGAGGCTAGGTACAAGGGATCACTAAGTACCAGCGGGTTTGACACGGGCACAGCATGTGGCAGAGTGGCAAACGATCTATCTCACTCTAGAACGCATGTCCCGGCGCGCACCTCTCTCTCATCCATCCCCCCTGATGCCGTGGCCAAAAGTTGCCTGCCTGCTCTATTGGTCCCTCCCCCTGCGGATTGTGATCCCACCTGGCAAGACATAGGGACAGCGGACGAAAGTGGACCGAACAGCATTTTTTTGGGAATCGGAGGATTTTCCCTACAACTTAACAGCTCCACCCAGAGTGTATCCCAGCAAAAAAATGCAGAGAGGCACACCGAACCGAACAAAAACGTTGACACCCGCGGGCGAGAGCCAGCCAAGCTGTTACTCCTGCGCGGGCAGGGGGAGACGCAGTATGGAGTGGGACCATGAATTGGTTCATTCCTGGAATCGTGGGGATTTTTCCTCGGACATGGTTGTCTCCGAACCCATGACTTATAGTGTACCTTATGTACATATGCCCCCTTTGTTCAGAATGGCCAGGAACGATGCGATTCCTACGGAATTACAAGCTCCAAAACACAAGCTTGGAACGAAATCGTCGACGAAGCTGATGATGACGAGCTGGCCGCCCGCTCGCCACGTAGCGAAATGCAGCCATGCCCCCCGTTCAACAGCAGCTCTTCAGTGGCGACATGGTTTTGCTTCCGTTGTAGCTGCTACCTCCACCTGCGTAGCGATCGTGGGAAAGTCGCTCAGAGTCACTACCGTGGGATAGTCGCGTCAACTTGACACGATCTCGATGGCACGTCATATTTTCAGAAAAATAGATATCAACCAACTGTTGAAACTGTGTCTTGGACGACAGGTTTGGGTCAGATCATCGACTTGCAGCTGCTGAGCTCAGCTTTCCAGAGTCCAGCTCCAGCTTCAGCTCCAGCTGACGGTTCCTCGTCCATGAATTGACTTGTTCCCATTGCCCGGACCCCTCTCACCATGCCGACCAAGCTGGGCGCTGCAGACTCGTTCAACTCCTCTGGAGCAACCATCATCCCGGATCGCGAGCAGCGAGGTTCTGGACCGACCTATCGAGCGTACAATCCTATCGCTGGACTCAGCAATGCCAGACTATTGATGCCTGAAGACTCGTTCGGTCGACAACTCCAAGCGTTCTTAACTTCTGGATCTACTACCAACGATAGCCAGCAAGAGACCGAAGCGGGGGGACAAAGTGGAGATTCAGTCAGGCCAAATATCAATGATGAAGCTGCAGAGGCTATGGTGAGCCAATGGAGTCCATCTTGCTGCTTCATCACCCTCTGAGTCATGACGCTCCTCGCAGCTACGTGACTTTGGGTTCAACTCGTCGACCTCTTCCCATTTTACTACGCACACGCCTAACCCTTCAGACCTCATTTCAAGCTTACAAATTGATTCGAATGCTGCGCATACCCACGCCCGAACCTCGCCATTCAACTCGCACTCCCCTCTAGCTCAGGAAGAAGCTGCATCCCTATCTGCGACCGCAAGTGGCAACCATCCCGATCGTCCCGCTTCCGTTCTGTCTCACCATTCTCACCACTCGCACGCTTCCCGCTCTCATCGAGGCAGTATCTCAGGCTCGGAATACTCCTACACCTCGACAGAAGTAAGCGGAGACGAGGATGTCCGAATGGAAGCGGACGTTCCAGAACCATTACAGACAGTCTGGAACGTCGGTGCGATCGGTGGAGTCGTTCCTGCCCTAGGGTCCACTTTGACGGCAAACCCTTTCGCTTCCAAGGGCGGAACAGGGCACGCACAATACCCTAGCCCCGTCTCGACTTCTGGACCTAGTCCACCGACCGTCCCTGGAGCCATGTTTGGTGGTGGTGCCGGTGCTGGTGCCGGTGCTGGTGGTGGGCCAGTACGTGGTATCGGAGCGGAAAAGGAGGAAGAAGAGAGAAAGAGGCTAGAAAGATTGGAACGTGAGTTGTTCAGCAAAGCAGTAGAGGGGGTCTTCCCGTACACACCGCTGATATCGTGTCTCCCTCACGCAACTCTCCTCATATCACATCATGCTTTCTTTTGACTTATTCCATCCCCATTTCGTATCTGTTACACTGTACGCTCGCTCGCCCGCCTGACGGTCCGCTCGACACAACAGACCGCCGAGATATCAATCGCCGCTCAGCCCAAAAACATCGCGCAGCGCGTAAAGCCGAACTGGATATTCTCAATCGAACTATCACTGAAAAGGAAGCGCGCATCAGTCAACTCGAACGAGAATTGGCAGTGGAACAGAGCAAATCGAGACAATTGGCGGAATTCATCAAAATGTCGATGGGTAGAGGTAGGACCGATGATGAGCAAGGTGAAGAGAGTATAGGGGACAAGCAGGTCGTTGCAGGGTCCCGGCGGGTGTCTTCCAGACGGGGTGCGACATGAAACAAAATCGAACTAAACGTGAGTCGGGTGTATCGGTTTACGGGTCCTCAGAATGTGCGAAGCGTGACTGATACAGTGACACAGGATCATGACTGTGGGATCGACTCTATTTGAGTTGCATGGAACAGATCCACCCAATCAACTTGTGCATATGACCTCCTCAATCTCGTTCTGGACCGGTAGACAAAGCTGAACGGACAGCCTTTCGGTCTACATTCCGGCACCCGGACATACAGCGTCTGAAGGTATGCGACCGACTCAGTATCTACGGTACGCACAGACACCGAATGCCATCGAATCCGCTTCGAGGGTAGATTGTCAAATCATGCTTGGGAACTGCAGGCTGGCGGGCAGCTCATGTCAGGCATACCTGTTCTGGCTCTTGGAGAGCAGAGCGGAGTATACTTCGAAGGGGCAATTTTGGTCTGTACTCCATGTCTTTGTTCGCCTCACCTTGCATCGTTTCTTCTCCCTGTCTTGTGCTCGTTAGCCGCATCGACAAGATGCAACGATGATGATTATGCAAAAATGCTACGACTATGATCAACGCTATGACATCTATCGACTGGGCGTACGAGTCTCCATCCTGCCCAGTTTAGCTAGCTTGGGTGTGTCTCTGCTGCCCACCCCTCGCGGACTTCACAGACCCTGTAACGTCCCTGTACCCTCTGCTCCATGAACCACCTGACCCTCTGCCAATACCTTCCAACCGATTTTCCCACTGGCGCTCCCGATCCCGGGGACATTATGCGCCGGGTTCCGGACCCAAGACCAGTCCTTGCTCCCTGTTGCGCCGGAAGAGGAGGGTGAAGTCTGGGTACTGTTGGACATAGGATCCGACGGTCTCTTAACTTTCTCCCACTCTTTATCCCTTTCGTCCTCACTTGAATCCCGGGCATCGGTGTGCTCTGATGCCTCGCTCGACGGCGACTTTGGATCGTCTCCCTCCATCTCCATCTCGACGGATGATCCTTCGAGTCCCAGATCCCTCACACAAGCTCTCAAATACTCCATGATGGGTTCGGCGACCCATCTCTCATTGGCTTTCGGACCAGTGAACCATCCGAGGTGCCCGCCACGAGGTGTGATGGCCATGAGAACGTGTGTGGAGGAAGAAACTTGCGTTCGAGGAAGAGCACCTGGGAATGGGAACAGGCGAGAAGAGGAACGTTAGCTTTGAATCGAGTCGTCTCGAGTCTAGTCTAGTCTAGTCAGAGACCTGGGGTGCAGCCAGGTTCGATCAGATCAAGGGAGGAAGACAAGGTGCCACGAGCTTTAGCTCGAAGTTGGGGGACTTCCGAGTCGGAGGAGGATGAGCCGAAAGCGAAAAGGGGGGGGGGGGGGGGTTAAACAAGTGTGAACCACAAAAGCGGAGAGAGGTGATAGACGCTGATTGAAGGGGTATTGTATCCGCGAAGAGGGACTTGAATATATGATGTAAAGGGGGAAGAAGAGGCGATACATCCTCAGACTTGGATGAATTCACCTTGTGTAAGATGATTCCCCGCAACAGCAGGGTACCACTGCCGTCTTGGGGCCAGGAGGCCAGGAATCAGGTAATAGCGGGTAGAGGGAAAGAGGTACGAGAGAGAAGGCGCATAAGGAAAAAGAAAACAGGACCACTCACGACTGTCGATAATTGGATCGTCGGCCGCGCCAATCACCAGAAGCGGTCTGAAAGACAGTCAGCCTTGCCTTAAACTTAGTCGTACAAGGTCCAAGAGGCTGACCCGGAGGTTGGGTGTGTGCGAGGACGCTTTGAGTCGCAGAGTGAGGGAACCCCCCTGCCGCGGACTCTCACCTTTTCACCTTGTCGACGACCTTTTTCGGACTGGCCCACTCGTAATACGCGTACGCATCTTGGAAAGGCCACGCACCGATTCCTAACGGTCCACCGATCTTTGACACCATATAATCGTCCACTACTTTGAGTGTGAATCCTCCCTTTCTCATCGTCTTTAATTTCTCCAATACGCTTTCTTCTACACCAATATTGACTTTACCCGCCAGTCTCTGAGACTTTTCCCAGATCTTCGGATTGGCACCATAGTGCTTGAAGAAGAGATTGATCAAATTCAATCCCATGGCTCTTGAATACACGCGTGAGATGAACCAGTGATGCTCCAATTTATACGACATGGCCGGTAAGTCCATCGGTGGACCCAGCGCGATGCCCGAAGATAAGAGTGATTGAGACCCCGTTTGACCGAGATAATTCGTCAGGACGGCGGCTCCGAGCGAGAAGCCTATACCGAGGAGTGGAGAGGTAGGGTACGTTGAACGGATATAGTGAAGTGCGATGGACAGGTCCAGGGTCGTTCCTGCCGAGTAAAGCTGATCCGAAGTGACGGGTACGCCGGCGCCTGAGAGGTAGGGAGAGGGTGTGTGTGCGTATAGATCAGCGACTGTGGCTCTCTAGACTCCTGTAGGCCACGCCTGTACTGCACTCACAGCCTCGGAACTGTAGGTGAAGATCATTAGCACCGGATAGACTGTATAGAGCAAATCCCCCCGCTCCCCACTTACATTGACGACGACGGCTCGGATGCCCAGTCCACCCTCCGACTCTGGCCTCATGACTTTCGCCAATACGTTCCTCACGTAACTCTCATGCGAACCTCCGGTGAGACCATGGCAAACGACAAGCGTGGGTGTGTCGGGAGGTAAGGAGCCGTGATTCGGAGGTGTAAAGTCGAGACCTCTGCCGGGACCCCCATGAGCACATTTCAATGAGGATAGACTAGACTAGACGCTAAACAGTCGAATTCCAAACTCACATTGTACCTCCATCCGGTACTCTCAGATACGTCCTGTTAAGCGCAGTATGAGCGATCTGCCCCCCCTGGATCCTGAGAGGCCCTGGACAAATACGCTCACCGTACATAGTCCACCTGATCGATCTTTGAGAAATCACCAACGACGCTGAACATCGTCTGGAGATGACCACTGAGGGGGTTGGTAGGTAGAAACACCTGATCAGCAGCGAATCAAGTCAAACGTCGCTATTTCTTTGCTCCGCTCCGCTCCGCTTCGCTCACTCACTTGAACAACCACCACGTCGGTTTGAAACCCCCTTTCATCAAACTCGGTACGTTCTCTTCTATCCATCGACTAATCACTGACCCTTTCTCACCGTCTCCAGTTCTGCCCACTTGTCCGCCGTTCGGTGTACGTCTGTCCAAGCGAGCAGGTCTACTCGGTACGATCCATTCAATCTCGCCCGACGAGAGTCCCAACATGCTAACGATGAATGATAGTATCATAGAGGGGAGAGAGAGAACGATTGAGAGAGAGGACGCCGCCCTCTTTGTATCTCTTGAGCTTGCAGCCTGTTGATCGCCGGATGATGATCCACGTGAAGCAGCTTTCCTTTGTCGAAACTCTGCATGAGTGTCCATTGTCTGGTGAATGTGACCGGGTCGAGCCAAGGGTATACGAGGATGAAGTACCACTTATCTAGGATGAAGCTTGGGTCATGCTCCTGTTGCTGCTCATCATGGAAATGGTCGACGAACGAATGACTATCGACTACCGATGCCTCTGCGTCATTTCGGCTCACTCGGACGGAAATTTAACCTTTGAATGCGGGAGTGACCGGTGTGTGGGCTGGATGGTCTCATCGACTCTACCCATATGCTGGAGCATTGTCAGGTCAGAGAGCACTCGATACCATCAGCAACAACATTTGATGGCACTGGAGGTGGTCCCCATCATGCCCTGAGTTAAAGCTGAGCCGCCAGCCCGCCCACCTTTCGTGCTTTGCTTCGGCATCGACACTATCCCTCCGCCCCCGAAAGGGATGGCATGAATGAGCATTCTAGAGCCATGTGTCCACTCTCAAGCTTCCGAGTCTTTGGGTCAGGAGAGTAGTGATGCTTATGGACCGCACGAGCTGCTGAAGCGGCACCGAGTCACGACACCCACGCCGAGGTGACCAAAGGCTAGCTAAGGTGTATTGGCATGACACAACAACGTGAGCCTCAGAATCCTGACTCTCGCTACCGATTGCGGGCCGTGGACCTCTTCCAACGGAGTGCCAGGCAAGTTGCTGCCTCCATCTGGTTCAAAGGAAGTCTGATCCCTTCGTCGAGCCACCCTGCGTTCGCCTGGGCCATACATGGCTCACGATCGATGCTGACAGGCGCCAACAAAATGCCCCCTCGTATGCTCATCACCTGTGGGACCTTGAATGAGACTCTTGGAAGATCAGAATACCCAAGTGCACACATCAACTCGCTAGACGTCTCAACTCCGGATCAAAGACCTTTACTCCAGACTCACTCTTAGCATCCTGTGGTCATCCGGTGTCAGCCGTCAAGGGTCCCAATCCTTAACGATTTCAAAAGCTCCTGGATCTACTCAAAGGAACCCGACCCATACATCCTGCAAGGTCATTCAAATTGACTTGAACTTGAGGATCCGTTGGACCCTCTCTCGGATCGCCTATCTGTCGACGTCGACGATGGAGCAGGGCGGCTCACTAGGTGAGCGACGTTGACGCCAGAAAGGTGAGTTCGAGTCGTTCAAAAAACATTTCGCTCTCCATGACATCTCTTCAGTCGCTTCATATGATTATCCCTGTGTCCTCTTCTCTAAGAAAGAACGACTGAAGGGTATCGTAACCTTGGCTGACATTGGCAGCTAGAATATTCAACGTCCCTTCCAATACTCCTCATCGCCTGTTGTACCCGGTGAAAACCCCTTTAGTCCATCAAGAGAGACAGACAGCAAGACGACAAAGCAAGCAAGTGACCCGTTGAAGGGCGGAACGAGTCCTTCTGGCCAGTTTCCTTCTTTCATTCCAGCTCTCGGCCTCCTTTGTTTCTCTTCGTCTGCTCGACTGACCTACCCCATTCTTCCTATACGGATCGACGAGAAAGCGTATGGTCCGACACCCCGACCTTCCTTTTGAGCCATCCTTGATATCCAATCGATACCTTTTATCATTCCGGGGGAGCTGTTCCTTGTTCATCGACGAACCGCCTTGTCGATCTCAGCACCGCTAGCGGTGGTTTCCGCTCCTCTCGACATCTCAATCAAACGGTGTTTCAAGGAAGCCGCCTGCCTTTGCCAGCGCTGATCGACAGAACCAGAGAAAGCTGTACGCCTCCTGCCTCCTTTCACACCATCGACGTCTTGGTCTCGTCAACGTGTCTTCCCGAAGGGAACCATCGCCTCGAGTTAACTGATCGCCAGACCTCTAGGATACTCTTGTTTCCGCCTTCCTCCAATCAAGATACTTTGGTTGAATTCACCCCTTCCGCCGTTGCCGATCTCTATCTATGTGGGTAGAAAGCAAGGAATGACTGTCAATGAAATCCGAACGCTGTGCGGTTTACTTCGTGAGTGATAAGATCTCGATTGGGGAATAGTCTCCAGGAGCCGTTTTAGACGTCTCTATCCACATTTGACTGGATAATCTAGCTTGGACAAGACAGGACCCACACAAACGACTCGTCAGACGCCTGGAAAACTGACAAGTCCTTCAGTCACCAGCTTCGACCTCTCTCTCTCTTGTGTTGTACTTCTCTCACGCCAGAGACCACGTCTGGTCCCTTCAACGGGACCTGCCTTTCCTCTTTCATTCACCTCGCGGCCCGCTGAACCTCGACCCCAAGACATCCTTCGATACTTTGAGGGTTAGAGCTCCGAACAGCGTTTCCAACGGGGCCACTCACGTCTCCTTTATCCTTTGTGAAGGCAGAGTTAATACGATTTCCAGGCTCTGGCGGCCTGTACCATCATCCTCATCTCTTGTCGACATTGACCACGCGAATCTAGACAACTCGACAGCCTCAAGACTTTGTGTTACCTATATCCACTCATTCCTCTCGCATTCCCCTTTCGGGAGGCATTAGAGGCATTGCCGACCGGTCTCCTACTCGTCCCTGTGAGCCGCAAGCTGCAAACCGAACACAGACAGATTCAGCGGCTCTATCTCCACCAGCCATCTCCGGCCCGTCTCACGTTCATAAAACGCACCTGAACCCCACACGCGAAGCCTTTCACGATTGGCTGCAACGACACCACGGGCGAATCAATCGATCTTTACCCGGAAGCCCCCACTCGTCGGTCGGCTTGACAGTGGCACAGTGGCCCGGACCAGACCTTTCATTGGCTCGGTCGCTTCGTATGGGAAAAATATCTTGCTTCGGTGAGTTTTATTTCATATCGCATCCTTTGAGCAAGTTCAAGTCCCAGCCGACGGGCGGCAAGGCCACATATCTTGGCTGGGCCAAATGCTCTGACGGCTTGTGCTGCCTTCTTCATTTTGCCAATTCGCAGTCTGACTGACTCACTGGCGTCCCTCGGGCAATCAATTATCCGGCTCCAAAGCCTGTAAACCCAGGCTGATCCTTTGTTTCAGGTGCTTCTTACGTCAAGATTTGCCTACCATCCTTTCTTAGTCGAAAACACCAAGATAGCAATCTTCTCCTGACAAACCAATCTCTCTGCCAATATTCAAAGAAAAGAAGAAACGAACGAACGAACGCACCTACCGAACGCTGAATCGATCGACGCCATTCAATTCTTCCTTCCCCTTCTTTGATCAGCGTCAGTGACGATCAAAGGTTTTGGAACCTCAATCGCGGGGACTGTAGAAGAGTCGTCGACCCAGTCCCAAGTCACAACTCAAAACACAGTCCTTCGGGTCTAGACCTTTGAACCTCTCAGATTCATTGATTCAATCTTCTCCTCCATCCTCGATCTGCACCTCCTGTTCGCTCGCCTCCCCTTGTCCATTCATCCCCCTGTAATTCATACTCGTTAATTCTATATCCAATCTCTTTCTTGACCCTTTCTTTCCGCCTCCTCTTCGTTCTCTTCATTTATTTCATCATGATCTCTTCACCCAAATCCAATCATTGTCCCCTCTCGACGGGATATCATTCTTTCAGTTACGATAGTGATCATTTTCAAAAGATTGAATCTCCTTCTACCTCCTCGTCATCCACTTCGGCCTCCATTGCCAAGGAGCACCACTTGTCTTCCAGCAGGTCCCCCCAGATCGAACAATCCCATCCTGCCGACTCCCTTGACCCCGCCTTTATTGAGTGCCTGCTCGCCGCCACGAACCAAAGTGGCATCACCACAGCTCCCCTCGTTGACAAGTCCTCTTTTTCATCTTCCCTCTTACAACTTCCGCCTTCTTCCGCTCAGCTGGCTCCGAAGTCTGCACCATTCTCCAGCCTTACGACACCGTGTTGGACCTCAACGACGCCCGACTCTGGCGCTTGTTTCCCGACGATACCCCTCACAGGAACAGAACAGTGGACGTGCTCTACTCTGGGCCTCACAACGGTCCCCTTTAATCCGTTCGGGTTGTATACACCTACGACAGGTCAAATGCCAGCCTCTGCAGATCACAGTGGCACATTCGATCCGATGACGTCTGTGCCTCTACCTCAAGGTCCCTGCTGGCCGCCGACCTACATGCCAAGCGCAAACCATCAACCTCTTGCACCCTCGTATCTCGGTCCGTCGGACTATTACATCGATCCGAGTGCCACATACGACAGCTCGACTCAGCCCTCGAGCCCTGAACACGTCTATTCATCCAACAACACGAGCACATGCGCGACCGCTCAGACCTCACCTCAGTCAGCACATTTCCAGGCGTTACTGGGATCAGGCTCAGAGCATGCCTCCTACCCTCTCTTGGTACCTCAAAACCGGAAGCGATCAGCCACGATCAATACGACTTCTTCGACAGCACCATCGACATCACCGAACACTCCGCCCATACCTGCATACACCACGCATGAGAATCCGTACCCGCTCATGAATCATCGACCAAGCGTCGCGCGACAGCCTTCGGCACCGGCTCTGTCAATGCCTTCGTCGTCAACACTGTTCTCGTTGTCCCCGAACCCCATGGATACGTATACAACAGGTGGCAGCAATCATGGTAAACGAGTCATTCATCCTTCTCCTCGACACAGTCGGGCCCCAGGATACAAGGAATCCCTCAATCTCGGTGCCGGTGGTGGTGGAATGCTCTTCCATCCTTCCCAGACGTATTCTTATTTCGGCGACGGGTTCGGTTTCGGAGGTGGGGATTCAAAGCCTGCACGATTCAAACCGAGCAAAGAGCAATTGGACATCCTCGTCAAATCGTACAACGAGAACAAGTGGGTTTCCCTTTCACAGATACGGGCATCACCTGGACTGATCTCGACTCTGCCTTTAGAAATCCCGACGCACACACTCGCGAAGCGCTCGCTAGACAACTTGGACCAGATGTTAAGCCAAAGACTTTGCAAATATGGTTCCAGAATAGGTCAGCCTGGTTTGGATTAGGGTCTGTTTTCCCACACTGACAAATCTTGCGTGCATCATTAGACGATCCAAATCCCGTGCAAAGGAACGAGAAGCCAATCTTCCGAAACGGCTCGATGTCCGTGATCGATCGACTCCGCCCACTCGGAATGTATCTGCCACTGCAACAAAACGTTGCGTCAACTCGGAAGCGCTAAAAGCACTGGCACATGATGATGATCGTGAGTAAGCGAGCCTTGCACGTCCATCTCAAATTGATTGACACTGCTTCTCCAAACCTAGCCAACCTACTGCTCATCCCCATCACGGTCCTGTCCATTGCCAACTGGACGCGATTCTTGACCCCTGGATCAGGATATACTCTACCTGACCTGGGTTGCTCTGTCTCACTCAACATCCACGAACCGGTCCTCGACCTCTACGTTGTACATCAGTCCGAGACATACAAAGTCGTCATCCCCATCCATTCGAACGCCATGGCCAACATCCAAGGGACATCCAACCCTGTTCTCAATACAGATGCAGTGGCTATGAACTTTGAGTTGGCACCTGGTTCAGCGCGTTTCATGGGCTGGCAAGCCACTTCAGATGGTATCAGACAAAGCTGGCAACCCGTCGGAGACTTCACCAGCGGAGAGGCGAGTCACGGCGGGAGAGTCGAAATCACAGGGGATAAGACAGTATGTCAAGTTATCCCGTTCCTTGAGGAAATATCTGACGTCCCGCTCAGGGCCTATTGAACGCTTTTACTCGTATTCACGGTCTACTCGAATCTCTGCCCACTCCCCTGGCTTCCGCTCAATCTCTCAACGCTGTTAATGCTGTTCACCTCGGAGGCCTGGCAACTGGATGGATTCTGCCGAATACCGCTTCAACATTTTCGATGCCTCGTTCCGCCGTGGGGTCTCAGAATCCTCCATCGAGCGACAGCGGCATGGAATTCACAAGCCTGAATCCGTCTCACAGCGCTCAATATCCCTCCGGTACAAGTGGACCCCACGTACGTCACCATTTGCGTTCCCTGAGCGCATCGACAACGAACGGGTTCAAACATCCCCTCATGCTGAGTCACGCCCCTGGTCATCACGCGACGCAAAGCCTCAGCGTGGGATATGGACCGATGACGCGTTTAGCGGGAAATGGCTCGAACGACTACGCGACGTCGTCTTTGCCGTGGACGGCCACTAACGGTGATCATCCAGTACTTCCTCCACTCCTTGGCGATTCCGATTCTTGGCCAGGGGCTCGACAATCCACTCCAAACTCTGCTCCTCCACCTGCGGTACATGGCTCACCAGCGTCCGCGGTTCAGGCTGAGACCAAGGTGAATGGATCGCATTTGACTCATAATCGGCACTTGAGCGGACAGAGTAATGCAAGCACGTACTATGGGTCAATCGGTTCCTTGGGATTTTCAAACCTCCAGCAGAGTGACGCAGCGGAAGACCCGACGCACGACGAGAGTCCCAGGCGACTGAATGATGGGGTTCCCGTGTCGAAAGGGCAGGAAACGCCGCAGGAAGAGCTAAGCGAAGAGTACCGACGACCGATCCATAATTCGGAGCACAGAGCCCCCCAACCCAAGTCTTTCACTGCGTCACCAGAGGCCCTGGATCTGTTCAGCGAGGGTGTGGAGAAAGGCCAGTCGCGAGAGGGATCAGCAACGTCTTCGGTGTCTGTCTATTCCACGCAGGAGGTGGGACTGTGAGCCGAAATGCGAGATGCAGTCCAAGAGAGAGGAGGAACATGGTGTGCGCTTGCTTGTGTCAAAGGAGACAGAAGGTATAAAAGTGTGTGTGTGTGTGTGTGTGTGTGTGTGTGTGTGTGTGTGTGTGTGTGTGTGTGTGTATGTGTTTAGGTTTCGAGAGTCCCTTGTGAGCTGCTCCGAGTGTACACGAGCATATACAGCGTAGAGGCCTTCAGTAGGGTCATGGACATTCGATGTATATCGAGGATTTATAGAGACATTCATCCCATGACGCAACTTTCCGGGGAATTTGGTTCAGGATCCGTGTATGTGTGTGTGTGGTTTCAAGCTTCCCTGTTTCCCTTTGTTCCATTCAACACAGAGGCTTTTGGGATCCATCTACAACAACTTCTACGGCTCAGTCCTGGATAGATCACATCGACCTGAACTGTCCCGTCCGCCCCCCTTCGCACAAACCCACTGACCAAAACAATCGGGTGATAGCCTGGTCAATAATCCCCCTTGCCCCGCTCCTTCGGCCCCAAAACCGTCGCATTTAACCCGGTCTGATCGGCCTCTTATTTGGTTCGAACACCATTCTTACCTTCTTTTGATCACTTGGCTTTGGACGTCGCTGCGAGCCATGTCGGTAGACTTGAATGATCCAGAGATACAGAGACTCCAGAGAGAGGTGTTGGATCCTTCAAGCCAGACCACTTGGTGAGTTCGAGTTTCAAGCACTTCAACCGCTGCTCGTGTGAGGAGCTAGCTTTTGAGTGTCAAAGTGACTACTACCTTGCTCTGTACTCTTGTGACGTTAGAGGGCATAGCTGACTAGCGTGTCATCATTCAGGTTTCTAACGCATTATGACCCTTCAACATCGTCGGTTCTCGTCCCGCTCGCATCGGGATCATCCCCATCCATCTCTCGCATAAGAGATACGCTCGCTTCTACAACGGAGGAGCTGGTGTATGGATACGCCGATGTCCAAGGGAAAGGATTGATCATAGTGTACATGATAGATGGAATCAAGTGAGTGGAGGCGATGTTCTTGGAACCATGGCGTTGGGGCTCACAGAAATATGTTCAGTGGTGTCCGAAGGGGTGAGACTGTGCCGGATTGAACGAGTTTTCGGGAGACGGATTGACTGACTGACGTGTCGTATCAGCTCGAGCCGTGGTCCACTCTCGTGCATTTGCGACCTTGTTCCAGGTGAGCGGTTGATTCCCAAGCCAGGGGGAAAGCCGCGGAATCAATGACGAGCAAACCAAGTTAATACTCGCTGATTCTCACCCTCTTAGGACTACTCTGCCCTCATCACCATTTCAACCGCTTCAGAGCTCACCGACGAGCTCGTAGCGGACAAACTTGGCCTACCGGAAGCTCACGATGACAGATCCAGCAGGATGACAGGTCTGGTACCTGTTTCATCCGGCCATCCCAACCCTTCGGATTTGCTCGAGCCAACTCGATCTGTATCAAGTTCGGGCCAGGGAGCTACCGTGTCGAACGATGGCCATTTGACAGACACCTCGACCGCTCAATTCCACACGCCTACTTCCGGTGCACAGATGGTCTTGCCTCCTTCTCCCCCTCCAGAACTTGGACCTCCATTAGACCTAGAGTCAAGCAGAGCTCCACCTCAGGATCATTATTCGAGGTCCATTGAAGATTCGGCACGGCCTAACGACCCTGCCACCTTTCCTACACAGCCGACTTCCATCAATCCTCAGCTTCAGCGTGACCTCGCTCTCGCAGCTGGTCACACCGAGCCCGAAGCGTCTTTGCCCCCTGCATCTATGATTGGCGATGATCCGAGTCATCCCAGCAACATTACTCCTTCTGGTCAACCGGCTCCTCTTCCACTCGCAGACAGGCTTCAAATCCACACCGTATCCCCGTTATCTGATCGACTCCCTCCTCCTTCCGAACCCACGGTCATACACCCTGACAGGCCTCTAGACCCAAAAGGTATATCCTCTACCGATGTCTTTCCCGAACAGCGGAATCGCAAGACCAGTCTATCGTCTCGTCTTGGATCACTCGGCGCGGCATTCGGTCGAGGCAGCTCGACGTCTCCCAAATCGCCTTCCGTGACGGTGTTCACACCTACAGATTCGAACGGACATAATGGGAGCCCGCGAGATGATCAATCGCCCTCCACTCGATCCAACAAGAGCCCCGGAAGTCCCGGTAAGTCTCGATTCTTCAGCTCCCAGCTCGTCAAGAATTTTGGGAGGAGAGTATCCGGGAACAGTACGCATACGTCTTCTCCACCGACTACACCGAGGATAGATGAACGCGCTGCCGAAGACGCGGATGCACCTCCGCCATTGCCTCCGAAAGACTCGACGCCGTCTCCCCGCCGTTTCGGAAGTGGTCACGAACCCGCACCTGGTGCACATTATGGTACAGGACAGAACTATATCGGCACTCTACCTCTCTCGCCTCAAGCGGATGGTCGCAGCAGACCAAGCAGCGCTGGTAGAGGTGATGGTGGTGGGATCTCACCTTCTCCTTCGGCGAAACTCGCCATGACTGCGGCCAGTCAGAAGAGCGTCAAGACTGAGATGGAGATACAGGAACGAGTGAGGAAGGACATGGAACTAAGAGATCAGGAAAGGCTGGCGGACCAGCACGATTTCGAACAAAACGTGACGGTAATTGACAGAGGTTCGCACCTCGAGGACGGTGAAGAAGAGGAGGGATTACCGTACGACCGACCTGATCCGCGTGAGCCACCTTTATCGGTAAATGACAGGGCCCCTGAGAAGGAAGCAGCCCCACATCAGGGTCTAAGTCCTAGCGAACTGGAACAGGCAACGGGAGTCAAGGAGAAGATGACCGAATTGAGTCTCGCCGAAGCTGGAGTCGCTGGACCTGGCGTGGGACTCGTCGCCGGGAGTCTGGTGTCGGGACAAGCAGCTGACGACGGAGATAGACGCATGAAAGAAGAGGAGGAGCGTCTCAAGGCAGAGGAGCAACGTGTCGCTCAGGAAGAAGAACGAGTAGCCGAAGAACGCGAGCGATTGGCCCAAGAAGAAAAGCGAGTGGCAGAGGAACGAGCGAGATTGGACCGGGAGGAGGAAGAGCTGCGAGTCAAGGAGGAGCAAGAACATTTTGCGAGGGAGGAACAGGCTCGATGGGCAGAGGAAGAAAGGTTGAGGAAGATTGAAGAGGAAAGGAGGATACAGGCCGAGAAAGAGGCGGAGGAGCAGAGGCTCAAAGCGGAGCAAGAGGAGCTGGAGCGACAACGTAAAGCTCAAGTGAGAGAGAGTATGGTCAGAGGCAAGCAAAACGGAGGAATCATGTTGAGCGGGGTGAGTGCTCCGTCTACGTGACACACCTCATGCTCACTTGATTTGCAGTGGATCACGGTGCAGACGATGAAATCCCCGACGTGGCGGAGGAGACATTTCAACCTGTACAAGGACAAACTGGATCTATTCAAGTCGGAAGTGGTGAGTGACAACCAGTCAATAATGCTACCGATTCCATTCTGATTCTGACCTCATGCCGCCGCAGGACCCTGCACCTATCCAGACCATCCACCTAGGGAACGATGCCAAGGTCTCTCATACCTATGAAGAATCTCAAGTTCAGGAGAGTTTTAAAATCACCGCTGGGGATGGAGAGCCCTATTTCCTCTTTACAGATGGACATGAGGATCGCGAGACGGTCCTGGAAGGACTTGCGCTGGCTATGGAGAGAGCCTGAGTGTATGACATATGTAGCTATATAATGCAGATCGTTCGCGCCGGCTCGAATGATACAGAACGCCACTTTCGGGCACTTTGTGTGACCTGCGATCAGCCCGGTCTCGGTCCACTGAACCGGCATCAACGTTCATCTCTACTCTTGTACAGACATAATCATCAGGCTGGAGACAAAGGCTCGATCGGTTCTGGTGACCAAGATTAGACCTGTATATATCCCACCATGTCGTGGTCGTCTTTCCCCGGTCAATCGCAGCATGGGCAATATAGTAACAATCCGCCCCCTCCTCAGTGGGGTCAAGCACCCCCTCCTCCGAATTATGGGTAAGTGGGATTGGCTTCACAAACGGACCCTGGGAGTGATCTAGAATACATGTCCTCTATGGATATTCCTCAATGCGCACTGCTCTGTGCAGGGCAGCGTCTGCGTGACCGGGGCTGTGGTTCAGCTCGGTCCATCCACCCTATCGCTACTTTCTCACACTTTCATGAGCTACTCGATCTGACTGTCTGCCTCTCTCCAGGTACAATTCACTAGGACAGAATCAGTATTATCCGCCTCCTCCGACCCAATATAATGCTCCCCCTCCGCCTCATCAAGGAGGAGGTGGATGGGCTCCACCCACAGGCGCACCGCCCCCTCAACAGTATCATCAGACTGCAGCGGGCTACAGGCCACCTAACGAGAGTCAACAGGGTCAAGGAGCGCCTTTCGGACCTCCTCCAAGTGAGCCTGGCGCGCCTTATACTCGTATGAGACCATCGACTGACTGTGCTCGATTAGTCCGACCCCCGACGCAGCAACAGCAGTATGGACCTCAGTTTCAAAATGGAGGCGGAGGCCAATCCAGACCTTTCTTCCAGTACTCGCAATGTAAGTGAAGTCCTTGCCAAGACCGTGCAGCTTTCGCTGACATCGTGGGGAAACTCAGGTACCGGTCGACGCAAGGCTCTCTGTGTGAGTCTAGCCTCCCACGTAGACGCTTGATGATCTTCTCTGACTCCCGGGCAGATCGGTATCAACTACTTTGGATCAAGCAGTCAATTGGCAGGTTGCATCAATGATGCTCGAAATGTCCAAAAGTTCCTCATCGGTCAGTCGACCCATGCTTCTCACTTGAATGCAGCTGACTATAGTTCGCAGAGCGATATCAGTATCGCCCCGAAGATATCGTCATGTTGACGGATGACGCTCAAAACCCACGACAGATCCCCACACGAGCCAATATGATTCAAGCCATGCAATGGCTAGTTGCAGGTGCTCAGCCGAACGACGCGCTCTTCTTCCACTAGTGAGTTCTCACCGAAGCTGGCAGAACACCTCACCTGACCCAGTGCTCATCAGCTCTGGACACGGCGGACAGACCAAGGATCTCGATGGAGATGAAGATGACGGCTATGATGAGGTTATTTACCCTGTTGACTTTAAACAGTCGGGTCATATCGTGGATGATGACTGTGAGTTCACGTCGCCATTGGGAAACCTCGCCTGACCAATTGACAGTGTCAGTCGACATAAATCAATGTTACCAGCTGACACGAACAGACACGAGATCATGGTTCGACCTCTGCCTCCCGGATGCCGACTGACTGCTATCTTCGACTCGTAAGTCGTCCTGCCTCTCCATCCAGCCACTGACTCTTCTCTCCCAGCTGTCACTCCGGATCATGCCTCGACCTTCCCTACATCTACTCCACTGAAGGAGTCATCAAGGAGCCCAACCTTCTCGCTGAAGCTGGTCAAGGTATCTTAGGGGCGGGTATGAGCTATTTGAGGTGGGTTCGTCACTGTGTGCAGCTTGTTTCATTGCTGAGAACATACAAGGGGCGATCTTGGAGGCGCTATCAGCGGTGTCTTCTCGTGAGTCTATTACACACCTCCGGGCTATAGACTAACGGGATCGTAGGCTCGGCAAGCAGATGATGAATCAGAACTCTGGAGCTAGGGAGCGGACTATCCAGAGTAAGACAAGTCCCGCGGACGTCGTCATGTGGTCGGGATGCAAGGATTCTCAGACGGTGAGGACCTCTCTATAGGGTCACGGGGAGTAGCTCACATCGAATAGAGTGCCGATACTCAAGAAGCCGGTAGAGCCACAGGAGCAATGTCATACGTGGGCTTATCTGCTGCATGGAACCTGATCGTCGCTAAACTCGCTTCAGGCATTCATCGCTGCATTGACCAAATACCCTCAACAAAGCTATGTTCAGCTTCTCAACACGATCCGAGATGAACTCCGAGGACGATATGATCAAAAGCCTCAGCTTTCTGCCAGTCATCGTGAGCTATCTTGACTACCATCTAGTGCTCGCATGAGTTGATTCGCCGCTTGCTCAGCCATGGACACCAATGTGCTCTTCATCTGCTAGACGATATGTGTTCCCCGCTCGCTCCACAAGCTCTCGGCTCCGAGTGCCACGTGGAATTTTGTAACGTCATTCTAGAAACCTTTCGAGTCTCTCTTTGATCTGAAATGAATCAGTTTGTTGCACTTTCTTCGACTTCAAATCAGACCATCGAACAACGCACACGACTGCAAGGACAGAGGTCAGACTCAGTGCTCCGTCCCTACATTTGACCTCATCTCAATTGACTTTCAGAACACCCTCTCAACGAAATAATCATGGTGAGCACGCCAATTCCGGACACACGACCTGTCGGCTGAACAGGTTGTTTTTGCCTTCTTGCCTCGCTACATCGCTTTTGCCCGATCATCTCGATGGCTCTGCTCACTTTTCACCTCCTGTCATCGTAACTTGTCGTCCAGTCTGACGATTGGGACAAACCCACCATCATTGGCCAGGGTCGAAACAGACCCACTGCCGTGAAAGGAGCTGCATTGAACAGTGAGCAGCGATACTAGGCCCCCTAGCCTTCGATGCGACCTCTTCCGCCCATCATCCCTCTTAGTTGCTCAGCGTTCTGGTACCGCCCTAGAGACTACAGCCAAAGACCGTAGTCAAACCAAGGGTCGTAAGTTCTCCCCCCGATAAGCTCGGGTTCTCGCTCACATCTGTCAGCGGCCGATTACCAACGTAAAGCCAAGTTGGATTTGGACGATGCTCCCAAACCACCTGAGAAGGTGGATCAATCGTGAGCTACCATTCAGCGATCATGGAAATGCGCTGATGCGCATCTCGTCCCAGCGTTGCCAAAGCCCTTGCTCAGGCTCGTGCTGCCAAAACGAAACCCGATGGAAAAAGTATGACTCAGAAGGATCTCGCCACTGCTGTCAACGCCAAACCATCCGATGTGAGAATTCGGAGCTGCGCTCATTAGGCAAGATCACTGACTAGGCGTCGTACAGATCGCCGACCTTGAAGCTGGCCGAGCTGTACCGAATCAACAGCTTTTAGGCAAGATTGAGCGAGTCGTCGGTGTCAAGCTGAGAGGTGCGCCTGATCTTATTGGTACTCCATTGGGAGGGCCAAAGAAGAAGTAGTAGGAAACTCCCAACAAACGAAAACGACGCAATGTAGCCAATTCTTCAATCCTCTCATGCATTAGACATTGCAGTATAACTGACAAGCGGGTCAATCATCATCCTCCATCACCATGTCGCTTCCGCTCGCATCGCTCTTGTCTCCACGGAGAGGACTCTCAGCTCGCATTTTTGGGCTCGGGCTTCGATGGTCCAGGCTTGCTCGCCTCGGGCTGGCACTTCTCGACCTGGTGCGGCTCCTACTACTCCGTCTTTGCTCGTCGACTCTCCTACCTTCTCCGTACATTGCTCCTCGACCCGATCGCCAATCATCCCAGTCCCTCTTACGTCCCTCTCGACCGATATCGTCTCCTGTTCCTGAGCGGCCTTTGACCTTGTACCGGTCGAGTTCTCGATCTTGTCTGTCCCTCTCGCTCGCTCGATCCCCTCGTTCGCTGCCACGTCTGAACCTCTCTCCTTCCGCTGCAAAATTGGGTCTCACATCCATCCCTCTCTCCCATCTACCTCCCTCTCCCGGACCACTGCCGTTGACCCCACCGCGGGGACCACCAAAACCCCTCGGAGGATGCCTGGCACGAATGTCCGGTGTACGAGAATCGTAATTGGTCGGCATGCGCTTAGCCATAGCGGATTCCGGATCAAGATACCGCATCGCACCGCGCCCTGCGGTCTATCAGTGATCCCTGTCCTCCGACTCAAAGATCACCTCACCTTTGTACACCACCTCCCCAGAATCTTGAGCTCGTTGACGATCCTCTTCGATCTGTTTCTTCATCGCCTCCAGCTTTGCCAGACGTGCCTTCTCGAGCTGCTCCTTCTCCTCGCGTTCAAGTCTGGCACAAGAGAACTCAGCAAGCAGCAAGTTGCATATTCAATGACTCACCTTGCGTCCAGTTCCGCCTCCGTTTCTTCCCTTCCAGCTCTCTTCCTCTCCTTCCGACTCTCCCGTCTGTCCTCCTTCTCACGCCTCTTTCTCTCCCTTCTGCGTCTGCGTTCTTCCCTCTCGCTGTCCTCTTCACTGTCGATATGCGCTCTTTCCCTGCGCTCGCCGTCCGACTGTGGACTACGTATCGCACGCCTAGGAGGTGAGACTGACCGTGATGCAGCTCTTCTGCGAGGAGGAGACCTCTCCACAGATGATGTCGGACTCGTCGTCCTCAACTTCTTCGCGGGTGCTTTCCTCAATTCAAGCTCGCCACAGTGAATGATAGTGACAGGTGACAACGGACGGTCCCTATCGTCCGTCGCCAATTTCCCTATCGCCTCGATAATTTCGAATCCATGAATCACCCGTCCAAACACGCTGGAGATAATCATCAGCATCAGGGCCTGCTGGCTAAATGTACGGCTTACACGTGCTTTCCAGTCAGATGAGGAGCCGGTGCAAGCGTCACGAACCATTGAGATCCATTGGTGTTTGGTCCTCTGTTCGCCATGACGAGCAAACTGGGGCATACTTAGCATACTGTCTCTGAGGTATGTGTTTCTTTCTCACCCCGCCTTGTCCACTTGACAACCCTCGCCTTCTAATCGTTCATCCGCGAACATGCCGCCGTAGATACTCTCTCCACCTGACCCATTTCGCTTCGTAAAGTCCCCAGCTTGAATCATGAATTCGTCAATGACTCGATGGACAATCGAGTTCTTGTAATGTAGAGGAACATTTGAGATGGGAGAGATTCCCTTTTCACCCGTACATAGTGCCCGAAAGCTGGGCTCGTGAGCTGGGTGGTTCGGCTATAATGACAACCTCACTTTTCAGCTGTCTTCGGAACGCTGCGAGTCCGCATCAGCGTGTCCCCTGATAATGAGTGTCCTCGTGAACATACCGGTCTGCGAAAAGCTCAAACTGTTTTTCCCGTCAGCTCGTCGACATCAGTTTTACTGGGCTTGATAGACTGACCACGACGCGCCCTTTTGGCTCACCTCCGACCTCAAAGTCGATGAAGGTTCTCGGTAACGGAGCACTGGTCATGATGGACGCTTGGATTGCAGCAATGTGGTGGACAATATGTACTGGAAGGAAATGAATGGACTTGAATTTCTCCGCAAGAATGCATAAATTGGGTTCGGAGGTCTTTCGTGGCGCGTGGCATTCTGTCTACGCGGAGAGCATGATGAAAGTGATGCATCGGATGCGGCCCTAAGAGGACAGCTCCAGCTTGAAAAACTCGTCAGTAGGCATTTCCGTCCAATGCTCAATATCGATGATCGATTGTTGACTGTGTTCCATCAGCGCAGAGATTCACACGGTCAGGAGGGTGGGTGACTTACACCACCGCCAAGCGAAAATGACGAAGGTATTCGACGATGAACAGGACATCTTTCACTAGCGACGCAGCAGCTACGAAAGTCAATGCTCGAGCCACTCTGGACAACATACCAAAGTCTTCTCCTTCACGGTCCAAACGTTTGCTTTCGATCATGAGCAATCGAGCCATTCGGATCCAGATCCTAGGAGCATCAGTCGAGGGCCTGGCATATGTATTTACGTGGTGATAAACATGCCGTAGTCACCCAAATTCTGCATGTCAATCAACCTATGGTGCCGGCATCAGGCTCACTTTTTCTCTCAGCAGTACAAGCACGCCGAGCATACGTCTAAGTACTTGCAGGACCTCGGCATTGGCAGTCGCGTTCAAATCCGCACCTTTCAGGTACATTTCAGCGCCGAGGAGGATGAACTGCTGTGTCTCGATCAGTATCGTCCAGCGTGGAGGCGTACCAATGATGCGGCCCCAGTCCCTATAGTCTTTGTGCCTCGCTCGTCCACCGATGCCTGCTTCCACCGAGGATCGAGCTCTTGGTTGAATCGGTTCAGAGCGGTCTGGATGGCCGGGTCACACGCTTCGCCAGTGGCCGCGCAGTGCATCAGGACGACACTTTTGATCAAGTGAGAGCTGAGACGGTGTGTGACCGGACAGTTGGCACAGAGATCGAATCGCTCACTATTCAGTCCGATGGTCCCTTCCGCAATTTGTACGCTTCTCTTCGGAAAATAACGAAGCAAGCCGCTCATCACATTCCTGTCCATGACAATGGTCCTTCTATCGTCAGGACTGGCTTTCTCCATGACCCACTTCTTCGTACTCTGACCAAGCTCTCGGCAAAGGCGTGGTGACTTTCGACAGCTCAAATGAGGCATCCCAATGTAAGGCTGTCGCAGCGCAACGATCCAGGTTGAAAAGACACCAGCTACGTCGTTAGCCGGCAAGCCAACTCTCTCACTCACAAGGCATTGATATGCTCTCCAAGCTCGACCCTAGATTTCGGGACTGGCCCATCGTAGTAGACGTTGCGTCCTCGGCGGCGCCATTGGGGCGAGCCAGGAGCCACATCGGTCTCAAAAGTCGAGGAGGGGATTTGGTGGAGGCCGCAGACGATAGCGAGCCTAAAACGATCTCAGTGATCTTGGAGCTAGCACCTAGGAGCTTCCTTACCTGGCACTTTGTCCCAGCATCGCCCAGGCCTGAAGGATCGTCAGCACGAGACTCGAAACTCCAGTCTCACCTCTACAAGTCGGCTTTTGTGGAACAACCATAGTGCGATCAGTGTACCCGCCCTGAGGGCATCGTAGAGATATGACAATGATGCAATCGGAGGCATCAAGGCTTTTTCCATTTCGGATCTGGCGAGAGAATGGAAGAGGTCTTCTTTTTGGCGAAGGTATGTCCGATCGGAAGAGCAGCATGAAACAAGAAACTGCATACGTGAGTGTCTGAGCATGGCAATTGCTTCACCATAGAATATAGCAGGCATGAATGTGGTCTTTCCTCCACGTTCGATGAGCGGAGATTGGCATAGAAGGTTGGGAAATGAACCTGCAAACCGAAAAGGTTGAATGTCGAAAAGTACAAGAGTAGCCTCTAGCTCAGCTTCTGTTCGAAGGGGTTCCGCTCACAAGTGATCGCGATCATCATCGCTCAGATTGGCCGAGCCCGAATCCTGTGGTCCCAACAGCTGCTCCAGGTCTATAGTATTCCAGTCCCAGTTCCACCCTGAAGGCAACTCCGGAAGACCATTATCGGCCTTCGGGATGATACCAAAGATCTCCGCTGCTGCCGGTAGACTGAATGAGCTGGCAGGAGTGTTAATGGAGTCAGGTGAAATGTAATTGAATATATCGTCGAACGCAGTGATTTCTTGTGGTGTGCAACCGGGCACAGGGGTGGTCAGGCTGGATGTACTTGCCGAAACGGCTGTCGAGGGAGCAGTGTCCGGACGGAGGGAGAAAGAGGAGGGACCGAGAGGTTGTGGTGGATCAGCCGTTCCCGGATACGTGCACTCTTTCCCAAGACGTATGCAGCGAGTACAAGATGGTCTTTCACCAGGACATCGCTGTCATCAGCCGAGGTACCTGGTAGCCACACTTACAACCTTCCTCGACTTGCAAGTTTGACAAGCGTCTCCCCTGCCGGGTCAGTGGACTTTGCTAAAGATGGACGAACCGTGCCAGCGGACCTGTATGATATCAGCAAGTGGCTGCCAGAGGGTACCTACGATATCTCCCGGGTCTCATGATGCAAGCATGAGTGAGCAGCTCACCATCATGCAGTCTGCAGGTGGAAATAAGATATCCATGGTGCGGCGACCGTTCCACGTGAGCGCGGCGACCGAGATTAGCGCGCGGCGAGACCTTTCGGTCGCCGAGTGGCAGTGAGATCTAGCGCTGGCGAAGAAAAATATATAATATGAAGAGGTCTTGTTGTGAGGCTTCCAGAGTCAAGCCACTGTTATCATCACCTCTACCCTAGAGCGCTCGCCACTACTTGCTAATTCCACAATGTTGAGCGCACTCATGATTCGAAATTGCTCCGCAATCGTCCTCACCATCGTAGGGGCGATCATGTTGGCACTATCAGTCCACGTCTGGCGATCGGTGAGTCCGCTCGCTCCCGAAAGATAGCGGCTGATTCGCCTTCAGGTCGAGCCCATTCACTATCAAGCACAAGCCTTCTCTTTCAATATCTTTGTTGGTGCCTGGACATTGTCAACAGAGATGGTCCTCCTAGCTTTCAGATACTTCGGGGTAAACCTAAACATCACGACGGAGATGGTCGTCTTGCTCGTTTCCTCGATTCTGTGGCTAGGTGAGTCCTTGTTCTGTGGGGGAATGCTGATGAGCCCCAGTCTCTGGCGATCTCACTTCGCAAAGTCGCTCAGGCTGTTCGGGAAGCCCCCAACAGGGCCTCGCCGGTGTCTGCTCAGAACTTCAAGCTTCATTCGGTTTCATCTGGATAGCGTTTACATGGTTTGTCATTCTACTTGGGTATCTGGGATTCGAGATGTATCGTGCAAGATCACGAGATGAAACCCAAGTGAGTGTTGTGAACCTCGAAGAGACTAACTCTTCCAAAGGTGTGGCGTAAAACACTGATGGAGCTTGCTGAAAGGAGGTCTTATGATCTAGAGTCTAGAAGCGAGGACCAGGCCACGTACGTCAGAAAGTGAGAGACTACCCTCAGTACTATACATAGAACGCAGAGAGAGAGAGGAGTCTCCTAAGATGCTATATCCTTTTCACCTCGGTGCAATGAAAGGGAGGGTCTGGAGTTTGTCGCGAAAGGACAGACAAAGTCTCAGACGCGTTGCCCCTTTTCGAATGAGGCAGCTTCTTTTGTGTGTTCCGATGAGTCCTTGAGAGCTTGAAGCACTGCGCCATGGCAAAACATCCGGCTCGAATCGATCCTGGAGCAACCAAGCAAGCAAGACCATGATGAAGACATTCGAGAATCCATGGCAGTCCTACAGACTTCCGAGCCTTAAAGCCATGCTCTTTTCGATTGGGTTCGATGCCACAATCAGGAGTAACATGCCCTTCCCGATCTCGAGTGCAACCCCAAGCTTCGAGCTGGGCAGCGACGAGCTCAGAGTCTTGTGGATAGGTCACGCAACGGTGTATCTCCAATGCAGGGGCATATCGATACTTTTCGACCCCGTCTGGTCAAAGAGGTGAGCATGGGATGGGCCAGGACAGGACTGAGTTACACAAGATGCTCTCCTTGTCCGCTGGTCGGTCCAAAAAGGGGACTCGACCCTCCATGTAGAATCAGTGATCTACCCTTCGTGCATATTGTGGTCATATCTCACGATCATTGTGAGTCTGGTCGCTCGCCGAGCTGATCCAAAGACGACCATTTAGACAAAAAGTCGATCCAGAATATCGAGCGCCACTTTGTAGGAGTACGATATTTCGTCCCTTTGGGCCTGAGAAGGATATTGGAACACTTTGGAGTAGTTGAGGACAGGGTTGTCGAGATGGCCTGGTGGGAGGAGAGTATCTGGCACCGAACAGGAATGAGGACTACCATCTCCGAGCCCTCAGAGATCATTCTCTCAGCTTGTACAGGCATGGCTGCGGGGACCCCTGTGATCCAAAGGGACGGTGCCTCAGACTCGGTGTCCATTGCGTCGTCACCGACATTAGTCAATGAGCCGTCGAAGACGATGGAAGACCGCGAGGAGGCTGTGAACGAGAAGCAAGAGCAGCTCAGCTATATTCGCCTCGTTTGCACACCGGCTCAGCACTGCTCAGGTCGGAATCCATTCAAGCGGAATCGAACTCTTTGGTCAAGTTGGTTCCTTGAGCTCCCACGACCTGGAGAGGAACCATGGAGGATATACTTTGGAGGGTGAGACGACACATGTGGCAATGACTCATCAGTCAGTGACACAGGATATCGGTCGAGTCCAGATGGACCAGCGTGTCCGATCTTCTCAGGCGAGTTCTCGTGCCTCAACAGAACTCACACCTCAGAGATAAGCACGCGCTGTGGCTCCCCTGATTTGGCCCTGTTGCCGATCGCCGCGGGGTCCATGATGCCTTTCCTCGAGCATCTCTTACCGGTCCGTCTGGATCACTCAAGACTCACATCGTCCATCCACTGCTTCCCAAATGATGCGGTGGAAATTGCAAATATCATGGGAGCAAAGACAAGCCTGGGAATCCACTGGGGTACCTTTACAACCGCGCGGCATGCCCGAAAGACCCTAGCGGATCTGAAAGACGCGGTCACAAGCATCAAGACTTCGGCTTCATTTCACACAATTGATATCGGACAATGGCTCTCTGTATCAGATTGCGTTGATAAGAGCAAAGATGTATAGAGCTTCGCGTCCGACTCTCGGCCGGCAGCAGATACATAGTCTACGCTACTTTTTACACTCTCTGCATTCGGATCGATAACCGAAAATCTCACCCGAGATGGGGAAGGATCTCTTGGCACTGTGCTCAAATTAAAAATGCAAATGGTACTTTATTAGTCGGATAAGGAGTGAATGGAGAGCTGTTCTTCCCCACATCACTCGGTGTTCTTGACATCTGGCCAACGTCTATGGACTGTCACCATGGGTCTCAGAAGTAGATTTTCCAGCTTTGCTAAACATACCGATGCGCTAACCCCTGTCGATCCATCTGGAAGGATTGATCCACAGTCCGGCGTGGCAGTTGAAAAGAAATCTAAAGCGGAGCGATTGTTCGTCGCTCGGCTCGATGCAATTCTGCTCGTTTATGGATGTATCAGTCAGGTCATCAAGTGTGAGTCGCTCTGGCTCTGGCTCAGGATTGAAGATCGTGACTGACTTTCTTTACAGATCTCGATCAGCAGAACGTGAGTCGATTCAAAACAAAGATGACTGATAAGATTAGATTAACGCCGCATATGTGTCTGGCATGAAAGAAGATCTAGACTTGTACAGGAACGAGTATAACTACTTCCAAACGTGGGTTTGGCATTGATCCAGAGCGGTGCTGACACCGCGCAGTTTCTTCAATGTCGGGTATGCAGTCTTCCTGATTGTCAGTGGAAGAACGAATCCGTCAGCTGTACGCTGACCTGTCTCAGCCCTCTCAAGTCATCATCACGAGGGTCAGACCATCATGGTGGCTCCCTGCTCTGGAATTTTGTTGGGGTATTCTCACCCTTTCTCTGTACAAAGTCACTTCTGCCAAGCAAATGTGAGCTTGCTACTCCATCGCTTGCTGATCCCTCGAGCTATGCTATCAGAGCGTTTGTAAGATTTGATAGAAGGATTACAGCTCACGAATGACAGTGCGGAGCGTTTGAAGCTAGTGCCTATCCTGGTACGCTGATGATTTTGATGTCATGGGTATGTCCGGGGAGCTGCGGTTCCCACAGTTGGCTGATCAGAAGTTAGTACACACCGCAAGAGATCGCCTTCCGCATCGGCTTCTACCACAGCTGTCAGACTGGTGAGTACAGTACAAGCCAAGGACGTACTATCAAATCGCTGACGGATGTCCTCACAGTGGGAAATATGGTGAGGTAGAGTCATCTGAACCTCGCTAAGGCTCCCTCTAGCTCGCAAACGCCTTGCAGGCCGCCATTTACAAGAGTTTGAACGGGCACGGCGGTCTAGAGGGCTGGAGGTGGATGTTCGTGCGTCTTAGTTATGACAGAATGTGGCTCACGGCTGACTTACTCAGATGGTGGACGGTATCATGACTATGGTCCTAGCCCTATTCGGATTCTTCATCCTCCCTGACTTCCCATCCAAGCCCAAGTAGGTCAGAGAATCGAGAATGATCCAAGACTCACGACAAATGTAGCCCATGGTCTTTCTGGCTCCGTGACCGACACATTGAAATGGCCAAAGAGCGGACCGAACGATTCCGAAGAAGCGACAACAAGAAGTTCACCTGGGCCACCATCAAGCGAACTATAAGGTCACCGCTCATCTACTTCTTCGCTACCCTTTACCCTGCTGCTGTGCTGGCCCAACAGGGTTACAGCTGTGAGTCAACGAGGATCGAAACATCGACGCTCATGCGTTGTCAGACTTCCAGCTGTTTCTGAAGAGCTTGAAAAACGCCGATGGAACGCCAACATGGAGTGTCGAGCAGCTCAATGCCATTCCTATCGGAGGAGGAGCCATAACAGGTGAGCTTCGCCCAGCCGAGACTGTCCTAAAACATGCAGTCGTCACCGTCTGGGTTTATTCTTTCCTCTCTGACTACTTCCAAACTCGCTGGCTCATTGTCATGGCCCAGGCCGTAAGTCGAAAATGTTACAAAGTTGGCTCACATTTTAGGTCTTCGGCTTGATCCCTTGTATCATCATGAGTATCTGGAACGTCCCTCTCGGAGCCAAGTACTTCTCATGTGAGTTAAGTGAGCGACCACCCGCGCTGATTTGACCCAGTCTTCGCGACCTATCTTTCCCTCGCGACCGCTCCGCCAATCTTCGCCTGGATGTCTGATCTGAGTCCGCATGATTCGGAGCAAAGAGCTTTCATACTTGGTCTCTCTATCGCCATGTATTACGCCGTTGGTGCGTGGTCAAACATTCTCATCTGGCCCACGGTGGAAGCTCCGGTGAGTACGCCACATTTGACTTTTCTGACTTATCCCAGCATTACCGACATGCGTGGCAAAGCTGTATCGCCCTTTGGTGCTTGGTCATCATCGAACTTATCTTACTCCATCAAGTGGAATTGCGATATATCCGACCGAGGAATCAGCGCATCGCTCAGGAGAAGTGGGAGGCCATGATGGCTGCAGAAGTGCCGAACAAGTTGTCCAGAGAAGGAGAGACTATTCAAGGAGAAGTTGAGGGCAGCGTGGATACGAAAAAGGATCCAGCCATAGGTAGAATCCAATCTGCTTCGACCGCATGAGCAACAAAACCGGAATGCATTGGTCTGCCCAGACTACAACTGATGATGCTGGCTGAAGTCATTTTGCCTCGTCTGCTCTCAGGAACGACGTCCTGAGATGTCCTGAGCCTCCTCTGTTGGCTCGTGCAAACCAAGGCACAAATACCAGCTTTTGGTCAAGTCGCGTCCAATGCCGAGTCGGGCTCTTTCCATCAACCACACGGTATGCCAGAGCGTTGGTCATCTCGTCCAGGGTGTATACGCTTGAAGAGTTGGTCGAGAGAGAAATCACATGTATGCCTTCTACATCGAGCTTGGACTCGGCGAACTCAGTACTGGACTTGATCCCGACTCCTTCGAAATGCTTATGAGCTTTGTCGATCGCCTCGTTATCGACAGATTCGGCAGTGTAGATGATGGGACCTCGGGAGACCGTCAAGGTGTCCTGACCAGAAGCCGGATGTGAAGCGAGCAGTCGAACAGGAAGATCAAAATTGATAGTGAACGCAGAGACATGGCTGACGTCGACGCTGACGTAGCCGCTTTCAGCGGGGGATGTTGACGAAGACACCTTGGAAGCGGGTCAGACAGGATCCACAAGCCATGCTCACTCACTTTATACTTTGCTGCGTATTCAGGCTTGGGTACCCTGAGATTCCAGCTCCAACCTTCTGGCGCCTGGATCTGTATGTCGGTTGATCCTACCCAAGGCATGCCACTTTGCATCCTGATCGTGGCGTAGCCACCATCGGGAAGCTTGATGGTCCTTTTTGCCGACACAAACAGATGAATAGCCAGGTCGATGGTCCTATCCAAAGCGTCAATCTTGGCTGTCCACGTGTACCCTCCCAAGAGGCCGAGAGTCCTAGACAGGTTTGGCGGACAGCAGCAGGCTGGAGCATAAGCGGTGAAACCCCTTGTCTGACTCACTTTGGAACCAGTCTGACCGGAAGGCAGTTTGATCACCCGACGTTGCGTGTTTATTGGCGTATGAGAACTGCTGTCCGTTCAGAGATCCACCTCCTAGGACAGCATTGTAAAGACATCGTTCGAGAACGCCTCGAACTTTGCCGTCCAATCGGTGAGAGAGCAGCCGCTCAGACGTCATCATACATGCGATAGCGGCGCAGGTCTCGGCATAGCATCCTCCTTCAGCTGTCGACTGAGGCAGCCAGTGTTTGATCTTGGAGAAGCCTTCGATCTGATACCAGTCAGAAGAGACAACAGCGATTGGACATACTGATGGCTCTGTTCCGACTCCTCCCGTGACGTACATCTTGTAGTCTACACAGTCGTCCCATAACCTCCTGGCGTCGTCTTTGAATGCTCCGCCCAGGTCTGCAGCGGCAGCCAGGAGGTAGAATGTTCTGACAGAGTGTCCCAGAATGTCATTCTGAGCGTGTAAGGGAAGGTGCGCAGAGTAGTAGCTGGGCGTCAGCAGGAGGGACAGGGCAAAACGTACTCAAGGTCGTCCAGGTCATTCGAGTGCCCAGGATAGATGGGATCATGTCGCCTCTCCTTGGCTTCCCAGACGAAGTAAGACTCGTCACCTTGGTCGGCCCTTTTGACTCCACGTTCACTCAAGAGGTATTGGGCAAAAGCCAGGTGTCGATGATCATGAGTGATTGCGTACAATCGGAGCACTGCGAATTCCAGCTCGGGATGACCTGGATATCCATGTAGCTGGCCAGGGTGAGGACCAAAAGTCTTGATTAGAAGTGCGATGTACTAAGGGTCAGTCAATTTGCCTGAGCGTCGAGCCCACTCTGATCATGACGTCCAGGAACTGACGAGATCCAGTGTATTCGTAGTGAGCAATAGCTCCCTCCAGTAAGTGACCGCAATTGTCTGTCGTAAGCTCCTTCACTCTGGTAATCGTCTTACAAAGCTCATGCAGGTCTCGCAGATTTTTGAACTTGCCAGCTGGGTCGACCACCGTGAAGTAGATGTTTAGGTAGCCATCAGGCTGCTGAGCTTTTTCGATCAGGCCGATTACTTTGTCCATCTCAGAGCGGAGCTCTCTCGCATGAACGCTTTTGGCGCCGTCAGGGGAATTGAGGAAGTAGCAGGTGGACTCTATCCTGATTCATATCAGCAGATCTCGGAGACTCTGCCCACCATTTGCCGATATCGGAGTCCCAAGCGAACGTCGGAGGGAGACCATCCATCTACGCCTGATCAGCGAGGGCGAAGATATCCTAATTCACCGATGCCATGGCCCCGTGGAGCCGTCTGACTTCGTACACAGGTTGCCATTTCAAGTCAAACGCTCGGAGTGCCCCAGACTTTCTGAGCTGCTCGAGCTGGGTCTTGATGACCTTGTTTGAATAGATCGCCCTGAGCTTGCCGAAGAACGATTCGGGGTCAATAACTAGATGGATCAGTGCTGACTGCGTGAAGGAACTCACCAGACTCCTGATACGTGTTCTGAGGCAACGGACGGTCGACGTGCATGGCGTGAGTCTGAGTGTGAGCGTACTGTCTCATGATGGTCTATCGCAGACAACAAACTGCCTCCACTCATGCCTGCCTTGATGCCGGCTCTATCTCGGCCAATCGCTTGATGTGGGGAATGCGGCTACAGCCGGTGCTCCGTCTCCGGGGACATTACCGATTCTATTTATGGTCTATGTAGTGCATGCCAATCATGAATTCCGCCAAACACTATGGAGATCATGTACTTCCAGCTCAATAGACGTCCCCTCTGGCATGCCCTCGGTGCCAATTCTGAGCAGAGTCAGGGGTTCCTCGGAGAAAAACAGCATTGTAGCACTGTAAGCTCCATCATCTATAAACAACTCCAGAACAGATCGGTCAATCACGCCCCAGATAGATCTTGCAGCAGAGACCTGGGCGACGGAGAATCGATCGTTCCAGAATGGGTTGTCACTTCCGAAGCCCTTTGTATTGCCTCGATCGAGCCAGGCGTGTCCTGCATTTGGGCCTCCAAACATGTATCCCCCTTTGACACTCTCCTTGGATGAGGGAGCAGATACGGCAAAGCTGAATGCAGCCTCATCCCCATATCTCGCCTGGCTGTCAGGTAGCTTGATACTGAAGTAAATGGCGCCACTTCCTGCGCTCGAGAAGTCCACATCCGTCGTCTTGTTGACAAAGTCTGTATCGTGACTCAATCGAGAGTTCAAGATCGGTGAGAGATCATACGGTTCTGAAACAAGGGCCCATCCGGTCCGTTCCAATCGGGTGAGAAAGTTCTTCCTTGGTAAGGACATGATCGAACGCCAGCCTTCATTTGCCGTTGGCAAGACATTGGTATATTGCCAGTTGTTGGCCCAGGCTATACTTACAGCCTCTCCCGGAGCTGTGCCGTCGAAAAATTGTGCTGCATAGTTGTCCTTGGCAAAGTCAGCCAGTCGAGCCGCAGAGTCATGCGGTACGAAGCTGTATCCGTCAAAGTCTCCAGGAAAGTAGAGCATGGTCGCTCCGCCCAGTGGAGCACCGGGATTGATCGAGATGAACAATGTCCAAACTTGCTCTCCAGTAGAAGAGCCATTTGCCTTTACTGGTATTGGGACTAGATTGGGACACTCGTACTGTAGACCCAAGATTCCAAGGTATGAGACGCTGGAGCTCGGAGACCAAGTCTTCAGATCGCGACTGGTGTAGATGCCGATTTTGAACTCAGTGGAATGGGCAATGACCATGACCCAGTGATCCTCATACCAAACGACTTTTGGGTCTCGGAACTGGTTTGATTGGATGTCGATCACAGGATTGCCCTCATATGGAGTAAACGTGTAACCACCGTCTCTGGAATAAGCGATGGCTTGGACTTGGTTCTCCGGCGTGTTGAGAGTATAGATTGCGACGACACCGTCGTCTTGGTCCGGAAAGAAGCCAGAGGTATTCTTCGCGTCAATCACGGCTGAGCCGCTGAAAACTCCAGTCCTTTCATCAGGTGGGAACAGTGCGATTGGCTGATTGGCCCAGTGATAAAGATCCCGAGACGTCGCATGACCCCAATGCTGATTGCCAGCAACGAGCTCGGTGGGATTATCTGGTTACATTAGCGGGCGGCCCGGCGGTACTACTTACACTGGTAGTAGAGGTGCCAGATACCATGCTTATCAACGAAGAGGCCATTCGGGTCATTCATGAAGCCCTGAGACCATTAGCCTACGTTCTGAGGAGAGTATAGGTACCTTTGGAGGTGAAAAGTGTACCTGAGGTCGATACCGGCCAGTATAATCGCCATGGATTGACTGTTCGAGTAGATGAGTTGATCTCATCATGCTCGCCGGACATCGAAGTAGGTCCTCCCGTCAACAAAGATGCGACAGTCAGCCAATACGTCGCCAGGAGGGCCATACAATGAATAGAATAACAATGGAATGGAGAACGGTCCCTACAAAGCCTCCCAACGGCGGACGAAGGGTAATTCGTTGGATTAAAAACATGATTCATTCTCGCGCAATCAAACTCAAGTATCTTTGAAAAATTTATGAATGGCTACATGAGACTTGCATCTGGGGCGGGACACTGCTCAGGCCTGGTTCACATCCTCACGACGACCAACAGTGCTTCGACCCTTGTCGTCGGCAATAGGAAGACCGTCCTCTGAGTCGGTGTCGCCAGTCCATTTGCTTCGCTCGATGATAGGAAGGGGTCTGGGAATGTTCCTCTGGAAGAGAATGTACCTTTTGACGAACCAAGGAAGCCAGACTTTGGTCTCGTAGGAGATGAACTCTGAGGTTGGAACCGAGAAGACCTCTGAACCATGTCAGCGAGGGCTAAAGCTGGACGAACTCACGGTCCAATTCTTCGAGTGTGAGCTGTTTCGTCTCTCGCACGAAACAGAATATCATAATCCACGCGATCAAATTCAGACCCGCGTAGAAACCGACTGCAGGGTCAGCAGAGATGGGCTGTCTCGACTCACAGGCACCGGGCGTCGTCATGACAGTCTTCATTCGCGGGAACGTCAAACTCAAGACACCAGCTGACAAGGTTAGCACCCGCTTCTGCTCGTGGATCTCACCGAAAATGTTGTTGATTGCGACAGCCCAAGCCATACCCTGCTCTCGTTGGATCGTCGGGAACACTTCAGCTGAGTACTGGAAAGCCACGGGACCTTCTCCCCAACAGTAACAGATAGTGAAAAGGTAGACGAAACTACAAAAGTCAGCTCAACCCAAATTCGACTCGACTCACAGTACGACAGGACCAAGACGCGCACCCTTGCTTCCGTCCTGCTTGAGAGTCGACAGACCGGCGGCGAGAAGGAAGACGCACATGAGAGGGAATGTCTATGGTGTCAGGAGACATAACGCCAGAGAATGCTCACGATCAAACAGAGCTTTCGACGACCCTGGGTGTCAATCCAGAAGACGGTGGGAATAGTGAACACAAATTGAAGAGCACCGTATCCAAGAGAAGCGTACAGGGCATTCGTATCAGTGTAACCGGCCTCGGAGAAGATGGTTGACGAATAGAATGAGATGACTATCGTCAGTCAGGGACAACGAACAGACAAACTCACTGTTGATTCCGCACATTTGCTGCGCCAACATGACCGTACTAGCGCCGTAGTTGGCCCTACGGATTCGTGGGACAGTGAAGCAGTCGGCGAGTCGAGAGAAGTAGTTTGCGCCCTGAGCTTCGCGTTGCTCTTCCTCGTAAATTACGTAGGAATAGTAGAAATCTCTCGCGGAGATAATGGGGTGGGCACGTAGTCGCAAGAACGATCTGAAGGCGTCGGCGTTTCTTCCCTTCTTCATGAGCCATCGAGGAGATTCGGGACAGAAGTAGATTCCAAGCATAAGAATGAAGGAGGGAAGGAAAGCGGAACCTAGTTGATAACGCCAAGCGTTCTTGCCGACATCCTTGAAGATACAGTTGGAGCAGAAACCGAGGAAGATACCTGTTCGTCAGCATAGCTGACATATGATGACCCACCGAAGGTGACCCAGAGCTGCCAGAACATGACCAGAGCTCCTCGGATTCGAGCTGGGGCCAATTCAGAGGAGAAGATGGGAACAGTAGCATTCTTGGCACCGATACCAATACCAAGCACGAATCGAGCCGCAAATAGAGCTTGCCAAGAGTGAGTGAACGCGGATCCGATGGGCGTGGCCGTGAGACAGGCACCAGTGATGAAGATTTCACCTCGTCGTCCGAAGTAGTGGTTCAGAGGGTCGACGATCCAAGCGCCACTGCAGGTCAGTTGCGCACCAGACATGTACTCACATGGCGCCTGCGGTCAAGAAGATGATCGAGTTCACCAAGCCAAAGATCCATTCGTCACGACCGGTTGTGCCATCAATACCAAACTCCTTTCGGAAGGTGAGTGCAGCACCGTTTGAACCAGTCTGATCCCAACCTTGGGTGGCGGCACCGACGGCACAGAGCGAGATGGCGTACCAGAGGGTCCAAGGGCCGTGCCACTTGTGTTCGTACTCGTAAGTCAAGGCTTCCAACTCGTCGGCTTGAAGTTGGGAGACACTTCGGAAGTTCTCCGAGTCTCGAGCAACCAGTGCAGCTCGACCAAAGAGTCCGGCATAGTCTCCGAGACCGTTCGCGTGGGCAAATTTCTCGGCATTAGCAATAACCGTTTGTTTTGAGTCGCGCTTGAGGATGTCAGCACGAGATTTTGGGTCGTCTCATGAATCGACTCACTCTGAGGGGGTTCTCGACAATGTTGACGGCGGCTGCACCACTGCCAGATTTGGTCGCGTGCGTCCTCGAAATCTGGGTCGTGAGGTTGTTGTTCTTGTTGTCGACCGTGCCGGTGTAAGTGTTCTCGGATTGCGTACTGGGCCGCTCAACGCCAGGAGCCGCTGAAGCGACGTGCTTTTCAGACATTTCTGATATCTACTTTGTCTATCAGGGGAGATGTAGATGTACAATGTCAAGAATAGGATGAACTCTGGGGGATCCAATCTGGGGTAAAGAGGTCTGATCTGACCAGCCCTCAAGGTATTTGAGCGGGGTGAGAGCGGGTCTCGGGTGGAGCATCATGGTGTGAGAAATTATCACAGACATTCTGTTTTTTACCGGGCTTGGCAGGATTGCGTTAGTCACCGGACGCCTCTGACCACTCGCCCACTTCCCTCCCTCCTCTTCTCCCCTCATGCAGAACTTCGAAGCCTCCACCGTTCCATGCATGAACCCGGGGGTCTACTCTCGGGAAACTTTTAATAAGTCGTCAACCCTGAAGGAGGGCAGAGGGCGACGGTGAATACGTCATTGGCGCACTTTTATTAGACAGCCCAACTCTGGGGTGGCGGCTTCCCCGGTGTGTGGCATCAGACTCTGGGTGGAGTTTGTGAGGTGGCTATGAGATCTGATCACTTGACGAGCGAGCGCTACTGCAGCATCATCGGCACCATGCTCGGCTTGCATTCCGGGCTTCACGGTCTATGTGGGTAGAAAATCATGTCATCAAGAATTATAGGCCGTCGTTTCGAATTATAGGATGATATGCTGATTCTATTGCTGGTCCTGCTTTCTCATGTCCCTCCACTCTGCTTCCACCAGCCGACTCTGTCTCGGTGTCAAGTCCCATCGTGTTCCGAACAACGTATCACAGATCCCCGGACTGCCGAAACCGTCGGAGAATGAAACGTTGGCGCGAGTGTGATGCTCGGAATGTGCACGGTTGTCCAGGAAGGAGGCTAACAGGTCGACGGCAAATGCGGTGATCCCTTTAAGTCCGTCCTCGTCTTCTTCAACATGCTCCTTGATCCCTTTCTCTGGGGTGCCGCCCCTACTGACCGAGCGGGATGGCTTCAATGGCGCTGAGAAGTCGTAGCCCGAGTGCTCGTATAGACCTCCAATAGCACCGACTCCAGCAATCAGGAGGTGGAATCGAGGATCCGCATGGTTCCCAAACACAGCCAGCGGGATCAAATATGGACAAATGATCTCAAGCAGGAAATCCGGTGGTGACATGTAGCATGCGCTGACAGCCTTGGTCGCTGATGTTGAATGGTGAAGCGAGTGACGCAGCCATTTCATGAGCTTGAGATTGGGTCTGTGTAACAGATGACGGTGGAAGAGATACTGAACGACATCGTGACCGATCGCCATGCCCACTAGGCCGATCAAGAAGCGTAATGGTGATATTCGAGAAGGTCCCGAGAATGCGAGTCCGGTGCGTTCCATAAACAGCATGGCTGGTAGCAGCAAGAAGAACTGGTTGAACAGGACTCTGGGCAGTAGCTCGACATATTTGCGTCGGTCCGATGTCCGTACTTTGGAACGGAGGAAGAGGGAATGTGAATCACAGTATTCGAAGGCAAAGCCAACAATGTGAAATACAACCTCTTGAAGCGCGAATGTAGCGGTAGCGAGAGGTATGCTCAAGGCGATGGCATTGAACATGATCTGAGATTGCGGCAGTGGCCATATCCTCGACGTTGATAATTTGGACTCGTGAGCTTATGTACTGAATCTCCGGACACGTCTTTCGCATGCTGACTCATAGCGACCATGGTAATAATTTTTTCCCCGTGTCAATATGACGCCGAAATGCCATGATCAGTTCCGATTCTGCCCGAGTGCATTCGTGCTGACCGATGCTACATTCTGTGAGCGAAAAGTGTAAGGAGATATCTTGCCACCTATGGAAATATGCACACGTCGTCCTGAGGTGGTCGGCCTCTAAAACGGACCCGAGACTAGATCTTATTCGCAATTATTGATGACGGGATGCCGATGACCGAGCAGTTGAATTTCGGCTTGGCGGTGGCTTATAAATACATCCACCCGTATTGCGCAACAACGTCAGGGCCGCCCTCAACGATGGCATCGCAGAATGCGTGATGGTCCATTGTACCAGATCAGATCGCCTCTACTTGTCACCAGGCCGCTAGAGCTCTTCCGCCCACACGTTTGAGCCCCAAACGCCATCCCTTGCATGTCAACTTCGGCTCTGGCACAGTGAGTAGCAAGGCGCAGGGGATTGGTCGGTTGAGAGCAAGCAAAGGTTCTGCTGTACGCCAGCTATGCATACGGGTCGGTCGGGCTCTCTGTTATCGTGGTAGTCCTCATAAACTAATGCTTTCGAGCATTTCACCACAAAACAGACTACGGTACAATCTGTCGCTCTTTTCCGGAAAATTCGAAAGGCACACAGGGTGAAAATACTTCACCTGTAATGTTCTGTTGCTCGTCGTCGGCCACATTAGCATGATATTAATATGGAAGTCTTTTTGAAGGCTTCCTCCGGCCACTGGAGTTGGCCTAGTATCACAATCCCTAGCGGCTCTCGGGTCACACATGCTACCTCACTCGAACTGTCCGCTCTTACGTTATGCCTCAGCTGAGCGAACGGGAATTTTGACATTATTGAACGTACACTAGTCTCAATGAAGGACTTGGAGTGGGGGAGCTATCCGGGTCTCTCTGAGCTTGGCAACGGGATCCAGGACTATATTAGGAGTGAGGATCCCCACATTCCACTTCTGCGCCCGTCTTCTTACCATGCTCCTGGCTCTGCTTATTTTGGCACCTCTCTTGTCTACCTCATATGAGGTAAAGACACCGCCTCTGGACACGCCTTGGACATATACCGCCGGAACCGATCCTTGGCCAGAGTATCCTCGACCCCAGCAAGTGCGGGATCGATGGCAGTCACTCAATGGTATCTGGTCTTGGCGCAATGGAGCCGCTGACGAGCTCAATGGGCCGGTCCCGACTGGCAACCTAGGAACCGATGTCCTAGTGCCGTCTTGCCTTGAGAGTGGACTATCTGGAGTTATGGCGAACAACACTGGCAATGGGACCATCCTACACAGTTGGTATCAAACGACCTTCAATGTGACAGAGGACTGGCAAGGAGAAAATATTCTCATCAACTTTGGAGCCGTCGACTACCAAGCTACTGTTTTCGTGAACGGACAACAGGTCGTTCAGCACACCGGAGGTTATTTGCGGTTCTGGGCTGACATCACTTCGGCTGTAAAGGTCGGACAGAGCAATGAGCTGGTGGTCTTTGTCTTTGACCCGACTGATAGTGAACCATACGTTGTACCAATTGGAAAGCAAACTTTGAACCCCAGCCACATCTTCTATACGCCTTGTACTGGTATATGGCAGCAGGTCTTCATCGAGCCTGTCCCTGCAGATCACATCGAATGGATCGATCTCGATGGAGATATGAACGGACAGGTCAACATTACTGTGCACTCGGCAAACAACTCGTCTTCGAGTGTGACCGTGAAAGTATGGGCCGATGACGGTCAAGTGGCAGCCACAGGGACCGGTTCGTCGGACTCGCCGATCGTATTTGAGGTCGCCAATCCCAAGCTCTGGAGTCCGGAGAGTCCCACCCTGTATAATATCACCGTTACACTCGGTAATGACACCGTAGCGACCTATACGGGTTTCCGTACGGTAGGTAAGGGCATGGTGAATGGCATGATGCGGCCACTACTCAATGGTGAATTCCTCTTCACCTTCGGTCCCTTGGACCAAGGATTCTGGCCCGATGGAATATATACACCGCCCAATTATGAAGCGATGGTCTTCGATCTCAAGACTCTAAAGAGCCTTGGTATGAACATGATCCGGAAACATATCAAGGTCGAAATGGATCTGTTTTATCATGCTTGCGATACCATGGGATTCTGGGTTATTCAAGACCAGCCCGCTCTCAATATCCAGAACGGTGCAGAACCCAATTCAACTCAACAAGACGTGTTCAACTCCCAACTCTTTGAGCTGGTCGAAAAGCACAGATCGTTCCCGTCTATATGTACCTGGGTCATCTATAACGAGGGATGGGGCCAAGTTGGCGCGCCAGAGCTCTACCTGGCGCCAATGGTCCGATCACTGGACCCGACACGCCTGATCGATGCTACTACGGGATGGAACTGGCACGGTGCCGGCGACTATGTCGATAATCACCATTATTCAGAGCCTCAATGTGGTACACCATTCTACTCGATCGCCTCGAGTCCATATGACCCCAACTATATCGGCTTCCAGGGGGAATTTGGCGGAATTGGGAACAATGTCAGTATCGATCATCTGTGGAACGTCCAGCAAGCCATCAACGGGATCAATCAGACATACGAGCTGGATGCCACTGTTGAAATATGGAACTACAGGGCACATCTCATCCTCGATGAGCTTCGTCAGCAGACTGAAATGTTTGCTTGCTCAGGTGCAGTGTGGACTCAAACCACCGACGTGGAAGGGGAGGTCAATGGCTTCTTGACCTATGATCGGCGTATTCTTCGGCCCAACATCACGCAATGGCAGAGTGACATCTACGCATTGTATCAGGCTGCAGCGGATAGGGGCGGGTGGAACCCGGACTCCGCCGCCTGCATTGGGCCGCATGCTAATGCCACAAAACGGTGGAATTGCTGAGATGCTGCATTTTGTAGCCGTATAATAATATCAACTTGTTTGTGATTTCATTTTCGCTCGCCATGTATCCCGTTCCTGAACATCCCACGCCCCTCACCTAAGTCAAGACATAGTTGCAGGCCTTGATGAACCAATTTTTGGGAGGCGGCTCGTCATAGCTGACTTCCTCGTCACTGGGAATGTTGCTGACAAAGTCAAGATCCTCCAATCGGGTCCATCCAGGTCGCTTCCATGCCTGATAAAAGACAGCCAGCGAAACGAATAAGGCGATATTGACGTAGTTGACCACAAAGTTGGCTCCGCTCCAGTTGCCATGCGTAAAGACTTCCCAGCCATTGAGGAAAACGACAATCAAACACCAGAACAATGCCCAATAGGCGGGGAGTGGCTGCCATCTGTTCCAGTAACTACGGATCAGCCTTGAATGCTCGTGTGGCACCCACTGAAATTGCTTCCGGTCAATGCCCTGTGCGGCAAGTCCGTTCTTGAAGCGGAGATATGCACCCACAATCACACTCCAACAGATGAAACTAGCAATCGAGGTGATGTTCTGGTGTAAGCCGTGATAATCTCTCTCACACTCACCTGCAACCAGTTGAATACTGTCGCACTTCCCTTGGAAAGCGTGAGGTACGCCAAGGCGAAGGAAAGAGAGGACACCACCAGCGAGACGATGGGCAGCCCCTTTTTCGTGGTTTTGACGAAGATGCTGGGTGCTTGACCACGGAGCGCCAGACCATATATCATCCGAGATACACTGTACAATAGCGAATTGCCCGAAGATAGCGCAGAGAGCATGACAATAGCATTGATGAGGGAGGGTAACTGACATTGAGCGTTGTCGTAGTCCAACCACTCACCACTTTTATGCCAGCACGATCAAAAGCGATAACGAAGGGGGAAGATGCCGAAGTGCCGGTCGATTGCAGGAGCTTTGGATCGTTGTACGGTACAAGCATACCAATCACAAAGATACTGGCACAGAAGAAGATGGCGATACGGTAAAAGACCCGGCGAATGGCTTTGGCGACTGCCACACGTGGGTTCTTCACTTCTGCAGCGGCCTGGGGTAAGTACTGTGTTTGGCAAAGACAACTTACGAAGCCAATCATTTCGATACCGCCGTACGAATTGGCAGCTTGTACAAGATCGGTAAACCAACCCAAAAAGTTGCCGAGACTTCCCTTTGAGTGGTATTGTGCGAAGGCACCCGGTGACTTCCAGTATCGGAATCCAATGCGGTCATGGTTTGGGCCCCCACCTAGGTCGACCACGAGACCGCCGATGAGCAAACCGATGATGAAGAAGACTGATGGTCAGCAGACAGAGCGCCTTGCACACACTTTTCATCATAGCAAATGCGAATTCTGACTCGCCAAACCATCGGACACCGAGCAGGTTCTCATAGGGTCAGACACTCCCTCAGGCTTCACTCACTATGACGATACAGAATGCGGCAAAGACCACGAGATAACCCGCCTGATGAGGAATCGTGAAACCTGTCATAAGCCTAGTTAAGGCCAAATCCCACTTACTTGTATCCCAGAATGAGACAAGGATACTGGCTGCGATGATCTCTGAAGGAAGCGATATCATGTACTGGAGACAAATTTGCCATCCCATCGCAAACCCGAGCGAGGGGTGTAGCCATCGCTCGGTATAATGAATGTAGGAGCCAGAGATTGGAGCATACACGGCCATCTCTCCGAGACACACCACTGACCGTCAACACGCCTTCGCTGGCTCTCGACTCACACACCGAGTAGATCACTGATCCCACGACGACATACGCCAGGAAGGCTCCCAATGGTCCACCGTGAGCGATAGCTGTATAGGTGATAAGCGGATGGGACAGAGGGGGAGATATGTTCACTAACCTTTTCCACTTCCCAAGAACAATCCTGTGCCAATGACCCCCGCGAGGGCGATCATCTGCATGTGCCGTTGCTCCATCTTACGCTGCACGCCATCGTACAGATGTGTGTGCACATCGATGTTAGTGTCACACATCGCCTCGTCGGCAGGAATGACCGAGGCGTCATGAATCTCGTATTTGTCTTGCTTGTCATCGTCGAAGTCTGGAACAGCTCGGGCTGCTTCCACGTCGTTCGGGGCCATGTTGAAGAGGATTCTATGTGTGTAAGCTGTCTGGAATGAGATGTCAATCGTAAAGATAGTGATTCCACCATGCCCCACTCTCTTGGCCCCTTGCCGGCAGAATGACCGGAGGAATGAGTGTTATTTCCGTCCCTCCGCCTGGGGGCGCATTCGGCTTGGTGGGGAGCTTGAGAACGCTCGGCCCGAATTTCGGCTCGACCAGAGGATACCAGATAAGACTGAGTATGGACCCCTCAGGGACACGGACAATCAGTGAAGAATGTCGTAGTTAACGCCCCTTCCTCCACACGGGCCGCGATCAGACAAGGTGGGAAAGACATGCTTGAGTAAGAGGTAAAGGCAAGGTGGACAAGTTATCGCGGGCAGCCCAGGCAAATTCATCGTCGATCCATGTCGTTTGTAGTATGCTCATGGCGCGCAGAGCAACTCCTCGTCCCAAAAGGAACAATAGTGCGAGACATGACGGTACAAATGCCTCGACATCTCTCCGTGCAGCTGAGGTGATCGAAGCTGGGCCACATGGTTTAGCTTACGTCATCTCATAGAGTCATCCTCTTAGCCTGTCACCTTCACCTTCTTCTAGAATGTCCACATACCACGGCATGAACGACACTTCTGACCCGCTACAGCGTCTGGGGGCCTCTCTGTTCTTGACGATCATTGCGAATGCAGACTTCGGGGCTATTCTTAACGCCGAGCGGGTCTGCCGCTCATGGCGCGCTCTCATAGTCAAGCATACCAAGAGCATCTGGACAAGGGAATGTCGCTCGGTCGGGGTGGAGGCGAAGCACATGGCTTTTCTGGAGGCATTCGAGAGTCGTCCGGTCCTCAGTTGGTCCGGAGACCCTGACGAGATGGAGCATCAAGATCCAAACGAAGAGTCCAGAGTGGATTGGAGAGGCATATGCAAATCGAGGGTTGAGTTGGACAGGAACTGGAGATGGGGCAGGTGTCGGGATGGGTGGATAGCCCCGGCTGATAACGCTGTCTGGCGATTCCAAATAGATCCAGAACAGCAGACAACTATTGTGTCGAGTCGGATGGGTTGGTCGACTCTGATGATGACCGCTGACCTCAGGCGGCCTTGTGATTCATGACACAAGCCCACAACTTCTCGGTCCGATCTCTCACATCCGAGATGTGCATCCAGCGGCACATGTGGAATTGGCCATGGGGCATGTAGTTTTTGACATCGGCGAGGGTAAGTCTTCGACTCCACCTCGCCGGCTGACGGCAGTCAACCTCACTCTTCAGGTTTACCGTACACAATCGGCTATCAATCGCTCGAATCATCCTACTCCCGCTCCTAATCAACGACCTCGTCTGACCGCCTCGGCGGTAGGCTCACCGGGATTCAACGGCAAGACTTGGGCTCGGGCACTGCCTCGTGGACATCTACTCTACTACCGTACCATCTCCCCGCCCACTGAATGTCACGCGTTCCGAGCCAGGGTCGATCGTGAGGGACAGAAGGAGAGAGCCGTGTTGGCCACAGCCGGCTCCGAAGCCTTGTACATTTGGGATCTGGACGATGCAAGCCGGGTTGAGCGGATCTCCATACCCCAGGGGCAGAGACACTCGGTGCAAGTGAGTGGAATGGAATTCCCGATGGGACTGACTGTTCAGTACGTGGAATTTGACGAAGAGTATATCTTTGTCTGCTCATTGCTGCAAATGCACATCTATTCCCGCAGAACTCGGACACACATCTTGTCCTTCCCACCAGATCCGGAGAATATTTACACAACTGCTTCGCAGGCGTTCGCGCTCGACACTCTCCACGATGTTGCTCCTGTTCAATCGCCGAATGGGCGTATGGCTATGGGGCGGGCCGAATTGACCGCCACCGATCGGGGGAGTGACGTGTGGCGACGAGTTCTCGAGAGATCCACAGAAGCAGGCTTGACGAGGCAGCGAGGCTCAGACTCAGTCGTCATGGACTTTACAGCGTGAGCGCGTTGAAAAATGCGTGCCTGATAGCAGATGTCACTACACTCCCACGGATCTCATCTGCACCGCCAGACTCGGGGTCATCCTCATTGTCCGAAACTACCGCGCCGCCTTGGCCAGCCCAAGCTTTGAAGAGAGGCAAAGAAGAGTAGTCGATAGTACCGTTTGGCTGGGCACTGGTTCCGCGGTCCATCTGCTGGCGGTGCACGACACCCAGGTCGCGGCGGTCATGTCCACCGCTCTCATCTCGTTTGACACGCGATCTCTGGCTTCGACACCCCCCCACCTAAACGTTCATGCTCCGCTGGGTATGCACCCAGAAGGCCTCTCATTGGCTTCATGTGTCCAGATGGATCGAAAAAAATTATACTTTTCATATTGGGCGGCAGGCGAACATGAGGCGAATCCGCATGCTCAGCTGCCCATGGAGGCATTGCAGGCCTCTGGCATGTGTATCCGCGTGTTGGATTTTAGTGTCCCGGCTAATTGACCAGGAAAATATTCGCTCAACCCGCTTGTGGAAAGAAAATGGTCAGATTGGCAACCCGGTCGCCCACCGGGAGATGAAAAGTCTCAATACAGCGCTTGCATATTTTCGATCAGCGGTAATCTATTTCGAGGTATTTTCAGTCCTTGTTTGGAGCGGTTTCAATACCAGCGTCGCAGTCTTGATGCAGCCATTGCAGTCCAGATCCGATCCGCTGCACGTGGTTGAGCGATTTCTCAAAAGACACATTTCGGTGTGCGGGATTTGCCTACGTTCACGTGTTGGAGGAAAAAGCACGAAAGCGCCCTATATAACCACATACTGATGGTGGTGACCTCGATCCCCCTTTGACGTCGCCACTCCTACTGACCATGTCGTCTGGATACGTTGAAGAAGACTTGGAAAAGGCCAACGATCTCGAAAAGGTCACCAGCGGTGGCTCGACCGCAGTGGGTCCATCTACTGGCAAAGTGAGTTGATCCAATGTGGCACCATTGACGCTCCAGGAATTCCTTCGCACCAGGACGATCAATTATGAGCTACCTCCTCAGAGCTCGACGCGGAACAATCGGATTCCGATAGAGTACAGAACGTTGTCCATTCACGTCTATGACTCACAACGATTCGAGCAGCACAAAGAAGCCAAAGAAAATCCCAGTGACGCCGAATTCTTCGCCAAACTCGACTATCACACCCTTCCCGCAGACGAAGTCTGTCAGCGTCTGAATGTCTCCCGCACACTTGGTCTCGACAAGGCTGCCGCCGCTAAGCGTCTGCAACGTAATGGTCCGAATAGGCTGTCCAAGGGAAACCCTCAATATTGGAAGAAGATTCTCAGGTATCTCTTTGGGGATTTCTGCTCAGTTTTGTGGATCGGTGTCATCATCTTCTTCATTTCTTGGAAGCCCCTAGGTGATCCGCCCGCTCCATACAATCTCGCTCTCGGTATTTTGGTCATCATCGTTATCTTACTTCAGGCTTTCTTTTCCGCTTTCCAAGACTGGTCGTCTCAGAAGGTAATGAACAGCATCCTCAATTTGGTACCTGAAAATGCTACGGTCACTAGAGATGGACAACAGATCTCTGTACCTTCTGCCGATCTCGTTACAGGTGACATAGTCCACATGTCCATGGGTAACCGGGTTCCGGCCGACATTCGAATTCTGCAGGCTTCACCGGACCTCAAGTTCGATCGTTCAATTCTCACTGGAGAGGCGGAGGAGGTTGCAGGCGTTGTCGACACCGACGAGACCAACTACCTGGAGGCTCAGAACATCGCTTTGCTTGGAACTCACTTATGCAATGGCTCCGCTGTCGGTGTCGTCGTTCTCACCGGCTCGAAGACGCTCATGGGCAGAATCAACAAGCTCACATCGGCTCCCGCCAACGGTAGAACCAATTTGCAGAGGGAGATCACGCGATTTGTCTGGATCATCGTCGCACTCACCGTCACGCTCATCGTCATCATGACTATCACCTGGGCCGCGTGGCTCCGAGTGGATCACTTCGATTTCCTGAACGTCCCTGGTTTCCTGACGGACGTAATGGGTCTCGTTGTCGCTTTCATCCCCGAAGGTCTTCCCATCGCCGTCGCCATGACTTTGGGCAACATCGCTCGGCGGATGAAGAATGTCAACATTCTGCCGAAGTCCCTGTCCACTGTGGAAACCTTGGGATGTGTCAACATTGTCTGCTCAGACAAGACTGGCACATTGACAGAAAACCGAATGACCGTAGTCTCGATCGGATTTGCGGACCAGGCTTTCACTACCGAGAGCTTTTCCAACCTCCGTACTGTGCCCGCCTATGGTCAACTCGAGACTGCTATGGCTGTGTGTAACGATGCTCAATTCGACGACGATACGGTTGCTGTTGAAGAGCGCAAGATCCAGGGAAACGCCACAGACGGAGCTTGCCTGCGTTTCGCGCATGCCGTCGATCGCAATGCAGTCCCCAAAATCTTCAATCTGCCTTTCAACTCTCGAAACAAGTACATGCTCACCGTCGCCCGCCCCGAGAAGGACCTCCTGTTGATGATCAAAGGAGCCCCTGATGTCCTCATTCCCCTTTGCACGCAAATCATGAACAGTGACGGATCGATTCACCCGCTGGAAGGCAAAGCGCGGGCCGATTTGATCGCTCAGCAGGAAACGTGGGCCAGGCAGGGTCAACGAGTCATCATGGTCGCTCAAAAACCTTTCGAGACGGACATCGAGGCCGGCACTACTCAGTACGAGCGATCAGTCACCGACTCAGCCAACGACTTCACTATTCTTGGTCTCATCGGTATTGTTGATCCACCTCGTGCCGACACTGCCCGCACCGTTGCCGATTGCCGTCGCTGCGGTGCTCGATTCTTCATGATCACGGGTGACTTTGGCCTGACAGCCGGTGCTATTGCCAAGCAGATCGGAATCCTCACCCATATCCCGGACACTTTTGACAAGCTATCTGCGGATGGTTCAGATCGATCTCTCGTCGTGGAGGGCAAGGATCTGAATGCCGTCACTGTTGAGCAATGGGATCAAATCTGCATGTACGAAGAGGTCGTTTTCGCCAGGACAACACCTGAACACAAGCTCAAAATCGTAGAGGAATTGCGATTCAGAAATTTCGTCGTCGCCGTGACAGGAGACGGTGTCAACGACGCACCTGCTCTCAAGGCAGCCGACGTGGGTATCGCCATGGCGTCTGGATCCGAAGTTGCCATGGAAGCTGCCGATCTGATCCTCTTGGGAGACTTTTCAAGCATCATCGAGGGTATCCGACTCGGACGATTGGTTTTCCAAAATCTGCAAAAGGTCATTTCGTATCTGCTACCCGCCGGATCGTGGTCCGAAGACTGGCCCGTGTTCCTCAACGTCTTCTTCGGTTGCCCGTTGCCACTGAGCTCTTTCCTTATGATTATCATCTGTTGCTTCACCGACCTCATGTGCTGTCTTACTCTGGTCTTTGAGGAGGAGGAGTTCGACCTACTATCGCTTCCCCCTCGCAATCCGAAAAAGTCACATTTGGTCAACTTCAAAATCTATGGACAGTCTTACCTCTTCATTGGTATGCTCGAGACGATCACTGCACACGCCATGTTCTTTTACTACATATACTCATACGCGGGTATCCCGGTGCACAAAATGTTCTTTGCTTTCGCCCATTATTCGGATGGATACTATGGTCACACCCAGGCAGAGCTTAACAACTTCCTCAACACTGGTCAATGTGTCTACTTTGTGACCTTGGTCATTCTTCAATTTGCCAACCTGCATTCGGTTCGCAACAAGCGATTGTCCATCTTGCAACGAGGTCCTTTCCGAAATCCCTGGTTGTTCGTCGGTCCGGTAGTCAGTCTGGCTATTGCAATCTTCGTCACTGAAGAGCCTGGGCTGCAAAGACTGTTTGGCACTGCATCGGTCCCGATAAAGTTTTGGTGCTTGCCTATTCCCCTGGCCGTCGGCATCTTGGTTATGGACGAGATGAGGAAGCTCCTCGTCAGGTCATTCCCACAAGGTCCGCTAGCCAAGATTGCGTGGTAGTAAGGGTAGAATCATAGATGTTAGACTGTGTATGGATACCTCATGTATGACTTGTACTATCAATGAGAGTCTGGTCTACTGGAATGTTCTTGCTCAACGTTCTCTTGACTGACCTCCTCAGCGCAAGGGGATAGTCCCACCACTCCCCCTCGCTCCGAAACATCAGCGACATACAGTGCGATCCAACGTAAGGAAGACGGCATCTGCTAAAGGCTCACGGTAAGATGCAGCAAGTACAAAGAAAATTCATGTTCTGAAAATTGTGGCTCGCAATCGTGCCATACGGCCATCAAAAAATAGAGTTGCGCATATTGCCACATCGCCCGCTCTGGTCAAAGCAAAGCTCGCATCGAGCGCAGCCGCAGTGTGTGAGTGGGTTGTGTGCCACAGAGAGGCTCTGCGACCGCAATTGGCATGCACTTCACGCCGCGAAGCTGCTCAGAACTGCTTGTCTGAAATCCTTGCCGGAACTCCCCGCTCAACATCATGTCTTTGGACGGTAGTGTAGCACGACTCACTGTTCTCGACCAAAGTCCGCGCTGAAACGAAGTTGTAAAAGCTGTACATCGCTGTATGGAAATTATTATGCTAATGATAAATCAATTACAAGCTACATCTCCTTCTGTACTACCTCCGCTTTGTTGTCATACTGGGCGGTCTGAAAGAGCTTGCTCGGTGAGGAGCTTCGCTGAGAGACGAACTGGTCTACGGCGGTAGTTCGGAACTTTCGTGCAGATACACGGTTCTCGAACAAGACGTCCAACTCCCCATATGTTCGTCCCTTGGGTTCGGGAACACGGAAGAAGGTCCAGACGAGGCAGAGGAAGCACATACCAGCCCAAAACAGTCCGGTCTTTCCTCCCCAGTTCAGTTGATCTGGGTTGAGGAAGTAAGGCATGATAATGGCGTTGACGATGCCAAAGATATTGTATACGATTCGGGAGATGACGACAGTCTTTGCTCGGAGACGGGTAGAAGAGATCTCAGCGACCAAAGAGTAACAGACCGGGCCCACAGTGCCGTCGTACAAAGCTGTGTAGCAGAGTAACAGCGCGCCTATTGCCCATTGAGCACCAAGACTGGATGTGGAGATGAAGCCGAGACCTCCGATGACGACCAAGAGAGTGCAAAGTCCCATGAGACCGACGAGGTAGAGCCGTCTGCGTCCAACGTGAAGCATGAGGAACCACGATGTAATGGTGCCGCACATGCCAATAGCGTATTGACCGATGGAGAGGTTGAACGCGTTGCTGGTTGCGAGACCTGCCTGTTCAAGGAAGTATGTGGAGTAGCCCATGAATGCGCCTACAAACACCAGGTCAGAACAGTCACAAACACCAGATTATGGATTCGACTCACTGCCGCAGAGGTTCTGAATGGCCCAGACACCACTCGCGATTTCCGTTCGTCGGAGATCCACACCCGTGAAACAATCCCAGTATCTGGTACCGGCGGACATAGACTTTTCGATGGCGTTGGTGTGAATCATCAAAGCCAAAGAATCCTCCAGCTCGCTTTCTGTAACTTGCGTGTTGAGTCTTCGGATGACACTTCGAGCCTGGTCATAATGCCCTCGTCGGACCAGCCACCAAGGAGATTCGGGAGCAAAGATCGTTCCGATAAGGATAGGTGCAGGCCAGAGCCACTGCAAGGCAAAGGGAACACGGTACGCCCATTCGCTGTCCCACTGTAACACGCCCCGAAGAACTCCGGATGCGATGAGTTGACCGATGACCCAGCAAAGGTTTACGTAAGCGCAAAGGTAAGGTCGAAGGGCGACAGGAGAGACCTCGGCCGCGTACGCGGTTGTCAAAGTCTGGAAGACACCCCAGGGAATACCCTGAATGATCTCTCCGGCGAGAAGGGTTTGAATATTGTGGGCAAAGAATGGGATGAAGATGGCGCAGATCATCATTGAGAGGGCTGCAATCATTGTCTTTTTGTAACCGAAGCGTTCTGAGGCCCATCCGTTCAAGGCGAGTCCAATGATTTCGCCGACTTGGGCACCATTTGAGAGAGATGCCTGCCACTTGGCAGAGATGCTGTACTTGCCCTGATTGTCGAGTGAGCCGTACTTCCTCGCGAATTGAGGCAAAGCGTAAAAATTGTTGATGAGTACGACATCAAAGCCTTCCATGACGCTTCAAGCGTTTAGCCGAAGACCACGCGTCTACACTTACATGGCAGTAGAGAGGAGAATCGACCATGCAGCAGCCTTCGGATACCTCCTGAGACCTTCCATCAAAGTCATCTTCTTCTCCGTTGCGGTGGCATTTCGCGCTGCATCCACCACTTCATCGTAATTCTGAATGTCTGCCTGAACATCGGCAGCGTGATGAGTCTCAATCTTGTTGCTGTCAAACATGGTGAATGATGGTCAGATTTGACGAGGCCGATGGGTTGTGAGTCAATTGATTGCATCCTGCGTGCTCTTTATAGCCCCTGTACCCGTCTGTCAGGCGAGTCTGGAAGACGTCACTTTCCCTCTGTTCGGAGTTATCCATAGGCTTCAGGTGCCGTATGGTGAAGGGGGGCCACAAAAATAATCGGCCCCACAGGGAGTCCTCATTCATTCTCGGACCATTGGAAAAAAAAAACGCCCTCAAAAATGGAACTACCCTGCTCCATTGGTCACGACTTGTTCAAAAAAATGTTGCGCACTCTTGAAAAGAGGCGCACCATTTGAAAATACGCCGATCTCGGTCTTCGAGTAACAATCATTATTGCATTTACACCGTTTACCATGAGCTCTACAGACATTCACACGCGGAGTATGCTGACATCGTCCCTTGAAGCCGACTGGTGGCGACAAGCGGTAGTCTATCAGATCTATCCTCGCTCATTCGCTGACGCGAACGGTGACGGGATCGGTGATCTCAAGGGCATCACTTCGAGAGTGGACTACCTGAGCGAATTGGGTGTAGATGCTGTCTGGCTCAGTCCTTTTTACCCCAGCGCTCTCAAGGATGGCGGATGTGAGCACCAAGCCCAGATAGTATATTCACTTCTCAGACGATGTGGCCGACTACAGAAATGTCGATCCCCGCATCGGAACCCTTGACGACTTTGACGAAATGATGGCCGCCCTCAACAAGGCGGGAATCAAGGTCATAGTCGACATCGTGCCTAACCACACCAGCAACGACCACGAATGGTTCAAAGAGGCGCTTGCCGCTGGGAAAGGGAGTGCTGCCAGGGAGCGATATATCTTCATGGATGGTGAGAGCGTAAAGGCTGCTCAGCTCAGCTTGTAGGCAAAGGCCCGAACAAAGACCAGCCTCCAACGGACTGGGAATCTGTCTTTGGAGGTCCAGCCTGGTCGCCTTCCGGTCAGAACGACGGGCAATGGTACTATCATTGGTTTGATTCCTCTCAACCAGATTTCAATTGGAACAACGAGGATGTCAAGGCAGATTTCCTCAAGACGTTCAGATTCTGGGGAGATCGTGGCGTCTCTGGGTTCAGGATCGATGTCGCTCATGGATGTGCCAAGGACATGTCTGGAGAGCTACCAAGCTACAAGGAATTAGCAGAGATGACAGCCAAAAAACTTTCCAATGGTAACGCAGACCTGATTCATCCGATCTATGACCGGGACGAGGTGCAGGACATTTACAAAACCTGGCGAAAGATCTTCAACGAATATAGCCCGCCTTTGATGTGAGTCCAAGCGTTGAGACGTAGCTGACATTGCAGCGCCGTTGCAGAGTGCTGGGTCGCCGCGGACCGGAAACATTTGTATGCATCGCCCGATACGCTTGGTCAAGCGTTCTCCTTCGACATCCTCTTGGACCAGTTTGACGCCGCCGCGTATCGGAAGACGATCGATTTTCAACTGGAAGGTCTGAAAGAGTCCGGCAGCAGTTCCACCTGGGTCTTATCCAACCATGATGTGGGAATACCTTGCTGGCCCTGCTGACATCAGGTCATTCGACATGCCACAAGATATTCTCTCGACATGCCAGTTGCTGAGTCTTCTGATCTGCAAGCGCACATTCCTATCTACAACATGCACCTTGCTAGTGGTTTCACTCAGCCCAAGACTGATCCCGCCAGAGGTCTGCGATGCGCAAGAGCGGCCACCATGATGATTCTTGGTCTGCCCGGGTCCACCTATCTGTATCAGTGCGTTGATTGACAAGAAGGTTTGCTCACCCATCAGAGGAGAGGAGTTGGGCCTACCCGAGGTAGCAAACATCCCAGCCGCTGAGAGGCAAGATCCCAACTTCTTTCGTACAGAAGGGCGTATCATTGGCAGAGACGGTTGCCGAGTTCCTTTGCCGTGGAACGAAAAGGGCATACACCATGGCTTCGGCGAAGGCAAAGAACCTCATTTGCCTATGCCAGAATGGTGGGGCAAGCATGCTGTGGACACGGCGTTAGATAGACCTGACAGCACTCTCAACCTTTACCGCCGGGCGATGGCATTGCGCAAGGATTTGCAGTGTGGCGAAGCACTTGAATGGTTGGACAGTCCGGCAGAAGTGCTGCACTACAGGCGACCGAACGGGTGGGAAGTTGTTTTGAACGCTGGGGAGAGCGATTATATTATTCCTGAGGGCCGTACTGTAGTCTTGTCGAGCGGCGTGGCGGTTACGGATCGGGTGCCTCCCGAGACAACCGTCTGGCTGACACCTAGCCCTAGCGTCTAGAAAGTTGCATGCTCTATAGCGGTGCCCGCCACTATTCCGCCACATGACGGTTTTCATCCATTACTAAACCCTTTTCCCACTCTCATAACAATCTTGTCGCCCCAGTTCACCATGCCGCCTAAGAATGGTCGTGATGAGGGGCCTGAAGAGGACTCGGATTCTTCCGCAAAGCAAAGTGGGCATGAGCGTGGTCAGCCTCCGAAAAAACGGCGAGGAGGCATTAGAGTGGCTCTGAAAGCGTGAGTCTCGGGCCCAAGGCAAGTGACTGTCTGACCGCCCGCAGCAAGGTCGGTACGCTCGAGACGCAAATGAGTCATGTTCAGGCAACGCTGGACAAGGTCGTGTCTCTGTTGCAGCATAACGAAGCTCAACCACGACCTGGAACCCTTGTGAAACCTCCCAATCCAGCTCCGTTCTCCCTGGAGGACTGGGTGCAGAAAAATGCCCACGCGAGCACCTCGGCCAATTCCAATAACCTTGTTCCAGCCATGCACCGCCTGGAGCCCGTCGTCGGCAGTGGCGATGACGATGAAGATGGCGAGTCTGAAGACACTGAGGCTCTTGGATTGATGCGGGGAATGCTAAAGCGTGAGGCATCACGGCGGCTGCGAGAGGATGGACATCCGGTCCAGCGGACGCGAGAAGGCTTCAGTGGACGTCGAGTGGATCAGATTATAGGCGCGAATGACCAGTCTCCGAACCGTCGTCGCATCGACTCGCTTGATGATACTATTCTGAGTGTCAGCAGGCATTCGGGCGAATTGACCGAGGCGAGGCTTGATCCCATCGCTCTGGGATTATGTTCAGAAGCAGAAGCGAGAACTCTTTTTGACTTGTGAGCTTGTGGAGAGCGCATGTACTGAACGCAGATTCTTTGCACTTGCCCATCCGTTCATGCCCGTGTTTGACCCATCAGAAGATAATTGGCTCAGGCAAGTGACTGACTGGACGCCCATTGACCGTCTCAGTCTCCGCACCAGATCAGCCTTCGCCCTTACTGCCGTTCTATTCGTGGCGAAGAAGATACAAGAGGCTGGACAACCGATGAGTCGGACACAGGCAGTGCTACGAGAGCAGGCAGAGAAGCTCGGTGGGTGAAATGCTCATGCGGTCCTGATCTCTCAGCGAAGGAGACCATTTTCTCGCCCGTGTCCTCGATTGAAGCTTTGCAAGGCATGAGTACGTGTAGCTTGCGGTCTTTGCTGAGTATTAGTCCTGCTGGCTTCATGGGGAGATACTGGTTGGCGTCCTGGATCACACTGCCTCAGCATGGCGTGAGTGTCCCATGTACGCTTAAACTAAATCCTAGTTTCGATATGGGTCTTTACCGATGTTTACCTAGATTGCAGCGCAGAAAAGGTGACAGGCTGAAGGATGGCAAGTCTCCTCTGGAGTATGACCGGAGCGCTGTGGATGAGAAACGTCTGATCGTTGGCGCAAGGCTGTGGCTGTTGGTCGTCAAAATGGCTATAGAGTCAGTGAAGTCGAACGCTCCCGCCTGACCCCTAGAATGTCTTACAACCATGGTCGCCCGCTGCTTATAACCGATACGGACGTATTGGCTAACGCCGATGCTTTACTGGATCATCCATTATCATTGCCCTCGGATAGCCGCCTGATAGCATCTTGCGAACTGTTAATCCTGCGGGGTGAGCTATAGGATCGACTAGACGCTGACCCCAGTCCCTCTCTTCCGGGTCACGCTTTCTGAGACCTATGAGAATCATGATCAAGCGCTGCGTATCTTCAACGACGGCGCGCCAGGCTGGGAGAGGCGATGGACGAAGTACTATAGTGAGTGGTGTATCTAGACCTCGCTCACGTACAGTCGCCAAGGGCGTCTCCGAAGACGACATCCTCTTGACCGATCGTGAGTCAAACGTGGGAAGGGAGCTGGGCTAATGGACAGTGTCAACTCAGCTTTGTTTTGCAATGTGAGCCGAGGTCTGATTGTGCTCACTTCAGTGTGATTGCCAATTCGAGTCTTCTGCGATACGTCGAAGGGCCTGGGGATGTGTCAAGTCTCTCTCTCCATCGTCGGGAGTGGCTTTTGTCGGCTTTAGAGTCCGCCGGACTGGTGGCGAGGCGCATCTTGGGACGAGAGGTGAGTCCCTCTATCTCGACGGGGCTCAACAATCCAGAAATACAAGCTCAAGGGAGCAAATCATTACTCGCATGTGGCATTGGCAGGTGTAGCGCGAATATACATCCGACTCGCGACCCTTTTTCCTGAACACGTGGATCAAAGGCAAGCAGCGAACGACATCACGCAACTGGCAGATGTCCTAGACACTTGTAAGCAAGGGTGGGGAGGAGCGCACTAACTATTAGTTCCTGGCGTTCACTTCGCACAGCAGCTTCGACACGTGGTCCAAAAGGCCCGACGCAAGGGTGTATTCGGGCGTGCCCCGCACGTGTCCTCAAGGACCATGTCTGACACCCATTCTATTGAATCGAGCTCTTCGCATCAGGTCACCCAAAGTCCACTGGATTTCGACATTTTCCTTGCAGAACAGATGCTGAACACCAGCAACGTGGGCCCAGTGCAGCCTGACCTCTCTGATCCTTTCGCTGGGTTGTTTGACACTGGCAATCCTACCGCAGGGTGGGAATCATTCAACAACAATGATCCGTTTGAACAGCATCCGATGCCCTGGCTTGAGGAACAACCATACGGGGGTTTGCAGGATTCGCACCCATACCAAGATTTTTTTGGCAGACAGGAGTGACCTCATAAACTGGCACGCTTCCAAATACCTGTACAATAATGCATTCGAACGCGATTGCAGGTCCATATGCTAAGCTACCGCCGCGGCGTCTTTCTCGCTCTCGACTTCCTGCCCCCGATGCGCCGCTTGTTGTACCACCAAAGCTCCGTCCACCTTACCAGTGGTCAAGTCTTCGAGCTCGGGCATGTTGCTGTGTCGAATGCCATCGAAAATCGCATCCACTTCCTCCAAAGTCTTGCCCTTGGTCTCGACCCAATAAAGGGCCTGGGATTCAGCGCCGAGCATGCTTGGGCACTCACGACAATCGCTGTGAGGACAACATCCCACCCGACGTTGATGAGGTAGATCTTCCAGCCCAGCTTGTCACTGATAGTGAGCGGCATGAGAATGAGTCTGACTTACAGGCCAATTGGCATGGCATAGAGGAACACTGTACTGCATCATCAGCGAGAGACTGACTTCAATGCTTACGCGATGGCGTTGTTGGCAAATTGACAGAAGGCCTGTCATGAACTCGGGTCTATCAGATAGCTCACCATTCCATTGGCGCGGATCGAATAGTTGAGGATCTCTGGAGGATACAGGAAGAGCAGTGGGGTCCAGCCGATACTGTAAGATCCTGTGAACAGGAAGATCTGGTCCGTCAGCATGGTTGAGCCCACTCTACCCACGCATGCGATTGCCCCATAAACCCCCGGTTTGTACGTGCTCAATGCATACTCCTTACTGAGAATGCCCAAGACGAGCATGAAAAAGGTGCACAATCCCTGCGTGAGAATGCCGACGGGCTTGCGACCCCAGCGAGCACACAGCTGGGTACCGAAGAGTGCGCATGCGAGGGCAAAGATGTTGAGAACCACGTTCTGTGAATCAGTGAGAAATCACCGGAAGGATACTCACGACTTGTAACTGAGCGGTAGTACTCGTCACTCCGACATTTTCGAGCTGTGTTCCAAGATAGTACCCAGATGGATAACCTGCAATAACACTGAAAATCGCCGGGGTGACCGCGATCAAAAGCCTCTTGCGCGAACTCCGATTGGTGAACATTTGCCTCCATGAGGTTCTTTGACCTTGGTCTTGCTCCCACGCCAATTGATCGACAATCTCCTGATGTTGAAGCAGGACTACCGGATCGTCCGAATCACCATTGGCATTGACCCGAGCGAGGACCAGCTGAGCTTCGGCGTGCAGTCCTTTGTGCTCAAGCCACCTTGGGGATTCGGGGATAAATGGAATGATAATAATGCAGATGACAGAGAACACGCCCTGGAACAGGGAAGGCAGTCGCCAGGCCCAAGTATTCTGGATGTTGGCTGTGCCTAGGGTCAGACCGGCCGCGATGAGACCTCCGACACTGTCGAGTGAGCAATGGCATGGCTGATCTGCCTACTAGTAGTTGTCATTATAGAGTCCAACACCCCATGCACGCCAAGTTGCCTTGAATGTCTCGGATAGGTAGACCGCACCGGCGGCACCGGCAATAGAGTTACCAAAGCCAAGCACAATCCGACTTGCGAGGAACATGGCTGGGGATTAGTCGAGAACGATGGATGTAGCTCACGGACGCTTGTCGCTGCTGTCTGCAGAATAACGCCCACGACCATGAGGCAGGTGGACCAGAGCAGGGTCATTCTCCTTCCGAGACGATCGAGGAAATACCCTGTACACAAAGGAGCTAGCGCTCCGCCAATATATACTGAGCATGTGTTGAGGGCGAGTTCGCCGGTGGACAACTGAAAATAGTTTGTGTATTGAGGCAGAATATTGACCCCGTTCAGCATGCTGCCATCATATCCAGTGGTCTGAGTAGTCAGAGCGGATTCTCGAGAGCTACTCACCAGACTCTGAGCTGCAGAGCAGAGGACTAGTAGGACGGAGAGGACAAGACTGCTCTCGGGGACCCATGCTGGCATCCACGTGCCTGAAGGCAACTTGACGAGACCCATTCTGACCAGTCAAGAGAGAAGATCAATGCTGGGTCATTGATGAGACATCTGTAATAACATCTTATCATCTTGTGGATGGACACGCTGGGTTCACATTGCCGCTACTTTACCGTACCGTTCATCTACCGAAAGTATTTTTTGACTCATTGCCACATAGGGCAAACTCGGTGGTTCTCCCCGGAAACCTCGGCGGTTGCTCCGCAGATTCAGTGATCACGCCTGGGTAGCCTTCTCCAACTCATTGTTCGCTCTTCCTTGCATTCTTTGCTCCTCGGAATATCGTTCAGCCGCTTCTTGCTCGGCCCCTAAACTCTCAGCGATATCCGGTATCCGGCTCTGCCACACTCACAGACTGCGCAGTCAATCTTGGCCTTGTCAGTGTCAACAAAGTACAACAAGACAATGGCGATGATACCCAGGCCGACCAGGAACCAAAAGGCGTAATTGTTGTTTCCGTGCGATTGCTTGATGATTGCAGCGGCTAAGCGTCAGATCCGGCTACGATCTACCGCTCACTGATGAAGGGCCCCGCGAACCCCGTACTCTTGGAAATGGTATTGAACAGGGAATAGAACACTGAAGGGTCAGCGCGACAATTACGGGTTTCACCTACTGAAGAGCTTTGTGGCGGGAGCAACCTCAGAGATCATAGTCACCTGTGGGATCAGTTTGGTGGCGGATCATGACCCACATTGTAAGAGGAGCAGGCCGAAGTAACGAGCTACAAGTCAGAAAACGTACAGTGGCATTTGCTCACATTCCAAACTTGCATAAACCAGAATTCCCACACTTTGGGTCAGCTGCATGAAAGCATTCCTTGCTCACCATTGTGAAAACCGATCTTGTGCGTGAATGAGCCCAGGGCGCCCCACAGGCATGGGAACAGACTGAAAATTGCGCTAACGAACATGATCCACTTGACCTTCCAATCGTAACGGCGGTGCAGGTATAAGATCACGGCGCACCCCGCGCCGCCGCACAGGTCGCCAACGAGATTAAACGCCGTGCTGATTACAGGATTGTAGTGTATCGTCTCCAGTTGGAGGATGAAATAAATGCTCAGAAACGCGCCGATAGCTGAGCCTGAGCTTGCTGTTCCGCTGGACGCTTACCTTCGAAGAGAAAAACGTAGGCACACAGGTACAAGAGGCATTGTTTGAGCTGTACGATGCTTTTCCCCGCGTAAATGACCTGCCTTGGTCCGACAGTCCACATGGAGTAACCGGATGGGACCTGCTGAGCGGGGCGCCACTTCATACAGATGAAGTACGGGACAGTCACCAGAATGGCGATCGGTGTGTAATAAGCCATTAAGACGCGATAAGCATGCAGCAAGGCGCTGGTATCGGCGAACCCGACAGCTTTTGAGACTGCGATGCCGATCCCGAAAACGACCACAGAGCCAAAGGACCCCCAAATGTTGCACCAGTTGAAGATCTTCGCCCTCTCATATGCATCGAGCTTTTCGTGTTCCTCTGGTGACTTCAACCCGTGCAAAACGTCTTCTTCAGATTGTATCATCTTCGGGAGGTCTCGAACCATTGAAGGATAAGTCGCCTGATAAAAGGCGCCGACGATCGTCAAGGCAATCCCGCCAAGTGCCCAAAGCACATTTGCTGTCTGCCACTGGGATACGTCCTTGATCGACATCATGCCAAATTCGCAGCCCCAAGTAATCACCTCTGCCCCAATCATGATCCATGGACGCCAGTTCCCATAATCGGCATATGGTCCAAGCACGAACATCACCACCACCGTAACAGCAGTGAGGATACCAGAGATATCGAGGAGCACGGTGTTGACTGGCTGTCGAGCGCCAGCCCAATTCATGAAGCCATCAGGATGGGACAGTGTGAGTGTGGCCTGTCTAATATTCCCTCCTGGCCCACCTATGGCTAACTTGATAAGCCTCAAATCGTCCTCATTGCTCACGAGATGCATTTGAGTTCAGGAAGAAGAGGACAAACGTCCAATACTCCCACTTCGTTGCCACCTGTCTTTTTCCGGCGAGCGGAATGGCTCGTCGCTGTTCGATGACGGCCAGACCCGCGCTGTGCGGGACTTTGCTGGTGAGGTCGTCACCCAGGATGACATCGTCGGCCTTGATTTCAGCTGACTCAAGGTGACTGTCATCATGCTTTTCGTCGACGTTCTCGACAACGGGAAGGATGCCGGTAGACATTTTGGTGATGTTGAACATTATACCGTGAATATTGGCCTGGCGGCCTCAAGTTTCGAGGAGATATCATCATGGAAATGAGGCTGATTCGTCAGGTTATCAGCCTGCAAATCTGCAAGGTTGACGCTAACGAGCTATTCACACGAGGCTCCGCTAGACGAAGCGAGGGTCCGCGAAAACGGAATTTACAAAATGTGGAGGCATGTTTACCGACTTCCGCACAGAGTTCGCGCGAGGCAAGCCGAGACGTTCCGCTGCGTGTTGCGCTCAAAGGCTTCTCGAAACCTCATGGCATAGACCTCTTGGCAGAGCTCTCGCAAAGAAGCGTGGCAACGGCAGATTGCCGAAGTATGATGCGGAAATATCGATCCTGTCAGGACTTTGCTGAATCGCAGAAATAGATCGTGGACAGAGTGGACGAGGGATCGTCTGACTTTCATCGATGCACGAGCCTCGTTCGGCACCGTAAGGCCTCCTGTCCCGAATTTCACCACTCCTCGTGCTTCATCTGTACATGTCGCGCACTAAAAGTGATCGCGGTGGAAGTTCACACTTCTCAAGTCACACAGGTGACCCTGAGCGGCGTTTCGGTATTTTGATCGTGTGGCGCTTGCGCTGTGCCTAGCGAAGATCCTCTTTCTGCATCCTGCAATTCACAGCCCTCGTCATCCACGAAGCATGCCGTGGGCTCGGTCTAGTCCGTTACTCAACAAGCGATGGATCAAGACTGGCTTGTTGGCTCTGGCAGCCCTGTTAGTGCTTCTTCCTTTGTTGCGGTCGAAGCGAGGATCGTGAGTCCTGTCCGAATTGGGTCCGAGCTCTCACACCGTCAGACTCAAAGCATGTCCCACCAAAGGCGAAATACCTCCGGTCCATCTATTGCTACCCATCACGAAAGATGCCGCTGTCAAGACCCCGAAGTTCTGTCGTGCCTTGCTAGGAGCCATCATGACTGGGTATGATCCAATCATAATGAATTGGGATGTCGAATTGCCAGTATTCGGCACCCACAAGGCGAAAATCTTTGGCAAGCTCTCATATTGGTTCGCTGCTGACCGTAGCCAGAGCTTGACAAACTGTTCCAGGCCAAGCATCTGCAATTCCCTGAGAACGACCTTGTCTTCCTGGTGGATGCTCTGGATGTCTGGCTTCAGCTGCCACCTGCAGACGTAGCGAGACGTTTTCTCGAATACGGTAAAGATGTTCTGGTAGGTGCGGAACGTCACTGTGTCCCAAATTCATGGCCTTCGGTATGTGATGATCTCCGTTCATTATACTGAACTGTGACAGCACGAATGCCAAGGTGCACCGCAGAGCCCCCTTCCTATTGGTCTTTGGGAGCCTCACATGAAGCACGTTGAGAAGGTCGAGCAGTGAGTAGCACCCTATATGGCCGCTAACATGTACAGCTCTCCTACGCCTCGACATGCCAACAGTGGAACCGTATTGGGAAGAGCTGGCAAAATGGAGGTATTGTTCAGGCGCCTGGCCGAGATCATTGGTGATCCCAAGTATCCACATCCGGGTGATCAAGGCAAGTCGAACCACGAGATGGTAACTGACACTTAGGCGCATTCAATACTCTTCTGGTACACGGAGATCTCGGAGTAGACTACTACAGTCGACTCTTCTGGAACTCTGCCTCGGACGAGAGCTCACTCATATGGCTCAATACGCTTGTCCATCCCGACAGTCACCTCTGCGGACACAGTGGCCCTAGGAATTACACGGTCAGCGGTGGTCTCGAATCCTTCTCGCCTGGAGACCCGATACCGTGGCATATGCTACCCAGCGTGGGTCACAACCAGCTCACTGGGCAGATTCCGGCCGCTCTTCATTTCAACGCCATCGCGACCAAGAACCTCTTGCAGGATCTATGGGGCAAGCCGTGGTATAGCACTGCCCGCTTTCAACCATTTGTCAGACAACGGGTGAGAGGCCTCAAGGTCAAGGGTGTCAAACCGAATGGGGACTGGCACGAGCTCGACGTGGAGTCTACATGCGCCAACCATTTGCCAGGACTGTGGCCCGAGGCCTGAGGAAGGACCTGCGTCTCGTCTCTCTCCTTTTTTTTCTTTTTTTTGGTAATTCTATGCGAACCGGAAACATATGATGACCGAATTGGCCTTAATCACATCGAGTAACCGACATCATTTCGGTAAATGCTACGTGAGGGGACGTGTCTGGTCATACTTAACGGTTCACACACTCATCCCAATTTCAGAACGAGGCTTAGCGTCGAGGTACTTCCGAAGACTCTAAGTTCACACAGTGCATCCGGCACATCCAGGCTCCCAGTAATAATCTCCCTTGTACTAGACCTGGTCAATTTCGATCAGGCTCGATCGGTCTCGCCGCAGGATACGCCTTGTCATCCCACACACAGACCGCGTGACCCCGGGTTGCAGTGCAAGTCTCGGACGTACTCCACTGCTGTAATTTCTGTACATTTAAGTGTCCCGATATCCATTGCGGATTGTCGACGACCCGTCGCAAGAACACTCAGAGCGCACCATGCAGCATCCACCCTGCTGATCGCCGCTGAGCATGTCGCTTGGCTGCAGGTGTCTGGCTCAGCGACCGGATGTTGATGAGAACAGTGATGAGGATTGCCGTCACCGACTCTGACGTTGTCGACCCTGATCTTCTTCGTGGTACGGGCACATTGAAGGCTCCTTTATCCTTCGAGTGAGATTCATTTGGCCCCAGCGCACCCGTGCCGACACCCATTCTGGCGACTGCATATAGGAGATGGGATGTCAAGTGCATGCACGAACTCTTTGGGAGTACTTTGTGGAATCGACTCTTTGGGTACGCAGTGACCTTTGTGTATTCGAGGACCACCCGCTCCTTTGAGCTGACAATGTTACCATGATGAATGATGACAAGAGGCGAGTCTCATGCCGAGAGGCTCTTCAGAGAGTCGATCACACAGCCCGTCACCGTCGATCACACAGCCAACGCCGAAACGGGGACAGGCACTGTGTCGAAATGCTAATGCCGCGTCGAAAGTGAATCTTGGTCAAAACGTTCCACAGAAATAACATTGAGCATGCCAGTGGCTCGCCGGCGGCACGTAGATTCATGTGTGGATCCTCGCCCCCCTTGACACCGAAGGGCTCCCTCCGCCATTTGGAGTGAGACATTCCAGTGGAGTCCATCAGCTAGCGAGGCTACCGTAGCAGACTCTATCCTCGTGTGGGGGGACGGAACCAAATACTCGGATCCGAATCCCAAAGCTCAACAGCTGTATTCATTGTCTTTGAGCTACCCAGCCTGTCGCTCTATTCCCAAATGTTACTATTGAGATAGGACCCTCAAGTAGGATGGGTATATACCTGACAGAGGCGTGAGTACATGCCTGTTCGATTTCGCATTCAGCCGAAGGCATCTCACCCGGTATTAACAGGCATGCCCGATCCCCCTTTTGAAAGTGAGGACCAGGCTCATTCGTCCGCCGAAGCTTCGAAGCACCAAAGATATGCACGGGTTGCGCGATGTACTTGCTGAGAATGAGAGTCACCGGGACATTTCATGATTCAGACGCAAACCCCTCCTCACTGACTGCTTTTAGCCAATTAATAAAGATCAGAACGTCTCCGAATCTCAACCGACAGTGAAATGCTTGGCAGTGCCTGGTGAAATCCTTCTCCTTTGCGGTGATCATGCCCCGCATGCTAATCCCCATATCTGAACGCTTAATATCCTCAGACCCGTGGCTCCCCACAAATCAGCCTGCACAGGCTAATACAGAGCCTGCTGACGATATAAAGTCTGAGGCCTGCTACCATCTAACGCCCTTTGCATCAGAACGAGCATCCCTCGCGAGATGATTGCCCTTATCCGACTCGTGATTGCCTTTGGGGCGACTGCCCTGACTGCTGCTGCTCCAACACCCAGTCTTGAGCTGGTCTCTCGATCCTACATCAATCCCGACTTTGCCAACCCCTCTGTTGGACCTGCAGCCATCTCTCTTGATCCGAACTTGATGCGCGACTCCTGCGTCAGCACCACACAGCTCGTCGATGGCCGAGTTTTCTGGATCTGCCGTGACACCCAGATCCTCACTGAACAGGACATCACTCGCGCTTCGTTCCCAATTCGATCCAGTGCAAGTTGGTCTAACGTGACGATTCTTGGCGCAGATCTGCAGAATGTTCCACCAAGTCAAGGCCAGCAGCAACTTACCGCACCATTCTCGAAGCAACTCCTACAGTACGGTAATGGTCACAACGGGGCATACTTCCCCTACGTCCAGAATGGTGACGAGTGTTCAGCCGACGGCAATCAGTACGGTAGTTCGTGTGAAGGTGCTCAGGTCGTCCTGTATCCCAACGCCCCAGCCTACGTTGTAAACAGCCCATCCGGAGCGACATTCATGACCGCTTTTATCCCAGTCGTCAACAGCACCAATGGATACATCAATCCCAACTTCCAATGTTCCCTCTACTTCTTGACATACAACCACAATGCCGATCCCAACGTCATGCCGACTGTGAACCTCATCAACGAAGGATTCTTTCCCAGGGGCGCCTATTGCTATGGTGCCTACGGGGGCATCTCGAATCCTTCGGACGGCTATCTTTACCTCTATGGACAGGAATTGAGCGCCCGCAGCGTAGGCTTGGCGCGGGTCCCACTGGGCTCTTACCTGGATATATCGAAGTACACCTATTATCGAACCGACGGTACATGGACCAGCACGCAGCCCACCATCAATACCACCTCCACCAACCTCATCGCCTCAGTACCCAATGAGGGCCAGGGCACCTTCTTCTACTCCACGTACATCGGCCGGTACGTCTGGGTGGGTCAGACACACATCGGGGCGTCTGATGGTGTGCATGTTGGTGTATCCACGTCGCAGAACCCATATGGGCCTTGGACGACGGTGCAAGATATTGCAGTCCTGCCCCATGGAAACCCGTATGGGTACACGGTGGCTGCTCACCCTGAGATGTCTCAGAACTCCCAGTTCTTGTACGTCTCGTACACGGCCTACCAGCAAGTCAACGGGGTGTCTTATTATACGATGCCCTTGTATTTGTTCCAGTGGTCTGACTCGTCTAAATTTGGAAGCAACTAGGTGTTTATCTAGATGTAGGTTGAACACGACGTGTGAGATACTCTGACGTGGTAACGCATAGGGGATGGTAGCGCGTGTTTTGTTTTCTCAGGAGACACGGCGACTGGCACTGTGCACGACTTGGCTTGTACTGAACTATGAAAGAATCCACCCGTCCATTCTGCTCCGGGCTTTTCCTACTCCTTGTTCAAAAGAACGGCTCTGTATCTGACCTCACCCGCCTCAAGCTTACTCATAGCCTCCTTGATACCTTTCTCGTTGAGAGGGAATGTCTCGGTGACGGGTTTAATATCATGCTGGCCGGCGAAGTCGAGCATATTCCTGTGTACTGCTCGGGTGCCAACGATTCCACCCTGGACTTTGATGCCATTTACCAGAAGAGGCATGTACGGGAGCTCGAATTTGCCCGGGTCAACTGAGAGGGGGTAAATTCCGGCTTGTCGATCGAGAATGGGCAACAGCTTTTCCCAATCTGGCTGCGCCGAGGTGGTGACGATCAGCCGAGTGATCTTCTTCTCCACTTTGAGTTCTTTCGCATTCTTCGTCGCAATAAACTCGTGGGCTCCAAGCTTCATCGCTTCATCCCTCTTGCTGTCCGATCCCGAGATGGCGACAACTCGGCAACCTAACTTGGCAGCGAATTGGAGTGCAAGATGTCCAAGACCACCGACACCCATCACGGCGACCACGTCTGATGAGCCCACACCTTGAAGAGCGTTGAAGACAGTAGATCCAGCGCACTGCAGCGGGGCAGCATCAACGTCACTCAATGAGTCGGGAATCTTGAAGAGGAAAGTCTCTTTCCAGACCGCTTGACTTGCGAAACTGCCCTGGTCGAGATCTGCCTCGGCATACATGGCTCGGTCCGGGCAAAAGGTCTCCCAGCCTGTCAGACAATGCTTACAGCCGCCACAGCAGTCATGCTCATAACCCCAGCCTACTCGGTCACCGACTGTAAGTTCTTTGACCTTGGGTCCGATAGCCTCCACACGACCGATACCCTCGTGTCCAAGGACCATGTCCTGCGTTTTGTAGTGCAGGTCTTCGAGTCAGTCGCAGGCTTCGGCAGATCACTAACCTGTATAGCATAGCCCGGACGCCGTGATCTTGACAAGGACCTGATCGCCCTCCAGATCGTCCGACTTGGTGGTCGAGCTCTTGACAATGGCCCCGTCCTTACTGCCTTTGAAGACTGTGAATGTGGGCATGTTTCTTCGTGGGAGGTGATTGAGGTCCTTCCGAGAAAAACGGCAACTTTATATACACTAACACCAATTGACGTCATGCAAGTACGGCGTTTGCTCATGTGGCACTCCGTCTGTTTACTGAGCGCAGATGCGCATGCATTGCTCTAAGATCGCTACACTTCTCGATATCTCTTCTTTCTTAGTCTCTCTTCTTCTCAGGTAGAACATTTATCCAATGACATTTCCATTACCGCAATATGCTTGAGGGCCGCCCGCACAGCCGCCCTCCCAGTAGCCGTCACCTTGGTTTCTGACGTAACCTGATCCGTCATCACGTACGCAGTAGAACCCTCCGCCGACATTCTCCTGGTTGGGAGCTCTATAGATGTTGACGTACGTGTCATAATCGCTGTTGGAATAGCCACAGTTACCGGATGGTGTGTTCCAAACGCTATACTATGGGTGATGTGAGTGTCATGAGAGTGCCCAAGTCGGCCTCTACTTACTGCGGTGTGGGCAACGTTCTGCCAGATGGCTACTCGTCCGTTCGGATTTCCATCGCATTTGTACTTTTGGCCTGTCTTCCAGCTTTCTTGGACTGAAAAGGCAGGCTGGAACCACTCGGCAACTTCGCCTGGCTTGAAGTTGCTGTTCGAACCGACTTGGAATCCGATGTTGTATGAGTTTGCCTCGGTTTCATCCACAGAGCAGTTGCCATTGCCGCAGCTGATAGGTTCGCTGATTTGAATATGATAATAGTTCTGGTGAGGGTCTCCATCTCCAGGACTGCCATCGCTTGGGTTCGTAGCAACTCCGCGGGAGACAGAGCAACCGCCAGCCCCATTGGATCCCCACCCGGAAGCGCCTTGTCGACGCGAGAAAGCGCCTTGCTGTTTGCCCTGGATGTGGGGTGGTTGGGGACCGAATGCACCCTGCCTGTAGCCCTGAAGGTGAGGTAGGTCGGATGCGTCGTAGGTTGGAAGAACGATTGTTTCGGCAGCAATAATAGCTGCAAGCAAGGGTAGAGTAATGATGCTGAACATGTCGTGCTGGGTATTGCTGGTGGTGTTGGGAATCTGACAGTCCAGGAGCGCACATTATATAGTGTTACGAGGATCTGTGACACCAGCTCATGCGAAATCACACTCCACTAGGAGCATCGACCTGCTGTATGTAAGGTTCGGCGATGAGACTTGGCACGTTTGTGGAATCTTCGGATTGTCCAGGGGATGTAGACCAGAGGCGCCCCACACGAACGGTCAGCGATCTGGATCGTCGGATTGATCCACATCACCGATCGAAGGGCGAATGAGGCGGTAAGCGCCACCCTTCCAAAAGGCAACATTCCACTCGGAGCATAATTTGAAATGTTGAAAAGCAATAATACTTGTAATAATTATATCGGGGTGGTGTGAAACGTGCGCTCGGCCTTTACGGCGAGGTGATCTGAAAAGATCAGAACAGGACGTGCATCTCACGCTACGCTGATCTCTCCACAAACGATCCGAGATGATAGCCCGATCCCATCGACCATGACGAATGGGTCAGATGTAGGTTCGTATAAAGCGTAGTGGTGATTCGGGATTGTACGTATTTGCTTCATAGTGAGGCGAAGTCTTCTCTTCCTTAGGCCAACAACACATATGATTCCTACTGTCCAGTTTCTGCATGGTTCCTGCAAGCAGTCCCAACTGATACTTCTACGTGCATCAATGCACCCCGACATGGGTTCTTGTGCGAGACGTTACAGCGACGCATTGGACATCACACGAGTTTAGCAGCTACAGGAGAAGTCCTGGGCCGGCTACCGCATTTTCTTTGCAACTGGTCATCTCGTGGTTTTCCCCCCTGAAATACCTTTGAAATGTACTGGGCGGCCTTGGCCGACGCCGCGGGGTTTGATCCGCGGCCCTCTTACCAAGCTAAATAAGACGAGGAACAATACATGCTCCACATGTTCATGATGCGCAAAAGCTCTGACTGACGTACTGTCGACGGGATATTTCTATTGCATTACGATCGAGAATGGTAGATGTCGAAGCGGATGCGATCGCTGCATCCTCTCAGCAGGCGCAGCGTCGATCGTGCCGTCGGTATGTGTGTCTGCAGATTTCCATGCCTTCCCGGAACCCCTACATCATCTTCTTTGTTGGGGTCCAGGTCTAGTGGTCCCGAGTGATGACTACACCTCGATTAGTGCGTATCTATCCGAAACATCCTTCCCGCTTTCAGGCTCGGAAGGGCTGCCTATCGACACTAGTACCAAAAACCGGAACCAAACCTATCGAGAACTTACCACAAGTGGTGATCGGAGATTACGACATTCGCCGATGTCTTCCCGGTCGATCCCTGATCGGCGTCTGTAGTTCACAATTTTAGAACTCAATTTCAATCTGCAGCTCGGGTCGGAGATTTCATACTATCGTAGTCCGTGTCCTCCTGCGCCTGGGGGAGGGAGCTTTGGTGCGATGGGGGAGGAGCTTTCGTACCATCCCACGGCAAACGGGATGTTATTGAAGACCAGGGATGGACCTCCTTGATGCGGGATAGGACTTGCGTGCATGGCCTCAGACAGCAGTACAAAGATATATAAAGCCGCAATTCGTTAACGATGATAACAACCCCTATTCTGTCTCACAACAACCTTACAATATGCTCAGCTTCGCTCAGACCCTCACCTGCCTCTCTCTCCTGGCACTGACCGTGTCACGAGCGGTGCCAGGCTCAGAAACTCATCCTGTCAAGCGAACATTCTGCGCACTCATCGGCTGCGATGTTAATCAATACTGCACAGAATTCGGTTGCGTAACCTGTGACGCTGGTTCGTCTCCCGTACAGGAGGGAGGTCTCCTCTGCTCCCCATGGTTTGATCTGGGCTCTGCGCCATCTTCCACTACTCAGCAATCCTCCTCGCCAACCTCTGGCTGGAGCTGGAAAAAGTCCACGGTGGACGAGCGTACCTTCTTCTGCACTGGATACTGCCAATCGTGTCCGGCTGGAACCTACTCGTCTGACGGGTCACCTTGTCAACAATGTCCTTGGGGTGAAACCTCTCAGCAAGGAGCAAGCTCTTGCTACCCTATTCCCAGTAGCAACTCGCCCTCCCCCTCGTCTACTTCTTCTACAATGTCACCCATCACATCTACGACAAGCGAAGGCCCCCGCCCGACCCGATCATCCTCACACATGGTCACTCCGACTAGCAGGAGCTCTTCTTCCAGCACTCCGTCGCCCAGCACTACCTCGACCAAGACTATCCACTCGTCGGCCGCCTCGTCGTCTGCGAAATCCACGAACAAAACTTCTACTGTGGTCGTGCTTTCCTCTTCTACCAAGTCTATCCAGTCCAGTGCTATTTCGACCAAGTCTGACCAGTCGTCTACTCATTCCAGCAAGCCAGCACAATCATCGATGCCCTCCAAGTCTCTCCAGCCATCGTCTGCTTCCTCCGCCGCGCCTAGTCAGTCCTCTATCCCATGCGGGGGTGGCAAGGTAGAGAGCGGCAAGTGTGTCTGCCCCGGCTGCTCGACCTTGATCAACGGACAGTGCACATGCCCCTGGGGACAAGAGCTCTGGAATGGTCAATGTGTCTGCCCGTCTGGACAGCACCTTAAAAATGGTCAATGCTGTAACTAGTTTGATGGAATGAAGTGATTTCGTAGAAAGATCTTTAGCCCTCACGTAATTGCTGTCCCCTTTGCATCCCATTCTGTCTAAATGCTAGAAGACTTGAGCTCATCGGCCAGCATCATATACGTGCAGTGTGTCACAGCTAGAGGGAAAGAAATGCATCGATCTCGCCAGACCTGGAATACCTCTAAATACCATCATGTACTGGTCCACGGTCTCTGCTTATTGAACATGGTGCTTATTGTTCTCCAGACCTTGCCAAGACCGTTCTCGGCCGGGACAGAGCTCTTATCCATCCCTCGTAACACAGTGTAATTGAGGTATAATTGAGATTTGTCCAAGGGTGGGAGCACCGGTTGAAGTCCGCGGCAAACAGCTGAGAACAACTCACCAACTACGCCGTGGTGCAAATGGCTGTTGTGGGCATCACAAACATTGGGTACAAGCTCCACGTTTTGAGCGAGCCCTGGAATTTTCAGTCTCACTCGGCAGCTTTGCTGCATCATCAATGCCTCATTCGTACCTTTTCTTCTAACTTTTCCTTCCCGAGAGAGTTGGATTATCCCTCGAGGCGGTCGATTTGCTCTCCATCGAAGCGCCACCAAGGCGCATCTGCACGGCGGTTAAGCCGTTACTGCCGAAGCTCTAAAGAAGAGTTATAATGGCAAGAACTTCACCGATAGACAGGGAGAAGACCGGGACGAAACCGAGAAGTCTGTAATCATGACGTGGCTCATGGAGAGAGAAGGGAGAGTCGCGGGTCTTCCTGCTCGTCCTTCCGTTCAACAAATCTGAATCACTTCATGTTGCAGTGGCTTTCAATGGCCTCTTCGATGGCTAATCCCCCTCCGTCGTGTGATTCAGGATGTAAACAAGTAGATGACTATCGGTTGGATGCTCTGTCAGAACCTCCGGAGCCTGATCCCAAGAGGGTCTGTCCGATGGATCACGGCGCACATGCAGGACATGTCCTGCCAATGCGCCGCAAGCCATGAGACACGTAAGATCGGATGTGACCGTCGGACTCGGCTCCGAGTTCCACCGAGCGCATAGGAACTGAGAGGATTTACGTACGCCTCAATGGACCACGCCTTCCGGTTTACCCGGAGTGAGAGGCAAAAGATGGTTCCGACGGTCCGATGGTGCCGATGGTTCCTGATGGCTGGGGAAATGCAGAAAGAGGAATCCACAGGCATTCATCGAAATCACAATTCGCTTCCACAAAGCCGTGAATGATTTGCCTTGGCTGAATACGAACGACCATTACATGGGTCGCGTGAGCAATCCCGGCGCTCCTCAAAGCTTGCCTTGTTTTGCCTTGTTCTTGTTTTGTGCTATTAAAGTCTTGCCAAGGCACGGGCAAAAGAAAAAAAAATCGCCCTCACAGTTATTAATAGCAACGGAGGTTGACTGAGCCGAGTGCCTGAAAATCATGAGTTCGGTGGATTGACCATTGAGTAGGTAAATAAAGGTGAACGAGGATCCAGCCCATGGCGCCCAGTGTCTTTCGGATGAGTATCCAGCTCGGAGAAAGTTGACAAGAACGCATGCTCACGTCGATGGATGTGTCATTGTCACTTCGGAGGCTGAAAAGATGGCCAGTCCAAGCCAGGGGGGACACCGGATGGAAAACGGATAGGCAACAAGCACAGTCTCGACACATATATAATGCAGCTGTCTGTTCTATCTCTCCGACATCCAAATCCTTCTCCCCTCCCTACCTCTCCCTTCCCTCACCTCATACTTTCTCTTTCCTCCGCGTCGCTCATTCCCCTTGGTCTTCATGCTCAATATCCCACTCTAGTCGCTCTTTTACCAATAAGTTTCTCGGAGCAGAATGAGATTGCCAAACTTCACTCTCCTAGCCGTCTTAGCAGCTATAACTCAGGAAGCATCAGCCTGGCCAGCACAACGGAACAAACGAGACGAGGCGACAACTACAACCACTGAGACTGATCACATTACACAGGTGAGTCTAGCCGACAGGTGTTCTTCATCGCAAATATCGCCCGCCCCTAATATGTCTAAAATCATCCTGGCTCACGTTGCGACAGACCGACTTCGTCACCCTTACCCAGATCGTTACCGAAACGGCCTATGTGATTGATGTCGTAAACTTCCCAACCCCAATCACCACTATCCAACCGACTGGGACGGCCTTATCTGGAGCTGGCAACAATGTCAATGGTAATGGAGGCACAGGGTCCGGAGATTCCAATGGGTCGAACGGATCCGGTAGCTCCAATGGGTCTAACGGATCCAGTGGCTCTAATGGGTCCAATGGGTCCAATGGGTCCAATGGGTCAAACGGCTCAAACGGCTTAAATGGCTCAAATGGCTCAAATGGATCTAATGGTTCCAATGGCTCAAATGGCTCACTCAGTTCCGGTGGCAATGGTGGTACTGGCGGTAACGGTGGTACTGGCGGTAACGGCGGTACTGGTGGCAACGGTGGAACTGGTGGCAATGGCGGTACTGGTGGCAACGGTGGAACTGGTGGCAATGGCGGTACTGGTGGCAACGGTGGAACTGGTGGCAATGGCGGCACTGGTGGCAACGGTGGAACTGGTGGCAATGGCGGCACTGGTGGCAACGGTGGAACTGGTGGCAATGGCGGCACTGGTGGTAACGGTGGAACCGGTGGAAATGGCGGCACTGGTGGTAACGGTGGAACCGGTGGAAATGGCGGTACCGGTGGTAACGGTGGTAATCCGTCTCCTTCAGCCACTACCACGACCTCCAGCTCCACCTCTACCGCGACTGGAGGCCCGACTCTGTTGCCTTGTGGCTCGAAAAATCCAAACTCGACGCACCACCTCGTTCCTGGTTCAACAAGTAACAACACCTACTGTCCTACCAACAATACCGCACAATATGTCTTTGCCGAAGCCAATATCACATATCGATTCCCGACTGTCGTCCTGCCTCACTCTGCGTACATCGAAGAGATTGACTGCGAGTCCTACGGTCTCAACGTAGTCTTCAACAACGAAGGGGCGTTCAACTTTGCAAAGACCAACTGGAGCACCAACGGAGATGAGGGCTTCCTACTTGTTACTTACGCCCTACCCTGCAACCTGAACGCTACAAATGGTACTCACGTCTTTTGGTTGGTCGACAAATTAGACTTCATAACATCCAATCTCACCGTGATAGTCGATGCTCGGGAAATTGCCACAGAAGATGCTCTCGGACATGTGAGTCTGACCCGGGGTACATTGTGTCGGATCTTGACGACGTTTTTAGGTCAGCCTTGTATGGGGTCAGAGTGGAGTGCCATTCAACACTGGCAACGGCACGGCCAGCACACCAGGAGGTGGTGGAGGCAAAAAGGGTCCAAGCACCGCCGTCTACAACGGTACGAATGCTGCCGCTTGTGTCACACCCCCAGTCAGCACGTACAAGGGTCTTCCGGTCATGGGATGTGGACCCGACTTTGATCAGAACCTTGACGATGAGATTGGTTACTTTGACTTTGGTCCGAACAACAACACAGGCCTCAATAGATTTGCTCCGGGCCTCAACCTTACTTCGGCTGGCGTGGGTCGCCGATCCAGTATCATTACGGAGAGATTGCTACGTCGAGGTCTATGGGGCGACATCGGAGATGTACGTCGCAGTTATTTGTTTATGGCTTACTGTCTACTCAGGCGCTCTCAAGCTTCGGACAGGATGTGGAAAACGCAGCAAGCCAGGTTGGCTCCGATATCGTCAGCGGAGCCGAAGACGCCTGGAATGCTGGAGTCCAAGCTGCCGGCGATCTGGGGGATCTGGTTGGTGGGATATTGTCCGGTAGCTACACTACACCCAGCGGCAACTTGACCATCAACGAGGGACCTTCAAACCTTACCGACTCCATTTTCGGACAGGGCGATTCCTATCTCCTCTACATCGCGCAGAAGGAGACTGAAAATGGCAACGGGGAAGCCTCGATCTCCATGTACTGCGTCGACTGCGGGGTCCATGGCTATGCCGAAGTCTCAGGTACCATCGGCTACTCACTTCGTACGTGACGTCTAAGAGAAGAGGGCTGATGACATCAGTGCCACCCAGTCTAACTCAAGCGTCCCTCAATGTCAATGGTGCTTTCCATGCAGGACTGAGCATCGGACTTTTCGCGGAAGCGTCGTACACGGACACATACTCGAAGAACCTCATCGATATTCCTTTGCCTGTGCGTGTTCCTATACTCCGCCCGCTTGAGCCTCATCTAACCTTGTCAGGATGCTGGTATCGTCATTCCGGGCATATTCTCTGTTGGAGCCACGATCACTCTGGACGCGCACGCCACCCTCGACATTGAAGCTGAGGGAGAGATACTTCTCGGTGCTGCGCTCGATATTCCGGACTATTCAGCTGTTCTTGACGTCGTGGGCGAGAACAGCCAAGCCAATGGCTTCACACCGATATTCACGAAGACTGTCGAGGCAAAAGGCAAGATCGGTGCGAACTTCTCTGTTGCCCTGCCGGCTGAGATTGGATTTGGATTGGCTATTCCTGGTGAGCTTCTTCCTTCTGCTTGTGACAACGGTCGGACATCAATTAACTCCCACCAAGCGATCGACTACAACAAAGAAATCGGGCTGAGAAACACCCCTGAACTCACCGCGTTTGCCGATGTCCAGATATCAACAAACGCCTCTGAGAGCGAGGACAACAAACTATGCTGGGGCATCGGCGTCGAAGACCACTTCCAATTCGATCTTTTCGGAACCCTGACCGACCTCGTGCCCCCCTACGTCCAACCAGATCTGTTGGGCGGCTGCTACAATATCACTATCCCTACGTGGAATGTAACAACAAACCTCACCACGCCGATTGGTCGCAGTCTGCCCGCTCGAAGAGGTGATGTCCCCACCGACCAGAGCTCCGCAAACGGAACCGCGACAGCCCTCCAGGCAGCAGCGACAGGAACGGCCACTTCGTCCAGCAATTCTACCCATGCAGCGGGGTCTGGTGTAAATGGAACCATCTCGGGCAAATACGATAGCTCAAATATCTCCTATATCGCACTGCTTGACAGCACTGGGAAATACAACCTCGCCGAGTTCACAGACGGCAATTTCTACATGATCGAATCCGACCCTGACAACGTTTTCACCTATGCTTCTTCTGACAACCTGGTCTTTGGTGACGGTGAGGGTGACGTCTTCTTCTACTATCCCGATGAGATGGCCGCACTGGGAGTCAGTCGTTTCCGGCAGAATGACCTCAAGCACATCCCCCTGGGGGCCGATCTCATCACCCTGGCGCCGATCAGTGAGTGACGAGATCTCGTCGAAAGAATCTGTCACTGATGCTTCCCATGCAGACTTCGACAAGAAGGCCTCCACGCCGGGTATTTACCTTGGGTTCGATACAAGCGGCAACGCCTTCTATCCTGTTATTTGTGAGATGTCCGGACTTTCTCCCAAGATCTTCCTCGTCAAGGACTTGAAGACTGGTCCAACGACCCTCACAGACCCGGCCCTTCAATATGTGGTGACCGGCGGTGTGGTGGAGGTCTGCAACGTGTTGGCGTTGGCGTCCGTTTTCGAGGGGTTCTGAGCGAGGTGATAGGGTGAAGTCAGGCTTATTCCTCGCGGACATTAGTTCATTTTTCCTCATTATAATACAAATTCTTTTTTGGCCTTTCCGGTATCTATCCGCGGACTATGATGCAGTGTTTCGATCTCACAGTTCGTTCCATGTCGCCGCAGTAGGATTGAGTCGATACTGTTGCCTCGTGACATCACGTCAAGAGAGGGAGCTCAGTGAGGCGCGACCAAGGGCATACTTAGCAATCCTGCCCCTGAGACCAGCTTGTGTCACACCTATCACTGTGGGAAGGCGATGCTGGTGTCCATTACGAGTCCTTGTTCGCCACGGGATCAAATTACCTTCAAGTACTCACTCTCGAGACAATCCTTGGCTAGCGAGCGACAAGCTCACGACCCTTGACTGAGAGTTGTGGGTAGTGCACACTCCGAACCACGACGCACACCTATAACTTTGTCATGCGTTGTTCCAAAGGGAGTTCTCACAGACATCTTGACTTATTGTGCTAGCGATAAGACTGAGCACGAGTGCTGCAATAAGACGCATAGTGGCGAAGCGTATACGGCAAAAAAAATTACAAACAGCATTTCAGACTAATCTCAGAGATTCGACGAAAACTAGCCCATGATTTTCGTCCTAATTCCCGTCGTCAATTTGACCTTGCCATATTCCTTGTATTGACGAGATTCATTCTGTAAGGCTGCTAGAGCATTTGCCCGAAGCTGTGCAAGGTGTGGCCTGCCAAAAGCACCATCTCCGTTGCTCTGCATCAGAGTCAGATTCTTCTCAGGGGTCGACACTTACCAACGCCGGGGATTCCCGTACTTCTCAAGCACAAGACCTTCCTTGGTGATGATCAATACAGCCAATTGGTTCATGCCGTGCGGATAGCCAGCCTTCGAAGACACTGTGACTTCAATCGTACCTTGACCTTTGAGGAAAGAAGCGAGCTGCAGTTCTGGATCCACGGTGACAGGACCATCATACTTGGTGTTCTTTAGCATGGCAGGAAGATGCTCTGCTGGCTCTGCCGTGACGATGAGGGTCTCTCCTCCAGCCTTCAAAATGAGGTGACGTAACCGTTGAAGCTCTTTGACGTAGTGAAGACAGAAAGGGCACCAATGACCTCGATAAACTAAGACTCAGCAGGTGTTGCAATTCAAGCGCGCTCACAAATGACGAACAGAAAGCGGTGGGAGTCTTTCAGCTCCTGATACTTGGCCACTGAGTCGACGTCTTGAGTGAGGACCATGATGAATGAATTGACGATGAGATTGGTTGCGAGACATGCATTTCGGATTGACGCTGCCAAACTATTTATGCAAACAAATCCGCGCATCGGTCGCCGACGAGTGGCGTCGGCCTTTCCATGCGTGAATTGTCCAATACATAGATCCGCGTGGCATATTGACTGTGCCATCTTTACCCCATGGGCAGTGACTGTACACGAGCCGAATTTTAGATCTGCCGGGGGTGCGTCTATTTGCAAATCTTGCTAGCTCTCATGCTCCTGCTGTACAGCTCTTGGATCAGGCCGAGGTCTACTGTACGTGCGGACGAGGAACAAGTGTGAAGCACTCGGGATGTACATGATCCAATGGCCATCCGCCAATTTCGGACCTCGGTCTTGACGGTGGAGAATATGCTAGGGCGCGCCAAGCAGCAAGTGCTGGACAACGATGTCGGTTGAGGTCTGTGCCGTTGGTCCAGACAGGTACGTCATCCAGTCCAGTCGAGTATCTTGCGATATTGCAGCTCTAGACCGGTCAAGTACACGATAGTTATTTGAGTTTGCTGCTGGACCCTGTAGCGCCGGCTAGACACCGGAGATTTGAGGCCAGGACTATTCGCAGAGCAGCGCCGATTTGCGCACTGATCCTGAGACGGACCTTAGATGACTGGGTTCAATGGATACAACGCAAGTGCTCCGACAGAATCTCGTTTCTCCAGTGGCTGGTGGGCGGCTTGGTAGTCTGAGTGGCTGGGACAGCGGCCTTCGTGAGCGATGCCTGTTGAGGCGAGACAGGTTCTCGAAGAGTCACTGAGAATGCTATCCTGTAAGGTATGGGGAATGCTCCATCGCATTTAGTGCCTTTCCTTGTCAAATGTCAAAAGGTTTCTTCTGTGACCTTGTCTATTCACTTGGGCGATCCAGACACAGGAGGACCTCAAGCTGATGACGTGCCGACGCATTTTGCCTGGGGAGTGAGACCCTGTCCTGTACCAGTACCGTCATTGTTCTCGTATTGTCGCCTTGACGAGCGTGTTGGTAGGGGCACAGCCCGAAATATTGAATCAGCTAAGACAATACAGCCGAGAAAAGATTTTGAAACGTCCCCGAAAGACTCAGTGCTTTGAAAGGACGTTTTTTGCCCGCAGAAGCACAGCTTGCTGACATCTAGATATGTAGTCTGATCCTCCGGTACTGATCTCCTTCATCTCTCATCACGAGAATCTAGACACTTTGCTCGAAAAGCAGTTTTGTTCGAGACAGCTCCTATCGCCAGGCCGAAGGTGTGAATGGACGAGTCAAAGTACCAGGTGCGGCGGATTCTAGGAGAGGGAGCATTCGGTGTGGTACACCTTGCAAGGCGGATCAGCGACGATCAAGTGAGTCTCAACCCCTGTCTTTCATTGCCATGACCTCCTTGCATAGCTTGTAGCCGTGAAATCCATCCGGGCAACATTCCCGCGTTGGGACGAGGAAGTCAAGCTCTTGAGCGATCTCAAACATGCCAACATTGTCGAACTGTATGAGGTCCTTCAGTCTCCGAACGAGATTCGGATCGTCATGGAATACTGCAGTGGGGGAGACCTTCGTGATGTTATTATCCGCGCCGTCGAGGACAGGTAGCTTGTCTATCGATACCATGAAACCCTAAACTGATACCAGCGTGCAGGGAGAGGATCCCAGAAAACTTCATACGGCGGGCATACACTCAGCTGATGCTGGGCCTCCATCATTGTCATCATGTTTCCCGGCAAGGGCGTATCGTTCTGCATAGGGATATCAAGCCTGAGAATGGTGAGTGGCAGTGGGGCCCTATGATATCCGGCTGAGCGCCGTTACAAGTTTTACTCTCTTCTGATGGGACCCTCAAAATCGCTGATTTTGGACTTTCGCGGACTCTCCGTGAGGCGGAGTCTTCAGCCACTTCCTTTGTAGGTGTACGTGGATGGCTCAAAACCCATAGGCAGTCCTTTGACCAGAACCCGTACTCTAGGCTACCTTGCCCCAGTGAGTACAGCTGCTCAATATCCAGACGTAAAGACTCATTCTCATCGCGCCAGGAGCTCGCAGGGCGACAGAAGTATGGACCGAAGGTAGACATTTTCAGCCTTGGCTGCCTGCTATTCGAGCTGTGCACTTTGTCGTGAGATTGAAATCACCTTCCAAATGATGAAACTGAGCGCCTTCCTCTAGGCCACCAGATCTTCGGGCTCGCGGAGTCCATAGAGCGTCACGCCTCATGCTGCCAATGGAGTATTCTGTGGAACTGCGTTCCGCTGTGTCAGAGCTTCTGCACCCAGATGTAAGCGGCAGCGAAGGTGTCCTTGATGACAGTCCAGCCCGAAAGTTGGCCCTCGACAGCGGAGCTATTCACACGGACTCACTTTGCCTCATGGATAGCGGATGCTCAAAGGGGAGAAGCCAAGCTTCAGTGAGTACGGTGCGGCGCGGTCAGGCCACGTTGATGCTCCAGGATGGAGCAACGAAGCCTTGAGCAGATGAGACTCAAGCTGGAACGTTTGATGAGATCGCAAACTGCCAAAGAGCGGGCATTGGAAGCCAAAGAGATGAGCCTTGAAGCAGAAAAGCGCTGGTAAGAGTTCAGCCCTCCTAAGTTAAATTGATGTACACTTCAGTCTCATGCTGAGGGCATCTCGCTCACCCCCGATGGCAACACAAACTCCCCAGACGGCGTCACAGACGCCTGCCATCAAACCGGAGGAAAGAGCGGGCGCAAAGGCCACTAAAGCGATGAGGCCCCGTCCGTAAGCCAAGGCGGAGTGATTTCAATGTTTGGAAGTAGACTAGTCATGGAAGAGGAACAATTGCTTTACACTCAGTCGTGTCCTTTTTCATTGGGTCCTAGCTTGGGCAGCCTCAAGATAAAATTGTTTCCGTGTACCGGTCACGCCATGTGAATCCGCTTTTCAAACGGCTGAGTGACGGGAAATAATGAGCTTCGCGCGCGGTGGAGGGCTGTCGAGCACACCAGAGGTGAGGATCACAGTCTTTCACCTTCGATATACCTCAATCCTTCGAATCCGCAGTCTCTGATCATTATTTTCTCTCTTGGTCCGGGATCGCAACGATACTGCACTCATTCGAATTTCTTAGGTTTCGATCGGAGTCTAAGGTACGAAAGAGTGAGTCGTGTTTTGAGGTGGTCCAGAAGGCCGTTCCGGTTTTCACTGCCAAGTTGAAGTGGTCCGATGATCGCTCCTTTGGGTCCCTAGGTACTGTATATTGGTGAGATACTGCATCTTGGACAGATCCTTCGAGTAGAGCACATTAAGTGTTTTTAACCACCTCGACCACCCTCGGTGCGACTCAGACGGATCTGATTTACGCAAAGTCTTCCACAGGGATACCGTCAATGGTACTCCGCTCAGATCCTGCTTTATCGTTAATTCGTAACGGTCTGCCAACGTTCCGTTCCGCCTGACTCACATGTTTCGAGGCTTTGTTCCTCAATGCCTCTGGCTCGACATCCTCCGATTGCTTGAAATTCTCGGATCTTAGGGCTCTCTTAGGCAATTAACGCTCACTACCGAGCGTGAGACGCATGATAAACGCTGACACGCACGACGTGGAACAGATGGGCCGAAGACTCCTCAAGCTTCTGTCGACAGCTGGGCAAATGTTGTGCTTGGCCTGCATGGTCGCACTGTTCCAGCATGCCGCCAGGAACCACAAAATCGCAAAAGGTTCGATCGTCTTATTAACTCAGACCTGAATGAATCAACCCGTACTCAACTGCTCTACTGATATATGTCGAAATCTCAAGAGGTGAAATTCAGCCAAATTTCGAATCCCTCTCTACGCAGCCGGATGATGCATGCATGGAAAACTGACGGACCCTTGAAAGATCTTCATTTTCACAAAGTGAGAAATGCTTATTGGCCACTAGTCGCCATGCATGACTGATGCATCAGTGGGACTTCTACCACTTAAAAGGGCTCCTCTGAAGCTGTCAGAAGATATAAGAATTGACCCCAGTGACAAACGAAAGGGGGCAACTTTTGCCGAGATCTGACCCATGAGTTTTGAACGACAATCCCTCAAGAATTCAAGACCCTTGCTAACAATGGGTGGCAGAGGCTTGCCTAATTCCTCAGTCATCTGATTTATGCTACAATGCGCACCCAAAAGGTCACTCATGCCAAAGCGTAGATGGCGGTGAAAGTCCAGACGACGGCCCAAGGTGTCGGATGGAGAGTGATGCATCTCCAATCAGTCGTTTTCAATCATATCTCCGCGTTGCTCGGTGTCTCTCTTGTATCTCGCCCTGCCAGCGAACTGCTAGTATTAAAGGGAGCGGAGGCAGAACCAGTCGAACTGTAGGGGCGAAATTCGCTTCAAATGGGTGCTTCCCCCCGCCCCTGGTGATATCATATGTATTTCGAGAAAACCACGTGCTTGGATGGTTACCACACCCCTCCGGTTCCCATGCATTCGTTTGAACCCTGCCGGAAGTCGGAATTACTATCATCAACTTCACCACCTCGAAGATGCAGGCACAAGCTTCGCGTCCCATTCGCTCCCGCAGAGCGAGAGTAAGTCCCTCTCGCAACCTCCCTGACCGTCTACAGCGTGCTTGCGATGCCTGTCACCGAACCAACAGCAAGGTGATGATACTCCGTATCGTGCTGATCGCCCAGTGTACAGCTATTCACGGCTCAGAGACCTGTCGCACCTGTGCAGACTTTGGAGAGCCATGTACATACAATCGTCTCGCAAAGAGGCGAGGTGTAAGTAATGATCGGCTACCAAATTGACGGACTAGCCCAAGATCGATCCTATGACGGGCAAACGCCCCAGCTCGAACCAAGACGTCGACTGGAAATACGCACCGATAGCCGACCATTCACTCGTTGAGAACTTGGCAGATGAGTACCTGCGTATCGTCTATCCAATGTATGCGGTAAACGTGACTCGTGCTGATCGCTAGATTTCCCCTGTTCCACTGGCCTTCCTTCATCTCCAAGGTCCACAGACGACTGTACGAGAACGATCGGGCATTCTTTGCTACAGTCATGGCAATGTGTGCGGTGGTCGCAGGTCGCATAGAAAACCGCTCATCTCAATCCGTACTATCCTTGCTCACCCCCACAACCTCATCAGAGGCGTTCAAAGCGGCGGCGATATCGGCCATTCCAGTTGACTTGACTCTGGCGAGGGACTTTGACTACAAGCGGACCAAAAGCTTGCTGGCGATTCTCTGCGTACAGCTGGCCGATATAAAACACCTGCATATCCATTTAGGCGACTATATGACCTTGTCCCTTGCCTCAGGCTTTTACGATGAGCAAAGATGGCCCAATCTGCCCCCGCCCGAACGAGAGGAATGGCGGCGCTTGTTCTGGTCTACATATACCCTCGAAATCTTTACGGCAATCTCGTGGGATGGGATCGTTCGCCATCGCCAGTCGCAGACAAATGTGAGGTACCCGGTAGAGGTGGTGAACGATGATGCAATCTCGCCATCAGGATGTCTACCCGCGAGCGGTGTCAGTACCTTTATCCGAGGATGGAACATTACGACAGATTTATATCGAATCCTCGAACACTTGGTAGATCGAATGCGATGCACTCAACTCAGACCTTCGCCCTCGGGTGTGGCTCGTACTGACACTGTTATTGCCCTGTTCACAGCCCCTGGACCTTCAGTCAAGGAAATCCGTCAGCTGGTAGATGCGACGTGTGGACAATTAGGGCCCGAATTCCAACAGGCACACGCCATGACCGGGGATCTGGATATGGACCGATATGGATTCCAAGGTCGGCGCGTTTTGATTCTTTGCTGATGCTCAGTCGCCAACCTCACCCTCACTGCTCAAACAGCGTATATGATCTTAGCCACGGCCGACGGCTCCAGCATCGAGGAGCAATGTGCAGTCATACAAGAGCTATTGGGAGCACTATCTCTCATACCCACTGCGTACATTGCGTCTATCAGCACGCCCATGGTAAGACGACACGATATTCTTGCTGATAATAGCTACATCATGTAGCGTCCATTGGACACCTCCTTGGCAATGTCATCCAGTCGCCACTTACCCCTTGGGCGTTTTCTCAGGTCCGAGATGCGTTGTTGGGGTTGGCAAATCTCATCACTGGCCTGGAGGCGGCTATTGGCGTGGCTTTGGGCATCTCGTCCAAACTTAGAGCCCTAGTTCACAAGATCGACGAACGAATGGGCATGATGGCACATAACGGCGTTCATCGGTCTCACTCATGGAATGCATCAACGCAAGAAAGATCACACGAGTCAGGGCAAGATAATAGCAGCTCTGACCCTACGCTTCTCTTTGCTACGCCTGAGCAGCAAGACCAGCTACGTATGGAGCTTAGGGAGGATTGGCCATTCAACCTGGAGCATATTACGCAGAATGAAGACTTATCCATATTTGGCACACGGCAGCCACTGTTTGACTGGGCTTCATGAACTATGCATCATGCAATCTGTTGATGCGCATACTTTCCCTCTAAGTCACTTGCAGGTGGGCCATGATGTAGCACGTCACCGTCCCCATGCTCTCTCCACGATTTCTCCGCCGCTGCATTGAGCGGCGACGAGGGTATGAACAAGATGTTGATCGCTTCGAGTGATCTGTCCTTTGTCTCGGGGTAGAACAACCAAACGACAATGATCCACAGCAGGTTGAGCCCGGCGAAGAGAAAGTACGCTCGATTCTGCAATTGCGCAAAGATGCTGGGATTTGCCAACGTCGTGGTGCCCACTCCAATCGCCCATCCAGTCACGCCAAACCCATTTCCTTGAGCTCGCATCTCGGAGGGAAATATTTCTGTAGGTATCAGGAATGCGACTGTGCCCCAAGTTGACGCGTAAATGAGATTGAACAGGAACAACATGGTCACCGCTGCGGGGGCAATCCTGGCAGCAGAGTCGGAGTTGCGGCGTGAGGCCTCGTAAAGACCTCCAGCAACGGCGTTGACGACCACGAGGCCGAGAGCACCTGCCATGAGACATCGACGACGGCCAAATCTGTCAACGACGTATGCAGAGATGATCGTCCCAACGATGCCCACGGTGGACAGGCCCCCAGCGAGGCCATTCTGCTTGATCATGGAATAGCCAGCAGCGCTGAGAAGGATTGGCTGGACATCAGCTCCGCTAACACGCTCGAACCCACCGCATACGCAGTCACGGCGGTAATAGCGGTATACGAAGCCATGATCTGTAACCACAAGCACAGCCATGCCCGCCTCGCCAAGTGTGGCGCCGGGCTATCCGAGCGACCAAAGAGAATTTTGGTAAATTCAAATGGATTCGCCGGCTTGACTTGAGAGCTGACCGCAACCATTTCCTTGAATTCTCGATCGATCTCTGCACTCGGCGTCCGACTGCCCCTGACATGAGTCAAGACCTCGAGGGCCTTGTCTTTTTGACCAGAGGAGATGTAGTATCGCGGAGAGTCGGGCAAGAGCTTGATACCGAGAGCCAAGAGGATGGCCGGAAAGCATTGAAAGGCTAGCAGAAATCTCCACCTGACTGAAGATGTTCCAGCGAGACCATTTGGACCCTTCACAAAGCTTAGACCAAAGTCGAGCCAGTAGGCAATCGCTATTCCCAAGTAGTTGGCGATAAAAACAAGGCCGAGGAAGCGGCCACGCCCGTGGCTTGTCGATGTTTCTGATACGTAAACCGGGATGATAGCTGTCAGAGCACCCGTCCCGATGCCAGTGATGATTCGAGCGACGATAATCATGGCTGCCGACTGAGTGGCCGCCTGTAGGGCGCCGCCGATCATGGCGAAGAAGGACGCGCAAAAGGTCCCATTGATTCGGCCTACTCGGTCCGCCAACCATCCACCAGCAAAGCACCCAAAAATGGCACCGAGATAGTAAACAGAGACGATGCCACCTTGTTTGGTCACATCGGTCACTCTGCCATCGGGCTCTCCAATCTTGACGGTAGTGACGTAATCAGGCGACGAGCTAATGGTCAGCTTATCACTCTCGCTACTCACTTGACACCACCCATGACACCTTGATCATAGCCTTCGAAGAATATGGCGATCAACGAGAACGCCTGGATCCAAAAATTAAGTTTTGCGGGGGAGAGACTTTTCCAGTATGTTGTCGCACCCATGATGGGTCGTGGAAGGTGGAGATGCAAGAGCTGGAGTCTCCAACTATATAGGTGTAGCCCGTCGAGACCGGTAATGGCTACATCCCGCATAGCCAATTACCCATTTAGCCGTTCACCCAATGTTCCGCAAAGCTTTGCACATAAAGCCCGGGCTCTGCTGACGACAAAACACCAAGCTACCCACGATGCCAGCGTCAGTCGGAACCATGCTAGACTTCAATATCCTTGGTATGAATTCTGGAACGAGCATGGATGGCATAGATTGTGCCCTTTGTCACTTTAGACAAGACCATCCCGACGCGCCTATGCACTTTGAGCTGCTCGCTGTGAGTAAAGCTGTTTTATCAACGCTGATCCGGGCAGTACGGAGAGGTACCGCTGGCTCAACCGATCAAGAAACGAATTATGACCATGATTTTGGAGAACAAGACTTCACCTTCCGAGCTTTCCGAGGTCAATGTTATTCTGGGGGAGCACTTTGCAGGCGCCGCACACGAATTCACGAAATCGAGAGGCATCTCCCTTGGCGATATCGATGGGATCGCCTCTCATGGCCAAACGATCTGGCTACTTTCAATGCCAGAGCACGGCCAGGTCAAATCGGCTCTGACAATGGCCGAAGGGGCTATCATTGCCGCACGCACTGGCATTACCGCCATTACAGACTTTCGAATATCGGATCAAGCTGCGGGGAGACAGGGAGCCCCGTTGATCGCCTTTTTCGACTCGCTCCTTTTGCACCATCCCGAAAAGCTCAGAGCGTGTCAGAATATCGGAGGGATCGCCAATGTATGCTTCATCAAGCCTGACAAGGACGGAAAGTTGGATCAAGATGGGTATTATGACTTCGATACTGGACCAGGAAATGTGTTCATTGACGCAGTGATGAGACATTATACCGATGGCAAGGAAGAGTATGACAGGGATGGCCTTTGGGGAAAACGAGGCAAAGTGGATCAGAAACTTGTCGATGAATTCCTGCAGCGGCCATACTTTCAGATGGACCCACCCAAGACGTGAGTTGAGCCTTCAATAACCGACTCACCATTACAGCACTGGTCGTGAGGTCTTCCGCGACTCGCTCGCACATGACTTGATCGCCAAGGGAGAGAAAAAAGGACTCTCTCCAGACGATGTTGTCGCCACAGTGACACGAATCACAGCGCAGGCCATTGTAGATCACTACCGGCGGTATGCGCCTAGTCAGGATATCGACGAGGTGCGAGACATCGGAGTACGGCACTGATATTAGATCTACATGTGCGGTGGAGGTGCATACAATCCCAATATTACCGACTTTATCCAGAAGTGTTATCCCCACAGTGAGCCCCACCCGACGACGTTGCAGCTCATAGATAGCCAAGATTATGATGTTAGATGAGGTTGGTGTGCCGGGAGGAGCCAAGGAGGCCATCACCTTTGCCTGGCAAGGGATGGAGGCTGTGAGTGTGACTTGGGGACCCGCTCTGACTTGACAGCTCGTCGGCCGGTCTATTCCCGTCCCGACTCGGGTGGAGACCCGAAACCCGTTTGTTCTAGGCAAGATCTCTCCCGGAAAGAATTATCGAGATGTCATGCGGCGGGCAATGGCCTTTGGCGCCGGTCGATCCGAGCTGCCGTGGGTCACGGAGATGGTGTTGAACAAGGGGGGCAAGCCGATCGGTGCGTGAGCAGGATTCGGAGTTGTCATGGGGCGTGGAGTAATTCGGATATGCAGCAGATGGTCGGTACTTATGTGACCGATAAGCGTACGATGAGTCATTCGCCATTGATGATCGATGGCTTTCTCTGCAGCGCCCGTGTTGTGGCAGGCCAGATGGCCTTCCGGCTGCTGACACTCAAAAAACCTCCATGAATCGCCTCACTGTGAGAGATGAATGGGCAATTCCGTTGAACGGAAAGTCAGGAAGCTCTGGCAATGCTGACATCAGGTGCATTTGGCTCTAAAAGAAGTAGATCGCCTCTTGGTCTCATGCCTTCAGCCGATTGACTCGAACACTCACTGATTGTCAGCATCGATGTCAATTCGACTTGAAATCAAGATTGACCGAATCGGAAACCGATAGGCTCCATCGCGTGTTGGTCAGCAAGGCCAGGACATCAAACCGTATCTGGAAGGTCAAGATCCAAATGTGACAGTCGAAATATTTCAAGGGAACAGAGTCATCCCGAACATCAGCTTAGTGCGCTAGACCGATACCCGATTCACTTGCGATCAAGGCGACAAATGAGCACAAAGGCCTTCCATCGGTGCATAGGTTGTGCCGAACCATCGCAATCGGATTGCCACGACACGGCTCATCATTGTATTGACGGCTCCACAGGTCCCACAGGGACATCTCTTGAGCAATCATGAGATATGCGGGGCTTTGCAAAGGTTTGCTCGTTGACGTGGTCGCAATTGTCGGACTCGTTCGACGTTCGTGCGACTTAGCAGTGCTTCCCCCTTGTGCTTCACAGAAACCAATGCACACGGAGCCGTTTCGGTCCCTCCAAGCCCATTTTGACCTTGCCGTCTTGGACGAATCGTGCCATACACGTAGGTCGCCCCCTCGATGTCTGCAAATATCGCTAGGACTGCCTTGAGCTTGCAGTAGCAAATGTACTGGTCTCGTCGGAATTGAATTCCACTATCTATCAATTGCCTCCCGGAGCGAGGGTTCAAACGGTGATCAGCTTAATCGTGTATCACGACGGGAATTCAGCTGATGACGCCGGCAGGCGCCCCGCATCTCCACGCGGCGAGTTGTCGAGGTCCTCCAGGGGTGAAAGGGATCGTGGGCTTCCCCCCGAAAAAGTAACCTCACGGCACTCCATGGTCTCCCGCTGTGGGAGCCCCGAGATATTCCTATTAGAGCCGTAGAATTGAGTATGTCAGCATGGGACGAGCTTGGTCCCGTAGCGGGAGAATGCGGAAATTTACACAGGGCTGAGAGAAATTACGAACGATACGCGACAGGCGGCAGCCGTTTTGCCAACACGATGGTATCTGCCTTTCATGGGCCGCCCTCCCCCTTGTACTTGTCTTCGCCCTTTCCTCCCTCAAGCCCCCGCGATGGCGTATGTACGTTTGTGCGATTGCAGCTACCGAATGCAGAAACCAAGGCAGGTTCGATCGACCGGTTACTAACTGTTGCCGGAGTCTAATGACGCTAAAACTCGGAGCGAACGTACTCTACGGCCGAGACTCGGCAGTCGGCGCTAACCTAGTAATCGATCGGTGATAATCGGAAATCTGAACAACAAATGCTGCCAACCAACATTCCATGTACCTGACACACAAGCCACCCGGAATCATGCTGATGAATCCTTATCATGTCCCCCAGATCTACTCAATTGAACCGATTAGGTCCGACATAAACGACGAGGCAGAGGTGCATTCCTTGAACAGTCACTGATCAGTCTCAGGTGCCGCTATCAAATACCACTCAGGCTCGAGACGCGGCGCCCGGATGTGGCGGGTCTCTGAACGACTGTGTGAGGATGGCCAGGAGTGCATCGTCACCTGCGAGTTCGACACAGATCTGGACCGGATCCACTATGCATGCTGACTCGTAGCGCTGTTTGAGGCCAGCCTCATTCAACAGGAACCATCAAGAGTGGGTTCGATGTCTACGTTGGCAGCCAAAACTGCCCAGACTGTTCCCGTGCTGCAGCTCCTGAGTTAAGATCGCAGGGAGCTGACATCCCGTAGCGTCTACCTGACTGCCGCTGTGCCAGCTGGGCGCATGGCTTAGGGGGTTAGGGGGTTAGGGGGTTAGGGGGTTAGGGGGTTAGGGGGTTAGGGGGTTAGGGGGTTAGGGGGTTAGGGGGTTAGGGGGTTAGGGGGTTAGGGGGTTAGGGGGTTAGGGGGT